ACACAGTGCGAGTATAACACCCATAACACCCTAACACCCTAACACCCTACCCCCTAACACCCACACACCCAACTCACCCTAACACCCTAACACCCTAACACCCTAACACCCTCACACCCTACCCCCTACCCACCCCTAACACCCTACCACCCTAACACCCTATACACCCTAACACCCTACACCCTCACACCCTAACACCCTAACACCCTAACACCCTACACCCTAACACCCTAACACCCTAACACCCTAACACCCAAACACCCTAACACCCTACACCCTACCACCCTACCACCCTACCAACACCCTAACACCCTAACACCCTAACACCCTAACACCCTAACACCCTAACCACCCCTAACACCCTAACACCCAAACACCCTAACACCCTAACACCCTAACACCCTAACCACCCTAACACCCTAACACCCTAACACCCTAACACCCTAACACCCTAACACCCTAACACCCTAACACCCTAACACCCTAACACCCTAACACCCTAACCCCTAACACCCTAACACCCTAACACCCTAACACCCTAACACCCTAACACCCTAACACCCCTAACACCCTAACACCTACACCTAACACCCTAACACCCTAACACCCTAACACCCTAACACCCTAACACCCTAACACCCTAACACCCTAACACCCTAACACCCTAACACCCTAACACCCTAACACCCTAACACCCTAACACCCTAACACCCTAACACCCTAACACCCTAACACCTACACCCTAACACCCTAACACCCTAACACCCTAACACCCTAACACCTACCCAACACCCTAACACCCTAACACCCTAACACCCTAACACCCTAACACCCTAACACCCTAACACCCTAACACCCTAACACCCTAACACCCTAACACCTAACACCCTAACACCCAACACCCTACCCTAACACCCTAACACCCTAACACCCTAACACCCTAACACCCTAACCACACCTAACACCCTAACACCCTAACCCCTAACACCCTAACACCCTAACACCCTAACACCCTAACACCCTAACACCCTAACACCCTAACACCCTAACACCCTAACACCCTAACACCCTAACACCCTAACACCCTAACACCCTAACACCCTAACACCCTAACACCCTAACACCCTAACACCCTAACACCCTAACACCCTAACACCCTAACACCCTAACACCCTAACACCCTAACACCCTAACACCCTAACACCCTAACACCCTAACACCCTAACACCCTAACACCCTAACCCACCCTAACACCCTAACACCCTAACACCCTAACACCCTACACCCTAACACCCTAACACCCTAACACCCTAACACCCTAACACCCTAACACCCTAACACCCTAACACCCTAACACCCTAACACCCTAACACCCTAACACCCTAACACCCTAACACCCTAACACCCTAACACCCTAACACCCTAACACCCTAACACCCTAACACCCAAACACCCTAACACCCTAACACCTAACACCCTAACACCCTAACACCCTAACACCCTAACACCCTAACACCCTAACACCCTAACACCCTAAACACCCTAACACCCTAACACCCTAACACCCTAACACCCTAACACCCTAACACCCTAACACCCTAACACCCTAACACCCTAACACCCTAACACCCTAACAACCCTAACACCCTAACACCCTAACACCCTAACACCCTAACACCCTAACACCCTAACACCCTAACACCCTAACACCCTAACACCCTAACACCCTAACACCCTAACACCCTAACACCCTAACACCCTAACACCCTAACACCCTAACACCCTAACACCCTAACACCCTAACACCCTAACACCCTAACACCCTAACACCCTAACACCCTAACACCCTAACACCCTAACACCCTAACACCCTAACACCCTAACACCCTAACACCCTAACACCCTAACACCCTAACACCCTAACACCCTAACACCCTAACAACCCTAACACCCTAACACCCTAACCCTAACACCCTAACACCCTAACACCCTAACACCCTAACACCCTAACACCCTAACACCCTAACACCCTAACACCCTAACACCCTAACACCCTAACACCCTAACACCCTAACACCCTAACACCCTAACACCCTAACACCCTAACACCCTAACACCCTAACACCCTAACACCCTAACACCCTAACACCCTAACACCTAACACCCTAACACCCTAACACCCTAACACCCTAACACCCTAACACCCTAACACCCTAACACCCTAACACCCTAACACCCTAACACCCTAACACCCTAACACCCTAACACCCTAACACCCTAACACCCTAACACCCTAACACCCTAACACCCTAACACCCTAACACCCTAACACCCTAACACCCTAACACCCTAACACCCTAACACCCTAACACCCTAACACCCTAACACCCTAACACCCTAACACCCTAACACCCTAACACCCTAACACCCTAACACCCTAACACCCTAACACCCTAACACCCTAACACCCTAACACCCTAACACCCTAACACCCTAACACCCTAACACCCTAACACCCTAACACCCTAACACCCTAACACCCTAACACCCTAACACCCTAACACCCTAACACCCTAACACCCTAACACCCTAACACCCTAACCACACCCTAACACCCGTTAAGTGTTCCTTTTCAGTTGTAAAAAGAGTGATTTTTTAATATAAGGTTAGTCAGCCTTGGAGATTGATAAATTCGTCCATAAGTAATTGCATTTTGATTTCTATAAACTTTAATAATGGAACTAGACTTCAATCAATATTTATATGCTAAACCTTGCGCATGAGTATTTATTTTTCTAATTCACAAAGGTGGTATCCTATTAATTTAAGCTAAAATATTCTTTATTTTAGAAATAAAAGAAAATTTGCATTATCCGAACAATTTAATAATGAATTTTTTAAGTCCTTGCTTTATTTAATAAATAAAAAAATAAATAGCTATTTCCTGCATCGTAGTTTTTATCACTTACTGATGAGTCGTTATACAATCTCCAAACATTCCCATCTTTAGTATAAGCTGTATAATGCCCATTATTTCCAGAGTCATAGTAGCATATAACACGATAGAGACTGAATTCATAATCTTCTACCTTCAATTTTTCCTCAATTTTGGCATTAGAAAAATTTGTATTACCTGCTAGATAAAAAATTAGCATGTCAGAGCACAAACTTTCTTAATCGTAATACTCATATGCCTCGGTGAATCACAAAATTAACAGTAAAGCATATTATCTCCTCTAAAGTGCTGGACCTTTGCTTTTAACTCTTTAAATGCGTGCTGATTTGAATTTTTTTATTATTTAGAATCGTAAAAAAGCTTTGATTTTCTTGATTTTGCATGGACTTTCTACACTTAATGCATAGAAATTCTTGAATCAGGGTGGTATTTGGCAAACTAACACTGGAAAGCTCTTCTATATCTTTTTGTATAATATATTTACATTTATTTTCATCTGCAATTGTTAGGAATCATTAATTTAATAATGCAAAAAACTAGAGAATAATATAAAAAGGCATAATTTTGATAATAGGCAGATAAAAACTCTTTTAAATTTTGCTGGCCTAATGAATCAAGCTATATAGAGATTACGATAATTATTCTTGATTAACTTGATCTTTAAAACTCCTTAAAGCTTGCTCGATATTTCCTCCTTTTTCTCTCATAATATTAAAAACTCTGTATAAAAGAGTGACTGTTTATGCTCCTCACGAAGTTTACAAACCTATCACTGCTTGCTAAGGCTTGCAAAACACTATTAAAAAATTAGGTATTAATAAGATTTGGGAAACCTAACTTTCTTTGGTTAAAAATTGTGAAAGAACCATAGGGGCTGAAAGAGTCTTTTGGCAGCTTTGGAGATTCTTCTGACAGTTTTGGAAATTCTTCTGAAAGCTTTGGAGGTTTTTCTTGTTTTTTTAGTTTCTTCTTGAACATTTTTTATTTTCTGAATTATTTCATCTTTTTCTTTTTCTTCAAGGATTGATGCCATTTCTTTGTATTTATCTTCGTTCCTTCCTGCTTTTTCTTTTTCTTTAATGAACTCTTCATTTTTCTCTTGGAGCTTTTCATTGATTTCTTATTTCTCTTCTTGCAAAACTTTATTTTTTCCTTTTCTTTTTTAATCAATTCCTTGTGAGCCTGTATTTCTTTTCTTTGGCTGCGACTCTTTCCATATCATTGGCTTTTTGCAGGAGAATAATTTAAAGAGATTTTCTTTAGTGTACACTTATTTATATTTTTCGAGGATCCTTAAAATACCCTTCGTCTTCTTTAATTGTCTTAATCATTTTTTCTTGTCTTGAATTTTCTAGATGAATTTCGACTTCATTTTCCAAGTCGGCTTTTATAATATTGAGGCCTTCCTCTGAACTTTTAGATAAGTCAACTTGAACTCTTTGTTCTCAATCAATTTTGATTCAAAATCTTTAGAGATCAGAGACATCCATTTGCCATTTCCGTAGAAATAAGCCTCTTTTGAGAAATCTGAAAAGATTGAGATATGCAAGTAATACCCCCACTGTAGGCATTACTTTAGATGGAAATAAGACTTCATTTCTGCAATTACAAAGTATTTTTGCAAAACTCCCCTAGCCTCTCACTGTTTATGCTGCTGAAAACCAAATTTCTGACTCTTTTAATTTCTCTTCCAAAATTTCATTGTTTTTGTAAAACATTAGGGTGTTAATCAAAGAAAGCGCTGCCTCAATATTTTAATCAGACTCCATGAAAATCAACTTTTCAGCCATTTTTTATAATAGGATGTTTCCATAAATGTTTTATTTATTGACATTATTTGCAAAATTAGCTGTATATTGTCTTGCAATTCTTTCATAAGTTAATCTATCAGCTCTAATAACAGTGGATACGTCGTTACATCAGAGTAGGGCTCTCTTAGGAAAACGCATATAGAATTCAAGATACAGCTTATTGATATATTTGGCATCCAAGTAAGGCTGAGAACTTGTATGCATGCTTTCCCATCGGAGTCCACATTTGGGTGGAAAATTCTTGTTTTAAAAAAATTCGGGAGGAGAAGCTGGGAAATTGGAAGGGAAAATTAGCTCGAAGCGAAATTTTCCACCTTCAAAAGGAGTTCCTGGAGGGCCGAAAACAGTCCATTCCAATGGAAAAACTCTTGTCCTATGTTAACTTCGATTCCTTGTATAGGAGTTTGTTTGAGCTTATTGAACTCTTCGATTATCTTGATCATTTTATTATGGATATTTGCTTTTATGCATTCTACAATTAATTGTAGAAGGGTATTTAAATAGTAAGTATTCCCAACATTAGGAAATCCACGTTTATGAGATCTCATGCTGTCTGGCAGGGATGGTTGAATGGGAAATGCTAGCTTTTCAGGAACAATACTTAGAGTTAGTTTATAGGGCCTTGGAGATTCTAAAAGGATCTTATAATCTTACTAAGTAAAAGAAGCAAAAACACTCAAAAAGGGCCACAAAAATTAGCTCGAGTTGCTACAGCTCCTAAAAAGGCTCAACAAAACCAAAAATAGACAAAGAGAGTCTAAGCCTAAATAGAAATGAAATGCATCTAAGTAATTTAAATACTTTTCGCACAGATAGAGAAGAAACGAAAGAAATTTATGAATTCGCTTATAATATCGCTAAAAGTAAAAGCCCAAATAATAGGCCACCCCTTCTTAGCGAACAAAAAAATCTTGTTCGCTCACGAAAGGGGTTAATTTGTTTTTAAAACATTTACACAGAAACCCTACAGAATTTTTTTTTAAATTTAAAAAAATTCTCATTCGTAAAACAATCGAGATGTAAAAATTACTTAAAAATACAAAATTTATGTTTTAAAATGCAAACTGTTTAAATTAACCAGAATTAGCTAGAGATTTCGTTACACTAATTGTCACTTATATATCAAAATGTTTTTTCATAAAAAATGTTTGTTCGCTCACGGAGGGGGAGTGAGCAAAAGTCTGCATTTAACTTATTTTTAATACAACTAGAAAAGAGTCTGATATGCAGAAGCCATGAGACAATTATAAAGAATGAAAATAGGTCGATTTTTATGGTGGATGCAAGTAAAACAAGAAGTATACAGAGTTATGTAGATGAATTAAAGAATTCTGAGTGCTTTAAAGGGGCAAATGCGCTTTACTCTGACAGATGTGGATGCTTGAGGGATATGATAATTGAAACAAAGCACATTGAGACCTCTGCTACTTTAGTTTTTTATTTATTTCCATCAGTGTATTTTATTCCAGACTGTCAAATATACATAGAAAATAACGATTATATGCTTTATGGAGTCATCTGTCATAAATCTTCTGGGTGCTATTCTGCTTTTACTTATTGTGAATCTGGAAGTTCCTGAGTTGAGTATAGTTGGTCAAAGGTGGCACCTGTTGGTCTGCCTGATTTTAGATATGTTTGCATTCTTTTCTATAAAAATAAAATTTAATTGGCCACTTTTAAACAAAATCTTAAATATTTTATTAAGGGTATTACTTCTGCAAATATATTAATTCAAGATCCTAAATTTTGTAATTTAAAAATTTAGACCATAAGTGCCACCTTTATAAGTGAGATTAATGCTTGTATATACCCAAATACCTTTAAATTTGCATACCCTCACACTTTTAGCAGACCCTAATATAATAACATCATAATCTTTATAGCAGAAAGCCATGGTTTTCAAAATTTGGTACTTCTAAAGGATAAAAAAAAGAGTCTTCTCAGCTCGAGCTTGGATCAATTTTTTCAGTTTTCATTGAATGGACATTTGCAAAATTTTTGCTAAATTGATAAGAAGCTGGCAGCACATCAGGCGACTTATCAAAATCATTCCTAGCAACTTGGCTTCTTCTATTAGCTCTAACCTTGAATCAAATGCCAATCTTGAAGAATCAGTCTGATAAGACCTTGATTTCTGCATCAAAGAGGACCTATTTTTAAAAGACCCAAAGTTTTCTGTTCTTCCAGGAAGGTTTTTTATCCCATACCTTCTAAATTGTTCAATCCCAGCCACTTTCTTTTAAACAATTTATTTGGGTCATTTTTTTTAACAGTTTTTGAAATTTTCTATTTTCTATAGTCAGATTTTCTTATAATAGAATTATAGTCCACAATATAAACATATCGTTTACAGTCTCTAGCAGTGTGCCCCATTTCTGAACAAAGATAACACCTAACACCGAGCGCACTTAAATCTTGTTCACATTGCTTTACTAATAACTTAGTGACCTCTTCTTCATTATATCTTACTATAATAAGATCATTGAATTTTGAATGTTTCAGCTCAAAAAGCTCAGTATAGCCTGTAGAGCTTATAGAAGCACATCTTTTTTGGCCTAGAAAAAAACCAATTTCTCCGAAATATTTACCTTTAAAAAGTTCTCTGAAAGTGGTCAAAGTTTTATAGTCGTAAATTTCTACCAACCCCTTGAAAATCCAAACATACTCCTTTCCAGTTGGTCTTCTTTTACAATTCTATCGTGAGGCCCACCCAAACACCTGTAAATCTAAAAATGGACCATATACCTTAACTCCCCTCCTTGATCGAACGATGGCGAGTCGTTCGATCAAGGTTGGGGGGGAGTAATATATTTTTATATATATATAAAAAATTTGCATGATATGAAAATCGTTCGATCAAGGATGAGGGTTAATTTTCCCAATTTTTAGGAATTTTTACAGTTAATCGTTCAATCAAGGATGGGGGAAGTTAGACCTTTCGTTTTGAGGCTTTTTTAATATTGCCAGACTCCAAAAATCGTGCCCAGATAATGAATATATTAACTTCACTGAAAGCGTCATCCGCATATTATGTATATAAATTAATTGAGGGAAGAATATCTCTATAGTATTAAAAGACAAAGCTGAAAGCTCAGATATGAAGATTGGATATAAAAACTTTTGAGATTAACCGATAATTTCTTTGAACCTGTGAGCCACTTACTCCACATCTCCGTGAGCGAACAAAACCATTAGAAAATCCCTATTACTTGCCAAAAACCTACCCTCCGTGAGTGAACAAAAAAAATTTTTTATAGAAAAAAAAATTTGATATATAAATGATAATTAGTATAATGAAATCTCTAGCTAATTCTACTTAATTTCAAACAAATTGCGTTTTAAAACATAAATTTTACAAATTAAATTAATATTCCAATTTTTACAAATTGGGATTTTATAAAATTCGAAAAAAAAATTAACCCCTCTGTGAGCTAACAAAATTTTTTGTTCGCTCACGGAGGGGCAAGAGTTAGCAGAAGAGTATGCATAAATGAAATAAAGAACTTTGTTGCTATGGCAACGACAACCCTCGAACAGGATTTCATACATTATTGATCTAAAAACAATTACAGTAAAAAGAAGAGTTTTTGATGGAATTCCATGCTGTAATACAGTAGGCCTTTACTTCCAAAATTCAGTTTTCTTCCTGAGAGCAGCTTATGGGAAATACCCATGTACTCGCATGGATAAGTATGATTTAATTGAAGATAGATGGAAAAGTTGCTTAGTTTTCTGCAATGCAATGTTTAAATTATGCTCCTGTACTGTCTTCAAAACTCTATCTTATTTCGTGCATTAAATTAAAAACTATTTATTAATTTGACATAAGTGTTAATAGCTGCTCCGAAATATTACTTATCGAGGATTCAGTTAACCAATTTAAAATTTTATTTATTGTTTATTTAAGACTTATATAGCTGTAAAACAAATTGGCAAAATGTAGGGAAGCTTGATTGTGATTCTGATCTGAATTATTGCCCATTTAAAAAATTTTTAAGGACTTTTACGTTCTGAGTTTTTCGATTATTTCAGCTTGAGTTGCAATAGGTTTGACCTAATGAAAATTTTCTAAAACTCACTGATTTTTTCCAAATTTGGTTAAATTTTATCCAGGACTACTACAAGTGCCATATGAGGACTTCACAGTTATAGTAGAAAAGCTGACAAAGCTTGAAATTTATTCTGCTCAATCACGAAAAACGCAATTGAAAAGTTTTATCGAACAGCGGAAAGCCATTCAATATGCTAAAAAATCTGCATTAAAGGTTCTATTTCTAGGACAAACTTTTTACTAAAATAAAACTCTGAAAATTCCAAAAATCACATTTATATGAGATGATATTTCAGCATTTTACAAAGTTTGAAATCCAAAGATGACTTAATAAACTTAGAAAACCTGGCTAAATCTTGGAGGAGATCCGAATTATTAGCGATGTCTTGTTGATGATCCATCTTTTCAGCTAGCTCATCACGATTATATTAATACTTATCGCCTAAAAGCAACTCTTTATAATATTAAACAAGATAGCGATAGAATTAATTTTAATATCTATGATATAGAAAATAAAAGTGAATAAATCAAGGAGGGAGACGTTCCTGAGCCTCTAGGCTATGAAACATGCATTTCTCAATTACCAAATGATAATTTATTTCCTATAGCTCTAATTCTGGGATTTTGTTGATAATGATGAGAATTATAGAGTTCTGCAGCTGCCATTGCCATTTCTCTTCAGCTAAAAAGGGAAAGAGAATATTGTTGACATTTATGATGGCAGTCACATTAGACGTCACTAGTTTAACTTGAAATAAAAATCATTAACCGCACTATCTTATTTAGTGGCTTAATAGATATCATTTAATGCTCTTGTGTATTAACTATATAGCAGATTTTAGATAAAATTTAGCTAGCATTATAAAAATTAATGGAGCTTATGCAATGTTTCGAGCAAGGGTGCAAGAACGAGGTTGAATACTCATGCCCATGCACATCTCCTGAAACTCTATCCTGCGTACAGCATATTGGGGAGCACATGAAACTTCCTAATAGAACTCATGTTCCCAACTTCATTTTTGTAGAGCCATGCAAAGGGACAAAAGAAGAAATTCTTAAGTTTCTCACAAGAAAAAAATTAAAAAATAGCAAGCTGAAGGGAAAGATGCTAGCATCCTTTAGCAAGCGTTTGCTAGAATCAGAGGACGATATTGAAGAACTCTTAAAAAATTTGGATTCATATTCAGCTGAAATAAGTGATTATTTGACAAAAATTTCTCAAGCTCAAAAATTATCAAAATCAGAGCAAGACCCGATTTTAGGATTATTGAATTTGCAACCTGATGAAGCTATTGAGAAATTAAAAAAAATTATTCCGACCAATCAAGAATGGTCCAAAAGTGCAAAGCTATTTTGTGCTCTCGGTGAAAAAATTGAAAAAACGATTGAGTGTATTATTGAAGACAAATTTGAAGCTTATTTAGATAAAAGACTGTCTAATGTAGAAAACACTCTTCAAGAGCACAGCAAAATTATTAAATCAGTCAATGAAGAGCATAAAAAGAGCATTGATTCAACGAACGATCAGATAGCAAACATCAAAGAATCTATTTCTAAACTAATAAATGAGAATGAAAAGAGCAAGAGAGACTTAAAAGACTGGAAAGAAGAAATAATGCTTAACACAAAAAATGAAATAGACCTGTCTAATTCTCAAATTATTAAAATAAATCAAGATAATGAAAAGAGCAAGAGAGACTTAAAAGACTGGAAAGAAGAAATAATGCTTAACACAAAAAATGAAATAGACCTGTCTAATTCTCAAATTATTAAAATAAATCAAGATAATGAAAAGAGCAAGAGAGACTTAAAAGACTGGAAAGAAGAAATAATGCTTAACACAAAAAATGAAATAGACCTGTTTAATTCTCAAATTATTAAAATAAATCAAGATAATGAAAAGAGCAAGAAAGACTTAAAAGACTGAAAAGAAGAAATAATACTTAACACAAAAAATGAAACAGACCTGCTTAATTCTCAAATTATTAAAATAAATCAAGATCTCAGCAAAAGTTAATGAATTTCTAAAGTCTCAAAGCATTCAAGAGCTAAGAGAGAAGAGCTCTGAAATTTTAAATAGACCAAATGACCCAGAATTAGAGCAAGACTTTAGGAGAACCTGCTCAAAGTTCAGTAGCGATGTCTGTGTTGATCAGCAAGCTTATCAAGATTATACTAATGCTTATCGCCAAAAAACATCTCTTTATACAATTATAAAGAAAGACAACAGAACTAATTTGTTTATTTATGATACAGAGAATGATAGTAAAGAAGTAAGGATATTAGAGACTCCTGAACCACTGGATTGAAGCACTTGCATTGCTCAGCTTCCTAATGGTAATTTATTTTGCTTTGGCAATAACCAACCTTCTGGAGTTTCATTGATAATTGATGAGAATTATAGAGTCCGGCAGCTGCCATCTGGAACTCCTTGTAGTGTTCATCAGCTATCTATTTCAATAATAGTCTTTATTGCTTTGGAGGATCAAAAGATTATAATATTTTAACTCTATCAGAGAGATTTGATTTAAATGAAAACCGATGAATTAAATTAAAGCCACTGCCACAAGCTGATTACCTTTGCACTAGTGTAATATTTAACGGGAATATTGTGATTTCTGGAAGGAATAATAAAAATCTTTTGAGGTATTCAATTGGTAGCAACACTTTCGCAACAATTCCTTATGATTTTCAAGCTAATAAATACAAGATTCTTATAAGTGCAGAGAGACTGTATTTAATTGAATGTGAAAATGGATCAATCTATGAAAGCGAATTGTCAAATGATACTGCCTGGAGACGAATTGGAGACTCAATAATAGATTATTTTTATCAAGTTTATTTGTCATATAATAAAGGAGGAATAAACATTGCAAACTATTATGATGTTAGTTATCCTATTCGTTACTTCAAGTTTAATTTAGAGACGAAAAGATTAACTAAGTTGGATGAAATAAGATTATAATAAATAGGTCTCATTTAATAATCTTTTGCTATTAACTCTTTCAATATCTTTTATTGATCAATCTGGCTTCTATTTTGTAGTGAAAATGTTTTTGTTAGGGATTTTTTTAAGCTGGTCAATTTATTTGACTCTTCAAAGTCTCTTTTAAAAGATATAAAAGTTTCTGAATAAACAATTTTGGGAGTCTATTGCATTATTTGCAAATTTTTTGACTTCATTTTTTCTCTTAATGAAATAGAGTTATAAAACTCATCAAGTCAGCTTGCACCGGTTTCATTAAGAATATCTAATTCCACTTTTAAATAAGAAGCAGTTTAAGGGGATTCAATAATTCTTTTATTTGCGTTATCTAAGATTGCATTAACGCAGTCTTTATGCTTACTCTTCAAACTTAAACTGAGGGGTCTTTGGTTTTGAATAGCAGCTGAAAATGGTCCATCAGCTTTTAAACTTAGTGTCAAATGCTCTGCCAAATCTCTGTCAGCATAGAAAAGTAGAATATTTATATCGTATTTTGCTAGAAAAAAGTTATCCATCTCTACATCATGCTCTGGAGGGCCAGCTGTAAGCTGAGTAAATGCATTTTATCAATTTTCTTATTTTGCTTCGTTCCCCAAATATTAAAATTTTTTTAGTCGAAACAGGATTACCTAAAACAATTATTTTCTTGCTAGCTGCAACCACAAGGATAGAGTTGCTTGGCAAAGTAACGACAGGGCTGCATTTTTCATCAAAATTCAAGCTTAAACAAAGAGAAAAATCCGATATATTTCATATTTAAACTTTTTCATCAAATGAAGACGCCATAAAATACTTGTCATTAATTAGCATTGTTAACATTAACTTAAATATTGAGAAGTCCGCCGTAATTCCCACTTAAGGCCTACCTTCACCCGTATCGCTCCAATCGGCTGTTCACCACCGACCGACCGACCACAGCCTTCTGAATTGTTACTCCTTCTGGACGAGGATGTGCACTCGCTACCCGAAGTTAAATGAGTTGCGCCACTGTGCCGTACGCCAACAGAGTTGTCCTTTCCGAAAAATTTAAAAAACTAATTTTCTGGTCAGACTAATGGCCAAAATGAAAATCCAAAGCCTGGGACGTAACCCCCAGTTTCATGCTAGAGAGTTGTCCGATGGATCAAGAGGAACCTCATTGGTGCTGCTGAGCTTCTTCTTTCCAACCTTGGAATTCATTTCCCCTGAGGTAAAAACCTTGCCATCAGATTGAACTGCGGTCGACCAAATTCGACAATGCGCTCCACTGTGCCAAGGAAAAACCTAGCCGAATACCTATACCGAGCCCCAAATTCCCTTCCACAAGGTCCCCAGATCTTAGAAGGTCCCAGCTACAGGTGCTGAGAAAAAGGGCTGGTTCGCCGTCGCCATTTTAATAAGTATTGCCATTAATTAGCAACTTGCAACTCTTTCTTGATGGTAAGAAATCTGCTTTAATTTTGCAAGGTTAAGTTCGTTATAGCCAAAGCTGGAGTTTTTACTCCATATCAGCACCAAACAGCCATCTGAGCAAGAAATAAGCAGGGAGCAGTGCTTGGTGACCCTCAAGTCATTTATATATTTGGAATGAGCTTTCGCATATCAGTTTGGTCTATTCTGTACCCTATCATAGTGCACTTCCCACCCGAAAATAAAATATTAGTATGTCTAGGCTTGACTTCTAAGGAGGATTTCTCCACAAACTCAGCCAGTGCAATACATCTCACACGAGAAGTATGAGCTTTAGTCTTTGCATTGGAGTCCTTAATTATTTATTTTCCATTGCCGAATCCAATGCCCTTTATGCTATGTGACTCATAACTTTCTCCATTATCTTCAAAGAATCATTGAGATCACTGCATCTTCATTTGAATTTCTTCAACTACTCTACTAGCACGCAAATCTGTTTTTATTAGCTTCCCACCAGCACAATAAAGAAGATGGTTCCCATCAGGGCTGGCGCTCTCAGGCACATCTCCACCTTGTTTCAATCTAGAGTTAGCAGAAGTGAAACTATAGTTTCCTCATCCTCTCTAATGTTTTTAGCATTTTAATTTCTTTATCTTTATCAAAGAATCAAATTAGATTCATAAGAGCAAAGATGATAGCTTTATTCATTATACTCTTCCAGAAATATTTCGGAGCCTATATATTCAGCTGAAAGATACTTAAAACCTTCCCACTTCTTGCAGCAATTGTAATTTCAGGATTGATGCCATTAGAAGAGAAATTTATTGACTTGAAGTGTTTTTATTCCCCTTTTCGAGAAAAATTGTGGAGATATGTCTCTTTCATGCGGTCTTTATGGATTTTTTAACGCTTAATTGTTGCATCTCTGCTTGCAGTTACTGAAAGGGTTTGGAATGATAAACCTCAGACATTGTCATGCACCTTAAATAATGGCTTTATTATTTCAGCTTCAGTTACGTCATCTATACTGACTAATTCATTGTCATCGCCAGCTATTATATATGCTTTATAATAGCAAATTGCTAATATTAGTCTGATACCACCACAGTTAACTGGCAAAAACTCATGATTATCTAGCCACAATCTATGGAATCATCCTTCTGAATTTCTGAGACAATTATATTTTCTAAAGATGAAATCGCTGCAGAATTATTGACTGGGTAAGTATTTAGCTTGTCAAAATCATACAAGTTCTTGGTATTTGTATAGGCTAATTTTTTGATTTTATCTAAAACTGGCGAGCCAACTTCAACCCTATCCTCCTTTATTTTGATTAAGCTGCTTTTTAGTTCAAATATAGTTATGGCGTTAATTCCAGAACAGCAAATTATATAAACATTGGTCTTTATCTTGCCTTATCATCATGAAATCTACTCTCATGTCAAGCGAGCAAGGCGTTATTGCTGATTTTGAATGATAGACGGACTTATAATGTTTGTAATTCTGACTATTTCTTTACTTCTTGCAAACTCAGCTGTCCAAAATCGTTCTTCGGCATTTGCTATCACATATAGAAAATCCTTATAAGTTGTAAAACACAGATATTTTCCATCTGGGCTGAAAGCACTAGAATTCAAGAGCTCACCTATAGTGAATTTTCAGCCCAGGTGTTTTAGATCCATTTGGCATACCTTTCATCTCTAGGTTCTCTTGCTATCCTGCTTGATCTATATCATCATAAAAACTTGTAGCGAGTAGTGGAGAGACATTTTTATTATAAAATTGTATAAATCCATAACTTCTATCTAATTATTGGCTATTTCTATGATTGCTTATTATATGAAGTTCAGCAGAATTTAAAATAAAAGTGGAATTTGTGCTCCTTCAAAATTAAATTTAGTTTTTGGAGCTCAAGATCTAGAAGGTAGTTTTCTGGAGTCGAAATTTTAAGGAGGTTTTGGCTTTGAGATTAATGTCTCTCATATAAGGCCAATACAAATTATAACTAAGTCTTAGAAGCATCAAGTCTGCAAATTTTTGGAAGCCTCGACTGTATTTTTCTTTAATGGTGATGTCTGGAATAAAAGAGGTTGGATTAAAAGACTTCAATGAAGCTGCCGTTCAAATTATTTTCCCCAATGACAGGGTTTCTTTTTTCTCAATAGGAATTTCAACTTTAAGGCATAAATTGACATCTTCAAAATTTTCAATGCTTGAGTCTTCTCAGTTATTTTTTCAAATTCCAGTAATTTGTTTGTGCTGCTATATATCAATAAATGCTTTACTTCTAAAAAATTTCCAATTTTTCACACGCCATTAAGGCTAAGAGGCTTAAAAAACTCATTTAATGCTCTCAGGTAATTAACTATATAGTAGCTTATGCAATGCTTCGAGCAAGGGTGCAAGAATGAGATTGAATACTCGTGCCCATGCACCTCTCCTGAAACTCTATCCTGTGAACTGCATGCATTAAAGCATATGAAAATCCCTAACAGAGCTCATGCTTGCAACTCGATTTTTATAGAGCCATACCAAGGGACAAAAGAAGAAATTCTTAAGTTTCTTACAAGAGAAAGCTCAAAAAATAGCAAACTAAAGGGAAAGGTCATAGCATCCTTTAGCCAGCGTGTGCTAGAATCAGAAAGCGATATTGAAGAACTCTTAAAAAATTTGGATTCAGGCTCAGCTGAAATGAGCAATTATTATACAAAAATTTCTCAAGTTCAAAAATTATCAAAATCAGAGTAAGACCCCATTTTAGGACTATTGATTTTACAGCCTGATGAAGCTATTGAGAAATTAAAAAAAAATATTCTAAACAATCAAGAATTGTCCAAAAGTGCAAAGCTATTTTGTGCTCTCGGTGAAAAAATTGAAAAGATGATTGAGAGTTTAATTGGAGACAAATTTGAAGATTATTTAGATAAAAGACTGGCTAATATAGAAAAAACTCTTCAAGAGCAAATAAAGTTATTAAATCAGCCATAGAAGAGCATAAAAAACTCATTGATTCGACGAATGATCAGCTAGCAAAGGTCAAAGAATCTGTTTTTAAACTGATAAATGAGAACAGAAAAAGTGAGAGAGACCTCAAAGACTGGAAAGAAGAAATAATTCTTAGCACAAAAAATGAAATGGATCTACTTAATTCTCAAATTATCAAAATAAATCAAGACCTCAGCAAAATTAATGAAGCTCAAAAAATCCTTAAAGAGCTAAGGGAGAACAGACCTGAAATTTTAAATAGAGGAAATGACCCAGATTTAGAGCAAGACGTTAGGAGAATCCTCTCAGGTTCTGATGAGGAAGAAGAAACTAAAATTGACGATCGGCCAGGACTTGCAATTACTCAGCCTATCCCAGATGAGAAAAAAAAATGATTTTACAGCTAAGTAATGAAGCTGTCAAAGCTATGTTAGAAGCAGAAAAACTAGCAGCTGATAGTGAAGGCTGGGAAGAAATAAAATTAAAAGTCAAAACTGTTAAAGCTTCAAGAAGAAAAGCTGCAGGTGACCTTTACATTGTAAGAGTTGAAGGAGATATGAATAGGCCAGCCATTGAAATAATGAAATATATTAAAGATATCAACCGCAAAGGAGAATATGATGACATTTTTGAATCAGGCTACATCATTGACATATTAACTGATGAAATGGAAATTGCATACCAAAAATATAAACAAACTGGCCCAGTATCATCTCGAGATCTATGCTTTATTCAAAGAAGGTTCAACTTAGAAGGCGGCAAAATAGTTGCCATTGCAATGTCAACAACCCATCCGAACTGCCCAGAAACCAATTTTGTAAGAGCTCATCTTTATTTAGGCTGTTTTATGCTAATACCAGTATCTCCTAGAGTAGCGCATATGGTTTACATGATAAATATTGACTTCAAAGGATCAATCCCTAAGTTCATTCTAAACTCTATCCGATCTGATCAAGCTTTGGTCGTCGAAAAGATCAGAAAGAACTTATCAGCTTAATTTACTATTTCCTTCATATTAATATAATTGAATTAAAAATAGAATATATCAAAATTATCTATTTGAAATATTAAAAATTATCCCCAAATAACTAAATTCTTAAAATCTTCCAAAAGAGATTGAGGATCAAGAATCTGAGCTTCAATTGCTTTGATTGCTTCTTACTTATTATCTTTAAGTTAACGTATATTTTCACCCACACTGCATAATGGGCATATCTTCCGAGCTAGAATTAATAAATATTGCCATTATTTATAAGAATTACATACAAATTAACCAAATCTCTACAGCCTTTCCTTTAAATTTTATTCTTGCACTATAAAAATATGTCCGCCGGGTTTGAATTTCTAACTTATGGCCGATGCGTCAACCCATCGCCAGACTTAGACTTTGGCTTCATGTTTCGGCACCCTGACTAAAAAATTGGCTGTGTGGCACCTCAAAAAATTATTTATGAACAAAAATTCGAGGATTTTTTAAAAACCAAGCTGCAAGCCCAAATAGAGAAAAAACGGCATCAATTGAAAAGTGGGGAAAATGAAATACCTGATATAATAAAGTTCCTAAAAGAAGAGTTTTTAAGGCTGACTCGAAAAACAGCTTCGAGACTGGAAAAAGGCGTTTTTATAGCTGAGCTCAAGAAAAATCCTCTTTTGGCTGAAGTTTTTGGGTTTGATGAAAATAGTAAAGAAAAGGAAATTGAGGAACAAGTGGAAAATATTGGGACTGAAGAAGGAATTAATATGGACGAGTTCCTGCTGTTTTACCAAGTTTCCAAGAACAACTTGCTGAACCGATTCATTCAAAAGCAGAGACCCAGTCAAGTGCGACTAATGATTCCTTTATGGAGCAGAACAAACAGAGAACTGACGATATGAGCAGGATTATTGAAGGCTGCAAGCTAAAAATCAGAAAAATTTATAAAAAACGTTGAAATCATGCTGGAAGGAGAAGTGAAAAGCCAGCCTATCGTAAAAAAAAATAAAAGAAAACCAAGTTATAATGGACGATCTTCAAGAAATAATCGCAGAGCTTTCAAGCAATACTGTAAAAGCTGATACTTTGCTAGAAGAAATAGTTTCCCAAGCCTGAAGAAAGATTTACTCTGCTTATCTTTTTTGACCATTTTGCCTTTATCCTCACCTTTGCCAGAATTCAGCTTGAATCTTATCTCCAAGAAACCTTCTTGAGGAAGAGCATTTAGCCTTATTTGAAGAACTTTTCAATAGCATGCCTTAAAACAACAACGGCAGCATCGTTACTTTGATTTTTTCGAAACGCTCAGCAAAAAACGACAATGTGACAAGAATCCTTGATGAGCCTTCACGAGAGTCTAAAGAAGTTTTTGAAATCCCAAAAGAAACAATCGGCCAGACATTAGAGAGAATTTATTTAGAAGCCCCTGAAATGATTTCCTGGGAAGAGTTCAAAGCTTATTTCACTGTAAAAGGCCGGCCAGATAAAGAGACAGAAGTAGAATATGTTAATAAAAAAGAAGAAGCCAAATCAAAAAATCAAGCCAAGCCTAAAGGAACAAAATACGCAATAACGGTTCCTGAGCCTTTTAAATTTGACAGAAGAGAAAAAAGAAAAGGAATGTCTATAAAGGAAAGAAGGCTAAAAGAGATGCTTGAGCAAAAAGAAAAAGAAATCAAAGAATCCATAAAAATCACCTATAAAGCGACACCAGTGCCTCCTGAAGTAAAAATTCCGCTTTATGAACAGATTATGAAAGAACAAGAGGACGCAGGTAAAGCAAAATTCAATTGCAATTACAAAAGCTAATGAAAAGTCGTTAATTTTTATTATGGGGATTTGACTAAAACAAAGCCAGAGCCAGCAGAAATGCCGAAACACGTTTTTACAGCGAATTCAGTGCCGTGGACTATATCGGTCCCACTGTATAATAAAATTGTAAGCGAAAGAGAACTGGCTAGAAAAGAAAGAATCAGCAAAGCTGCAATCGAGTCATTAAACCTAGCCATGATGCCTCCCAGAATGGAATTATACTAAAGACAGCTGCAAAAAGCTTCAAAAATTCCTAAACCAAAGCCGAAAACCAAAAAGTTCAAAGCCAAAGCAGTCCCAGACTTCCGCAGACTCCAAGCTGATTTCCAAAGCACCTTAGACGCCTGCAAGCAGTCTTTCAACCCTACAAAGCCTGAGCCTTTTGCGTTTAACGAAACCAGTCTTCTTTCGACTACCTCAAACTCCTTGACAAAGAATCTGACGCCAATAAAAAATGGGGCCAGCCTTCCAAGGCAAAAAGATCTAAGTCCTTATCAATCCTAAACAAAACCCAAAATAATCCCTAGTAAAACTGAAAAAACCAAGGCTATGATTGAATACAAGCTTGCCCAGAAAAGAGAAGCCAAGATGAAAGAAGCCCTCAAAATGCAAGAAGAAGAGCGACGGATAAAGCATGAAATGATGAGAGGGGTCGTGCAGAATTGTTCCCTCATAAAAGACAATACTGCTGAGTTTAAAAGAAGAAGAGAAGAGTCCATTAAACAGAGACGAGAAGAGCTGGAAGAAAAAAAAGAGAATGCTATGAGCAAAAAGCTGAAATATACGAAAGAGTCAGCAAAAGACCTTTATTAGTAGAACAAATAGCAATGAAAACTAGCTTAGGATTTAGAACAGCTAGGACCTGTAAGAGAACTGCTGAGCCAGGAGGAAAGCAACGAGTATTCTCAAGACATGCTGAACCAAAGCTATTAATATTTAAGGGGTTAATTTAAATGGCTATATAATTGTAAAATGGTCTATAAGAAATCTTCAGATATTACCTATGAATTGTTTCAAGAAAGCAATAAGGAGAGGAAAAGAATAATGAAATAAAATTCAATTTCTTCAGCCAAAAAAATCAAATATTCAGTCAGGAAATAGAGCTAATACTAGCCCAAGCTCTTCTGTTGATGAATTTGGTGGAAATGAAAATCAAATGATTGTAGCACAACTTCTCAGGAATTAGGATTGACGAAAATTGGGATTCTTGAATTTCAGAGTATCCTATCGAAGGAACTATTTTATATTGTAGCAAATGGGGATTTTTAATATAGAAAAAATAATGATATATATATATATATTCTCAATAGTTACTGACTCACTATGTCCTGATGTCACCCGAGATAACCGGAGGGCTGTTTAGCCAAATTTTTTTGGTTAAAGCAACCTTTTAATTAAAAAAATTTGCATTGTTAGGTGGGTGGATTTATTGGTTTATAAGCAAGCGTTGCAAAACCAACCTTCGATCATGTTGGGAGAAATCGGGACGAAAGGATACAAAAAGTGCGCAGACGCTATATTTATAGGATCTTCTAATATTTGCTTAGCTTCAAAAAGTTGTCTCTGCAACTCTGGATACACCTTATCAAATAGCAAATGTGTGATCTGCAAAAAGTATTTAGCTTCTACAGATGTTGTGTCAGCATCATACAGCTCATCATATGTATATGTCTTAATATCATTTAAATACCAATAGATAAAACAGTTGTCCTTCATGCAGCAAGGTTTTGACATATGACACACTTCAATTGATGGGAACGGCTCAGTGTGTTCTTGGTCTGACGCTAAGACTCTCAAAATTGCTTTGGGTACCCAATTTAGCCTCAGAGATTCTACAATTAATCTAGATGGCACTTGGATCCTTAAAGACACTGAAGATCCATGCACCATTAATTACCAGCCGCTAAGCGTATCAATTAACATGGCAGCAAGTCCAAGTCCAGTCGCCGTGATATCAGGACCACAGACTGTTTCACTTGGATGCAATAATGACGCAGTTGTTTACTCTGCTGATAAGTCGACTGGCAACTATGGAGCTTCTTTGACATACAAATGGAGCTCCACACCGACAGATTTGAGTTCACAGGCAACAGGATTCTCTATTTCAATTCCTAAATTCCCTCGCTCAAAAAACACCGGGGAAATCCTATTTTTGGGTAAAAAAAAAACCTCCGTTAGTAAAAAAAAAATTTTTAAGTCGTAATTAATATAAATCTTTAGCTATTTCTGTTGAATTTTAAAAGCTTGCAATTTAACATAAATTTTGCGATAAATAATTTTTTTTAGTTTCAAAAAAATTTTTTATATAATTTTTTTTACAAAAAATTATCATGGGGGAGTAAATCAAGCTTATCCTCTTTAACATCCTTAAGCTGTTACAAATACCTTTATGCTCACTAGTTCTGCATCTATGACAACAACAGTTTCTCCTCAAGAAACTTTAACTGTTTCATTTGACTCTGGAAACACTATTTCTATGAAATCTTCAGAATCAAAGACCGTAAAAGCATTGGTCGCAGCCATTTGTGGAAGCTCTTGCAACATCAATATCTTGGCAATGGGCTTATACATCAGGTCCATCCAGTACTGCAGCCACTAATCTTGCTTCTTCGACAACTACACAAAAACTGTCTATTTCAAGCAATTTGCTTGCTGCAGGAGGTCCATATGTTTTCACTGCAACAGCTACTCAGAATACTAATAGTTCCCCTATAACTGGAAGCGCCAGCGTATCTATTACAGTGACTTCATCACCTCTTGTTATTCAGCTATCCAAAGGTAGTGGAGACATCAATAAAAAAATAGATTTTACTGTAGATGCAAGCAATTCTAAAGACCCAGATACTAATTCAGCAGATGGCCTTGCCTATGCATGGACCTGCAGCAATCATTTAGATGGAACAGCTTGCTCCATAGCATCATATAGAAATTGCCCCACATGGGGAATTGAATCCACGTGTGGGGCCATTTTTGGTACGTGGAAGTCGATGTTCTCCATATACCAAAAATGGCCCCACACACGTGGGTTCAATTCCCGTGTGGGGCCGGTTTTTTTGAATTGCCCGAGGATGGCGCAAAATAGCGCCATCCTCGGGCAATTTCTATACCTTTCAAGCCAAAGCAGTAGCGCCTTGACAATTCCTAAAGCAAGCTTAGTTGCAAATCAATGGGATTTAACTTGCACAATTTCTAAAGATTCAAGAAAAGCAAGCTATACAATAACTCTCAATATCATAGATATTTCAGCAACTATCACTATTGCAATTCCAACAATTAGCGTAAAAGCTAACTATCAAAAGTTAAATAGATTCTCAGCCAGTGTCTCTGGAGGCGATGGAACCTCAATCCTATGGTCTCAATCATCTGGAACTAAAATAAAAATATCGCCAAATAACCTTTCTTATCTTTCCTTGAATGCAAACTCACTTGCTGAAGATATGTCATATGTATTTTCTTTGACTATTACATCTGGAAGTTCAAGCTTTAGCGTCGACTTAGCCTTGAATGTTAACTTAATTCTTCTGAAAAATTTTGGTAAAAAGTAAAAAAATTATTTAAAATAGTTAAAGGGTTGAAATTTTTATAAGCAAGAAGCTAGGAGCAGCTTGCTCAGACACAGTCCCTTCAGTTAATCCAAGTTCAGAAACAGCTTTGACAACTTCATTTTCAATATCAATTTCTAATTGTTATGACCGTGATGGTGAGGATTATCCAATTCTATACACCTTTGAATATTCTATGGATAGTGGAACAACATATAGAGGTTGCCCGATGATGGCGCTCAATGCGCCATCATCGGACAACCACTATAAAGGTTTATTGGATCGACTACAGAACAGTCCCAAATTTCCTATTGCCTGCCTGCAGGCACCATCACTATTTTAGCACATGTTTGCAACCAGCTCAATACTTGTATGGACTATACGACAAAATCATCTATATCTGTCAGCAAGCACAAAAGCAGCAGACGATTGCAGTCAGATGCTTTAAGAACTTCTTATTCAACGCTGACTCTTGATCCAGACAACATACCATAAACCATTACTTTGTTCTGCAGCAGCACTTCAATTGACAGTTCACTGTTCGCCACAATTTGGAGTGATCTGAAATCCTATGTCTCTAGTCAAACTATGCTACTATCATTAATAATTTTTTTATATTTTTCCTAAATTTTTTAATTTTTATTAAAATTTGAAAAAAAAATTAATTCATTGCAAGATAATTAATCAAGACTTGCTTACTATGACAAATACTCTTTTGGGCAGTGTTCTAGGCGCAGTTTATTCTTTGTCAACCCAAAGAGGATTAATGACCCTCGATGCCTTCGAAGAGTTCATTGTGTGGGTAGATAAATTTTTGACGACCTACTCATCCTTAGTACCAACTGCAGATAATTTAGACGCTATAGTGGAAATAGGTGAAAGCTATTTGAATTATGGCATCAATACTACCTTCTCTGAGCAAAGCTTTGAAAAGTACGTTCTCTATGTGAATAACTTTTATACAACCTGGGCAATTGCAGCTACCACGAATGACTTACTATATTAGACTAATTGAGGGCGGATTATTAATAAAAAAATTATTTTATTAAAAAATATTTTAAATTTTTAGCAAGAGAAAAGTTAGTTACCCAGTCATCAATTAATAATGCTGTAAACACCGCTAAAACTCATATTTATAAAGACAGAAACTTCCCAGAAGATATGCAAAATACTACTCGTTACTATTCTGAAGTTGCAAATCTTACTTATCCAGGCACTTTGGATTTCTAATACAAATATATGGAATATGAGAGCTAATTTCTATCATGGGTTTATTGATGACTTTTCAGCTATTGCAATCTTTAGTCTTGCAAACTCAGGAACATATAAGGATTATTCAATTATTCAAACAGCTGAAACTTATGTCCCATTCTCAGATTACCCATTCCTTATTGATCTGCCTTATAGCAAAAACATTGGTGAAGGCATGGTCTGGGGCTGTGTGTATTACAATGAGACAAGCTCTAATTGGACTGAGTCGAACTGCAAGATAGTAAGTATCAACAATTCCACCTCAAACGTCACATTTAATGTATACCACTTCTCAATGTGCAAGCTTGCTGAGGTGAATCCTAGTGTCAACTCACCGCCTTATGTTCCAATACCAGAGAACTCATGTAACGATAATTATGCTCCTCTCTACATCCTTGTGGTAGTTCTGTTTATTGGCTTGCTATTAGCTCCAACGATGGTTATAATAGACAAATTAGTCCTTCTACATCTACTCAAGCCCCTAAGAATGCACCTCCCAAGACCCCAGCATCTCATTCTCCTAGACCAACTCTAAGAGGACTCATGCGTCCTGACATAAGTGTTCATGCATCTCAAGGTGAAGAATCCATTGAAGATGACTGATTTTGAGAGCTCAGACGAAGAAGGTATTTAGTCCAAAGATATCGATCTCACTGAAAATTCCGTTGTCGAACAAATCGAAGCACCTATTGAAAAACCAGACCCTGAAATCAAATATGAGCTGCAAGAATTAATTGAAGGACACTTGGCATTTGGACTTATCTATCACAGACCTATTTTCTCAAGAGTCGCAAGAGTATTCACCTTAATCGTTGCTATCGTCTTTGAGGTATTATTAGAAGGCTTATTGTATTATGGTTCAGAAGACATTAACTCAGGAAGCGAAACTGCAACTCAGACGCTGTTTGATAATTATGAAGGAAAATACTTTGGGTATATGATTTTGGCTTTGGCGATCACGATTCCTGTTGAAGTATTTATGATAGTTACATTTAGCATTAATAGAAAGAAAGCGCCAATCTGGCCAGCATTGGAGTTATTGTGGGTCTGGCGGTACTGATTGGGTCCATTGTAGGGGTTGTTATGCTGAGCTATGACTTCTGCCACGAGTGGAGTGGGTATTGGGCTGTCAGCTTCTTGTGGGGAATTTTGATTGAGATCTTTATTATGGAAACCATTTACATGATTGTTAGATACTTTCTCATACAAGCTTGCCCAAGCAATGAAGCCATTAAGTCTTAAACAACCTTTATTCTTAATTATGTGTTAATAATTAGCATCATATAAATCTTCTATTTAAGTTAATTGGTGGCAATAGCTGACTCTATAAAGAAGGGCTGTAAGCAAAGTTTACCAAAGTTTAGAGTACTTTGCCCTTGAAATAGACCTTATAGCTATTACATTAAAAAATAAATTTTAAAATTACCCATTTTTATAATATATAAGCTATTAAATCTTAAATAATCTTCATCCTTAATTTTGTGTGAATAATTTAATATCTTTATTAATTTTTTAATTTATGCTACAAAAATTTACTTAAAGTTGCAATAGTTGACCCTGATAAAGAAATAATATAGTCACCTCTGAGATATTAATGCGATAAGGAGTACTCATATTAGGCCAAAATTGATAAAAATCGAATGAAAAAGGACGAAAATCCAAGCTGTCATTGTGCTGCTGAAGCTTTTCAGTAAAAATAAGTTAAGTTGGTGAGTTGAAAATAATATTTTTGCAGACAGCTATAGCTGGGTCAGAGCCCTTCAACGTTATATGCTTAAAATTCCAGCTTACGCAAACCTAATTCAAAATGCAAGACGATTTTCTAGCCTCAAGAATTGCATATTGTTATATAAAATTTCTAAAATTAATACCAATACTTAATGGTGACTTAAAGTTTATTTTATGAAAGCCAAATTTCCAATATATATTTTATTTCTTATCAGCTTGATTATTTTATAGGTTTATTAACTGGACAATTTTGGTTATCTGAATCCTAATTCATCTTATTTATATATGCTGGTTACCTGCCAAAGCGCATTTATTCAAATTCTCGTTTATTATATAATACATAAGAACAAGCTATTAATAAATTTAGTTAAAATTAAAAAATTTAGCAAAATTTGCTCACTTTTTATAAATTTTTTAAATAAAATGCGTAATCTAGCCGCTTACGTGATTCTTAATATTAAATTATAGCGCAATTTAAAGATCTTAAGGCGGCTATTTAAATTTGTTTTGGTTTGGGATTGTTAGTGTTTTAAAGAATGATAACCCTTGAAGATATTTTCTGCTGCATTTATAAGAGAATTTATGCTTAAGTATTGAATGATTTTTCTTTTTCTTTCGTTTTATTAAGCTTTTATTTTATCCTGCTATTGAATCACAGTGATCTTTGATTTTCTTATACAACACATCTTGCACTTCTTTAATATTTTTCACTTGGCTATTGATGGTATCACTTTTTAATTTATTCATCTCATACCTCTTAAAAGCAATCATTTTTGTTCAAATTTTGATTCTTCAAATAAATTATTGATTAATTCTTCATGTGAATTTTCAGATGCTTTAATTTTTCAAGAATAATAAGTTGATCATCAAGATCGTCATGATACAGTCCCACAGCGGGGTCAAACTCATTTAACACTAATGGGATTGTTGAGCGGTATCAAAATTATAATAATTCTCTGCGATATTTAATCTCAAACCATATTCAAGATCTATCATTTTCTGCTCTCTGTCCCTGAGGATCCTCGCCTTTTTCGAGCTTTGTCAGACGAAATTTTTTTTATTGCCACCTTAATGGAAGGCCAGCCAAATTTCAACCGGCAGATAAACCTTTATAGGTTTTCAACAGCAACCCATAGAAAGCTAGAACTACAAGAACACATTGGAAAGACCTGGTGCGTCGAAAAGAACTGAAGCCCACTCATAATTGATAACGTGCATTTATATTTTTTATATAAGTATGAGGACACGCAAGTAATAGACTGCACTGAGGAGCACCTCCCTTGTAAAAGACAATTCGGCTCTGACAAAGGATCTAGTCGCACCTTTGGCTCAAGCCCTCTACATTAGATTTTTAAATACAAATTATTTCGTATCTTTTGCCCAGGCAAAGTATGACTTCATAAAGCCTCATCATAGGCCTGCTTTATCTATTATAGAAGCCTTAGAAGGAGGAGACTTCAAAATAATTTACACGAGCGAGCCTTTAAATTTCCCTTCTACCCTGCTTGCAAATCCGAAATGGATTAATACAAAATTTTCGAAAAATGACATAAGGAGGATTATGATGGTCACAAGTATAGCTAATTGGGATTTCCAAAGTGGCATCGCTGACCTGACGGTGAGTCTTGACGACGAAATTGCGGTGGCGGTTAAAGTGGATGGGCTGAGGGATTTTGTGCACTATATGATTAATGTTTATGAGTATGGGAGATTGCCTGATGAGAATAACTGTGCTGATAAGCTTTGGGAGGAATATTTTAGAAGTCTGCCACAGGGGGGTTTTATTGATAATAATTCTTAATTATTTATTAGATATTGGGTGATTTTTATAAATTATATGGTAAATTGGCTTTTTATTGAGGATATAAATTTAATTTTGATGCCTTAATTCCTTATTTTTTAGTCAAAATTTATAAACTTCTCGAATAATGCTCATTTTCTTATTTTTATATATTGTGAAGCAGGCAAGCGTCATTTTCTTTGAGTTATCAATCTAAATAAAATTATACACTGCTGAAATATTAATGGCTTTATGTCAACACTACTAAATAATTTAATAAAGGCCTCAACGACTACAAAAACGCACTTCCATCAGGGCTTCTTATGCTACATTTTACGATCCCAATGCTCATCATGATTTAGGAAAAGCAAAAGGATTTCGAATTAACACAAGTAAAAAATGGAATAGCGAAAGAAGTTCGCAAAAATATATCTTTATCGCTTTTAATGAGGTCCAACTAGCAGGATAATCCATTATTAATACAGTCTTAAAGGATAATCCTAATAGAACAGCACCTATAATTCGAAGAGTTCATAATAGAATTAGTTACCGTTGATCTTGATAAGTTAAACGAAATCTGAATAATCCAATGCCTGCTTTCTCAGAGTAAAAGCTCTGAATTCAGGATTTTTAAAATTAGCAGCTGTCTTAAACTTTGAAATCCAATAGTCATTACTTTAAAGCAGTAATCTTCAAATCTTTAACGGCTTGAGAGCTACTCATTATTTGTCTTGATTACAATTCTATTTTATTTAATTAAAAGGCCAGCTATTTTTAAGTAATCCATTATAAATGCTAAACTGCAAATAATTAGTTGCTTTTTTTGCTATATTTAACTGACTCCCCCCCCCTCCGTGAGCGAACAAAACCATTAGAAAAATCGCCATTTTTTGACCAAAAACCCACCCTCCGTGAGTGAACAAAAATTTTTTTTAATAGAAAAAATTTTAATGGAAAAAAATTTTGATATATAAGTGATAATTAGTATAATGAAATCTAGAGCTAATTCTGTTTAATTTTTAAACAAATTGCGTTTTAAAACATAAATTTTGCAAATTAAATTAATATTTGCTTCCCAATTTTTGCAAATTAGGATTTTTTTAAATTTCGAAAAAAATATTTTTATAAAATTTATATATAAATTTTTTTTAAAAAAAAAAAATTAACCCCCCTCCGTGAGCGAACAAAATTTTTTTGTTCGCTCACGGAGGGGGGGGGGGGAGTGAGAGCTTTCCTTGAAATTAAAAATTACAGATAATATAGTCTCTTTAGTTTAAAACTTGGTGCTTTATTTATAAGTCTCTCAAAACCATTAGAAAAATCGCCATTTTTTGACCAAAAAACCCACCCTCCGTGAGTGAACAAAAATTTTTTTAATAGAAAAAATTTTAATGGAAAAAAATTTTGATATATAAGTGATAATTAGTATAATGAAATCTAGAGCTAATTCTGTTTAATTTTAAACAAATTGCGTTTTAAAACATAAATTTTGCAAATTAAATTAATATTTGCTTCCCAATTTTTGCAAATTAGGATTTTTTTAAATTTCGAAAAAAAAATATTTTTTATAAAATTTATATATAAATTTTTTTTAAAAAAAAAAAATTAACCCCCCTCCGTGAGCGAACAAAAATTTTTTTGTTCGCTCACGGAGGGGGGGGGGGGGGAGTAAGTTAAAATCAGGCCAAAATTATGGGCCAAGTTTACTTTCGAGATAATTAATTAATTTTTGATTCAATATGAACTATTCCTCTACACTAATTATATCAAAATTTCAAAAAAAAGTGCTTGATACAATATGTTAGCAGCTTAGAAATTCTGAAGAACTTGGCTTGCAATTCTACATGTTTGGCTGATACAAGAAGTGAAAGAGAAATGATCGCCCAATAGCTGATAAAATTGCTGGACCAAAACTTTGATGTTTTTCTAGAGAAAGGCTTGGATCATAAGCATAAGAATTATCAAGAAAGAATAAAATAAGTGAATTGTCCGAAGAAGAATGTAATAATAAATCTGTAGAACTGAGAAGATGTGAAAATAATTTGCAGAGCAGTTCTATAGTAGATAGGAGACTTAGGACCCCACCATAATTCTTTTTTCATTTTCCCTAAGCGTAATTATGCTGGGCACCTGGGTTTTACCCTACAAAGTCAGTATTTCTGACTTCATTTCAGTCAGAATCAAAAAAGGTTACATATGCATAGCTATATGAGTCTAAGATAGAAACCCTAACAGCGGCTAAACAAAGCTGTTTTGCAGATAGCCAAAGGGCAGAAGGGAAAAATATACGAGTTTCCTCTTTGCCTGATGGGGCGAAGCTCATTGAACCTAGCTTTTTCTTCATCAAAAATATTAGGAGGCAATAGGGTGTAGATATAGTCGATATCTAAATATAATCCTCGTCTGCAGCTGCTGGCTTCTTTTTAAGCAAAATGTGATTGTTTATGTCCAAGGTTGGGCAGCCTTATAAGGTTTTTTAAAGCTTCAGCAGCTATTGAGTAGCTAAAATGCCTGACAATAGCATCATAGCTCAAAAGATAGCAATTGAAACCATTAATTATACAAGAAAAACGCTACTAAACTAATCCATTTTCTTAATTATAAAATGCAAAAAACACTGATTATTATTGGTTGCCAAAGCTGGTGAAGAAGAAAATAAGTGGTTTTTGACTGTCCTTATTTTGACTTTAGTATGCAAGTTTCTATACTTGACCAAGAAACAGACTATGATAGGCAAACCAAGATTTCTGGTGCCTACATTAAAAGATTCATTGATGGAAATGACCTTTTGGATATGGTGCTCAGTGTGATTCCAGACAATGAAGCTGAAAAACTTCAGAAAAATCGAGAAAAAGCTATTAGAGTTTTTCACACCTCAGCAGTTTGGGTCCCCGAAAAACGGCTATTTTTAGCATTTGCTAAGGTATTGGTTTTAGATTGAACTTGCTACATTTATACCACCTTTTTTGGCGAAAATTGAAAAGAAGTCATAGATGAGACTTGGATAGGCGCCACAAAATTCCCTTCAATACTAAATATTCCTAATGACTGAAGCATCCATAATTCAGGCCCAGAAGATGGAAGACTATTTAGGGCTCTCTCAGACCAGTTTTTTATTGTCTTTAATATGAAACGTAAAAATCCCCCTCACGGCCTACATTTTTATACAGCTATACCACTGGCACATTTAGACAGCTGCAATCCCAGAGCAATTGGCCAGAAAGTGCTTATTGAAAAAAATTGGTCGCCTCTAATAATTGATGTCACCCATATTTACTTTGTTTATAATTTTGAAAATTTCCAGGCTATTGACTGTACTGATGAAAGTCCTTGCACCAGGGTTTCGGGGAAATTTCAAAGAGCGCCAGGGATTTTAAGAGGTGGGACAGCTTTTCAGCAATATAAAAGCACTGATTATTATTTTTCCTTTGGCTTTACCCATTTAGAATACACGAAAAATGGAGGAAACTTTTAAGTTGTTTTTGGTTTCTTCAAGCTCTTTGCAAGTTCCCTCAAAATCTAAAAGCCTATCTTTGACTTGGCCTGCAATTGTGTACAAATTATCCGTTAAGTAATGCAATGCTTCTGCTGTCTTTATCACTTTCTATAAAGAATTCATTCCAGTTTAAGAGGAATAGTCAATGATTTCTGTGTCCACTAGTACTTGCCTTTGACTGCATTATATCGCGCTATAAGAATTTCGCCGGCATTTCTCATTTGCTGAGAGTCTTCATCTCATGAGAGTTCCAGCAGCTTACAAGTTATATTATTGAATTTGTTTATAAGATCTTTATAGTCGATTGCAGCAGAAATTGAGTCATCTAGCCCGTAAATCTGAATTAAGTTATGAATTGCAACTGTAATGAGGAAAGTTCCTCTCGCCAAAGATATTCTTAATGGATTTAAAGATATATATTGAGCCCTAAAATGATGGGTTGCTTCTAAAGACAAAATGTATGGCTCTTTAGAAATTGATGGAGATAAGCCTCATTCTTTTATTAATTTTTATTGATTAGCTGATTGATAGAACTTGCACCCATTCAATATGTTTCGTTAATTCATTCAGCGGGATTTTTTTTAAATGCTCTTCGATTAAGCTAGATCTATTGCAATCCCTACAGTTCAAAGACAATTATGATATCAAGCGAATTAAAGGTCTTTCATTAGGCACATCTAATGTTTCATTAATGAGCTCAGAAACAAGTAAAGTTCCTTTTGATTTCACGGACATCAGCACTGAGAATTTTTCGAAAGTTGCAAGACCCATTGACTCTAAAATGCTGTCAGGAATTGCTTTAAGTAATTTTTCTGCTTACTCCCCCCTCCGTGAGTGAACAAAAATTTTTTTGTTCACTGCTTTGGAGTTATGATAATCTGCATATAGATTTTGCAAAGCTAATTTTAATTGGGGGACGTCAACTTCACTACTTTCGTCTCCTTAACTCGACTTAATCTCTTCAGTTTCGAGTTTTCATGGCTCAATTTCATCTTTTAGAGCTTTGCTCTCTCTTTTAGCTCTTCAATTTCTTTTTGTAAAACTGTTTCATTTTTTTCTTCTTAAAACTCTTTCTCTAATGTTAAGTTTTCAATATTTTATGGACAGAAACTTCTTCTTTTGCTACTTTTTTTATTTTTTGGTTTGCTTTCGAGCTCTTTAACTTTTTGGTAAGTTCGTTTATGATTTGTATTTACTTGATTCAGATGATATCAGAAGAAATATTATCCTTTAGTTTTTGACTTCTTCGCTATTAACTGGTATATCAGAATTTTTTCTTGTTCTTGTCTTCTACATCTTCTTTCTTTTTGAGCTGTTCTTTTGCTTTATTCTCAGCAATTTGCTTTTTTTCTAGGATTTTGCTTTAGCTTTTTCTCTTATTAGTTTTAATGCTGAGTCTTCGACTTCTTCAGTTTTTTCTTCTGCTTCTTCGTCAGGATTCTTTTTGGTTTTTCGAATTCCATTTCCGATAAAGCAGTCACAGCTCTTTTGCTCTCTTTTTCTTCTTCTTTATGGGTTTTACTTGATTTATTCGTAAAAAACTACCATGCTTGAGGTTGGCTTCAAAATATTTAACTCCATTAACACCCGAATCAGGAAAAGAAACAAAAACGAAAAGAATGGGGAAGAGCAAGAGTTTCAGAGAAATCAAGCTCTTGAAGATATGGGGATTACCACTGATGAAAGAGAAATGGAAAGAAGAAAGAAATTCTCAAGAAGGAGACCTTATTATAAAGATATGGGCATCAGCTTTATGAATAAAAGGAATAGAGTTTACAATGTGAAGCTCCAAAGACATTTCAAAGACCATGCCCGGAGCTGAAAGGAAATTTGAAAATAGGAACAGCTTTATAATGCTTATTATAGCCTTTCAAACGCAATTTTGCCTATAAGGACAATTTTTCTGATCGTTCTTAATCAAAAGCAATCATCCTTTTAATCTAATTGATAAATAATTAATTTCAAAGCTAAATATTGATTTCAAAATTGTGGTCTTTAATGGAATATAGTAATTTCGATCGATAATCATATTAGCGATGGAGATTTTTCCTGAAGAGTTAACAAAAGTTTTTACAGTTAAGGATCACTTGAATGGTGGATCTTATGGAACGATCTATAAAGCCATAAAGAAAAGTAATTTTTATTTCAGGCAATGGAAAAATGTATGCAATAAAGGCTGTAGCCAGAGCTAACACAGAGCCAAGCTGGAATGGCATTGAAGTTGATGTGCAACCGTCAAGCTGGAAGGATATTGAAACTGAGATGCAAGTGCTCTCATGGGCCAATCCATATAAGCTTCAACTAGACTCCTTTTTTGTTAAAGGCGACACTTTCTTCATGGTCATGGATTATTGCCGAAATGGCGACCTTCTTAAAGCCATAGTTGATAAGATTCATGCCCATGAAATGTTTGAAGAAGACGAAATCTGAAAATATTTTATCCAGATCAGCTTTGGGCTCGAGTCTTTGCACTATAACGGATTTATCCATCGAGATCTTCATCTACAAAATATCCTTTTAGATGAAAATAGAGATATTAAAATAGCTGATTTTGGCATTTCTCGCTATTTACAGTCAAATGCAAATAATGGAGTTAAGGCTTACTGGTCTCCTAGGACTCATAGTGGAGGTCTTCAGGCTAAAGAAAGCGATGTTTGGGCAGTCGGCTGCATTTTATATTATCTCTGCAACCTTGAGCATCCTTTTGGCAAAAATAAGAATAAAATAAAATATGAGCCTCATAAGCCGATAAGAAGTGAATACTCGAATGATTTGAGGTATTTCGTTGATCGGTGCCTACAAAAGCAGCGAGAAGATAGGCCAACAATAGTTGATATCTTAACTCATGAGTTTATAGTCAACAAAACACTAAGCTTAGGCATTACAATTCCACAAACATCTGCTATGAATGAAGCTATTCATAAAAAGGAAATTGAGTCGCTTAGAGCAGAAAATGCTCGCTTAAAGGTAATAAATGATAATAATTTTAAATATGGGAATGGTTCTTATTGGCTATCAATTCAAAATCTGAATAAAGTTAATTAATATATTTATAAGAGAATTGAGGCAAGACCCTTTAAATAATGCTTGGTAAACGTGAGCTAAAATCCATTGCTATACAAGGAGAAGCCTTACTCATCTGTACCCTCTTTCTCGAGAAGTGATATTTAGTATAACTAACTTGTGTCTTTGCAGTAGAGCCCACGAGAGCATTTAGTTTACCCTGGACTTGCAGGCTTCTTTTTAACTCATGGAATTGGTCCTGCTCCATAACTTGCCAAACTAACTCCGCGAGATAACAGATAGCAAACGTATGCTCGCTTGGTTTGGCATAAAATTTAATCAGGCCGATATAAATATATTAGCTTTCTAAAGCACTAAATAGTGGCACATTCAGCCGGAAAATAGCTTTGTTCAAAGATGCAGTAAATGTAGCAGGACCTTATTCTATTTTTATTATAGCAAATATTAAAGACTCTATTTCTAACTAATAAATGAAAATAAAAAGAGCGAGAAAGACCTCAAAGACAGGAATGACGACCTGCTTAATTCTCAAAGAAATAAGATTCCTCAAGATCATATCAAAAATAATGAAGCAGAAAAAGCCCAAAAGATCCAAGAGCTAAGAGAGAAGAGATCTGAAATTTTAAATAGACCAAATGACCCAGAATTAGAGCAAGACTTTAGGAGAATCTGCTCAAAGTTCAGTACTGATATCTATGCTGATGACCCAACTCTTCAGCAAGCTTACCAAGATTATACTAATGCTTATCGCCAAAAAACATCTCTTTATAAAATTATAAAGGATTATGAGAATAGGACTAATTTGATTATTTATGATACAGAAAATGATAGTGAGGAAGTCAGAATAGTAGAGACTCCGGAACCACTAGATTTTGGCACTTGTATTGCTCAGCTTCCTAATGGTAATTTATTTTGCTTTGGTAATAGCCAACATTCTGGAGTTTCATTGATAATTGATGAGAATTATAAAGTTCGGGAGCTGCCATCTGGAACTCCTTGCGTTAACTCATCAGCTATCTATTTCAATAATAGTGTTTATTGCTTTGGAGGAAATTATAATTATGAAGATTTAACTCTATCAGAGAGATTTGATTTAAATGAAAACCGATGAATTAAATTAGAGCCACTGCCAGAAGCTGATGAGAATTGCACTAGTGTAATATTTAACGGGAATATTGTGATTTCTGGATTTAATGAAAATCTTTTGAGGTATTCAATTGGTAACAACACTTTCGCAGCAATTCCTTATGATTTTGAAGCTTATGTAGGCAAGATTCTTATAAGTACAGAGAGACTGTATTTAATTGAATATGGTGGATCAATCTATGAAAGTGAATTGTCAAATGAAACTGTCTGGAGACGAATTGGAGACTCAATAATAGTTCTTTTTAATCAAGTTTATTTGTCACATAGTAAAGGAAAAATAAACACATCTGCAAGTTCTGGGATAGTTTGCACTATGGATACGAGGCACCCTAAATAGACTACCAAATATTAACGAAGGTTAACACAAACTGTGCAAGTCTATATCTCATTTTTTTCTATAAATGGTAGAGAATATTATTGTTTTGATTTAGATCAAAAAAACATTATTGATATCGCATTCTGTAGTGAGCATGTCTCGCTTAGAAGAGTAGGTAAAAAGATTGAAGCAAATAAATGAAATAGCCAGAATTTTAAGCTCGATTCTTCGTATCTGGATGAATGAAATTTAAAAGGCAATACTCTGATCGATTTAGGAAAAAATCTAGAAGAAATTGAAAGATCTATCGAAGAATTAAAACTCTATCCAAACAATTATGATTCATATCATAAAAAAGGTGACGCTTTTTATAATTTAGAAAGATATCTAGAAGCAATCGAATGCTATGACGAAGCAATCAAACTATATCCAAGTTATGCTTATTTTTACATTGATAAAGGCAAAGCTTTTAAAAAATTAAAAAGATATCTAGAAGCAATCGAATGCTATGAGGAAGCAATCAAAGTCGATCCAGATGATGCTGATTTTTATTATACTTTATTCAAGCGATGCTGATTCTTACTATAATAAAGGGGATGCTTTAAATAAATTAGGAAGATACCAAGAAGCAGTAGAAAGCTATGATGAAGCAATCAGATGCAATCGATATAATTCCAAGTTATATAATGGTAAAGGCAATACTCTTTATGCTTTAGAGAGATATCAAGAAGCAATGAAATGCTATGACGAGGCAATCGAACTTCAACCCAATAATCCTTTGTATTTCTGCAACCGGGCTAGAGTATTTAATAATCTCAGACAAGAAGAAGCAGCTTTGCAGGACTTTAATAGGGCTTATAATTGGAATCAAGAATTATATAGTCGTGGTTTCACTGAGGATAAATGGGAAAGGTTGCTTTCTAAAAAAGAGATCAAATTTATTAACGAAGTATTAGGCCGAGACCGTATTGAACTACACCAAAAAATGCAGATTTAGAATAAAATTAGGTTTTAATAAGCCGTCATTATAATAATTATATATGTATGCCGGTGCACTTCTCCTTTAACTTTATGCTGTGAACTACACTTCGGGAGACATTTAAGCTTACTGGTAAGGCTCATGCCATTGAGAGAATTTTGTAGAGCCGTTTAAAGGGACAAAAGAAGCACTTCCTAGATTTTTTACTAAAGAGTAGTCAAAAAATAATAAGACGAAGGGAAAAATATCAAGTTTCAAATTGAGCTAATCCTCTATTTCAGTAATAGTCTGGACATTTTGGCTGATTTTAATTGCATTGCTATAATATTTTAGTGCTTCTCCATATCCCTTTTCCTTTAAAAGATATTTCCTATATCATTGTATGCATTAGATTGCTCTATTGGCTTCTTTATACCATTTCATAGCTTCATTATTTCTCCGTAACATATTAAAAGCATTACCTTTATTTCTAAAATAAAGTATAGATTTGAATTGATCCTAATTTCAATGTTCAAATATTCTACTGCTTTTTCATATCTCTCTATAATCAATTTTCACAATTAATAAATGGAACTTAAAAATTGAGATCAAGCCATCTTACTTAAATCAGCTAGGGAAGATCTCGATAACGAAACAAAAATTGGCAATGCCAAGTCCAATCAAGATGCTAATCAATTAAATCCTCAAGAGTTAAATGGTAAATTTTCAAAGATCTTAAGCGGTGTCAATAATACAGAAATCGAACAAGATTTTAGGAAAACTTGCTCACTATATGAGAAACAAAATTATGAATCTGATATATTACTAAACAGGGCTTATCATGATTTTATCAGCTCTTATCATCATATCTCATCCCTTTATCTCGTTCAAAGGGGAGATGATATCGATACTGATTTGATCATTTATGACACTGAAACTGAAACTGAGAAAACGATAGTCTTGGATTCTCCAAATCAACTAACAGCGAATGTATGCCTCATTCAACTTCCGAATGGCGAATTATTCTGTTTGAGTAATCTTTATTTAGCCCCTAGTAGTGCTCTGATAATTGGCATGACTTTTAAAACTCGAGTGTTGCCATCTGGAGCATTCAGGTATTATTCATCAGCTATATATTTCAATGGAAGTGTCTACTGCTTTGGAGGATATGATAATGTCAAAATTTTAAACTTTTCTTGCAGATTTTGCTTAGATGAAAACCGGTGAATTAAAATAACCCCAATGCTGATAGCTGATGCATGGTGCCATAGCGCTATATATAAAGGGAATATTTTGATTTCTGGATATAGATTTACACATATTTTAATATACTCACCTGAAATTGATTCTTTCTCTATAATTCCTTATGATTTTAAAGAATATAAGCGCAAGATCTTGATAAATTCAGAGAGACTATATTTAATTGAAGACAGAGACTGAGAAAGTTATGGATTTATTTATGAAAGTGAGATTGGAGATGAGTATACCTGGAAATGAGTAGGAGAATCAGTAGTTAGATATGCATATGATCAGGTATATTGCTCATATAATAAAGGAAGTATTTATATTGGTTGCTTGGAGGCTGGGAATCCTGAAAAATTCTACTATAAATTTAATTTAAAAGAAAAAGTAATGATTGAGCTTAAAGAGGCTCAGGCTGATGCTACTTAAAGATTTGATTAAAGTCGTCGCAATAAAATTCTCACAAATTTTGATTAAATAATTTTAAGTCCATAAATTTCTGCCAATTATAATCCCTAATTCTCATATTACTTAATATTCAATGATTTCTCTTAGCCAAGATCCTGCAAATAAAATATTTTTTCAAGATCTTTCAGCAAAAAGTATCTGCAATTTGAAGCAGAGCTAATGACCCAGAAACAGAGAAAGATTTCAGAAAAACTTGCTTATGATATGAAAGCCAAAGGTCTACTTCTAATCTTTCATTAAAACAAGCTTATGAAGAATATCTTAGTGCTTATCATCAAATCACTTCTATTTACAATATTTGAAATGATACCAGCAGAACTTATTTGTTTATTTACGACTCAGAAAGCGAAAGAAAAAGCACAAAAGCACAAAATCACTGGATTCATCAATTTCATTAGACCACGGTAGCTGCATTGCTCTACTTCCAAATGGAAAATTATTCTGTTTTGGTAGGCATCATCTGCATTCAGGGATCACTTTTATAATTGATAAAAATTATAAAGCTAAACGATTACAATCTGTAGCACCTTGCTGCTTCTTATCAGCTATTTGTTTCGACAAAAATATTTATTGCTTTGGAGGATTAGATATTAATAGCATCAGTATGGCTCTATCTTATAGATTCGATCTAAGTGTCAATCGATGAATTGAGCTAGTCAAAATGCCTCAAGCTGACTGTCATACCAAAATATTTAATAGGAATATTTTGATTTCTGGGTATTATAATCAGCACATTCTTATGTACTTGATTCCTTTTTAGTAATCCCATATGAATTTTCGTTTTGTAAAACAAAGATCATTATAAATGCAGAGAGATTGTATTTGTTTGAGGGCGGAATAGAAGGGAAAATCTATGAGAGTGAAATAGAAGATGAATATAATTGAAATCTGGTAAAAAAATTATTGAAATGCTGGTTTTAGTGATGCCTAAATTTATTATTTATATAATAAAGGTTGAATATATATATTAAAATAAAATACGTTATTGTCAAGCTATTTTTTAAAATTTTACACAACATTAAAGTTATCTTTTATTTTTTAATCTTACATAATATTTTTACTTTTTGAAATGAATATTTTAATAAAATTTCCGAATTTTTTATATTTTCAGTCAAAAAAATTCAAAATTTAGCAAACTCCAAGTCCTTGGCAAGGGAGTTGAAAAATCGCAAAACCACCTATTTCAAATTTAGTTTAAATCAAAAGGTTCTTCTAAGGCTAATATAATTTAAATTAAGTTTCTATTACTCTACTCTTACTATAAATTATTGCTGAATTCTTTATAAATTATCAGATTTCCTCTGACAGGAATTCCCTTTTATTTGAGCTAAAAGAAGCTCGATAAATTATCTATATAAAATAAAGGCAAAATATATAAAGCAATGAGTCTTGAGCTTATCTTCATAGAAGAAATTTGATGGGATCATTAAGTATTGATTTTCAAAATGATCAAAATACGAATTCCATTAATTTCTAAAATATCAAGACTTATAAAAATTTTATTTTTCAGCTGCATTTTCCATTAATCAGGGTATTTGCTCATATTTTTTCCTTCCTTTATAAATAATATGTAAATATTAATGTAATTTTACATTTTGAATATTTAAGCAAATTATCAAATTAATAATAGAATAAATTAATACTTTAAAATAATCAGCAGAGATTTGACGATTTTCAATTTTTTCTTTTTAACGAAAATTGATAATAGCCAAATTAATCGTTCCCTTTTGCATTAGAATTTTCAATTACCCCAAAAAATAACGAGTTTTTATGATAGTGTGGCAATAAGCATTAAAGTACTTAAAAATGCTCCCTGAAATTTTACCCCAAAAATACTCATCATTAGCTCCACTTTCTTAAATGCACCCTTCAACTGGTTAAATTAAATAAACTCTTGAATTCCGGCAAGTAATATTTTTACACAATGTATATGAGATCAATAGGAATTGCTGACTCTCCCCCTCCGTGAGAGAACAAAAATTTTTTTTCCTCACGGAGGTGGGGAGTGAGTAAGAATCGACATTAATATCATATTGATACTTTCATATCGATACTTTTTTTCGAGCTTTTAAAAATGCTCGCAATGCAACTCTAGATCTGAACAATGTCAAATTACGTTAATTTTATTAACTTTTTTAATTAAATCACAACTTGATTTTGCATTAATAATGATTGTACATCTTGTGCTATCAGGATTAACAAAAAACAGCTCACCTTTAGGTGGCTGGCCTAAACATGATCTGTGAGAAAAATGCTCTCGTTTATTTATGAGTTTTCTTGTTTTAAATTTAGAATTTACATTCAAAGTGGCCAGTGCTGTTTATTTTCAATATGCCCATTTCTTGTATGCAGATTGCAGCTTTCTATGATAGCTTTTTCAGACAAAACTTCCCTTCAATTTTCATTATGTTTAATATTATTTTATACTCTTAAATTCTGTGAAATAGAAATTTATTCTTTAACTAATTCTAGACAATCCTGATATGTCTTCCAAAATGGAATTTTTTCTTCAAGCTGCTTCATCACATTTAAGCATAATTCTTCTCGATAAGGCGGTGCCATAACTTGGACACAAAGAGGCAGTCCTTTGCTGTCCTGCATGTTCTTATTCATAACTTTGGTCCAGTGTTCTTCAGTTTCTGGGTAAAATTCTTCATTTTCATTGACTACCCCTACAGGGACATTTCCTGCTGGACATCTAATAGATTGAAAAATGCAGAGTATATAAAGCCTGACTCCCCCCCCCCCTCCGTGAGCGAACAAAAAAATTTTGTTCGCTCACGGAGGGGGGTTAATTTTTTTTTTTTTAAAAAAAATTTATATATAAATTTTATAAAAAATTTTTTTTCGAAATTTAAAAAAAATCCTAATTTGCAAAAATTGGGAAGCAAATATTAATTTAATTTGCAAAATTTATGTTTTTAAAAAGCAATTTGTTTAAAATTAAACAGAATTAGCTCTAGATTTCATTATACTAATTATCACTTATATATCAAAATTTTTTTTCCATTAAAATTTTTTCTATTAAAAAAATTTTTTGTTCACTCACGGAGGGTGGGTTTTTGGTCAAAAAATGGCGATTTTTCTAATGGGTTTTGTTCGCTCACGGAGGGGGGGGGGGGGGGGAGTGAGTATAATTCTTGGAAAGAGCCATGAAGTATCGCTGGGACTGGGTATGGGCCTATAATTACGTCAATTCCAAGGTCTATCCATTTCTTTATAAATTCATTTTTTATTTGATAAGATTTTTAACATAGTCATACGCAGATTTCAAACAGCTTCCTTTAGCGTAAAATGTCTCTTTATTTTTGGTGAAATTCTTTTTCAGCTGTGCAAGCCAAGATTTTCCAGCTTGGAATTTTTGTTTAAAGAGATCTGGCTCTCCTATTTCTTTTGAATCTGAATTTTCAATATACTGACTAAGAGCTCATTACAAGTATTCAAATCAAGGAGGTCGATTTTGATAAGCTCATGGTCTTCCAGGTTTAATATAAAAATCTCGTTTATTTTTACCTGAAGAAATAATTTTATTAAAAATAATACGAATAAAGATTTTTAATTTTTGTCTAAACCAGTCTTCCAAGGCATTCTTTGCTAAGATCATAGCCCTTTGCATGCAAGATGGTAGCGGCCAATATTCATTGCTTTCTATATATCCAATCTTAAGCTTTCTTTTTCTCTGTATTTTTCCTCATTCCAAAATATAGGTGGAGTCAAAAGATCTTTTTTGAAAACATATTCGCTACAAAGCACCTGGAAAAATAACGCTAAATCTTCAGTGGATTTCGCCATTGGTCCATATGCGCCAGACAGTACTGGAAAAGGGTTCAAAGATTGATTTGGACAAAACTTAGAAATTCTTCCTGCAGTCGGCTTAATACCAGATAGCCCACAAAATGCTGAAGGAATTCTTATACTCCCATACAGCTCAGAGCCAATCCCTAATGCACAGCATCCACTAGCAATCAAGCCTACATCTCCACCACTAGACCCACCTGGTGTCCTATAAGACCTCAATGGATTTTCAGCTTGTCCTGTAGCCCAATTATTAGTTTCAAAAGTTCCTAGCCCTTAAGGTACAGTTCCAGTCACATAAAATACTGCCCCTCCTCTCCGTAGTGCGTCAATTATTAAGTAGTCTTCGTTTTGTAAATTATAACTGAGCATTGTAAAGCCTCTTGTAGCTGGGAAATTTTTGACCTGAATCATATCTTTTACACTAATGGGGATCCCATGGAATGGTCCTCGCTTATGGCCTGACTTAAGCTCTTCATCTAAAGCCCTTGCACAAGCTAAAGCTTCATCAATATTGACTGCATTCATTAGATTTCTTGAAATTGCATGAGTTTTTAGACGATTAAGGTAGGTGATTAATAATTCTTCGCAGGAAAAATCGCCATTGTAGAGACTTTCACGTAATTAGTGGATATTTGAGGAGAGAATTTTTGAGACTTTTTCTCTGAGACTTTTGGCAGCTTTGAGATAGAGGATAGGGCAGCTTTCGTGGAGTTGTATTTATTCTGGGCCTTCTTGATTTGTGAAGGGTTGTTGCAAGAAAGCTTTCGGTGCTTAATGTGAGAGGCTGGGAAAAGGGTTATTGCGGCAATTACGGAAAGAAGCAGAGCTTTTTGCTTTGGGGAAATTTCTTGATTAAGCAATTTTTTAACTAAGCCAATGATATTCTTTGTAATATTAAAGAAAAAGGAAATTTGTAAGTTAGAAAAATAAATCATAAAAGCTAAATTGCTGTTTTTGTTTACAAAGTATAAGTTTTATATTTTAATTTTAATTTTAATTAGTTAAAAAGCCTTACTCCTCTCTTTATTTTGCAAAAATAATACTATTTGCAAATTTTTTGATTAATAATGCTTGAATTGCATTTCCAGCTGACCTTTTTCATTGTTTTTCGAGCTGAGAATAATCTTCTTTCTTTATAGATTTTTTTTTGAAGATTTTACCAAATAATTCTATAGTGTCTTTAATATTTTGAATCGAAGAGTTATGATAAATTTCTTTATAATTTTTGAGATTTTTATATAATTCATATGCCATCTCATATTCCGCTATTTTAATAAAATCCAAAAATCACAGAAATCTGATAGACGATCGTGCTAATTGTAAGCGGATTTATACACCCAGCCGTGAATTGATTTTTGATCTTCAAATTTAAAATAATTGAAATCAAGCAAATGCCCTTTAACTGATCGACAAAATTCTAAAAAATCAGTCCGGTCTCAATGCTTATCTATGTATTGTTGTGCTTTTTCCTTTGGTTGAGTTAAAAAATAATCATAAGGACTTAAAAAGAGCTTCATCTCAACAAATGGTTTTCTAAAATAGCGCATTAAGATACTATTGCAGCCATCCAAAGCTTAACTTGTTAATTTTAGTTCCTCCTGGTATTTTTTATTATCCTCATTTTGTATGCTTTCTTTAATTAATATATCAATTCGGGCAATAAATTCCTTCTTTAATGTGCAGACAAAACTGAATAAGATCTCTTTGGATTCTTCGTTGATTGGTGGCTTTCTTCGTTTTACCTGATGCCCTTGAGCTTTATGCTTTGGGCATGCTTTAAACTGACCACAATCAGATATAAAGATTGCGTCTAAGAGGCAATATGAGCAGCAAATTATTGACATGCCTTTAATTTATTTTTATATCTTTCTATCAATAAATTATGACATTGCGGACGAATTTACCTAGAAGCAGTTGAATAAATTACTAAAAGCATAGAAATCAGCCAGCTAAGTCCTTATGAATTTGCCTTGGTGTTAGGTAGAGCTACGCAGGATCAGAAAGGATGATAATAGAATTAGGAGGCATATCGGAGGTAAAAACAAAAATTAACAGCTCGTGTGAGATATCCTGACGATTGCTTATGGCTATATAAGCGCTGATAAAAAATATTTCTGAAGATTTTTATAACAAAAACTCAACTGGACGGAAGAAGTATAGGATAGGCTCCAATCATGATGAGATGAACGGAATATAGAGCTTTTGGACAGAAGAAATTAACTCCTGCAAATTTTGGGTGAGGGAAGGAAATTGGAGAGACCTTTGAAGTGAGTGATAAGAAACTAAGAAGAAGCTAGAATAGCGGACAATTTAATAACTCCCCCCCTCGTGAGTGAGCAAAACCATTCAGAAAAATCCCTATTTTTTGCCAAAAACCCACCCTCTGTTTGTATGAAAAAAAAATGATATATAAGTAATAATTATTACAATTAAATCTCGAGCTAATTCTGTTGAATTTTGAACAAATTGCGTTTTAAAACATTATTTAATAAATTAAATTAGCTAATTCTATTAAATTTTGCACGGTATAAAAATTGAATCCATAAATGTATGAGGAAATTCACGGGGTGAATTCTAAAGCCATTACTTTTATTTATTTCTGAAAGATCGCTTGAATTCTTTTCCAGGAGTGAGTAAAGGTTTTGCATAACCAAATCAATTTGGAAGGGTTGTCATATAAGCATGAGGTCTAAAACTTTGGTTTTATCTAAACCCCTGTCTTGAGTGCCATGCAGTTTGACCAAAGTGATTTCGTTTAAACTTCTAGAGCTCCCGAGAAAAATATTGACACTATCAATGACTGTACTAGAATCCGACAAGCTTGTGCCTTTTATAGAGTTGTTCATCCATTTATCTAGTGCATCAAAAGAGTTAGATATGCTGGAATTTATTTCTTCTTCATCATTAGTCGTATTCGATATATAAAGGCCTGCAGCAGTTATTGAAGAAACGAACAGACTTGAGTCCATAGTCTCAGTCCTATTAGCCACCAAATTTTCAGTGAAGTTCTTAATAGAAATGCTGCCTGTGTTATTTAGATAAACTATTAATTCCACTTCAATAAAAGCCCCATAGGAGTCATAGACCCTGCCAAGCAAAGTTGCTTCCCCTATAATGCCAAGCTTTATTGTGAATTTATTTTCTGTTGTTTTCGATATTAACGCTCTGGTGCTGTTTTCCAATTTTATGAAGATTTGATAGGATGAAGGCTCAATGCCTTCAGGGTCGCTCCATCCTGAAAATAATATCCCAAGTTTAGTTTCTAAAGTAATTCCTTCAGAATTGTTATCAATTTCGAAAGTTCCTCTATTTGGCGGGCAGTTAACATATCGTTTTAGAGACAGTTTTGTTTTTACATAAGTTTCTTTATCAATTACTGTCACTCTAAATTCATATTCTCTTCCAGGAGTTAAACTGAACTGTTTGATTGTAATCCCAGCTTGATCTGTGGGTGTTGTAGGAGTAAAGTCAGATTATTGGCTTCTCCTCAAGAGATAATTGTGCTCATTTCGTTTTCTACATGAGCAAGAATTCTCAAAGGAGATGATCAGTCCAAAAATGGATATTTTGCTATGATATGAACTTTCGGGGCAATCCCTGGCGAAACAAACACCCATGATTTTCAGTGACTGATGGATAATCAGTCAAACTAATAGTAAAATTGCAAATAAAGTAAGAATTCTTATTTCTTATTTCCAAATTAAAAGAATTTCCAGCGATTTCAACAAATTTGTCATAAATGCAACTTTTTTCAGTAAATTTTACAGATCCCTTCTCTAAAGGATATATTTCATCGCTTCCGTAAGTTGCAGTTAAATTAACAGTAACATAAGAATAAGAATAGGCCGTCGTGTCTGCACCTAAAACCATCAGATTAGGAGGTGGCGGAGTAGCAACAACTTTTACACTAGCAGAGCGAGTATAAGTGCCACGATTGAATAGTACGTTTACAGCCACAACTTATTCACCGAGTTTTGAAAATAAATAAGTAAACTCAATACCTGTCGTGCTGTAATATGTATCTTCAGACAACATTCTATTACTTTTTGCAACGCTTCAAGAAATTGAAGGATTTGCATCTAAGTCTATAAGAGTGCTTTTTTGACATTGGAATTTTAACTTTAATGGCCAGTCGGTACCGACATTGATGGTTTCTTTATTAGCTATAGAAATGGCTACTTCATCATATATCATGTTTACTGAAGTGGTAGATGAATCAGATTGGCCGAACTTGTCAGTTGTGGTCAAAGTTACCTCAAAGTAATTATGATCTTTTGCGCTCTCGCAACTTTCTAACTTACCTCTCAATTAATGAATTAGGTCCTGCTTAATATTTTCTGTAACTTTTTTAAAATAGCCTGGGGTTTATAATTCTTTCGAACAATTTCAAGCTAATTCTGCTAAAATTTTAAGAAGAATAGAATAAATTAAATTAGCGCACTATTATGAAGAAAAATTATCCCAGCTATTTGAATAATAAAAACTCTTGCTATTTCTGAACGAGTAAGGTAATATTGGAAATTATTTGTTTTATATCACCAGAATAGCTCAAGAACTTGCTTAAATATCATATAGATGTAATATTTCCCATTCCCGTTGATCGAAATCTGTCAAGAGTCAATTCGCAAGAGCAGCAGATCGAGCCAATTTGAGAGACACTAGCTTTCGGCTTACTTCCCCCCCTCCGTGAGTGAACAAAAAAAATTTTGTTTACTCAAGGAGGGGTTAATTTTTTTGTTTTAAAAAAATTTATATATAAATTTTATAAAAAATTGTTGTTTTTTTCGAAATTTAAAAAAATCCTAATTTGCAAAAATTGGAAAGCAAATATTAATTTAATTTATAAAATTTATGTTTTTAAAAAGCAATTTGTTTAAAATTAAACAGAATTAGCTCTAAATTTCATTATACTAATTATCATTTATATATCAAATTTTTTTTCCATAAAAAATTTTTCTATTAAAAACATTTTTGTTCACTCACGGAGGGTGGGTTTTTGGGCAGAAAATAGCGACTTTTCTAATGGTTTTGTTCACTCACAGAGGGTGGGGGGGAGTAGGGGATTTTTCCTCCTTGATGCTCATAGTTATATATGCAATATTAGTTTCATTAGTATTTAAGTCAGCAAAAACTTTTCAATGTATGTCAAGTATTCTGCACTGTCTTGAATATGGCCTCGGTAAATTTCCAATTCATTTTTAGATATTTTGAAGCAAGAAGCGCTTTTTCCTAGGGAGATTATTGAATCTTTTGACAATATTTTGTCGCATTGAGCACTTCTCATTAGTGCAATATTCCTCTGTGAGAACTAATTGATTATATAATTTAATTTTGAGATAACTTATCTCAAAATAATATTTTATGCTTATCAATTCTTGATGAATCATCATATACTTTAAAAAATCATCATAAAAAGCGTTAAAAGATATAGGATATAAATATCCTCGATACTTAACTTGAACAATTGAAGGTTTGTTACTAATCCTGTAGCTTGGATCAATAGAAAACGTAAATGAGCATGCGAAATTTTCATTGAAAGTGTTAAATGAGCATTCATTAGTGCTTACTCCCCTTTTTTTAATTTAAGATAAATTATTTAAGCAAGCTTAAATCTATTTTCACAAATATTTGCTAGAGATGTCTTTATTTAATTATTAAATATAATTTTATCATCAGGCAATTGATACCAAAAATTTTTTATTCGTTAGCCAAAATGGGAGGAGAGTCAGCAAAAAATCTGTGCTATTTAATAATTCAATACTCTCAATAAAACCATGAATGGTGTTGATAATAAATTCTCCGCTTCAGTTTCCGACAATTACATTTTCTTGAGGTATAGAATGAAACCAATATAGCTCAGGGCTGTTCTCATAAGGAGTTCTAATACATTTAAGTTTATCTAAAGATAAGCAATGATTCTCAGCAAAAATACATTTTTCAATTCCTGAAGCTTGAGGAATGCATTGAATACAATTTGTTTTTCCAAAATTGGGGCATATAGCACATAAAGGATCTTGGCAAATGTTACAAGTATCGTCTCTTATAATCCTTTATTGCAAGAAATGGGACAACTTTTGCATTTATCATGCTCAACTGAATAAAATTCATTTATCTTGCACGGAGATAAGCAATCTCCTAACTCCCCCCCCCCTCCGTGAGTGAACAAAAAAATTTTGTTCACTCATGGAGGGGGATTAATTTTTTTTTTTTAAATATAAATTTTCTAAAAAATATTTTTTTTCGAAATTTAAAAAAATCCTAATTTGCAAAAATTGGAAAGCAAATATTAATTTAATTTATAAAATTTATGCTTTAAAAAGCAATTTGTTTAAAATTAAACAGAATTAGCTCTAGATTTCATTATACTAATTATCATTTATATATATCAAATTTTTTTCCATAAAAAATTTTTTCTATTAAAAAAATTTTTGTTCACTCACGGAGGGTGGGTTTTTGGGCAAAAAATAGGGATTTTCTAATGGTTTTGTTCACACTCACGGGAGGGGGGGGGGAGTAAAGAAAATTCACAAGTTTCAAGGTTTTCCGGATCTTCAAGTTTATTTCCGCTATTCTTTCATATTTGAAGCTTATATAAAAACCCTTTAAAATGCGACTTTGAGCTTCTTCCTATAAAAAGAGTCGAATTCACCATATCTCTAAGTAGTAAATCTGGGAATCCTCGTGTTATTATTTCTCTGTTATTTGCATACGCTCATAAAGATTTTATAGAACTTTCGTACGAAACTGCGTAAGAGAGGTAAGTTCAGCCTCCAAAACTAATTCCTGATGCTTGAAAAGTAAAATTCTGAGAAAATCTGTCTTGCTGAGTTATTGACAAAGCTCCATTACTAACAAAAGTCTGTCTCCCTGCTCAAGAATGTCCCCATTTCCTTGGTTTCAAATTCACATCAAAAGCGAAAAAGTGTAAGAAAAATAATAAGACTGCTCGATTTGGAGGAATTTCCATCAAAAAAGAAACCTCTGTCCTTTGCTAGCACTGGGTCTTCATTTTCAGGTGAATTAAAAGGGTTATATGAAGCCTTATTAGCCCCTGCAATAAACTTTCTATAAGTTTCGTTGAAATTATCCTTTGAATTTATTTCAGCAATTATGCATAGCTCTTTACCAATGCATTCTTCAAACCCAGTTGGGTATTGGCCTAAACAGATATTATCTATTAATTTCCCTTTCACGCATTCTAAGCAAGGGAAGTATCCTTGGTCCATACAAGTTGAGCAGTAGTCCAAGTCACAATACTCACAAAAGACTTCAGAGCCATCTGTGATTAAAATAGCATTAGCGTCACAGGCACAATTTTTGTCGTTTAAATTATGAGCTCTATCTATGCATTTGTAGCAATTTGAAGTATCAGAAAACCCTGAGAATCCTTGACAGAGTTGGCCATTACACGATTTGCAAAATGGAAATCTCACACAGGTAGTTTCGCATGATGAATTGCATTGCTTGCAGGCTGAGTCTTCTCAGTATTCAAATAGTTCGCAAGATCATAAACAATTATCGTCTTTATCAGGTTGGCAAACACTTATTTCTTAATAACTGATAAAATCATGAACAGCACCTATATAAAGCTTAAAATTATATATGAATCCAGCGAAGCCTGGGTCTTCAATGACTAATTCGCTTGGAATACCTCAGAAATTGCTTTTATATTGAGATATTGAATTATGCTTTATATTATTTAATTAGCTAGAAATTGTTGTAGCTCCACTTGAATAAGACACTGAAAATGATATATGCATCCAACTACTGTCAAAAGCTTCATGGGTAATCACTTATATATTTGCATCCAAAGGATCTTTTAAAGTAATATTCATAATGTGACTGCTCGAAAACGTAAATTTACCCTCTTTTCTAATTATTATGTCTAATATTTTGCATGAACCCAAGTCGCTATAGAAAAAGAATGAGAAAGGTAAATGATTTCTTCTGTTTTTACAAATCGATTGTTTCAAAATATAGTCCTCTCCCTTAGTTGCTGAGATTGGATCAAAATTCAGTTCTGGATCCTTGAAAAAATAATACTGACTTCTATTGTTACCAGTTTTAAAAATATCATACTCTGCAAACTCTTTAGAAAATTCGGCAACTGCATATGCGTCTTCTTTATCATTTATATAGCTATATGGATATTCATCAAGGTAGGCTAAGCCAACTAAAACCCCTCCTTTACAGTCAAACCATTTACCAGTGCTACAGATATCGCAATATAAAGCATCATATTACTCGCATTTATGATCATATATAGTTTCCACAAAAATAGCATTCGTATCACATTCGCTTTACTGCCCCATGGGCTCTTTCTGTGCATTGCTCACAATACGATGAATCGCTGAACCCTAAACAGTTTATGAATAATTGGTCTACACATATATTGAATGATGGAGCTCTTACACAGTTTAAGGTTCAAGAACTGCTGCAGGATTTACAGTTACTGTCAAAGTACTCAGGCAGTTTGCAAAGGCTATACAATTTTTATCATCTCTTGATATACAGAAGATGCTGTCTAAGTCTGCACCTATACCTTCAATTTGCCCATATATTGTTTAAAGTTAATTACAAAACTTGTAAAGCCAGAATCTGTGCCTTTCCCAATAAATAAGTGGCTTGGCTTGTCCCTAAACAAATACTGTGAATAAGTATTGAGAGAATACTGCATGCCATTCATATAGGTTGAAATGGTTGTTGAGCCATTAAAATAACTGACGATAAGAGTGAATAAATTTGAATCAGCTGAAGAAATGGTGCTAGATTCTGATAATAAAACTGACTGAAATGGATTAATCAGTAAGGCCTGGGCTGAAAAAAATTGGTAGGCAAAACTATTCGGTTTTCTTTTTCTATAATATTTCAAGCTTCATAACTATTTATTCACAAAGCAATTGAAAATGTATGCGAGAAATAGAGAGGGGTATCAGAAACTAAGAATTGGCTGGAATTAAAGTGAAGTCCTCTTCCTTTAATTGGAACAGGGTCGCACTCTTCAGGATTTTCCAATAATTAAATGAGCTTGAGCTGCCTCAAGTTTTAAATACGTCATAAATTTCACTAAATTCCGCTTCAAATTCTGCATTGATTACCAAACAGGCCGAATCAAAATACTCATTCTCTTCAAAGCCATGAGGAATTTCGTCTAAACAAATCCCATTTTAAATAGCCACTTTCGCACTCCTTGCTATCGAAATAAGTTGCTTCACGCTTGTTCCAGGCTTTTCAGTAGCCGCTATCACATTTTTCACAAGCCCAGTCTATTTCATTTTTTACAAGAATTGAGTCAGGATTATAGATACAAACTAAACCTTGAAGACTGGCTACACATTCATTGCAAGAACTGTCACTGAAACTTGGGCACTTTATGGAAAGTCTATAAGAGTAAATATTGCAAAACTTGGGTCTTACAAATCAGCTTCAGCATGAATCGTTGCAAGTAGTGCAGTTATCGTCATAAAGCTAAAAACCTCAAGGTGATAGATAAGGCCTTTGTCTGTCAACTGCACAAATTGATTCGTCATTGTAAAGTGATAGATCGTTTATAGTACCAATAAATAGCTTAAAATCATAGATAAAGCCTTAAAATTAAAATTAGTTCCCCCATTTCCGATTATTAAATAATTTGAAATATCTCTGTTAAATATGCAGTCTCTAACTCCCCCCTCCGTGAGTGAACAAAACCATTAGAATCATCGCTATTTTTTGCCCAAAAACTCACCCTCCGTGGGTGAACAAAAATTTTTTTTAATAGAAAAATGTTTTATGGAAAAAAAAATTGATATATAAGTGATAATTAGCATAATTAAACCTAGTGTTAATTCTGTTTAATTTTAAACAAATTGCTTTTTAAAACATAAATTTTATAAATTAAATTAATATTTGCTTTCCAATTTTCGCGAATTAGTATTTTTTTAAATTTCGAAAAAAAATTTTTATAAAATTTATATATAAAATTTTTCTAAAAAAAAAAAATTAACTCCCCTCCGTTAGTGAACAAAATTTTTTTGTTCACTCACGGAGGGGGGGAGTAAGAGCTTTCTTGCTTGATTACCATTCAAAAACATAGCTATCGTTTTCATTCCGTTTAAAAAGCTTAATGATAATTAAAATTGGCATCAACCACTTATAATAGATTGATTAATTGGTTCAACAATAACTCCATAAGTGGGACTGATCACAGTGATTGAAGAATAATCATTTCGTATCATAATTCTATTATTTTTTGGAAAACAACTCTTCATCCATAGCTATCAATTCAGGAACTAATAGAAAATGAATGTGAAAATAAAGCGAGTCACAAATCAAAAATTGGTTTCCATAAAAGTAAGGTCTTCTATCCTTTGCTGGGATTGGATAGATTTAGGTTGCAATGTCTATGCCATGGATACTCGCTCAGCTGCCAAAGTTGACGCTGAATCTATGGGTGCAAATAAAATAAAAATGACACATTCCTTAGATTATTACGTTTAGTAATACTAGTATCACTAGCACCACTAGCATCACTAGCAACACTAGCACCACTAGCAACACTAGCAACACTAACAACACTAGCACCACTAGCATCACTAGCAACACTAGCAACACTAGCAACACTAGTACCACTAGCAACACTAGTACCACTAGCACCACTAGCACTACTAGCAACACTAGCACCACTAGCATCACTAGCAACACTAGCAACACTAGTACCACTAGCAACATCAGCAAAGTAGTGTTAGAATTTACCAAAAGAGTAGAAAGAAGAAAATAGCATTTAAATTTCATATGAAATATATTTTAGATTTATAGAGATCTAACATTACATAAACTCACTTTTGTTGATTGTTTTAACACGCTTTACACCTATTTCGTGTATTTAAGTTGATTTTCTTTTCAAATTATCAGATTCCATAAGTGCTTTGATTTCCGCATAGTTCAGATTGTAATTTTGAGGTAAGAGCCATCTTTTAAAGTTTATTGATATTACGACATAAAATACGTCTACACCTGCAAAAACTGTGGGATTGCGTGATGCAATGTCAGGCAGCTTCTCTGTGAGCTCTTTATCTGATGGAGCAAGAAAAGAAAATCCCGCACTTTTAAATAGCTTCTCAATATAGTCAGCCATTTTAAATTATATTGTATTAAGTATATGACTAAATGTGCTGTTTATTTTCTAATCTATTATATTATTATTTTGGCACACAAAATAGTGTCAGTATTAAATGTCGCAAAAGATTGTTGGTAGTGCTGCTAGTGTTGCTAGTGTTGCTAGTGTTGCTAGTGTTGCTAGTGTTGCTAGTGTTGCTAGTGTTGCTAGTGTTGCTAGTGTTGCTAGTGGTGCTAGTGGTGCTAGTGTTGCTAGTAGTGCTAGTGGTGCTAGTGGTACTAGTGTTGCTAGTGGTACTTGTGTTGCTAGTGTTGCTAGTGTTGCTAGTGATGCTAGTGGTGCTAGTGTTGTTAGTGCTGCTAGTGTTGGTAGTGTTGCTAGTGTTGCTAGTGTTGCTAGTGTTGCTAGTGTTGCTAGTGTTGCTAGTGGTGCTAGTGTTGCTAGTGATGCTAGTGGTGCTAGTGATACTAGTATTACTAAACGTAATAATCTAACAGATATGCTGTATTAAGCATTTTGGAATCCATAAGCCACTTATAAGACTTATTGAATCATCCTTCAATAAAGCCAATCTTGAAATACAAATTGGGACATTTTTTGACAAGATTTGGATACCTTTCTACGTTCCAAGCAAAAAGACAGCTTTATGGCCAGTGGCAAATTCGATTCTTTTATATCAATCAAATAAAGTAAGAGGAGAATTTTGTATGTACCGTAACCAAATTCTTGGAAAGATAAAGGATTTAAAAATCCTTAGTGAAGAAGAGGCAAATAAAATAGATATTCAGCAATTCATAAATATTTAATATCAGTTTAGAAATATCTATATTTAATTATTTCTTAGCTGATCAGTGACTTTTGATGGCATAGCGGCATTTGCAATACTATTTTATTTCTTTCTTGCCTTCATCACTTATTCTTCCTAATAAATTGATTTTCTTTCACTCAAAATTTTATTCTATTTCATCTTTTGCTTGTCTGAAAAGGGGTGAAGTTGAACTTATACTGATAGGGGTGTTTTCTATCAATTTTTTACATATAATTTTAAAGGAAAATTTTTGAGTTTTCAAGAAAAAGAGGAATCACTCCATAATTGCTATAAATTTGCTTATTTTCTTTGAACCAAGTGTATATTTCTATAGTCAATTATGAAATTATTATTGTAAAGATTCAATTTTTTTAATCTATTAAAGAAGTACTTATAATTTACTATAAATCTAAGAACTTATCACTTATGAATGAATTGATTATTTCCAATTACATCTTTTTCTCCTATTATGAGGGTTCTATTTTGTTATCTCGAATTAATGACAACATTGACAGTCTATCCAAAATAAATTATTTTAATTACAGAGCAAGATTTGAGTTGAAATAGTAAACCTATATCATAAACTGCAATCATATAGTAGATTATTTCGCACTAAAATATCTAATAAGAGAGAATTGGATAAGCTGCATTCTGTTTAAAGTGATTGGAAAAAAGCCATTATTTTTTACTAATCTTAGATTTGATCTCCATCACTTGATAAGGATGGGTCTTGTTTCTATGTTTCTGTAAATTTAGGCATAGGATTTGTTTAATAGTCTATAATAATACCTGCTCCTTCTTTAAATTTAAACAAATATCGGCAAATTCCATTTTTGGTAATTTAACTTCCCTTTAAATTAGGAAAATTTTATATGTTAAAAATATAACTTTTTATAAAATTAATTTTAGTCTCAGTCCTTCGTAAAATAAAAAATATTTAGTTTTTATTTCAATTTTAAAGAGAAAATTTTTTAAAAAAACTAACTCGTTTTAAAATGGGACAGAATTTTTCATTCCAATTTAAAGGGGGTATAGACTTTCATGTTTTGATAGAAAAGAATTATTCCTTTTCATTTTGCAACTCAAATTCATTGGATTATCTTAATTGCTTCACCAAAGCATTCTAAAGACTCATAAGCCTTTCCAATTTCATAATTTTTATTCCTTGCTTAGTTGCTTACCCAATAATATGAATACAAATTAAATATCTCAAAATACCTACTTGCCTTTAAAATTAATATAATTTTTAATTGATGGAAGAAAGCTTCAGAAATATACAGAACATCAACGATCCAACCAATCAAGAAAATATCCCAATCGCTTCTGCTATTTCTAATGATAATATTCAAGCCCCTAATATTCAAAGTCAAAACCCAGCAGCTCCTGCCAACCTAGCAGGCGCATCTCACACTGATATCCAAATTGAAGACCAACAAATCTTAGCTGCTGCTAACAAAATCCGCTCAAATAACTCAGTGCTCCAATTTGAAGGTTTACAGTTTCTCAGACAATCCCTATCTAAACTTGATAACCCCACCTAGAGACGATGTCATCAAAACAGGGATTTGCCAACATATCATTTCCTTGGCATACGAAAAAGATGACGATAAATTTTTATTTGAAGCTACATGACTATTTAAATTTTTTTAATAAATTAGTTTATGATGCCTAAAACTCATAATCCTATATTTTTCGTAATTAAATTAAGGCTAAAAAATGAAATTAGGCTAATCCTTTTTGAGGAGAATACAAATATTTTGTCAGGAAGCTCAGAGCAGTGCTCTTATTTGCTAAATCTTGGTGTGCTGCCTTTTTTGTTTACTGTTTTTAAGAAAAATAATTATGATATTAAAGAGCAGGTGATATGGGCTTTTGGAAATGTCGCTGGAGACTCAGCTGAATTCAGAGATACAATTTTAAGCCACGAAAAATTCAATTATGTTTATGAGTTTTTGGCTGGAGTCGACTTTTATAAGCCGAGTTTGATAAAGATGCTGTCATGAGCAGTATCAAATTTCATTTTGGGAAAGCCTCAACCCAAACCTGACAAGGTGTTACCCTTATTTTCATTTCTAGAAAGAGTCATCTTGGTGATTCATGATGTAGACGCTCTTACAGATGCAACCTGGGGATGTTCCTGTCTTACAGATATAGATGGAAGTTTACCAATTTTCCAAAATGAATTACTCCTTCCCTAAACTCGCTAACTTTTGGCTACATCATTATAATTCCTTATTTCATTAAAAAATAGTAAAATCAATTATATAAATCACTCTATATATCTCTGAATAGTACATTTTTAGAAAAAATAATTCAGCAGCTCTCCAGTTATAATGCTTCTTTACAAATTTCTTCCCTCCAGACACTTGGCAGTATTTCATCAGACTTGGATTTTTAGAAAAAATTGGCGAATTAATTTAAGTCCCAACATAAAGGTAAGAAGAGAAATCTGCTGAATGCTGTCAAATATTTGTACAGAAAAAAAAGAAGCTGTTGAAGGGCTATTAGAAAGAAAAGTTTATGAGAAATTATTGAAGGTATTAAAAGAAGATAGTGAAGATGTTAAAAAGGAAGCTATATGGGCAATCGGAAATACAGCTACAGTTTGTGATGTAGAGCAAGCTAGAAGGGTCGCCCAAATAGGGTTGATTGGAGAAATGATAAGTTTGCTAGATAAAATGAAAGCGTCACAGAAAGTTGCACTTGAAGGGCTGACTGAATATTTTGAAAAAGATAAAAATATTGTGGGGAGTGAGGAAAGAAGTAGGCTGATTGGGATGTTGGATAGAATGATTGAGGAAGGTGAAAATTCTGCAAAGGCAGTGAGCTTGAGGTTAATGCTGATTGATATCAATAATAGTGAGGGGAATAATTAATACATTTAATCAGATGTTAGCTTGGAACAATTATTAGCTGCACGAAACATAGAAAGTAGATTAAATACAAAAAGAGCTTAATTTATTATGAATATCTTTAATATAATCAAATCTTAACCCTTTATTTGGTACACCATTAAACATATATTGAATTTAACTATTTTAAATCCAGTTTTCAGTGCAGCTTTCATTACATAAGTTTATCTTCGTCAATCAATTCTAACTTTTCCTCTGAAAATTGATAATAAAAACTCGATTTATTTCAAATTTTCAAGTCGAAAACCTGCTTTTAAAAACAGCAGAGCTTTTACAGCATCTGCTTTTAAAATCTAATTTAATATAGATATCCAAAATATATTGTTTAATAGCTGAGCTTATATTAATAATAATTTAATAACCAGAATTAAATGCATTTTAAATGCAAAGGAGCTCTATTCAAGAATTCATCAGTAGGGAATTAATAGTGATTATTACATTAGACTCAGCTAAAACAGTAAAGCAATTTTTCCTATATAAAAATGGAGAGCAGAAAGAATTTAAAAGAACTTGAAAACATAAAAATAGAAAACAAGTGAGACTTGCTTCTTTTTCAAATCATCACTATTACTAGTGATATCAATAGCAAACTCAAAGAAATAGAAAGCAGTTTAAACATTATAAATATCTTAATAGATGAGATAGCTGAGATTTTGAGTAGACCAAGCGGTCCCTTCAAACCACGCCTCTTTCAATAGTGACTTTATTTTTACTTATTATTTTTTGCATTATTTTTTTCCTATTTTTTCACATATCTGTTTTTGTCCTACTCTAAAGAAAATTATAAATTGGAATATTTATTTAAAAAATATTATTAAAATACACTAATTTTTTTCTCGCGGAGAGAGGAGCAAGCACATTTTACTTGAGAATCATTTTAGATTAATCCAGATTACAAAGGAGTTATGATTCTCAATCAAGAAACTCAGAGATATTGGCAGGATTTTGACTATTTTATACATTTTGGAATAGAAAAGACACTTATCAACCATATTGAATAATGATTCGGCTCTTTTATATCACTCAAATCTTTTAAAGGGAGAATTTCTAATGCACCGAAATCAAATTTTTAGAAAGGTAAATGATTTGAGAACAGCTAGTAAGGAAGATACGAATAAGATAGGAAAATAGATATAAAGCAATTTCTTAGTAGGGATGGACTGCCATATAGAGTCAATAGGTCCGAACTCTCTTGTAGAGCTGGCAGAGCCATGCAGATCTAGCTTATTTTGGTCAACACACATACCCATTTTATATGAAATTCAGTGACAAAAATCAGCTTTCTAAACATACTTGACTTATAACATGATTTAAAGTTTTATTCATAAAATAATTAGTGAACATTATTTTCTCCAATCCTACTGGTTAATTGAATGCTGCAATAATAATTTAGCTGCAAATCATTAATTATTATAGTCATTCTTAAATCCTTTGTGTCTATGGTTGATAATTTTTTCAATATTCTCAATTATCTGGTATATAAATGCTGAGGCTAAGGTTTTTTGCCAAAGGATTCTCTCGCTCGTTTTCAGAATTTCCAAATCACTACAAAGCAGAAAAAGCTCAGATAGATCTAAAACTTGCAAGTGCTAAAACTTTAGATTCATTTATAAACGATATAGACTTGTCCAAAACTTCTCATTCAATGCTTGCATACACACTTGCAAAAGTTTATAAGGAAAATCAAAAAATCGACCCAGAAGCATTAAGAAAGCTTTTCAAAATTAGAGATGAAGTTAAAGAGAACATTGCAAAACTTGATTTTCAAGGCATCGCCAATTTTTGTGATTGATATAGTAGTTTAACCACAAAAATATTTCTAGCAAAAGAGACGAAGAAATTATTAATTGATCGCATAAATAAGTATTTAATTAGTCACTCTTTTGACCGGAAACAAATTTTATCAATCTATGAAAATTTAACACCTGAAGGGTTTAGAATAGAAGAACTAGATAGAGAGATTAAAAAAATTGCGATGAGCAAATTAAATTTGGAAGAAATTTCAAAAATTTTGACCGGATGTGGAAGATTTATCTATACTTCAAACATAAGTTTATTTTTTGCTTGCATGGAAAGATTATTTCAACTAAATAAAGAAGAGCTTGATGGAAAACACTTAGCCAAAATTTTAGATGCTTTAGCTATTAAACAGCCTGCAAAAATACATCATTATTTATCAGATTTTGTAAAATTTATTGAAGAAAGCTTATCTAGATGAGAAGAAAATGACTTATTATCAGTAATCAGGTTCTATAAGTATTACAATTCTGGCTATAGGATTCCATACCAAATCGCACTAAAAAGACTGAATATCTTGCTTAGTAATGATCAATCCATAGAATTTATAATTGAATTGGCTAGTCTTTTAAAAAATCACCCAATTATTTATTTTATTGCTGATAACATAGCTTTAAAAGGTTTACAAATAATTAAGGAAAAACTTTCAAAAGAATCAATAGACTTAGAAAATATAAAAAAAATACTTAGGCTTATAGGCCCGAATATTGATTATCAGACTGCACTTGCATTAGCAGACCAAATAAATAGTAAAACCCTTTATTTTGAACAAGGCATGGAAATGATTGAAAAAGCATCATGATTATGTGTTAATAAAGAAGGGAAGCTTTTCCCTTTGGCAAATTTAATTTCAAATGAAATAAACTATAAAAGAATTAAAGATCTTGAGTTTCGTTACAAAATAGATGCATTATTCAGCATTATTCATATAAATAATTTTGAGCTATATGGCCTGCAAAAACTAAAAGATTTCCTTATAGATGAACTAAAAGAGTGAATTGCTTTAAGCGGTGACAATATTAAGCTTTTTATAAATCTTGTTTACGATAAAGAATATAGTTCAAAGTTTTGTAGAGCAATAAAGCCTTTACAAGCCATAGCTTTTTGCTCAATAAAAAAATTATCTAAGGAATTTGATTGATTACATTATTCGATTATGCTTTATGAGTCTGATCCTGAAAAATGAAAAGACTTTGTGATTGAAAATAAAAATAGCTTTTCATATGAAGATATATTAAGAGCAATAAGATATTATAAAGGACCTTTTGCGGCAATTATATTTTTGTTGCAAACATATAAAAATAAGTTATTTCCGCAATGGATAGGTGCAGCCATGGATAGAATTCCTGAAAAGGAAAATGCTCAAGTTCTAAATGATTTTGCTCGTATTCTAAACAAAATAGACCCTCATTATTTAGTATATGAAGATAGTATCATCACTAGAATGGATAATTTTGGTTATTTTTTTAGGAATTCCGACTTTAGTTTACTGCCAGATTTATTTGATGACGCATATAAATTGATAAAGGACCTGCCTATTGATTCTGTCTTTAACAATTGAAATATCAAAATACTCAGCCATGTGTCACGGCTTGGCAAGTTAGAACCGGAAATGGCTGATTCTGTTGTATCTAACTATGCTTATATGAAGGAGCTTGATCAATTACCCATGCTGACTATTGCTTCAAAATGCACTGATTTGGAGCTGAGAAAAAATATAATCAATAAAGTTTTCAATGGGAAACACATTCATTTTTTACTTCCTCTCATTATTAAGGCATACTGATGTCATCCAAAAACAGAAGAAGTTGATAATTATATTATCGATATATTAAAAAAAATTGTTCCACTTTTAGGAAAAAGTTGTCTCTCAATTCTGGGAAATGTAATTGCCAAACTTCACCAAAAGAATATAAATGAACATTTAGAGCTATATAATGCAATATCATCCTTATTAAAAGAATTTGTTTTAAATAATGTAGAAAAATTATCATTCGGAGATCTTAATGTATTGCTGCATTTAGCTCTGATAAATATGCCCATGGATCTTAATTTTGCTCAAATAATATGGCAGAATAGTAAGAATAATAAATTGCCTAGTAATGAGTACAAAAGAGTAGACATTATTGAAAAAATAAAAGCAATAGGATTATCTGACAAAAATGCAGTTTTAGCAATTTGTAATAAGCAATATAACTTTAGAGCAGCTTATTTAGCAGAAACTATTTCATGTTTGGCAGAATTAAGATTTGAAAATGAGAGTTGGGCTAAGAAAATGGCTAACGGATTAATGGATTATGTGGAAGATAAAAAGATTTCCTTTGAAAATGATAAAGAGCACATCAACTGGATATATGGGCTTGTTGCTTTTAAAGCAAATAAGTCAGAAATTATGAGACATTTAGAAAACTGTAAATTTTTTGATTGTGAATTGCCAACTTTTAAGCACTTTTTACTTGAGAATCACTTCAGCATGGACCCAGATTACAAAGGAGTGAGATTTCTCAATCAAGAGATACAAAAATATTGGCAGGATTTTGACTATTTTAAGCATTTTGGAATTGATAAACCATATATTAAAATAGCATGGGACAACCTAGCCTCTTAACAGTCTAGCTGGGAAAACAAAGAGATCTTGTGGAAGGTAGGATGGCGTTCAAAAGTATGTATCTGAGCAAGTCTTTTTGGTTTGGTTGAGCACAATGTCGGATTGCCGCCCGCAGCTCATTTCAGATCAAGATTTTACCCTGTGGAAAAATCGTGCACAAAAGTTCAAAAGCGAAGACCCAGCAGTGAGGCTCCTCCTGGTCAATCGGACACATTTCCCAGAGTATATCAGGCGTTATAATTGGACTTTGAGTTTCAATTTTGGTGGAGAGGTGACCAGAAAATTCGATTTTTCTGAAAGCTGTAGCCCCGTTGATGTCCAGAATGGTGTTCCATTATCTCTGACATATAGGTGGAGATTGCACACCTCGCCTGAGAAAAAGCACAGTGAGAATTTATGCTCAAATTGGCCAGCAAAAGGTGGAGCGATATTGAGACGAATGTGGCTTTTTGATGTGCTTGCCTATAATATTAAGCATTTTGGAATCCATCCGTCACTTATCAGACTTATTGAATCGTCGTTCAATAAGGCCAATCTTGAAATACAAATTGGAACATTTTTTGACAAGATTTGGATACCTTTCTACGTTCCAAGCAAAAAGACAGCTTTATGGCCAGTGACAAATTCGGTTCTTTTATATCAATCAAATAAACTAAGAGGAGAATGTTTTATGTACCGTAACCAAATTCTTAGAAAAGTAAGCAATTTGAAAATGCTTACTCTCGTGAGCGAACAAAAAAATTTGCCAAGGACGAGTTTTTTATCCAAAAATAGGAATTTCTCCAATGATTTGTTCGGAGGGAATTTAGTGAAGAAGAGGCGAATAAAATAGATATTCAGCAATTCCTTAATATTTAATATCAGTTTAGCAATATCTATATTTAATTATTTTCTTAACTGATCAGTGACTTTTGATGACATAGCGGGCATTTGTAATATTACTTTATTTCTTTCCAGCCTCATCATTTATTCTTTTCCTTATAATTTCATTTTCTTTCACTCAAAATTTTATTCTATTTCATCTTTTGCTTATCTGAAAAGGAATTATACTGATAGGGGTGTTTTTCAAATATAATTTTAAAGGAAAGTTTTGAGTTTCAAGAAAAAGAGTAATCGCTCCATAATTGCTATAAATTTGCTTTATTTTCTTTGAACAAAGTGTATATTTCTATAGTCAATTATGAAATTATTATTGTAAGATTCAATTTTTTAATCTATTAAAGAAATGCTTATAATTTACTATAAATCTAAGAACTTATCACTTATGAATGAATTGATTATTTCCAATTACATCTTTTTCTCTTATTATGAGGGTTCTATTTTGTTTTTTTGAATTAATGACAACTTTGGTAGTCTATCCAAAATGAATTATTTTAATTTCAGAGCAAGATTTGAGTTGAAATAGTAAACCTATATCATAAAACTGCAATCATATAAGAATCCCCCCTCATTTGTCCAATTTTCTAGTCTTTTATCATTTGTCCATTTTACTAGTTTTTTTATAGGAAAAAAAAATTTTTTTAAAGCCTCATTTGTCCAATTTTCTAGTCAAAATTTTGATAGAAAAAAAAAATTTTCAGGACCTCAAATGTCTCATTTTCTAGTTTTCTTAAAGTAAAAAACTAAAATTTAGGACATTCGAAAAAGTCCAAAAAAGACTAGAAAAATGGGACTAATCATTTTTGACTAGATTTTGGGACAAATGAGGTCCTGAAAATAAAATTTCTTAGAAAAAAAGACTAGAAAATTGGACAAATGAGGGGGGATCCTTACTCCCCCCCCCTCCGTGAGTGAACAAAACCATTAGAAAAATCCCTATTTTTTGCCCAAAAACCCCACCCTCCGTGAGTGAACAAAAATTTTTTATGGAAAAAAAATTTAATATATAAATGATAATTAGTATAATGAAATCTAGAGCTAATTCTGTTTAATTTTGAACGAATTGCTTTTTAAAACATAAATTTTATAAATTAAATTAATATTTGCTTTCCAATTTTTGCGAATTAGGATTTTTTAATTTTCGAAAAAAAATTATTTTTTATAAAATTTATATATAAATTTGTTTTAAAAAAAAAATTAACCCCCCTCCGTGAGTGAACAAATTTTTTTGTTCACTCACGGAGGGAGGGGGGGGAGTTAGTAGAATATTTTGCACTAAAATATCTAATAAGAGAGAATTGGATAAGCTGTACTCTGTTTAAAGTAGTTGTAAAGCTATTTTTTTTTACTAATCTTAAATTTGATAAGCATCACTTAATAAGGACGGATCTTGCTTCTATGTTTCCGAAATTTAGGAAGAGGATTTGATTAATAGTCTATGATAATGCCTGCTCCTCCTTTAAATTTAAACAAAATATCGATAAATTCCATTTTTTGGTGCTTTAACTTCCCTTTAAATTAGAACTATTTTTAATAGGAAAATTTTATATATGGAAAATACAACTTTTTATAAACTAAATTTAAGTCAGTTCTTCGTAAAATAAAAATATTTAGTTTTATATTCAATTTTAAAGAGAAAATTTTTAAAAAAACTAACTCGTTTTAAAATGGGACAGAATTTTTCATTCCAATTTAAAGGGGGTATAGCTTTTCCATATTTGATAGAAAAGAATTATTCCATTTCCATTTTGTAACTCAGAATTCATTGGATCAATCTTAATTGCTTCACCAAAGCATTCTAAAGACTCACAAGCCTTTCCAATTTCATAATTTTTATTCCTTTGGCTAGTTGCTTACCTAATAATATGAATACAATTAAATTACTTACCATTAAAATTAATATGATTTTTAATAATGGAAGAAAGCTCAGAAATATGCAGAATGCAACGGTCCAACCCCTCAAGTAAATAGCTCAATCGCTTCTACTATTTCTAATGATAAAATTCAAGCCCCTAATAGTCAAAGCCCAACTCAAGCAGCTCCTGCCAACTCAGCAGATGCATTTCACACTGATATCCAAATTGAACACCAACAAAACTTAGCTGCCGTTAGCAAAATCAGCTCAAATAACTCAGTGCTCCAATTTGATGGTTTACAGTTTCTCAGAATATTACTATCTAAAGTTGATAGCATCTCACTTAGAGACGATGCCATCAAAACAGGGATTTGTCAGCATATCATTTCCTTGGGATACCAAAAAGATGACGATAAATTTTTATATGAAGCTACATGACTATTTAAATTTTTTGAATAAAATTAATTTATGATGCCTAAAACTCATAATCCTATATTCTCTGTAATTAAATTAAACCTAAAAAATGAAAATAGGCTATACCGTTTGAGGAGAATATAAATATTTTGTCAAGAACTTTAGTGCAGAGCTCTTATTTGCTAAAAATTGGTGTGCTACCTTTTTTATTTACAATTTTTGAGAAAAATAATCATCAAATTAAAGAGCAGGTGATTTGGGCTTTGGGAAACGCTGCTGGAGACTCTGCTGAATGCAAGGATACAATTTAAACCATGAAAAATTCTGGAGTGGAGTTTCATAAGCCTAGCTTGATAAGGATGTTGTCATGAGTTAGGTTAGGTTTAGTAAAATCAGGTGCTAGCCATATTGGTGACGCAGCCGCCAAAGACATCTCGTACGGGAGGTTTATCTGCTTTTCGATTCCAGCCCAGAGGGTCTTTCCCCGAAGGTGGATGCCACTTCCAGTACCTTCTGTCACCTCGCTGTGGCTTCAATCTTGATTACTTATGGATTTCTGCTGACACGGGCGATTGGAGTAGCTTGATTCTAAGGATACTTGGAGGCTATCAGATGCTAAAGTGCCTTCGACAGCTACAGGAAAAAGACTACTGCCCTATAGCCTGGACCGAAACCCCAGTTCTCGGTAGATAAATGCCATGTGTCCTCGGATCCAAAGGACGTTGTTGAGACCTCCATTTCCAGCCTCAGGAAAGCAGCCAAAGCCTATCGATACACATCTCTTGATTCTCGACTCGAAGTCTGTATCAGTTTGCCGAAGCATAAGATCCGGACTTTTGCGCCAAGAGGTTAGAGGTAGCATGCTTTTTCATTTAAATATATATGCTGCCCGTCATGAGCAGTATCAAATTTCATAAGAAGACAACATCGGCCCGAAGCCAGCAAGGTGGTACCTTTATTTTAATTTCTACAAAGAGTCATTTTGGAGATTGATGATGTAGAAGCCCTTACAGATACAACCTGGGGATGCTCAGTTCTTACAGAAATAGACAGAAATTTACAAATGTTCCAAAATGAATTACTCTTCCTAAATTAACTTATTTTTAGCTACGTCATTATAGTGGCTTATTTCATTAAAAAATATAAAGCACTCTATATATCTCTGAATAGTATATTTTTATAGAAATTAATTCAGCATCTCCCAGTAATAATGGTTCTTTGCAAAAGCTTTCTCTCCGAACACTTGGCAATATTTATCACCATTGCCAAGTTTATACGAAATTATGGTCGGACTTGGATTTTTAGAAAAAATTAGCGAATTAATTCTAAGTCCAAAAAACTGTAATAAGAGAAATCTTGTGAATACTGTCAAATATTTGTACAGTAAATAGAAGCCGTTAAACTGCTATTAGAAATAAAAGTTTATGAGAAATTATTGAAGGCATTAAAAGAAGACCGTAAAGATGCTAAAATTGAAGCATTATGGCTAATAAGAAATACAACCACAATTTGTGATGAAGATCAAGCTGAGAGTGTTGCCCAAATAGGCTTAATTGGAGAATGATAAGTTTGGTAGATAAAATGAAAGCGTCACAGAAAATTATGTTAGAAGGGCTGACTGAATATTTCGAAAAAGATGAAAATAATGTAGGAAGTGAGGAAAGAAGTAGGTTGATTGGGGTGTTGGATAGAATGATTGAGGAAAGTGAAAATTCTGATAAGGTAGTGAGCTTGAGGTCAATGCTGCTTGATATCGATAATAGTGATGAAGATTATTAATATATTTAATCAGATATTAGTTTGGAATAACTATAATAATATCAGCAATGTAAACAATAGGGATCATATTTACAATTATTAAATATGGTTAAAAAAAGATATTGCAAGCTATTTAATATAACGCAGAGCACTTATACTTAATTTGATGAAAAATTATTATGCATTGCTTTAACTTATTGCTAAATCTATGACTCACCTCATTATCTCACGTTTATAATTAATACCTTTGCCTATCTAAATATTAATTTCTTTATAAATTATAGCTCATATTTATTAATTTATACTGATTGAAACGAAAAATTGAAAGGATTTTGGAAATGGATTTTTCAAATAATTCGTAGAATGAATAAAACTTCTAAGCGAATTAGAAGTTATAGCTCTTTTCATTGAATAGCCCGATAACGGAATGAAGCCAGCCCGTTATCGGGCTATTCAAGGGAAAGCGCTAGGGCTAAAAAAAGCTATTGAAATAAAGCATGAAAATGCTGACGCTAATGCCAATGGTGCTATCAAGAGATACTTTTAATTAGCTGCTTTAAAAAATTAGCAGGTTCAAATATTAATAGTTTGATTTAATTTTTAAATATCATCTTGACTTACTTAAATTGTGGAGTTAGCTGCACGAAATGTAGAAATTTGATTAAAATACAAAAAGAGCTCAATTTATTATGAATATCTTTAATATAATCAAATCTTAACCCTTTATTTGGTGCATCTTCAGGCGTATATTGAATTTAACTATTTTAAATTCAGTTTTCAGTGCAGCTCATTGCAATAAGTTTATCTTCGGCAATCAGTACTAACTTTTCTCTAAAAATTGGTAATAATAATAAAATCGATTTATATCGAAATTTGATAGTCGAAAAATGCTTTAAATAAACGGTAGAGCTTCTAGATCATCTGCTTTTAAAATATAATTTAATTTAGATCACCAAAATATATTGTTTAATAGCTGAACCTACCTTAATAATAATTTTAAAACCTAGGATTAAATGCATTTTAAATACAAAGGAACTCTTATTCAGTAGGAAATCAAGTAATTATTGCACTAGACTCAGCTAATGAAGTAAAAAAAATTTTCCTTGATAATAATGGAGAGCAGCAAGAGTTTAAAAGAGCTTAAAAATATAACAATAGAAAGTGAGTCAAACTTTCTTAATTCTCAAATGAGCACCATTACTAATGATCTCGATAAAAACTCAAAGAAATAGAAAGCAGTTTAAAAATTATAAATACCTTAAGAATTAAGACAGCTGAGATTTTGAGCAGACCAAACAATCCAGAGTTAGAGATGGATTTCAGAACAACTTATTCAGCATATCAGAACAATTCTAATATCGATGATCAATCGCTAATTCAAGCTTACCAAGATTATCATAATGCTTATCAGCAAAAGACATGCCTTTATAATATTATACGAGAACACAAGAGATCTATTTTAATTATTTATAACACTGAAACTGAAACCCAAGAAATAAAAATCTTGAAGACTTCGCAACCAATAGACCAATGAACTTGCGTAGCTCAACTTCCAAATGGTAAGCTATTCTGTTTTGATCATCGTCGAGTTTCTGGAATTGCAGTGCTAATTGATATGAATGGCGAAGTCAAAGTGTTGCCATCTGGAACTTCTTGCAAATACTCATCATGCATCTATTTCAACAACAGCGTCTATTGCTTTGGAGGATTTTCTAATCGTTTTTTAACTCTATCTAGTAGATTTGATTTATATCAAAATCGATGAATTCAGTTAGCTCCAATGCCAAAAGCTGATGAAACGTGTAATAGTGTAATATTTAATGGGAATATTTTGATTTCTGGATATAGAAGCAAAAATCTTTTTTTATATTCAATCGATATTAACTCTTTCTCGACGATTACTTATGAATTTGGAGCAATCACAAGAAAGGTTCTGATAAGTGCAGAGAGACTGTACTTGATTGAATTCGGTGGATCAATCTATGAAAGCGAAATTGGAAGTTACATGAATTGGAGACGACTAGTAGACTTAACAATCATAAATCCCAGTCAAGTGTATTGTGTATATAATAAAGGAGGAATATACGCTGGATTAGACAGAGACCATTACTTCAAGTTTGATTTGAATGAGAAGAAATTGATTGCTTTATAATAGTCATAAAATGGTTTACTTAAAATCAATATTTTAATGCTTTAAGTTATTCAGTTTTTATTAACTAAAAGCTATGCCATTATATAAAGTAATATACTCCTAATGTTTTTTCACTCCTTAATAAATGCTAATTAAATTTAGTTTTTAAACTACCAATGCTAAATTATTCAGATACATTTCTAATTATATTCAGTTATATGTTTTAGTTCCTTAAATTTGATTATCACTGGAATCTAACTATAAATATTTTTTTAGCTTTGCTAAATAAATGATGGTTGCATTTTCTCTGCAATTCTTCTGTGCTCATTTACTGATTTTTATTCTTTTTATCAAGCTTTGCAATCCTCTCGAAGTCGTATTGGCCCGTTTTGAATCTTCAAAGAGCAGCCTCAACGCACTTAATGATGCAAGTATTAAAGAAATTTATCAATCCTTTTCATCAATTGAGTGACACGAATGCAATATATCTGTGCTAACCAATTGCATTTTGGCTTATCCCAAAAGTTCGATTTTATTAGATATTTCGAAGGTTGTTGACATACAATTCAAAATTTCAAAAATTTGCAGCGAACTGTCTTTGGTACACTTGGTCTACCAGGATAAATTTTACTATGAAGATGAGTGGACTTTCTCTCTTATCCCTCAAAAAAATAAACAATTAGATGCACTTTTGGCGCTTTTAAGCTACTTCAATTGGGCGCAAGGAATTTTTATCTGTGACCAGGGCAAGTCTGAGTGAAGAGAAAAAATTTTAGGGTTTTCTTCAGAGTTTGAATGGCTTACAGTTGAATCAGAGAGTAGCATCGAGGATTTAGTTAATGGAGTTATTTTTCAACTGGGCTCTACGCTTTATTATATTTTAACAGGAACTTCAAAATCAACTCAGATTCTAAACTCTTTAAGTGATAAAAAACTTTTGGATACTGGGAATGGAATTGTATTTCTACAAGAAGGCGGTTATAGATGCAATTATGAAGGAGCTTTAATCATAACAGAGGTTGGCCAGGAACTTGCACTTTCTATAGAAGAATATTTCAAAAACTCTGCCATAAGAGTTATTGATATTTTAATAAGAAACGAGTTTAGTGATTTCAAAAAACTTCTAAATTCAAATCTCAATGATTACCACAATAAAAGCCGACTTTCTATAGTTAATATCCAAGATGGGTTAAGAAAAACAGTCGGGTCGATTCAGAATGGCAATGTAACTATTTTTGGAGACTTGATTTTCCCTGGGCATTCGAATTCGACGCCAAAGTCAATCAAAAAGATTTTGCAGTTAAGCATAAGCGCTGGTACAACAAATCCTGGCACACCAGCAATTCCAAACGCAGCAGTATATCAAATTGAGAGATTAACTCCATCCCATAATTCCTTTTGCATGCGAAAGTTTAGATTCTTTGGCTATTATTGTTACATCCCCACATTTAACAGCGGCATTTCTTTTGTTATTAATTTGAATATGCTTTAAAAAAACTATTATTTTTTATAAAAATTGATAGAAAAGTCTAAAAAAAATTATTTTTAAACTGTATTAGGAATCCAGAAAACATTTAATAAAAGCCGTTAAGGGAATATGATTAATTATAATGTATTTATGAGGCGATAAAATTATCATAGAATAATTTAAAATTTATTTGCCACAACAATTATAAATTTAAATTATATAAAAATAAAATAATTATCATATCAAAAAAGGAGTTAGAAAAAATTTAAGAATAAAAAGCAAAGAGTCAATATCATAATCAATAATAGGTGCTCTTGGCAGTTTTGCCGTTAGAGATTTAATCAACGAAGGAAATGACATTTTATCGCACTTTAATCTAAAGTTTTTTAACTTTGATTGTGGAGTCACTGTATTCAGTGCTTCTTTTGCAGAATCTTGCTTCAGCAGGAACATAGATCAGATAGGATTATCTCATATTTCTGCTTTTGGCTCGATTATGACTATCGGATCTATTCAAATATTCAAAAAATTAAATATAACCATTCCAGTTATTGGAGCCACAAATGCTGACGATTCATTGAGCTCTATAGTAAACTTTCCTACTTATACAAGAGTCCAAATGACTTATTCTTATGTCTGCCCAAAATTTTTAGTCGTGATCAAGGGATTTGGATGAACATCAGCTGCTGTTTGGAGCATCTTTTTTTGCAAAATAATTTTTTAAAAGCGTTTATAAGTATAGAATAAAAATTAAGCAAACTGAAATTAAATAGAAATTCTGTGAAAATCTTTATTGCCTAAAATGGTGACAAAATTATTGGAAAATCCTGTATTTTGGGAAAACTAAATAATCTGAGAGAGAGGTCAAAATTTGTTTATAAAAGATTTTCATATGAATGGCTTTAATAATAAACAAGAAACTTCTAGATAATCTAGCAAATTTAGATAGATTAACTCTGAAGCGCAAATTTATGAATAATTTAATTTTATTATCTTTAAGTAAAATATTTATTCTTCAAGGGGTAGATAATTTACTATTTTCTATATTTTAGTTGGGTTGCACTAATTTTTAAATACCTTACTTATATATATTTAAATCTAGTGTCTTAAAATCTGCATTTATAGACTAAGGCTCTTGATGTAATGTATAGGTAAATCCTATAAATTGCCTTATGAAGATAGGATATTGGAGCTGGAAACTCCCCAGTGATTGGACCAACTCTCAAGTTGGTTTGACATCTGAGTTGTTATAATCATTGGAGAGTTTCTAACTCCAATGTCTGCTTTCATAGGGCAGCTTATAGGATTTACCTATAGCCTAATACTATTAGCATGAATACATGTGTGAAAGTTTGTTTTTATTTTTGCTGTTTCGCATTTATTTCTATAAGTTTTTCCAAGTATTAACTATTACTATCAAACCTATTTTGAAATAATTATTTTTTTTAATTTTGCAGTTACCAATTTTCTACCACCAAAATATATTCTCCCGCAGTTTTATATCAAAAGGACTCCTGGGGCTTTACGACATACTCCTTAATTAAACAAAATTCAGAAACTAAAGGGTTTAGGCTAGTGAATCCCGAAAAATTTAGACCCATTCCAGCAGGCATAACTAAAATTGGTCTTAAAAATTATACAAACTCTCTTCAAGAAATTATTGACTCACAAATACGTTTATTATTTTTAGTGACACAATATCCTTTAGGAAACTATATTATGGAAGAATTATATGATCTCGGAGTAAGAAAAGGGGATTTAGTTATTGGTGGCTGGTACCAAGACTTGCCTAGTTTCATGCTAATAAATGATACTAATTTGTATAAAAGATTGGAAGTTGGAATTCCAATATTTACTCTTGTGGGTGAATTTTGATCGGGAAATCTAGGTCAAGATGCCTTACGCAGAATACTCTCTGATTATCACTCAGAGCCAAGCGCTTTTTCTTGCTTCTATTCCGATGCTGCTTATCTAGTTGCTAGTGCTTTGGATTATATGATAAATAGAGGGCATGATTATAATGATCCACAAAAACTAATGGCAGCTATAAGAACTACTCAATTTTACGGTTGCACTGGTAGTGTGAGCATTGAGAAAGGAACTAACGACAGAATTGTAGATAGAATGATTATTGAAGGTCTTAAACTCAATTTAGATGGAACTGCTTCAATTTATACAATTGACAATTTTAGACCTTTCAGCTCTCAAGTAATCTCTATTATAAATCCTATAATATATGCCGATGGTTCCACTGAAAAGCCTAGTGAATATAGAGATATAAACAATAGATGCCCATTTCCTAGCAAAAAAATGAAAACTTTTCAGAAAGGAAGAGGGCTTTTATTTGGAATTTGTTTCGCTTCAGCTTTAATTATGATTGCTATTACATTCTATATTTGGAGGAAATGATGAAATATCTCTGTTGAGCCACTACACCAAAAAGAAGAAATATCAATTCAAGACGCCATTATCGCTGCCAGTATTGGAATTGAGTTCTTTCAGTATGCGTCGATGGGGCCAGACTTTAAGCTGATAAGCCCTTTGCTTTCAGAGCTCAGCGGATTAGTTTCATTGAACTTGGAAGATGTAATAAAGCTGGAAAACGGAGTCTTTTGGGTTGTAGTAGATGTAGTGTATGGAGGAATAGGACTCTGAATTTTACTTTGTCTTGTTATTCTGCTGCAGCTAGATGAGAAATTTCCATATATTTCGTTGTTCAGATTCTTGAGATGGGTTTCGGATTTTTTGATGCCTATTTTAGGAAATCTTTGCTTTATTCCGTTTATTTCAATTTGCTTAGATATTTTTCAATGCGATACATCTATAGGTGAGAATTTTACTGATAGTATCCTCGCAAAAGATTGCTATTATTTCTGTTGGAAAGGTGAGCATTTAGTATATGCAATTATCTCATTTTTTGCATTATTATTTTATGAGCCTCTTGCTATTTTTTGTAGGCCGCTTTGACAAGAATTGCAGCCTACATTGCATGTAAAAACTGTGCCGTTGTTTCTGATGGTTAAAACAGTAGTACAAACCACATTAATTGTCTTAAATGAAACAGTAAAAAGATCTAGCGATATCGCTCATGGACTGATATTTATAATATTTATGATTTTTTATGCAGTATTTACTTTCAAATTCAAGCCTTACAATTATTCAAGATTTAGCTGATGGCAAGGTTTAAGCATAATTGGAGTTATTTGACTCGCCATGATATCAATGTCTGGGTACATTAAAAATGATCAGAATTTATATATTTCATTGTTTGCAGTCCTGCTTTCTGGCTGGTGTGCTATTATAATTATCGGCTTATATATCCAAGCTAAAAAGTATCCCAGCTTGCTTTTTAGGAAAAAAGGATACGATCCAAGCACTTTATTTAAATTTGCTTTTACCTTTGGCAAAAGCTCAAGAATATCTCTAGAAAAATTGCAGCAAGCAAGCGGTAAAAGTATCACTTTTTAAAATCATATTTAATTTAATTACGACATTATTTTAAGTTTTCAGGCTTAGTCATCAAGAATTAGGAAAAATTCTTATTCAGGATGCACGTCTGATGATTTAAGCAGTAATAGAATAAATTGAGTATTGTTCATATGATTTAGTATAGATTTTCTGATAGATATATTTAGAAAACAAATTATTTTTTTGCCATGAAAGCATCAAAAACTTTAATTAATTCTTAGAAGAATGTTTAAATTCATAAAATAAATGGTCTCATAAATATAGCAAAACATTTTATAATGGTAAACTTTATTTTCATATAGCCCAAATGCATGAGTGCATTTAAACTACAAGGGCAATAGGGGTTTAAGAAGGGAATAAATTCAATTGCTAGCCAGAATCAAATTTTCAATGATAATATTCTTTATTTTTATAAAAATTATTTCTTTGCTTTCTTTTTATCAAGCTGCGCCATCCTCTAGAAATCATATTGGCTCGCTATGGTTCTTCTAAAAGCAGCCTGAATGCACTTGATGATAAAAGTATTCAAGAAATATAAATGGCATGAATGCAATATATCTACGATAAAAAATTGCATTTCGGCTTATCCTGATAGCTCAGTTTTACTAGATATTTCAAAGGTATTTGATACACAATTTTAAATTTCACAAATTTGTAGCGAGCTGTCTTTACTGCATTTAGTCTACCAAGATAAATTTTACTATGAAGATGAGTGGACTTTCTCTCTTATCCCTCAAAAAAATAAACAATTAGATGCACTTTTGGCGCTTTTAAGCTACTTCAATTGGGGAGAAGGAATTGCTATCTGTGACCAGACTAAGTCTGAATGAAAAGAAAAAATTATAGGATTTTCTCCAAAATTTGAATGGCTTACAGTTAGGTCAGAGACTATGTCGAAGATTTAGTTAATGGAGTTATTTTTCAACTGGGCTCTACACTTTATTATATTTTAGCAGGAACTTCAGAATCAACTCAGATTCTAAACTCTTTAACTCTTCAAGCAAATAAATATAAGTAGGAATACCTATATAAAAAAATTATGTGCACAAAAATGTTTCTACTGGTTAGCCATCATCCTATTTTTTCAAAATGGCTAATTTTAATATACTGATGTATTTATGAGTAAAAATATTTCTCGTACCCATAATTTTGTTTATTTAATATACTAATTTCTCTTTAATAACTCGTTAAAAATCTTTTTATAAGCATCCCAGAAAGTATCTAATCAACGAAATTTATTTTGCCACTTTTAAGCAGCAGAAAAAGCTTTGAAAAGAGCATGAACTTTCTTGATTTAGTACTATATTGATGCTTATCAAGAAATTTAGAGCTTTTGGATCGTAAATGGCTTTAAAAAACTAAATAAGTTTGATGATTGTAAAAACTTTGGTAACTATTACTAATATATTATAAGATTTAATTTGAAACCAATCTTCAATAAATTTTATTTTTCTTTCAATTTTGAATAAAATAAGCAGTAAATTGATTAAGTGATAAAAAGGTTTTATGAGCTGGGAATGGAATTGTATTTCTTCAAGAAGGCGGCTATAGATGCAATTATTAAGGAGCTTTAATCATAACAGAATATTTGAAAAACTCTGCCATAAGAGTTATTGATATTTTAATAAGAAACGAGTTTAGTGATTTCAGAAACCTTCTAAATTCAAATCTCAATGATTATCACAATAAGAGCCAGTTTTCTATAGTTAATATCCAAGATGGGTTAAGAAAAACAATCGGGTCGATTCAGAATGGCAATGTAACTATTTTTGGAGACTTGATTTTTCCTGGGCATTCGAATTCGGCACCAAAGTCAATGAAAAAGATTTTGCGTTAAGCATAAGCGCTGGCACAACAAATCCTGGCACAACAAATCCTGGCACGCCAGCAATTCCAAATTCAGCAGTATATTAAATTGAGGGATTAACTCCATCCTATGATTCCTTAATTTTTTTGCATGCGAAAAGTCTAGCTATTATTGCTAAATCGCCGCATTTAATTGCAGCACACATTTTTTCATTATTAATTGGATTAAGCTTTAAAAATGTTCAAATTATTCGTAATTTTTTGTTTTAAAGTTTATAGAAATTTTAAACATAAAATGTAGAGATAAAATAATTTCAACTATTTATTAGATATGGTAAAGCTTTGTCTAATTATTATTTTTTGGGATAGCTTGAAAGATTTATATATTTTCCCTAATCAATTAATTTTTTTTCCCTAAAACCTAGAGTGCCAAATAAGGAGGGTAAAATAAAATTAAAAAATGAAAAGGAGGAGAGTCAATCTCATAATCAATAATAGGTGCCCTTGGCACTTTTCTTATTAGAGATTTAATCAATGAAGGAAACGACATCCTATCACACTTTAATCTGAACTTTTTTAGCTTTGATTGTGGAGTTATTGCATTTAACGCTTCTTTTGCAGAACCTTGCTTCAGCAGAAACATAGATCAGCTGGGATTATCTCACATTGCTGCTTTCAGTTCAGCTATGACTTTTGGATCTTTTCAAATATTCAAAAAATTAAATATAAAAATACCAGTTGTTGGAGCTGCAAGTGCTGACGATTCATTAAGCTCTATAGTAAACTTTCCTACTTACTCAAGAGTTCAATGACTTTTTTCTTATGCCTGCCCCAAATTTTTAGTCATAACTAAAGGACTTGGATGAACATCAGCAGCTGTTTTGGTGCATTTTTTAATATGCAAAATTATTTTAAATATATAGAAAAACATTAGAAGTCTAGCAAAAGGTAACAAAAATTGAGAAATAAAGCACCAAATTAAAAATAAAATAAATATAAAAGTAAAATCAAAATTAGTGAAAATTTAAAGATTTAATCTAGTTTGCAGAAATTAATTTAATTTAAAAGACATATTTACGTAAATATAATCTATCCATCAATAGATTATTTTCTATATTTAACTCACTTGAACTTTTCTTTAAACCCTTTCAGCAACAAAAAGTTTAGCGCTATTTTCTGAATTAGAAATTAATATATAATTTAGCTATTATAAAAGTAAAAGCATATACATTAAAAAGGATTGGTGGACCAACCCGCCCTTAACTCTTGTAGCTAGAATCTCATTTTAACAATTTTTACCGCCAAAACACATTCTCCCGCTGTCTTATATCTAGACAACCTCTGGGGCACTTCGATATATACGCAGATTGTAAAAAACTCAGAAATCCTAGGGTTTAAGTTAGTGAATCCCGAAAAATTTAGACCCATTCCGGCAGGCATATGGTCAAGTACAGATTACAACCTTCCACCCCCATTATATAATTAGGCATATATACAAGTTGCCCGATGATGACACATTATGCGCCATCGTCGGACATTTCCTATAGATTAATTAAGCAATCGACCTATAGCCCATACCCTTATATACCTCAGCCTATTTTAATTTATTCAATAGAAAATTCTATATAGGGGCATGGGCTATGCACCCGATTCCAAATTATTGTGTGTTATGAATATTTAAACACCAGTAAACTTGATTAATAGCTATGACCAGTTTGCTATTTAGCAATTGAATAGTAGACTAACTTTTAACCAGGTAAGACAAGCTTACTGGTGTACAAATACACACTCGCAATATAAAATATGTCTAATTATATAATGGAGGAGGGGGCCGCGATCTATGATTTATGGGCATGGAAGAGAGGTGAGGGCTGGAATCTGTGCTTGGCCAGGCATAAGCAAAATTGGTCTTAAAAATTATACAAATGCTCTTCAAGAAATTATTGATCCAAAAATAAGATTATTATTTTTGGTGGCACAGTACCCTCAAGGAAACTATATTCTTGAAGAATTATATGATCTTGGGGTGAAAAAGGAGATTTAGTTATTGGCTGCTGGTATCAAGACTTGCCTAGTTTCATGCTGATAAATGATACCAACTTATATAAAAGATTGGAAGTTGGAATTCCAATATTTACTCTTATTGGTGAATTCTGATCCGGAAATTTAGGTCATGATATCTTACAAAGAATATGCTCTGATTATCACTCAGAGCCGAGCTCTTTTTCTTGTTTCTATGCTGACGCTGCTTATCTGATTACTAGTGCCTTGAATTATATTATAAATAGAGGGCATGATTATAATGATCCATATAAACTTATGGCAGCTATAAGAACTACTCAGTTTCACGGCTGCGCTGGAAGTGTGAGCATTGAGAAAGGAAGTAACGATAGGATCGTTGATAAAATGATTATTGAAGGTGCTAAACGTAATGCAGATGGAAGTGCTTCAATCTATACAATTGGAAATTACCGACCTTTCAGCTCATAGGTAATCTCTATTATAAACCCAATCATATATGCTGATGGTTCTACACGAAAACCGAGCGAATATAGAGATATAAACAATAGATGCCCAGTTCCTAAAGAACAAATAAAGACTTTTAAGAAAGGAAGAGGGCTTTTATTTGAAATTTGTTTCATATCAGCGTTAATTATGATTGCTATTATATTCTATATTTGGAAGAAATGGTGAAATATCTCTGTTGATCCACTAAAACAAAAAGAAGAAATATCAATTCAAGATGCCATTCTCGCTGCCAGTATTGGAAATGAGTTCTTTCAGTATGTGCCAATGGGACCAGACTTTAAGCTGATAAGCCCTTTGCTTTCAGAGCTCAGTGGGTTGTTTTCATTGAACTTGGAAGAAGCAATAAAGCTGGAAAACGGAGTCTTTTGGATCGTTGTTAAGTTCGAATATGGAGGAATAGGACTTTGAATTTTACTTTGTCTTGTTATTCTGCTGCAGTTTGATGATAGATTTCCACATTTTTCACTGTTCAGACTTTTGAGATGGATTTCTGATTTTTTGATGCCTATTTTGGGAAATCTTTGCTTTATTCCGTTTATTTCAATTTGCTTATTCCTCCATTTAATAGCAGTACCCTTTTAATGATTGATAATTGAAGGATATACATAAAATTGTAAAAATAAATTTATATCCTTTTAAATATTTTTCTAATCTTTTGATTTAACGCAATTTTGGCTGGGGAGTCGTTTAAGTTGATTCATGCTGGCGAAACCAAACCTCAAATGATAACACCACTTACTTTGAGTTTCTGAAATATAGAAAGTTGGCTTGTCCAACTTAAATTAATTGAACTAATTTTTTTCCCTAGAGAAAGATTGGGAGTTCGAGCCAAAATCGTTCTCGAGGCTATATAGGATTTCATAGATCATAGCAAGTCTAATATAAGCCAAATTAATTATAGAATGCAGGGTTAAAATAAAGGTATATATAAATTTTTTGGGTTCTTTTTGCTTTTTGAATCTTATGGATATTTTATAATAGTTTCAAACTATTAGCGATTATAAAAATTGCTAAACTTTCAAATTTTAGCACAGATATATAAGGATTTTAAGATAATTAAGTTGATAAAATCAAGAAAACTAGATTTTTTACTGTAGTTTGATACACAGGCTGGGTATCGGGTTCCATGCATGGGAATTATTCGAAGTGTGGAGCCAAACTCCACACATGCAGCCTCATAACTCGAATGACTCCGTACACGAAATTTGGCCCCACTTGTAGAATTTTTCTCTATATGAGAAAATTTTAAGCGTGTGGAGCCGAAACACAATAGGCCTTTAATATTATTTAGCATAATTTAATTAATTTTTAATTTTTTAAATCAAAAAAATTTATTAGGTTTTCTAATTTAGGCGCCTTAAATATATATTTAAAAACTATAGGTATAGCCGAGTGGCATTGTTAGCTTGTTGAGTTGGACATTTTTCAATGCGATATATCAATAGGGGACAGCTTTACTGATAGCATTCTCGCAAAAGATTGTTATTATTTCTGCTGGAAAGGTAAACATTTAATATATGCAATTATCTCATTTTTTGCATTGCTGTTCTATGAGCCGCTGGCTATCTTCTGGCGGCCGCTTTGGCAAGAATTGCAGCCTACACTGCATGCTAAAACTGTGCCCTTGTTTCTAATGGTTAAAACAGTAGTGCAAACCTCACTTATTGTTCTAAACGGTACAGCTAAAAGATCGTTTGATATTGCTCATGGACTGATATTTATCGTATTTATGGCTTTTTATGCATTATTTATTTTCAAAATCAAGCCTTACAATTATTCAAGGTTTAGCTGATGGCAAGGCATGAGTATAATTGGAGTTATTTGACTTGCATTACTCTCATTTCCAGGACTCATAACAAATAATTGGAATCTATCGATTTCACTATTTGTAGTTCTTCTTTCAGGCTGGGGCATTATCATATTAGTTGGTTTGTATATTCAAATAAAAAAGTTTCCTAGTATGCTTTACAGGAAAAAAGGATATGACCCAAGTACTTTATTTAAGTTTGCTTTTACCTTTGGTAAAAGTTCAAAAATTTCTTTAGAAAATTTCAACAAACTAGAAGTATAGTATCTTCTTACTTCTGCCTTAAAATTGGAACAAATATAGATAAAATTTCTATTTTTCGGGTGAATTAACCCCTTTAAATTGGAACAAAATTTAATGCAAATCTTAAAGATAAAAATGGTAACATGAAAACCCTACGGTGATAAAATTAAAAATAAAAATTAAATCTATAAAAGCTATTCTAAATATTTTTACAAAATCGCACGAAAAACCCTAATAGAAAAAAATTAAAAACCATGCCTGAAAAAACCTCAACGATGATATTTTGCTTTTTTCGAGTTATATTGCTTTAGTGCTTAGCTCCGCATGAGTGTGAAGCTGAAGCTCGATTGAATTAGGGGCTGAAATAAGACCCGTTTTAGCCCTCTCTAACTAAATCTCTCTTTTCGGATAATACAAGTAAGTTCAGTCAAATAAGCATTTTGCAAAATATTAATTTAGAGCGAACTATATGCCCTAAAGTATTACTTTTCATAGTTAATTAGCTAACAAAATATCACTTGTATTTTTAAACATAAATTTTACAATTAAATTAATTTTAGCTTTCCAATTTTTACAAATTAGGATTCTTTAATCTCAAAATATTTTTTTAAAAAAATTAACCCTTCTGTGAGCAAACAATTTTTTTTGTTCGCTTATAGAGGGGGAATTAACCTGTTCAATATCATTAATTCATGATATTTTTTTTGTGAAGTTTTTTTTTCATGCAAAAAACGAATAAAGATTCACCATTGAGCTTTTATGGTATGGCTTTTAATTAATTTCTTTTTCCATCACGCGATTTTAAAAAATATTTACAGTTATTTTAATAGATTTACTGTAATTTTATCAAAGTGGTTTATTTTCCATTATTAGTAAATTTTTATATAAGACACTAAATTAATTATTAGGTTCTCGCTTATTGTCTAATACCGCATTATCTGCAATGGCTTCCGTCCCTGCTTCGTGCTTCCACGTTCCACCATCGTGCCATATACCACTAGTTGGTCCCTCATTCGGATTCAACCAGCTCTCAGGCCTGAGCATGGGTTGCCTGACCAGAAGTTTCATAAAATGAAATATTTCTTGCCGACTTTTGGCAAAATGTCCAACTTGTACCCCAGTGCGTAACTCCTGACTTCACGCTGGAGAGTTGTCCGAATGGCCTAATAGGCGCTACTGGGCTTCCCTTTCCCGCAAGGTAAAATTCATCTGAAAAGGCACTTGGACTAGGCTCCTGCACTACTAGAAATTACCTACTAGTATTGCTGCCCATTTCTGGCTAGCAAAACCTTGCTAGACATAATTAAATTGTGCTCGAGGCTAGCCAGGAGGCTATGCTCAGCTGAGACACCATATTTAATTATCCTAATTTGTATATAACGAGTTTTAGCATTATTTAATGGAAGAAGTGCAGTTAAATATTGTTGAAACTCAAACTGAAATAGTTAAATTAAATCGTCATATAATAAATTAAGTCATCATTAAATAAATTAAAACTCAAATTATTTGTTTTCCAATTTATATTTTGTAAAAATTTTATAAAAAGATGCTTATTATTATTAATTTTTTTTCCAAAATTAGCACCTCTTTAAATTGAAATAGAAATTTTTGTTATAAAATAGGAGTAGGGAGCTAGTGAAGATAATAATTAGTATAAGATATCTATTTAATCTTTTTGCCATTAGCATCATAATACCGTAACTTTATTTTATAAGCATTATTGAAATTGTAATTTCGATTATTTTAATTTTAAATTACATTTTAACCAAATTTTTATTAAAATAAATGGCTTCATAATTTAACACAAAATGCTATTAATGTTAAATTTATTTGTATCTAGTCCAAATGCAATAAATGAATATAAACTGAAGGGAAGTAAAACCTAATTTAGAAATATGGATTCGATTGCCAGCCAGCATTGAAATTTTTTATAATAAGATATTTTTTTATTTTTTAAAAATAAATGAAAGCTGCTTTTAATCCAAAATGCTTTTATTCCAAACTATTTCTTTGCTTTCTTTTTGTCAAGCTGTGCCATCCTCTAGAAATAATACTGGCTCGTTATGATTCCTCTAAGAGCAGCCTGAATGCACTTGATGATAAAAGTATTCAAGAAATATATTGATCCTTTCCCTCAATTGAGTGGCACGAATGCAATATAGTTCTAGCACCCTTATTGAGCATACAATTCTTGCTATCATACAAGAAACTTATCGTGCTGAGCGTCAGGATTTGAGAACTCGAAATTATTTGTTAAGCAAGATTGGCTTGAACAATATTGGGAAAAATAAGCAATAAGTATGATAGGGATATATATCTATGATAAAAGATTGCATTTTGTCTCATCCTGGGAGCTTAGTTTTACTAGATATTTCAAAGGCATTTCATGTGCAATTTAAAATTTCACAAATTTGTAGTGAGCTATCTTTGGTGCATTTGGTCTATCAAAGCAAGTTTTATTATGAAGATGAGTGGACTTACTCTCTTATTCGCCAACAAAATAAGCAACTGGATGCACTTTTGGCTCTTTTAAACACTTCAATTGGGCGCAAGGAATTTTTATTTCTGACCAGGCAAAGTATGAGTGGAGAGATAGCATCATAGGATTTTCATCAGAATTTGAATGGCTTACAGTTGAATCTGAGACTAGCATTGAGGAACTAGTTAATGGAGTTGTTTTTCAATTGGGTTCTACACTTTATTATATTTTAACTGGAACTTTTGAATCAGCTCAAATTCTAAACTCTTTAACTTTTCCCATGAAGAAAATTTATAGATTTTTTTATACACATATATAATTGTTTTTAATATTAATTGCTTTATATTTAGTTTTCTTATTTAGGTGTTTAACTCTCTCCACTGTAAAATTCCAAGGGGTTTCGATTTCTTTTAAAAAAATTAAATTGAATTTTAAGAATCATGATTTCAAAAAATTAATTTATTTAGTGCGCCAGCAGCTTAAATAATACCCCTATCCATTAAATAGGTAAAAACAATTTATATAAAATTATTTTTTCGCCCATAAAATTTTCCGTTAAAAATTCAAAATTTTATTAATTTAAGATATATTTTAATCCAAATAGAGGGAGGAGTAACAATACAAAAAATAAAATAAATAGAAGATATAATTAGAAATTATATCCCAATAAATAAGTAACTATTAATAAAGGAGAGAAGTTAAGTAATAAAAAGCTTTTGAGTAGTGGAAACGGAATAGTTTTGCTTCAAGAAGGTGGCTATGGCTGCAATTATAACGGAGCTTTAATTCTAACAGAGATTGGTCAAGAGCTTACATTTTCAGCCGAAGATTATTTCAAAAACTCTGCCATAAGAGCTATTGATATTTTAGAAAGAAATGAATTTACTGGTGATTTTAAGAAGCTTCTCGATGCAAAAATTACTGAATATCATAATGAAGACCAGTTTTCTATAATTAACATTCAGAATGGAATGAGAAAAGCTGTTGGATCTATTCAGAACGGTAATGTAACTATTTTCGGAGATTTGATTTTTCCAGGTCAATCTAGTATTATACCTAAGTCAACTAAAAAGATTTTGCAGTTAAGCATAAGTGCTGGAACTACAAATCCTGGCGCATCTGCAAGTCCAATTGCAGTAGTAGGTGCTCGAGGCAGTTTTGCAGTTCAAGACCTAATAAATGAAGGGAATGATATTTTGCCACACTTTTATCTAAAAATTATTAGCTTTGATTGTGGAGTCACTGTTTTCAATGCTTCTTTTACAGAATCTTGCTTCAGCAAAAGCATAGATCAGCTAGGATTATCTCATATTTCTGCTTTCAGCTCGACGATAACTATTGGATCCATCCAAATATTCAAAAACTTAAATATAACAGTTCCAGTTATTGGAGCCACAAATGCTGACGATTCATTGAGTTCTATAGTAAACTTTCCTACCTACTCAAGGGTACAAATGGCTTATTCTTTTATTTGTCCTAAATTTTCAATTATTATTAAAGGATTGGGATGAAATTCAGCTGCTGTTCTATATCAAAACGACGCTTGAGGCCTTGCTGCATATATCAAGCACACTCCTCTAACTATTGATGTCTTAATTTTTTTAAATGGAAAATATCAATGGCAAGCCTTTATTATATTTTAACTTGCCAAATTATTTTAAAGAAATTTTAAACTATTTGGAACCTCCAAAAATAAATTACACTTGGAGGATAATTTAGGGAAGATCCATTGCAATATCTAAATTATACTCTTATATTAAAAAGAATTCAGAGGTCTTAGGATTAAGATTAGTGAATCCTGAGAAACTTAGGACTATCCCTGCAGGTCTAAGCAAAAGCGGTCTTAAAAATTACACAAATGCTCTTCAAGAAGTTATTGACTCTCAGGCAAGGCTGCTTCTTTTGATTATTCAATATCCATTAGGAAACTATATATAGTATAAAAAAATTTATGGACTTTATTTTTATCGAAATTTTCATTTAGCACCTTTATTGGCTAGTCTACATTAGCTAGAAAACAAAATGTAATTTATAATTCAACATTAGTAACTCAAATAAGCCATTTTTTATTTGGCTTCTTGAATAATTTTGACTAGCTAATCCGCAATGCTGCCAACACAATTGGACTTAAATGCCAATGCATAAGTGTGGATTAGCTATACTAGAGCAGCTATATGATCTCGGTGCAAGAAAAGGAGATTTTGTTATTTGTGCAGGATATCAAGATTTGCCGACTCTGATTTCAATAAATGACACTAACTTATATAAAAGATTAGAAATCGGCATACCAATGTTTACTCTTGTGAGCGAATACTAACTTTGCCTCCTAAGGCGAGCAAAACTGTTCAGCTCGCTCAATGGGGTTAATTTATTTATGTATAATTTTAGCATTTAAAAATTTATTATATAAAATTTATGCTTAAGAACGTAAGTTGTTTAATTAGCTAGAGGATTTAAAATTGCATGCATATATAAAAATATAATATAAATTATTATAATACAAAAATTGATCAATTTTTGTCAAAAATATGGTTTGCTAGAGGCTTACTTGCTCACGGAGGGGAGGGAGTGAGCAGGAAACGTAGGTCAAGAAGCTCTAAAAAGAATAAGATCTGCTTATTATTCTGAACCAAGCGCTTTTTCATGTTTTTATGTTGACGCTGCTTATCTAATTGCTAGTGCTTTGGATTACATGATAAACCGAGGGCATGACTATACTAACCCTGAAAAACTTATGGCAACGATAAGAACTACTCAGTTTTATGGCTGTACTGGAAGAGTGAGCATTGAGAAAGGAAGTAACGACAGAATTGTTGACCGAATGATTATTGAAGGTGTTAAACTTACTTCAGACGGAAGTACTTCAATTTATACAATTGGCAATTTTAGACCTTTCAGCTCTCAGGTAATCTCTATTATAAATCCTATTATATATGCGGATGGCTCCACGCAAAAGCCGAGTGAATATAGAAATACAAATAATAGATGCCCATTTCCTGATAAAAAAATGAAAACTTTTAAGAAAGGAAGAGGGCTTTTATTTGGAATTTGTTTCACTTCAGCTTTAATTATGATTGTTATTACATTCTATATTTGGAAGAAATGATGAAATATCTCAGTTGAGCCACTACACCAGAAAGAAGAAATATCAATTCAGGATGCCATTGTCGCTGCCAGTATTGGAATTGAGTTCTTTCAGTATGCATCAATGGGACCAGACTTTAAGTTGATAAGCCCTTTACTTTCAGAACTCAGTGGATTGTTTTCATTGAACTTGGAAGATGTAATAAAGCTTGAAAACGGAGTCTTTTGGATCGTTGTTGACGTAGTGTATGGAGGAATAGGACTCTGAATTTTACTTTGTCTTGTTATTCTGCTACAACTTGATGAGAAGTTTCCATATATTTCACTGTTTAGATTTTTGAAGTGGCTTTCTGACTTTTTGATGCCTATTTTAGGAAATCTTTGCTTTATTCCGTTTATTTCAATTTGCTTATTTCTCCATTTATAGCGGTACCTTTTTTTTTTTTTTTGGGGTATAAACATAAATTTTTGATATTTTTAATTCTTAAATAACTATAGGTATTTTTATTATTAACTTGGAAGGTTGGACATTTTTCAATGCGATATATCAATAGGAGACAACTTTACTGATAGCATTCTCGCAAAAGATTGTTATTATTTCTGCTGGAAAGATGAGCATTTAATATATGCAATTATCTCATTTTTTGCATTGCTGTTCTATGAGCCGCTGGCTATCTTCTGTCGACCGCTTTGACAAGAATTGCAGCCTACACTGCATGTTAAAACTGTGCCCTTGTTTCTAATGGTTAAAACAGTAGTGCAAACCTCACTTATTGTTCTAAACGGTACAGTTAAAAGATCGTTTGATATTACTCATGGACTGATATTTATCGTATTTATGGCTTTTTATGCAGTATTTATTTTCAAATTCAAGCCTTACAATTATTCAAGATTTAGCTGATGGCAAGGCTTGAGTGTAATTGGAATTATTTGACTTGCATTACTCTCATTACCTGGACTGATAACAAATAATCAGAATTTATCTATTTCATTATTTGCAGTTCTTCTTTTAGGCTGGGGCATTATCATATTAGTTGGTTTGTATATCCAAACAAAAAAGTTGCCTAGTATGCTCTTCAGGAAAAAGGGATATGACCCAAGTACTTTATTTAAGTTTGCTTTTACCTTTGGCAAAAGTTCCAAAATTTCTCTAGAAAAATTGCAGCAAACTATAAAAGTATAGTATCTTTTAAACAAAGATAATAAGTAGAATACTCTTAGTATAAAAAATCTTTTAAGCCTCTTTAAATTAAAATCATATTACAAAACTGCATTACCCAAGCTTTATTGCAATTCTACTTATGTTTTAGTTTTATCTTAATTTTATTTAAACAATTTTTTATCAATAAACGTTTACAAGACTAAATAATAAAATTACAAACAATAAATGTTTGCAAAATATTCGCACAAAATTGTTTTTAAATGAAGATTAGTAAGGTCATTTTCGAACGATGATATGTTCAAGGATAGTGATGGCAAATGGAAGACTAAGTGGGATCCTGAAAAAAGCATGTCTTACCATGATAACCCAATGTATAAAGAATTACCAAAATACAAGACTATGCTTGATCCTAAATTTAAGCCGACCAAAGAAAACATGACTGAATACGAGCTCCCAGCAGATATGGAAAGGTCTAAAGAGATTCTTCAAATCTGGGCAATGAATGAAGACTTCTTCTCTGTGAATCAGGTATGGATTAAGGGGCCGATTTGGCCCCATGTCAAAATCAGTGTATTTTGATTGTGTGCATTTCATTGAAGTACATTGGTTGAAATTTTTAAATAGTATCAAAAGTGTACGATAATTGGACCTACACCGCCGATATGTGTATTCCCAGAAGCAGTATTTCAGTGGCATGTTGACAAGCCTAAATCTCCTCCTACGTAAGGCAATAAATTTTGTTTGCTTATAGAGGGGTTATATTTAAAATTTATAATAATTATTTTTTAAATTTAATAATCCATATTTGAAAAAATTGGGAAGAAAAAATTAATTTAATTGAATGCAAGATGCTTAAAATCTACAAAATTAGAAAGTGATTTATTATAATAATCACTTCTATTTTAAATTTTTTTTTAGGGATTTTTCTAATGGTTTTATTTGCTCATGTAGGATAAGAACCTTCAAGAGCATCATTTTGAGATTGCAAAATTCATTAGGCCAAAAATTGAATATATCGTTGTTGGCACAGGCAAAATTGGCAAGAATCCAATAAATAACTATATAAAGAATCGCTTTCGAGCTCACGGCATTAATATTGACTACTGTGCCACTGTAATTTCTATTTAGTTCGAAGCATGCGGAACTTTCAACTTATGCGCTGATGATAGAAGAAGAGTCTGTGCCTTTTTATTTCCTATTAATACAGAATAGTTAACAATCATCTACTTAATTTATTATTAATTGCATCAAATAGGATGGATTACAGCAATTTCCTAGACGAATTTGAAATAGATCCCTACGTGAACGCAGTGATATTTGAAAGCGGACTCTTAGTTTTATTAGGAATAGTCATTACAATCTCAATGTCGTTTTTTAATATCGCTTATTCCCTCCCAATCAGTTTTTATATCTTTGCATTTGGCTTTACAGGGATTCTCGGAATACTAAATGTATGCAGACCAAAAAAATTTTTTACCTATACACATATAGCTGCAGTAACAATTCTGATTTTCATGAATATTCTGCTTGTCTCTGGCTCATCGTTTTATACGATCTTGGGATATTACTACTTGCTAAATCTGAATTGTGAGCCGACGTTTAATGGAGAATGTATATGGGATGATAACATTTCTGATTATATAGAGAAGACATTTGGGTCAGTTTTCGCTGCTTCATTGATATTGACATCAATTTGTATGGTATCACTTCATCATGCTAAAACTCTGAAAGAAAAAATAGAAAGCATAAAGCTGAATTCAAGGCTTCTTCCTAGTGATCAATAAATTCAAGGCTTCTTCCTAGTGATCAATAATTATAAACTACCTATAAAACGTTGGTATTATTTTGCGAAACTCTCCACACGTCAGTGCATTTTCCCATGCGTGGAACCCAAATCCCACATAAAGAGCCACTCAAAATGTCTCGACATCTGGAGACCATCCCAAAATTATGCTAACGCATAATATTATTTTAATTAATTGAGAAATTCTCTATTATTTAATTATACTCTTTAATTAACAATTAAATGGAAAGTGATTTAAACTCAATTTTGGAAGACGCTGAAAGGATAAAATCCTTATCAGGCGAAAGGCTTAGAACACTTACTCGTTCTCCTGACAAAGCTTATGATAATCGAGACAGCCTACTTAGACAATGCCGAGATACCATTGAAGTCCTAACAGCTGATATAGAAGAAGAAAAAAGGCAAAGGAAGCAAGCAGAACTCACAGCAAAAGAGCTAGAATTCAAAAACAGAAGTCTAGAGAACAAAGCAAAAATCCTTGAAGAAAAAATTGAGGGGCTGAATGATGATATTGATTCTCTTGCAGATGCAAATACATATCTTCAAGGAGAGCTCAATAAATACCAAATTGAAAACTTTAATTCTTCAGAACAAGCTCTAAGTGACCAATTAAATGAGGCAAGGGATAAAATCCTGAAGCTTGAGAGCAGCTTAACAATCTTCCAATCAGAAAATTCCAAGCTGAAAACCCAATGTGAAGCAAATAAAAGCGTGATTTCACGATTGGAGTCTGAAGTATACGGCTACAAAATTTCACATGAAGATTTAGAAGCCAATGCAAAAAAATTGCAGACGATGGAAACAGAGCTTGAAGACCTTTATGAGAAAAAGCATCAAGACCTCAAAAGCGATTACGATAAAAAACACAATGAAATGAGGACAAACATTGAAGAATTGAGAAAAGAAAAAGAAATGTATATGGCTCTTTATAAAGATGCTACTGAAGAAAACAGCCAAATCAGAAACGAAAATAAATTTCTGCAAAACATGCTGGAACGCAAGCAACAGCAGCTAGAAAAACACTCCCAGGAGACCTTAGAAACAATACAAGAAATGATCGGCAGGAAATCTGATGTAAACATTTCAGAAAGACTAAAAGAGCTAGAAGAAGAAAACGCGATACTCAAAGAGGAGCTAAATTATATGCATGAACAGCTAGATCTCAAAGAGAAACACAAGCTAAAAGAAGACGAAAGCGACTGAAACATAAGCCAAGAACTCTCAAGGGTGCTAGAAAAAGAAAGCGAGGCCCAACAAGAAGTCCAGAGGCTGAATCTAAAGATTGAAACCCTTGAAAACACGTTGAGAGGAGAAAGAAATGAAAAGAAAATGCTGTCAAGCAGCATTGAAAGGATGCAAAAAGTGATTGATGCTCAAAATGAAGAGCTGAAAGGAAATATCAGTCTTGATATCTCAATCCAAAGACAAATGGAAATTTTGAAATCGAAGTACCAAGCTGAGCTGCGTGCTGAGATGGAGAAAAGATTAAAAGACAAGCAGGATTATAAGAAGCTGCTAATTCAAGATAAAGAAGCGTTTAACCGAAAAATCGATCTAATGCAAAGCAAAATAAAAGCCCTTGAAATAGAAAACCAAAACTACTCAGAACAGATCAGCGAGCTTAAATCAAATAAATTTTTAGAAATCTCAAAAGAAAATGACGAACTTAACGAAATCAGGCTAAATTTGAGCACAGAAAGAGAAAAAAGAATTATCGCTGAAAGATCAGCAAAGGTAGCTTATAAGTAGAAAATCAAAGAACGCTTAAATGGAGTCGGAAAAGGCGTAAAAGCCCTCGAAGACGAAATTTTGAGCATGGAAACCAGAGTCCAGCGGACAAGAAATGAGGCGCGCTACTAAAGAAACCTAATGTCATTTATAGTTAATAATCCGTTAAATGGAATCTAAGTTTATTTTTCTGAAGCTCCAAGAAGCCGATATATGGAGTGGCAGCCAAGAAATCTCGTGCAGAGTCAGCATAGAAGGCCAAATTGCGTCACTTACACTTGATAGCACAGTGCAGCTGCCTCTGTCTCATTTCAGCTCTGACATCCAAATGCATCTTCTCGTTCAAACTGAGAATATAGCACTTGGGTCAGTTACTTTGTCTTTAGAGCAGGTCTTTGGCCCTGACCTGGCACAGAAAATGGATGAGTGGTTTGAGTTCGAAATCCCAGGAGAAGTTGTCGCATTGGTTGAATCGTCAGATTCCCAAGGAAAGGTATTGAGGGTAAGGATTGTAGGAGTGATCACTGGGAGCCAGGATTTCGAGTTTTCAGGATCAGAAGTGAAAGAAGAAGTCCCTGAGGCTGGGAAAAAGTCAGAAGCTGGAGGAGAAGATGAAGCAAAAGGGCAAACGTACATTGAGTATGTGGAAGCAAAAGATATTGTCCAGGAATACCCTGAGGTTATAGAAGAAAATGAAGGGATAAGCCAACAAAAGGAGGAAAGTGTTGATAAAGAAGAGGAGAACAAGAATGAAACTGAGGAGAAAGTTGAAGCTCAAGAAGAGGCAGCAGTTATTGAGGAAGTTAAAGAAAGCCCTCAAATTGAAGAAGCTAAACCAGCGGAAGAGCCAACTGAGAGCAAGCCAGAAGTCATTGATATTAAACCACCTGAAGAAATAAAAGAAAGGCCTGACAGAGTTCGTCCCCAGCCACTGCCAATTTCAGGACCCATAAAAAGCGGCAAATGTTCATATCTCGACAACATAAAAGGAGCAGACCACCACCAAAAATTCACCCAGCATATCCTCGACAAGCTTAAGGACGAAATGGGCCAGTCATTTCTAAAACTTGTAGAAGACGCTACAAGGTCAAGATCAAGAAGCCCCACAAGGACAGGAACGAGATCTCCTTCAAAGAAACTCACAGCCAGATCTCCAACCAAAATTTCAGGGGGCAGCTTTTCAGCAGCTTCAAAAGAGGAAGAAGAATTTCTTGAAATCGCTGGAAACTCTGACGTTTTCCTAGAAAAACTTTCACTCAAAACAAAAAATGCCTTTGTAGCTTCCGTTGTAGGTCTTCTGGCAAAGAAATCAATCTATGAAATTCAGGCAAATGAGACCAATCCAGCCAGAGATATCATAGAAATCCATGAAAAAGCATCAGAAATTCTGGAATCCTCAGCAGTCGAAACTAAAGAAGAGATAGATAAAGAGTTTAATGATTACCAAGAAACAATGACGGAGCTTACAGAAGAAATTAAAAGATATGAAGAATCGCTGCAAGGGCTCAGAAAAAAGAATGAAATGCTGGGCCACGAAAAAGTGTCAGTCTCACAGCAGTTAAATAGCTTGAAATCGCAAATTGTGGAGCATAGCCCTGAGTCAGAAGTTTCGCAGCTAATCGAAGATATTCAGGATCTTAGAAAAGCATTTGAAAACTCCCAATCTAAGAGGATAGCATTTGGTATTATTACAGACAGGTGAGCCATATTGGTGATGCAGTCACCAAAGACCAGTGCAGGAGGCTCATCTGCTTTGCCACAAACTGCCTAGTAGGTCTAGCCGCAACCGGCACAGTTATCTCCTACTTGGCTTGAGGCTTCAATCTGGGGTGGCTTATGGATTTCTGCCGCCCCGCGACTGGCAATTTGGAGTAACTTAATTCCTTGGAGTTTATCGGGTGCCGAGTGCCTTTCTTTGGCAGCTATAGAAAAAAAGACTGTTCACCTATTGCACGGGTCCAAATCCTGTTTTCAGTAGATGATACCCAAGGGCCTGAGACATTGCTGAGCACCTCCATTACTAGCCACAGGAAATTGCCACGAATATACGTGTACTGAGGCTGAACTTGTTTCTCGGCATGGGGCCCTTTCCAGTTCACCATAGCCTTAAGGTCTGGACTGCTGTGCCAAGAAGATAGGTTTGCACGTTTCGTCATTTTAATAAATATTCCCCATTTAAGAGGAAATAAAGTAAAAAATGAGTTTGAAGAGTACGTTGAAGACTATAATAAGCGCATCGACTCATTGATTATTGAAAATTTGAGATCTACAGAAACTAAATCATCTCTCCTCGATGAACTAAAAGCAAAAACCCATCAGCTTGAAACCCTTGATCAAGAAAACGATCACTTACTCAAAGAAATCCAACTTCTTGAAGGTCAAATTGACGTGGAATCCAAACAAAAGACCACTCTTTCAACCTTCCAAAAAGCATCAAAAACGCATGAGCTTGCCTTAGACAGAATCAAATCCCAAGTCGTGTCAATCCGAAGCAGCAAGGACAACTACTCAACTGATGCCTTTTCGCTTCAGCAGCAGCTTGAATCAGACATCAAAAAGTACAAAAATCTCCACATCTCCACACAATCTGACATTCAAGCCAAAACAGAGATCGCCAATGAGCTCAAAAACAAGCTGAAAAACCTAAAAGACTACATTAAGCAGCTTGAAGAAATTTTTGCGAAAAAACAAAATATTGACCATGTGTTCGAAATAGTCCAATCCAAAGGTGGCCATGACTTTGAAACAAAAGACATGCTGGTGTCTGAGCTGTCCTATTTCTCAGATTTCGTGTTTTCCCTCACCCAGCTTTATCTTAAAGAGCATAGAATCTATAAAAGCTTAAGCGCAGTTTTTGAAGAAAAAGAATATGACCTTAACGCTATGAGAAGAGTTGTAGCTGAGGTAAAAATGCAGAACCCAGTTTATTTCCCTGTGAATAATGATAATATTGACCAAGCTTTGGCTGCTTATTTAAATTCAAGGGACGAAGTCGTGCCTGTGCCTTTTATAAGAGAAGCTGCAGGAGTCTATTTATTTGGATCACGAAGAGTTTTGGTCAGTTTTGAAAGAGGAAAACTTACGGTTAAGGTTGGAGGAGGATTCCTGCCGATTGACGATTTTGTAGAATGCTACTGTGACGCAGAATTTGAAAAGCTGAACAGCAAGCCAGAAGAAAAAAGCCCAAGGATGAAGAAGTTCATGGCAAAGTGGGTAGGGGGCCTGATAGACTATAAAGAAAACGACGATGACGCAATGAAGCTAAGACTAATAAAAGCAGTACAAGGTCATAAGTATTCCACTGCATATGCTGTTAAAGATAAGTCCAAATCAAGAAGCAGAAGCCAGTCGCCTGCCAAGCTGATCTCTGATGAAATTATAGCAGCCTCAATAGATGAAGAAGTCCAAGTAGAAAACTCATAATATTTAATCCTTAATATATATTTATTTAAATTACTTGCCATATGGAACCAGCAATAGATCATTACATTACATTAGAATTTATATCGCTTAACGTCCACTACGGGGTTACAACCCCAGGTTTATCACTCGCCTTTCGTCGCATCGGGCCCACCAGTCTGCTGGGGACAGACTCGCTTCGATCACCAGGGTGCTTCCAGGGCAAATGTCCACGTCTTCGACGGCTCATGAGTGAGCTACTTGCCTGTACATGGGTTGCTTTTCCGAAAAACCCAAAAAATGGATTTTTCTGGTCAGCTATCGGCAAAAAAGGAAAAATAATACAAAGCCTGGGACGTACGCCCAGTTTCACGCTAGGGAGTTGCCCGAATGGTCCAGAGGACTTTGCTGGGCTTCCCCTTTCCAACCTTGTACCCTCCTTCCCCACGAGGAAAAATCCACCTCTGAGATTAGACTAGGGCTAGGCTCTGAAAGCTACCAGAATTGCTTACCTAGCATTGCCGTCCATCTCTGAAATGGTAAAACCTTGCCGGATATAATTAAAATATGAGTCGAGGCTGCATGGCCGGGAGGCCATGCCCAGACGAAGACGCCATATTTTAATTATGGAACCAGCAATAGATCAAAACCTCAAGCTCTCAGATTTGTCTTTTAATATATTGGGCATTATATTAGAGTTTTTGAATTACAGAGAAATTTGTGTGCTCGGCGCGACTTCTAAGCGTTTGAAATTGGCATCAGAGATGGATGTTATTTGAAGCCAAAGTCTTGACACAGGGGATTCTGGAAAAGAAAAGAAAAGGATTTTTCTTTCGAGAGGGAACATAACCCAAAACATATTCAATGGATCTTATCAGACATATCTTTTTGAAGGACATTCCAAAACGATAACTAGGATTACGACTAAAGAAAATTTCATTTTAAGTGCGTCTGCTGATGGTAGTGCTAGAGTGTGGGATACGACTAAAATGGCATCAAGAGTTTTGGCTGGTCATTCAGATGCAGTTATTTCTGCGAAGTTTTGTGGAGAGAAAATTGTGACTGCATCTACAGATAAAACTGTGAGAATTTGGACAGAAGATCAGGAACCAAAAATACTTACTCTCTATCAATAAAGCTGCACTATATTTCTAAAAGATGCAATATCAGAAAAATAATAATTTTTTATACCATTTTATATTGGGAGACATTTTTACTGGCCAGCCAATGTTCTATTTTTCTTTTTTCGAACTGCCTATTTGAAGAAGAAATAGATACTTATTGGTGCACTGATAAAAATGTTCTGTGTAAATTTTTATGATTGAATTTTCTTATATCTTTGCATTTAAATAAAATATCTCTGAAAACCTCTATAAATCCAAATTTTCTTGGAAAATAAATTAAAAGGCCACATCAAGAGTAGTTAGAGGCCATCTGCAAGGAATTTCTGCACTGCAAAAAATCGACGAAGATAGAGTGATTACTGGGTCATATGACAAAACTGTAAAAATTTGGAACGTAAATAAAGGGAAATGTGTAGATTCATATAACGACCATTCTACTGCAGTGTATAAGATTTTCACATAAATAAAATGGCATTCGTTCGAGAGAAATTAGCTTTGCTAATTTTCTCTCCCTCATGGAATTTTATTTATGGGGTTGGGGTTTTCTCTCGAGAACTTCTGCACAGCAATAGCTGAAAAACTTTGGGGATAACCAAAGGAACAGCTCCTCAGTGCACTCAAGATTTCGGAGTTTTACCTCTCAGCACATCCCCACGGGAGGATGACCCTTAGGCGGAACACGCGCAGGAGCTGAGTCGGGGTAAGGGCGACGGCAACGCGCTGGGTGAGACGTGCGGCGAAGAAGGGCGAAGTGCAGGTAAAGGCTTGGCCGGTGGGCTAACCATCGCGATTCCAAGATGGCCCGGCGACGTCATCAATTTTCGCTATAACTCCATTTTTATGGGGTGCGGCACTAGACACCTTAAACACCAGACACTAAGTTAAGTTAAGTTAAGTATAAGATTTTCACTGAAGACAATCTTTTTGCTTCCTGTGCTCACCAAGACAGCAAAGCTTATGTCAGAGATATGGCTCGTGGAGAACTAGTTCAGGTCTTTGGCGCGTAATTTCTATATAGAAAAACTCAGCCTCAAGCCCAAAGATGGGGTCCTCCTCAAAACGAAATCAGGTCTCTCTACCTCTCTGCCCCTCTATTTTTTACAGGCGAAATCAACAAAATCCGTATATGAGACATGAGATCCCCAGTTCAGGCTGGAGAAACTCAAGTAACTACCCCTCTAAAGAACATGAGCATAAAAGAGGAAAATACGAACGGTATCTTTAAAATGATTTACTCTCAGTTCTCCAACCTTATGCTTGTAGGCTGTATGGGACTTTTAGGCCTATTCGCATTTGATATGCGGTCATATAAAAAGAGCTTCTACGTTCCCTCCCACGATTACCCCATTTTAGCTTTTGACTCCGGAGAAAGAGTACTGAATAACATTGCAGTCACCTCAGGAACGACCACTAATTATAGATATGAGCTCTCAGTCCACGACTTATCAAGCCCTCAAGAAGTCTGCACCAAGTTTGTCCCAGGCCATAAAGCTGTAATCACATCTATTTGTGTAGGCGAAGACATCATTGTCAGTGGCTCTAAGAACGGAAGTTTGCGAGGACTCTGCTTCAGAAGAAACAGAGATGCGCTCAGAAGAGCGAATTCTGGGAACAGTTTCAGAATTAGAAGTGCTAATTAATTTATTTATAAGCAAATAGGCTTTTGTAAAGATTTTGGTAAGTGAGATACATCAAATTCTTTGATAATTGCGAATTCGTCGTCTTTGAGATAGGCTGCTGAAATTAATGTGTAGTTGGAATGGAAATTGGAGACGTCCCCTCCCATTATTCTGGTCATTATTTTTAAAGGCAAATTGTGGGTTACAATTATAATGACATTTTCGGTGATACTTTTGAGGTATTGAGGGAAGACTGAGCCAATCCTTGCTTCAGACTCTTCTTCAGTTTCTGTGTATTTGGGCCTTATGATGTGGCTGTTTTCTATTAGTGTGATATGGCCTAATTTTTCTTGTATCATTTCTGGGTCGTTTTTTAGATGTAAGTTATCAAAAGGGTTATAGTTCCAGTAAGGAATTTGGTAGCATTCTCCAAAACCTTCTTCAATGTAAATAGGCAGGCTAAGAGGAGTAGCAAGCTTAGAAGCAGTTTCTAGGCATCGGATAAGTGGAGAGCTGACAAGGTGGATTGAGCAGTTTTCTGGGATAAGTTTAATAATAGCTTCTGCTGCTAATTCAGATTGGTCTAGTCCAATTCTTGTCAAAGGTGCGTCGCTATCACAAGAGAACTCAACTCGTCGAGGAACTGGTGCTTCATCAGCTCTTTCGCCATGTCTGAGCAAAATAATGAGCCTTTTCCCTTCTTCCATATCAGCAGTTACCAGATTATTAAAAAAATGGAAAAATTAATATCAACAGATTACAGACTATAAATATTTATGAAATTAAAGCTCTTTGAAGTCTGATCTGGAATCCATTTCTCTTTCCTTTGACTCTGTAAAACTATCAATTATTGGCTCTGGTTGAATGGGTGAAGGCGCAAGAGTGTAGTTTATCAGCAAGTCTAGATTTTCAAGCTGGTTTTTGACCTCAGCAGATTTAATATATGAGTAATCATTTTTTACTGAAGGCTTGGAAAGCTGATATCCTGACATGTTCCTTTTGACTGAGACTGGAGCTGAGCTGTTTTGAAAAGGAATAAATTCACTATTCGAGCTGATGTGATAGGAGTTTGAAGGCGCAAAATTGGGCTTGGTTTCAAGAATTGGCTGGCTGTAGTAGTAAGGCCTGAAAGCTTGAGCTATAGAGAACTGATTTTTCTGGGCTGTTACTAATGATCTTTGTCGGAGCTCTTCTTTCAGTTTGTCTAGCTCATTTAAAGCGTCCATTCTTTCTACGTTTGATCTACTGGCTTCACTCTTCAATTTCTCTATAATATCTTTTAGAGCGGAATGCTGCCCCACAAGTTCTCCTCTCGATTGCCATACATCAAGCTCTCTTTGTCTTGGTCTGGGCTCATTATTAATTTCCTTTGGCGGATTTGGCTGCGTCACTACTGGCTGAGTGGTTTCAGGTTTCTTACTCTCTCCGTGAGCGAGCAAAACCATTGGAAAAATCCCTATTTTTTGCTCAAAAACTAGCACTCCGTGAGCAAACAAAAAATTTTTTGATATACAAATTTTTTACTGAAAATTTTGATATAAGTGAGCTAATTCTATTTAATTCTAAACAATTGCTTTTTAAAACATAAATTTATAGATTAAATTGATTTTTATTTCTCAATTTTACGAATAGGAATAATGAAAAAAACAAATAAAATTTATATATAAATTTTTTTAAAAATAAAAATTCACTTCTTGTGAGCGAGCAAAAATTTTTTGGTTCGCTCATAGAGGAGGGGGAGTTAGCATCTTGAAATACGACTTGAGACGTGCGCTCAGTTTTGTCAGAAGGAGTCGCTACTTCTCCTCTTTCATATTTTATCTCATGCCTGAATTTCTTTTCCAATTCTTTTTGTTCCCTCATAATTTTGGCTTCTTCAATTCTTTCTTCTAACAATTTCCTCGCTTTATCTTCTTCAGTCTTCTTTTTCTTTTCTATCATTTGATCATTTAGTGCTTTTCTTCAGTCATCTTTTAAGGTTTCTCTTTTGTCTTGATACATGCTGCTTTCGTATTGTTTTTCAAATTTTATTGTTCCTGCAGGATCTCCTTTGTTGTTTGTAAATCCTGCTGGTCTTTTAGTCACAATTCGTCCTTGGCTGTCTCTCATGGGTGCTCCAGCGCCTGGTCTCCCAAAAGGAAAATATTCTTCTGATGACTCTTGTTTGGCTTCAGGCTTTTTTGAAGTCTGATATTGGCTTGGTTGTGAGAAATTTTGATAGGGAATGCTTGCATTTTGGTATTGCATCCCTTCTAAAGAGTAACCGTTAGGCTGATAACCTGAGTCTTGGGATCCAAACTGCTTTGGAAACTGATTTTCATCCCTTCTGAAAGCTGTAGATTCTTGGACAGGGTATGGCCTTGCTTCTCTATTTTGGGTATTCGGCATGTATGAATCTTCTTTTTCCAAGATTCTTCCTCGTCTACTGATTTTTTCTCTTTCCTGCGATGCTTTTTGTATTTCTTTTCGATAATCGTCTGCCAGCTGAGCTCTTCGCGAATCATATTCACCTCTTGGGTTTGTAAAAAAATTGGATGGTTCGTCATTCTGCTGCTGAGCCTTGGAGTAAGGGCCTTGAGAAGCGTATTGGTCTGGCCGAGATTGTGAATTAACTGGATTATTTGACCTGCTTAGATATCTTGCTACTGGTTCAAGTGAATATAATAAACTCATACTTTTTTTGAAATAATGCTAACTCCTGGATATATCAAAATTATATTTTTAGATTTAAATAAAATCTGTCTTTATCTGCATAAATATAATAAAATTTCAAATCATTCTATAAATTTATATGCCTATTTCTATAAATACTAATAATCAGAATATTTATTTAGCAACGTAATAGTCATTTGCTAAAATATAATTATTTTATCTTACCCTCCTTTAAATTGGAACAAATATCTGTAAAATTTTTTATTTTTGGATAAATTAGCCCCTTTAAAATTTTAACAATTTTTTCAAATTCAAAGTATTGTCAAATTATATTTTTTTTTTTTAAATTTTATAAAAATCATACCCAATTTAAATTAGGGATTTAAAAATCCTTAATAAAACTCATTCCACAAAAAATCATGAATAATGCTCAATTGAATATTCGCCAATTAATTGCAAATCTAAAGCAGCTTCAACTTAGATAAGAATAAATGGCAAAAGCTGAGCCAAGTGTTGACTGACTCTACGACTATATCTTACAATTCCTAAAATCCCCAGGATGGAGAATCCCCATTGTTTCATTCATGGACGAAAACTGCGCAGCTTTTGATTCTGAAGACGAGAACAAGCTTGTCTACACAGAAATCCACGATGTATTTTTCACATAGAAATTTAAAGAACTGATCGACAGCCTCCTCGAAAACCTCTGCAGAGAAATCGGCGTCACCCCTCAGCAATTTGTAAACGTTTGCGGAATTGGCATGAAATCGCCAGCCCATAGAAGAATCTTTGAGCAAATAATTGCATGCGATAACTTCATGAGCTTCAAAAAACTCATGCTCAAGAGGAATAAGGAAATTGAAATGGAGGTTGCCAAGCTTATGTCAAAACCTGAATCTCCTACACCTGCAGGAGCAGAAAAAGAAGTAAAAGAGCAGGCTGAAATGGCCCAGGCGATCACTTTAAGTCTGGCTGCTGAAGAGGAAAGGAAGAGGAAGCTGGATCGTGAAGAAGAAGAGCTCCAAAGGGTGTTAAGGCTCAGCGAAGAAGAGTTTAAGAGGAAACAAGAGCAAGAAGCTCAACGACTGGCTGCCTTGAAAAGGTTGGAAGATGAAAAAGCTGGAAAAATGAAGCAGGCTGAAGAAGAAAAAGCTGCAAAAGTGAAGCAGGCTGAAGAAGAAAAAGCTGCAAAAGTGAAGCAGGCTGAAGAAGAAAAAGTCGTCAAATCTAAGCATTTCGAAGAAGAAAAAGCTCACAAGGTAGAGAGTGAGCATATAAGACCAGAAGAAGAAAAGAAAGGAGAAGTTGAGGCTGCAAGTCCTGAAGGAAGCAAAAAATCAGCCAAAGGGTTAAAAGATGACAAGAAAAGAGTAATGGAAGAGATGAAACAGAAAGAACTTGAAAAGAAACTGCAATTAGAAAGAGAAGAAAAAGAAAGAGAACAAGAATCAATCAGGAAAAAGCAGAAACAAGAAGAAGAACGCCTAAGAGCAGTCAACGAAGCTGCAGAAAGAGAAATCCAAGAGCAACTCAGAGAGCAGGAAGAAGCCAACAAACTCAAAATCCAACGAGAACTAGAGCTGCAAGAAAAGAAAGTAAAAGAAATGCAAGAATTCATGAGCCGCTCCTCTGATAAGAAGCAAGAAGAAAGAAAGGAGCATTCTCCTGAAGACAAGAACCACCCTGACCTCAGACCCATCCAAAAACGCAAGCAAGGCCCAGTATGTTTTATATAGGCAAATGCTTTGGATTTCCTCAATGAAAATCCAAGAGAAAAGACTGACGAGCTCGAAGAAGAAGCCCAAGAGATAGCCAAGAAGTCTAGCAATGCTGATTACTCTAATGAACCCACTGGAGTAGAAACGCTGGCCCAACGTCAAGCAAGACTTAAAAGGCAAAGAGACGAACTTCTAGCACGTAAAAAGCAGGAAAGAGAGCATGAGATGAAGCAGCATGTAGCCAACGGAGGTTCTGATTTTAGCGTCAGAAAAGATGTGTCTCATCTACCTCCAATTATCACCCAAGAAGAAATTGAAAAGAGAAGAAATATATATTCAAAGATTAAACAGGAAGAGCCATTATAAAGTATTTTAATTTTATCAGTGCTTAATCAAAATTAAACGGAGCGTCTTCGATCATGTTCAAGAATTTTGTAACGTCATTTTGCTCAATTTCAAAGTAGGTCTCGATAATTGATTTTGACTTAGTATAAATTTTTTCCAGCTTATGTGACTGCAAATTTTCAAGAACTGTGAGTCCTCCACATCCATCAACTTGCATGGCATAACAATTTACTTTAGACCCATTTTTCTCATGGGTGCTGCCACATTTCAATATGTTTTCAATAGCAAGGAGGCTTATATAGATCGGCTTACTGCTATTGCAGGACAGCATATTGCAAAGTGCAGGGATCACCCCTAAATTAACAAGTTCATTAATTTGTGAAGCAGAAGCTTTAGAAATTGTATTGCTTATTGCTCACAAAGCTTCTTCTTGGACTCCTAATGAGTCTCTATTTAAAATTTGGATTATTCCTTTAAAAATACCCAGCTTAAACAAAATCTCAAGCTGTGCCTCAGTTCCCACGCATAGGTTAGACAAGCTCCATACAGCCTCTTTTCTGATACTTTTTCGGTTACTTTTCAATTCTTTTGCTAGCAGAATAGGCGCTTGGCTGTTAAGAATAAACTCAGTTTGTGGGTCTGGCCCTGCAGAAATATTCCCAACAATCCTAATCGCAGGCAATTGCAGTTCGGACTCTTTGTCATTAATAAACTCAAAAATTCTGCTTGTAGCTCCTAAATCAATTAGTTTTTGGCCTGCGTCAACAGACTCTTCTGAAAGAATGGCGAATGCCCATAAGCAATTGCTGAGTGTTTCTATGTCACTGAAAGTTTGGAATACTTTAAATAGCGCTGGGATCGCAGGACATAAAATTGAATATTCAGGCAAGGGCTTAGTTCTACATATATTACTGAGTGCTCAGGTCGCATTTTTAATTAAGCTTTCTTTTTGTGAAGTCAAAATACTATCAACCAATAAGCTTAAGCCTGAATACTGCAATACGATATTTCTTGTAGTTTCTGAGTCTGCACAGATATTTCCTATACATCAGATCGCTTGTTCTCTTAATTCATCAATAGGAGAGTTCATCAAAGCTATCATTTTCTCTATTATCCCTTTTTCTACTAATGCTGCAGTTCATTTAGGCTCCCCTGATGCAATATTAGTAAAAATTCATGATGCCTCATATTGCAGCTGGGGAAAATCATACCTATCTAGCCAACTCAGCACAACTGAAAGCACCCCAGTATCCACAATACTCTGAATTTGCTGACCTTCATGGCTCATTATCTTTCTCAATCCCTGTGCAACATATAAATATTGCCCTTCATCTTGTGAATTCACAACGTCCAAAAATTGAGGCAAGTCTTCTAATGTATAATCTTGTTTATAATGTGAATTTACCTCAATCCATGACTTCTCTCTGATTTCAATATTCCGCTTTTTTGTGGCTTCCTCAATGCGCTTTGATCTTCGTAACTCCACAGAATGCGAGTCATGTAGACTTTTTACTTGGGAAGGGTCGAATGGCCTCATGAACTCTTTAGACCGGTCCTTTGGAGATTTGCTGTAGATTTCTGATTCTTCGGCCATATCTTTATTCTTAAAGAGAATTTAAATAGAATAGAAAACCAATATGCATTAATAAGCAAATGAGAAGAAGTAGGGAGTGCAATGGAGTTTCTGAAGACGCGCCAACGTTTCTTAAAACAAGATATGGAGAAATTGTTAAACAAAGAAAGCCTAACACAGGAATACATATACAGGCCAAGCTTAAATTTGGGGTCAGCTCAGATTCTCCGCCGTTGTTCCAGCTGCCAAATGTCCTGGTTAGTACAAGACAGTCTAACCTATCGCCTCCTAGGTCAAAGAGCATTGAGCCGTTTTTACCTCATCAAGGGACTATCCATAGCAAAGATCAAGACTTTGATAGTGTAAAATTTTCGGTTAAAAAGGACGTGATTCTTGGTATCAAGGACAAGGTTCGATATCAGTCAGTTTTCCATCAAAATTTCTTACAGAGAATTTATCAGAGAAAAGGGTTTTACAAAAGCAAAGGAGAAATAACAGGAAACAATAAAATCCCAAAAATAGAAAGGAAAGGAAAAAGTGATCTTTCTATACTACAGTCGTCTAAACTTGTCCAGACTGCAATCTAAACCTTAATTAGTCTAAACGCGTTTAACGTCCACTCGTACATAGCAACCTCCAACTGCGCTCTGGGGTGAACTTCGCGCCATTTCCTTACTCCCCCCCCTCCGTAAGTGAACAAAACCATTAGAAAAATCGCTATTTTTTGCCCAAAAACCCACCCTCCGTGAGTGAACAAAAATTTTTTTAATACAAAAATTTTTTATGGAAAAAAAATTTGATATATAAATGATAATTATTATAATGAAATCTAGAGCTAATTCTGTTTAATTTAAACGAATTGCTTTTTAAAACATAAATTTTCTAAATTAAATTAATATTTGCTTTCCAATTTTTGCGAATTAGGATTTTTTTAAATTTCGAAAAAAAATATTGTTTATAAAATTTATATATAAATTTTTTAAAAAAAAAACAATTAACCCCCCTCCGTGAGTGAACAAAATTTTTTTGTTCACTCACGGAGGGGGGGAGTTAGGCCCACCAAATGTGTGGCAATCTTTGACTTTGATCACTAAAGAGGGCAGCAGTCTTAAAATCTGGGCTTCGACGACTCTTCTTTGAGCTCAGGCAATTACTTGATCCAAACGTACCCTAAAGTTTCAGTCTCCGCCGCCTGGTGTAAGTGACACCCTTCTGGAAAATTTCATCCCCTAAGTTCAGAAATCCGGTAAAAAATCATCTCGCTCTTGCTTCCCTGTCATAGCTGGGATAATTTCCACAGGGTAAGCAAACCTCATAATTAAATTGCTGGTAGGGTAGGGTAAAATAAATTTTTCTTATTCGTAATTAAAATATGCTCGAGGTGAATTTTGTTTGGAGACAGAAAATTCAAGCGGCACCATATTTTAATTATGTTCAGATTACAATCAGCAGATATAGTTCAAGACAAAGCAGGTTTACCTCAACAAAGCATTCATCGGTTGACCCTGATAACTCGCTTATGAGAGACTATGAATCATAATTTAACTTAAATTATTATCTAATAGCTTCCAGTCAGCCGCGTCAGATTTTCACGCCCCTAGCTTCGCTCCACCCTCTTGCTTGCCAGTCAGATTCCACAGCCTGAGGTCTAAGCTGCTTCCTCTAGATCATCATCATCATCATCAATTATTCAGCAGGCAAGCCTGCAGCAAACCCTTATGGGCTTTTTGTTATAATCCAACTATCTAGAGATTTCTGCCTAATAACCTTGCCTTCAGTAGCGCCCGTCCTTATGATCCACTTCTTTCTCCACTTCCAACTTTCTCTGTAGCCTTCTTCAACTTCCTGAGCCTCATCACTTTCGCCAATTTCATCCGTTTCATCAGCTTCATCAGTTTTCACGATTTCATCTGTTTCATCAGCTTCATCAGTTTCATCAGCTTCATCAGTTTCACCGATTTCATTTGTTTCATCAGCTTCATCAGTTTCATAAACTTTATCAGTTTCATCACCTTTGCTGTTTTAGAATTTTTGATTTTTTGAGTTTTTGGTATTTTCTGAGGGTTTTGGACTTTTGGTCTTGGGCTTCTTGGGCTTTTTGGGCTTTTAGGGTTTTTTGGGTTTTTTGGACTTTTTTGGGCTTTTTGGCATTCTGGACTTTTTGGGCTTTTTTGGGTTTTTTTGGGTTTTTGGGCTTTTTGGGCTTCTATTTCGATCGATGTTGACCTTAGTCCTGCGGCTGCCATTAACTCTCCACTATCCAAGATTTCTCCGAGCTGCCGTGCAATTGTGGTCCTTATCTTCTCCTCCCATTCATTTTCTTCTCCTAATTCTTCTTCGTAATCCCCATCTTCTTCCAAATACTCTTCATCAATTTCCTCATCTTTCATTCCGTCCTCCCTTCAAAATTCGCATTTCTTCTTCCCAGATCTCAATTTCATCCAGGATTCCATCATAAATACTGTCATAATCTTCAAATTCGCTACATGAATCATAATCCCCGCAAGAGTCTCAGCTGCTCGCGTAGTCATACTGCTCCATTTTCGCGCAAAAAATAAAAGTGCTTCCTCTAGATTACGTTGGAAAATTGCCTGATTGATCAAATGAACGCTCTCAATGCTGGACTATTGTTCTCCATCAGGCCAAGTAAGCACACTCATCGCTTGCTGCTCTTCCTTCCACAACGTCTCCAGACTCCCGCCTTGCTGCAGGTTGGTTTGCCACACCATCTTTATGTGCGGACTATGAATCAGATTTTTCTCTTGCAAGGACTCCTTTTTCAACAAGATATGGCAAGCTAAATCCAAAATCTCTGTCTAGATGTGAAGCAAACCTGCCTAAGCTAGCTGAAAAACTAGAGCAGCTAGAACAAAGCATTAGTATAGAAGATTTTGAGCAGAGGCTAACCCACTATCCTTCTCCTAAAAAGAGAAATCTGCATGAGTATTATAAAACCGCAGAACCTCTCCAAAAAAATGATGCATAAATAGTTATAAATATCAATATTTTCCATAAAATAATTCTACACCAATTATCATGCATGGTTTTCTGAGCTGATATATATAAAAAGATGTTCTGATTTTCCTTTATTTGCCTTAAACTCCTGCATTTATTGACCTAAAAGCTTAATTTATTCCACTTAAAACACTAATTTAATTATATCATTAATCTTAGCTAAACTTGATAACTTTAAGGTTTGCATAGCTCATGTACATTAAAGGCACCACCACTCCAGCGACCATAATAGCGCAGCCCACGAAATACATCATATAGTCCAGTTCCATTCCGCAGAATTAATTTTTATTAAAATGATAATTTATAAACAAATTAAAATAAATATTTAAAATATTTCGTAAAGTAGCAAGTTGACTTTACTGAGGTTTATGTGGAAAGCTGGATGATCGTGTCAAGCATAGAGTTAATTTCGTTGATGCTCATTTGCAAATTATTGCAGTCTTTGTCGAAAGCCTCAATTCTTTCTCTGTAGTACTTAAACTGTTCACCCAAGAACTGGAAAACCATATGTATTTCTTTCGCTTTGCTAGCGAACTGTGTAAGGAGTGGGTTTTCAAGCTCATCCACGTTCAAAATGTCTAAAATTTTTACAGTATCAGCAGCAAGGTCGCCGCAAGCGATTTTATTAGCAATTTCGTGCATTCCTCTTTCTTCTGCGATCATGATTGCTTTGATTTTTTCGACTAGAGATTTGATATTTGGCAACCCTTTTTTTGAGATCGATTTTTTGCGGGCGAGGATTTTAAGCACTTGGTTTTTCCACCTTACTTCTCCTCCCTATCCAATTTTGTATTTTATTGGGATTTTTTTTATAAATTTGCAAAAATAAATTATATCTTAGAAGGGGAATTAGCAAAACTTTGGTGCTGGTAGAATATGATGGATCATATCTATAACATTTTATTGTATCAATCCCAATTTGTACAGTCAAAATGTCTTGTTTTACACTGTCAAATATATGAAGGTTTTTTCTTACTTTTGATAGCTTGGCTTTTAGTGGAGTGAAGTTATTAGCTATTTCGTCTAACTTCTTAGACGAAAGAACAAGAACCTTGGTCGGCTCCACGGCTCTATAAGACACCAGCATTTCTCCTCCAACTAGTCCCAGTTTTGAATTTATGATGCTCCCCATTTTGAGCTCATCCAATACCAAAACCATAGCATAATGGCTTTTATACCCGCTTTCAATATTTTTCACGCTTTCCCATTGACCCTTCCCTTCCTGATTTACAATTGTATGCAGCTCTTTATCTTTTACTGTGATTGTAACGTGGACACAGCCTTCCACAATAACATAAATTTCATCAACTCTTTCTCCATAGTTAAACAAGTACTCATTAGCAGCAAACTGCTTTGTGCCTAAAGTGTATATTAATTCATCAAATTTATCAGCTGAAAGACAGCGCAAATAAGGGATATTAGTCATTGTTGTTTTTAAAAACACTTTCCAGTGGTCCATGTAATTGCTAGCGCATTGCAAAAGCATTTCTTTCGCCTCAGGGAAATTTTTAATCATGTCGTGGAAAGACTCTTTGGTAAGCGCAGCTAGGTTGGCATAAGTGGTGGTCTTGACTGTAGCAGTCCTTTCAGTATTGTAAAGTAAAGCAATTTCTCCGAAATGGTCACCTCCTCCTAAAATCCTGATTTTGTGGGCTGCTTTAAGTTCGTCAAGCACTTCAATTTCACATTTTCCGTCCGCAATAAAGTAAAATTCTTCAGCCTCACTGTACTGAGTCACCACTGGATAGTCTGGCTGGTAAAATTGGTTTTCCATTTTACTGACTCCCATCCTACCGCAACTTTTTTTAAGTTAAAGTCCACCAAACGAACAAAATTTTTTTTACATATAATTTTTTATTTTTTATAAATAAGGAGAATTTATTATAATAAATTAAAGCTAACTCTATTGAATATTAAACAGCTTGCGTTCGAAAAAATAAAATTTACAATTAAATATTTAATTTGTATTTTTTGTGGATGGGAATTTTAAATAACCCCCTCCATGAGCCAACAAAAAACTTTCCCCACTCACGGAGGGAGTGAGAATGAACTCTAACAAAGAGCTTGGGGAATGAATAAGCAGCACATTTCTCTCGAAAATAGGCCGATATATGGTTCTGTTTACTTCATTTCTAAGACTTGGAGGCAGCACCTTAATAAACTTTTCATACTCTTCATGCTTCTCTAATATATGATACGTAGCGAATAAGAAATCTGCAATTCTCACTTGTAGCTCGTCAGGGAGTTGCATGTTTTTCATTGTTGTATAGACTTGGTCTTGGACTTCTGCAAAAATGGCAGCTTTTTTATTCATTTCAGTCATAACGTTTGCGATTTCTCCAAACATCACGGCGCACACAATGGCTCCTGCAGCATATAATACATCTACTGTTGCGTAGACAGTGAGTCCTCTTCCTCCAATATCAATGCCTACTAATAAGAAGAGGACATGGTAAAAACAAAACCAATACTGTTTTCCTACAGTTGTGGTGTATAGATCCGTGTAGCCCATATAGAGATAATCTGTAGGAGGCACCCAAACTTTGTCGTCGTCAACTATCATAAACCAAAAGCATGCCATTACATGAACTATGAGTAGCAAGATGATCAACAGGCTAATCAGCCTGTATAGGCATTTTACCTATATTGTCCGATATGGGCTGAAAGTTGAGAGCACTTCCTCTCAAATTGGTTTGGACAACTTAGGTTGGTCAAACCAACAGGAGAGAGAAACTTCCTAAACTCTCTGGTTGGTTTGACCAACCTAAGTTGGTCAAACCAAACTTGAGAGGAAGTGCTCTCAACTTTCGTCCCATATCGGGCAACATAGGCGAAATGCCTATACATCAGCTTCACTTTTTCTTTTGCCCTCACGAATAGCTGGACTTTGGAAAATCTTCATATTCTGATCATTTTTAAGCATCTCAGAAGGCTGTACTAATATTAATTAAGATTATTGAAGCTCCCTGTGATAACTCGAAAGGATATTATCTCCGTATTGCTTCGCAACTGCCTACCGTCTGTCTATCGGCTGTGATCCTCAAGGTGTTGACCAAATGGAACTCATGGCCCAGGGCACAATTATTACATTGCATTAGGAAATTGCCCAATTAGTTCAAGGATGCTCCTGGGCTTTACCTTTCCAGCTTCTTCCCTTGAGGTAAAACCTTGACCTGGAACGAACTGCGGTCGGCGTAATCTGACACTGCTCTCCCAAGCTAAATAAAACATGACTGGTGCATCACCAACACCATTCCTCTTTCTTAAGGTCCTTGGATCTCCCCAGTGCAGTTCTCAAGATGGTGATTTGCTTGCTCCGGCATTTAATATATATCATCTCCGAAGGCAGTATTTATCTCCTGACTCTCCTGCTCCATATACAATAAAATCGAATGGGATAGTTATAACAAGATCCCAGAAGAGCTCCCCACTGATGATATATTGTTTCCAGATCATTCTGCTGTCAAAAACCTCTCGGTCATGCTCATTTATGAAGCTTGTTCTGAAATTCAGCATGATGTCGAGAAAGAAAATGACATCAATAATGATATTGACAGCAATAATCCCACCTGATCACAGTCTATCAGGTGTGAAGGCCACAAAAAACGGAAGGTAAATGCAATTGTATAGGGCGAGGGCTATGATAAATAAATCCCAGCAGATTCGTGGCTTTCCTTTGATGCTAAATATACATTTTGGCCTGACTTGGATAAACCTGTGGGTGGTATAGGTGGTGGGAGACTCATAGTTGTGGACTAGTGTGGCCTGCTTGTTTTTTATGCTCATTACGAGAGGTGCTTCTTCGAAATAGGTAGGTTCGCTCCCTGGAACTGCTGATGGTGCTATTTTCATGTATTTTTTATTAAATTCAAAACTACTCTGGTTTCTTTTCAAACGCTCATAAAAAAATTTAGATATATCATTTATACAGTTATATCTTATGGCTACAATAGCCCTGATAATAGTATTTTTACTGGTAATAAAGAGTAATAATTGCAGCATTTACATAAATTTAGTATAATATAGCTGAATTAAATCAGTTGAGTTTTATATTAAGGCTACTTCTTATATTTAGTATAATTTATGGGTTTATTTTTCAAATGTCTCTTTATGCAAAGCTATTCATATTTTAGAGAATCCTGCAAGCTATATTGCAACAAAATAAATGGGACAAATTTGTAGCATAGAAGAGCCAGGGTTAAGACCGCAGCCATTGCATGGTAAAGCTTTAAGCGAAAGAGTAGCAAAACTTGAAGATAGAAGAGATACGACTGAGTCTGATTTTATAATTTTGAATCAAAGCTCTATAAAAGACGTTTCCCCAGATGACAGAAATAGTTTGGCAAAGTCATGAAGCGTTTTATCCTCAAGAAGTACACTTTACAGTGAAAATGCCCTAGAAGATAGAAAAAGCACCAGTTTGGGAAATGAAATTGGACAAGCTAACGATGCTAGATCACAGGCCCAATCCTTACACCCTAACAAAATTTTTTCTTGTGCACTGGATTTTGAAGAATACCCAGAAACTGTCAGCAAATTTTGAATCCCAATCGAAAAAATGACTGAAATTGGAAAATTCAATAAAACATTTGTTCAAAATGTAAAGCAAATAAAAGAAAAAGGATTCGGGGCTTGGAGAAAAAGCAGGGGAGATGGAAACTGCTATTATCGTGCTGTATTTTTAATGTACCTGGAAAATCTGTTTAGCTTTAGATATGACTATACTGAGACGTTGTGAAATTTGATAAATTTCCTTGAAAATATGGATTATGAGATTCCTTTTACTGATTTTTTGGACAATAAGCTAAAGTTTATTGCTTATATGAAAATCCTTATGAAAGTCAAAGAAAGTAGCTATACAGATGCATTCGTTGAATTTAAGAGAGTAGCACAGGTTAGAGATTTTGATTTAGCTATGATTGCAACTGCAAGGCTTTTGGCAGCCTATAAAATTGCTTCAAATGACCCTAGCATAGCACCATTCATTTTTGAAGATCAGGAAATGATGATTATGCAGATTCTTACTATGGGGGAAGAAGCTGAAGGCATTGCTTTGCTGACTCTGCCAATATCTCTTGGTATTCAAGTTATTCAGTATAACTTTTTTGATAAAGTTGTAGAACAGAAATTCCCTGACTCCACCCCTTCTCCATTGATAAGCAATATATAGGAAAAGCAATGCATTTATGAAATAGCCTCAAAATATAAAAATTATTCAATCAAATATTATGATAATTAATGCTTATTATAATGAAATCTCTATCTGTTTCCATTATTAAGCATAGAATATTTTAGTTTTTGGGGAAAAATGATATAACTATTTTTTTCTAACATAGCCCTTCAGAAAAATGTATTTTACTTCCCAAAGGAGTGAAGAAAATGACTCAAATTTCTCACCTATATTCATAATTCGTAGAGGTGGGCATTATGATATTTTATGTAAAAAATCAGACCTGGAGGCTCAAAATTATGATTTGAAAACTGGAACCTATTTACTTCCCTTATAAAACTGATATTATCTGTTACATAAATTGCTTATTGGGCTCGTTTGGTAAGACTGGAAATTTGAAAAAAGAAACTTATGCATTTATTTTTTGGCTAAGGATTGCCTTCGAATAGAAATACTTCGGGGTCTGCAATTGCAATAAGACCAAGATATGGTGAAACTCCTGCAACAATTTTTGATCATCAACACTAATCCTATGCAGCCAAAATATAGCGAGTTTCTCTTTTTAAAATTTTCATCTTATCTAGGATGATTGAGCTCATTAAGCAATTATTTTGGCACATAATAATCTCTCTATTCCTAACTGTAAAGCTTTTACCACTCCAATAATTTAAATATTCAAATAATTAATATCTATTTAGCGAGAAGAAGCTTCAAACACTCCAGTCCACAAAACGGCTTAAGTGTTTTTGGCTGCCTGTACTTTGCCTTTTTCCCACATTCACAGACTTTTTCACTTCTTTCCTTACTTCCCCACCCTCAATGAGCAAGCATAACTATCGGAAAAGTCCCCATTTTTAGATTAAAGCCGCCCTATATGACAAACAAATTTTTTTTAGCATGAAAAATCTTTTTTATAAAAAATATATTAGTTATAAATATTATAGCGAAATATCTAGCTAATTCTGTTGAATTTTAATAATTTGTATTTTAAAAAATAAATTTAGCAAATTAAATTAATTTCCTTCGTAAGATCGAGAAAAATTGTTTTTGTTCACTCACTGAGGGGGGCGAGTTAGGTGGCGTAATTTGTAAAATTTTCAGCATTGGCAGTGCTGGAGGCAATTTAAGACTGCTATAAGGTCCTTTGCTCCTATACGTAATGCACGGGGCATCGATTTTGTTTTGCCTGACAGCCTGGACAGCTTCTTTCTTTTTGCTGCCAGAGCTTTCTTTCAGAATCCTGTTTATCAAGTTCGGATTCAGCTCATTTGACGACTTCCCAGCAGCTCTTTTCTTTGGCAGCTTCAAGTCGCTGGAGCCGCCCATTTCGTCAAATTCATTCATAACGCTGGGGTCGGGCGTATAATTCAGGCTGACAGAACTCTCCTCATTTGAATGTTGTGAGCCACGCGAAGGCGATTTAGTTTCAAAGTTGGAGTGGCCGTTGCCCGTGTTATTTTGGCTTGGGTCTGCTTTGCGCTCGCCTACAACTTTTCCGTCAATGACAAACTCAATACTTGACCAGTGCTTCATAGCCTAATATTTTAGGAATCTAGTGGGATAACCCTATTTAAGAATTTTTGTTTAATTTAGAAATATTTTCTACTCAGGCGTTTGGATTGAAAACAAGTCTTTCAGCTTGGAGGCGTGGCGTATTAGAGCTGTCACGATTTCTGAATTAAATGACACCTTTATGCAGGACAGGACATAGTTGTCTTCTAGGGTGGTAGCTAGAGCATTAAAAACGTCTCTTGTGACAGGCAAGCCTTGCATGTCTAAATACAGCAGTGAAAAATTGCTTCTTAAAGACTCTGCAAGTCCAATCATATCTTCAGCGACCAGCCCTTTACAATTAGAAATCGTCAAAGAGTTCAGCCCATGGAAATGCTCCATATACTCTGTAAACCTGCCAAACGCCCTTGACGTAAAATCGTTAGAGCCTATATCCAGCTTCATTTTTGGCTCCACATCTTCTTCTTGCTCTATCAAACTTTTTGCTTTATTTAATAGTGCACAGACTGCATACAGTCCTTTATCTTCCATTCTGATATCATTCAGCTCTAATGAATAAAAAGGCAGCTGATGTATAGCTTTAGGCCAATAAAGGTGCTCAAATCTGACAGAAAAAGCTCGAAATAATGACTCAACCCCTTCGTCACAAATGGCATTGTGCGAAAGGTTCAGGTTAAGAAGGGTGTTCCATCTGACTTCTTCTTGTTTAAGAAGCGTTGCAATTGCAATTGCTGATTTTGACCCGAGATGGTTTCGGCTTAAATTTAATGTGTCTACTCTGGTGCAGCCCATTAGTAGCTCACATAGTAGGACTATGTCAGGGTCTCTAAGTTCACAGTTTTCTAGCTCAATTATCTGCAATTTGGTATGTGCAGGCAAAGAGTAAGCCAAACAGTTTAAAAAAGTTTCTTTAATTTCGACATCTTGGAGAGAAATTCGTGAATAATTGAGGTCTTGGAAATAATTAATGAAATCAGCCAAATATTTGTCAGTTGTTTCGAGGTATTTTTTAAAGCAGATTTGGTTGTGCAGGATCACCCTCCAGCCGTTGCCTAATTTGTCATTTAAAATTGTAAGCTTTTTATTTGAGCCTTCAATAGTAAAACATTTTTCTTTGCCGACTTCGCATGGTGTCACGAACTCTGAAGGTAGCGTCATTATCCCTTTAGCAAAAGAGCTTTGGGAGTCTCGATATCAATATAATGTGAATCCTCTTAAAACAAGCCATCTCTGATGGAAATTTGTAGTTCCTGCTCTTTGTTTTTTCACATAGCCAAATTTGATGACTTCTCCATTTGTAGTTTCTAAAGGAGTGGCCACCTGCAAGATATTGCTAACTGCTGCTTTTTTATAGTCTCTTAAGTTCAAGGCTTCCAATTTTGGCAGCTCAGGCTTCGTCTTATAAAAATTCGCATCCCTTCTGGCTGCTCTTTCTTCACTAAAGCAATTAATTTCTTCTTCTGAGTCAGACTCGCTCTCACTTTGACTGTTTTCTTTTTTTATTGGACTTTTGTTTGTTAATGTTATAGATTTTCTCCTTGTGCTCGACCCGACTTCTCTAGCATTTTTTGATATATCTAGCGCACTTAATCTTCTGGTTGTATGGAATCTGAAATTTTCTTCATTTCCTTTTATAAGCTCTTTTAGTGTTTCTGCGTTTTCATCTTGCAACACAATTACAAAGCGATTTGGGTCTTTTCGTTTCCCAATTTTTCGAATTTCTTTTGGGACTCAAAAATTTGAAATATCATTAATGACGCTTCGGAAAATATTTTCTACTGGAGGATGGAGAACAACCATACGTTGTGGGACTGGAGGCAGTACTCTGTTAATAAGTTTTTGGTTTTCTTCAGCTATTATAGAAGTCCTAGTTTTGGCGAGATCTTTTATGATACTATCTGTATAGGAAATTGACTTGATTTTAGAAGTGAGAGAAGCGATTATATCTTTTTTGACTGGTGCAGGAGACTTGGCTTCTTTTTTGAAGAGTTTTGAATTGATTGATTTGATCATTTCGTCTGGGGTTAGTTTTGGGGCTCTACTGCGCTCTGGAGTTTTGGACTGTGGTAGTTGTAATTTAGGCTTCACGAGAGGGGTAAGTAAGCTTAGGAGTTCTGTTGCTGAATATTGTTCAGTTTTGGCTTCCGGCTTTTTCTTAATAGAATCAAGATAATCTTTAATATTCATTTCATATTAAAATGCAGAATGATTATTTTAATTTAGGCTTAAGTAATAGAATTCTATATTAGAAGAAGTCTAAAGTAATAAGAATTCTCCCGATTTGAATAAAAATATGGGTGGGTGGAGATATACAATTTTTCAATGTTTTGATAATCCAGGGATGTGCTTATGGGCCTGCTGCGTTCCTTGCGGCATGTCCTGCATGCAGGCATGTGATGCAAAATATTCTGACCCTGACAACAAAAATGCATTAATAACTGCGTTTCTTTGTTCTTGCTGTTTAGGATGCATTGGGTCGGTTTATAATCGATATAAACTTAGGAAAAAACTTCATGTAGAGGATAGCATTCTATATGATATCTTATTTTGGTGCTGCTGCCCATGCTGCTCTGCGACACAAGAGTGGATGACTGTCTTTTCCGAGAAAAAAGCAAATCAAAAGGTTACAATATGGGAGCTTAAAAATCAAGCTTAATTATAATGAATTTGACTATAATATTTAGCATTTCTTTAGCAATCCTCGTAGTAAGCTGGTATATCTCTGAGTACACCCATTTCCACCACACCCCAAGGATGGTCACTAAAATCTTTGCAGCTGAACTCGACAAGGACTCGAAATCTGGAAAAATATTCAAGGTAATTGGAGGGGAAAACCAAAATATCGTCGACCCCTTTTTATCATTCGAGCATTTCATATTAGAAAAGCCTTATGGATTTAACGATCACCCACACAGAGGCACTGACAAGGTTACTTATATTATTGGAGGCGAAATGATATATGAAGATTTTAGAGGAAACGTAGGAGCACTATCTGCAGGAGACGCAATGTGGATGACCAGTGGCAAAGGAATGGTCCATGCAGAAATGCCTTTGAGTGACACTGTAGAAGGGGTCAGGGTAGAAATTTTGCTGAAAAATGACTTCAGGATGTGTGACCCTGCTTATCAATATTTAAAAAGTGACGAAATTGCGACTGCTGAAGACAGTTATGCAAGGGTTAAAGTAATTGCAGGAGAAAGCATGGGGAGGGCTTCACATACAATTACACGAACTCCTGGGCTGTTCTTAATTTTTGATCTTGGGAAAGGCGGGGAGGCGTTCCAAGAAATCCCACAAGGCTGGAATGCAGTCATATATGTCCTGCAGGGTCGAATCGAAATCCAAGGTGACGAAATCAAAGCAAGGCATGGAGCAGTTTTATCACAATGGGATAATGATCTTACTGTAAAATCCAAAAAAGGAGCAACTTTCATTTTAATAGCAGCTGAGCCTATGGACGAAATGATGGTGCAGTTCGGCCCTTACGTGATGCCTAACTATCCACTAGTAGAAAAAGCTCACCGTGACTTTAAGAACGGCCAAGATGGCTTCGAGGGTGCTCCTGAATGGAAATCGACCATAGGAAAGCAGCTTAATCAGTAAAATAATACAAAATCTTAAAATCCTATATTATAATATAAGAAATGGGCAGCAGTGTCTCATCAAACCCAAAAACTCTACTAGACTCAATCGACTCAGGCCAAGAGCTAGACACCCAAACACTAGTCCGATTCGGCGCACAAATAAACGCCTTAAACAAAGAAGGCTACTCTCCGTTACGTGTATCTCTAGAACATGGCCGAGTATCAATGTTTAAAGCGCTTTATAAGGCAAAAGCATTAATTATCCCAGAACTTTCTCAGCGAAAAACGCCTCTTCACAGAGCAGTTGAACTCGGCCATTATAAATTAGCTTGGATGCTCCTTCGCGAGCATTCTTTATTTGGAAACTTTAAAAATCAGCAAGATGCCTATGGTAACACCCCACTCCACGTAGCAGTTTTGAAAGGAAATTCAGATATGGTGGCTCTTCTGCTAAAATACAACGCAAGCAGAGACGTTTTGAACTCGTCAGGGAAAACTCCTCACGAGCTGGCACTGGAAAGCAGAAGTCAAATGGCTGACGAAATAATTGAGCAGTTTACCTTAGAAGACTGTATTTCAAAAGGAAATCGGACCCCTATATTAGATGAAAACCAGCCTAATAGAGAGCAGAGGTCGACACAAGGGTCGAAATCGACGCTAAAAGTAGAAGAAAGCATTGAGGAGCCGATTACGCTACTAGAGCAAGCCTTAGCGGACAGCAGACTGACAATTATTAAAGGTGAAGAGCTCGAATTTCAAGATGTCTTGAACAGAGGCTCAAGCTGTATAGTATTCAAAGGCAAATGGAGAGGCAGTGAAGTCGCCATAAAACAGTTTAAACTCGAGTACAGCACTTCTGAAAAGGATTTACAGAAATACATTAAAGAAATGCAGGTTTTGTCACAGATCAGGCATCCTAATGTGTTACTGATCATGGGAATTTGTATAGACCAGCCTAATTTGTGCTTAATCACTGAGTATGTCCCTAACTCGTCCCTTTTCTATGCAATTCATAAAAACAAGGCAAGAATCCTGACGCTGTCAGAAAGATTTAATATAGGGATACAAATTTGTAAGGCTTTGGCTTACCTGCACACAAATGACCCTCCAATTATTCATAGGGATCTGAAGCCTGAAAACTGCTTGCTTGACCATGCCATGAATGTAAAACTCGCTGATTTTGGGCTGGCGAGGCCAGTTTCGTCATTTTCTGCTGAAGAGTCTCAGTCAATGACTACAATTTGTATTGGTACCACACGATTTATGGCTCCAGAGCTCTTTGACAAAGATAAAGTCGACTCAATTGGCGTAGAAGTTGACATATGAGCCCTAGGCTGTCTTCTCATAGAGCTTTTCAGCAACAAAAGACCTTGGCACTACATATCAAGCTCAAAAGCCAGCAACATTTTCTACGAAATTTTCAATAAAAAGCCAATCCCCATCCCTGATACCATAACTCCCGAAGTCAGCCTCATAATCCAAGAATGCTGCAGGTACAACCCTCGCAGACGGCCACGCATAACTGACGTCCTTGACCGACTTGAAAGAGCTAAAAGCACGTATATTCTTACTCCCCCCCCCCCTCCGTGAGCGAACAAAAAAATTTTGTTCGCTCACGGAGGGGGTTAATTTTTTTTTTTTAAAAACATTTATATATAAATTTTATAAAAAAATTTTTTTCGAAATTTAAAAAAAATCCTAATTTGCAAAAATTGGGAAGCAAATATTAATTTAATTTGCAAAATTTATGTTTTAAAACGCAATTTGTTTAAAATTAAACAGAATTAGCTCTAGATTTCATTATACTAATTATCACTTATATATCAAAATTTTTTTCCATTTAAAATTTTTTCTTAAAAAAAAAATTTTTGTTCACTCACGGAGGGTGGGTTTTTGGTCAAAAAATGGCGATTTTTCTAATGGTTTTGTTCGCTCACGGAGGGGGGGGGGGAGTTAGTTAATGTATGATTTGTAAAGATTTAATCACAGTAACTTTCCATTTATCTGTTGAAAAATATGAGATCGATCTTAGTTCTCGCCTGTTTAAGCGTTGCTTTAGCAGCAATAAGCGGTGACCTTGTAAAACAGATTCCTCAGGCCCCTGCAAATCTTCCGTTCACGATGTACTCAGGCTACCTTAAAATCCCAAACTCTCAAGGACGACAAATTCACTATGTTTTCTTCACCAGCCAAAATAGTCCAAGTAAAGATCCTCTTGTACTGTGGCTCAATGGTGGTCCTGGATGCTCCTCTATGGAAGGCGCCTTTATGGAGAACGGCCCATTGGTGTTTTCAGAGCACGAGATGAAAATGAGCGTGAACCCTTATTCGTGGAACCTAAATGCCTCATATATGTTAAAGTAGCGTGGCGAATCAGCCCACCTTCTTAGTACTTGCAGCTGAGGAAGCCCAGGGGCTTTGGGGAAGGGAGGATGGTTTTCAGTAATATGCATCCGGCCAGGTTTTACTTGGCTTGGTGGAGCGCAATGTCGGATTAGGCGTACCGTAGCACATTTCAGGCCAAGGTTTTATTTGGGAGGAAGGTGGAATTCAGAGTTGGAAAGGGTCGTTTCAGCAATACCAGTGAGGTTCCTCCTGGTCAATCAGCATCATAGCAGGTGTTGAGTTCTGGGCTACGAATTTCCATCATGCCCAGCAGGTGACCAAAAAATTTCGCTTTCGAATTTTCCAGAAGCCAAACCCGTGGACGTACTTCACGGTGACCTAGCGCCTCTGACTCACGGGTAGCGAGTGTAAGCCCTCGTCCGTGAAGAGTAGCACAGTGAAAGCTGTCTTCGGACTAGCAAATAAGTGGTGGAGTGATAAGGTGGTGAATGTGAGCGGAAGATCATAGAGGAGTTTTTTGATAATTTTAATTAAGTTTAAGGAACCTAAACGCCTCAATGCTATACTTTGAAGCTCCAGCTGGCGTTGGGTATTCCATTATGGGTAATATTGCTAACAATAACACCAATGATAACCAGACAGCTGCAGACAATCTCCAAGCCTTGCTTCTTTGGTTCCAAGGCTTCCCTGAATACAAAACTAACACCTTTTACGTTTCTGGAGAAAGCTATGCTGGCATCTATGTCCCTACCTTAGTCTACAACATTTTGCAATACAATACAGCCAATCCTACAACAAAAATCAACATCCAAGGATTTTTGGTAGGAAATGGAGTCACTGATTGGACAGTAGACGCTGATAATGCTTTTGCAGAATTCGGATGGTGGCATGGTCTGTTTGGCTATGACTTGTGGAACAGCTGGGTGAATAATAACTGCTCAGCTTTTAGTGACGAGCCTATATGTGTAAAAAACCAGAACACCATGTATGATTTATTCACCGATATAAATTTCTATGATATTTATAGACCTTGTGTGTACCCTGATTTTGACTATACAGCCTCTCCTGCTTATGCGAAGTTTTCTAATGCAGTCAAGCTCGGAGGAGTTGTTAATTGTGTCCCTGATATAGGACTGACCCAGTATCTTAATTTGCCAGGTGTGAGGACAGCTTTTCATATAAATCCAAATTTGGGAGCTTGGCAGGAATGCACAAATTTGAATTATAATACTGACTATACAAGAGGCTCAATTTATCTGTACCCAACACTTTTGAACCCTGCAAATGGCCTGAGGATAAGGTTTTATAGTGGAGATACTGATGCCGCAGTACCGACTATTGGAAGTAGACAATGGATCGAAAACTTAGTAACTAAAGGCGTGATTTCTGTGACCAAACAGTGGAGAGAATGGCCTTTCAACCAACAAGTGGGAGGAATGGTCATTAATTATGCACCTTCAGGATCAACGACACCTAACTTTACATTTATGACGATCAGGGGAACTGGACATATGTCAATCCAATGGAAAAGACCTCAAGGATATCACATGTTCATCACTTTTATTCAAGGGATTGATCCTTAATTGATTAAACGGATATTAAACCATTAATTATGTTTTTAAACGTTAATGTAGTCTCTATAATGCTATTATACAAATTAATATAATGCAGCGCATGTTTAAATGCCTTTTATATTAATAAATACAGATATGGAGTCAGAATTTATTCCATTTGAAGTCGAAAACGCAGACTTCATTCCTTTCAAGCGGAAAAAACAATCCAAAGATGAAGCCCTTTATGGTGTGTTTTATTATAGCTCTGAAGACGAAAACGAAGACCTTTCAAAGCCAATACAGTTTGGAAAAAGCAGTGAGAGTATAGAAGAAAATTTAAATTAATAAAAATTATGAGAAAAGTCCTCTGAGGCAGATTTCGCCTCCATAATGCAGTCTCTGTGAGTTAGAAACGCTAGGCCGCGGTGATGCACGTCAGCTAGTTTCGCTTCCAAAATTACCTGACTGCAAAATGGAACTCATAGCCCACAACGCAACGCCTTGCGCTGGGAAATGTCCCCAATTGACCAGAAGAAATTTTGCTAGAGTTGCTAAAATTTCCCTTTCCTATCTTCTCTTAGAGTAAAACCTTGATCTGGGTGAACATATTTTCGGCTTATCCCGGCATTGTGCTCGACCAGACCAAGTAAAACCCAGCAGAATGCACATTACCGAACGCAATCAATCTAACTTCCGCAAAAAATTCCTGGGTTTTTTCACTCCATTTTAATGTAAATATCTATAGAAGAAAAGAAAACCCCAGAACATATTCCGACTATCCAGATGACTGAAGAAATGCTGGAGTCAACCTATGGAAAAGGCTACAAGATGCTGCAAAAATGCGGGTTTAAGGTTGGCCAAGGACTTGGGATTAATCATCAAGGCACTACTGAATTAATTAATTTGGCAAGAAGGAAGAAAAATGAAGGCCTTAGCTTTTCAAAGCCCGAAATCATTCCCCTAGAAAAGCCATCTGAATATAAAAATCTCCCTGAGTGGCTTTTCTCTAACAGCTACCCCAAGAAAAAAAGGAAATTATCTCCAGAGTGCATTAAATCCGAACTAAGAAAGCTTATGGAAACTGACCCAATGCTGTTAGAAAAGGTTGCTCTTATGAAACAAACCTACGAAGAAACCATCACAAACCAAGAAGTATCAGGGAACTCCTGAGACTATTTAAATGTTTCCTATGAAAATACAAGATACACTGTAATCGGCGCAGAACGAAAAATCCAAATCCAAACTGACTTTTTGGTTTCTTTAGCTTATGAAGAAAAACAAGTTAAAATTAATTTAGATTCCCTTGAAAAAGAAAAAGAAGAAATTTCTCAGCTAGAAAAATTTATGAAAAATAAAATTTATGATTTGAAAAACAATGATTTATTGCTTGAAAATTTAAAAGAAATAGAAGAAAATTTCCCAAAGCTGTGGGCTGATATGAGATTGAAGGAAAGATATGGAATTCCTTTATGCAAAAAGTATTTCAGTAGTGTTTATAAGAACTGGATATTTGAGAATGAGCCTATGAAAGGGTATAGCCAAATGAAAATATGGAAAGAATGGGTCGGAGAAGATTTTGAAGAGTCTATTGGAGATTGAGAAGTCGGGATTATGAGGTTTCTGAATGGAAGATGGAAAATTAAAGAGGAAAATGGAAAAAATGTGGACTATTTAGAAAAATGGATGAGCATTTTGCCTGAAAATACAAAGGAAAAAGTAAAGCGATGACTTTTGAATATTTTTACAAAAGAGTTTGAAAAATGGGAGCCGAGGCAGGACAGAATTCCCATTCACACCTGGGTGCACCCATGGCTCCCTCTAGTCGATTTAAGCTCCTTATGGCCTACACTTGTCAGAAAGCTAAGCTTAGCGTTGCAAGATTGACATCCACAAGACCCCTCCGCAAAAATTGTGTTATCCCCTTGGAAGCCTGTATTAGGCAGCTTCTGGACTAAAATGATGATAAGGTATATTCTCCCAAAACTAGTCTTTATATTGCAAGAGCTGCCATTTGACTTAACAAATCAAGATATTGAGCCTTTAACGTGGGTAATGAGCTGAAAAGAGTTAATTTCTGACGAGCAGCTTTCTAAAGCGTTAGAAACAGAGTTTTATCCTAGATGGAAAGCTGCGTTAAGAAAATGGGTAGAGAACGCTGAAGATGACGACATGGAAAATATCAGTATTTGGTATGAAGAATGGCAGAAAATAATCCCAAAAACTCTCCTGGATTTAGAAAATGCTTTTAATAACTAGCACAGTATTACTTTTATGTAAATAATGAGATCTTCTTCAAATAAAAATGCAGGGAAATATATAAATTAATGTTAATAAAATGCATATCTTACACCCAACAATTTTTAATTATCTCGTTAGCATAGGTGGTTATTTTTTTTTATAATAAAATTTTATATAAGTTTTTTTCCTAATTTAACTTGAATAAAATGTAAATTAATTTATAAAATTTATACAAAATGGCTTAAACTTAGCTAAGGATAGGCTATAATAATTATTAATTATATATCAAAATAATTTTATTCCCCAAAATATCAAGATAATTCCAATTGTTTTGCTCCCTCACAAAGGAAAATTAGTGATTTCCTGCATAATAAGCAAATAAGCGTTATTTTTTTATTATTCTGCAACCCAGAAATGCTTATCAAAAAATAGATTGCCACTTTACATTACCGTTAGCTAATTCAAAAATATGAATCCAAATGAAGCCCCAACTGACAATGAAGCAGATCAGATTAGATTAAATTAGAATGAATCTTTCGATATTTATTTCAGCTCCTCTCCGCCTTGCCTGCTTCAGACTTCTCGTCCTAGCATCGGTCTGCACTGACATCCTTTTCATTCATTTGACGTCACTCAAAATATGGTAGCGTCTCCATCTCTCAGGGAACGCACCCAGCTACGTCCTTGGACAACTACTATGTCAATATGATCTATCTGAGGATGGAAGATAGGAAATGACCCTAATCCTTCTTTTGGTACCCATTAACCTTCTCACCCAGAGGCGGGAAGTTTTCTTATGGACTCTAGTCTATCTGTTTATGGGTCGAGATAAAATCTCTTTCATGGTCTCAACTAAGGAGAGAAAACCCATCCTGAAAAAAAATTCCAGGCCCCGAACCCTCTTAGACCCTAAAACCCCGATGGTATGGGATAAGGGCTGGTGGGACAAGTCACCATTTTATTTATTTACAATGAATCAGAAGAAGAGAAGGTTCAGGCAGATCAATGATTTAACAGTATAAGGCAGCAGCTAAAAGTTGAAACTCATAATAAAACTCTATTATACAGCTATGATTTTCTATTAGATAAGCCATTACAAAACAAAAATCAAAGATTCAACTGAATTTCTGCTCAAAACTCGCCTGATTTTCCAAAAGAACTCCCAGCCAGACCATCATCTGCTTCAAACTGTCGGTCTTCATATTCAACATGTCCAACTTTGGATTATGAACTCATAGATACTCTTCCCAGTTTATGAATTTTTCTATAAATATTAGACTATTTATAAGACTAAAAAGCTTTCTTCTAAAGAAAAATACTTATACAGCTTAAAATATTAATGATGGCTTATATGCTATACTTTACCTGATTTCCTATCAAGAGATACACTGATTTCATTGCAAGCAAATCCATTAGAAAATACAAGAAGCACTATCCAATTTTGCTTGAGAGGAGGCAGGGAGTCTTGGACTCCTGAAAGCCAATCGGCTAAGTGGATAAATCAAAGGCCAGGAAGTGCGCCATAAATTTTATAATGTAATCAGGCCTTAAGGCTTGATTTGTTATAATTAAAGTTAACGGCATTAATTAGATTCAATATTCATTAAAATGAAAATAATGGGATAAAGAATAGCGGATGAAATAGAAGAAATAAACCGCTTTTTATTCGTAAAGTGCGAAAGGTTTTTTATGGTTCGTATTATCGTTTTCTTGAGTTTTTGACTTAAAATAATTTAAGTCATGGTATATTTTTTTATACACTAATTATGAGTTTTCTATTTCAATGCGAATTATTCATCCAAAAGTATTTAGTTGAGAATAATTTATTTTAAAATTCATTATTGATGCATAAATTGTACAGCCATGCAGGAATCAATCAAGAGATAAGCAGCAGTCGCAATAACTGCTATATCAAAGAATCTGGGAAAAAGATAAAAGGCTTATTAAAAATAAAAGAAAAACTCATGCCTCATTCTCTTGAAGCTTTACAGCCAATCGTCCAACAGTCAACTGATGGATTGATCAAGGTAAAAATTACTACAAAGTCTTCACTGTCCAAAAATGCCTGAGAAAAGATCAATTATTCCTGAAATAAAATCAGTTCTTTTGAATGTGACAGCCCTGAGCCGAAGTCCATCTATATTACTACTGAATCAAAGCCAGTGAGAAGAAATCCTTCTCCGCTGGTAAGTCATTCTCTTGAAGGCTACCAGTTCAAGCCAATTGACTTGAAATCTCCTGCGAACTCAAAACTCCCTATATTTAATCGAAGATGTTCATCAAGAACCCCGGACAAATTTTATAAAATTCCTTACCTAATTTATAGATATAAAATGGTGATGCTGCGGAAGATGGATTCCGAGAAACTCCTTATGGAGCAGGTGGACCTGTCCGATGAAGCTGAAAATAGAGCCTCTACCATTTTTTGAAATAGGGCTTTGGGCCTGGGGATGCCTGCCGAAGAGGGAAATATTGTTTCTCCCCCAAAGGTTTTCCCTGCCACTACCAGATGGGTAGGTTTTGCCCCACTTGTCTTCGCCAATCGGGACTAACGGGGCATCGCAAGAGGTGGCTCTAATCTAGGGAGCTAATCATTAGGTTATGTGGGTTTACGCCAGATAAAGAGTTTTCCTTGCTCCTATTAGGCTAGGGTACATAGTTTTTCACGCCACAAGGCCACTAGCAAGAGCGTCTAAAATCCAAAAGCACATATTCCATCTTTCTCATTTATACGCAGAGATTACGTAGTCTTTTTGGAGCCAACTAGGAGATGTTCTGCCTCTTATGACAAATGGTTAATCTTAATCTTACCCAATTCGTGATATATCACCTCTAAGTCATTCTCACTCAAGAAAAAAGCTATCTTATATTCCATTTCCATCAAATGTTCCTTTCTCAATAGCACTAACAATCCTATTACTTTTTAAAAAGCATTATTAGCATCCATCAAACAATATTTATTTAACAATCATGACATATGTAATTTTAAAAATCTCGTATAAATATAAAATGGAAGGAAATGGCCCTGACTTCAATGATATATTAAACAATATGATAAGCAATCGATATACCGAAGACCTAGCAAGTCTACAAGACCCCTCATTTGGCAGTCACATAGAGATGCTGAACCAAAATTTGACAAGTTTAATCACAACAGAATTAAATGCAATTCTATCTGAAAAACAGCAGCTTTCCAAAGAAATTGAAGAATTTAACAAATATAAGGACGAAGAGCTCCAGAAATTAGAACAATGCGAAAAAGAATGGGCAGAGAAAAAAGCTCAGTACCAGTCAAGTGGAAATGAAAGCAAAATTATCGAAATTAATGTAGGCGGCACACATAAAGTGACGACAACTCTTTCTACACTTTTAAAAGTCCCTCAGTCTGCCTTAGCAGCTTGCTTTAATGGGACAGTTCAGCTTCCTAAAATAAAAGGAGAAATTTTTATTGATAGAGAAGGTCAGTCTTTTTGCAACGTAATCAGTTTTTTGAGGACAGGGAAATTTCCCAAATTTGAGACATTCGAAGAAGAAGCTGCCTTTTTAGACGAGCTTGACTTCTGAGGAATCCCTTATGAAGAAATAGAGACTGATATAGACCAAGATCTGAAACATTTTGACCCAAATTGGTGCGCATCTACATTAATTCTAGAAAATAATAATACAGTCCTGAAAAAGGTAGGAAGCCCTCATGGTATTGCTTTTGGAGCTATCCCAATGAGTAAAGAATGCCCATACGTCGAGTTTAAAATTTCGATAACTTCTGGCTCAAGCAATGGGTCTCATATTTTTCTAGGACTTGTGGATAAATCAAAATATTCGTCATCTCAGCTGGTTTCAACCCGCTGGAGAGATGCCCCATGCTCTTGGTATTGGGATGTGTGGAATTGTAAATTGGTAAAAACTGATGAAAATGGGGTGCATTCTTTTGTGACTGGGTATGGGTGTGACTGTGATGATGAAGAAACAGTCTTGGGGATTTATTATGATTCTAAAAGAAGGACTGTGTCTTTTTATAAGAAAGGGATTAACCAAGGAGTGGCTTATAATAATGTGTCGAGCGGGTTGTTTCCTAGTATTGATGTGTGGTTTGATACTGGAAGTGTCACGTTTTTACAGACGAAGCTCGCGAAGACTATGGCATATATGTAATAAATAGTGGCAATAAGGACCTGGCATTATAAATATAATATTAATTATCAAAATAAGTGCAGGCTGATATATAGATTTCCCAAGAATATATAGTTATCTATTTGCTTTATATAATTTCCAGCATATTTAAAGGAATTTTTTGTCTCATTTACTTTAAATACCGCAAAAAACTGTTAAAGTTAAAAATAACTTTTTGCTATATAAATTAGCTAAACTAGGTGTTATTAATTTAATCCATATTTAACTCAAGATGGGATGTTGTTCTTCAAGAGCTATGAACAAACTCGAAATAAGCAAAATGATCCACTCTTATATTATAGAGACGAGGCTTGATGCCCACAATTGCAGCTCTATCAAGCGTCTTGACGTTCAAATTCTTGAAGAAACTATCGATGCTCAAACATATGAATCTCTCGCAAAAGGGTGGGATATAAAAGCTCCTTTTGAACTTTTCAGCAAAGGTAACAAGATTTTTAAGAAGGATTTAAAGATTGCTTTTCTTTTATTCAGCAGGGATTCTTTTGAAAAGAAAGCCCAGCTCTTCAAGGAACTTACAAAATCAGATAAAAGAGAAATTATGCCAAATTTGCTAAATAAAATTCATTAAAAAATAGCTTAAAAATGCCTGAAATCAAGAAAAGCAGGATATACATTTATTGGAAATAAGAAACGAATTGCTATATATGAGGATCCCAACGCAGCTTGCAAAGCAGAGCAAAATAAGCGACGAAGATAAGAATGAATATGTTGAAAGCAAGCGACTTGTGAGTGGAAAAGAGGCAAGCCATGCGCTGCAGTCTTGTCTTCACAGCTCTGAAGAAGAGTCAAAAAGACTAGATTTTATATCAATTTAAGTGAGTTTCAGGTAGCAATAACAGCTATCGGCATAATTAAACAGCTTTATTATTAAAATAGTATCTATTTATGTTTAATATGTTAGGTGTTCTTACTCTCCCCTCCGTGAGTGAACAAAACCATTGGAAAAATCCCTATTTTTTGCCCAAAAAGCCCACCCTCCGTGAGTGAACAAAAATTTTTTTAATAGAAAAAAATTTTTATGAAAAAAAATTTTATATATAAGTGGTAATTAGTATAATGAAATCTAGAGCTAATTCTGTTTAATTTTGAACAAATTGCGTTTTAAACATAAATTTTATAAATTAAATTAATATTTGCTTCCCAATTTTTGCAAATTAGGATATTTTTAAAATTTCGAAAAAAAATTCCTATAAAATTTATATATAAAAAAACATTAACCCCCCTCCGCGATTGAACAAAATTTTTTTGTTCACTCACGGAGGGGGGGGAGTTAATGATTACCTGCTTACTTGGTATTAAAGATAATTAAGGTTTTCTTGAGGCGCAACATGCGCTAATATGTGTTTATTTTGTTTAATGCCATTGTGAAGCTTATATGCAAAAAACACAAAAAATGCACTGATGATGCCAGTTAAGGAGATTGAAAATGCTGCAGCTGCTTTGTGATTTTGTTTAAATATACTTATTTTAAAAGCCCGAGGCCTAAATAAATGGCCTGCTAGATCAAAATAATATTTAATAATAGACTAAAGGGCTTCGAGCTCTTTAAAAAGAGTATAGTTTGTAATTGAATAAGCTGAGGATTGGGCTTGACTTACTTTTGACTAATTTTTGTTTTGAGTCATGGTACCATTTTTTATTTTCTGATAAAATTGAACTGTCTGTAGCTCAATCGTCATAGTCGTAATAATTCCATTCAGTTCAAGCGTTTTCTAAGCCATCTTCCTTGTAATCTTGGCTTTCTCGATTATTTTGGGATGCTTCTTGAATTGATGATACTGTTGGAGCGTCTTCTGAATTTATTTGAGAATCGCTTAAAATTTGTGATTGGTCCATGCTACTACCTACATAGTCAGAAAAATCTTCCAATGCAGGATCCACTGCACTAGGATTGCTCTGTAGACCATTATACTGCTTGATTAATTAGTTTTTAACGTATCAGCTTCTTCTGCAGGGTGATCTAGGCATGATGGGTCCATCCTTTAAGCCCCCCACCTAATGACTTGTGTGATCCCCAACAACCAAAATGGTGTTGATGTCACCAGATATGAGGGCATTCTGAAACTTCCACACTCACCTGGGTAGGCCAGATATCACAGGATCTATTGCCTCGCTCTAGACTTAACTCCTACACGTATTCGCCAAAGGTCACCCTCTCGGATATACAAGGGGTAAAACTCTTATGCCTCTTAGAATTACTAGGCTAAACTGTCTGGCCCTAACCCCCCCCTCCGTGAGTGAACAGATAAATTTTGTTCAGTCACGGAGGGGGGTTAAATTTGTTTTTAAAAAATATTTTTTTTCAAAATTTAAAAAAATCCTAATTCACAAAAATCGGAAAGCAAACATTAATTCAATTTGCAAAATTTATGTTTTAAAAATCAATTTGTTTTAAAATTAAACAGATTTAGCTCTATATTTCATTATAATAATTATCATTTATATATTAAATTTTTTTTCCATAAAAAATTTTTCTATTAAAAAAATTTTTGTTCACTCACGGAGGGTGGGCTTTTGGGCAAAAAATAGCGATTTTTCTAATGGTTTTGTTCACTCACGGAAGGGGAGGGGGGAGTAAGGATAAGCCGTGTTTTGCATGGATAAAGTTATATCATATAAACCGAACACATAATAATAAAATAATTACACACGAAAATGCTTTTCTCCGAAACCACTTCCTCCTGTGTGATATTATTATTATATGCAGACCATTATCAGCTCTGAATTCAGCATTTTCTATGCTTAAAACATTCTCTCTAAGTTTGCCTTCAATTTTTTTCAATTCTCTGTTTTCATATACAAGTTTCTTCGGCTGGTATACAGCCAGTTATCATGAAAAAACTCTTGCCTTAAATTTTAACTATAAAATTGATATCAATTTTTTAATTTATATAAAATTATGCAATTTATCCCTGTTTTTCATAAATACCCATACAGCCCAAGAAACTATTAAGCTGGCTATTGCGCCCACTATGACTACCAATAGGCATCCTAAGTATTTTATTTTACAATATTTATGCAGATATTTCGTCAATTTCTATACCTATTTCAATTCAATTTATTAAGAATACCACTTTGAATATCTTCCGCTCTTGTGTTTACTAGCCTTTATTCCTAGTCATGCAGTTACAAAACCCCCAAATCCCATTCCCATTCTCAAAAACAGCATGGCATCTCCACTTGCCCACACATAATTTTTTAAAATAACTATGAAGTCAAGCATAGAAAAGAAAATCATAAAATAGCATGAGAGCCTCACCCATCATGCCCAACGTTTTAAAGACTGCTTTAGCTTATATAGCTCAGGCGTCGACACACTTAGAGCTAAAAGTGGATCTTCCTGGCCATTATCCAATACTGGCATATTCTCAAATATCGGCTCACTATTACCATTCTGGCTATTTTCCAAGGGAATTTGGCCTTGGCCTTTCAAATTTTCCCACTTCTGATAATCCATTTTTTTATTAGCCATAATAATTTGCCTAAAATAGCTTAACCCATTTCATTAACTTTTATTATCCATATATTTGGCCATGGTAACTGTCCTATTTATTTGCTCACCGTTAATTTTTTTAATAAAAATACCTTAAAATTTAGTTAGCCAGATGCAAAAGTTGCATTTAAAATGGACAATTTCAAGGATTTGACCTTTAATTCTGCGGGGCCTACTGTAATAATTCATGGGATATCGCTTTATGCATCTCGAGGAACTCTGTGACCAAGGACGCCAATTGGCAAAAATATTGCGGTCTCAGTGTCTTCGATGCTTCCTGTGATAAAATTGACTTCAGAAGTGCTTGAAACTTTGTGGATTGCGGGACTCCAAGGTTCCTCACGATCTGCGCTAGGAGGCTTTTTGATTGGTTACAAGCATTCTCCAGCTCATTTTTTGAATGTAGATATCAAAGAGATCCAATGGCATGTCCGCAAAACGCCAAGAAACTCAGGGGATTATGCAATAAGGGTCTTTCCTAAAGATTCTGAAAGAGGAGATATAACGAGAAGAGAGTCTGAATTTATGCTACAATCTATATTTTTATATATAAAATATAAGAAATACTCAATAATTTTAATAAAAAGACTATAATACTTATAAAGTATACACTATTTAAACTAGATTCATATGCAGAATTAGAATTTTTGGAGCCGCTTGACTTGTGCAAGACCTCACTAAATTTTGATGTGAGAGGAAATGAAATAGAAATCAGCTGCCAGATGCTGTTTCCTAGGCTTGATCTTGAATTTGTCCCGATTTCTCCTCTAAAAATTGTGTCAACTCCTCTTAGTGTGAAACTTACCCAGAAAAATTTAAAACATCCGAAATTTCAGACTGGATATTTAACCCTTGACCAGAAAAAACGAGTTTTGCCACTGTTATGTTCTGACCCACTAGCTTTTAAGTACCCTCTTGTAGGAGTTTGAGCTACTGCAAGCCCTGGAAGCCAGGAATGCCCATTATCTCATCCTCTAATTTGGTCATCTTGTGTAAGGTTCATTGAAAGCAAGCTGATCCAAGAAAGAATTTCTCCTAATCCTGCCCAAAATACCTTTTTATTTATATATTTTTCATCAAAACCTCAATTTTACGAAGCCAGCACACATAAAAAAGCAGCTTGGTGCATTCAAAATATAACCCACGAGATACAAAAAGAAGGACAATTTTTTAGTCCTATAACCTGCAAGTATTTGCAAGCAGAATCTCCAAGAATAAGCTTAACCTCGCCAAAACTAAAGCAAAAATCATCGAATTTATTAGAAAATTCAAGCATTATTGACAGGTTTAGTAATATAGAAACAATGCCACGATCAGTCAGAAGTAGCTTGGAAACTTGTAATGGGATTGCTCAGTCTACAGAAAGGCTTATAAGAGAACAGTCAGAAATGCTGAAAAGGCTGGAAAAACAAATCCAAAACTTGCAGAGCCACGTAATCTCGTCAAGGCTAGAAACCCCAAGAAAAAGCACAAGATATGCAGAAGAATGCCTCTCCCCAAAAATGGTCAATTCAGCCACAAATACAACTTTGTCTACTGCAGAAGGCAAAATAGCAAGTCCACGACTTATGGACACTAAAAAGTCAGCATCTACCAATACAAGCTTTATTGTTTCTCATACAGAACGAAAACTTCTCCCTCCTAGGCAAGCTCGGACCAAGCTTTCAAGTGATACAGAAAGCATAGATTGCAAGAAAATTTCAAGTGATACAGAAAGCATAGATTGCAAGAAAACCAAGCAATCACCAACCCGAGCTGCTTCTTTACGATATAGCTGCTCCTCTACAGATATTTCCAATATAAGAAGCTCTATAAACAGCAATAGCAGTTTCCAAAAATCCGAAAATTCCGACACTACAATTCGAGTCCCAAAAATAATTTACGAGTCTTCTCTCAGTGATATATCTGACGAAGAAGTTGCAGAGCTGGAAAAAAAAATATTCCTTATTTCATAACTCTATTAAAAAAAATATATAAAATACTGCTATAGTCTATTTATTCAATAAAAAATACTTAAAATAGCTGCTATTTTTATCTAAATTAATTTAATTGTTTATGTCAAATATTTCATCAAGAAACCCTACAGAGGACAGCAGCACAGAGCCCCCAGAAACTATAAACAGGTTTACAAGCTACGCTGAAGAAATCAAAGAAGAAATGCCTGAAATTGACTCTGAAGAGGAAGAAGAAATAGAGCTGGAAGACCCAATTAATGCAGTCGTTAATAATGATGCTGAAACAGAGCTAGAAGAAACAGTAAAGCAACTTGCAAGCATGCACCCAGAAACTCCTATTGCAAGAGGCTCTCGAAAGTGGTATGAGAAGGAGCCTAGCTGGAAATGAAAAGGAAAACCACTAAAAAACCCAATTTCTAAAGAAAAAATCAGGATTTGTGCGATTACGTGGAATATGGAAGGTAGGCCGCCTCCTGATGATATAAGCTCTTTGTTTCCTCCTGATGTAAAGCACCACTTATATATAGTTTGTGCAGAAGAATGCATGAGATCTATAGGACACTCACTATTTAAGACGTCCAAAAAGGACTGGGAAACCAAAGTTTTAGCAGCTTTAGGCAGAGAATACAGCTTATTAGAAGCCTGCACGCTCACAGCACTGCATTTAGCTATATATGCCCATGCTAGTGTAAAGCCACTGATTTCTTTCCACGAGTCTGATAAAATTTCAACAGGAGTGGCCAATGTGATAGGAAACAAAGGAGGGGTCGGGATTTCCTTCAAAATTGGCTCCACAAAAGCAATGGTCATTGGTTGCCACTTAGCAGCTGGGCATAATGCAGTTACTAAAAGAAGTAATGATCTAGCTCGTATAGAAAGAGAATTATCACTGCCTAGCTATTGGCCAAAATCAGGCTTGGCGACTGATCGGACTGATTTTGCGATTATTTTAGGGGACTTGAACTATAGGATTTTTGGGCCGAAAGACGCTATTGAGTATCTTATAGAAGAAAATGCAATTGAGACGTTAAAAAAATATGACCAGCTTAGGCTTGAAATAGAAGACAGAAAAATTGCCCAGGATTTTGAGGAAGGGGAAATCAGGTTTCCCCCGACTTATAGGTTTGACAAAGGCGAAAATAGATATGACACTTCGAAAAAGCAGAGAATTCCTGGGTGGACTGACAGGATTTTATATAAGGACAGAAAAGGGCTTGCAAAGCAAAAATCTTATGATTGTATAATGAGTGAAAAACACTCTGACCATCGGCCTGTGTTCAGTCAGTTTGTGTTGAAGTTTAGGAATGATATAGTGGGTCCGGTTAATACAAGGACAAATAAAGGTAGCTCGACTTGTGTAACATTCTAGGTAAAGCCAAAAGACTCAGAATAAAAGTTTTGAGTGGCAATCAGTAATTAATAACTAAATTATATAAATATGATAGAAATTAGGAACTTACTATTAGTTTTGGCTGGAGTTTCAGTATTCTGCCTTATATACACAAATATTGTTTTATATAGAAAAGCTCCAGATCCTATTGAGTCTCAAATTAGTGTATTTGAAAACCCTGAAAAATCGAGAATTATTGCTTTTGGAGATCTTCATGGGGATTATAGCGCACTTAGGACAATATTGAAATTTACTGCTTGGGATCCTAAAGATATTCTTGTGCAGACAGGAGATACGATTGGAAAAGGCGATGACACAAAAAAGATCTTGAACTTTTTTATTGAGCATAAAGGCAAAAATATATGCCTGTGGCCTTAGAATATATAGCATGTCTTTCGTCATCATTTTCCCCCTGGCGCCATTTGTTCAATTTTTTTTCGGCAGATATTTGCTCTATAGAAACCGTTATGTTTTTTGGCCAAGTGGCGCCAAGGAAATAAATTGGCTACAAGAAGATAAATTCCCTGAGAAAAAGGCATTTATATCCTTAAAATAGAGCCTAAATTTTGGCCAAATAACTAATCTACATAAATTTTACTTGGAAATTAATGCAAATTATGATAATCCACATAATGGGAAACCACGAGCATATGAATTTAAATGAAAATTACCAATTTGTGACTGACGCTGACATTAATTCCTTTGGAGGTGAAGAAAATAGAAAAAATCTCTTTCAAAAAGATCAAATTTACGGCATTTATTTATCAAGTTTAAAAATCTGTGAAAAAATTGGTGATGTGATTTTCGTTCATGGAGGAATTTCTAACTCCCCCCCCTCCGTGAGTGAGCAAAAAAATTTTGTTCACTCACGGAGTGTGGGGTTAATTATTTTTTTTTAAAAAAATTTATATATAAATTTTATAAAAAATATTTTTTTTCGAAATTTAAAAAAATCCTAATTCACAAAAATTGGAAAGCAAATATTAATTTAATTTATAAAATTTATGTTTTTAAAAAGCAATTTGTTTAAAATTAAACAGAATTAGCTCTAGATTTCATTATACTAATTATCATTTTTATATATCAAAATTTTTTTTCCATAAAAAATTTTTGTTCACTCACGGAGGGGGGGGGGGAGTAAGGCAATTGCAGAGCAATACGGGAGTTTTGAAAAAATCCAAAATGGATTAATTGAGGATCCAGCTAATAATAAAGATTTAGCAGGGAATAACGGGCCAATGTGGTATAGAGAGTACGCTAAAGGCCCTGAAAATAAAATTTGTGGAGATTTAGAGAGGACTTTAGATATCTTGGGCGCTGAGTTTATGGTAATGGGACATACCACTTTTAAGAAAATTACCTCAAAATGCAATAATAAAGCAATTTTTATCGATACTGGCAACTCAAGAGCTGTTAGAGGTGTAAGATCTGCTCTAGAGATACAGCAGATTAAAGGTGAAACAGTCAGCATAAGAGCAGTGTACGATGATTCGACAGAAGTGATATATCAAAGTAATTAATAAATTTTATACTGAGAAAAGTTACATTGTTTATTCTCGGAAATTGCAAATAAAAATATAAATAGAAATTGTAAGGAAATGCGTTTTGATTAGAAAAATTGCTTTATATAAGAAGGTTTTAGCCTTTTATCAATTTAATCCTGTCACCTAATTGCATCAATCTTTATCTTATATCTTAATAGCGATTAAAAGAAGATTTCATAATTTCTGTTTTATTTTTAATAGGTTTCATAGCCATGATTCACTTCGTCATTTTTGCATTAATATGCCATTTTTTACATTTTTGCTGGGAAAGCAATGAGATTTAGCATAGAGGCAAGATGGATATCATAATATAAATTTCTGGTATTAAAACAAAGTGCGAGAAATTAAATTCCTCAATTGACAGAGACTATTATAATTAAGATCTTTTTTAAAAATAATAAGCAGCATTTTCTTATAAGACATCAAAATTCTTTGTTCATATTCAGTGCCTTACCTTCATTAGAGTGCTTTAGGTGATGATCACAAAATCAGTAGACCTTGAAATTCAGCAGGAATCTGATTGGCTTTGGCTTGTTAAATATGGCATGTTGAATCCATTTTTAATATTTTTACGAACCCTGTTTGACATGCAAAACTAAAATTAACAAGAAAATAATTCTTGACTATTTTCTTAGATTTTATTGATAAAATTTATTCTTTTAAGCAATTTATTATCATAAAAAGCTTCATTTTTACTCCAAAAAATAAAATAATTCAAGGTTATGCTAGAGATTTTTTAATAATACAATTGGAGTGCGACTACATAGAGAACTACCAATTGACTTATCGCTAGTCCTCTTATACTGCTTCCATCTTTTTTCCAAAAAATAAAATAATCAAGATTATGCTGGAAATTTTAATGGTACACCTATTTGAGCACTGCCACATGAAGAGTATCAATTGCCATATCGGTGAGTCCCATCTTACAATTTTATTTTTCCATTTTCTCATACTATTTCTCCATAATGGATCTCTTTATTCTAAGAAACAAAAATAAGTCAAGATTATGCTGGAGATTTTTAATGGTACATCTATTGGAGTAATGGATATGAAGTGTTATCAATCGCCTTATTGACAAATCTCATATTAGCATAATAATTAAGTGCACTATGAAGATTGATGCTTTATGTATCTTACATGAATAAGACTGTTGTCTGCTACATAATTTATATTTTAAATTCAGCTTGGCATGTCAAAATATTTAGGCTTGTAAAAATTTTAAAAATTGAGCCTACAGCTAAATCCAAACAAGCTTAAAAAGCGAATCATAGCAAGCCAAAATGATAGATCCCCTTATTTTCAAATCCTAGAAACTATCCAAAAAAGCAGAGCATTGAGCATAAAAGCAGAAAATTAAACATTTCATAAGGGATTAAACATTTTATAATGCTTTTAAATATTTAAATTTAATAGTCTGAGTCAATTAAGGCACTGCTTATCTTTCTCTTTGCTTCGTTTAAATATGTGTGGCATCGAAATAGGCTTCGTCCTCTAATTCAATTCTCTGGGCTTTTAAAGCAAATGTGCAAATAATGCTATATATATAGTGACAGTTATAATCATTTTTAAGCATAAAAAACAGCTTACATGACTGGCAAAGCGCATTTATTTATAATTTAGGGCAATTAAAACTGTTTCCTTCTCTTCTCGATATTAATCTTATTAAAAAGGGTCAGAAGCCAGGGATTGAACCTGGGTCTCCCGCGCCGCAAATCGGGAATAATACCACTATACGACTTCTGAACTAAAATTTAATGAGCTCATTTACTATTATACAAAAATATGTCTATTATAAAAATATTTAACATAAATCTCTTTTATTTTACTGCAAAATATTTATTCAAATACAAAAACGATGCATTTAATTGAATATTATTAATTCAAGGTCTTGCCTTTATATAGTCTATTTATTTAAGTTCAAACCAAAAAAATTAGAAAAATTTATAAGCTCTACTTGAAATTCAAATAATTAATTTTTTGGTCATTTTAATATGAATCTACAAATATAATGAAGAAGACAAAGTTAACTAAAAAAGTAAAGCCAGTGACAAATAGAAAAAGCTTAGTACAAGATTCTCAAATTTCTGATTTGTCAAGTCAATCTACAATGCCGCAGCCAGCAGGGTTTCCATCTATCCACTTTCAATCCAATCAAAACTCATTTCAAAGCACTATAAATAGTTATCCAGTGCCAGCAGAAAGTACTTTCCCAGGCCACCAGCCTAATTCTTCAATGCCAGAGGAGCCAGATCTTCCAGACATCTCAGTCAATCCAACTTATCAAATCCCAAACCCCTCTGTAGAAGAAGACGATCTTCCAGACATTTCCTCAGTTCCAATCTCTCAAGGGTTCTATAATCCAACCAAAGTTCCTTTTCCAAATATTGAAACAGCCGAATCAACTTTCCTCTCAAACGACTCGTCGATTGTTCATGATAAAGCCAATCTTTTAGATCAAAATCAAGATTTCGACATTCCAGATATATCAGGATCCTCCCAAAATCCAATCAGCAATGTAGAAAACTATGCTTATAATAATAGCTATGAGCCTCAGCAGCTGGCACCAGTAGAATTATCAATAGACCCTTCAATTAATCATGCAAACGGAAATTGACAGTTTGAAAATGAAAAATAAAATGGAATTCGTACGAGAAAAATTAGCTCTCGCTAATTTTCTCTTCCTCATGGAATTTTATTTATGGGTTTGGTTTTACCTTGAGAACCTTTGTACAGCGGTCGCGGGTTATAGCTCCAGTATCATTTTTGTCAATTTAGGAGCAATACCTTTGCCTATTGAATAGGCCACGAAAATGTCAACTTTTCTGACAAGTGCAATTTAAAATGCAAAATATAGATCATATTTGTCAATTTTTAACTAGCCCTTTTCATAAAAATTGGCATTTTCGTGGCTTATTCAATAGTCATAGGTATTACTGCTAAGAATCTATAAGGGGTCTTAAGCTATAACTCTGGGGATAACCAGAGGAACTGCTCCACAGTGCATTCAAATGCTTGGGGGCTTTTACCATTTGGTAAATCCCCACCTGAGGATGACCCTTAGACGATATAAGTGCTGAAGCCAAGTCTCACAGAGCGACGGCAACGCGCTGGATGAGATGCCGGCCCTGGAGTTTCCGCTGGCTCTTGCCAGAGTGATTGGGCTAGCTTCCATTTTGGTCGGGTGACCGGTGACATCACCAGTTGGCATGGTCCCTATTTATTAGGGTGTGGGCACTAGACACCTCAAACACTAAGTAACTAACGATAACGACAGTTTGAAAATGCATCAGGGCCTGAAGATATCAAGGAAGAAGCTGAAAAAAATAAAGAAGAGGTTGAAGAAATAAAAATAGAGCCTAAAGAAGTTGAAGAAGTAGTAAAAAATAAAAGGGTGATTATTGATCTGCCATTAACAATGAAATGTGAGTATTGTGAATATGAAAGGTTTGAATCTGACTTTTTCCCAATGCACTTTGGTCCTGAAAAAGAAGTTTTATGCAAAATGTGCTGGAATTCAAGAGTTGCTTCAGTTAAAAAAGAAAAAATCGAAATTCTGAATGAGTGCGGAACCTGTGAGGAATGGAAACATAGGTATTTTGGGGAAAAAATATGCCCAAATAACTGCATTGTGTGTGAGGACTGCCAGTATCGCTATATTTTTATGTGCAAAATCCAAAAAAGACAAGATGAATCGTGCGTGTTTTGTAATAGAGCATTAATTAAGAAGGAGCAGCCTTGGACTTTGGTGGCATAAAATTAGCTATAGTACTTCCCCTTATATTAATCCTATATAATTAAATCTGTTTGCTTATAGAAAATTCAAGGAGAATAGTATAAATTTAAGCTTAATTAAAAATCAAAATAAATAAAAATTTATTTAAATTTTTATTGAGAAGTTAAATGGTGAAGCTGCCTTTCCAAATACTCATCAATATCAATATCATGAATATATTTACATATCAAATCTCTTGCAAAATGATATACAATTTTGAATCTTCTTATCAAATATCCTATTACAATGGCAGGTGCATACGTTTTCCCAGTCGGACACTGCACTAATACATTGCAGTTCCCAATATGGCTGTCTAAAAATCTCTGTGCTGCGTCCATCATCTTATAAAAATCCTTATCAATCGGTATTTTCAAATACCCGCGCTTTATAGTCGGAAATCTTTCTGGAGATTCTTCCCCTACAACACTTAATACTGCTTCAATCATATGCTGGTTAAGCGAGCCTTGGCTATTCACAGAATTAATATCCCCTATATACAGTCTAAACAGCAATTCATCAATATATAATTCCGTCCTATACGGAATTTCACATAAAAAAGCATCATGTGAACTTTTCTTTACAAAAAGGGAAATCTCGTTACTTTTTTTCTCGTCTGGTGACGCCAAAATTCCTGTATTAGAACGGCGGTATCTCATTGGAGTTTTTGCTTTTTCTTTGACTGGCTTGATTTTTTTTGTAGGAGACTCTGGGGAATGAGAATTGTGACGTCGATGGACTCCTATTGTGGTGATTCTTTTAAAGTCAGCTCTTTCTTTTTCCGGTAAAGCTTGGACTGCATTTTGTAATAAAGAAATATTGCTGCTATTAAAAGAACCAATTCTGGGCCTTTTAGGTATAACAGGTTGGTTGCCATAATCAAGTATGGGCTCAGTATGAAAAGTTTGTAATGTATCATTATAAGAAGATAAATTTCCTACGTTAAATGAGTTTCTACGAGGTTTTACACTGGTGACTGATAGATGGATCTGGTTGTGGAAATCATGCTCAGGAATTGTGCTTTCTTTGTTAAGGTAATTTGAATCCATTATTAATGTGGTTATTTATTTAAAACTATTATTAAAAATCCCATATATTGACACAGCAATCGTCAGAGGTGCTAGCTAGAAATAGGCTGCTTCCACTAGACCAGTCAACAGAATTAGTTTCTGTGACGTGGCCAGTGATGACTCTTCAGGGCTCGTCAGGCTTTTCGGTGTCTCATATAAACATTGGCCCATCTAGTGACCCACTTACTACATGTGTAGACTGTGAGCTAAAGCAGCCTTTTACATAGAAACTAGCTCTATGTCCTATTAATTGTATGGGTGGCTCTATATCAAGGGTGTTAAGGTTTTTATATACATAAACCACATTTTTCAATGATGAAACCATTAAAGATACTCCATTAGGAGATATTCTTATCAATATAATCCATTTTTATAACTAAAATAATAGACACAAAAGTATTTATTCTTTATACATAAATATAAAGAAATCCACGAATTCCCCACACTTAGCTCTCTATTTTGTTCTTCTTTATTAAAAAGGTCATAGGTTTTATAAAAATCTTGCCCATAGATTTTAGTGCTGATATCATGGCTCATTTGAGTCCTCCTTCACGTCCACGGGTCAATTTTGGCTGCATAATTTACAGGCTTTTTCTTATTGCCTTTGCCCCCCATTATTTTTCTGATATCCCATATTTTTACACTGGCTTCGTTTTGCTCTACACTTGCTATCAAATGATTGCCTAAAAATTCAATTCCTGTAAACCCAATAGTTGAGCCTTGTTGAATTCTGTTTTTCTTGCCTGTCTCTTTATGTTTTCCAGTAATAAAGCCTACAGGCTCATGCTCAGTTCTATTTTCATTGATTTTTCCCGGACATCTGGCGTCTCAAAAATAAATAAACCCATCCCTAGCAGCAGTTGCGTAGACTTCTCTTGTGTTTGGGACACTTTTAATGCACTTTATAGATCCTCCATGGCCTACCAGGGTTTCTGATTCTTTTCGCTCTAAATCTCATACCATTCCAGTTAGATCCCCGCTTGCTGTGAGTAATTTTGTGTCATCAAAAGACCAAGAAGTGTCAAAAATTGAGTTATGGTGAGCTCTGAACTGTGACGATATAGACACTGAGCTGTCGCCAGCTATAGAAATTATATATACCTCCCCCGATTCATCAGAAGCGGCAAGCATAGTTTGGTCACCATGAGAGTACTTCACAGTATAAGACGGTGACGTGGTCGGTATTTCTGCTATTTTATGCTTACTTACTTACTTACTTAATTATCTGGTGTTTAAGGTGTCTAGTGCCGCAGCCCAAAAGGGCCTATGGCAAAACTGATGACGTAGGCGAGCCATCTTGGCACGGGTCAGCCCCGTCCAAGCCTTCTATCAACTCCTGCTTCACCGGCCTTGCTGCACGTCTCACCCGGCGCGTTGCCGTCGCCCTTGTCGCTCGACTCAGCTCCTGCGCGTGTTCCGCCTAAGGGTCATCCTCCCGTGGGGATGTGCTGAGAGGTAAAAGCCCGAAATCTTGAGTGGACTGAGGAGTGGTTCCTTTGGTTATCCCCAGAGTTAAACCGCTATTGCTGTCCAGAAGATCTCGAGTGAAAACCTAACCCTATAAATAAAATTCCATGAGGGAGAGAAAATTAGCAAAGCTAATTTCTCTCGAACCGAATGCCATTTTATTTATGCTATTTTATGCAAATCTGAGATCCCTTCATTCAGCTTTTCATGATATTTCTTACGGTATTCCGCGATTGTGTTTATCTCCATTTTATACAGACGCGCTAATTATTAAGATAATCTAGATTTCGCCGTTATTACTTAAAGCTTAGCTCCATGAACAGCGACTCCGAGGGCTTGTGCAAGCTTAGCTCCGTATTCAGGGTCACACTTATAGAAATTCCCGCATTGTCTTTCTGCGATTTCTTTTCTGGTTATTTTTTTCATATGGCCAGCAAGGTTGGAAAGGGTGTCTTTTTTATCTTCGTCAGAGAAAACTCGTCTGAATAAGGCACCAGGCTGCTCGAAGTCTGAATTAGGGTGGGTGTAAGGGTGTCTTGCGGCTGTACCTTTGACTTCGTATGGCTTTTTTCTGGTTTCTGGGTCTTGTTTAGGAGTGCCTTCAACGGTGTTTGGCTCATAGTTAGGCTCGCTTCCGAAGTTTCCGCCGACGCTGGCTGGACCGTCTCTTTGGTAGTTTGCGACTCTGGCCATGTAAGGACAGTTGATTGGGATTTGCATGAAATTGGCTCCAACTCTATGTCGGTGGGTGTCATTGTAAGAGAAAAGTCTGCCTTGGAGCATTTTATCGTTGGAAGCTTCAATACCTGGGACGAGGTGGGCTGGGGAGAATGCTGATTGTTCGACTTCAGCGAAATAGTTGGTAGGATTGCGGTTGAGCACTAACTGCCTTTTCTGTAAGAGAGCCAAATTGTTTTGATCATTAGATTTATTATTTTAATATGTTTTTTGAAGTTCCAAATCACAAAAATGGAATAAATTAATTTATAAAATTTCTGTTTTATATGTCAGCGTTCATTAGAATTATCTAGATTATTATTACTTATAAAAAAGGAAATTTTTAATATTAAAAAAATCGTTACTTATCATAATTTCCAACCAAAAAAATGGGAATTTTCGAATAGTATTGTTCCCTCACAAAAAGAGAGTAAGCGGCCGACTGGAATCAAAGGCCAGTCACTGTGAGGCCAGACCTTGGTGACGTCATAGATGTCCCACTTGTATTTTTCTCCTACTTCAGCAGGCATTACTTGTACTTGGAAGTTCCAGACGACTTCTTTTCCTGATGCAATGTGATTGAAAAGGTCTCTAGTTGCATAGTCAGGATCTTCACCAGCAAGCCTGGTTGCAACGTCAGCCTTGAGGTTTTTGCAGCCACCTTCAATTTTGAAGTGGAATTTGACGAAGAAATCTTCACCTTTAGCATTGACCCATTTAAAGGTATGGGATCCGTAGCCATTCATATGTCTGTAACCATCTGGGACACCTCTAGGCCCGAATAAGTAAGTTACTTGATGGCAAGACTCTGGGACATTGCCTAAGAAATCCCAAAACATATTGGCACACTTCAGGTTGGTTTGAGGGTCTCTCTTTTGAGTGTGAATGAAATCTGCGAATTTGATGGCGTCTCTAATAAAGAAGATTGGGGTGTTATTTCCAGTCATATCCCAGTTGCCTTCTTCAGTATAGAACTTTAGGGCAAAGCCGCGAGGGTCTCTTTCGGTATCAGCTGAGCCTTTTTCACCTCCTACAGTAGAAAATCTTGCAAAGACTGGTGTTCTTTTCCCGATTTTATTTATATTTTTTCATAAAAATCCTCTATATATATTTAGAGAATAATTTCTTTTTTCGCTAAAAAATATTGTTATTTTCCTATAAAATTGCCAAAACTTCTATTAAATTCTATAGGAACTTAGCCTTGCAGTATTTAGTAACATCATGGGTAACTTCAAAGTATCCGTGAGCTCCTGCACCTTTAGCATGGACAACGCGTTCTGGAATTCTTTCTCTATCAAATGATGCAAGTTTATCAATGAGATGGGAGTCGGAAAGCAGAGTCGGGCCACGAGGACCTGCAGTCACAGAGTTTTGGTTGTCGTCAACTGGATGACCCCAGCTGGTGGTCAAGACACGTTTCTTGTCAGCCATTATTTATTATAGCTGGAAGGCATGATGTCACTAAATTAGGAATAATTGAGACTGAATATGGTGTGGGGCTCGATATCATTTGATAACGACTTTTTACTAGTGAGGCATTCCATAGGAAATTTTTTCATTATGAGATATATGCTCGGGAAAAAATAGTCAAATTTCGACCAAATGTCCCTGAGAAAAAATCGCACTAATATAAAATTCAGAGTAAAAAAGTGCACTCAGTGTGGGGCAGCTTTGGAAAGAGTATTTAAAAGATTTTGGAGAAGATAATGCAGTGGATATTGATATTTCGAGAAAGGGGGAAAGAAAAGTTATATAAATTTGTGGGTGAGTTATTTAGATGTGGATGAAAATTTGGGAAAAACGCTTGCTCCCCCCATCCTTGATCGAACGACTCGCCATCGTTCGATCAAGGATGGGGATTAAGACAAATTTTTTCGGGAAAAAAAAATTATATATAAAATAAAAAATATATATATATATATTTTTTTATTTACTTTTAAACAAGAGGGTTAAGAGTATTTAATAATTATTTTTACAGCAAAAAATTGAATTAATTTCATAAAATATCAATTTTTAATATTTTGATTTATTAGTTACCCCTTTAAACTGTATAAATTTTAATTTGTTCCTTACTGAATTAAAATTTATTTTTTTTTACATTTTAAAGAATCTCTATTTTTATTAGATTATTGAGTTTTCAAGCCTAGGTTGATGACTAAATCACTTCAGATGGTTGATTCCGCAGCTTTCTGTCGTCTCAAGGCTCTGAAAAAAACTTCATTAAGTACATCTTCCCAAGCTTTTGATAACTAATATATTTTTATATATATAAAAAATTTGCATATGAAAATCGTTCGATCAAGGATGGGGGTTAATTTCCCCAATTTTTAGGAATTTTTACAGTCAATCGTTTCGATCAAGGATGGGGGAGTTAATAAGAATTTGAGATTTTTATTAAAGCTTTAAAATATAGGATTTTTTAGACTGGAATTGCTATTGAGACTATGAAAAAGCTTTATTTCATGATTTAAAACTGATTCTAGAATAATCGTAAAATGAACTCTAAAGACAAGATTTAAAGACTTTTTCAGTTGTGCTGGATGTAGAATTATCTCATAAAGCTATTGAAATATTCTCATAATTCGTATATTTTCTATTTCTTAAAGCCTCGCTGTTATAGAATTGTAACTATTTTGCGTTTCTTTCATAGCTTCTTCCTATGCTTTTATTTATATTATACTTAATCAAAAAAATAAACTATAAAACTTATGATTCCAAGCACTGACGATCTTATAACTATATTTAAAAATAAAATTGGCATCTTCCTCAGAATCCTATATTCAAAATCCTCTTAATCCCCTGTGAGATAGCAAAACTTACTACTCGGAAGAAAAAAAATTCTTTTATAAAACAATAATACTTCTAGACTTTTAATTTAAAATCATTATTTCTATCAAAATTTTATAAGTATGAAATCTTAGGTATAAATATATTATATTAGAATAGATTATATTCAGAAAAATTTAACTATAAAGCAAGTAAACTGCAATAAGTAAGAAAGGATTAGTTTTCGTTTATTGCCAATAAAAAATGTCCGAAGAAGTCACTCCTCTTACGCCTGCAGAAATAACTGAGTTCAACGAAGCCATGCTTGCGTATTTGACTCACCACGATTCATCAAGACTTGAAGAGCTCTTCCGTTTATTTGACAGAAATCATAATGGATCATTGAGTGAGCTAGAAATCAAAACAGTGATGGAGCAAGTATCAGGGCATGGATTTAGTGACCAGCAAGTTCATGAGATTATCAGATCTGCAGACAAAAACAGCGATGGGAGCATTGATATTAGAGAATTTATAAGTGTTATGAAGCGTCTAACAGACTAAGATTAATTTATGATAAGCCTAGTATCAAAGTTTACTAATTCAATCTATGCTGAACTATATAAAATTAATACGTAGCTGGGTGATTAAAATTAGCAAAAAAATTACTTCTAGTTATAAATTTAAATCAAGTTAAGAGTATAAGTAGAAATAAAATCACATTTGAATTTCTTCACACTTTTTTCGACCTTGCATGATAATATAAGTTTCGAAATCTCGATAAAAAATACAAATTATAAAATATTTGTAATGAAAGATGTTTTTCATGTGAATTTCTTTCTCTTATCCCTTTATATTGACACTAAATTTCTATTCCAGTTTAATGCAGTGTTTTAGAAAAATAAATTTATATATAAAAGTTCTCAAGCAATGTATAGGCTTAAACTTATGCACTTATATTTACTTAAAGGCTTAATGCCTTAGATTAGCTTATGCCATTTGCTGGAAATCTTGAACTAGAAGACAATCTTTTTGTATTCTAATTCTCCTTTGTATTTGAGTTCTTCAAAGTCTTGTTATGGCTTTTCTCTTGTGTGGCTATTTCATTCACATGACAGTCGGGCTGAAGTGTGGAAGTCTGCACCAGAACTGGAGCAATGCATTGCAAAATCTTAATTAAATTGGGTATTAGAAATAATTTTTTTATAGGGTGTAAGTACCCAAAAATGATAATTTTAACAATATTTTTTCTAATTTAAAGGAGGGTAGTTAATAGAAAATAATTGGCTATTTATGATTTCAGCAAAATAAAATTTATTTAATTGCAGATTTTATTTGGGATTATTCTATTTACTTAAAATTACTACATATAATAATTAAAACCCTCACTATTTATTTGGGCTAATACTTTATTTCTTAACTATTGAATGAAAGTCTTTTCAATTCCAACATGTTTTCTGGCATTCCCCTTAAGATGCCTTCCATATGCGTTGTGGAGCTATCAATTGCCCTTCTAAAATCCATTATAGTCACATTTTTACTTTTCGAAATTTCAATCCAATCTTTGTGCATTCTAATAACAGTTGCTACATAGAGTTCGTCAATTACATTTATTGATAAAATTATTATAGAGAAGCTCCGGCAAGCTTGAAAAAGCTTTTCACGTCACTTTCTTCGCACCACCCCTTGTTGTCCAGTCTGATTCCACGGCCTAAGGATTGCGCTGCTACCTTCGGACAAGAGCGTGCACTTGCTAAACGGAGGTAGAGACGCTAGGTCATCGTGCAATTAGTTGACGAGGTTGACTTTTCCGAAAATTTGAAAAGCGAATTTTCTAGTTTGGCTATCGACCCAGATGAAACTTGCAGCCCAGGGCACAACTCCCAGTATAGCACTGAAAGACATGTCCGATTGGTCAAGCGAACGCCCTCTAGTTTTTCTGGGCTATCTCTTTCCAACTTTAATTTCCGTCCTCCTAAGGGTAAACGTTGCCCTGAATGTGAGCCTAGGGTGGGCTAGGCGACATTGCGCTCCACAAGACCAAGCAAAGCCAGGCCGATACACATACTGAATGCTACTCTCCCTTCCACAAGGTTCCCACACTCCCGTCCGGCTACAGAAGTTGAGTGGGCAGGTTGGTTCTCCACGCCATTTTTATGTATATGAGTTCGTCAATTGCACTTTGATCCTGCGCATTTAATGCACAAAATGCTTTCATTACCCTTGGTGGTGCTCTTCTATCATTCATAACAATTGTATTTCTTGAGAAAATTTGGAAAAAATACATATAAAAGTGCTGGTTGCATTTCCAATAATCTTGTACTTTTTGATAGATTGCATTTCATCGAAAAAAGTTTGGTCGCACTATTTGGCCAATAAATTACCTCACTATCAAAAACTTTCCACAGGAATATTGCACTATCAAAAGTAAATGATTATTTAGCATGAAGCCAAAAGCGCTATATTTTCTATATATGAATATTTACCAATATCGGATTTCTCATAATTATATTATTATATAATAAAATTAATAGAATTTGCCATTAAATTATTTTTATAATAATATGGAATATATAAAAATTACAGTCACGTTTAAAGCAGAAATAGCAAAACTATAGTCATGTGAATTGTCCAAAATATTTTTGTATTCCTGAGGATAATGAGATGCCATATAATAAAGCTGGGTTAAGCCAAATAATCCAGCCCCACGGAAATCAGTTGCAGGATCCTTTCCTTGGAACCCAATTGACTTTCACTGGTCAGATATAAGGTCTTCTAGCATTTCTTGCCCAGGAAAGGTCACCATCCAAAGTTGTTTTAGCGTTTCAGAATGCAAAGAATTGGCTCTATTATATTTTACTCTAGCTCTCCTCCTTAAAACATTCAAAGCATGCAGCTCTTCATCATTGATCGCAAATCTTGAAGCCCCACAGCATTTTTCACAGCAATTTTCATAGAAATAGCTCTAATTTATCCTTAATCCCCTTATTAAAGAGCAAACCCTATCTTTAGGAAAACTATAGCCCTTTATTAGCGAGCAAAAATATATTTTAAAAAATTTTAAAATCCGCAATAACTATCGTTGTAATAATGAAATTTCTATAAAATTATATAAAATTTTAAACAGATTGCTACTGTTAAAATTTATTTATATATTAAAATAACTTTTCAAGTCCCGTACTTCTTGGCCTCAGCTTGGAATAACGGTAAGTGGGCGGGCCTAACCGTCAAACTGTTTCTGTCTGCAGTCCCTTGGACCGCTCTGATCTATAATAGACTCATGTAGAACTATTCTCTTGAGTTAAGACTCTCAAGAAGTCATGGACTTCTCTCACTGAGCTCAGATGTAGGGCCTAACTAAGATTTTTAATTGTGCATTTATATATTAAACTAGTTTTTATTAATTTTTTAAAACCAGAAAGAAATTTTTAAAATAAAAGTATTGCTTGCTAATCAAGGGAGGGTACAACTTCTTCTTCCTTATCTAAAAGTTCGTCAGATGATGCCATTAATATTAAAATCCATTTTTGAATATTTGGGTAAACAAAGGAGAACTTTTCTCTTAAAATTTTTGCATTGGCTAATAAAAGCCATATATATCATCTATATATCAGAAACTCGTTTCTATGTGATGCCATATTTTAAAGATAAGATGACTAAACGCAAATTTAAATAAAAATTCATCGAAAGTCTAAGTATACCAGTAGAACTTGCATTTATATTGGAGTTTTGAAATATACGTAAAATTAATTCTATTTTTTATCCAATGAATTGTTCAGATCCGTTGAGACATATTTATAATTACTAACTCTCCCCGCTCATTGAGCGAACATAAGCATTGGAAAATTCCCTATTTTTTTGCCAAAAAGCCCATACTCCGCGGTGAACAAAAATATTTTTATTATAAAATTTTAAAAAAAATATTTCGATATACAAATAATAATTATTATAGTTAATTCTGTTTAATTTAAACAGCTTGCATTTTAAAACATATGAATTTTAAAAAAAAATTAACCATCGGAGGGGGAGTAAGAACAATCTAAAAAATGACTCAGCCAATTGGTGAATTAGGAAAGGATGTGAACTTTTTTCCGCTCACTGGCTTGCAATTTGGGAAATGGCTCTCAGCATTTCACCTCGAAAAACAAATATTCTTATTTTACCCCAAAAATAATACCTTCGTATTCCTAGCTGTACATCCTAAAGAAATTGGCCAAATAAATTCGTCGTTTCTAATGCCCCTTTCAAGAAAACAACTATTAAAGCAATTTGGCAAAAATTCCCCATTTGCGGCGCCTGCGAAGAGAAAAGATTCTCTTGATGCAGAAACAATTGGGATTAATTTGATCAGCAAATTAAGTGCAGACTATGGAGGAGTAATCGCTTTTGAGGTAGAATTTGAAGATATCGTCGGCCTAGATTATTGCAATACACTTGTTTATCCTTTTTTTAATTAAATATTAAAAAATTATATTGAAAAATAAAAAGAATTGGGCTAGTCTTAGGGAGGATACTATGGAAGCAGAATTGTTATTGAGGCAAAAAAAGGGAAAAAAAGATGATTTTGCAGTGTCAAAGAATTTTGCAATTTCTATGAGATTTCGACCAATTTAAGTTATAAATCATCATTTTATACGCCAATTCTTGACTGGAGCAAAACGTATTTCGCTACAAAGCAAATGTATCCTATTGAAGAAAATAGGGATCCTCTATGGCTCATTTAATTAATATATGACTATATCATAAATTTAAATACCCAAATTATGTAGATTACAGCCACAAAATATACACAGTGTGGATTATTTGAATTATAAGCGAATGTTTCTAGATGTTCCACGGCAGTCAGAAAAGCTACCAGCGGGTGTGGTCCCTAGTCACAGCCGATGTATCTCTGAGCAAAGTGAATATGAAAATACCCCTGATGACAACTTTGATGGCTTTGACAGAGCCAGATCTGAAGCTTCAAGCTCTGACTGTGAGTACGAAATTCACAAAGATGAAGGAAAAGAATTCAAAAACAAAACAATTGTCGCTTATTTCGATGACCCAGTTTTCCCATTCTTTATAAGAGATGTCATCAGGAAGCCGGAAAACAGTAATTTATTGAAAATAGGGCTTTAAATATTTTTAATATCAAAAATTGTAATTTATTTTTAAAAAATCAAGGATGGTTTTTTCGCTTAGCCCTTGAAAATGTATGAAAGAGGCATCCCATCTTGGGCTGTCTTTTTACCATCATACGGTCTGCCATATAGACCATGAATGAGAAGGTCAATGGCGCTGATAATTTTTTGCTTTTCTCTGATGACTATGCTATTAGGATTTTATGACCTTTATAAGAATATTCCAAGATTGAGAGAAGCATTGCATTTAGTTTTTGGAGACTTTTTCGAGATGTTTGAGGAGGCAATAGTACTGAGGCTTTCGATGCTTTTTGGGTATCTTTTGGCTTCAAGCCAATATTTCCAAAGTTTTATTGGATTACTTGTGTACCCGTTTCAGATGGTTTGGTCTATTGTGAATTCACTTTTATACCAAATTTCTAAAATTGATAAAATTTTATAGTAAACTTATATTTAATTCCTACAAAAATAAGCAAAATCTTGTCATGCACATAATTATTCTAAATTATGTAAGTTTACTGGTAAAATATGTCACTCTTGGCATTTACACAATATTGCAAGCTATTCTTTTCATTTTTATCCAGCTAAAAGACTTCACATTCATCACATTTAGTCTCCCATTCGACATAATCTGGGGCATCACTTATCTCATCTGGCAAATTCTCCGAGAATCTTACTATTTCACAACAGGCCTCATTCTCACCATCAGAAGTACCACAAACATCGTCCGAGCCAACAAAGAAGCTGTAGAAGCTGCCAAATCCTTAAGTATCCTCATCAGGATCAAAAACTCCTGGCAAACCGCTGTAGGAGCTGTAGTAAAAGGAGCCACGTCCATATACAACTTTACAGTCTATTCCTCTATAAATCTCTATAAGCATAAAGACAGTGCTTGGATGAGCTGGGAAAAATACTACAGAAGGAACCATGCTTTTATCAGGCTGAGAGTCTTTCAAGTCTTCTCATTTATGCTCTTATGGGCTCTTGTTAAATACACTTATCGTCATTATTATACAAGTCAACATGTGATAAATTAATAATAATTGTTATGAGTTATACTAATTTATGGGACAAGTTTAAAGAAGTTCATGACCATTGGAGCCTTACGAGGAAGCTGCTGGATGAATTTTCAGATTTTTTGCAGGAAAGGGCTATGGTTTTGGAAAATAAATATGGATTTTTTGTGGGAAAATAGGGAAGGTATATAGAAAAGGTATAATTTAGATAAAAATTATGCGAAAGGGCTTGAAAAATTAGCAGCTCATTCTTTCTTTCAACTTTCGACTGGAGATTCTTTATCTCATGGGCTTGGGACAATCCAGAATTTTTACCATTTGCATTCTTCTCTATTAAGCAGCCTCTCACAAAGTTTGTATTCAGATTTATCAAATACAGTCAAACAATTAGTAAATGAGCACGACGCTTCAATTAAAGAAAAATACGAAACAGGCCGAAAACTCACCAACGAAAGAGAAAAACTGCTAAAAATTCATGACAAAGCTCGAGAAAAATACATAAAATCGGTCAAAGACTCAGCAACTCAAAATAAATCAATTAATCCTCCAGCGAAAAACAATGAAGATTTTTTCTTAAAATCTTATATGTCATCAATACAAAATGCAAATACCTTTAACATCCAATTCAGCGACGGAATAAAAGCTGTTTTAGCTGACTACCAAGACCAAGAAACCGCAAAATTAAAAAACTTAAAAGAGTCCTTACAAAGAATCGTGGCATTAGAAGGGTGTTTTATTAAAAATTTGGAATATGAGATGGAAAATTTGCCTACTGTAAGAGGTATATAGGCCGTTGAAAGTTTTAGCCCAGAAAAAGATATAGAAGAGTTTGCAGAAAGTATATGCACAGGGAGAAAGGTAGGAATTCTTGCATTTGTGCCGTGTTATGAGGAATCAGCGAAGAGAAAGAATATGGAATTGAGAGACTCACAAGAAGAAGAAATAATGAGAAATGTGCTTGAAGCTTGCTGGAGTGAAGACAGTATAAATGATCACGATCTTGAACTTTTTTATCATTTGATAATAGAAAGCCAGGGTAGAAAAGTGTTTACATCTTTTTTAAATGAAAAAAGACACCAAGGGCAATTTAAAATACCTGACAAGAATTTTGGAATTTTAGGGGAATTAATGAGAAGACTTTTAACAAGCATGCTAAATACAGAACTAGATTTATTATGCGCTAGGCAGTGCATAATTTTGTCGCAGACTTTTTATTATGAAGATGCTACAGCTAGAAAAATATTTTTGCAAAATCTAATTTTATTGATTTTTTTAAATAACAATATTTATTTTATATAAAAAATTTAAAGTGAATAAATCTGGACTTATATAGAGTTTTCCTTCAATTGACTATGGCAAAATTTGATGTTTTTAATATAAAAATTAATGGCAAAATATGGGAAAGACACTATATTTTATTACACCCTGTATGGCATGATGAAAAAAATTGAGAAAAAATTATCACAGATGCAATTCAGCTAGAAATGAAAAATTATGCAGATTCTTGTCTAGATAGTTTAGAAGTTCATGATAATATGACACAAAAAATGAATATGATGAATGTTGGACAGCTTAATTCGTATGCTCATGTAATGGCAAGTTTTGACCTAAGCAAAGAGACTATAACTCAGTTAATTTATAAATTAGCAGAAAAATTCCAAGTCCCAGAAGAAATGATCCCAGACGTGTCAGGTACCGAAACTACCCACTAAATTAATTATTAATTAACAGAATCTAAGGGTTTAATTTAATGATATTTTATACAGATTGCATTCTGCTAAAAATAAAAAAAAGAAATTAGCTGTAGGGAAAATTTTTAATTCGGCTTTTTAATCTAATAGGACTTTCTGATTTAGTCTCATCTAATTCATCACATTCATATATTTCAGTTATATCATTTGTAAGAGGAGTTTGATTATAATTTGTATTGTTTTCTTTTTCTTCTTCTTTTTTTTCTTCTTCTACTGCTTCTTGTCTACTATTCATAGAACCCGGAGACTGTTCTATTTTAGCTTTATTTTTCCCAAATAGCTTAATAAGCACGAGTAAAACTAACCCGAAAGGATCTGCTGCTCCTATTAATTTAAGGCAAAAGACTACACATTCAAAAGTAATAACTTCATACTGCTGGCTTCTATTAGGGGAAAGATTAAATTCGAAAAATGATAGAAAAAATAATGTTGGCCTAATAAAATAATTGAGCAATACAATTCCTTTCTTCAATTTAGAATTGATGCATTTATTATAAAAATCATTGATTTTCAACATCACATACCCTAAACAACATATACTTTTAACTTTTTTAATATCGTCCCGGCAGACTAATGATATATAGAAAATTAATTCAATAAGAGCATGAGCTGTTATGAGTGCACAAATAATTAGCCAGTTTCACCAGTTTTCTCGTCCTAGAATAATGTCGAAAATATAAAAATAGAATGAGGTGAAGCTGATAAGAAATGACAAAATGATTAAAATAAGCCTTATATAGGCTCTTGGAGCTTTTTTCTTACTCCCCTTAGTGAGCGAGCAAAACCATTGGAAAAATCCATATTTTTTGACCAAAAAACCTGAACAAAAATTTGATATATAAGTGATAATTAATATATTGAAATCTCTACTAATTCTCTTTAATTTTAAACAAATTGCGTTTTAGAACATAATATTTATAAATTTAATAAACATTTGTTTTCCAATTTTCGCGAATTAGGATTTTTTTAAAATTTTTTAATATTAAAAAAAAACTCCCTCCATGAGCGAACAAAATTTTTTGTTCACTCACGGAGAGAAGAGTTCGAAGGATTTCCTGTTTCATTCATTTTTATTAATTACAGTTTTAAAAAATTAGAAAAGTATTAATCTCAATCGTGATCAGCTTTAGTCATAAGCCCATATTATAGCTGGGTTTTCCTCTCATAATCAAGTTTATCTCCTATCGAAGCAACTCTTCCAGCTCTGCAGCTCTGTCAATATTCTCAAATTGCTAATGCGGCTAAATTTCTTGAGTTTTCATTCGTTTGAGCTTGTCTATAGTATGCTCACCTAGGATGCAGTCAAACTTATAATCAACTTTTGGCAATTAAAATATGGCATCTCCACCTGGCATGGCCTCCGGCCACGCAGCTTCCGAGCACATATTTTAATCATATCCGGCAAGGTTTTATAAAGCTGGGAATAGGCAGCTATGCTAGGAAGCAACTCCCGTGGTGTAGGGAGCCTAGCCCTTGCCCTTTTTTTGGCTTGGGTTTTACCTTGAGGACAAAGGAGGCTTGCAGTTGCAAAATTTTTGCCCAGCAAAATCCTTTGGACCTTTCGGGCACTGCATTACTGTGAAACCAGGGTTACGGCCTGGGCTGCAAGTTAGACCTTTTGCCGACAGTCGGCCAGAAAAAACTTTTTTTGATTTTCTGTGCAGGCAATCTCGTCGCAGTAGCCAAAGCAACCCATAGTCTGCCAACTCAAGACTGTAGCCACCGCGGAGTGGCAAGGAGGAGAGACAGAGGAAACCGGAAGTAAGTACGCATCCCACAAAGCGGATGAATCCCTAGGAGATCCTTGGTAACCGAGCTAACAAAGCGGACCTCGACTAACCGCCATAATAAGTAAATAAGTAAGATCAACTTTCGGCTCGAAAGGGAAGATAGTAGCCGATAGAGTAAAGCCTTTCATTGCGCTTGATAATTTCCCATAGCCTATTCTTATAATTAGTCACTGTTTAGGCTAGCTTTTCTAATTCCACTCACCTTTATTTCAAGAAGCAAAAAAATAATTCTGAAATTAGGCTTTGGAATTATCAGAGTTACTTACTCCTTGGAACAAAAAAATTTAAGCAAATATTAAATATATTATTTACTTCATAAAATTCATGTAGCTTGCTAAGCTAATATTCTCAAATTCAGGATACCAGAGAGTAGATGCAGATAGGAACTAGACTTAGCATTTGCTATGCGCTTGTTACACTCTATCAGCTATTATTTTAAAATCAGTTTTCTTGAATTTTAACTATAGTATAAGAAATATCGAAAACAGAATAAATAGAGATTGGTACATATATTTAATATTGTGATAGTCTATTTACAGTTTAATTTGAAAAAAAAATTATTTATACATTCGATGAAAAGATCAGCCTTTTTTTGAACTAAATTTACTTCTTCAATTTTTACCATTAATATGTGCTATTTGTAGTTTCCTATATTAACTATTGAAAATACAAATATTTATAAAGAAATTGAAATAATTACAGAATAAGCTATAGAAGCTTTAGTAAAGGCAAATTTATTTTTTAAAAGCTCGTCAGCTATCATTTTTCAATAGAATAATTTATTTTTCTGAATTATTTCAGATTTAAAGTTTTTCTATACATCATAATACTATAATATTGATTATCATTATATCCATCCTCTTCCATTGCCAATTTCTTTAAAAATAAAAACTCCATTTACAGCTTTAACCTTATCAGAATTAGACCCTATAAGGTATGTGCCCTTGACTATAATTTTCAGCTCTATACATTGCTTGGCTACAGCGATCTATTATAGTTTAAGGGCTATACATCAATCAGCATAAATCTGTAATTTTAATCCCTAAATTAAATTATATTATTTAGACTCGAAATGTGAGCCATTCCCCAGAATCATTAATGGAATGCTGCTTCTTCATTGAACATTTTTCATTCATTACAGGCGAACTATCGCGAGTGCACCGACTATCTTCATTTAAATTTGAATTACTTGCTCCCCCTCCATAATCTAACAAAATCATCGGAAAAATCCCTGAAAATTTACCCCCATAAGCGAACAAAAAATTTATTTTAATATAAAATTTATAAATATATAATGAAATCTTGGGAATTTGTTCACTTATAGAGAGAAATTAATTCTTTTTTTGCGAATTTTTTTTTCAAAATTCCAAAATTTTTTGTTCTCTCAAGGAAGGTGGAGCTAGCGATCTATCATTTTCAGCAAACTTCTTACTTTTGTATATTTTTCTAAATAATTCGACTGCTGGGTTAATAATTTCACATAAAAATCTTCCTTTCGTTTCAATAAATAATATAATAAATCCATATAATTCTAATGCTGCTCTTAATTTAATGTAAGAAACAACACACACAAAAACTATTTCTTCATGAGCTTGGCTGCTGATAAAAGAATAACCATATAATTTTGGCTAAGATTTATGCAGCCGAAATCCCTTGACTTAAGGAAAGGCAGCCTATATCAGAGTGAAAAAGGCGGAATGGCAAATCAAAATTCCACCCTCTTGAATTTTCTTGCGAGACTCACTAAGCTTATCCTAGGTTAGATCTACCCTCTGTAGCGTGACCAAATATTCCCTATATCTAAAACTATATGAGATGCAAAACCTGCCAAGCCCATCTGATAGGAACAGTAAAAACCTTTGGGAGAAATAAAATATCCCTCTGATATAAAAGCAACAAAGCAGATTCCTCATGATATCACTGTTCATAATTAAAGGGTGGGCTACGACTAAATCATCTTTAAGAAGTGAAAACGCATTAAAACTAATACTAAAAGATAAAAGAACAGTCAAAGCGGAAAATAGATAGGAATAATAGAGTAACCCAAATAATGAAATTTATAATGATACAAATTTCAAGCTTGCAAGGGCAGGCACAGTTTGCAAAGAAATTTCTATTTGGCAGAGGCTGATTAGAAGATTTAGCTCGTACCTCATTTTTAGCCTTTCTGCGACAAACCACTACTATAGAAAAAACTTCAATAAGAAGATAAACTTTTATCATGATAAAAATAGTTAGCCAGTTTTTTCAATATTCGCCAGCATCGTTGAAGTAGAAAATTGTATAGAAAAATGATGCAATTCAAGCTAAAAAAGATAGAAATAGTAAAGCCCAATGCAAATAATAGTGTGGCTTTTCTCTTTCAGTTGTATTTTTCATTTTAATTATTTCTATATTCCATGACCTCTTTTAGATCGCCTTAGCTCCGAAACGCCCTTCCAACCCAAATCCCCCAGCTTGAAGGCTGTTTATAGATCAGGGCGATCTAAACGAATCCTTGCGCTATACTTTAGTTTAATACCAAATTAGGTAAATCTATTTATAAAACTTATAAAAAGGAAGAAATTATGGCAAAATATAAATTTTGAATTATACTTTTATAGTTTGCTATACTGAATAGGTTTAAGCAAAAAATTATTTTAATTAATATATAGTAGAAAAGAACTTTGTGTAGTTGGGCATGCAAATGCACAATTATAGGCTACTGTTGAAAATAGATTAGCTTCATAGTTTTTATATAAATAGGATAGACATAATTATAAAGGGCTATACTTATTAAAATTTATAAGAAAAACTCACTATCTGAAACTTTTTTTGGGATTTTAAATATGCTTTATATTAATTTTTTTAATAAAAAATTTTATTTAGCAAATAATTAATTATATTGAATAGGTCAAGATAGTAAGTTCTTTACAATCTTGAATGTGTTTAAAATTCTTAAAAACATTAATCAGCATAATTTAATTAAATTTTCTAAATTTATTCATTATTTAAAAAGAATATTTTAGATTCTTGATCTCTTCAGATCCTTTATTTTTCTTTGATTCAATATCTTATTTTTATTCATGCTGATAGGGACTGAAGGTTGTAACTTTGCACCAATAAACTTATGGTTTTTGGCATGAAGACAATCATATGCACATAACGAATGAGAAATCTTGATTACTTTTGAAAAAATATTCTTTAGGTTGCCAATTTTTGAGGGCTCAATATTAAGATCCCAAAAATCATTTCTAACAATATATTTTCTTAGTGAGTAGTCTGAATTTAAATCAACCATTGAATTTCTAATAATAAATCTCATTAAAGCATCTTCTACTTGATATTTAGTGGGATAAAATCCAGAGTTGGTGTCACACTCTTTAATTAGTTCTATTATAGCAGATTCTACAGCACTATCATTATCAGTTTTCTTGAAATCAGCTTTTATAAAATCTCTTGTATATGGGAAATATTTTGCTTCTACAATCTGATATAGAGAAATAATATATTCTAGCTTAATTTCTGAGATCCTTGTGCTGCCTTTCAAATCTTCAGAAATTCTAGAAGAATTTAGCTCTTTGCAGAAATTCATAATAGAGGAATCATTTTTCCCTTTATAATACCTAAGGTAGCAAAGCAAATAATTAAATGATCCATATATTCCTTTCAGTTTTTCTTGATATGCTTCTCCTTTTTGCTTTAGTTCATCAAAAAATAACTCAATACAATGCAGCTTATCAGACTCAAGTGGTTTTTGATTGATAATTCCTTTGATTTCTAGTAAAAGTCCTGACTCTTCGCTGGATAAATTTAGCAACTCTAAATGATATTGAATTAAATCAAGTTTTGTAGTATCAATCATTTTAGCTAAAAGGAGCTGCTTAGCCAGGCATTTTCTTATTCTTTCAAAATCATAAACAATTTCTTTGCCTCTTCCATATATGGGGCTGCTAAGTGAGTAAAGATTGAGTATTTCTGTATTATCTATATCAAGTGAAATTATATTTTCTTCTTTTAATTTTTGTAAAGGATACGCTTTAAATTTGGCTTCATCGAGGTCATTTTTATCTCTTAAAGAATTCGAAATTATTGAATTTATTTGCGAAAGACATTTGTTTTGGATTTCAGCTAATTCTATTAAAACAGCAGCCATATACATACCACCACCTTTGACTTTATTATCGACAAGGAAATTAGTAAGTTGACTTTCCTCATTAAATTCTATGCGATCTAAAACTTTGCATTCATACTGGAGATTATCAATTCCTTTGCTATTTCATGCTTTAATGAAGTTTTCAAAAAGCGGCTTTATGAAATGATTATCCTCAATAGCTTTCTTAATAGTAGTTTCTATAGCTTCAGACCGAAGAATTTTATTGTTATATATTTCAAGCAAACAATTTGTAAATTTTATAATAGGATACAATGATTCGACTTTTAAAATTTCAGTTGAATTTTTTAGATAAATATCAATTATTTTGCAATCCTCAGGATTGCTCAATAAATACTGATTTTTAAGATTTTCGAGAGATGGTTCACCTTTTATTCTGAATAATTCTATATCAGGATAATTTTTATCGTCTTTTAGATTAATATACTCATATATATAATCTTTAAAAGAGACTTGGACTTCATAATTGGCTTTACTTTCGCCCCTTATATATTGGAGCAAATACCTTTAAATATATTTTTGGGTTATTAATTTTCTTTAAATTGAAAAATAAAATTCTTGATAAAAATCAGGACTTATATAGAAATACCTTTAATATTTATTTTAATATAAATTTACCTATAAATTACTCTAGTTAGTGATGGGATCTAAATATAATACTATTAAAACAATATTAGCCCTTTAAATCGACAAATTTTACAAATTAATACTTTTCATACAAATTTATAAAATTTGTTCTAGAAAAGTTGTTTTGGAACAGATTTTGCTCCAAATTAAGGGGAAGTAAGAAAATTTGAATATTCTAAAATAGAATTTTGTGGGTCGATGTTAGGAATAATCAAATTTTGCTCAAAGTTCTCTTCAAATTCATCCCTATCTTTTGGAGAGAGTGATCCAGTGCTGCAGCTCAATAGTAATTCATCCAATTTTGAAATTATTTTATATACCCATAAATGGCTTGAAGCGGATCTACTCATTTCTAATAATTTTTCATAATCAGATTTCACAGATTCTCTTAGGTATTGATAACTATCTTCTTGCAAAATTGATGAGTCTATAAGTCCTTCAAGGGTTATATTATCAATTAATCCTATCTGGTGCAAGGCTAAAATAATACTGCCTAGCACAAAATGAAGAGCTATATAACTAATTGGATTTAAGCCTCGAATTGAGCGAATTTCTCTTTTCAGTGATCCAGGAAATTTTAAACCGGCTTCTATCTGGCTCATATGTCTTCTAACTGCGTTGCTAAGAAAACTATAAGCTTGCTCATGTGATAAATTCTCATGCCCTTCTCTTTCTATTAATTTATGGTTGGTTCCTCCTATGTTTTTATGGCAAAAAGGACACTCAAATATCTGCATTGGGGCACCACATTTTGATATCACATAAATATAATCGCAATCAGACGAACATTTATAAGTACTTCCTTTGGAATAGCTTTTCTTTCATTCCTTTGATATGAATGCATCAAAGTTATCATGAAATTCTTTAATGTATATATGCAATGGATTAGGTTCTGCTCCAAAAATATATCGATTATTAAATCTTTCGCTTAAATTATCTAAACTTCCATTTTCGTTGAAAAAAATTGATGAAATTGGATTTAATTTTTGGCTGTAAGACAATATGACTGTAAAAATTCCTAGAATTGTTAAAATTCTGTGCAAATCAGTCTCTGATGTATCTCTTTCTAATCTTAAGTCGGAATTTGCTGGGAAATTATGGATATAAAAATAGAATAATTGATAAAATTCCTGGCCAAAAGCATTCAGAATGTCATCTTTTCTACATTTGAAAAAGTTGATAATATTTCTATTCATTTCTTTTTCTTTCGAATAAATTGAAAAAATTTTATTTAAAAACGCAATTCCTAAAGCAAGCTTTTGGTCAGGGTTTTGAGTTTCTATAAGAATTTCATCATATAAATTTTGGTTTTCATTTTCCAATATTTTTTTTATGATATATACATTCCTCTTATACTTTTCTAAAACCCTAGGGAAAACTAAAAATGAATCTAAATCTAAATTGATTTTTTTGCTTTTTTCTTGTTCAATTTCTTTTATCCTAGGAATCCATTTGAGGTTGGGATATTCTATGATGAACTTAGAAATGTCATATCCTGTAATTGTTAATATTTTTTTAACACAATACATTTTTAAAGTATCTCCAATATCTAAATTAAAAATAGTTTTATCAATTTTTTCTTTAATTTCTTCTTCCTTATCATTTAATATTTTTTTTGCAAGCACGCAACAATAAATATCAAGATAATTTCTTACCAAAGTCAATGATATTATTTTTTTTATTTTTGGATACTCAATTTGTTCCAGTTTTCCTTTTTTTAAAAAGTACTTAAAGAATTGATAATCGCTTTTAAGTTTTTCGATATCAGATTTGCTTTTTGCGTCATCTTTTTTTTCTGAATCGAAATAATTTCCTAAATTATCACTTAAAATTATGCCAAATTTGCTATGAATCCCTTGCTGTTTTAAAGCTTCTTCTATTTCGTTAAGGTAATTATTATCATTGGGTAATTCAAAATCAACATCTTTATTGTTTGATATTTTGTATTTTAAATCTTCTATGCATTCTATAATTTTTGATTTTTCTACAATAATACTCATAATTTTTGTTGTATATTTCCAAAATTCTTCATTTTTAAACTCTTCAGCAATATCTTTTATGAATATGGAATCGTTGCTTGCTAGAAGCTTAAAATAAGAACTTATAAATTTGAGGTATTGTTCAGACTCACTATATTTTTCCTTAACTTTTGGAAGAACATGTCTTGCAAATTCTATGGAACATACATAATTTTTAGTTTCTGTTTCGACGTTCAAGGCTTGATCTAATAGATAAGATAGATCTTCCCGTTTACCATTATTTTTTGCTACCAATTTGCTGTATGAAACCCAGAATTCAAGAATATCTAGAGTCTCGATAAAAGCATATTCTTTTAATTCTATTTCTGTAAGCACATTATATAGCTTTTCTGCTTTTATAGAGTACTGTAAAACATCTTCGTTATTACTGGATATCATTTCATTGATCAGCATTTCATAAATTGAGTCTAAAACCGTTTTTCGTGTATTTTCATTTTCTTCAGAATTTTCATCTTGCTCACTTTCATAAGGAGGTAAATCTTTTAAATGTTTCTGAAGTATTTTTATAGCTTTATTTTCTAGCTCTGGTAAAAGATCAAAGGTATTACACAATAAAACTCCAAGTTCTCCAATTTTCATGAATGAAATTAATTTTTTTTCAAATAAATTATCACCATGAAAAACGATTTTGAGTAGTTCACAAATAAATTCTTTATGATGCAAGCTTAGTAGATTTTCCTTTAAATAAATTGATACAAGATCTCCAAAATATAAATCTTGTAGTTTAGAGTGTTCTCCATTAAAATCCAATTTTCCTCTATTATATTTAGAATGCTTATTGTATTCGTCTTTAAATTGCTCAATGGGAGTCTGAATCTGATTTTCTTCCATTTCTGATATTTCATACGATTTAAAAGCAGCTACTACAGTCTTGTAGTCCATCATTGAAAATGGAAAACAAAGCTCATATTCGCATTTTATAATATTTCCTTGATAAAGACGGTTTAGTCCAATATTATTATCTATTCCTAGGGTATCAAATATATCAAACCAAATTTGCTTTCTAAAGCTATCAAATTCGAGATAGGGATCTCTAAAAGGTTCTATGCAACTAAATAGAGCGCTGTTTCGTTCCAATGTATAAAGAATTAGCTGTAGAGAACTTTCTATTTCTGTTTCAAGAAATAGTGAAATAGCTTCATAAAGATTAGCAGAGTCATCTATAAGCTTGGACTTTAAAAAAATTTCTTCTTTTCCAATCGCTCCCATCTCAAATGAACATGTATTTTTGTCAGTGAGACATTTGGCAGAAAAATCGTTAAATTTCGGTCAACTAGTACACTATTTGAAAATTTTACGACCAAATTTCTTCAATGAATGCACACTATTAAATGTACACGATCATTGGGACCTTTTCCAATCTTTATTTATTATTTTTGCTTGCAAATTTTTCCATATTTTTGCTTTAAAATGGCTAGCAATGTCACAATCAGTTCCAATTTTTTCAATAGCATTATTAAGATAGATAGGAATTTTATCTTTATTTTCTTCTGTGATTTCAACTCTAAAGGAAAGTAAGCATCTTTCTGCTAAGTGTTTAATTTCTTTCTGAAAATTAAAAATTTCATAATCTAGTATTAATGACTTTGTATCCTTTGACAGTATTTCGTCTGTGACCTCAAAAGAATTGTCGAGCAAGCTATCAAACATTTTCATTTTTCATGACTCAAATAGCATTGTAAATGAGCTATATTTTATATTTCTTTTTATATGGATAACAATACAAAACTTCTTTTTGGACAAAGGATTTTCTGAATTTATCTTATCAATTAAAAATTTTACTAAAGGAAGATGAACACATTCTTCTCCAAAATCGACTTCTAAAATAAAAACTTTTTGGGTTTCATTTCTATAAAACGCATTCAATTCTTTGGCTAAATCTTGCTTTGAATTATAAGCAATCATCTCTTTGATTATAAGCTTTTCATCATCATCATCTGTATTAAAAATTTTTTCTGATATTCTTTTATCATAACTCCACCTTCCGTGAGTTATCAAAAAGTTTTTTAGCTCAAAGCAGAATGCTAATATTATTTTTAAAATGTTTATTTATAAATTTTAAGTAATACTTTTCGAAACTTTAAAAAATCTTAATTTTTAAAATTAATCAAATTTAGATTGAGATCTCAATAAACTAATTATATATCAAAAATATTTTTTTCATATAAATTTTTTTTTTCACTCACAAGAGGGTATTTTACCTAAAAATAGGGTTTTCCACTGTTTTTGTTTGCTCATGGAGGAGAAAGATTAAGTGAATGCAAAAATATTTTCAAAGTCACTTGTATTATCTATCATTGATTTTATTGTATCTTTGAAATTTATTGCATGAAGCTCTTTCCATTTATTTTTTATACTTTCTTTAATCTCCGGATCAATTGAGATTAATTCTAGTAATATTAATATATCAGAAGAAGCTATCTCTAAAAGATTTTTTTTGCATTTTTCTAAAGTTTCACTATTTTCTTCTCCTTTTTCATTGAAAAGTATAAGCAGAGCTAATGAATCACTGCTATAAATTGGAAATAAGTGATTTTTAGTAAAGCTAACAACTCTTTGCTCTTTAATGACGAAAAATAAATCAATTCAATTTTCAAGCTCTTTTAACAATTTCGCTTGCTTATTATTAAGTATTTTTTCAATAGTCAAAATATGTTTTTCGAATCTGTTAAGAAAAGGAGCATCTTGTTTTTTTACATCTTCTGGACTTATTAGTGTAATTACATGAAAATTAGGATGCACTAGACACTTTGGATTAAAATTATCTCCAAGAGAAATTTTGCAATATTTTCGTTGATAATTTTCTGATCCATGGATTGAAAAGCTCTGATTAAATAAATCGTAAAGTGAGCTATAAATGTGGTCCATATCTTTCAGAACTATAGATACGCCTAATTCCATATAAATTATAATATCATTCAAAGACTCAAATCCATAACTATCTTGATTTATATCATCAGGCAAGCTACTTCCAACTATAATTCTCCTGTTTTTATTATCACTCAAATATTTATCTAAAATAAACATGGCTATATCTGGCTTGCCAATAATCATCAAATACCTTGCATTTGGATCATTTAAGTTATCATTTAACAGTTCAAAAATTTTTGTATTTTTCTTAGGCAAATTTATTTTATGATAATCATAAAATAAGCTACACATAATAGATTCACCATAGCTTGTGCCTCCAAAATTTCTTTCAATTGCAGCTTTCACACAATTTGTTATAAACTCACTTGTACTATTTTCTTTATCAATTAGTTTTTCTGATACTCGTTTAATTAAATGATAAAAGTCTCTCAAGCCATAAAAATCAGCAATTTCTGTTTCTTGGGTTTGTGTTTTTAAGCTTGTATATGCCTTAGCAAGCTTCTTAATTATATGGTCGTAAATTTTATTTTCAGTGTATGAATGATAAATATCCAATGCAGTCAGCACCAAGTCATCCTCACATGGATCAGGCCTAGCTAGATATAAAGCTCTATTCATTTTAGAGGCATCTAACCTTCAATTAGAAATCCCGATAAATCCAACTTTAATGTTTTCTTTTTCAAGATATTTGTGAAGAACTTTTAAAGGGTTATATCTTGATAGTTCAGCTAAGCCAATTTCATCAAATACAATCACAGGGAGAACCTCGTGCCCTATTTTTGGATGTTTTCCAGCTTTTTCAAAAACCTTTATAATTCCTCCAGATTTGCAAGACTCAGAGCCTTGAAAATGCACCATCACTAGCTCTGGCAAAGTCCTAAAATAATGGTCATTTGATGTTTTACCTCTGAGATTAGAAAATATTAATTCTATCGATAAAGATTTGCTGCTTCCAGGCTTTCCACATATAAAAACAGGTATTTTATTAACAATACAAGGAATAGCAGCAAAAATGTTTTCTTTTAAAGCATTATTTAAAGCTGTTCCTTTTGGCAATTCCATTCTTTCTATATAGTCATTTTTTTCTAGCTCTATTATTTCCTTAATTTTTAATACACTTATAAAGGGGCTGCTTATAGAATCAGAAATTTTGCGTATAAAACGCTCTCGATCTAATTCGGATGCAATTCTTAAGTAATAGCAATGAGAAAAAGAAAGGATTCCCGCTGAAAGATCAGTGTCTTGATTCGCATTAATATATTTTTCATTGACTTTACTCCCTTTGAGAACGCTGTTTACAATTGGAGTTTAACTTTTTTTATAAATATAAAAAGCAAAAATTAAAAATTGTTTAAAAAATTTTTTAAGACCTTATTTTTTTTGCTGACTCTTAAAGAACGGGATAATCCTCACAAAGGTGAAGGAGTTAGATTTTGGTGGCAAGTTTAAGTGATCAGAGATAGACTTTTCAAACCATAAATATAAATCAATAAATCTTGATACATCTCTTACTCATCCCTCTTTAAATTTAAACAAGAGCATTTTTTGAAAGCAATTAATAAAAAATTTTTTGATTTTCAATAAAAAAAAATTTTAGCACTGGGATGCATTATATTTCTCTTTTTTACTCATCAAATTGCAAATAAATGTTTTAATCTTATTTTCCAATTCTAAAATTCTCCAAAAATGTATCTCTTTTATTAAAATAACGAGCTTATCGCAGATATAAACAATTTCATGATGGGCATCCTCACTGTGGAAAAGTTAAGCTAACACTGCTGACATCTTCCTCTTCTTGGAAATACTTGTGAGCTATACATATCATATCAGTAAAAACTTCTTTATACTGTGAATTTATGCGGTCAAGCATATTATTAACATATTTTCTTACATCTTCATGAGTGAGCGTTCCAAAGTCCCACACATAGTCTATCATGGTTTCAGGGAGCGGTTTTACGAGATGAACCAGCTTACTTTCATTCTGCGTTCTTTTTACTTTTTTGATACCAATATTTTGCTGCATTCCTTTTTTTGAAGAAACTCTATAAGGATTACACGCTCCTAGAAACGCAATATTTGAAGGCAAAGGGTTTCCATCAAGAGTTCTTTCACACATAATTTCACAAATCATTCCAATAGAATCAGTTGTATTGAATTCATCGAAAAACACTCACAATTTTTCATCTGGGCCGATTTTTTGGGCTTTTTCTGTTATTTTTTTCATTTTGTTTCGTATATCTTCTGATGTGGTGCCTGCATGAATACTAATTTTTGAGTAAAGCCTTGATGATTCGTCTTTAGTTTCTTCTTCAATTGACGAAGAGCTATGCAAACTGCTTCTAAGAGGCTCTTTTTTGGGCTTTCCTAGCACATTTTCAACAAGAAATTGTATCAATGATGTTTTTCCACACCCAGTTTCGCCCATAATAATAACTGGAAGGCCTGAGTAGACTCTAAGATAAATAAGATTCATTTTTAAGAAATTATCAGGAGTCATTACATATTCGCCATCTCCATACGTTTTTTCCAGTCTTACATTATATCTATTATAATTATTCAATATTTCTAGCAGCTGATAACGATTCATTGATGCGTAGTCATCAATTTCAAAATTTTTTCACTGTTCTTTATTTTTGCGTTTTCTTATAAAAATATTTTGTTTTGCTGCTAATTTTTGTAGAGAAATTAATTCTTTGAAATTTTCTGGAACACAATCTCGATTTCTATATATAGGAATAAAAGACCCATCTTTAAGGAAAATTAGGTGAAAATGGTTTGATGATTCTCATTTGATATTATTTTGGTATTTTAAGGCTAAAGAAGAAATTTCATTTGCGTCATCAATTTGGTTCATTAAAATTTTTTCTGAGGACTTTTCTTGGATTTCTTTAATATTTGATATACATTTAGTTGTGAATTCTTTAGTTGAGCTTAATAAAGACTCAAAGACCATTGTTCGAAAATAGGAGAGTTTTTCTGCTATATTAGAAAGTCCCAAGTATGATAAATTTTCCTGTATATCTTTTATGATGTCAGGAGAAAATGGACTTCTTTCGAAATTAAGGAGCAGCCAATTTAATATTGATATGAAAATATTCAGTTGCGTATATGTCACACTTTTTTTATCATATTGTTCTTCTATAAAATAATTTTTTATTAAATAAATCAAATGATCCTTCTGCAAAATTATTTTATTTTCTATGGCTTTCTTATCGTCAATTAAATGATTCTCATATAAATTCAAATAATTACCCACAACTTGTATAGGATCATCAATTATTTGGGGGACTATTAAACGCTCTATATCAAAATAATCAAGATGGCAAGAAGGAACAAAACTTAAATAATCTATAGACTTTAAAAGATTGTCCTGAAAACTATTTGCTACTTCAATTAAAATAGGAATCCCTGCATCTAGCACAGAAATACTTTCAGATGTGCTTAAAGTTCTGAAAAGGCAGATATTGATTAAAATTTCGTTTAATAGAGAAGGGTTGCTTGTATAGCTAATATTTAAAAGCAAAACTGAGTTCCCAGTGACAGTGTTCAACTTCGAAATCATTTTGCATAACTCTGCATAATTAATATCACCACCAATAGGAAAAGTGATTAAATTTGACCCTTTCTGTCTTTCCTCCTCTTTTATCATTACTGATTTTCCAAGTCCTGCAAAAGATGAAGTTATTACTCGGCTTTGATTTTCTATTTCACTTATCTTTATCTTTATTTTTTCATCACTTAAAATTTTATTCGAGCTGAATCTATTTACCTTTGGGACTTTTAAATATATTAAATACTGCAGTAGCTCCCCTTTTAAATGAAGCAGAATTTTAATTTTTTAATAAAAAAATTTTAAGCGAAAGTGTAAATAACTTTAGCCAGTTTAAAGAAGGAGCCAAAGAGGATGCTATTTAAAGATTGTCATGCTGGATCAAATAATTTTCTAAATAAATTTTCATAAAATTTTTAAAAAAATAATCAATTTTATGTTTGAAAATTTTGCGATCCCCTTTAAATAGTTTTTTTTTTTTCCAATTAAAGAGGAGTAAGTAGCATTTTGGGTTTGCTGTAATTATTCCGAGCCCTGATTTTATTGGCGATAAGCCGTATAACTCATTGAAAAGTAATTTAAAATTTATTTGATTTTCTAAAGAGAGATTTTCACAGTTTATTAGGCAGTAGATATTGCAAGAAGGGTCTTTAAAGTATCTATATAGAAAGGATTTAAGTTCTCTTCAATAAGTGCAGCTTTTACAAAATAAGACTTGAGAGGCACTAGGAAAAGAGAGCTTATAGTATTCATAAATAGAAAAAATCCCATTGAGATATTTTGTTGTGTCAAGAATGATGATTTCGCCTTGGAAGGCTAAAATTTCTGGGTTTGGAGGAATGCCATTTAAATTAGGGATTTCGTTCAGAACAATTCCTAATTTCATTAATCTCTCTTCTGGTAGCCCATCTTTAATGTATTGTACTGAAAGTTCTGTCTGTTTCCCCATAAACTTTAATAAGCTTATTGCCTCGTTTTTTGATACACAGGATGAGTCAATAATATAATTTTCTAAAGTCCAAAACTGGTTTCCACTCAAAAATGTTAACCAAAAACACTCCTTATAGGAATTGCTCAAATTTTTCTCCCAAGATTTAAATAGCCGCTGTATTTCCTTTTTTAATTGGATTACGGCTTCATAGTCTCCATCACAACAGCTAAATTCTTCATTAAGCTTATCCTCCAATTTTGGATAGCCACTTTGATATAAATCATTCATACAGTTGATAATTTTATTTATTAAGTTGATATAATTCACAAAAACATCAAAATATTGTAATCCTCCATCATTATGCGTGCATGAGGACTGATAGGTGTGCATTATCAACTGTGCTCGATTTTTAAGTTCATTAATATCTGATATATCAAACTGCTTTTTCGCATTCTCAGAATATACTAAATCAATGAGATATTCATTATTTTCAAATTTCAGTTTAAAGCTTGATTTTTTCACAATTCCAAAAATTTGTTTCTTTTTAGCTTCTTCTTTGCAATTTATTTCAATATGCAACTTTGTTATAGCATTGAGTTGTGCAGCACATGAGCAAAGCTGACTAGGGACAGATTTAAAATCTTTTCCATTATCACAATTTGATGCAAATAATTGACTGAGCTGAGCAAAATTAGACAAAGAATCCTTTATATCTCTGATACAATATCATAAGTTTTCTAAATCTAATATGGTCTGCATGCTAACAAACTCAATTTCATAGTCATTTATGCCTTCTTTCATATCCTTTATTTCACCTTCTCTTAAGCTTAACAAGAAGAGCACAAGCTCTTTTGATTTCGCTATTTCTTGAAGTGAAGCGGCTAATGAATTTTTTTGCTCTTTCGACAAATTTTGAAACAGTTCATGGATTTTGGCTGATTCGTTTAAAAATTCATAAATGCAATAATTGTAAAGATTTGATGATAATTTAATGTAGTCAGAGCATATTTTCAAAACATTAATATCTGCTTCTCCTGTAATTTCTTTGAGACCAATTATTCCATGACATGCGTTTAACAAAGTATCATTCTCTTGATATCTCTCCAAAAATTCTCTAAAACGAGCTATCTTATCAAAAGCAAAGAGACCTTCATTCTTCATAAGGCTGGCAATGATTTCTATCTCTTTGTCAACATCTTGTATTTTAGAAAATATTTTTATGAATTCTCCCAATGGATAATTAGCACTAGCATCAAGAAACAATTTAATCAAGTTTTGAATCATTTTATCATATGAATTTCTACAGCCTTCAATTATTTTGTGAATGTCCAATTTGGGTGAACTTGATGTTGTTAATAATATTTTGCATTCGGGCAGATAATAATTATTAAATATATATGAGTCAATTGCAAGCCCAATTTCACATGATATATCTACTATCATTTTAATTTGTTGTGGAAATTCAAATTTAGCCAATTTAATTTCTAAAAATTTTTTCATTAAATCTTTATGTTCTTTCTCTATAGCTTCATAGTCTACCATAATATCTTGAAAATGGCAAATAAATCTATTGAAAGAATTTAAACTGTTTTCGATTTCATTTTTTTTTTCTATAGCTTCTTCAATTGCCATAGAAAAATTTAGCTTTTCTTTATCTAAATTATTAAATGAAATTTCTAATAGATTTATCATGTCTGATCTCTGTTGTTTAAGCTGATTTTTGATAGTATCGATTTCAGATAAAGTAATATCTTTATTATATATTTTCTCTCCTATTTTGGATATTGTGCTTATAAGCAACTTTGGATGTTTAAATGATGTTAATTTTTTGTTTGAGTTGAATATTCAGCCCCATCATTTTTTCTTTTGAGGTTCAGTAAATAAAGCATTTTTAATATATTGCTCTGAATACTCATATACAATAAGAGAGAGTTCTCTCTCTATAAGGGTGCTCAGAGTTTTATTTTTTTCATTTTTTTCATGAAGTTTAGAAAATTTTTTAAGTATTTTTTCGACTTTATCATTTTCTGAGATTTCTTTACCCAAAAGCAGTTCCTTCTCGTTTTTTAATTCTATTTCAATATAAGCCTCATTTAAAATTTCATTTTGGCAATTATCGATATTTACCACACAGCTCAGAAATTCTTTCTTTATGTTTTTGCATCTTAATAAAAGACGCTCTACAAAAATAAAGCAGAGCCTTTCTAAATTTTTTTGGTTTTCAATCGAAAGAGCTTCACTTTTAAAATTGGAGATAATATCCTCAACTTTTTGATGATTAGCAATAATATTATTTGACCATTTTTCAAAAAATGAGTCAACAACAGAGATTTTGAAATTAAAAGTATTGCACACTATTGAAAATTCAATTTTGTCTTCATATATAAGTGTTTCAGAAAGTTCAATGGCGGAATAGTAGTCAGAATAAAAAACATCATAATAATTTTTGAATATTTGTTCGTAGCAATGAAGCCTGATCTTTATTTTTTCAGTGCTTTGTTTTAAAATGTTTCATATCATTGCTCTTGCCTTATTGTTATACATTAAGAGCTTAAATTCTTGGTCAAGGCTGCAAAGTACTCTAAAAAATTCAACGATATTATCCAAGCTTGATATATATTTTTCGCAATATTCTTCTACTAAAGTATCAATATCCTTAATTGATTTATTTTTAGCCAATTCATTAGTCTCTTTCAAACAAACTAATTGCAGGCTTCTAAAAAATTCATCACAGCTTAAACCTTGACTAACTATTTTTTTGAATATGCAGATTCATCTCTTTAAATTGAAAGAATTTATTTTGCTAATAATAAAATTTTTTTGTTCAATATTTAAAGGAATTTTAAGTTCATCCAAATCTTTTAAAAAGTGTTCTAAGATTTCAAATTTCGAATCATCACCCATATTGTAATCAAAAACATTTCAGATTTTCCTATCTTCTTTCATCTTAAATGCCATTAAATGGGCTAATCCTTTTAAGAAATGAGGATCCGATTCTAAATTTTGAAATTGGTCAGTGTTTTCTAATAAAACTTGAGACTTGCTGAAATTGACATCTGGGATCATTGAATGAGTGATGCATGATATCAAAGAGACAAGAGCATGGAGCTTCTCTATAGACAGTTGAGGATATGATGAAATAAATTCTTCCAATATTTCAAGGAAAATTTTTGCATTATCATAATCAGTAATATCAAATCCATATTTCGCTTTAAATTGCTTAATAAGCATTGGAATAGTTTTCTCCCAATTGAGATTTTTTAATAAATAGTCTGCGTAAATTGATAGCTGCTTGAATGAACCACTTACAGATTCACCATCAGGTCTAACAGCCCCTAACGAATATATGGTAACTATATTAACATCAAACAAGAAATTATTTTGAAACTCCAAATTAACGCCTCTGCATTGACCCCCACTTTCTCAGTTCTCTTTAATTTTATCTAAAGATTTATCATAAAACATGAGCTTAACTTGAATGCATCCATTCCACCCTTTATTAAGTTGAATAGGCATTTCAAAAATTTTAATATTTTGGTCAAATTTTTTACAATATCCTTCTAATATTTTGAACTTTTGAAATTTAATTGGGTAGCTGTCGCTTCCAATTATTGCAAGCTGAAGAGAATTATTTTCACGCTCTTGAGGAGTGAGCTTGTATAAGGCATAAATAGTGCAAATGTTTGCTGAAGTATCTTCGCAGTCGCTGAACTTATCCTTGGGTTGCTCTTCAGTAATGCTTTTTATTTTCTTTTCAGGATGGCATGGCTGATCTGTCAGTTCTGCTATAGGTGAAATTATGTTTCTCAATTTATGTAGTGTAAATTAAGATATAAATAATATGCAATAAGGTTGTGCTAGTTTATACAGATTTAGGTCTTAACTTGCTATAATGTACAAATAATATGGTGATATAAAGTATTGAGCTCACAACCTATACTTGTATTATATTTTCAGCTTTCATTTTAACTTTATCCTTCTTGTAAATTTCATTTATTTCATACCTCTAACTTTCGATGGCATGTTTTGTTTGGACAAAAGATATGTAAGAAAGTGCAAGATGTCAATCGTGGTTATCGTTAATAATAAGCCTTAAGATAAACTTGCTAGTGCTTCGAGAAATCCTAATTGGTATTATATATAATTTTCATCAGAACGAGATTCTTCAGGTATTAGATCCTCAGCCTTTCCCTCCTCTTTTTCGCAAAACGCTAGCTCTTTTGCTTCTTCAGCACTCATATTTTTATAATAGGCATTTTCTCTCTGTTAATTTTAGGATTCTACATTTTTGTAAAGGTAAATGGAGAATTAAATACGCACTAAAGTTTTATTAAATAGGCATATATATATACTGAATTTGCTTAGATTTCAAGGAAGATCATATGAATGGTGAATTAGTAAATAATTTATAGGGATTTGGAGCCTTTTTTAATGTCTTGAACAAGAAAGTGGTAAACAATTCAGCTTCAATTACTCTAGACAATAAGGAATTTGCTCACTGGGTATAAGTTTTAAAAATATCTATAACTTTTATATAAAATATAGATAAAGAAATATTATGTATTAGCATTTTTATTTAATTATGCCCCTATATAGAATTTAAATCCACATGTAGCGTATGATATTTTTTGTTGGCCCATAATTTAAATAAAATCACAATAAAGCATAGGTTAAATCAAAATAGCATTAAGTATACATTTTCTAATCATACAAAAACAAGTTTTAATAATAGTGAAGTACTCTGAATTAATATAGAATTTAGAACAAGTCCAACCCTAAATTTATGTTTTTCTTAAAATTTAGATTTTTATGTGACAGGAGATATGCAGGATGACCTGAAATTTTTGCTGGGCATGGAATTTTGGGATCAATATCCTTCAATTTAGAGATAGGCAATGTGAAAAGCGAGAGGTAGACAAAGATGCAAGAGGCAGAGGAATGAAAGAAAGAAAGAAATTGAAAAGCTGAAAGGGCCTGTAAGATAAAGAGTCGATTGGAAATACAGGTAGGATAGTTAAAATGGGAGCAAAAGCACCAAGCGAGAATCCATCATCTATCTTAAACTGTATATCTTAAAATTGACTGAATCAACAAATTCAATATTTCAAAAACTAGATTAAGCTAATAAGAAATATTTAGAGGCTACTAAACTTCTCAACCCTGAGCGAACAAAATTTTCTTACTCCCCCCCCCCCCGTGAGTGAACAAAACCATTAGAAAAATCGCTATTTTTTGCCAAAAAACCAACCCTCCGTGAGTGAACAAAAATTTTTTAAATACACAAAATTTTTTATGGAAAAAAAAAATTTGATATATAAATGATAATTAGCATAATGAAATCTAGAGCTAATTCTGTTTAATTTTAAACGAATTGCTTTTTAAAACATAAATTTTACAAAAAAAATTAATATTTGTTTTCCAATTTTCGCAAATTAGATTTTTTTAAAATTTCGAAAAAAAATATTTTTTATAAAATTTATATATAAATTTTTTAAAAAAAAAAAAATTAACCCCCTCCGTGAGTGAACAAAATTTTTTGTTCACTCACGGAGGGGGGGGGGAGTTAATATAAAAAATATTATGAAAAAAAAATTATATATATGATTAGACTAGATTATGCTACATGTTTAAAATCACCTCTATTAAACTTCTGCACAGCTCTGTTAGAAGCTACGTGGTGGCTCAAGCGAATTGGAGGTTGGATGCCATCACAATTTTATGTATATGATATATGAGTGATGATTAATACAATTAAGCATCTAGCTGATTGTTGAAATTTAAAAAGCTTACATTTTAAATATAAATTTAAAAATTAAATTAATTTTTGTTTCCCAATTTGGGATTTTTTTAAATAAATTTACTATAAAATTTATATATACAGTAACTCCCCCCCCCCCTCCGTGAGCGAACAAAAACCATTAGAAAAAATCACCATTTTTTGACCAAAAACCCACCCTCCGTGAGCGAACAAAAATTTTTTTTAATAGAAAAAATTTTAATGGAAAAAAATTTTGATATATAAGTGATAATTAGTATAATGAAATCTAGAGCTAATTCTGTTTAATTTAAAACAAATTGCGTTTTTAAAACATAAAATTTTGCAAATTAAATTAATATTTGCTTCCCATTTTTGCAAATTAGGATTTTTTTAAATTTCGAAAAAAATATTTTTTATAAAATTTATATATAAAATTTTTTTTAAAAAAAAAAATTAACCCCCCTCCGTGAGTGAACAAATTTTTTTTGTTCGCTCACGGAGGGGGGGGGGGAGTAAGCAAATTATTGGCTTGCTGTGCTCCCGACATCTTCCGACACTCTAGGAAGATTGATTTTGCTAACAAATATTGGTAATGCCAACTCCAGGAATGGCAAATACACACAATAGGATAGATTTGCATTCCTTTAGTTAGCTTTACTAACATTTGTTGGGAAAGCCAATACCCAACTCTCTCAGGAGATGCCGGTAGCACAATGAGCCAATAGCGTGCTTGAGCTATATAAAAATTAACCCCCTCTGTGAGCGGACAAATTTATTTGTGCATTGAGAAGGGGGAGTAAGTAATGAAGAGAATGATATATTACATCATGAGCCTTAGCTTATAAATACAGATTTTAAGATAATAGATAAAATATAATAAGCAATGCATTTAAAGATAGAGCAAAAAAACTAAAATATAAAAAATAGCACCTCTTAGCCGAATAAATATTTGACTTACTACTGAAGGGGATTATTTATTATTTCAATTTATTATGTATTAATTTTAGAAAGTAAGATAATAAAATGAATTTATTCACAAATTTATGCCTCAAAGTTTTATCTATCTAAACATTTAGATTACTAGTAATTTCTTGCCTATATATTAAAAAAGCTCAATTTTTGAAGAATTTGAGGATACAGGAATCTATGAAAATACTCTACTTCCCGAACTAGGTGATTAATAAAAAGTAAATATGCAAAAGCATTTGCAGAGGTAGCTTTATTATAAAGCATTAACAATTCTCAACGTTTATAATCTGAATAGGCAAATTAGGAGTATATTATCTTATATAATGGTATAGCTTCTAGTTGTAAGACTAGAAAATTGGGACAAATGATGGGGGGGATCCTTACATCATGAATCCCTAAGATGACTCTTTTTAGAAATGAAAATAAAGGTAATACCCTGTCGGGTGTGGGCTGAGGCTTTCCTCTTATGAAATTTGATACTACTCATGACAGCATCTTTATCAAGCTCTGTTTATGAAAGTCCACTCCAGCCAAAAACTCATAAACATAATTGAATTTTGTGTAGTTTAAAATTGCATCTCTACATTTAGCAGAGTCTCCAGTGATAATTCCAAAAGCCCACATCACCTGTTCTTTAATATCATTATTATTTTTCTTAAAACTGTAAACAAAAATGGTAACACACCAAGATTGAGCAAGTAAGAGCCCTGTTCTGAACTTCCTGACAAAATATTTGTATTCTCCTTAACAGGAATAGCCTAGTTTCATCATTTAGCCTTAATTTAATTAAAGAGAATATTGGGTTATGAATTTTAGGCACCGTAAATTTATTTTATTAAAAAAATTTAAATAGTCATGTAGCTTCAAATAAAAATTTATCGTCATCTTTTTCGTATGCCAAGGAAATGATATGTTGGTAAATCCCTGTTTTGATGACATCGTCTATAAGTGGGTTATCAACTATAGATAGTGATTGTCTGAGAAACTGTAAACCTTCAAATTGGAGAACTTAGTTATTTGAGCGGATTTTGTTAGCGGTAGCTAAGATTTGTTGGTCTTCAATTTGGATATCAGTGTGAGATGCACCTGCTAGATTCGCAGGAGCTGCTGGGTTTAGACTTTGACTATCAGGGGCTTGAATATTATCATTAGAAATAGCAGAAGCAATTGGGCTATTTTCTTGATTGGCTGGATCGTTGATGTTCTGTATATTCCATTTATTAAAAATATATTAATTTTAAAGGTAATTAGGGATTTTGAGATATTTAATTTGTATTCATATTATTGGGTAATCAAATAAGCAAAGGAATAAAAATTCAGAAATTGGAAAGGCTTGTGGAATCTTTAGAATGTTTTGGTGAAGCAATTAAGATTGATTCAATGAATTCTGAGTTACAAAATGGAAAAGGAATAATCATTTTATATGAAATTATGTCGAAAAAATCAGCTTTTAAACGCACTTTGGCTATAACACTATTTAAAGTTTTATTAATAAAATAATTAATAAACATTATTTTCTTGCAACTTTATATTTTCAATCTTACCGATAAATTGAATTCTGCAATAATAATTTAACTGCAAATCATTAATTATAGTCTATTCTTAAATCCTTTGTGTCTGTAGTTGATAATTTTTTCAATGCTCCAAATTATCTGTAATATAAATGCTGAGGCTAAGGTTTTTTGCCAAAGGATTCTCTCGCTCGTTTTCAGAATTTCCAAATCACTACAACATAGAAAAAGCTCGGATAGATCTAAAACTTGCAAGTGCTAAAAATTTAGATTCATTTATAAACGATTTAGACTTGTCCAAAACTTCTCATTCAATGCTTGCATACACACTGACGAATGTTGATACGCAAAAGCGAAAACTTGAATCAGAAGTCTGAAAAAAGTTACATAAAATTAGAAACGAAGTGGAAGGGAACCTTGACAAACTTGATTCTCAAGGTATCGTCAATTTTTGTGAGTGATATGCAAACCCTTATCGTGTAGCCAAAGGAGCATCTCTAACAAAAGAGAAGAAGAAATTATTAATTGATCGCATAAATGAGTATATAATTAATCGCTCTTTTGACCGAAAACAAATTTTATCAATCCACGAAAATTTGGCGCCTCAAGCGTTTAAAATAGAAGAACTAGAAAATGAAGTTGAAAAAATTGCTATGAGCAAATTAAATTTGGAAGAAATTTCAAAAATTTTGACTGGAACTGGAAGATTAATCTATACTTCAAAGAAACGTATTTTTTTCACTTGCATGGAAAGAATCCTTCAACTAAATAAAGAAGAGCTTGATGGAAGGCGCTTAGCCAAAATTCTAGACGCTTTAGCTATTAAATGCCCTATGAGCGTACAGAATTGTTTATCAGATTTTTTAAAATTTATTGAAGATAGTTTGCCTAGATGAGAAGGAAATGATTTATTATCAGTAATCAAGTTCTATGAGAATAGCAATCCTTTCTATTGGAGTACATGCCAAACTGCATTATACAGACTGAATACTTTGCTTAGTAATGATCAACCCATACATTTTATAATTGAATTGACTTCTCTTTTAAAAAAACAAGCTAAAGCTCTACCTATTGCTGATAAAATAATTTTAAAAGGTTTGCAAATAATTAAGGAAAAATTGTCGAAAGAATCAATAGACTCAGAAAATATTAAAAAAATACTTAGGATTATAGGCCAAAATATTGATTATCAGACTGCACTTACATTAGCACACCAGATAAATAGTAAAACCCTTTATTTTCAAAAACGCATGGAAATATTTGAAAAAGCATCATGATTATATGTTAACAAAGAAGGAAATCTTTTCCCTTTGACAGATTTAATTTCAATTGAAATTAACTATATAAGAATTAAAAATCTTGAATATCCTGAACATCGCTGCAAAATAGATGCATTATTCAGCATTAGTCATACAAATAATTATGAACTATGGCTCAAGACAGCATTTAGCTGACCTGAGTTGCTGACTTTCACTTCAACTCGAGGAGTTTGCTTGGAAATTTTCGCTGCAAACCAATTCTATCAGTTCGAGCAAAAGCTGGTAGCCTAGGGCGAGCTAAAGCTATCCTGAGGTATATATGGACTGCAAAAAATGAAAGATTTACTTATAGATGACTTAAGAGAGTGAATTACTTTAAGTGGTGACAATACTAAACTTTTTATGAATATTGTTCACAATAAAGAATATAGTTCAAAGTTCTGTAGAGCAATAAAACCTTTGCAAGCCACAGCTTTTCGCTCATTAAAAAGATTATCGAAGGAATGTAATTCCTTATTTTTTTCGATTTTGCTTTATGAGTGTGATCCTGAAAAATGAAAAGACTTTGTGATCGAAAATAAAAATAACTTTTCATTTGAAGATATCTTAAGAGCAATAAGATTCTATCAAGGACCTTTTGAGGCAATTATATTTTTACTAGAAGAGTATAAAAATAAGTTAGCTCCACGATGGATAGGTGCAGCTATGGATAGAATTGTTGAAGTGGAAAATGTTCAAGTCTTAAATGATTTTGCCCGTATTTTAAACAAAATAGACCCTCATTATTTATTAAATGATGCAGGTATATTTTCTAGAATAAATAAATTCAGTTATCTACTTAGGAATTCCGACTCTAGTTTGCTGATAGATTTATTTGATGGCGCATTTAAATTACTAAAAGACCTACCTATTCATTCTGTCCTTGGCAATCAAAACATCAGAATACTCAGCTTAGTTTCACAATTTGGCAAGCTAGAACCGGAAATAGCTGATTCTGTTTTATCTAACTATTCTTATGTAAATGATATTGATAAAATAGAGATGCTGACTATTTCTTCAAAATCTACTGATTTGGAGCTGAGAAAAAATATAATCAATAACGTTTTCAACAAGATCAATGAGAAATTGAATTTTCATCTTCTTCCTTTGATTATTAGGGAATATTGATATCATCCAAATACAGAAATTGATAATTATATTATAGATGCATTGAAAAAATTTGTTCCACTTTTAGGAAAAAACAGTGTCTGAATTATGGCAGATGTAATTAGCAAGCTTTCCCAAGTGAATATAAATGATCATTTAGAGCTATATAATGCAATATCATCCTTACTAAAAGAATTGGCTTTAAATAATGTTGGAAAATTATCATATCCAGATTGTGATAAATTGCTGGATTTAGCTCATAATAATATACCTATGGATCTTAATTTTGCTCAAATAATATCGGAGAACAGTAGGAATTATAAATTATTAGATAAAGAGAGCAAAAGAGAACATTTCATTGAAAAAATAAAAACAATAGGATTATTTGACAAAAATGCAGTTTTAGCAGTTTGTAATAAGCATGATAATTTTAGAACAGCTTATTTAGCAGAAACTATTTCATGTTTGGCAGAATTAAGATTTGAAAAAGAGGCATGGGCTAACCAAATGGCTAATGAATTGATAGATTACGTGGAAGATAAAAAGATTTCATTTGAAAATGATAAAGAGCACATCAATTGGATATATGGGCTTGTTGCTTTTAAAGCTAATAAATTAGAAACTATGAGACATATAGAAAACAGTAAATATTTTGACTGCGAATTGCCAACTTTTAAGCACTTTTTACTGGAGAATCACTTCAGCATGGACCCAGATTACGAAGGAGTGAGATTTCTCAATCAAGAAATACACAAATATTGACAGGATTTTGACTATTTTAAGCATTTTGGAATCCATAAGCCACTTATCACACTTATTGAATCATCATTCAATAAAGTCAATCTTGAAATACAAATCGGAACATTTTTTGACAAGAGTTGGGTACCTTTTTACATTCCAAGCAAAAAGACAGCTTTATGGCCAGTGACAAAATCGGTTCTTTTGTATCAATCAAATAAAGAAAGAGGAGAATTTTTTATGTACCGAAACCAAATTCTTAGAAAGATAAAAGATTTTAAAATCCTTAGTGAAGAAGAGGTGAATAGTATAGGAAAAATAGATATGAAGCAATTTCTTAATTAAATTGAATTATTCAATAATAATTTAGCTGCAAATCATAAAGCTCAATTACGGAGGAATCTGAAGGATTCAGGAATCTATGAAAATACTCTAATGCTCGAGTTAGGTGATTAATAAAATGTAAATATACAAAAGCATTTGCAGAGGTAGCTTTATTATAAAGCATTAACAATTCTCAACGCTTATAACTCGAAAGCATTAAAAGATTACTTTTAAGCAAACCATTTTATTTCTATTATAAATAAATCATTTTCTTCTCGTTCAAATCAAACTTGAAGTAAAATCTTCTCTCTAAGCAAATATATATGTATATTCCTCCTTTATTATATAAACAGTTCACTTGGTTGGGAATTGCGATGCCAAAGTCTTGTAGTAATCTCCAATCCATACAACTTCCAATTTCACTTTCATAGATTGATCCAGGTCATTCAATCAAATATAGTCTCTCTGCACTTATCAAGGCCTTTATTGATTTTGCCCGAAACTCATAAGTAAAGGTCGAGAAAGAGTCAATATCAATTGAGTATAACAAAAGATTTTTACTTATAAATCCAGAAATCAAAATATTCCCATTGAATATTACACTACTGCAATTTTCATCAGCTTCTGGCATTGGAGTTAATTGAATTCATCGATTTTGAGCCAAATCAAATCTACTAGATAGAGTTAAATAATTATCAGAAACCCCTCCAAAGCAATAGACGCTGTTGTTGAAAAAGATACAAAAAATAATAAAATAACAACTGCAATTTATTTATTACAGATGGCAACGCTTCGACTCCACCATACATATTAATTAGCACTGTAACTCCAGAAGCTCGACCATTACCAAAGCAAAATAGCTTGCCATTCGGAAGTTGAGCTATGCAAGTCCATTGGTCTAGTGGTTGTGAAGTGTGCAAGATTTTGACTTTTTTGGTTTCAGTTTCAGTGTTATAAATATTTAAAATAGGTCTCTTGTGTTCTCGTATGATATTATAAAGAGATGTCTTTTTTTGATAAGCATTATGATAGTCTTGGTAAGCTTGTATTAGCAGTCGATTATTGGCACTAGAATTGTTCTGATATGCTGAATAAGTTGTTCCGAAATCCATCTCTAACTTTGGATTGTTTGGTCTCGTGTCTTTACATGATGACTATTTTCATAAAGACTTTGACCTATTTATTTTTGGCCTATTTTTTAATGACCTATTTTTTTTAAGCCTATTCTTTTTTTGACCTATTTTGTTGATTATTTTTTAGCATATTTTTTTGCTTATTTTTTGGCTATTTTTTCCCTATTTTTTTCTGAACTTTTTTGGTCCATTTGCTTTGGAAATGATTCCATGGTGAATTTTAATCAATTTTAGTCTATTGTTTTGACAGAAGTTATATTATAAAAATTTTTTAGTATTAAAAAATAAGCCCAAAAAAAAGCCAAAAAGTACACCAAAATAAATAGGCCCAAAAAATAGGAACAAGCAATAGACCAACAAAAAATAGGCCAAAATAGATAGGTAAAAAAACAAATAGGTGGACAAAAACAAATATGTGAAAAAAGGAACAAAAAATAGGCAAAAAAAATAGGTTAAGAAAAAAATTATTATGAAATAGGGGGGTTTGAAGGGACCGTTTGGTCATCTCAAAATCTCAGTTATCTCATTTATTAAGATATTTATAATGTATAAGTTGCTTTCTATTTCTTCGAGTTTGTTATCGATATCATTAGTAATGATGCTCATTTGAATAAGCAAGCCTCACTCGCTTTCTGTTTTTATGTTTTCAAGCTCTTTTAAATTCTTTCTGATCTCCATTATTATAGAGGAAAAATTGTTTTACTGTTTTAACTGAGTTTAGTGTAATAATCACTCTTGATTTCCTACTGACGATTTCTTGAATTAGAGTTCCTTTGTATTTAAAATGCATTTAATCCTAGCTATTAAAATTATTATTAAGATAAGTCCAGCTATTAAAAAATACCATTTGGAGATCTATATTAAATTAGATTTTGAAAGCAGATGCTGTAAAAGCTCTGCTGTTTGGAAAAGCATGTTACACAAGTATTTATCAAATTTTGATATAAATCGATTTATTATTACCAATTTTCAGGGGTATGTTAAGCTAGTATTGATTGACGAAGATAAACTTATAGTAATAAAAGCTGTACTGAAAACTGAATTTAAAATAGTTAATTCAATATATGTTTAAAAATAATACATTTTATAAATATAACATAGACCATGCTTAATAATTTTAGATATGATCTTCATTGTTTACATTGCTTTTATTATTATAATTGCTCCAAGCTAATGTCTGATTAAATGTATTAATTATTTCCCTCACCATTATTGATATCAAGCAGCATTAACCTCAAGCTCACTGCCTTATCAGAATTTTCACCTTCCTCAATCACTCTATCCAGCACCCTAATCAGCCTATTTCTTTCCTCACTCCCCACAATATTTTTATCTTTTCCAAAATATTCAGTCAGCCCTTCAAGTACAACTTTCTGTGATGCTTTCATTTTATCTACCAAACTTATCATTTCTCCAATCAACCCTATTTGGGCTACTCTTCTAGCTTGCTCTGCATCGCAAACTGTAGCTGTATTTCCTATTACCCAAATTGCTTCCTTTTTAACGTCTTCACTATCTTCTTTTAATACCTTCAATAATTTCTCATAAACTTTTCTTTCTAACAGCCCTTCAACAGCTTCTTTTTTTTCTGCACAAATATTTGACAGCATTCAGCAGATTTCTTTTCTTACGTTTTTTTTGGGACATAAAATTAATTCGTCTATTTTATCTAAAAACCCAAGTCTGAACATAATTTCGTAGGAATTTGGTAATGATGATGAAATATTGCCAAGTGTCCGGAGAGAAGAAATTTGTAAAGAAGCATTATTACTAGAGAGCTGCTGGATTATTTTTTCTAAAAATGTACTGTGCTGGGATATTTAGAGCGATTTATATAATTGATTTTACTATTTTTTAATAAAATAAGGAATTATAATGATGTAGTTAAAAGCTAATGAGTTTAGGAAGGAGTAATTCATTTTTGAAAATTGGTAAACTTCCATCTATATCTGTAAGATATGAGCATCCCCAGGTTGCATCTGTAAGGGCTTCTACATCATGAATTCCCAGGATGACTCTTTCTAGAAATGAAAATAAAGGTATCACCTTGTCGAGTTTGGGCTGAGGCTTTCCTCTTATGAAGTTTGATACTACTCATGACAGCGTCCTTATTACGCTCTGCTTTTGAAAGTCGACTTCAGCCAAAAACTCATAAACATAATTGAATTTTTCGTGGTTTAAAATTGTATCTCTGCATTTAGCAGAATCTCCAGCGACATTTCCAAAAGCCCACATCACCTGTTCTTTAATATCATAATTATTTTTCTTAAAAACAGTAAACAAAAAAGGCAGCACACCAAGTTTTAGCAAATAAGAGCCCTGTTCTGAGCTTCCTGACAAAATATTTGTATTCTCCTTAACAGGAATAGCCTAGTTTCATCATTTAGCCTTAATTTAATTACAGAGAATATAGGATTATGAATTTAGGCACCGTAAATTTATTTTATTAAAAAAATTTAAATAGTCATGTAGCTTCAAATAAAAATTTATCGTCATCTTTTTCGTATGCCAAGGAAATTATATGTTGGCAAATCCCTGTTTTGATGACATCGTCTATAGGTGGGTTATCAACTTTAGAAAGGGATTTTCTAAGAAACTGTAAACCTTCAAATTGGAGCACTGAGTTATTTGAGTGGATTTTGTTAGCGGCAGCTAAGATTGGTTGGTCTTCAATTTGGATATCAGTATGAGATGTGACTGCTAGGTTGGCAGGAGCTGCTGCTGGGTTTGGGCTTTGACTATCAGGGGCTTGAATATTATCATTAGAAATAGCAGAAGCGATTGGGCTATTTTCTTGATTGGCTGGATCGTTGTAGTTCTGTATTTCTTCCATTTATTAAAAATTATATTAATTTTAAAGGTAAGTAGAATTTAATTCATGTTATTGGGTAAGCAAATAAACAAAGGAATAAAAATTATGAAATTTGAAAGGCTTGTGGAATCTTTAGAATGCATTGGTGAAGCAATTAAGATTGATTCAATGAATTCTGAGTTACAAAATAGAAAAGGATAATTCATTTCTATCTTGGAAGTCAATATTCTCCACATACCAAAAATGGCCCCACACGTGGGTTCAATTCCCGTGTGGGGCCTTTTTTTGAATTGCCGAGGATGGCGCAAAATAGCGCCATCCTCGGGCAATTTCTATATCAAAATATGGAAAAGCTATACCCCCTTTAAATTGGAATGAAAAATTCTGTCCCATTTTAAAATGAGTATTTTTTTTAAAATTTTCTCTTTAAAATTTAATATATTATTTTTATTTTACGAAGAACTGAGGCTAAAATTAATTTTATAAAAAGTTTTATTTTCCACATATAAAATTTTCCTAATTTAAAGGGGAGTTAAAGTACTAAAAAATGGAAATTTTACACAGATATTTTGTTTAAATTTAAAGGAGGAGCTATTATTATAGACTATTAAACAAATCCTCTGCCTAAATTTACGGAAACACAGAAACAAGACCTATCCTTATCAAGTGATGGAGATCAAATCTAAGATTAATAAAAAATAATGGCTTTTTTCCAACCACTTTAAACAGAATGCAGCTTATCCAATTCTCTCTTATTAGATACTTTAGTGCGAAATAATCTACTATATGATTTCAGTTTATGATATAGGTTTACTATTTCAACTCAAATCTTGCTCTGCAATTAAAATAATTCATTTTGTATAGACTTTCAAGGTTGTCATTAATTCGAAAATAGATCCCTCATAATAAGAGAAAAATCTGTAATTGGAAATAATCAATTCATGCATAGGCTAGATGCATATTAAATTATAAGCACTTCTTTAACAGATTAAAAAAATTGAACCTTGCAAAAATAATTTCATAATTTACTATAGAAATATACACTTGGTTAAAAGAAAATAAAGCAAATTTATAGCAATTATGGAGAGATTTCTCTTTTTCTTGAAAACTCAAAACTTTACCTTTAAAATTATATGTAAAAATTGATAGAAGAGCACCCCTATTAGTATAATTTCAACTTCACCCCTTTTCAGATAAGCAAAAGATGAAATAGAATAAAATTTTGAGCGAAAGAAAATGAAGCTATAAGGAAAAGAATAAATGATAAAGGCTAGAAAGAAATAAAATATTAGAAATGCCCGCTATGTCATCAAAAGTCACTGATTAGTTAAGAAAATAATTAAATATAGATATTGCTAATTAAATATTAAGGAATTGCTGAATATCTATTTTATTCGCCTCTTCTTCACTAAATTCCCTCCGAACAAAACCATTGGAGAAATTCCTATTTTTGGATAAAAACCTACCGTCCTTGGCAAATTTTTTTGTTCGCTCACGTTTTTATACGGATTTGAGCACTATTTAAAGTTGTATTAATAAAATAAAGTAATGAACAAATTTTTTCTTGCAGCTTTATATTTTCAATTCTATAGGTAAATTGAATGCTGCAATAATAATTTAGCTGAAAATCATTAATTATTATAGTCTTTTCTTAAATCCTTTGTGCCTATGGTTGATAATTATTTCAATATTCTAAATTATCTGGAATATAAATGCTGAGGCTTAGGTTTTTTGCCAAAGGATTCTTTCGATCGTTTTCAGAATTTTCAAATCACTACAACATAGGAAAAGCTCGGATAGATCTAAAACTTGCAAGTGCTAAAAGTTTAGAGTCATTTATAAACGATATAGACGTGTCCAAAACTTCTCATTCAATGCTTGCATACACACTTCAAATTGTTGATATGCAAAATCAAAGATCTGGCTCAGAAGCATGAAACAAGTTAAAAAAAATTAAAAACGAAGTTGAAGAGAACCTTGAAAAGCTTGATTCTCAAGGTATCGTCAATTTTTGTGAGTGAATTGCAAGCTCTTATAGATTTACCACAGAAGTATCTCTAACAAAAGAGAAAAAGAAAATATTAATTGATTGCGTAAATAAGCATTTAATTAGTCGCTCTTTTGACCGGAAACAAATTTTATCGATCTATGAAAATTTGGTGCCTAAAGGGTTTAAAATGGAAGAACTAGAAAATGAGGTTAAAAAAATGGCTGGGAGTAAATTAAATTTGGAAGAAATTTCAAAAATTTTAACTGGAACTGGAAGATTTATTTATACTTCAAAGAGAAGCTTATTTTTCGCTTGCATGAAAAGAATCCTTCAACTAAATAAAGAAGAACTTGATGGAAGACACTTAGCCAAAATTTTAGACGCTTTAGCTATTAAACAGCCTACAAGCATACAGATATATTTTTCAGATTTTTTAAAATTGATTGAAGATAGTTTACCTAGATGGGAAGAAAATGATTTATTATCAGTAATCAAGTTCTATAAGAATAATACAGATGGCTATAAGGGTCTATACCAAAGTGCACTAAAAAGACTGAATATCTTGCTTAGTAATAATCAATCCATAGAATTTATAATTGAATTGACAACTCTTTTAAAAAATTCACCAAAAAATTGTTTTATCGCTGATGAAATAGTTTTAAAAAGCATACTAATAATTAAGGAAAAATTGTCGAAAGAGTCAATAGACTCAGAAAATATAATAAAAATACTTAGGCTTATAGGCCCAAATATTGATTATCAGACTGCACTTACATTAGCACACCAAATAAATAGTAAAACCCTTTATTTAAATGAACTCATGCAAATATTTGAAAAAGCATCATGATTATGTATTAGCAAAGAAGGAAAACTTTTCCCTTTTGCAAATTTAATTTCAAATAAAATTAGCTATAAAAAAATTGAAGATATTGGGTGTCATTACAAAATAGATGTATTATTCAGCATTATTCATACAAATAATTATGAGCTATATGGCCTGCAAAAAATAAAAGATTTACTTATAGATGACTTAAGAGAGTGAATTACTTTAAGTGATGACAATACTAAACTTTTTATTAGTATTGCTAGCAGAAAGGAATATAGTTCAAAGTTCTATAGAGCAATAAAACCTTTGCAAGCCACAGCTTTTCGCTCATTAATAAGATTATCGAAGGAATGCAATTCCTTATTTTTTTCGATTTTGCTTTATGAGTGTGATCCAGAAAAATGAAAAGACTTTGTGATTGAAAATAAAAATAACTTTTCATTTGAAGATATCTTAAGCACAATAAGATTTTATAAAGGACCTTTTGAGGCAATTATATTTTTACTAGAAAAGTATAAAAATAAGTTATCTCCGTGATGGATAGGTGCTGCCATGGATAGAATTGTTGAAGTGAAAAATGTTCAAATTCTAAATGATTTTGCCCGTATTTTAAACAAAATAGACCCTCATTACTTATTATATGAAAAAAATATCATCATTAGAATTGATAAATTTAATCATCTTTTTTTGCATTCCGACTTTAGTTTACTGACAGATTTATTTGCTGGCGCATTAAAATTACTAAAAGACCTTCCTATTGATTCTATCTTTAGCAATCGAAATATCTTAATACTCAGCTTTGCTTCAATGCTTGGCAAGCTAGAACCGGAAATTGCTGATTCTGTTTTATCTAACTATTCTTATATGAATGATATTGATCAATGAAACATGCTGACTATTTCTTCAAAATGTACCGATATGAAGCTGAGAAAAAATATAATCGACAAAGTTTTCAACAAGTTCCATGAGAAATTGAATCATACTGCTCTTCCTCAGATTATCAAACGATACTGATATCATCCAAAAACGGAAATTGATAATTATATTATAGATGCATTAAAAAAAATTGTTCCACTTTTAGGAAAATACGGTCTCTGAGCTATGGCAGATGTAATTTACAAGCTTTCCCAAGTGAATATAAATGATCATTTAGAGTTATATAATGCAATATCATCCCTATTAAAAGAATTGGTTTTAAAAAATGTTGGAAAAATACTATTCGCAGAGTTTGATATATTGCTGGGTTTAGCTCATAATAATATGCCCATGGATCTTAATTTTGCTCAAATAATATCGGAGAACACTAGGAATTATAAATTATATGATAGTGAGAACAAAAGAGAAAAGCTCATTGAAAAAATAAAAACAGTAGGATTATCTGACAAAAATGCAGTTTTAGCAGTTTGTAATAAGCATGATAATTTTAGAACAGCTTATTTAGCAGAAACTATTTCATGTTTGGCAGAATTAAGATTTGAAAAAGAGGCATGGGCTAACCATATGGCTAATGAATTAATGGATTATGTAGAAGATAAAAAGATATCCTTTGAAAATGATAAAGAGCACATCAACTGGATATATGGGCTTGTTGCTTTTAAAGCTAGTAAATCAGAAATTATGAGACATATAGAAAACAGTAAATATTTTGAATGCGAGTCGCCAACTTTTAAGCACTTTTTACTTGAAAATCATTTTAGCATGGATCCAAATTACAAAGAAATTAGGATACTCAACCAAGAAACTCAGAAATATTGGCAGGATTTTGACTATTTTAAATATTTTGGAATAGAAAAGACACTCATCAGTCGTATTGAATCATCGTCCAGTAAAGCTAATCTTGAAGTAAAAGCTGGGGCGTTTATTGATGGGATATGGATGCCTTTTTACATTCCACTTAAAAATACAGCTTTATGGCCAGTGACAAATTCGGTTCTTTTATATCGCTCAAATCTTTTAAAGGGAGAATTTCTAATGCACCGAAATCAAATTATTAGAAAGGTAAATGATTTGAGAATTCTTAGTAAGGAAGAGACGAATAAGATAGGAGAAATAGATATAAAGCAATTTCTTAAGATTTAACATCATGATAAGAATTATCAATACTAATTTCTTTCATCAGCGATACTTCAAGTGCTCATTCTATTTATGGCTTCTCTCTTTTTCTGTCTTCACCACTAATTATCTTTCTTCTACGGTTAATTTAATTTATCTTTATTTCTTGCTACCCCATTTTTTAAAATGGAAGAAGGCAACATAAGCCACCTTTAAATTCTGCTTTTATAGAGCGAAGAAAAACCCTACTAGATTTGATTCATCATTTATTCCCTTTTTAATGGAGTGCAGATCAAAAGCAGGTCAGCCTTAGACCCACAAAAGGATAAGAATATCCACATCCTTGGCTTTAGCAAGGGTGGTTTCTGTTATAGCTTTAGAGCTCCCATAACAAGTCCAAGGATTGAGAAAATACAGAATTTGCTAAATATTCATTGAAATTTATTTATCTAAATCTGTAGAGTATTCTTTTCTCAATTAAATCGAGCTGAGCACCAAAGAAGAAAAGGAGGCTATAATTTGGCCTGACATCATACAGTTAATATGGAGTAAGTAGAGAAGTGCGGAGATGCTGTGAGAAACTGGTGCTGAGAGAGACGATCTATATTGGAGTTTAGGTAGATGATTTATTTAAATTTTTGAAAGTGGAATACTCACCTATACCTGGTGGGATTTGGATGAATAACTGAAGTATTTTATTTTAATCCTGGTTATTAAATTATTAATAATATAGGCTCAGCTTTAAACAATATCTATATTAAATTAGATTTTAGAAGTAGATGCTGTAAAAGCTCTGCTGTTTTTAAAAGCAGGTTATCAACTATCAAATTTGATATAAATCGATTTTTATTATTATCAATTTTCAGAATTGATTGACGAATATAAACTTATCGTAATGAAAGCTGCATTGAAAACTGGATTTAAAATATATAAATTCAATATATGTTTAATGGTGTACTAAATAAAAGGTAAAGATTTGATTATATTACAGATTTTCATAATAAATCGAACCCTTTTTGTATTTTAATCTGCTAACTCCTCATTTACATAGTCAAGATCTTATTTGAGAGTTAAGTTCAAACTATCAATATTTGAACCTGTTAATTGTTTTAAGCTATTAATAAAGTGTATCTCTTACTTATTTTTTTGATAGCTCAATTGGTTTCACCATCAGCATTTTCATGCTTTATTTTATTTGCTTCTTTAGCCAACTTCTAATTCATGTGGAAGCTTTCTTCATGAACTGTTTAAAAAATCAATTTCCAAAATCCTTTCAATCTTACGTTGCATTCAGGGTAAATTAATAAATATGAGCTATAATTTATTTATTTTGATTGATAAAGAAATTAATATATAGATAGGAAAAGGTATTGATTATAAAGAAATAATAGAGGAGAGGCCATAGATTTAGCAATAAATTAAAGGAGCTCATAATATTTTTTCACCAATGAGTATATACTAATTGACCAAGAATAGCCCACTATGGAGCCATTCTTGGTCTGCCAGAAAAAATTTTGACAAAAAGATCCTAATCTGCCATTACCACTGAGTTTTGGTGTTTCCAAATTTTTTGGGCAAGCCAAATGCAATAAAAAAAATTGTTTCTTTTGCGATGATGCATTGGCTTGTCAAAAAAATTTGGCAACATCAAAACTCAGTGGTAATGGCCAAAAAGATCCTAATCTGCCCATTACCGCTGAGTTTTGGTGTTTCCAAATTTTTTTGACAAGCCAAATGCATCATCGCAAAAGAACAATTTTTTTTATTGCATTTGGCTTGCCCAAAAAATTTTGGAAAACACCAAAACTCAGTGGTAATGGCAGATTAGGATCTTTTTATCAAAATTTTTTTTGGCAGACCAAGAATGGCTCCTTAGTGGGTTATTCTTGGTCAATTAGTATAAGTGCTCTGTGCTATTTTAAATAGTTTTGCGATATCATTTTGTAAATTTAGTATAAACCTTAATAATTTAGATATGATCCTTGTTTACATTCCTACTATTATAATTGCTCCAAGCTAATATCTGATTAAATGTATTAATTATTTTCATTATTGATATCAAGCAGCATTAGCACCAAGCTCATTGCCTTATCAGAATTTTCACCTTCCCCAATCATTCTATTCAACACCCTAATCAGCCTAATTCTGTCCTCACTCCCCACAATATTTTTATCTTTTTCAAAATATTCAGTCAGCCCTTCAAGTATAACTTTCTGTGACGCTTTCATTTTATCTACCAAACTTATCATTTCTCCAATCAACCCTATTTGGGCCACCCTTCTAGCTTGATTTGCATCGCAAACTGTGGCTGTTTTCCCTATTAATAATATAGCTTCCTTTTTAACGTCTTCACAATCTTTTTTTAATATCTTCAACAATTTCTCATAAACTTTTCTTTCTAATAGCCCTTCAACAGCTTTTTTTTCTGCACAAATTTTTGACAGCATTCAGCAAATAATTAAAATATGGCGTTTTCACCCTAGCATGGCCTCCGGCCATGCAGCTTCCGAACACATATTTAAATTATATCCGGCAAGGTTTTGCCATTCTGGAAATATAGAAATTGCCCGAGGATGGCGCAAAATAGCGCCATCCTCGGGCAATTTCTATAAGAATATATGCCAAATAAGCAATTCTGCATGGCAGAGCCTGACCAATGCTCAGCATCTGGGATAGATTTTATCTCGTGAGGAAGGAAGTCACAGAGGCTGGAAAGGGGAAGCCCAGCAAAGTCCCTAGTGTGAAACTGGGCCTTATGTCCCAGGTCATGTGCTCCCCCTTTTTGCCGAGAGTCGGTCAAAAAACTCATTTTTTGAGAAATCGCTCACTCATGAGCCGTTGAATTCGGTGACGTCACCTAGAGGTAAGTGATGCGCTGGGCGGTCGAACCTGGAGGCTGTGCTTTCAGATCCCTATGTGTCAAGAGGTGGCCGTGGTCTTCAGAATGCCTACCCCGTGGGGGACGTTAAACGTGATATCTAATTAAGTAAGTAAGACAGCATTCAGCAGATTTCTTTTTTTACACGTTTTTTTGGACTTAATATTAATTCGTCAATTTTATCTAAAAGTCCAAGTCTGAACATAATATCGTAGGAATTGGGTAATGATGATAAAATATTGCCAAGTGTCCGGAGAGAAGAAACTTGTAAAGAAGCATTATTACTGGAGAGCTGCCGGATTATTCTTCCTAAAAATGTACTGTGCTGGGATATTTAGAGCGATCTATATAATTGATTTTACTATTTTTTAATGAAATAAGGAATTATAATGATGTAGCTAAAATAGAGTTAATTTAGGACGGAGTAATTCATTTTGGAAAATTGGTAAACTTCCATCTATATCTGTAAGATAGGAGCATCCCCAAGTTGCATCTGTAACGGATTCTTCATCAAATATCGCTAAAATGACTCTTTCTAAAAATGAAAATAAAGGTATCACCTTGTCGAGTTTGGGCTGAGGCTTTCCTCTTATGAAGTTTGATACTGCTCATGACAGCGTTTTTATCAATCTTGGCCTATAAACGTTCATTCCAGCCAAAAACTCATAAACATAATTGATTTTTTCGTGATTTAAAATTGTATCTCTGAATTCAGCTGATTTTCCAGCGATATTTCCAAAAGCCCACATCACCTGCTCTTTAATATATAAATTATTTTTCTTAAAAACAGTAAACAAAAAAGGTATCACGTCAAGATTTAGCAAATAAGAGCACTGCTCTAAGCTTCCTGACAAAATATTTATATTCTCCTTAACAGAATTAGCTTAGTTTCATTTTTTAGCCTTAATTTAATTACACAAAAAAATATAGGATTATGAGTTTTAGGCATCGTAAAATAATTTTATTAAAAAATTTAAATAGTCATGCGGCTTCAAATAAAAATGCATCGACATCTTGTTCGTATGCTAAGGAAATGATATGTTGGCAGATCCCTGCTTTGATGACATAGTCTATAGGCGCGTTATCAACTTCAGATAGGGATTGTCTGAGAAACTGTAAACCTTCAAATTGGAGCTCTGAGTTGTTTGACCGGATTTTGTTAGCGGCAGCTAAGATTTGCTGGTCTTCAATTTGGATATTAGTGTGAGATGTGACTGCTAGGTTGACAGGAGCTGCTGGTTTGGGCTTTGAATGCCAGGGGCTTGAATATTATCATTAGAAATAGCAAAAGCGAGTGGGCTATTTTCTTGATTTGCTGGATCGTTGATGTTCTGTACATTTCTGAAGCTTTCTTCCATTTATTAAAAACTATATTAATTTTAAAGGTAAATTGGTATTGAGGTATTTAAGATATATCATATTATTGAGTAAGCAACTAAACAAAGGAAAGGCTTGACTAATCTTTAGAATAATTTGGTGAAGTAATTAAGATTGATCTAATGAACTCTGAGTTACAAAATGGAAAATAAATTGATTAATTCTTTTCAATCAAAATATGAAAAAACTAGGCATTATTATAGATATTAAACAAATCCTCTGCCACGAGAGCATTGAAGCAAGACCTCATCCCTTATCAAGCGATTGAGATCAGTCAAATCAAAATGGTAATAATCCAATTCTTTCTTATTAGATATTTTAGTGCTAAATAATCTATTATATGATTGCAATTTATGATGTAGGTGTAATATTTAAACTCAAATTTTGCTCTGTAATTAAAATAATTCTTTTTAGATGGTCTGTTAAAGTTGTCATTAATTCGAAAAAATTAAAAAGCTTCCTCATAATAAGAGGAAAAGCTGTAATTAAAAATAAGCAATTTATTTATAAGCGATAAGCAGTTAGATTTATAGTACATTATTCGCAATTCTTTAATAATTAAAAAAATTGAATTTTACAATAATTTCATAATTGACTATAGAAATATGCATTTGGTTCAAAGAAAATTAAACAAATTTATAGTAATTATGGAGCGATGCTCTCTTTTTCTTGAAAACTCAAAACTTTCCTTTAAAATTTTATGTAAAAAATTGATAGAAAAACATCCCTATCAGTATGAGTTCAACTTCATCCCCTTGTCAGATAAGCAAAATCATATAGAATACCATTTTGAGTGAAAGAAAATAAATTTATAAGGAGAAGAATAAATGATGAAGGCAAGAAAGAAGAGTAAAAGAAATAAAATAATATTACAAATGCTCTCTGTGCCATCAAAACGTCACTAACCAATTAAGAAAATAATTAAATATAGATGCAAAAAATATAATATTGCTAAACTGAAATTAAATATTAAGAAATTGCTTCATGTCTATTTTATTCGCCTCTTTTCACTAAGGATTTTCAAATTTTTTATTTTTTTAAGAATTTGGTTTCGGTACATAAAAAATTCTTCTCTTTCTATATTTGATTGATATAAAAGGACCGAATTTGTCACTGGCCATAAAGCTGCCTTTTAGCTTGGAATGTAAAAAGGTATCCAAATCTTGTCAAAAAATGTTCCAATTTGTATTTCAAGATTAGCCTTATTGAACGATGATTCAATAAGTTTGATAAGTGGCTTATGGATTCCAAAATGCTTAAAATAGTCAAAATCCTGTCAATATTTGTGTATCTCTTGATTGAGAAATCTCACTCCATTGTAATCTGGGTCTATGCTGAAGTGATTCTCGAGTAAAAAATGCTTAAAAGTCGGCAATTCGCAGTCAAAATACTTACTGTTTTCTATATGCCTCATGATTTCTGATTTATTAGCTTTAAAAGCAATAAGCCCATATATCCAGTTGATGTGCTCTTTATCATTTTCAAAGGAAATTTTTTTATCTTGCGTAATCCATTAATCCTTAACCATTTGGTTAGCCCATACCTCTTTTTCAAATCTTAATTCTGCCAAACATGAAATGGTTTCTGCTAAATAAACTGTTCTAAAATTATTTTTCTTATTACAAACTGCTAAGACTGCATTTTTGTCAGATAATCCTACTGTTTTTATTTTTTCAATGAGCTGCTCTCTTTTGTTCTCATTATTAGCCAATTTATTATTCATTTGATTTTGACAGATTATTTGAGCAAAATTAAGATCGGTGAGCATATTCTTATGAGCTAAATCCAGCAATTTATCACAATCTGTGAATGATAATTTTCCAACATTATTTAAAGCCAATTCTTTGAATAAGGATGATATTGCATTATATAGCTCTAAATGATCATTTATATTCACTTGGGAAAGCCTGCTAATTACTTCTGCCATAATTCAGACACCGTTTTTTCCTAAAAGTGGAACAATTTTTTTTAATTCATCTATAATATAATTATCAATCTCTGTTTTTGGATGATATCAGTATCTATTGATAACAGAAGGAAGACCATGAAAATCTAATTTTTCATGGATCTTGCTGAAAACTTTATTGATTATATCTTTCCTCAGCTTCAAATCAGTACATTGTGAAGAAATAATCAACATGTCTCTTTGATCAAAATCCGTCATATAACCATAGTTAGATAAAACTGAATCAGCCGTTTCCGGTTCTAGCTTGCCAAGCAGTGAAACCAAGCTGAGTTAGATCAGGCTAAGCTATTGCGCCTTACAAATTTTGAAGATGGGTTGTTCAAACTTATGCATCACTTTTGCTGAATTGAGTTAAGCAGCGTGCACAAGTGCTATTCCCGGTGATCATTGTGGAGTTTCATCTTACTGGAGAAAGCTGCGCCTGAATCTTGCTGGTAGGTATTGTGGAAATGTCTACTTTAGACATCTTTCCTTTTCTTTATTTTCTTAATTCCTATAGCTTTATTAGAATGCATTTAGTTGAGAATAGATAGTATTCTTGGATTTTCAGAAATGCATTTATTCATTCTTCTCGATAATGGTCATTTAGCTCTCAAGTTAAGGATTGCCACTCAGTTGATTAATAGAATATATTGGGTGATTTGTATCTGCAATTTCTATAATTACAACAAAAATGCCCATGATAAAGGAGCAGCTTTCTTAAGCAAAATGAAAATCCACAATGAATAATTGGAATAGTACTTGTGAAAGCTGTTTAACTCCGATTCAGCTTAGTGATGTATAAGTTTAGCACTATTATTTGGCTCCTCTCCTGAGGCAAACCAAGCCAATGTTCAAAATTTTTAAGGTACAATAATTAATCATTCAATACTCCATAATAAAATCTTATCTAAGACGGAACCTCGAAGAATGCCCGCTTGAATCTGACTCCCCCCCCTTTAAATTGGAACAAAATATAGGTAAAATTTCCACTTTTTTGGTAAATTAACCCCCCTTTAAATTGGAACAAAATTTAATTTTATAATAAAAAATTTTATATATATAAATCATAATTTTTATGTAAAAAGTTTTGATATAATTTAAATGTTTCTTCTTAACTAAAATTTAAAATTTAGTTTTATCCTGCTCTTGTTTATAGAATAGAGTATAAACAGCATTTTATTTAAATAAATTTATTATCCCTTAATTGTAAATTTTTTAAAAAAATTTAATTTTTTTTTTTTAAAATATTTTCGAAAAAAATTTTATTTTTTTTGATAAAAATGATATTTTTTATTTAAATAACTTTGATATAAATTCAATGCGAATTCTTTACAAAAATTGAAAATTTACTTATTTCTTGCTTTATTTTAAAGAATAGAGTATAAATAACATCTTATTTAAACAAAATTAGCACTTTGATTAATAAATTTTCTATAATTTTTTTTTTATCAATAAAAATAATAATTTTTGTGTAAATAGTTTTGATGCCAATTAATAGTGGTGTATTAATTAATAATAAAATTTTAGTTATATCTTGCTTTATTTTAAAGGATAAAGAGTAAATAGCATTTTATTAAACAAATTTATTAATCTAATTCGATAAATTTTTGAAATTTTTTTTTTTTATAAAAAATTTTATAATGATTTTTTTTTTAAAAAAAATTTTCTTAACCCCCCTTTAAATTGGAAACAAAATTTTTAGTTCCAATTTAAAGGGGGGGGGAGTGAGCTAAATTCCTTACATTCAGCATTTCTATCAGAAATAGTTCTCAATCGGCTTTTATCCTGGCTAACTAGCTTTCTCGAAATATTGAAGTATACATTTAAGGGACTATTGAGATAACAAAAATTTTCATTTTCATGGACGCAAAGCACAACTGAAGAGCAAATAATTATTACCCATTAACTCAATTTCCTACTAAGCTTGTCTTTAGGCACATCAAGTCCTAAAGCTCTGAATGGGTTGCAAACGGCTTTCACATCACCATTTTATTTGTGCGGCACCCAAGCTGGGTATTTTGATATTTGAATTGCTAAAGACAGAATGAATAGGCAAGTCCTTTACTCTCCCTTTAGTAAGGGAATAAAACCATTAGAAAAATCCCTATTTTTTGCCTAAAAGCCTATCCTCAGTGAGCGAACAAAATGGTTTTAATATAAAAATATTTTATAAAAAAAAAGTTTGATGTATGAGTAATAATTATTATAATGAAATCTCAAGTTAATTCTGTTTAATTTTAAAATTTGCATTTTAATACATAAATATCGTAAATAAATTAATTTTTATTTCTCAATTTTTACAAATTGGAATTTTTTTTAAATTTTAAAAAAAGCAATTTCTAGAAAATTTCTATATAATTTTTTTGTTCGCTCACAGTGGGGAGAGTTAGCAAGTTAAATGCACCAGTAAATAAATCTGTCAGTAAACTATAGTCAGAATCTACAAAAAGACAATAAAGTTTATCAATTCTCCTATAAATATTATGATCATTTAATAAATAATGAGGGTCTATTTTGTTTAGAATACGAGCAAAATCATTTAGTATTTGAATATTTTCCACTTCAGGAAGTCTATCCATGGCTGCGCCTATCCATTCCGGAGATAATTTATTTTTATATGTTTCTAGTAAAAATATGATTGCCTCAAAAGGTGCTTTATAATATCTTATTGCTCTTAAGATACCTTTAAATGAAAATTTATTTTTATTTTCAATCACAAATTCTTTTCATAATTCAGGATCAGACTCATAAAACATAAGTGAATAATATAAATATTTAGGTTCCGTAGATAATCTTTTAAATAAGCGAAAGGCTATGGCTTGCAAAGGTTTTATTGCTCTATAGAACTTTGAACTATATTCCTTTCTGTTAGCAGTACTAATAAAAAGTTTAGTATTGGAATCACTTAAAGTAATTCACTCTTTTAGATCATTTATAAGATAATCTTTTATTTTTTGCAGGCCATATAGCTCATAATTATTTGTATGGATAATGCTGAGTAATACATCTATTTTGTTAGAGCACCCATTAATTCTTTTATAGTTAATTTCATTTGAAATTAAACTTTCAAAGGGAAAAGTTTTCCTTCTATGTTAACACATATTCATGATGCTTTTTCAAATATTTCCATGCATTTTTCAAAATTAATGTTTTTACTATTTATTTGGTGTGCTAATTTAAGTGCAGTCTGACCATCAATATTCGGGCCTATAAGCCTAAGTATTTTTTTTATAATTTCTGAGTCTATTGATTCTTTTGACAACTTTTCCTTAATTATTTGCAAAGCTTTTAAAACTATTTCATCAACAATAACAAAAACTTTTGTTTCATTTTTTAAAAGAGTAGTCAATTCAATTATAAATTGTATTAACGTATATGCTATTTTTATTTTAATTTATCATAATTTTGATAAATAACAAATATTTCAATTTTAATATTTTTTTTCTAGTTATTATTTTTCTCAAATTATTCTCTTGCTTATATTTTACATGATACCTAGTTTTCGACATTTTTTTCACCTATCCTTTTTTTGGAAAAAAAAGGCCAAAAAGATGTATTTTATGAATGAACCATCTGCTCACTCTTTCAGCAATTTTCACATGTTGGTGCTGATTCACTAGTAATTTTTTAATTTCTTTTTTATGAGCAGCATCTAGCTGTATATTCATCTAGTCTTTTTAATAGCTAAAGTATCTAAAATTTTGGCTAAGTGTCTTCCATCAAGTTCTTCTTTATTTAGTTGAAGGATTCTTTCCATGCATTCGATAAATAAACTTTTCTTTAAAGTATAGATAAATTTTCCTCTTCCAGTGAAATTTCTTCCAAATTTAATTTACCCCTAGCAATTTTTTCGGTTAAATATCTTTTATTCAAGGAAATTCTTCTTGCAGAAATTTTACTCTCTATTTGACCGAAAATTTGTATTTCCAGTTGTTTGGCTAAAAACGCTGTCATGAGCAGTATCAAACTTCATAAGAGGAAAGCCTCAGCCCAAACTCGACAAGGTGATACCTTTATTTTCATTTTTAGAAAAAGTCATTGTGGCGATATTTGATGAAGAATCCGTTACAGATGCAACTTGGGGATGCTCCTATCTTACAGATATAGATGGAAGTTTACCAATTTTCCAAAATGAATTACTCCGTCCTAAATTAACTCTATTTTAGCTACATCATTATAATTCCTTATTTCATTAAAAAATAGTAAAATTAATTATATAGATCGCTCTAAATATCCCAGCACAGTACATTTTTAGGAAGAATAATCCGGCAGCTCTCCAGTAATAATGCTTCTTTACAAGTTTCTTCTCTCCGGACACTTGGCAATATTTTATCATCATTACCCAATTCCTACGATATTATGTTCAGACTTGGACTTTTAGATAAAATTGACGAATTAATATTAAGTCCCAAAAAACGTGTAAAAAAAGAAATCTGCTGAATGCTGTCTTACTTAGTTAATTAGATATCACGTTTAACGTCCCCCACGGGGTAGGCATTCTGAAGACCACGGCCACCTCTTGACACATAGGGATCTGAAAGCACAGCCTCCAGGTTCGACCGCCCAGCGCATCACGTACCTTCAGGTGACTTCACCGACTTCGACAACTCATGAGTGAGCGATTTCTCAAAAAATGAATTTTTTGGCCGACTCTCGGCAAAAAGGGGGAGCACATAACCTGGGACGTAACGCCCAGTTTCACACTAGGGACTTTGCTGGGCTTCCCCTTTCCAGCCTCTGTGTTTTCCTTCCTCACGAGATAAAATCTATCCCAGATGCTGAGCATTGGTCAGGCTCTGCCATGCATAATTGCTTATTTGGCATATATTCTTATAGAAATTGCCCGAGGATGGCGCTATTTTGCGCCATCCTCGGGCAATTTCTATATTTCCAGAATGGCAAAACCTTGCCGGATATAATTTAAATATATGAGTTCGGAAGCTGCATGGCCGGAGGCCATGCTAGGTGAAAACGCCATATTTTAATTATTTGCTGAATGCTGTCAAAAATTTGTACAGAAAAAAAAGCTGTTGAAGGGCTATTAGAAAGAAAAGTTTATGAGAAATTGTTGAAGATATTAAAAAAAGATTGTGAAGACGTTAAAAAGGACGCTATATTATTAATAGGAAAAACAGCCACAGTTTGCGATGCAGATCAAGCTAGAAGGGTGGCCCAAATAGGGTTGATTGGAGAAATGATAAGTTTGGTAGATAAAATGAAAGCATCACAGAAAGTTATACTTGAAGGGCTGACTGAATATTTTGAAAAAGATAAAAATATTGTGGGGAGTGAGGACAGAATTAGGCTGATTAGGGTGTTGAATAGAATGATTGGGGAAGGTGAAAATTCTGATAAGGCAATGAGCTTGGTGCTAATGCTGCTTGATATCAATAATGAAAATAATTATAGAAATTTCCCATAGATGGCGCTGTTGCCCCTTGATTTGCCCATGAGAAAAATTTTTTGGTTTGACCAAACCATATGGGGCTGGTCGAACCAAAAAATTTCCCCAGTGGGCAAACCAAGGGCAAACAGCGCCATCTATGGAAATTTCTATAATACATTTAATCAGATATTAGCTTGGAGCAATTATAATAGTAGCAATGTAAACAAGGATCATATCTAAATTATTAAGTTTATACTAAATTTACAAAATGATATCGCAAAACTATTTAAAATAGCACAGAGCACTTATACTCATTGGTGAAAAAATATTATGAGCTCCTTTAATTTATTGCTAAATCTATGGCCTCTCCTCTATTATTTCTTTATAATCAATACCTTTTCCTATCTATATATTAATTTCTTTATCAATCAAAATAAATAAATTGTAGTTCATATTTATTAATTTACCCTGAATGCAACATAAGATTGAAAGGATTTTGGAAATTGATTTTTTAAATAGCTCATGAAGAAAGCATCCACATGAATTAGAAGTTGGCTAAAGAAGCAAATAAAATAAAGCATGAAAATACTGATGGTGAAACCAATTGAGCTATCAAAAAAATAAGTAAGAGATACACTTTATTAATAGCTTAAAAAAATTAACAGGTTCAAATATTGATAGTTTGAACTTAACTCTCAAATAATATCTTGACTATGTAAATGAGGAGTTAGCAGATTAAAATACAAAAAAGGCTGGGTAGGATGTATTTACTGAATGAGGAGAAGGGACTAACATGGGCGAAGACTTGCTCTAGATGGAGTGATCTTGTAAATTTTAGTGGCCTTAGATGGTGGAATCGAAGAGAATCCAAAAGAGAGATTGAATCCAAGATTAGAGCACATGCGTGGGATCAGTATCGAAGGAGAATAGAAACCGAGGTGAGAGCAACGACACGACTATTTATGACCTTAAATGAAGGGAAGGGAGTAATTGAGGAGAGTCCTTATTTATATTTTAATTCGCATAGAAGACAAGAGATTATGGATATCTTCAGGTTAAGGGCTGGTTTTAATACAACGTCGTATTCACAGAATTTAAGGCATTTGATGCAGAGTACCAAATGTGAGAAATGTAATTGAATAAATGAGGATGAGATGCATTTACTTAATGATTGTTTTTTATATGAAGATGACAGAGCAAATTTATTGTTGGGATTGGAGGAAAATGGTGTGCTAGAGGGAGTGATCAGGAAAAGATTCATGCTGCATGAAGTTGTGCTTTATGCGGAGAAATTTGTTATTTGGATGAAGGAGGAACATGCTGGAAGATTTGGAGATGTAGATAACGAGATAAAAAATTTTATTTATAGAGTGATGAAGAAAAAAGAGAGAAATGCTGCTAAGCAGCGCTAAAATAATGCTAAGATTTCTAAGATTTCTAAAATACAAAAAGGGTTCGATTTATTATGAAAATCCGTAATATAATCAAATCTTTACCTTTTATTTAGTACACCATTAAACATATATTGAATTTATATATTTTTAAATCCAGTTTTCAATGCAGCTTTCATTACGATAAGTTTATATTCGTCAATCAATTCTGAAAATTGATAATAATAAAAATCGATTTATATCAAATTTGATAGTTGATAACCTGCTTTTAAAAACAGCAGAGCTTTTACAGCATCTACTTCTAAAATCTAATTTAATATAGATATCCAAAATATATTGTATAAAGCTGAGCCTATATTATTAATAATTTAATAACCAGGATTAAAATAAAATACTTCAGTTAATTCATCCAAATCCCACCAGGTATAGGTGAGTATTCCACTTTCAAAAATTTAAATAAATCATCTACTTAAACTCCAATATAGATCGTCTCTCTCAGCACCAGTTTCTCACAGCATCTCCGCACTTCTCTACTTACTCCATATTAACTGTATGATGTCAGGCCAAATTATAGCCTCCTTTTCTTCTTTGGTGCTCAGCTCGATTTAATTGAGAAAAGAATACTCTACAGATTTAGATAAATAAATTTCAATGAATATTTAGCAAATTCTGTATTTTCTCAATCCTTGGACTTGTTATGGGAGCTCTAAAGCTATAACAGAAACCACCCTTGCTAAAGCCAAGGATGTGGATATTCTTAACTTTTGGGGTCTAAGGCTGACCTGCTTTTGATCTGCACTCCATTAAAAAGGGAATAAATGATGAATCAAATCTAGTAGGGTTTTTCTTCGCTCTATAAAAGCAGAATTTAAAGGTGGCTTATATTGCCTTCTTCCAATTTAAAAAATGGGGTAGCAAGAAATAAAGATAAATTAAATTAACCGTAGAAGAAAGATAATTAGTGGTGAAGACAGAAAAAGAGAGAAGCCATAAATAGAATGAGCACTTGAAGTATCGCTGATGAAAGAAATTAGTATTGATAATTCTAATCATGATGATGTTAAATCTTAAGAAATTGCTTTATATCTATTTCTCCTATCTTATTCGTCTCTTCCTTACTAAGAATTCTCAAATCATTTACCTTTCTAATAATTTGATTTCGGTGCATTAGAAATTCTCCCTTTAAAAGATTTGAGCGATATAAAAGAACCGAATTTGTCACTGGCCATAAAGCTGTCTTTTTAAGTGGAATGTAAAAAGGCATCCATATCCCATCAATAAACGCCCCAGCTTTTACTTCAAGATTAGCTTTACTGGACGATGATTCAATACGACTGATGAGTGTCTTTTCTATTCCAAAATATTTAAAATAGTCAAAATCCTGCCAATATTTCTGAGTTTCTTGGTTGAGTATCCTAATTTCTTTGTAATCTGGATCCATGCTAAAATGATTTTCAAGTAAAAAGTGCTTAAAAGTTGGCGACTCGCATTCAAAATATTTACTGTTTTCTATATGTCTCATAATTTCTGATTTACTAGCTTTAAAAGCAACAAGCCCATATATCCAGTTGATGTGCTCTTTATCATTTTCAAAGGAAATCTTTTTATCTTCCACGTAGTCCATTAATTCATTAGCCATATGGTTAGCCCATGCCTCTTTTTCAAATCTTAATTCTGCCAAACATGAAATCGTTTTTGCTAAATAAGCTGTTCTAAAGTTATCTTGCTTATTACAAACTGCTAAAACTGCATTTTTGTCAGATAATCCTACTGTTTTTATTTTTTCAATGAAATCTTCTCTTTTGCTCTCATTATCATATAATTTATAATTCCTAGTGTTCTCCGATATTATTTGAGCAAAATTAAGATCCATGGGCATATTATTATGAGCTAAATCCAGCAATTTATCAAGTTCTACGAATAGTATCTTTCCAACATTTTTTAAAACAAATTCTTTTAATAGGGATGATATTGCATTATATAACTCTAAATGATCATTTATATTCACAAAGGAAAGCTTGCCAATTACATCTGCCATAGCTCAGAGACCGTGTTTTCCTAAAAGTGGAACAATTTTTTTTAATGCATCTATAATATAATTATCAATTTCCGTTTTTGGATGATATCAGTATCGTTTGATAATCTGAGGAAGAGCCTTATGATCCAATTTCTCATGGAACTTGTTGAAAACTTTGTCGATTATATTTTTTCTCAGCTTCATATCGGTACATTTTGAAGAAATAGTCAGCATGTTTCATTGATCAATATCATTCATATAAGAATAGTTAGATAAAACAGAATCAGCCATTTCCGGTTCTAGCTTGCCAAGCATTGAAGCAAAGCTGAGTATTAAGATATTTCGATTGCTAAAGATAGAATCAATAGGAAGGTCTTTTAGTAATTTTAATGCGCCAGCAAATAAATCTGTCAGTAAACTAAAGTCGGAATGCAAAAAAAGATGATTAAATTTGCCAATTCTAATGATGATATTTTTTTCATATAATAAATAATGAGGGTCTATTTTGTTTAGAATACGGGCAAAATCATTTAGAATTTGAACATTTTCCACTTCAACAATTCTATCCATGGCAGAACCTATCCATCACGGAGATAACTTATTTTTATACTTTTCTAGTAAAAATATAATTGCCTCAAAAGGTCCTTGATAGAATCTTATTGTGCGTAAGATATCTTCAAATGAAAAGTTATTTTTATTTTCAATCACAAAGTCTTTTCATTTTTCTGGATCACACTCATAAAGCAAAATCGAAAGAAATAAGGAATCACATTCCTTCGATAATCTTTTTAATGAGCGAAAAGCTGTGGCTTGCAAAGGTTTTATTGCTCTACAGAACTTTGAACTATATTCTTTTTTGTTAACAGTACTAATAAAACTCTTAATATTGTCACCACTTAAAGTAATTCACTCTTTTAGATCATCTATAAGTAAATCTTTTATTTTTTGCAGGCCATATAGCTCATAATTATTTGTATGAATAATGCTGAATAATAGATCTATTTTGTAATAACACCCAATATCTTCAATTTTTTTATAGTTAATTTTATTTGAAATTAAATTTGCAAAAGGGAAAAGTTTTCCTTCTTTGCTAATACATAATCATGATGCTTTTTCAAATATTTGCATGCGTTCATTTAAATAAAGGGTTTTACTATTTATTTGGTGTTTTAATGTAAGTGCAGTCTGATAATCAATATTTGGGCCTATAAGCCTAAGTATTTTTATTATATTTTCTGAGTCTATTGACTCTTTCGACAATTTTTCCTTAATTATTAGTATGCTTTTTAAAACTATTTCATCAGCGATAAAACAATTCTTTGGTGAATTTTTTAAAAGAGTTGCCAATTCAATTATAAATTCTATGGATTGATTATTACTAAGCAAGATATTCAGTCTTTTTAGTGCACTTTGGTATAGACACCTATAGCTAAGCATGCTATTCTTATAGAACTTGATTACTGATAGTAAATCATTTTCTTCCCATCTAGGTAAACTATCTTCAATCAATTTTAAAAAATCTGAAAAATATATCTGTATCCTTGTAGGCTGTTTAATAGCTAAAGCGTCTAAAATTTTGGCTAAGTGTCTTCCATCAAATTCTTCTTTATTTAGTTGAAGGATTCTTTTCATGCAAGCGAAAAATAAGCTTCTCTTTGAAGTATAAATAAATCTTCCAGTTCCAGTTAAAATTTTTGAAATTTCTTCCAAATTTAATTCACTCCCAGCCATTTTTTTAACCTCATTTTCTAGTTCTTCCATTTTAAACCCTTTAGGCACCAAATTTTCATAGATCGATAAAATTTGTTTCCGGTCAAAAGAGCGACTAATTAAATGCTTATTTACGCAATCAATTAATATTTTCTTTTTCTCTTTTGTTAGAGATACTTCTGTGGTAAATCTATAAGAGCTTGCAATTCACTCACAAAAATTGACGATACCTTGAGAATCAAGCTTTTCAAGGTTCTCTTCAACTTCGTTTTTAATTTTTTTTAACTTGTTTCATGCTTCTGAGTCAATGCTTTGATTTTGCATATCAACAATTTGAAGTGTGTATGCAAGAATTGAATGAGAAGTTTTGGACACGTCTATATCGTTTATAAATGACTCTAAACTTTTAGCACTTGCAAGTTTTAGATCTATCCGAGCTTTTCCTATGTTGTAGTGATTTGAAAATGTTGAAAACGATCGAAAGAATCCTTTGGCAAAAAACCTAGGCCTCAGCATTTATATTCCAGATAATTTAGAATATTGAAATAATTACCAACCATAGACACAAAGGATTTAAGAAAAGACTATAATAATTAATGATTTGCAGCTAAATTATTATTGAATAATTCAATTTACTTACTCCCCCCCCCTCCGTGAGTGAACAAAAAAATTTTGTTCACTCACGGAGGGGGGTTAATTTTTTTTTTTTTAAAAAAGTTTATATATAAATTTTATAAAAAAATATTTTTTTCGAAATTTAAAAAAATCCTAATTCGCAAAAATTGGAAAGCAAATATTAATTCAATTTGCAAAATTTATGTTTTAAAAAGCAATTTGTTTAAAATTAAACAGAATTAGCTCTATATTTCATTATACTAATTATCATTTATATATTAAATTTTTTTTTCCATAAAAAATTTTTCTATTTAAAAAAATTTTTGTTCACTCACGGAGGGTGGGTTTTTGGGCAAAAAAATAGCGATTTTTCTAATGGTTTTGTTCACTCACGGAGGGGGGGGGAGTAAGTATTTATATTTATCAACTATTGGAATTTCAGTTCTTTTAAAATGTAGTTTGGGTAATTTTTGGAGGGTATTTTTTCTGTTTCTATTAATAATTGTCATCAATGCCGTTTTTTCAGGTCCTATATTTAAATCCATACTATTTTCTCTGTTCATTTTTTAAGATTATTAAGAATTGACTGTAGATCCTCACATTTTCCTGTAATAAAAGCTGTATCATCTGCATATTGAAAATTTATTTTTGAGTATAAATTCTCGTTTTTAATTAATTCTAGGCTAATATCTTTTGTTACATTTTCAATATCATCGATATAGATATTAAATAATGGAGAAATCGCACTTCCTTGTCTAATCCCTTTAGTAATATCGATTTTAAATGTTTCATTTCCGTTGATTATTAAGGTAGTCTTTTCTCCTTTAATCATCTGGGAGATTGATTTTCCACTATCATCTGTGACTCTCTTACTTTTTATCTTTTCCATGAGTTTAGTTCTATTCACAGAATCATATGCTTTCGAAAAATCTATAAAAAGTATATATGAATCACTCTTTTTCCCTTTATTATAATATTTTCGATATTCTAAGGTATTTTTCAGTAAGAAACTTTGTGTTATGCATGATTTTCCTTTTCTAAACCCATGTTGTCTATCTGAGATCTTAACGTTGTTTTCAATTTTTCTTAGTTCAGCCTTGTCAAGAATCTTCATAAAACTGTTCATTAATGTTATAGGTCTGAGATTCTTCAATTCTTTATGATTTCCTTTACCTTTATATATAAGAATAGTCTTAGCTTCATTTGCAACATCCGGTATACCATAAATTCTGCAAGTATTTAAAAAATGTGTTATTGCTTCTACCATTATATCTCCTCCTTTTATTATTATTTCATTCGTTATATTATCTGGTCCAGGAGCTTTTCTGTTAGGCAAAGATTTAATAATATTCTCAATCTTTTTTGAGTTTCAAAGTTCATCTTCTAGACAACCTGCTTGTGGAATAAAAGATATCGTACTCCTAAATTGATCTTCAAATTCTTTAATCTCAAATGCATTCATTGGTAAGACCAGTTTATTTTTATTCAATAATCTTTTTATTTTTTTTCAAGCTCCATAGGGATCATTTATGCATTGCTTTAATCTATTTTCACTTATTATTTCATATCTATCCAGTCTTTTTAACTGATCAATGCATTTTTTCTTTACTTTCCGTATTCTTTCAATAAATTCATTATTTTTCTGAGAATAGCAAAATTTGATTTATTCTTTGAGTTTGTTAATTCTTTTCCTTAAAATTTTCATTTCTGGAGTTTTAAAATGATCAGGCTGTAATTTAGTTTTTACAATAATTGATTCTTCATCTAAGATAGTCTTTATTTCGGTATAGATTAGAGAAGGGTTATTTGTTATGAAAATACCTTTTTCTTTGAATTTAAGGAAGAGTCTGCTTTTAAAGGCTTCATGATCATCTCCTTCTAGTTTATATCATGGAATAATTGTTTTTTGAGTTCCTAATGGTATAATTATCGAAATGCGTGATAGGAGTAAAATATGGTTAGTATTTAATTGAGGGACTTCTATATAAATAATTTCTGATGTTGAGTTTGAGAGAATGTAATCAATAATTGTGTGTGTATTATGACCTCTAAAAGTTGATATTTGCATATCATTGAGAATGTATAGATGAGAATCTTTTATAAATTTAGAAAATATCTCTCCTGTTAGATCATCGATTTCAGATAAATATCCTTTTAGATGCGCATTAAAATCACCCAATAGTACTATTTGACGTCTATCCTTTTGATTCTTTTGAATAATTTCTTGAACTTCTATGATAAAGTTAATATAGTCATCAATTGATTTCTTACTTTGGTGATTTGTTACTACTGGGGCATAAGCTACTATTATTAAGTAATCTTCAATTAATGTTGCTGTTATTCTATGATTGTTAGTTTCAATTGATGTTATTAGATTTGCAAATGTTTCATGTATTAGTAACCCAGTTCCGCCTAATCCTCTGTTGCCAGCAATTGGCCCATTATTTCCAATTCAGATAAATCCTTGAATATATAAGGAAGTTTTCAGTCACGTTTCAGCAATTCCAAGAATAGAAATATCATTAGAAATCATTAAATTTCTTAATTCTCTTCTAAACAATTCGTCTTTCCCTATTCCAGATATATTTACGAATCCAAAAGTTTTTCTCAGTGGCATTTTCAATAAGATTTTCATATCTGTTGTTTTAAATTTATCTGGTTTTTAAATGGTCTTGTAAATAAATTGATTCTTTATCCATCACTTGTCTTATCTTCAATGGTTCTTTTTCTTCAAGTAAATGTCTTTCTTGAAACTTCATAAATAATCTATTTCTAAAAGCCTCAAGTTCGTTACCTTCTAACTTATATCAGGGGATAATAAATTTTTGATTTACTTGAATCATTATGGTTTGAAGGCACGTTAGTATCAGAGTGTGATCTGTATTTAGTTGTGGAACTTCTTTGTATCTTAATTTGCTTGATGAGTTTGATATAAAGTAGTCAATGATTGTATGACTGTTTCTTCCTCTGTAGGTAGAAATATCTTTTTTCGTTTAGTATAAAAAATCCTGAATCTTTGATAAATTTCATAAAGTTCTTCCCTGGGAGATCATTTTTATAATTCCTCTGATTTTCTAAAATTACTTTTTGGATTTCTGTCATTAAATTTATATATTCATCTACTGATTTGTCATTTTGGTGATTTGTCACAACTGGCGCATAGACTGTTAGAATTAAATTATTTTCTATGATCACTGCAGTTATTCTATGGTTATGGGATTGTATATTGTTGATTTTGTTTGCTAAAGATTTGTGAATTAGTAATCCTGTTCCTCCTGAACCTCTATATCCTGCTGTTGGTCCGTTATTACCTATTCATATAAATCCTTGGATATTAAAAAAGTATTTTTCAATCATGTTTCAGCTATTCCTAAAACAGTTATATTGTTTTCTATCATAGCATTTCTCAAGTTCCTTTTCCCTATATTATCATTCTTAATTCCTGATATATTAACAAATCCATAAATTTGTGAATCTTTAGTTTTGTACATTCTTTTGGATATGGAACAGCAACTTCTTCTTTTTCTGTAGGTATCATATCTCCTTTTCTCAATCTTGTACATGGTATTTTAATGAATTTTTCTTCCTCACAAATTTTTATCATGCAAATAGGTTTTTGGATTGTTCTTAAGGTCATTGCTTCATATTTATATAAATTTGTAGGCCTTTTTGATGTTTTATCCTCTTCCTCGCCTTTCGTAATAAATGGGTTTTCGAACTCAATTTTCTTTCTTTGGCTGTAATTCAGAAAGGATTTATATTCTTCCTTTGCTTCAATTTTTTTGAGAAATGGATTATCAGTCTTACTATTTTGGTCATCTTTTTCTCTTAAATCTGTGCATTTTTCACTTATTTTATTATCTGTAACTTGTAAAGGTATTTCTCTTTATGTGTTTTTTCATTGATTTTATTAATTTGAGATCCTAAGTAATTTGAAGTGTTTAATTTTATCTCTCTTTGGCTTTCTAGAAATCTTGATTTGTAGTTTCTTCTCTCTTAATTCCATTGTCTTTTCATGATTGCTTACTAAATGACCAATTTCTTGACATTGAGAGCATTGTAGAGTCCCTGCCATGTCTGATTCAAATTGATTTATTTCCTATAATTAAAGCATTTGATAACTCGAATGCTTCTTCTAGACTTTGAAATTCTGCATAAATTTGATATTTTGACTCTGGGATAAAATTTAGTGTTTGTCTAATTTCATCTTGAAAAATTGTATCTTGTGCACAAATTTCTCTAATCTTGCATTTTTTGCTGTAGAGCTTCAATTGCCCCCTCAATTGCAATATCAGGAGTAATATAATATCAATTCAATATCTTTTGAAATTGATTTCTCCTCCTAGTAGGAAAGGGCCAATAGGTACAACAATCTTTTTATCTTTAATGTCATCTCAAATGCGTTCAATTTCATAAAATCTCTATAAGCTGATTTCTTTTTGAAGATGATGACTCCATCTCCAGATGGTAATTTGAAGCATCTTAGAATTGTGTCTGGAGGGAAGTTTTCATTAAGAACTGTGCAAAATTTCACGAAGACTTCTTTTTTCTTCTTTTGGTCAGCTTTTTCGAGAAATTTCGAAAAGTAAATTTTCACTGACTATTGTAAAAACTCTTTCTCATTAGGAATTTGGATAGGATCTGTTTCTGAATCATAGTAAAATATGATGCTTGAAGGCAGGAGTTGTAATTCAGTTTCTTCTGCTCCAATGAGAGCAGGAATCGAAAGTGAATTTTCCAGCTTTCTTTGCATTTTAATAGTTGAAAATAAAGATGAAAGCTGAGTTGATAGTAAATTAATAATTTAGAAGAATGCAAACTGTTATATAGAGAAGCATTGAGGATAATTAATCTCAAAAAGCAGAGAAAGTGGGAGAGGATTATAGTAAGTGAGGAGCTTGAATACCTGCACTGAAAGAAAAAGCGAAAGATGCTATGATTACTGCTAAAGACGAGACTGCTGAGAACTTCAAAACAAGAGTAAAGTTGAGGAAAATGGAGATAAGAATTTAGATTGTAAATTTAAAATATAATTTTTCGATATGTCTAAGTAGAACATAAAACATAATTAAATATGGCTTCTCAACACGGGTATAGCTCTCTAACAATACAACCTCGAGTACATATATTTAAAAATATCTACAAGGTTTAGCCAAATCAAAAGGATTAACGCCAAATGAGTAGATTTTATTTATAGAAAAAGCTAATATAGGGCAAAAGATTGACTTATAAGAGATATTGGTGTAAAATCTGATATTCTATTTTCACTTTCCCATCAGAAAATATTTTTTTCCTACATTCCGATTTGAATATACAAATCCATTATCTGCAAACAAAATTAGTGAAAAAAATTAATTTGGCTTGCATTAATTTTTGGAAAATCCATTACTGCGCTCGCATAAAAAATAAATGAGTAACTTAAGGCCGGCATAAATTAACCTTTTAATATCGCCTGCCCTATCCTCTATTACTAATTCTAAAAGTTTCCATATGCCTTCATGACATTCAATCCTCTGAATTTTTCGTGAAAATGAGCTAATAACAAAAATTAATATTTTTCCATGTAGTAGTGAGAAAATAAAACATTTCTATTCTCTTCCAACTTTATATTTTTTTTTGAATTTTTGGCAATAATCTTTAGATATTTCTAATTTATTTTGATAAAAAGGCTATTGATGCGATAATTTGATCTTTTACAATAATAAAAGCTATTTATACAATGAAAATTCTGCTATTTCTGCATCCATGAACTTAATTTTTGAATTTTATGCACGTGAATAGCCAGCTTTCCTGGCACTGCCTTTGAGTGATTATGAAAATGTGCCAGCGAAGAAGAATAAAAAACTAATCTATTTCTAATCGTGAAAATTATGAAATTTTAATGCAATTTGTTTCAGCAATGTTATAAAAAATTATATGAGTCTTCAAGCTGCACATCTATGAGTGAAGATTAAGATAACTCAACCGATAGGTCTCATAATGAAATAATCGAGTTTAAAATTTCCAGTTTTATAGAGATAGGATATTTTTGCTCATCCCTTCATCATTCTAGATTTAAGGAAATTTAAGATCCCAAATACTTTTTTCAATAGTAAAGCAATCAATAACCTTTAATAAGCCTAAAGCAACGCATAATAAAATAATTATAACAGTATACAATTATGGAGAATTTTGATAAAAAAAATTAAACCATAAAATAATAATTTTTATTATAATGGATGGTCTCAAGATTCTTTTGAAAAATTATCATTTTTATTATTTTGTCTTAATAGAAATTTTTGATAAATCCTATATTATAATGGGTTGTGGAAATATTAGGCTTCCTCCTCTTACACAAGATTCAATATATGACTTCTCAATGAAAGACATTGAAGGAAATACGATTTCCTTATCGAAATACCAAGGCAATGTCTTAATTATAACCAATGTAGCATCAGGCTGTGGACTGACCAAAAGAACTTATTTAGAATTAAATGAGCTCTACAATAAATACAAAGCCAGAGGACTAGCTATTCTTGCTTTTCCTTGCAACCAGTTTTTCTGCGGAGAACCTGGATCCAGTGCAGACATCAAAGATGCTGTGAAACACAGTTTAAGGGTCGATTTTGATTTATTTGAAAAAATCGACGTCAATGGAGAATGCGCATGCGAAATGTTTAGATTTTTGAGGGAAAAAAGCTCGCTTAAAGGATGCAAAATCGGATGGAATTTTGGGAAGTTTATAATCAATAAGCGAGGAAAAATTGTGAACTACCATGGACCTAGAAAAATGCCTTCAAGCTTCGAGAGCGAAATTATTAAGTTGCTAGATGAACAGAATTAACAGAGTTCCCCAATAGTCGGGGAGTTATACATTAAGTTTAGTCTTTATTTCTATTAGAATATTTTGTATCTTAACAGGGTTTTTTTTTGGCGGTTATATATATGGTTTGAGAATTTATTAATATATCAAACAGAATTTGATTTTTTTATATTTCATCAGATGATTTTCAGCTAAGGTTACAGAATTCAACTAAATTTGTTTTTACCAGTATAAAGCAAGAAACGATAAAGAAATTGATGGAGTTTTCTTTAATAAAATTCAAGTCCTTTTCTGTTAAAAAGATAAAAATGTTTTTAATTAAGCTAATCGATTTTTTTTTAAAAATTAGTATTTCCTTCTTAATCTCGTAAGCACAATAATTTTTTTATCATATTTAGTTTTATTTTTTCAAAAAATTTAGGACTTTAAATCAGAGTAAATATATTTTATTTGTATATAAAATTAATTTGCTTAAAAGCATAAATAGATCTTAGGTTAGTTTATTAGCATTTTAGTCAAAATAGGCTATTTCTGACCTGCTGATAGATGAGTTTTTATTTTGGCAATTATGCCCATTTTGAAATATATAATCTATAAAATAAGAGTTATTTAATATATAATTTGCTTTTTGAATTAATTCTAACTCCCCTCATTTAAATTAAATTTTTTAAAGCAATTAACCCCCTTTAAATTGGAACAAAATTTTATAAGTAATAATCATAATTTTTATGCAAACAGCTTTTATAAAATATTGATGCCACCAAAATCAAATCTTTATGGATAGCTATTTTATTTTGAATAATAGAGTGAAAAATAATACTATTTGACTAATCTATTATATATGCGACTATCACCGCAGAAAAGAAGTGCTAATCTTACCCTTATTAACTGAAAAGGTGGCATCATGGCCATTTTAGTTTATCAAGTCCAAATAAACTCACTTCCTCTGACACTGATAGCCTCACGAGCTGCTTTATGTTTTCTAACTTCTTCCTTGCCTCCTGCACATGTTCTGCTTAAGGGTTTCTCACTCCATAGAGAGGATAAGTGGTGAAAAGCTATGCCTCCTAAAAGCAAGGATCAGGTCTCAGGGGCTGCAAAATGCCTAATACTGCTTGTCTGGCATACCTGAGCAAAGTTCACTGGTAAAATCAAACCTCATAACAATAAAACGTTGAAGATAGAACCATTTTTTATTATTGTAGAGTGAAGCTATTTAAACAAAGTTAACATTTTGAATCGATAATTTTATATAAAATTTAACCCTCTAGATTAGAGCAGATTCTAAAGGAAGATTAAATAAATTTTTACTGTCCTAGGTATTCTCTAGAAAATTTTATTATCTCACTAATTTCTCATCTCAATCATGATTTATTTATTCCATAATTAATCAGACGATTTAACTCTAATTTATTTAATCTCTTCCTTTCTTCCAATTTTTCTGCGGTTTTGATACTTTCTTTTTGACAGCACTAGGCTCTTGATGCAAAACCTCAGCTTTACGAGAATTTATATTATGATTTTTTGCATAGAAAAATTCATATGCGTTTAATGAATGGGAAATCTCAATTGAAATTGGGAAAATTTCACCTAGACTATCAATTTTCCCTTGGTCAACATTAAGGTCCCAAAAATCATATCTCACAATATATGTGTTTAGCTTATCCTCAGGATTCAAATTTGCTGTTGAATTTCTAATAATAAACCTCATTAGTGCTTCTTCTATTTGTAATCTACTTGGATATAAGTCAGGATTAATATCAACTTTTTTGATAAGCTCTATAATAGAATCTTCTACTATATTAGCTTTTTCAGTTAATTTGTATTCTGGATTTATGAAACCCTTTGTAAATGGGAAATATTTTGCTTCAACAATCTGATATAGAGAAATGACATATTCCAGCTTAATTTCTGATATTCTTGTCCTATCTCTCAAATAAGTGGAAATCCTTAAAGAGTTTAGCTTTGTGCAGAAATCAATAACAGAGCAGTTATTTTCTCTTTTGGAATACCGAAGGTAGCAAAGAACACGATTAAATGATGTATATATATCTTTAAGCTTTATTGCATAATCCATTTTTGCCTCTTTTTCTAATTCACTGAAAAACAATTCAACATGATGCAATTGCTCTTGCTCCAATGATTTTTGTGGGATTATTTCTTTTATTTCCATTAAAAGTCCTGACTCTTCACTGGTTATATTTATAAGCTCTCCCTGATATTGGATTAAATCAAGTCTACTTGTATCAATGAGTTTCGCTAAAAGTAGCTTTTTAGTTATTAATTTTTGCATCCTTTCAAAGTCATAAATAATTTCTTTTCCTTTGCCATATATAGGGTTACACAGTGAGCATGTTTCAAGAAGATGTGTATCATCTATATTAAGCGATATTATATTTTGCTCTTTTAGCTTTTGTAAAGGGTATTTTGCTACCTCCTTATGATTTTCTTCTTCGCCTTGTGGGGTTTCTTTATTTCTAAAGTTATTTGAAATTACTGTTCTAATTTGTGAGAGATATTTATTTTGAATTTCTCCAAGTTCAATTAAAGCAGCAGCCATATACATTCCGCCATCCATTACTTTATTGTCAACAAGAAAATATGCGAGCGGAGTGTCAATGGTAAATTCATTTATAGGCTTTAATTCTTTGCAGCCATAATGGAGATATTTAATTCCTTTATATTTTCACGCTTCTAGCTCTTCCAATTAATTTTTTTTTTATTAAATCCAATATGAAAATTTATATAAAATAGATAAAGTATTGTGATTTAAATAATTTTAGAATTGCTTGTGCTGCATAATGGAGTAAAAATTTAGTAAATAGTGGCTGTATTTCTGGATTTGAGTTTATTGCTTCTCCGACAGTAATTTTATAAGCGCCTGCACGCAGGATTTTATGGTTATATATATCAAATAAGCTGTTTGTAAATTCAATAATCGGGTATAATGATTCAATTTTTCCAATTTCATCAGAATTATTTAAAAATGCATTAATCAGTCTAAATTCGTTTGGAGACTGGCCTAATAAAAACCGATTTTTCATGTTTTCGAGTGAAGGTTCTTCTTTATTCCTGAAAAGTTCTATATAAGGATAGTTTTTATCTTCAGTTAAATTGAAAAACTCATATAAATAATCTTTAAAAGAATACTCGATTTCAAAGTTCTTTTTAAGATAATTTGAGTAATCGGCGATTGAATTTTGTGAGTTTAAGTTAGGACTAATCAATTTATTTTCGAAACGTTTTTCGAATTCATCCCTTATCGTAGATGATTTTGAGCCAACATTATTTTCAAGTATCAGCTCGTCTAGGTTTGCTAATATTTTATATACCCATAAATAGCCAGAATCAGAGTGACTTACTCCCCCTTTAAATAAAAACAAAGCATCGGTGAAATTTGCATTTTTTGGGTATTTAGCCCTCATTTAAATTGGATCAAAATGATGAAAATATTAATTTTTATAAAATTATTTTGAACAAAATGCAAGTAGAATGCTATTTAAGCAGTTTTCACACTGAATTGATTAATTTTTATTTAATTCTCCATAAAAATAAATTAAAAATATTCAAACTATTGTGCTCAATTTATGAATTTTAACAAATATTAAAAGATGGAAGAAAATACTAGTTTTTGTAAAAAATTTTTTAGCCTAATTTAATTAAAAAACTGCAAGTAGGATTCTATTTAAACAGTTTTCACACTGAATTGATTTGATTTTTTAAATTAATTCTTTATAAAATAAATTAAAATCATTTTTAAGATTTTAAAAATATTTTTTACAGAGGACAAATTTAAATATTAAAACAATAAACACTTTAAATTGGAGCAGGTTTTTTTCCAACATAAAGGGGGAGTTAGTTCTAGTAGCTTTTCATAATCTGATTTTATTGATCTTCTTAACTCCTCCTCCCTTAGTGAGTAATCAAAATATATTTTGGTTGGGCTATAATTTTGTGTTTAAATTTTTACCCTTTATAAATTGTTTTTTTCAAAAATTTAAAATATGCCAATTCGCAAAATTTGACATTTAGTTTGCAAAATTTATGGTTTTAGAATGCAAGCTGTTTAAATTTCAACAGAATCATCTAAGATTTGTTATAATCGTTATCATTATATATTAATCAAATTTTTCCCCGTTTACAAAGGGTGAGTAAGCATTTACTGCTGGATTCATGCAAATGAGAAGAGTTTATTAATGTTTCAAGCTCTTTTTCATTAATTGATCCTAATTGATGTAATACAAAAATGATACTGCATAAAACAAAATGCTCACTCCCCCTGCGAGCTAACAAAAAAATTTTTAAAGAAATACCAATTCGCAAATATTTTTTAAATTGTTTTAGATTAAGTAGAACAAGCCAGAGATTTCATTATACTAATGGGGTTTTGGGCAAATCAATAGAGATTTTCCAGTGCTTTTGTTCGCTGATGGATGGGAAGTCAGCAAGATAGCTGGCTGGATTTAGACCTCGAATTGAGCTTGTTTCTCCTATTAGTGTTCCAAAGAAGCTTAAACCAGTTTCAGCTTCTTTGCGATGTCTTAGAACAGCTTTTTCAACAAATTCACGCGCTTCTCTATCAGATAGATTCACATGTCCTTCTCTTTCTACCAACTTATGGCGACTCCCTCCTATTTTTCTTCCGCAGAAAGGACACAAAGATTGTTGAGTAGGACCTCCACACCTTGTTACCGGATAAATATAGTCACAGTCAATAGAGCATTTATAGGTACTGCCATTTGCATATTTTTTACTCCAAGTATTAGTTATAAAGGAATCAAAATTATTGTGAATATCTTGAATATACTTATGCAATTGGTTAGGTTCTGCTGCAAAAATATATTGGCTTTTAAATCTTTCAATTAAACCATCTACAGAGCCATTTTCATTGAAGAAAACAGATGAAATCGGATTTTCCAATTGACTATATGACAATGCGACTGTAAAAACTCCTAATGTTGTTAAAATTCTATGTAATTCTATATCTGGTGTATTTGTTTCAAGTCTTAAATCAGAGCCAATTGGGAAATTATTGATGAAGCAGACAAATATATTATAAAATTCTTTGCCAAGACTATTAAGAATCTCATCCCCCTTGCGACCTAACCATATAATAATATTTTTATTCATTTCTTTTTCCTTTGAATAAATTGAAAATATTTCATTTAAAAATGCAATTCCTAAGGCAAGCTTTTGATCAGGGCTTTGAATTTCAATTAGAATTCTATCATTTTCATTTTGGTCGCCGGCTTTATTCAAAATGTTTCTGAGGAGTCTTACATTGTTTTTATAAATTTCTGAAATTCTAGGGAACACTAAAAATGAATCTAAATTTAGTTTGATTTGTGGCTTTTTTTCTTCTTCGAGCTCTTTTATGCGTCTAGTTCAATTGAGATTGGGATACTCAAGTATAAAGTTGCTTGCTTCAACTCTGTAAGAGCGAGCAAGATTTTTATTCGATAATGGAGAGTTAATTTTTTTATAATTTTGAAAAGTAAATATAATTAATTTAAAAAAGTTATGTTTAAGAATTCAAATTTTATTAAATAGTTTATCTAAAAAACTTGATTCTCAAATAGTTTTGCTTACTCATAAAAGGGGAAATTAGTTCATATCCTTTAATTAGTAAAATTTTTTTAATGCAATATAGCTTTAAAGTATCACCTATATCTGATTTAGTAATTATTCTATCAATATTTTCTAAAATTTCAAAATCTTCATCAAGCTTTTGCGCAAGAGCACAGCAGTAAATATCAAGATATATCTTCACCAAAATTAATGAGATTAGTTTTTTTATTCTTGGCAAATTGATCTCATCATAACGCGCTTTGTTTAAAAAATATTCAAAGAAAGTAAAGTCTCTAAGCCCTTCTTTATAAAATTTGTTATTTTCTTCACTTTTAAGCAATTTTTCTAACTCCCCCCCCTCCGTGAGTGAACAAAACCATTAGAAAAATCGCTATTTTTTGCCCAAAACCCACCCTCCGTGAGTGAACAAAAATTTTTTTAATAGAAAAAAAAATTATAGAAAAAAATTTTTGATATATAAATGATAATTAGTATAATGAAATCTAGAGCTAATTCTGTTTAATTTTAAACGAATTGCTTTTTTAAAACATAAATTTTATAAATTAAATTAATATTTGCTTTCCAATTTTTGCGAATTAGGATTTTTTAAATTTCGAAAAAAAAAAATTTTTTATAAAATTTATATATAAATTTTTTTAAAAAACCCCCTCCGTGAGTGAACAAAATTTTTTTTTTTCACTCACGGAGGGGGGGGGGAGTAAGCTATCACCAAAAATTATACCAAATTTACTACAGATTCCTTTATTTTCCAGAACTTTTTCAATGCCTTCTAAGTAATCATTATTTTCCAGCTCAAAATCGGCATTAAAATTATTTAACTCCCCTAGTTTTGGGTAAAAGCCCACCCATCATGCACGAACAAAAAATTTTAATTAAAAATATTTTTTATATATAAGTGATAATTCTCTATCTAATTATGTTATAAAATATAAATTAAATTAATATTTGTTTTAAATTGGAATTTTTAAATATAAAATATAGCTTTTTTAAAAAAAAAAATTAATCTTCTCCAAATGAAACAAAATATTTTTTTCTTCGCTCATAGAGAATGGAATAAGATATTTTTTCTTAATTCGTGCATTGAATTCTCAATTTCCGATTTATCTTCAATAATATTCATAATTTTTGTTGAAAATTGTCAAAATTCTTCATTTTCGAGCTCCTCAGCAATATTTACTATATATTGTGGATCTATATTAATCTGAAGCTTAAGGAAAGAGCTCATAAATTTGTGATATTGCAAGGAGTTTCTATAATGATTTTTCACATTTTCAAGAATATAACGTGCAAAATTTTCATTATATAAAAATGTATCTTCTTCTTTATTGCCTATTGATATTATAGATTAAATAGCGTGATGCCCTCTTAGCACCTGTAGCCGTAGATTCATTGGAAAAGTAGGGGAACTTTTGAAAGGGAGAGCAGCGTTCGGGCTTTCCTTTGACTTTTTTTGAGCGCAGTGTAGAACTCGCTGAATGCATGCTCATATATTGTGAGGAAATGGTTCGTCTGAGTTAAAAGGAGATGCCTAGAAAGGCCAGAGAGCGTTACTTGGCCAATCGTGCAAAATTTTCTAGTGCGATAGGCCTTACATTCTTGGCTTCGAGCTCTTTTTTAATCACAAATTTTCTGGACTAAACAGCTGATGCACAGCATGGTGACCCAGTATCTCTGACTCTCGAGCAGCTAGGCAATCCGTCGTCCATCAGGAGCAAAACAGTGTAAAGCAGTGTACTGACTGGCAAGCAAGCTGTGGATCGTTCTATGAGGCGAATAGTTTCTGCAAGCCTGTATAGAAGGTCTCTATCAGTAATTTGAGTTAATTTAAGTCTATTGCTTTTATCTGGTTCAAAATATTTAATATATCCACTTTATTTTCATCACTTTTTCCAATTAATTTACTATATGAAACCCAAAATTCAAGGATATCCAGAGTATCTATAGAAATATCTTCTTTCAGCTCTATTTCAGTCAGTAAATAATATAAATTTTCAGCTTTTATTGAATATTCCAGAACATCAAATTCTAGATTATTATCTAAGTGAGGTCTCATTTCGCATATTAACTTTTTATAGACTAAATTTAATGCAATTTTCCATTTTTGTTGATTTTCATCCTCATTTTCTTCTTGATCCATAGGAAAAGAATCTATATTAAATCCTCATATTAAAAATGAACAAAATTTTCGGCTTATCTTAAAGGTTTATTTAAAATATTTATATTAAAATTAGATATCTTTTAGATTTTGAAAAAATAAATATTTCAAAAAGAATAATTTAATTTATAAAATCTATGCTTAAGGATCTTCATTTATTTAAAATTTAATCTATTTAGTCAGAATTTTCGTTATAACAATTATTAAATATATAAAAATATTTTTATTGGACCTTAATTTCCGAAAATTAGCATCTTCCATTGGTTTGGCCGCTCTTAAAGGTGGAAGCAAGCAAAATATTTTCCAAAATACTAACTACTTCACCCGACAGGTCTGGCATAACATCTATCGCATGACACAATAAGACTCCAAGCTCTTCAATTTGCATGAATGATATTAATTTTTTCTCAAATGAGTCATCATCATAGAAGATTATTTTAAGCAAAATTGAAATCATTTTCTTATGATCTAAACTCAGTAAATTTTCCTTCAGATAGATTGAGATAAGGTCATTAAAATAAAGATCCTGGAGCTCAGAATGCTCTATATTGAAATCTATTTTTTCTTTATATATAGAGAATTTATGATATTCTTCACTCCTCCCCTCCATAAGCGAACAAAAAATTTTGTTCGCTCAAGAGGAGGGTTAATTTTTGTTTTTTAAAAAAAAATTATATATAAATTCGAGAGAATTTTTTTTTTTAAAATTTAAAATTTTTTCCAATTTGTAAAAATGAAAAGAAAAATTATTTTAATTTGCGAATTTTATATTTCAAAACGCAAGCTATTAAAAAAATTAATCAAAATTAACAAGAGATTTCATTATAATAAATTTCATTTATATATCAATTTTTTTTTTAATAAAAAATGTTTGTTCGCTAAAGGAGGGTGGGCTTTGGGCAAAAAATAGCGATTTTTCCAATGGTTTTGTCGCTCACAGAGGAGTCAGTAAATTTTTCAAAAGAAGTTTGAATAGGATTATTATTCACTTCAGAAATTTTATATAAGTTAAAAGCAGCAATAACAGCTTTATAGTCCATTCTTGAAAACGGGAAATATAGCTCATACTCATATTTTAACAGGTTTCCTTGGTTTAATTTTTGTAGTCCGATATTATTGTCTATTGTCATGCTTTTAAAAATATCAAGCCATATCTGTTTTCTTAAATCATTGAATTTGCAATAAGGCTTAATAAAAGGCTGCACATAGCTTAAAAGAGCACTTTTCTCCTCAAGAACATAAATAATCAGCTGAAGAGCGCTCTCTATTTCCATCCCTAATGACTTGCTAATGGCTTCATAAAGATTTGCAGAATCGTCAATAAGTTTCGGGTTTAAAAATATTTCTATTCTTCAGTCTTGCTTGATATTGACAGTTTTCAAATATTTCCATATTTTATCTTTAAAATGGGCAGAAATATCAGGATCAGTTCCAATCGTCTTAACAGTATTTGTGATATAATTATTAAATTCATAGCTTTTACCTGCATTAATCTCAACTTTAAACGAAAGCATGCATTTTTCTACTAAATACTCAATTTCTTTTGAAAAATCGAAAATATGGTCAGACATTATTAATGATTTGCTATTTGATAATATGATTTCGTCTGTAATTTCAAATGGACAAGTAGTTAAGCAATCAAACATTTTCATTTTCCATCACTCAAATATCATCATATTTGAGCTGTATTTTATATTTCTCTTAATATGAATAACTATACAAAATTTCTTTTTCAATGAAGGATTTTCTGTATACTGTGAGCACGGTTTTAGATCAACCTGAGACCCCCCTCCCCTCCCCCCCTCCCTTGACGGTTTCAGCTTTATTGAAATCTACAAATTGAATTTGACTTGTCATTTTAAATTAACAATTTCGTTCAAACTGAAACCGTCAGGGTGAGGGGGAGTTTCAGGTCGAGCCATACCTGCTCTGAATGTATATTTAATTTATCGATCAAAAATTTCACAAGTGGGAGATGATTGCACTCTTCCCCAAAATCAACTTCCAGAACGAAAACATTTTTTTCTTCACTTTTATAAAAAGATTTTAGTTCTTTTGTTAAATCTTTCTTTGAGCTATACATAACCATCTCTTTAATTATGATTTTTTCATCATCATTTGTATTGAAAATTTTTTCTGAAATTTTTTTATCATAAGTAAAAGCAATCAATTTATCAAAATCGCTTTTATCATCTATCATTGATTTGATTGTATCTTGGAAGTTGATCTCGTGGAGCTTTTTCCAGGTATTTTTTATGTTTTCTTTGATGCCTGGGTCTATCGAAATTAGCTCTAGCAATATTAAGATATCAGAAGGGGCGATTTCTAAAAGAATCTCTCCACATTTTTCTAAAGTATGCTTCTTTTTTCCTTGGCTATTGAAAAGTATAAGCAATGCTAATGTATCACTGCTGTAAATAGGGAACAAATGATTTTTTGTGAGACTTACTATTTCTTGATCATTAATTGTAAAAAATGAATCAATCCAGCTTTCAAGTTTTTCTAATAAATCAATTTGTTTGTCATTAAGTAGCTTATCAATAGATAAATAATGCTTTTCAAATCTATTTAGAAAAGGAGCATCTGTCTTAGCAACATCACTTGGACTTATCAGTGCAATTGCGTGGAAATTTTGATTAACATAGCATCTTGGGGTAAAGTTATCTTCAATTGAAATATTGCAATATTTTCGTGATCCTTGTATTGAAAAATTCTGGTTAAATAAATCGTAAAGTGAGCTATAAATATGGTCCAAGTCTTTCAAAACAATAGATATCCCAAGCTCCATATAAATTATAATATCATTTAAAGACTCAACACCATAATTATCCTGATTTAGATCATTCGGCAAACTACTACCCACTAGTATCCTCCTATCGTTAAGCTTATCCAAATATTTATCCAAAATAAAAGTAGCTATATCAGGTTTGCCAATTAGCATCAAATATCTTGCGTTTGGGTCATTTAAATTATCCTTTATTAAATCTAGAGTTCTTGCATTTGTCTCAGGTAAATTAATTTTGTAGTACTCATTAAATAAAGAGCACATAATAGCAGTTCCGTGTCTTGTCCCTCCAAAATTTCTTTCAATTGCAGTTTTTACACATTTAAGAGTATATTGACTTGTACTCACGTCTTTTTTAGATAAATTTAATGAGACATTTTTAATTAAATGGTAAAAGTCTCGTAATCCATAAAAATTTGCAATTTCTGTTTCTTTAGTTTGATTTTTAAGTCCTGCATAAGCCATAGTAAGCTTAGAAATAACATGCTCGTAAGTTTTATTTTCAGTGTATGATTTATAAATACTTAATGCAGTCAATTCCAAATCCTTTTCATCAGGATCAGGCCTAGCTAAATATAGCGCTCTATTCATTTTAGAGGCATCTAGTCTTCAGTTAGAAATTCCAATAAATCCAACATTTATATTTTTTTTTTCTAAATAGTTATGAAGAACTTTCAAAGGATTGCGCTTTGATAGCTCAGCTAAACCAATTTCATCAAATACAATTACAGCTAAAACCCCATGGTTTATTTTTGGATATCTTTCTGCATTTTCAAACACCTTAATAATTGATTCAGATTTGCAAGTTTCAGAGCCTTGAAAATGAACCATTTTAAGTTCTGGCAATGTCCTAAAATAAGGATCATTTGATTTTTTACCTGTGAGATTAGAAAAAATTAATTGTACTGATAAAGATTTACTACTTCCTGGCTTCCCACATATAAAAAGAGGTATTTTATTAACAATGCATGGAATAGCTGCAAAAATGTTTTCCTTTAAAGCATTATTTAAAGCTGTTCCTTTTGGTAATTCCATTCTTGATACAAAATCATTTTGCTCAATTTCAATGATTTCTTTTATTTTTTGTATATTTATTAAATCAGGTCTTCGAAGAGAATCAACAATTTTATGCAAAAATTTTTCTCTATAAATATGAGAGGCAATTCTTAAGTAATAGCAAAGAGAAAAAGCAAGAATTCCAGCTGAGAGTTCAATTTCTCTAAAGGTTCCTTCATATCTTATGCTTCCCCTGTATATTTCTGCTGACTCAGTGCACCGATCATAAATGGATTTTTTAAACCATAAATACAAATCAACGAATCTCGAAACATCCCTTAAACTAACACTGCTAACGTCTTCTTCTTCCTGAAAATGCTTGTGGGCAAGGCAAATCATGCTCACAAAAATTTCTTTATGCTGCGATTTAATTTTATCAAGCATAGTGGATATATAAATCCTTACATTTTCATGTGTAAGTGTTCCGAAATCCCATACATAATCAATCATTGTTCCAGGGAGAGGCTTTACTACGTGGACAAGTTTACTCTCATTTTGCATTCTTCTTTCCTTTTGAATTCCAACATTTTCTAATATGTTTTTGTTTGAAGAAACTCTATAAGGATTACAAGCTCCAAGAAATGCGATATTTGGGGGCAAAGGATTACCATCAAGTGTTCTTTCACACATAATTTCACAAATCATACCAATGGAATCAGTCGTGTTGAATTCGTCGAAAAATACCCACAATTTCTCATTTGAGTCGATTCTTCGGGATCTGTCTATTAATTTTCTCATTTCTTTTCTTATATCTTCTGATGTTATGCCTGCATGAATACTTATTTTGGCAAAAAGATGAGTCTCTTCATTTTTAGTTTCTTCAGATTTTGTAGCTATCGGTTTTCCTAGTACTTTCTTTACGAGAAACTGGATCAAAGATGTTTTCCCACATCCAGTTTCCCCCATGATAATTACTGGCAGTCCTGAATAAACTCTAACTCCCCCCGATTCTCATATGCAAAATTTTTAAAAATATATAAAAATATATTAGTTATCAAAAGCTTCGGAAGATGTGCCTAATGAAGTTGTTTTCAGGGCTTTGAGACTACAGAAGGCTACGTAATCAACCATCAGAAGTGATTAGTCATCAACCTAGGTGAATAATCTAAAAGAAAATAGAGATTCTTTAAAATTAAAAAAAAAATTTTAATTCAATAAGGAACAAATTAAAATTTATATGGTTTAAAAGGGTAACTAATAAATCAAAATATTGAAAATTGATATTTTATGAAATTAATTCAATTTTTTTTTTGCTGTAAAAATAACTCTTAACCCTCTTATTTAAAAGTAAATATAAAAAACATATATATAAATTTTTTTTCCAAAAAAATTTTTTTAACCCCATCCTTGATCGAACGATGGCGAGTCGTCGATCAAGGATTGGGGGGAGTAAGGTAAATAAGGTTCATTTTTAAGAAATTATCAGGTGTCATAACATAGCTATCTTTTTTATATAAAGTTCCTAAGTCTACTCGATCTTTATTATAGCTGCTTAATTTGTCTAAAAGCTGAACATGAGTCATGCTTGAATAATCATCAATTTTAAATCTATTTTTTTTTATCATTTTTGCTAGTTCTGGCCCGGGGATTTCGTAGTTGCTTTGTAAAAATAGCAGTTTTTGGAAATTTCTTGGGACAAGGTCTCGGTCTCGGTAAATTGGTATAAAAGATCCATCATCAAGGAAAATCAGATGAAAATGATTGGAGGATTCCCATTTAATATTACTTTGGTATCGTGATACTAATGAAGAAATTTCATGCAATTCATCAATTTCGTTCTGGGAAATTTTTTCTGACTCCGCCCCCCCTTTAAATTTTAAATTGGGACAAAAAATTTTGTTCCAATTTAAAGATGGATTAATTTTTTTTTTTAAAAAAAATCAATATAAAATTGTTTATAAAAAAAAAAAAAATTTTCAAAAATTTATCCAATTAGATTAATAAATTTGTTTAATAAAATGCTATTTACTCTTTATCCTTTAAAAAAAAGCAATATATAACTAAATTTTCATTATAGATTAATACGCCACTATTAATCGGTATCAAAATTATTTACACAAAAATTATTTTTTTATTGATAAAAAAAAAAATTTAGAAAATTTATCGATCAAAGTGCTAATTTTGTTTAAATAAGATGTTATTTATACTCTATTCTTTAAAATAAAGCAAGAAATAAGTAAGTTTTAAAATTTTATAAAAAAATTCGCATTGAATTTATATCAAAACTATTTAAATAAAAAATATCATTTTTATTAAAATAAATAAATTTTATTTTTAAAATTTAGCAATTAAGGATAATAAATTTATTTAAATAAGATGCTGTTTATACTCTATTCTTTTAACAAGAGCAAGCTATAACTAAATTTAGAATTTTAGTTAAGAAGAAACATTTAACTTATATAAAAACTTTTTATATAAAAATTATGTATAATTTTTTATTATAAAATTAAATTTTTTTGTTCCAATTTAAAGGAATTTAAAGGGGGTTAATTTACAAAAAAAGTGGTAATTTTATCTATATTTTGTTTCAATTTAAAGGAGGGGAGTGAAGATTTTTCTTGGATTTCTTTGACATTTGATATAGTAATTGCCCGAGGATGGCGCTATCTTGCGCCATCCTCGGGCAATTTAAAAAAATGGCCCCACACCGGAATTGAACCCACGTGTGGGGCCATTTTTGGTGTGTGTAGAACATCGACTTCCACGCACCAAAAATGGCCCACACGTGGGTTCAATTCCCGGTGTGGGGCCATTTTTGAATGTCCGAGGATGGCGCAAGATAGCGCCATCCTCGGGCAATTACTATATGCATTTAGTAGTGAATTCTTTGGTTGATTCTAAAATTCACTCAAAAATCATTGTTCGCATGTGAGTATATTCATCAGCAATAGACTTAAGTGCGCTCTTTTTCAAATTATCTTTATAATTCTTAATCATTTCAGGTGAAAAAGGGCTTATCTCAAATTTCTTTAGTAATCTGTTTAATATTGATATAAATATATGTAGCTGTGCATAAGTGACTTGCTCTTTTTTACTTTGTTCTTCTATAAAATATCTTAAGAACAGCCTTTTTACTTCATCTGATGGTACAATTCTCTTATCTTCTACCGATTTTTCATCATCCAATAATTGGCTATCGTATAATCTCAAATATCTTCCAACAACCTGCATAGGGTGATCAATATTTTCTGGCACAATTAAATCACTAATATAAAATTGATCAAGATGAAAGAGATTGACGAAACTTAAATACTCCACAGTCTTGAAAAGGGAATTTCCAAAAGTATTTGCAGCTTCAATCCAAATTGGAGTGAATCGATTTAATACCAAAATATTTTCGGACGAGCATAAAGTCCTGAAAAGGCAAATATTGATTAAAATTTCATTTAAAAGAGCTGGGTTACTTGTGTAGCTAAGGTTTAAATGCAAAATGCAGCTCTCAGGGACGAAACTTATCTTTGAAATCATTTCACATACTTCTGAATAATTAATGTCACCGCCAATAGGAAAAGTAACTAGATTCAGAGAATTCGTCATTGCTTGATATCTCATATGAGTTGTTTTTCCAAGTCCTGCGTGAGAGGAAGTTATCACATAACTCTTTAAATCAATATTTTTGATTAATTTTGTTATATCTTCATCATGCAAAAATTGATTTGTACTGAATCTGGCTACTTTTGGAACAGTTAAGGATTTAAAATATTGAGATAAGTAACACTTTGAGTTTGCTGTAATTATAGCTAACCCTGATTTTATATGTCCTGATCCTAAAAGCTCATTAAAAAGAGTTTTAAATTTAATTTGATTTTCCAAGGAAAGATTTTCACAGTTAATAAGTGAGTAAAAATTATCATAAGGATCTTTAAAATATCGGTATAAAAAAGCTTTTAGCTCTCTCCAATAGGTAGAACTCTTGCAAAATAAAACCTGTGATGCTTCAGGGAAAAAACCGGTATAGCATTTATAAATAGAAAAAATTCCATTGAGGTATTTATTTGTTGATAGAAAAATAATTTTGTCTTGAGAATTCAATTTTTCACCTAAACTTCTCTATTAAAAGATTGATTTATCGATTTCAAAGTAATTATTATTTTAAAATAAAAATTTGACTTATATTGATAGGAAGCCAATTACAAAAATGGAAATTTTATAGATAAGGGTGGAGTAAGATATAAGTGTTCCTTTCAAGGTTTCCAGTCTTTTTTAGAATTTCTCCTAATTTAACTAGTCTATCTCCTGGCATTCCATCTTTAATATATTCTTGCCGATAACGAATTTCGCTTTGTTTTCCCATAAATCTTAATATATTTTTAGCTTCTGACATTTTTTCACAATTTGGATCAATAATATAATCTTCAATTGTCCAAAACTGTTTTCCACATAAAAATGTCAGTCAATAGCATTTAGAATAGGCGTCGCTTAAATCAATTTCCCAGACTTTAAATAAATCCAAAACCTCATCTTCATATTCCTTTACAGTATCATATTTTCCATCATTGCATTGAAATTCCCTACCTATTGTTTTTTCTAAATCAGGGTAGCCATTCTGGTGTAAATCATTCATGCAAATAATGATACTATTAATAGAATTGACATAATCTACGAAAACAGGAAAATACTTAAGATTTTCATCTTCTGGGTCGCCGAAGGAGTGAGAAGTGTGCATTATCAGCTGAGCTCTGCTTTTAAGCTCACTAAGTGTTGCTATATCAAATACTTTTTGGCTACTTGGATATCGCAAATGTATATCAAATTTATCATTTTCAAATTTAATGATAAAAATTGAATTTTTTGAAATTTCTGATATATGCTTCTTTTTGGCTTCTTCTTTACAGTTTACTTCTGTGTGCAGTTCTGTTATAGCACGAAGATTTGGGGAGCATATTTGGAGCTGCTGAGGGACTTCCATAAATTTTTTCCCATCATCTCTGTTTAATTCAAATAAATTGCATAAGTTAAAAAAATTTGAGCAAGATCTTTTAATATCTCCAATGCAGTATCATAAGTTTTCTAAATCAGAAATAGTTTTTGTGTCTACAAATTCATTTTCAAAGTTACTCACGCCTACTCTTATTTGATCTATCTCGTCTTTTCTTAAATCCAGCAAAAAGAGCACTAATTCTTTTGATTTTCCTATTTCTTGAAGCGTGGAAATTATACAATCCTTACTTTGTCTTGAAAGACTTCTATCGAACAACTCATGAACTCTTTCTGAAATATTTAAATATTCCCCAATATTTGAGTTCTCAAGTTCTGATGAAAATTCAATATATTTAGAGCATGCTTCTAAAGCATTTCTATCAGCCTCTACTGCAATTTCTTTCAGTTTCATTAATCCATGGCATGCTTTCATAAGAGTTTCGTGCTCTTGGTAATTATGTAAGCATTTTATAAGAATATTTTTATTTTCTTCATCTAATGGAACAAGAAGACTAAGAAGCATAATTTCATCTTCAATACTCCTTAAATTAGAAAATAGCTTGACAATTTCTTTCATAGGATAAGCATTAGTATCTCTAAATAATTCAGTTAAATTATTGATCATTTTCTGATGGGCATCTTCACATGTTGATACTATAATTTTAATTGAAGAGGACGGCAATAGTAAAGATTTGTACTTGGCGAGATAATAATTATTGAATATAAATGAGTCAATTGCTGGACCAATTTTTCATGAGACTCCAATAATTAATATCATCTCGTTTGGAAATGAAAAGCTAGCAAGCTGAGTATTTGTATATTCCACTTTAAAAGCATTGCATGCATTTTCTATATTTTCATATTCTTCGATTATATTTTGGAAATGATTAGTAAATTTAGCAAAAGATTCAAATTCTTTCTCTATTAAATTTCTTTTTGTTATAATATTTTCTATGATAAATGAAAAGTCTTGATCTCTTCTAATAAAAAATTTAAAAGATTTTTCTAACAAATTTATCATAGCAGCTCTCTGGCTTGCTGTTTGGATTTTAATAATATCAATTTGGTGTAATTCAATATTTTCTTCAAGCAGCTTATTTCCTATTTCAGATAACTTACGTATTAGGAACTGCGAATATATTAATGGCTCATAGTACTCATAAGAGCTCAAAATAGAGCTTCATATAATTTGCTTTTCAGGTTTTTCAAATAAAGCAGTATTTAATTCGGATTCTGTATATTCAAATTCTGTAGAGGAGAGTTGATTATCTATAAGAGTGCTAAGAATTTTATTTGTCGGATATTTCATGTGGCGCTTGAAAAATTTTTCCAGTACTATATACTTTTGATGGCTAACAGAAATCTTATTATCCATAATTTTTTTATTTTCATACTCCAATTCTGCTTTTATATAAACTACATTTAATAAATCATTTTTAGAGTCATCGATATATCTTGCACAGTCTAAAAATTCGATTTTTCTTTTTTCGCATATTGATAAGAGCTTTTCTATCAAGACTTCACAAATAGTACCTAAATTTTCTTTGTCCTTGATCAAAAGAGTTTCTTTCGTAAATTGGTAAATAATCTCATTTAGTTTTAAGTCTTTCAGTGCAATGCTTTCTGCCCATTTATCAAGAAGTTTAATCAAAGATGTTTTAAAGCCAAAAACATTTCAAATTTCATAAAGCGGAGTATTAAAATCTTTCATAAGCTTTTCAGATAGCACAACTGCATAATCATAGTCAGAAAAAAATGGATCAGAGTACGTTTTGAATATCAAATGATATGATTTCATCCTAGCTTCTTTTTTCTCATTACTTTGGTTTATAACATTTCATATAATGGATTTTATATTGTCTATATATGTTAAGCATTTAAATCGCTGATCCAAACCAGAAACAGCCTTAAAAAAATCAATGACATCGTTCATAGACACTATATAGGTCTGACAGAACTCAAAAAGCAATTTCCAGCATTCACTTATTTGGCCATCTGAATCATTTTTCAAAATAATATTTTGTAAATTACTCAAAAAATCCTCACAATTCAAATTCCAATTTGAAAGTGCTAAATGTCTGAAAAGCTTTAAAAACTCTTCAAATTTATAAAGACTAATTTTTTCAAGAATAAATGCTTTTTCTTCTAGTCTTAAATAAATTTTAAATAAACGCAAGTCTGCTAAAAAATGATTCAATATAGAAAATTTCAAAAAATCATTCAAATCGTAATTAAGAATGCTCATCCAATCTTCTCTTTTTTCTTTAATGTTGAATATCATTAAATGGACTAATCCTTCTAATGAATGAGGACTAGATGCCAAATTTTGCATGTTTTCTGAGTTTTGTAATAAGATAGAAGATTGACAGAAATTGACTTCTTTGTATTGTATCATTGAATGAGGAACACATGAAATCAAAGAGATCAAGATATGCAGCTGATCTGCTGATAAAGAAGGGTTTTCGCTTATAAATTCTTCCACTATTCTAAAGAAGATGCTTGCGTTTTCTCAAAAAGCAGTTATCTCAATTATATATTGTGCTCTAAATTGTTCGATAAGCATAGGAATTCTTCTCTCTCAGTCCTGATTTCTTAATAAAAAATCAGTATAAATTGATAACTCTTGCAGTGGATCAGTTTGAAATTTGTCAATAGGGATGGTTTTTGACTTCTTACTAGGCTTAGAAGCTACTTTTAAACCAAACAAGAAAATATGTTGGAAATGTATATTCAATGTTCTTATAGGATCAATAATTGGCACGTTTACTTTTATATCTTTATTTTTTGGATCTTCTGAAAAAAGCGTTATCTTGATACGTCCATCCCACCTATCCCGAGGCAAAAAAGGGATAGTAAATATTTTTATATTTGGGCTAAATTTTTCATAATAGCCATTATGCATATAGAATTTTTCACAGTTTCCTTTATTTTCCCTTGTAAAAACTAGAGAACAATTTGTGAGATTTTTAGAGTTAAGATTGCACAAAGCATAGACATAGTTAAATTTTTGCAAAGAACTGATGCTTTCTGGAGAAATTTGATTAGGCAAGGAGTCTGTGCTATCTATATCTGTAAAAGATGATAAAATTTGATTTCTGCTTTTCATCTCAATTTCAGGATTACTTGAAGAACCTTGCGCCTGCAATGATTTGGAAAGAATTTCTTTTTTTGGATAATTAGAAGTACTTTTCGAGCTTTCTTCTTCCTTCTTTTCATAAGTTTCGTCTTTCTTTTTATCCTCTTCAGACTTCTCTCTTCCCTTTATGCTACTCATATTTTATATAAAGGCTGGATTCTACATATTTACTAAAGCTTTATTAAGATTTCTATACTTTTAGAAATAGAGTTTTTATTTATAAATCAATTTTATTATTATGGTCACCACTCCCAATAGAATTAATCTTTTTAATTTTTACAATTCTTCCAATTAATTCTTAAATTTTTTATTTATAACTCCTATTTTTTCGTTGTATTTCTGATCATAATTATTAACGGGTACCACTCCCAAGTGAGCCATAAAATAAAGTATATAAAACTAATTTAAAGTATATATATTTTTGCTTTCTATTTGAGCTTTATTTTGCATTTCCAGCATAAATAAACTCAAATTATTTAACTTTATTTCAAAGTTCAGCATTCAGTTTATTTGCGTCATTCATTAATTATTATAGAGAAGCTCCACTAATGGCTGCTCACGTCACTTGCTTCGCACATCCCCTTGCTTGCCAGTCTGATTGCAATGCCTAAAGCTTGTGCTGCTCCCTCCAGATAAGGCTTGCACATGCTACTCGGAGGTAAAGACGCTGGGTCACCGTCCAGTACGTCGACGAGGTTGCCTTTTCTTAAAATTCAAAAACTGAATTCTCTGGTCAGGCTATAGGCCCAGATGAAACTTGTAGCCCAGGGCACAACTTCCGTATTGCGCTGGGAAAATGCCCGATTGGCCAAGCGAACGCCCTCTGGCCTTGCTGGGCGATTCCTTTCCAAACCAAGTTCCATCCTCTTCCTCAGGGTAAAAACTTTGCCATGAACGTAAGCCTGCAGTCGATCAGTTCGACATTTCGCTCTCCACTAGACAATTAAAACCCAGCGAATGCACATGCCGAACACTACTGCCTCCCCAAACTCTTTGTTTGGATACCGATATTAAGAGGGCACTTGGTTCGTTACACTATATTTATGCATCAGTTTCTTTGTGTCAGGCTTCTTAGCAGCAAAAATCATCGTGCATAAATAGTCTCTTATTGTGACTCTATTTAAAGATGCAGATAAAAGTGCATCTTATATTTATTAAATGCTAATTAAAACTGTGTATGCAAATATTAAATCTGGAGCACAGTTAAAATGATAAGAGTAGTTCCCTTTCTTTGGGCTCAGTGAAGGGAAATTTAGGCTTTCTAGGTTTTTTTGCCTATAGAGACACTATCCTCTGGATCTGGGTAACAGAAGAAAGAGTGTTCTTTGGAGCTGATGGTGAATGAATGAATGAATTAATGGTTATCGCCCAACTAAGTGGACCAATTAAAAGATCTTCAAAAAAGTTCCAGAAATTTGTGAAAAATTCCCAAAAAATTTCTAAAAAGTAAATACAAGTAAATAAAAATAAGAGTAAAAGGTAAAAAGTAATTTTCACAAAAAAATCAATGCACTACCTGCTTGCGCCTCCAATGCAGGCCATTGAAATTTTTGCCCTGTATCATGTGCTGTATTCATGCCATCACCCACTGCACCACGCTTTCATCTTCGCTTCAACTCCTGCAGTCCATGAATTCAGCACTGAAGAGACTACTGCTGACGCAAAATCTCCTCTCACACTGCAACTCCTTTCAGAATTGACAGGATAAGCACTTCCTAACTTTTGGCGCAAAAAGCGCCATTATGTGCGGGAAATGATTATGGAGCTGATGGTGAATGATCTTCTAATTCATGCAACTGCCTATCTATTGTTCAGAGCGGAGCTCGCATCTCATGTAAAAGGATTCAGAATACAGAAGATTAAGCTATTTAAGGGTTATTTTACTAACTAAATCTGGAAAGCTAAGTGCTACTTGCAAATTTTCTACCTCTTTGCAAAGCTATTATCTTATATTTAATCTATAATCAAAGACCCTTCAGGATGGGATTCATCGGGCAGTAGGATTAAGTTTATTATGCTTGAATAAGATCAGATATATATTTAGCAGTAACATTTTTATTTTATTATTAGCACTTATATTAAGAAATTTACTATCAAAATAATAGGATAGTTATAAATATTAAATAGGCTCCTTTATGAGAATTATGATAAAAGTGCAAATTTTCTGTAGTTTATCCAAAATTTATTAATAACGCATATATTTTTTTGAATAGCTCTGGAGTAATACCTAAAGAACTAAAGAAGCGATCTGAAAAAAATCGCAAATACTATTTTCATGGCAAGTTCATGATTGATTTGACGCACTGAAACAAAAGATACATTCGTTAAATTTTATCTACACTTTCAGAAATCCATTTGACTTACCAGATTGTTCTTGCCTCTTTAGTTATTGTTTCTCAGCGATCTAAATGGGTTCTCAAGCTATGTTGATTTATTTAATTATTTGCAAAAACTAACATAAGATCTTTATAAAAATTGTTTTAATTTGCAAAGAAACACCAGGTTATAGCATAGCAAATTAAGAATTTAATAAAATGAGATTTCAATATATGTTGTCAAAATTTTAACACTCAAACTCTTTCTCAGCTCTATTAATTATCATAGTCATCGTTTATTAGGCCATCTTGTAAAATTAGAAATATCGTGATAGTGAGCAATTCCTCCTTCCCTTCTTTCTACTTTTTAATAAAGAAAATATAAAGAGCCTGCATAATCAAGGAGTTTAAGATATATTAAACTTTATAGATTATTTTCTTAATTTTTAAAAGAAATTAACCACTCAGCTTTCAATAAATTTCACTTAATATTATTGTTAGTCTCTACCTTCATCCCAATTAATAGACTCACGCTGTCTTGGCACTCTCCTTCTGGCTGCAGCAGCCTGCCTTATCTGTGAAGTCTCTGTTCTGTTAGTAATAATATTATGATTTTTTGCATATAGGAATTCATATGCTCTTAATGAGTGAGAAATTTCGATTAAACTTGGAAAAACTTCACTTAGGCTATCAATTTTCCATTGTTCGACACTGATGTCCCAAAAATCATATCTAGAAATATAAGTGCTAAGCTTATCACCTGGCTGCAAATCAGCAGTAGAATTTCGGATTATAAACCTCATTAATGCGTCTTCTATTTGGAATTTAGTTGGATAAAACTGAGGACGCTGATCACACATATTGATTAGTTCTACGATAGAAGCTTCTACAAGGTTAGCCTTATCAACTTGCTTGTATTCGGGGTTTATAAAACCTTTTGTGAATGGGAAATATCTTGCTTCAACGATCTGATATAAAGAAATGACATATTCGAGCTTAATTTCTGAAATCCTTGTACTGTCCTTCAAATGAGTTGAAATCCCTGAGGAATTCAACTCCTTGCAGAAATCTCGAATTGAATAGTCATTTTTTCCTTTGGAATAACGAAGATAGCAAATTACGTAGTTAAAAGATGTATAAATATCCTTAAGCGCCATAGAGTAATTCATTCGTGCACTCCTTTCTAGTTCACTGATATATCCTAATATGGTAGAGACGACTACCTGAATTTAAGGAACAATTTCCTCAACACCTGAAAGGCAAAGGAGAGTCAAGATATAAGTGCGGCATCCTTAATTTATTAGGGCAGAGTTTTTCTCATTCCGCAGGGTATGATATCTGGCAAATAGGATTTTCCTCATGATATAGAAGTTGGAAAGAGCCCAGTCAGCCAGCAATCATCCTCAAGATTAGGTTTCATCCCTATCGAGTTAGGGACTCTGGAAGCAGCAGGTGCTCTGTGTGAAACTTGCCCTAGAGCAAGCAAGGTATGATTTAGTCTAAGGCTAGGCAATCGGTGTGCTTTTAGAGGGTGGATGAGCTTTAAAGGTGAAAATCCTCAGCCGATTTCAAATAGCACATCATTTAATTTAATTTCTAGTTCACTGACTCCCTCCCTTTAAAATTGGATCAAAAATTGGTAATATTTGCATTTTTTGAGTACTTTAAACCCCTTTAAATTGGAACAAATTTGGTTTTCAATAGAAAAATTTTAAAATTAGCTTAGACTTAGTTTAATAGACAATATACTAGTGAAGTTATATTTAAACAGAATAGAATTAAAAGAAGAAGATACTAGTTTTTAAAATTAGCTTTGACCTAATTTAGTAGATAAAATGCAATTAGAATGCTATTTAAACAGTTTTCACACTGAATTTTGTAAATTATTTCTTTATAAAAATAAATTAAATTTAAAGCATTAAACTCAATTTATATTGTTTTAATTTTTATAAAATTATTTTATAGAGAAAAATTTAAATATTAATTTTTATATTACCCCTCTTTTAAATTTTAAAAGGAGGAGTGAAAAATAATTCAATGCTATGCAAACTTTCTGCACCTAATGCTTTTTGAGGGATAATTTCTTTAATCTCTAATAAAAGCCCTGATTCTTCGCTTGTGGTGTTTAATAACTCAAATTGATATTGAATTAAATCAAGTCTAGTTGTATCAATCATTTTAGCCAAAAGCAGTTTTTTAGTCAACAATTTTTGCATCCTTTCAAAATCATATATAATTTCCCTACCTTTTCCATATATAGGATTGCTGAATGAGCAAACCCTGAGCAAATCACTATCATCTATATGGAAAGATATTATATTTTGCTGTCTTAATTTTTGCAGCGGATATTCCGTTATCTTTTTTTGTTCTTCTCTATCCCTAGAGTTATTCGAAATAATTGAATTTATTTGTGAGAGATACTTATTTTGAATTTCAGCTAACTCATTTAAGGCAGCAGCCATGTACATTCCAGCGCCTAAAGCTTTATTATCAACAAGAAAATAAGAAAGTGGGCTTTTAATATCAAAATTAATTGGACTCAAATCTTTGCAGCCATAGTGAAGATTATCAATTCCTTTAGCTTCCCATGCTTCAAGAAACTTTTTAAATAGAGGCTGGAGCTCTGAATGGTTATTTATGGCTTCACCAATGGTAATATTTAATGCATCACTTCGAAGAATTTTATGATTGTATATATCTAGCAATTTATTTGTGAATTCTATTATTGGATAGAGAGATTCTATTTTCTCGATTTCCTCAGAGTTTTCTAAATAAATACTAATCAATCTAAACTCCTTTGCTGATTGGTTCAATAAAAACTGATTTCGCATATTTTCCAGTGATGGTTTGTCTTTTGTTCTGAATAATTCTATATAGGGATAATTTTTATCATTATTTAAGCTGATAATTTCATTTACATAGTCTTTAAAAGAATATTGGATTTCATAATGATTTCTAAGAAGTGTTGAATATTCCAAAATAGAATTTTGTGGGTTGAGATTTGGGATAATCAATTTATTTTCAAATTGTATTTCAAAAACATCTCTCATATTAGAAGAAAGCGGATCAAAATCGCACTCAGATAGCAGCTCGTCCAAATTTGATATTATCTTATACTCTCATAAATGGCCTGAATTTGAGCCACTTAACTCAAGTAATTTTTCATAGTCTAATTTTACAGATCTTCTTAAGCACCCATAGCCGGATTCTTGCAAGTGGGAAGGGTTTATTAATACTTCAAGAGTTGTGCTATCAATTGATCCTAATTGATTTAATGCAAAAATAACACTGCTTAAAACAAAATGCTGAGCGAGGTAGCTTGCTGGTTTTAGGTTTCTAACTGAGCTGATATCTCCTATTAGAGATCCAAAGAACTTTAAGCCTGCATCTGCTTCTCTACGATGTCTTATGACAGCATTCTTAATAAAATCATATGCTTCTCTATGATATAAATTTACATGCCCTTCTCTTTCTACCAGCTTATGACGTGTCCCTCCAATTTTTCTACCACAGAAAGGACACTCAGATTCCTGAGTTGGGCCTCCACATTTTGTTACAATATAAATATAATCACAATCGCTTGAACATTTGTAGGTGCTCCCTTTAGAATATTTTTTACTCCAAGTATCAGTTATAAAGGATTCGAAATTATCATAAATTTCTTGAGTATACTTATGCAATGGGTTAGGCTCTGCTCCAAAAATAAATCGGCTGTTAAATCTTTCAATTAAATTATCTATAGTTCCGTTTTCATTAAAGAAAAGAGAAGAAATTGGGTTTCTCCTTTGGCTATATGACAACGCAACTGTAAAAATCCCAAGAATTGTTAAAATTCTATGTAAATCTAATTCTGATGTATTTACTTCGAGTCTCAGGTCAGAATTAACTGGAAAATTATTGATATAGCAGAAAAATAGTTGATAAAATTCTTGACCTAAAGTAGTGCGAATTGCATCTTCTTTGAGATTAAACCAAATAATAATATTTTTGTTCATTTCTTTTTCTTTTGAATAAATTGAAAAGATTTCATTTAAAAACGCAATTCCTAAAGCGAGCTTTTGTTCAGGACTCTCAATTTCGTTAAGAATTCTATCATTTTCATTTTGGTCACCAACTTTATTCAAAATATTTCTTAGGCATTTTATGTTATTTTTATAGATTTCTGATATACGAGGAAAAACCAAAAATGATTCTAAATTTAACTTCATTTGTGGCTGTTTTTCTTCATCAAGTTCTTTTATACGGTTAATTCATATCAGATTAGGATACTCTTGTATGAAAGTACTTAGATCACATTTTGTAATCAATAATATTTTTTTAAGGCAATGCATTTTTAAAGTGTCGCCTATGTCTGACTCAGAAACAATTGTGCCTATATTATTAATTATTTCATTTTCTTTGTTAGAAATTATCATTTTTTTAGCAACCACAAAGCAATAAATATCGAGATAACTCTTTACCATAATCAAAGATACTAATTGTTTCACATTTGAGAAATTGATGTCTCTGTTTTTTGCAGTCCTCAAAAAATAATTAAAAATCTTTTCCTCCTCGCAGAGCTTTCTCCTATAATATTCATCTTCTTGATCATCTTGATCTCTATCTTTTACCAATGTTTCCAAGTTATCACTTAAAATTATACCGAATTTGCTACAAATTCTTTGGTTGGATAAAGCTCTCTCTATTTCTTCTAAATAATTGTTGCTAATTAGCTCAAAATCAGCATTTGTATCATCTAATATATTCTTTTTTAGTTTTTCTATAGAATTTTTAATTTTTGATCTACTTGTAATTATATTCATAATCTTTGTAGAGTATTGCCAAAATTCTTCATTTTCAAGTTCTTCAGCGATATTTGCTATATAGTGTGGTTTGTGGTTTACCAAAAGCTTAAGAAAAGAGCCCATGAATTTATAATACTCTGATGAGTTTCTATATCTGTTTTCAACAATTCTAAAAACTGTATTTGCAAACTCATCTGTGAATATCTCTGAAGTTCTTTCTATATTTATCTCTGGTGCTTGAAAAGAAAGATTTAACAGAATTTCCCATTTTCCATTATTTTTTGCAATTAATTTGCTAAATAACACCCAAAATTCAAGAAAGTCGAGACTATCAATAGAAGCACGCTCCTTTAATTCTATTTCAGTAAGTAAATAATACATTTTTTCCGCTTTGTTTGAATATTCCAAAACATTGAATTCGTGGGAATTGAATAAATGAGGCTGCATGTTGCCTATCAGCATCTTATAGACTGAATTTAGAGCAGTTTTCCAAATTTTTTGGTTTTCATCTTTACCAGCCTCAAACGAGTCTATATCAATTAAAATATTTTCCAAAACGGGAGTCACGCTCACAGTTAACTCTGGTAGAACATCAATTGCATTGCATAATAAAACGCCAAGCTCTGCGATTTGCATGAATGAAATTAATTTTTCCTCAAATAATTCATCATCATGGAAAACTATATTAAGCAAAATTAAAATCATTTTTTTATGGTCTAAACTCAACAAATTTTCTTTAAGATAAATGGAGACGAGGTCATTGAAATACAGATCTTGAAGCAGGAAATGTTCTCCATTGAAATCTATGGCTTTTTTATATATAGATTTTTTATTATATTTTTCATCAAATTTCTCAAAGGAAGTTTGAATAGGGTTTTTATTCATTTCAGAAATTTTATATAAGTTAAAAGCATCTTTAACAACTTTGTAGTCCATTCTTGAAAATGGAAAATAAAGTTCATATTCGTATTTTAGCAGATTTCCTTGGTTTAATCTTTGCAGTCCAATATTATTGTCTACTGTCAAGCTCTTAAAAATATCAAGCCAGATCTGTTTTCTAAAATTATTAAATTGGGCGTAATAACTGCCAAAAGGCTGAACGTAGCTTAAAAGAGCACTTTTTTCCTCGAGGACATAAATAATCAGCTGTAGAGCGCTTTCTATTTCCATTCCAAGAACCTCTGAAATGGCCTCATGCAGGTTCGCAGAGTCATCAATAATCTTAGAGTTTAAAAAGATCTCTTCTTTCCAATCTTTCTTTATATTTATTATTTGCAGATATTTCCATATTTTTTCCTTAAAATAGCTAGAAATTTCAGGATCACTCCCAATAGTCTTAATTAAATCATTAAGATAGCTGCTAAATTTGTCTTCATTTTCTGCAGTGATCTCAATTTTAAACGAAAGCACACATTTCTCTGCCAAAAGTTCTATTTTCTTCTCAAAATTAAAAATATTATCGGCAAGAATTAATGATTTTGTATTTTTTGAGATTATTTCATCTGTAGCTTCAAATGAATCAGGATATAAACGATCAAACATTTTCATTTTCCATGATTCAAACAGCATAATATTTGAGTTGTATTTTATATTTCTCCTTATACGAATCAATATACAGAATTTCTTATTTGATTTAGAATTTTCTGAATTTAATTTATCAATCAAAAATTTCACAAGTGGTAGATGGTTGCACTCTTCTCCAAAATCAACCTCTAAAATGAATACCTTTTGGTCCTTATTTTGGTAAAATGCATTTAATTCTTTAGTAAGATCCTGCTTTGAGTTGAAACTAATCATTTCCTTTATCACAATTTTTTCATCGTCATTTGTATTAAAAAATTTTCCTGAAATTCTTTTGTCGTAAGTAAACGCAATCAATTTATCAAATTCGCTTGCATCTTCTATCATTGACTTTATGGTATCTTGGAAGTTAATACAATGCAATTCTTTCCAGGCATTTTTTATATTTTCTTTAAGATCTGGATCTATTGAAATTAATTCTAGTAATATCAAAATATCAGAAGGGGCAATTTCTAGCAGAATATTTTTGCATTTTTCTAAAGTTTCTTTCTTTTTTCCTTGGCTATTGAAAAGTATAAGTAGTGCCAAGGTTTCTCTGTTGTAAATAGGAAATAGATGATTTTTGGTGAAACTTACTATTTCTTGCTCATTGATCATAAAAAATGAATTAATCCAATCTTCAAGCTTTTCTAATAAATTTGTTTGCTTTTTATTAAGAAGCGTATCGATTGATAAATAATGCTTTTCAAACCTATTGAGGAAAGGAGCATCTGCCTTTTCAACATCATCTGGGCTTATCAGCGTAATGGCATGGAATTTTGGATGCACGTAGCAACTGGGATTAAAATTAGCCCCAAGTGAAATTTTACAATATTTTCGCTCACAGTTTTCTACTCCTTGGATTGCAAAGCTTTGATTAAATAAATCATAAAGCGAGCTATAAATATGGTTCATGTCTTTCAAAATGATAGATATCCCTAGTTCCATATAAATTATAATATCATTTAAGCACTCAAAGCCATAATTATCTTGGCTTACATCATTCGCAAGGTTGCTTCCTATAATTATTCTCCTATCATTATGCTGGTCCAAGTATTTATCCAGAATAAAAGTAGCTATGTCAGGCTTGCCAATGAGCATCAAATATCTTGCATTAGGATCTTCTAAATTATCCTTTATTAAGTCAAGGGTTCTTGTATTTAATTCTGGCAAATTTATCTTGTAGTATTCATTAAATAAAGTGCACATAATAGATGTACCATAGCGTGTGCCTCCAAAGTTTCTTTCAATAGCGATTTTCACATATTTGAGAATATCTTCACTGGTGCTTGGGCTTTGCTTTGCAAATTTTTCTGAAACATTCTTAATTAAATGATAAAAGTCTCTCAAGCCATAAAAATTTGCATTTATTGTTTCTTGGATTTGCTGTTTTAAGCCCATATATGACTTAGCAAGATTTATGATTACAGGCACATAAATTTCATTATCAGTATATGAATGATAAATGCTTACTCCCTCAGAGAGGTTAATTTTTTTATCAAAATTTAAAAAATCGAATTCGCAAAAATTGGGACAGCAAAAATTAGTTTAATTTGTAAAATCAATGCTTTTAAAATTCAAGCTGTTAAAATTTGGCAGAATTAGGTAGAGATTTTATTTTAATAATTATAACTTAAACACCAAAACATTTTTATATTAAAAAAAATATTTTGCTCGCTCACAGAGAGCCAAGAAATAGAAATCTTTTAATAATTTTGCTTGCTTATCGAGGGAAAATTAGTGCAGTAAACTTTAAATCTTTTTCATCAGGGTCCGGTCTGGCTAAATACAAAGCTCTGTTCATTTTAGAAGCGTCTAGCCGCCAATTAGATATTCCGATAAATCCAATATTAATGTTTTCTTTTTCAAGATAACTATGAAGCACCTTCAAAGGGTTGTGCTTCGATAGTTCAGCTAAATCCCCCCTTTAAATTAGGCCAAAACTTTTTATATAAAAATTAGTATTTACCTATAAAATTTAATATTAAAGTGAATTTTTTCAAATTTAAACGAGACCCAAAATTGGAAAATTTACCGATATTTAGATCCAATTTAAAAAAGAGTAAGCCTATTTCATCAAACACAATTACAGGAAGCACCTCATGCCCTACTTTTGGATATCTTCCTGCTTTTTCAAACACTTCTATGATTCCTTCAGATTTGCAAGTTTCAGAGCCTTGAAAATGAACCATTGCAAGCTCTGGCAAAGTTCTAAAATAAGGATCATTTGATTTTTTACCTCTGAGATTAGCAAATATTAATTGCACTGATAACGATTTGCTGCTTCCTGGCTTCCCACATATAAAAACAGGTATTTTATTAACAACGCATGGGATAATAGTAAAAATATTTTCTCTTAAAGCATTATTCAAAGCTGTGCCCTTAGGTAAATCCATCCTTGATATATAATCATTTTGCTCTGTTTCGATTATTTCAGTAATTTTTTGTACGTTTATCAAATCAGGCTTACAAAGAGAATCAGAAATTTTGTGTAAAAAAGATTGTCGATCATCATCAGATGCAATTCTCAGATAGTAGCAATGAGCAAATGCAAGAATTCCAGCTGATATCTCAATTTCCTTAGTCCCCTGAGCAGACAAAAAATTTTTTCGCTTACGAAAAAAAATATATATAAATTTTCTAGTAAATTTTTTAAAAAAATCCCAATTCGTAAAAATTAAAATTAATGATTTGATTAAAATTAAACAGATTTAGTTAGAGATTTCATTATATCATTATCATTTATATAATAAAATTTTTTCAATAAAATGCATTAAGGGTTTTGGCCGATAAATAGGGGATTTTACTATAGTTTTGTTTGCTTATGGAGAGGGAAGTTATCATTACTATAATATTTTTCCATTTTTGGGAATTTCCTAATCAATTCTCTTTTTCGATCACAGATTGACTCTCTGAACCATAAAAACAAATCAATAAACCTTGAAACATCCCTTAAGCTAACACTGCTGACGTCCTCTGTTTCTTGAAAATGCTTATGTGCTACACATATTATATCAACGAATAGCTCTTTATAGAGCGATTGAATTTGGTTTAGCATAGTCCATATATAAACTCTTGCATCTTCGTGTGTGAGAGTGCCAAAGTCCCATACATAATCTATCATTGTTTCAGGGAGAGGCTTTACTATATGAACAAGTTTGTCTTCATTTTGGCTTCTCCTTGATTTCTGTATGCCAATATTTTGCTGCATACCTTTTTTAGAAGAAACTCTATATGGGTTGCATGCTCCAAGAAAAGCCAGATTTGAAGGCAGTGGGTTCCCATCAAGGGTTCTTTCGCACATAATTTCACAAATCATGCCGATAGAGTCAGTTGTATTGAATTCGTCAAAAAATACCCATAATTTCTCCTCAATGCTTTCAGCTCTGGCTATTAACTCTGCCATTTTTTCTCTTATGTCCTTAGATGTTGTTCCTGCATGAATATTGATTTTTGCAAATTGAGACTTTTCATGCTCAGCTTCTTCCCCTTTGATTTCCTCATTTATTATAGGATTATATAAACAGTCTTGTGTGAGTCTTTTTCTCTTCGGCTTTCCTAATACTTTTTGAACTAGAAACTGTATTAAAGATGTTTTTCCGCACCCAGTTTCGCCCATAATGATGACTGGAAGACCTGACTGGACTCTAAGATAAATAAGATTCATTTTCAAGAAATTGTCAGGAGTCATAACATATTCATCTTCTGCATACTCTTTATCGAGCTCTACAGTCTTGTTATATGTATTCAACTTATTAAGTAGCTGAACATGGGTCATCTTTGAGTAGTCTTCAATATCATATTTCCCTAATTTTATAATTTTAGCCAGCTTTTTGCCACTAAGATTGTATCTACTTTGTAAAAAAATCAATTTTTTGAAATTTTTTGGGACATGAACTGGATTTCGATAGATAGGTATAAAAGACCCATCTTCTAGTAAAATAAGATGGAAATGGTTAGAAGACTCTCATTTGATATTATTTTGATATTTTGTGATCAAGGAAGAGATTTCATTGGTTTCATCAATTTGATTCCTAGAAATTTGTTCTGAAGATCTTTCTTGTATTTCTCTAACATTTGTTAGATATTTAGTGGTGAATTCCTTAGTTGAGTTTAAAAGGCAATCAAGAATCATTGTTCGCATATTTGAGTACTCTTTGGCAACGTCTCCAAGTGAATTTTTTTCTAAATCTCTTTTAAATTTTTTAATCATTTCAGGCGAAAATGGACTTCTTTTGAAGTTTATTAGTAGTCTATTTAATATTGACATAAAAATATGCAATTGCGTATAAGTTATCTGCTCTATGCCAACTTGAAGCGTAATAAAGTGTTTTTGTATTAAATCTATCATATCTCCTTTTGTCAAATCATCGATTATTTCTACATCATCCTCATCATCGATTGTTTTATTCTCATAAACTTTTAAATATTTCCCCACAATTTGCATCGACTCATCGACGATTAGATGGTTTATATTAAATCTATCAAGATGCCGAGGAGTAACAAAGCTTAAATATTCTACAGATCTAAAAAGACTATTTCCATATGTATTTGCTATTTCAATCCAAATGGGATATTCTCTGTCTAAAACAAAAATATTTTCAGATGCACTTAAAGTCCTTAAAAGGCAAATATTGATTAAAATTTCGTTTAATAATGATGGGTTGCTTGTATAGCTGATATTTAAATGCAAAATAGTTCTTTCATAAGTGATATTGAGTTTCGAAAGCATTTTGCAAACTTCTGCATAATTAATATCCCCGCCGATTGGGAAGGTAATTAAATTAATGAGATCATTGGAAGCTTGATATTTTAGATTCTTTGTCTTCCCAAGCCCCGCACATGATGAAGTTATCACTCGAGTATTAGGGTCAATTGCAGTGATAAATTCATTTATTACCTCATCGTTTAAGAACTGATTGGTGCTGAACCTGTTTACTTTTGGGACAGTTAAATCTTTAAAATACTGCAATAAATAGCATTTAGAGTTGGCTGTGATTATTGCGAGACCTGATTTTATGTGTTCTAGGGTATATAATTCGTCAAAAAGAGCTTTGAATTTGGCTTGGTTGTCTTGGGAAAGATTTTCGCAGTTTATTAGTGAATAAATATTATAGCAAGGGTCTTTGAAGTATCTGTATAAGAAGGACTTTAACTCTCTTCAGTGTGTAGAGCTTTTGCAAAATAAAATTTGGGAAGCATTTGGAAAAGATCCCATATAATATTTATAGATAGAAAAAATACCGTTGAGGTATTTAGTAGTGTCAAGAAGGATGATTTCACCTTGGTAAGTTGGAGATTTGGCGGATTGGTCAAGAACAAACGACTGCTTATCAGAATTAGGAGTATTATCCAATACTTTGCCTAGATTTTCCAATCTTTCGCCTGGAGTTCCATCTGTAATAAGTTCTCTATAAGCAGAAATTGCAATACTTTTGCCCATAAATTTTAGGATATTCTGTGCTTCAATTCTTGAATCACAATTTGGGTTTAAAATATAATTTTCAATAGTCCAAAATTGTTTTCCATTCAAAAATGTAAGACAAAAATGTTTAAGATACGAATGGCTTAAATCAATTTCCCACACTTTATATAAATCAGAAATTTCCTCTTCAAGTTGGCTCACATTTTCATAATTTCCATCATTGCAGCTAAATGAGACTCTAAGCTTGTCTTCGAGCACAGGGTAACCATTTTGATATAATTCATTCATGCAAGTGATTATATTATTTATAGAATTTGCATAATCCACAAAAATAGGAAAATACTTTAAGTGATCTTTTTGCTTGTCAAAAGATTGATGTGAGGTGTGTATCATCAATTGTGCTCTACATTTAAGCTCATTGATGTCTGCGATTGAAAAGTATGGTCTCATAATCTCAGGATAAGTTAATTCAATGCCATATTCATCATTTTCAAATTTAATAGTAAAAGTTGAATTTTTTGTAATTTCTGAAATCTGCTTCTTTTTGGCTTCTTCTTTGCAATTTATATCAGTATGCAATTCTGTGATAGCACAAAGCTGTGGGGCACATATAAGAAGCTGTTGAGGGATTAGTCTGAACTGTTTTCCATCATCTCTGTCCGACTCAAAAAGTTTACATAAATCAAAGAAATTTGAGGAAGATTTTCTGATATCTTGAATACAATACCATAGATTTTCTAAATATAAAACAGTTTCAGTGCTCACAAACTCAATTTCATATTCATTTACATTTCCTTTCATATTTTGGACCATTTCTAAGCTTAAATCTCGCAAAAATAGAACTAGGTCTTTTGATTTTTCTATTGCTTGAAGTGTTTCTATCAGAGCTTTTTTTTGAGGGCCTGATAAATCTTTAAAAAGGCTGTTAATTCTTGCTGAGTTTCTTAAAAATTCTCCAATTGTGGAATGTTTAAGAATATAGGAAAATTCAATATATTCTGAACATAATTCTAGAACATGAAGATCTCCTTCTCCTGTAATTTCTTTAAGATCAATCATTCCATTGCATGCATTTATTAAATTTTCATGCTGCTGATAGTTTTTCAAGCATTGAGTAAGAGTTGAAGTATTTTCTTCATTGGACTTTTCTATCGTAATAAGAATGCGAATCTCTTTGTCAATCTTTTTTATATTAGAAAACATTTTGATAATTTTTTTCATTGGATAATCAGCTGGATGGCTGAATAAATTGCTCAGGTTTTCCTTCATTTTCTTATATGAAATTCTGCAATTGGAATTTATAGTAGAAATATCCAATTTAGACAGTGACGAAGATAGCAATCGCTTGCATTTGGCAAGATAATAATTATTGAAAATATAAGAGTTGATTGCTGACCCTAATTCTCTTGAAATCTCTATTATTGTTTCCATTTTCTCTGGGAATATGAAATTAGCCAATTTGATGCTCAGGTAATTCTTCTTAAATTCTTTGCATATTTCTTCAATATCCTCATAATCTTGCATGATATCTTGAAAATGGTTGACAAATATCCCAAAAGCTTCGAAGCCTTTTTCTATTATATTTCTTTTAACAATAATATTTTTAATGATGCGAGAATAATCTTTTTCTTCTTTTCTTAAAATTCTTTCTGAGCCTTGCAATAAATTGATCATAATTGATTTTTGATTATCAGACTGCTTACCAATAATATCAATTTCGTATAAAGGAATATTTCCCTGGGCTAGCCTATCTCCTACCTCTGATAATGAATTAATAAGAGACTGTGCATACTCAAATTCTTTATAATTTTCATAGGAGGAAATTATTGAAATCCAAGCAATTTGCTTATCAGGCTTTGAAAATAAATTAAACCACTCTGAGTCCTCATATTTCATAATAGAAAGTTGTTTTTCTACAAGTACTTCAATAATTTTATTGGTTGGTTTGAATTTAAAAAACAATTCAAGCACTCTGCATTTCTTTTGGCTATCTGACATTTCTTCTCCAGCTAATTTTTCGTTTTCATCCCTTAATTCTACTTCAATATAAGCTGACCTCAATGAATCATTTCCAGACTCTTCAAAATATTGTGAGCAGTCCAAAAACTGAGTTTTTTGTTTTTTGCATAATAATAGCAGCTTTTCAGCAAAATTCCAGTACATTTTATCTAAATTCTTATTGTCCATTATTTGACTCATTTCTTTATTAAAATAAGAGATAATGCTTTTGATGCTTCGATTTTTACTGATAATTTCATCTACCCATTTCTCAAAAAGCTTGAAAAAAGGATCTCTGAGGCTAAAAATGTTGCAAATTTGGTAGAATGGGATATTGAAATCCTTCATAAGCCTATCGGAAAGCCTAGCTGCATAAATATCATCAGAAAAGAAACTGTCATAATAAGTTGTAAAAATCAATTGGCAACATTTCAGCCTAAATTCCATTTTTTCAGTATCTTGATTTAAAATACTTCATATAATACTTTTTATTGATTCGCTATACAGTAAGCACGTGAAGCGTTTATCAAGCTTATAAACTACTTCAAAAAATTCAATGACATCATTCATTTTTAAAATATAGCCTTGGAAATATTCATTAATTAGTGAACTAAAGCAATCCCCAAGCTCTTTAAGCTCATTTTGAGGCAAGCTATCATTTGCTTCTAACATCAAATTTTGCAAAATAAAAAGGAACTCACTGCAATTTAAGTTATCGATGGCTAAATTTTTAAAAAGTATTATCCACTCTACCCATTTAAAAATGCTGATATTTTCAAGTATAAATCTCTTATCTTCTTGTCTTAATTTAATTTTTAACATCCTTAAATCCTTTAAAAAGTGATCTAAAATTCTGAACTTCAAATTGCTATTTAAATCACAATTAAGGATATTGCATCAATTTTCCCTTTTTTCCATTAGGGTATATACCATTAAATGGACTAAGCCTTCTAATGAATAAGTACTGGATTCCAAATCTTGTAATTTGTCAGTGTTTTCTAATAAAATTAAAAATTGACTGAAATCGACTTTGGTGTATTGCATTAGAGAATGGGGAATGCATGAAATTAAAGATAGAAGAAGGCGAAAATGCTCAATAGACAAGGAAGGGCTTCTAAACATGAATTCTTCAATTATTCTAAAGAAATCATTTGCATTTTTTGGAAACTCAGTAAAAGCGTTTTCATATTTGGCTAGAAATTGCTCAATAAGCATGGGAATGGCTTCCACTAAATCTTGATTGAGTAAAAAATCTGTATAAATTGACAGCTCTTGGAATGGATCAGTTACAGATTCCCCGTCTGGGGTTACAGTTGACAGCCTAAAGCTCTTAGATACTATTTCCAGACCAAATATAAAGCAATGATTGAACTTTGAATTGATTCATCTGGCTTGCTCATTAATTTCCCAATTTTCTTTGAAATTATCGCTATTTTTATCTTCAAATCTAAGCTTGATCTTAATGTACCCATTCCACCCATCAGTGGGAATGAAAGGTACGTGAAATATTTTGATATTTGGGTCAAAATATCGGCAATAATAATCAAATTTTAAAAATTTTTCGAATTTTATAGGCTTGTTATCTGTTCCAATTTTAGAAAGCTTTAAAGAATTGTAAATGCATTCTTCTGGATTGAGTTTATACAAAGAATATATATGATGGGAACCTTCTAAATGATTTTGGACATTATTTAAAATTTCAATTGAAGTATAATCATATTCATCAATATCTTGGAATCCTTCTAGAGCTCGATGAGACAAGTCTTGCATTTCTTTTACATGCTGAGAAGGTATTTCTGGGTCTCGGCTTGGCAAAATAACATTTCGTGGTATAATTACTGGTTCCTTACTCTCTTCCTCCAGGGCTGGCAAGGCTAAAATGGGTTTCTCCTTAGGTGAAGAATCATCTGAACTGCATGGATTTTCTTTTATATCCTTTTTACTTTTAGATTTAGACAATTTCTTCAATGTTTTCCTTTTCATTATGATTATAAAGCCAAAAATCTATAAAAATTTATCAATTCAAATGTAGATTTCTATAATTTTTACTATTAATTTTTTGAGATTAGAAGTTTAAATTATGAATTTTAGGAACAACTATCAGTATTTTAACTTTGGATATTTAATATTTTTTTCCTAAAAAATCAAATGTTGCTTAAAGATAGCGTAATTATTTTATAATTTAATCAAAACAAATGAAGCAATTCCTTTTACCTCTAGTTTAAACGAAGAATAGACCCTTAAAGCAATTTTAAATCTAGTTAAATCTTAATTTTCCCCTCTCTCTATATATAAGCTTCAATAATTAAATTTTTAATTCTAAAATTATCGAATTTTATAATAAATCTTTGGTTTCATACAGCCTTAAAACCTAAACGTTTATTAATTGACTTGATAATCAATATGAGCCTAATTTAAAATTTTAGAATTTTCTAGCACACTAATAGCTTGAAAACTCCTTTCATTTTAACAAAATAAATGGCATACCACTACTGACTTTTAATAATCTATCACATTAACTTTAAACTGAAAGTGAAAATCTTAATGATCAATTGTAACCTTCACATTTAAATTTATTTAACAGACTCCATAGATGATAATAATAATGGGAAATATTTGTAGTAGTGCTTCTATAGACATTGCAAAATCCTGTCATAATGAAATTCCTAGCCCACTCTTTTTATCGCCTCGCCCTATCACTATTGGAAATTTCTTTATTAAGCGAGTTCTCGGCCATGGATCGTTTGGAAAAGTTCTATTAGTTGAGAAACTCGAAACTGGCAAGCTTTATGCAATGAAAGTCATAAATAAAAACTCGCTTGATAGTAAAAAAAAGAAATCTCATGTATTGACTGAGCGTGAAATATTAGCCAATGTGCATAGCCCATTTATAGTGAGGATGCATTATGCTTTTCAAACTCCAGATAAATTATGTCTCGTATTTGACTATTTTGGAGGTAAAAATCTCAGCTATCATATAAGAGAAAACAAGCGATTGACTGAGCCTACGGCTCAATTTTATATAGCTGAAGTGCTGTTGGCATTAAAAGATATCCATGATAAAAAAATAATTTATAGAGACTTAAAGCCTGAGAATGTTCTGATGAGTGAAGATGGACATATTTGTTTATCTGATTTTAACCTTTCCAAAGAAAAAACAGAGAATAATGGCAATGACACAATTTGTGGGACTCCAGAATATATTGCCCCAGAAGTCTTGCTTGGAAATTCACAGGGTCCTGAAGTAGATTTTTGGGGTATGGGAATTTTATTATACGAAATGATAAATGGGAAATCACCTTTTGCATCACAAACTTATGAAGAAACCTATAAAAATATAATTAGAGGGAAAATCAACTTTTCCTACTCCATTTCTTATCAAGCCAAAGATCTAATTAAGAAACTTTTAAATCCAAATCCTAAAAGAAGGCTCGCAAACATCGAGGATATAAAAAATCATGCATTTTTTCAAGATTTGAACTGAAAAGACTTGAGAGAGAAGTATGTGAACCCTCCAATTATACCTAAAAATGACGAGTTTAGATTGTCATACAACTCATCCACAGGAGAGTCTGAAAGTGAAGATGAAGAATACCGAAGATGTGAAACAAATCCTGATAACGTTGGCAGTGAATATAAAAATTTCACTTATACGGAGTCTATGTAAATTTGTAAAATGGCTTAAAAGACACAATTTAATATAACTCTTAACAAAATCTTCTTGGGTATTTTATTGATTTTTATGTTTTGCTAATTATTTTTTAGTCATTATTTTTTATGCTAAAATGGATATGTAAACAGCTGAATAATTTCCTCAACAATTTATCTGAGCTTGATTTTAGTGTAATTTTGAATAATTTTTATAATTTTTTTAGAATTCTTTGAGCTAACTAAACAATTTTATATAAACCTCGATATTTTTTATATATGGATAGAGAATTTTTAAATATATTAACGAGCTGCATGATAATAAATTTTACTGAATGCTTTTGAGCATTGCATTGTTGAAATAAGCCTGAGCAAAAATTGATACTTTGAAAGCATTGGCTTAGATATAACCAAGAACAGCTATTTTTCTCTTATAATTATTGGCAAGCTGTCTAAATTTTTGTTAATAAACATCAACCTAATAATCAGGTCATTCCACCTAGAGCCAGCCAAGCATGCTAGCTTTAGCTTATAGAATATTCCCAAAATCTTAAAACTCTAAATAACTTTGTATGTCAATATTTGTGCCAAATTCATATTAAATACAAAAAAACTGATCACACTTTATATAATAAAAAACCTATTAATCTATTTGTAATCAATCGGCTTTTTAAATTAAGTTGATAAATAATTTCATTTAACTCTAATGCCTAAATTATGCAACATTTTAATGGTACCCACAAAATCTTAATAATTTTAATTTTATAATAAAAAGCATGACCAGATCCCACAGCACGCTTGATAATTACATTGTTATAAAAACTCTTGGAAAAGGCGCTACCTCTAAGGTAAAGCTTGTACAAGATATAGCTACTTATAATAAATTGCCATTTTTTAAATTTGCAGATATTACAATAAAGGATAATTCTATATAAATTGGTATAAAAACACTCAAGAAATTTTTGCAGTAAAAATTTTTAAACCTCCAACAGAGTTGAATTTTGAAAGATACCGAGATTCCATAGCAAATGAGATCAGAAGCCTAAAGCTAGTATCACATCCTAACGTAATTAAATGTTTTGGGTTTAGTGAAAATGGAATTTACATTCAGAAAAGTTCGGGATCTCTCAAGAAGTGTACATATCTAGTTATGGAGGTATGTCCAAATGGCTCACTTTATGATATCATTTTTTACACGGGAATTTTAAATGAGAGAATAACGAGATATGCTATTTATTATAATTAAAATAAAAAAATTAATTAAAAAAAAAATATAAATTAGAAGTTTTAGTTAAAGTCTGATGGTATATCTATTCCATCAGCTGGTCGAGGCCTTAGAATGCTGCCATAATAGTGGGGTTACTCATCGGGATCTAAAACCCCAAAATATTTTATTCGACGAAAACTACAACCTAAAATTGTCAGATTTTGGGCTGTCTATAAACCTATTTGGAAGAGACGGCTCTGGCTATCTGGGAAGTCCAGTAGGCACCGAAAATTATATGGCACCAGAAATCCATATGAGAAATCCTTATGTCGGTACAAATATCGACGTATTTTCATTGGGTGTTATTTTATTTATAATTTATTCATATAACCCTCCTTTTAGGTTTGGGTATTTAACTGATCCATGCTACAATATGTTGGTGAACAACGAAAGTATGTTTTGGGGTTTGCATTCAAGAAATAAGTCAGAAGGATTTTATACTCCAGAGTTTAAATCACTAATTAAAGGAATGCTAGCACTTGATCCAAAGAAAAGATACACTATCAGTGATATAAAAGCTGATAGCTGATATAATGGACCTGCTGCTACTTATGAGGAAGTTTACAGAGATTTGATGTCAAGATGTCAAGCAGTCAACAGAATGGTTGAACAAGTAAAAGAGCAGCAAACTATAAGCTCAACCAGTACGAAATCAACTTCAGCTTCTTCAAGAATTTATAGAGGAGATTCATCTATGTCAGAATTCAGATCTCGATCATTATCAATTGTAATTGATGATCTCTCTGTCAAGCCTCTCCCAGAAAGCTATATCACAGTTAGAAAATTCTCACAATTCGTCACAGATCTAAAGCCAATTGATTTGATCAATATAATTATTCAAGAAATTTATAAAAATGATGGTGAAGTTCAAATTTCACTTGAATTTTATGAAATCAAATCAAAAATTTTCTTAGAAGAAAATGAAATAGAATTCAAGGCAACTGTTTATCAAGTAGAAGCTGACATTTATTTACTTGATTTAATCTGCAAAAGCTCTGAGCAGCGTATTTTCATTGAATTCGTAAAGAAGCTTTTCGAGTCAATCAAAGAAGTTCAAAGTCCTTCAGAAGAATCCAATAATTTTTCAAGTTCTTTTCTATCTGTTTCCAATAATTTCTCAAGCTCTTATCTATCTGTTCCGACTAATTAACCTAGTTTAATTTTTTCTTATAATCTGATTAACAACTTTTATAAGAATAATTATTTATCTTATATATATATTTACCAATTTTCTACGCAAAGGGCGAGTAATAGAGTAATGTGAGTCATTTACGCCTTCAAAGAGCTCGATAGAGAAATTCTCTATTGACCAAAATATGAAGCAGATATTTAGATTAAAGTAATGTTATTATTTTTTGCCAGCTTTTACGAAGAAGTTGGATGGTAAAAATTGTAAAATAAGAATTAAAGCTTGAAAATAAACGAAAGGATAGGATTTTAATCACATGAATTAAAAAAAATAGAATAACTTATATCGGATTAATATCACCATGTGGCTTGACATATGGTGCTGGGTATGATGAAAAGCTTCGTTTCAAAGGTGATTTTCGGAAAACTTCTTTTAAGCTTGGAGTGGGACTGGTGTAAGAATTTGTAATTGTATCTTTTATTAATTTTTTCATCTCCTCATATGAAGATTGTGAAAAAGGCTTGCTAGAAAAAGATAATGACTCTTGCAGCTCCATATATTGGTCTGCCCATTTTCCTAACAATGTATTTAGCCTAACTACCTCTGATTGTTTTCTTAATAATTCTTTTTCACAATTTTCTTTAAGCTCTATAAAGAATTTTCGTCATCTTTCCCGCTCTTCTTTTTGTGCTTTAAACACATCTTTTTCGAAATTATTTAGCATTTTTTGATAAGTTTCTGATTGCTCTTTAAGAAATTCATTTGTTCGTTTTAGCTCATTATTATAAAGCCTTTGAAGCTCAAGACTAGTTTCTAGGTTGCTATATTTTAATTGGAAACTAAAAGTATCCATACTATAGCAGTCCAGATCATCTTTGGACTTAGAGTTTTCTCTTGTGGATTCACAGGAATCAATTAATTTGGTTGTTGATAGTCTTCTTCGTTTAGCTACTGCAGATGGCGTGAATGATTTAAGCATTTGCGCTTTAGGTATTAATACTAGGTCTTTTTTAGATAAATTTGGTTTTTCAGGATTAACTTGTTCATAAAGCTTTAGCATGTGCATATGAGAATCGTGCAAAAAATCAATCATTTTTTCTAAAGAATCTATTTGCTCTTTTTGATGGCTTACCAGCATTTTTTTAAGGCTATATTTATCAGCCAAAAGTCTGAATTTCCAGTCTAAAGCATGAATTCCTCTAACTAAGTTAGAATTTATCATGCTTGCATGAATAAGCTGATTTTTTAAATGGAAAATCGAAATATCTCTGTTGAGCTCATCATTATTTTCGACAGCTTTTTTTATTTCATCGGTATAAGGGTCAGAAATTCTTGATAAATCACGAGGATTTATTGATAAAGAATTTGTGATGACTTCTAAATTTTCTGTTCTACAAGCTTCTAACTCACTTAGTTCTTGCTCCCCCATAACTGGAGTAGTTAATTGCAAAATACTAACTTCCGTTAAATCGTCAAATTCAACCTCAGTGATTTGATGAGAATTTATTAACTTTTCATTGACATCTTTGTATTTTATATTAAGAGAGTCTAATGCTTTTGTAAATTTGCTCACCTGAAGCACCAATTTTTCATTTTCTTCTTGTATTAACTTTAGTGTATTGTTTTCTTTATTATTCCCTAAGACAACTTTATTGTATTTTTCGTAAAATTCATGAGCTTTTTGCTCATTTTGTAGTTGTTTGGTTTTAGTCGAAGTTACTTTTGCTTCTAATTCTGCGACTTTTTCTCGCAGATCTGTATTTTCTCGCTTTAAAAATTTGGTTTTCTTTTTATATTTTCGAATTTTTTTTTCAAAAGCTTCATTATTAAATTTATTTTACATTAAAATGACCTGGCAGAGTGATACTATAAATAATTGCATTATTTTATAAAATAATATTTTTCCATTGCAATAATTCTGATATAAAATTATTATTTATTTTATTATATTATAATAGCTTCTGGATCAGGAGATGATGGAAATGAGGAATCAAATGGCTTTAATTGAAAAGATGTGGTCAAATAATCAGGCTCAAAAGTGCTAAACGGAGATCTTTTTAAATCAAGCTGAGAGTCCTCATATGTAGAAACTCTTGAAGAATCAATATAATTTTTTGGGGATGCTAATTCAGCGAGAGTTATTGTATTAGAATGGAGAAGACCTGGCAAAGGCGGGTCTTTTAATATAGGGGATAATGAAGCTACACTTCGAGACTCCCCTGCAAAATCCCTTTCAGACCTCAATAAGTTTATTTCTCTTCTCGCTTCAGCCAGCTCTGCCTTCAATTTTTCAATCATTTTAATGTAGCTTTCAGGAGAATTTTTTATATTAATTGTAGCTTTATTTTTGATTTTTTTAGCTCTGACTGCAAATTTTAAGGTATTTAAGGTTTCTTCTATAGCACGAGCAGAAGGAGAGCAAGCTACAATTAGCGTGGTTTTATAATTTCCTCCAAGAGATTCTTGAAGGAGTCTAGTAAGCTTAGAATCACGATATGGAATATGATCAGAGTATGAAATTAAAGCATGAATCACATTTCCAAGCGCTGAAAGAGAAAGATTTATTTTCTTGGTTTCTTCAAGGTTGTTTCCAGTCACGCCTGAATGGCTGACTTTTTCACTACCAGCCAAATCTACCAGATTTAGCTTCCCTTTTTTTTCGCTGTCGTTAGGCAGTTTTTGAATTACTTCCAAAGTAAATAATAAATGAGACCTTGATGATGCTTTATTTAGTTTTGTAGTCGCAACAGTTCTCATTTGTTGGCCGATTGTTAGTACTTCGATCATGTCGTTTTCATTTGTGACACAAACTTCGGTTAGCCCCTGGACATGTATTCCTCTTCTTGGGCATTCTTTTATTTTTAATTTCACAGATTCTGCTACTAATAAATCTCTAAGCGTTTCTTTATAAATTTCAAGCATCGAGCACTTTAACGTGTACTCAATTTCTCCATAATCTGATTGTACAGCTTCAAAAATCTGTTGAGCAGCTCTTGGAATAATTCCTTTATATTCTTCTTCGAAAATATTTTTCCCCATCATTGTATGTGTTTTACCACTTCCTGTTTGCCCATAGGCAAAAATTGTCCCGTTGTAGCCGTTTAAGACATCTTCAATAACTGGTTTACCTACTATTTCATATACTTCAGACTGTTTTGAGTCTGGATCAAAAACATGATCAAGTGTAAAAGTTTCAAATCCGGGCCCAGCTGCTATTGTATTTTCAGACAAAAAGTTCACCAAAGCATGATTGTCGGTGGGACTTTGATCTTCGTCTGTCATTTCGAAGTCAATTAAGGGGCGAAACCTTGAGATAACTTTAATATTGTTTTGACGTGACATCCCAGCCCTAACATGGGCTGCAAAATCTGGGTCAGCCATCATAGTTTTCGAGCGTATAGCATTTCGTCTCATGAGAGCTTAAAATTTATATTTTTATTTTATGGCTATTAAATTAAATTTTTGCAGGGAAAAATATGCAATTTAATCAGTATTCTAGTTAAGCAAATATAATTTGAGTCAATTAGACCATAAAATTGTAGATTAGACTAATTATGCATTGAAAAAATTAAATTCCTTTAAATTTGATAAATAAAAGCGTTTGCATCTGTGTATAATAGAAACATTTTCTATAAAATCATCTAAAGCTTTATATTTTCCACCATTTTCTTTAATTATTATTTAAAGTTGAAATAAATTTTATGTGCTAAAAAGAATCATTTTTAATTTTTCGTAATTAGAATTTTATATATAGGTTTATGCGATGCCTTATTTATATTTAGATTAATTATTTGATGCATCATGTCGAGCATATTTAGAATACATAATTAACATTCAAATATGCTCAATATATAAAATCTTAATTATCTCAACTTTGGCTTCTAAAATTTTTCTCATATAGTGTATACTTTTAAAATGTTTTTTTAATCTTTTCTCTTTTCATATGCTGCAAATTGCAATGATTAATCATTTTTTAATTTCCTTTGTAGGTTATATATGATATTTGCTATATCCTAATATCTTATATTAATTAAGATATTTTTAATAAACATCATTCTTAATTATTATGATATAATTTTTAATAAGAAGCTTATCGTTAATCATTCAATATATCTTGAAGCTGCTGATTTAATAGTTCCTCCAAAGTTTCTTTCATATCTGAATTTAAATGATATGCCATACAAAAATTGCTAGCAAGCTCTTTAGGATCATCATCTTCATGTATCGCAATTCTCCCTGTCTTCCCTGGTCCAACATTGACATCAACATAAACCAGCACACTTCTTTCATTTTTTTGCCTTTGTAAGAACGAAAACGGCTTTATTTTTTCGTTTTTCAATTTTTCATAATTTTCTCCGGTAGGTCTTTTTTCAAGCATATCTTTAAGTTCTTGTCTATTTTTATTAGCTTGTCTTAACCTTTCAATTGATTCTTTAAATCCTCTAGGTGTAATTTTTGCTTTAGGAATTTTTACATCAGAGCTCAATGAAGGCTGAAAGGTGCATTTTTCTAATTCTTTTTCTAATGAGGTTCTTGGATCTTGCACAATTTTTGGAGCGTTTCTTTGGCTATACAGCCTCTCTTCTACTTTTAAATTAAAATCTTGGCTTTGGGGTCTAACTGAGTTAATTTCAGGAGTAAATGTACACTCTTCTAATTCCTGCTCTAAAACTGCTAATCGATTAACAATGATTTTTTCTTCTTTTTCTTTTTGTTTTTTAAATAAAAATTCATATCGTTTGTGAGGTGAAATAGGCTCCTGAGACGACTGCAAAATTTTTGATTTTTCACAAATTTGAGGCTTAAATGTGAGGTCTTTGGTAACATGACTTGTCAATTTTTCTAGCTTTTTTTCAGTCAAAACTCCTGTCTTTTTATACGCAACTTGATTGTCATTAAGTTTTTGGAAATTCTGCAAAATTTTTTCAGCGTTTCAGCATTCTTCTTTTCTTTTTCCGATTTTTTCATAAATAATCCCATCTAGTCTTCTCAAATCTTCAATTAGATTCTCCTCATCTGTATCTTTATCAAATAAAATTAATAAAAAATCACTGATAATTTCTCTCTGGATATGAGAGGCTTTTATTGGATTTAAAAATTTTCATGACTCTACGTAAAAAATTTCTTCTGACTCAGCTCTGAGTTTATGAGTTTTGCTTATAATGTTTCTGATGTTTGTTTCACTGACTGGCTAATTTTATAATACCTGGAAAAATTCTGATTAGCTCAAGTTCTTTATAGATCATAAATAGGCTTTCTTGTGAGATGCAGCCAATTGGGTCTTCATATTTGCTGATAATTGTATCGATTTCTTTGGAGAGCTTTTGATAGGCTAATTTTTTTGATTTTACTAGCACTTTATCAACTGAGCTATTACGGATTACATCAAGGGCTGCCTATATAGGTTTTACATTTTCTTGGATTAACTGTTTTCGTGCCAGCCTCCCCATAGCGTCTTGATATAAGGATTCATATTTTTTGGTTTTCCCAGCTGACTGCTGAGCATCGGTATCTTGAGGATTCTTCCCACATTCAGAGCTAGTTCTAGATCTTGCTAATGTCCTGAGCTGATTTTAATTTACCTCTTCAAGTTTTTTAGCCCGGTTTAAATGCAAATCGCTCTGGGCTTTTTGTCCAATTGCGTTGTCAAATTCTTCCTTTGCGACTTTTGCATCCTCTTTAAGCCGTTGTAGCTCTTCATCCGTAGTTAAATTAGGGTCTTCCATTTTAACTAATTATTTAGGCGCTTAACCAATTTTTCTCGAAATAATTTTGATTAAAAGCTCACATACATAGAATCTTAACCTATTTTAAGGAAAATTTATTGAAAGTAAATGATAATTTATGATTTTTTCTCAGTTTCTTCATTATTTTTCGTTTCATTAGTTTCGTTGAATCCTCCATCTAAGTAATATTCACTAAAAACTCCAGCCATATCATAAAGCTCAGTTAATCCAAAAATTCTTAGCAGCCCTTTATAATAGAAAGGAATAGCAAGAGATGTGTACACTGTCGCAAAAAATATTGAAAGCAATGCTAGCTGTGTTGGAGATTTATGCTGCAGTCTGAGAAGCCTAGCATGGAATCCACAGAATTTTTTAAAAGCCCATCCATTTGTAATTGTGAATATTGGAATTGCAAAAAAGGTGACTGAGTAGCCTAATGCAAAACGCCACCTTTCTTTTTTCATTAACTCTTCGATTGGTGCTGGCTCTTTCACAGGGGTAAATAAAGATTTTGCAACCTTTCAATAAGTTGAATAGCTGCTTTCCTCTTTTACTTCTTCAGACATTATTTTATATGTTATATTGATAGGATTATGCTAAAAGTTAAAAAATAATATTTTTCATTTAATTATAGACCTCTCGCCCAAGCAGATAGCTTGGACGCGTCCATCCATCTGTCTCCATCAGTTTTTGACCCTAAAGTCGTAATATAAAGTGGCCTCTGTGAATCTTTAGTTCTCACACACAAGCAAGGTCCAGCTTTCGGTGTCGTCCCTGTTTTAACTCCATCAAATCCTCTTCCCAGCAGTTTATTTGTATTAAACCAATGGACAGTCCTCGTTCCCCAATATTCATTATCGATTTCACACGTATAAGTTTGCGTATTAACAATTTTCCTGAATTTTTTATTCTGCATAGCATATGCTGCCAAGACGCAGACATCTTTAGCTGACGAAATATTTGGCTTGCTAGAAAGCCCATGGGTATTTTGGTAATGTGTATTGTCAAGTTCTAGGTATTTTGCCATAATATTCATCATTCGAATAAACTCCAGAGTAGGAATATTAGGGTTGAATAAAGAGCCAATATAAGTTGATAATGCAACCGCTGCATCATTGCCAGAAGGAAGCATAAGGCCATATAAAAGGTCTTTGATACGAACTCTGTCGCCTTCTTCTAGATTGGCGGTTGTCCCGACTATATTAGCTGCATTTGAGCCAATACTGACCAAGTCATTCAAAGAAATATCGTTTTCGTCACAGATTTCTAATACTAAAATGCAAGTCATGACTTTTGTAATACTTGCAATTTCTCGCTTTTGGGTGCTGCAACGGGTTGCTAAAAATTCTTTAGCAACTGGATCGTAGATGGCCCAGGACTGTGCGGTGATGTCAGATGGCATTTCACGAGTTAATGAGACTTGGTCTTTATTAGATGATTTTATTAAATTGTCTGGGAGCAAACTGAATGGATTTGAATGTGAGCGCTTTTGTTCGTTTTTAATCCGTGATTCAGCTGCTTGGATAGCATAGCTATAATCGTCAACTTGTGCGTATGCCATTAAATTTGCATGAAATTTAAAGAGATCAAAAATTGGATGATTTTTAATCTTATTATGTGGCAGGATACTTTTTTCAGGTATTTTTGCTGATAAATTAGAGGTATTTTTAGACAATTATGCAATTAACGAGTTTTATTTAAAGAGTTTAACAATTTTATAAATGAACATGCGAAAAAGTAATTAAGATAAAAAACAGCTGCAATTAGCTGATTTTTATCTATAATTTTATTGTAAAATTAATGTTATTATTAGATTTAGTATATCAATAAAATGGGAGGAAGGAAAAAGGTTAAGGAAGCTCCAGAAAATGATAATGAAAAAAAGGTTACACAAAAGTCAGAACCTAGCATTTCGGGAAGGGCGACTCGATCTATGACCCGTGCTGCTGGAAATCAAGAAATTGTAATAGAAAAAACAACTGAGACTCGCAAATCATCTAAATCCCAAAAAGTCAAAGAAGAAGCCACAGAAAATACCCAGCCCATTAAAAAAGCTCGAAAAAACCAAAAAGCTGTAGAAATTGTTGATGATTCAATAGAAAAAATTGAAGATTTGATCGATCAGTCAAAACCAAAGGGAAAATCAGAATCAAATCCAATTATCATAGAAGAAAAAATAGAAATTAAGACAGAAACCCCAAAGCTCAATAAACAGATTACAAAAGATGTAGAAGAACTTGCAGAAACCAAGCAAAATAATATACCTAAATCTTCAGCGAAGAAAGAAAAAGGCGTGGAAAAGATAGAATACAAATTTAATGACGAAAAATCTCCAGATAAAGTGGAGAATCCTCCACCAAAAGCAGCAGAAAAATCAATTGAAAAATCCACAAAATCAAAAGAAGTTCTCCCTTTTCCAAATTCAAAAAAGCAAAAAGAAAATTCTGCTAGCTCTGATGAAGACTGCCAAATGCTTACCGCAAAAAATATTTTTTCCAAATCCGCAGGTTCAGCCAAAAAAATGCTGAAAACTTTATTTGAAAAGTCACATGAAATTCCAAGCTCAGGTAGCGAAAAAGAAGAGCCCAAAAAAAAGCAAATCAAAAAAGAGGAGGAAGAAGAAGAAAGTGTTTCTAGTGAAAGTGATCAAGAAATTAATAAGAAACCTCCAGTAAAAAAGCAGTTTAAAGAAGATTCTGAATCAGAAAAGAGCTCTCATGAAGAAAAGTATGAATTTTCGCCTGATTTAGTAAAAGAACTAAATATAGAATTGCCTGAAGCTTCATGCTCTAGCGAATCTGATGAAGAAATTGTCAAAAAAAGCAAAAAAGAGAAAGCTGAAGAAAATAAAGATAAAAAAGAAGAAAAGAAAGAAATCCCTGCAACCAAAAATCAAGAGAAAGCAGAAGTAAGGAATGACAAATCAGAGTTTTTAAAAGAAAAAGTTAAGAGAAAACGGCAAAAGCGGCAAAAATTAAAAGAAAAGCCAGCCCCAGAAATGCTGAGAGATGAACTACCTGGCAAAAAAAGAAAAAGAAGACATGGAAAAGATAAAGATGCCACCAAAAAACAAAAAACAGAAGAAAGCACTGAAAATTTGAATCTAAAACGTGTCCCAGATCAAAATCCAGCTACAAAACTCACCAAGCCTAACGAAAAGCCCACAATTCCTGAAGTTTTCATTACAGGCCTCAGCTACAAAACCACAGATTCAGACATTCACGAATTATTCAAAAATTGTGGAGAAATTAGTTCCATGAAGCTTCTTCGCAATGAAAAAGGTTTCAAAGGCTCTGCCTTCATTATGTTTAAATCAATAGAGTCAGCAGAAGAAGCCATAAAATTATCCAACACTGAATTTTCCGGTAGAGTTCTAAATATCCGATTTTCCCATGAAAAATCACCAAAACCGCGGCCTTATAAAGGAGTCCATACAATTTTTATTGGAAATATTCCATGCAATGTAGACGAAGACTGCCTTTACAGTTTCTTTAAAAAGTGTGGAGAAATTAAAGAAGCAAGAATCGCTGTTGATTCTAATGGCAACAAGCGAGGATTCGCACATCTAGAATTTGAGTCTGTAGAAGCCGCAGACGCAGCTATAGAACTATCAGGCAAAATTTTGGATGGAAAAATATTAAAAATCGATTATTCTGAAGATAGAATAATAGAAAGCACACACAATAAAGAAAATCATTTTACAAGGCCGCCATTTGGGAAACTAATAGAGAAAGCCAAAAGTGGATATAAAAGACTATTTTAATGCATAAATCAATTATCCTAGCTCTGCTATTTCGCCTTTCATAATTTTAACTCTATTGACAATGATCCCTAGTTTTTCTCTGTCTCCTGCATTTTTGAAATAGGCTGCTAATTGCATGTCATGTTGTATTTGGTTTTCTAGGACAGCTTTGTATTGTTCTGGGGTGATAATCCCGTTTTCTACTTGTGACTCAATGATCATTTTCTTTCTGGCTACTTCTCTTTGCAAATTAATCTCTGCAGCTGGATTTTTACCGTCCCCTCTTAACTGTATGATTAATTGTTGAAGTCTTTTAGACTCTTGCTCGAGGACTTCATAAGAATTCAGGTTGTCAAGAATATTTGGATTTTTTATTTCAGCTGGAGATAGCTGGATAGGCTTCTCTGGGATGTTTTTTTCCTCTTCTATTGGAGTTTGTTTAGGGACTTTTTGTGCGGGTGCAGGCTGAGGAACAGTTTCCTGCACTTTTCCTTTTGCTCCTGGTTGCTGCACACTGTTTCCTTCTGGGGTCCTGAAAACTGGTAAAAATTGGTCCACGAATTCTACTTTTTCTGTCACTTGCTTATATTCAGGTGTGCTTAATGATTTATTAATCCTGAGCGTCATTTCTAATGTCGGTCCTCTTCTAGCCAGTGGAACAGTCAACTGCAGTACTGATTTGCTTGCAAAATCATCAAGTTTTACTGTAGCAGTCCCCACATTTTTATTACTTCTAGCCTCCTCCTACTCTGTGAGCGAACAAAACCATTCGGTAAATGGACAAAATACACCTCGGTGAGTGAATAACAAAAATATTTTTCATATAAAAGTGATAATTATTATAATGAAATCTCTAGCTAATTCTGCTTATTTAAACACCTTGCATTTTAAATTATAAATTTAAAATTAAATTAATATTTGCTTTCCGATTTTTTTAAATTTTGATAAAAATCTTTTACTATAAAATTTATTTCCTGTGAGCGAGTAAAATTTTTTTGCTCACCAAGGGAGTAAGCACATGATATTCCATAACGTCAAACGTTAAATGCCTTCTAAAAAGCGTTGAAAATGTTTTTGGATTTGGCTTAATGATTTCTTTCAGATTAAACCCATTTTGGCAGACTTTTTTGCCATATCCAGTTCTGTTTGCTAGATCACTGCCACCTGAGCCTGATAATGAATAATTAATAAAATGATCTCGGGAGTCGTCTAGTCCAGTTGCTTTACCAAAAACTACTTCTATAACCCCAGGTTCGACATCATCATTAACAACAGGGACAGTTTTTGTTAACTTCTCCATTCTTGAGTAAGCAAAAAAATTTTTTTATAAAAAGCTTTATAATTTTTTTTTTAAATTTAAAAAAATTGGAAAGCAAATATTAAATTTAATTTATAAATTATTTTTAAAACGCAAGCTGTTTAAATTTCAATAGAATTAGCTAGAGGTTTCATTTTAATAATTATCACTATATATCATAATATTTTTTCATAAAAAAGTTTTATATTAAAACAATTTTTGTTCGCTCACTGAGGGTGTTTTTACCCAAAAAATAGGAATTTTTCTAATTTTTTTGGTAGCTTACAGAGGGAGTAAGGATTTTACTCCGATTTCTGGAGGTATTACCCAAGGATTTGATAATGCGGACTCTAGCTGTTTAGCTTTGGTTTCGTTTTCGACCATTTCTCGCTTGAAAACTTTGGCAGCTTCTTGGTCTTTAGCCCGGAGAGCTGCTAAAGCGTTTTCTTTGGCCTCAGCACCTTTTTTTGCGCAAAAATCAATTAGATGTGAAATACGTTCTCTGCGCTCTTTTTCGGTCATGCCTGTGATATCTTGAGGAGTTATTGGGGTAATTTTGAGGGATGGGTTTTGGCCTTGCTGAATTGCCTTAATTATTTTGTGGAGGGCTTCAGCTTTTTCTAGGAGAGGCTCACAGCGCTTAGCTGCACCTAATGATTTTAGATAAGAAAATGCTTCTTTTGTTTCTTCTAAGAGATCATATGCAGTTTTATAAGTGAAATTGTGCTCATATAGCTCTGAGTGAGAAATAACAGGGGCGCTTTCAGTTCTGCTTGCTCTGTTAGTTTGTTCTAAATTCTGTGACTCTTCATTTGGCTTTGGTGAGCTTTCACTTTGTTGATTTTGTTGAACTTGCGCTACTTCTTCTTCTTCCTCCTCTTCCTCTTCTTCCTCTTCTTCTCCAGCTTGATCTAATTCTTCTTGCATTAGCTTAATATGAGCTTGATATATTTCAGCAGTTTTTCCTGATGCTTTTTTCAAATTTTCTTTATATTCATTAATTTTATATAATTTTTATATAAAATGCAAATCAATTAATATATAAAAAAAATCTAGATATATTCAATTCAATAAAGAATATTTTTGTTAATGATTCCATATAGCCTTCTTGACTTATCATTCCAGCTTGAATATTTGTTGCTAACAAACTTATTGCCATTTCAAGCTTTCCTACCATATCTTTATCCTTTTTCTTTGTCCAAAGATCTTTTTCATACTCAAGGACACTCATAGCAACAATTGAATCATAATCAAAATCCTCTTCAATTTCCATGGCCATGCTATTTTCCTCAATTTTCGGTGCAGCTTTAGCCTTAGACTTGTGCTCTTCATAAGAGCTTTCTGCCTTGGGCTTATGAGCAATATTATGTATATTCAATATCTTCTCAGCATTCGCTAATTCGACTTCTAAGCTTTTATACTCCTTCATCCTTTCGACAGCTTTTTCTTTATTTCCTGCCTGTTTGTACTTTATAGCGCTGCGTTTAATTTTCTCAATTTTCTGTTTAAGCTGCTCAATCTGCTCTTGCTGCTGAGACACTAGTTGTGCGTTTGTTTCAGCACCTCCAAGCTCATTGAGTTCTCCTTGGAGCTCTGGGTCTTCTAAATCATCAACTTCCAAGTTTGCATTTTCGATGTCTTTTTCTGAATAATTTTTGTTTCCGTATTTTTTGTATTGTGCTTCTAAAGCCTTTTCTTCTGCCTCCATTTCTAATTCAAGTTTGTGAGCTTCGTCCTCTTCGGGATCAATTTCTTCACCGTCTTCCCAGCCCATTTGTTTTAGTTCTGCCATGAGTTTTGGGTCATTGAAGTCCATTTCCATATCTTGTTTGCCACCTAGGCTTGCTAGGAAATCAAAATCTTGCTGTTGCTTATTTTTCTTGCTCATATTTTTATTAGGCAAATAATCTTTTGCTAGATATGCTTATATAGATATTACATATTATGAAATTTAGATTGGCTTTTCATGTTGAAGAGGAAACAAATAAAAAAGATTATAAAAGTATTCAAAAATTTAATAATTAAAATTATAAAGTAAAATATTATTTTTATTTCTCGACAGTGTTATTATTTAGAAGTCCTATACTCTATAATAAATCTGGAATGTTTTATATAGAAATATAGAATTTGAAATAATTTTTATTGAAGGTAATATTAAAAATTTAAATTAATTATAGCATCTATTAATTTTTTAAAGTCCGAAAAAGGGCTAATATGTATTTTCATTTTAACATTCAATACAATAAATTTAAAAATACCATATGAAAAATGCCTTTACAGTATTAAATCAAGCAAACTATATTAATTATAGCGTTAATTTATACTCCGATATTAGTGAAAAAATACATCAAGCTCATGCAGCAGTTTTTTAGTCTTTTTTTCTTCATCGTTTTCAATCTCTTCAAATCAGTCTTGCAAACCCCATTTTCTCTTACTCTAGCCATCATTTATTATTCTAATAATGCATTTTTTATATCATTTATCTTTTTTGGTAGAAACTTCTATTAAATAGGCCAAAATTTTGAATCTGTATTAGTAGTAGCCTTATTCGAAGGCGAGCTCGGAGCGCTAAATCTTGGCGAAATAATTTTATTTCTTATAAGTAGCGTTTTTTTTGATGCCGACTTGTTATTTTTGCCTAATAATTCAAATTCTGGGTAATCAGTTCTCAAATCAACCGTTTTAAACTGCTTAATCAGATTGAAATTTTTATGGTTAGAAAGGGCTGAACTAAAAGTCAGCCTTTCTAGAGCATTTAATTGGAGAGGCTTAGATTTTTTTATTCGTATAGAAGCCGGAGTTTTTTTCATGTTTAAGTCTAAACTTGCGCCTGAATAAGAATTACGATGCAACGGAATTTTCCTGTTAATTGATTGGCTTTGTTGGGGCTTATGCGGTATTTCTTGAATTTTGATTTTCTTTTGCAGAGACATGAATTATGGTTAAAAAATTCAATAGTTTACTAATCAAAAATTTAATGTAAAATAATTATTTTTTTTAAATTTACTCAACTATAGGCTCTTCTTCTCTCCAATCAAGAAGTTCTTTCCTAGTCAGCATCATATCTAAGAACTGCTGATAATCACAAGCCGCGAAAATATATTCGAAGCACGTCAAAGCATTTGAATCCTTTTCATATACCACTTTGCAAAAGTCAAATATTTCTTCCTCAGTCAGATTCTCTGTTCTGGCAAAATCTTGAAGCTTTTTTTCTATTTTTAGCGGATTTAAATTTGACACCAATTTGATTATTGCACAACAATTTTTTATGAAAAATAAAAATGGTCTTATCAAAACTACCTACGAAATTGATATAAAAAATGGCATGTCCTCACCAAATTTTTGATAAATTTCATAACACTCATGTGTTTGTTCGCCACTTTCAAATTTTTCAAGATTATTATTGAGATAAATTTCGATTTCACATATAAATTCTGGCTCTGTGAACAGTCGTTCTAACCCAAGTAAAACTGTAATTGCTTGTTCAATGTTTTTAGAGTCTTCTGCTTCAGACATAGAGTTTTCTATGGAAGAATTATTTTAATTATGGAAAATTTCCTTTATTATTGCATATAAACCTCAAAAAGTATGCAAGCATTACTAAGTAGTATATGATTATTCAACGATATCATTAACTTCATCAGTAGGGTCTTCTTCACCGTTCTCTTGAGGCTCGTCATCTCTCAATTTATTTTCGACTTCCTCCCATTTTTCCTCACACACGCGCTCAGCGCCTTCTTTTTTCTTGCAAAGATAAACCCAATGAGGGTTTGTGGTTTCTTCCCCAATAATCTGATTAGAAACGTCCCATAGTAAATGCTCCATCTCAAAATGCTCAAGTCTAGACTCAGGCGCTCCATACGAAATTGCCATATAAAATCCATCAGTTTTCAAAACCCTTTGAATTTCTTTAGTCATTCTTGCGACATTTAAATATATTTAATTACTTTCAATGCATGCAGAAATATATATAAAAAAATCATTTAATAAATTTTCTATTATAAGGTATAAGCATCATCTCCACATAGTAAAGCGTCTATTGTAGATTTGTCAATGGCCAAATCAAATGTATTACTTGGGAATTTTATGTCTCTGACATCCTGGACACTCCAAGTCATGGTAGGCTTGTCAATGTTTCTTTCTGCCATTTGCTTGATAACGACACTGGAGATGTCAATATTATCGATATTTTGGAAGCCGTCATGATACATATCTTCACCTAATTCTGCGTTGCCACACCCTAAAATCAAGATTTTTGCAGTCTTAGGAGCTATTTCATTGATTATAGGGGCAAGGCTGCGATAGTCTTCAAGCCAGTCAAATGTAGAGCCTTCTTGTTCAGCATAGCGCTTTTCCCAGTATTCCGGGTCACCGTAATTAGGCATTTAATGGATTTTTAAGGATTATATTATGGAGAGTGAAGAGGATAAGGAAATTATTAATATTGGGAGAATGGCACTTTCTGCGAGGGTTTATCCTGAGCATATAATTGAGGAAATAAAAGTGATGAAAAGTACAAAAGGAATAATTTTATATGGAGACGGGATTAATTATAAAGTTGTAGGGGATAAGCTTGCAAAAAAATGACATGATATATAGGGGCTGACCCTTTTTAGGACAGTAGAGTTATAAACTGGTCATAAACAGTTTTCTATTTCCCAGTCAGAATAGGAATTAGTAAGACTAGTAAATAAGTTTACTGGTGCTCTAAATGCCTTTAAGTCTATAACTGTTGTTAAAATTATTAATGGTTTAGATGTTTATAATGAAAATTTTGAGCAACAAATTTTGATGATTTTTCATGATGCGGAAAATGACCAAAGATTACAGGATTGAAGAAACCTTCATATCATTGTTATTGGCCATTTTGAAGCTATTTTTGGAGCTAATAATAGTGAATTAGAAGCTGAGAAAATTGCTAAAAATTTAATTATCTTGAAGCAAGAGGAACTAGATAATATTTTGATTGTTGGTATAGTAAATAATAAAAATGATATTGATGAAAACATTTTAACACAAGGTAAATTTGATGTGGAAATAGAATTTGGAGCTTCATAAAATTAATTTATCATAAAAGATTATAAAAAATAGCATTTTTTAATATAAAATTACATTTATTTTGTAAACCTATATATATTGATATAAGATAATTAATGATTTTAACTGAATATTTAATTCAAAACTTCAGTTAATTAAGCTTTTTTAGCTTCATTATGCTTATAAAATTATTCATTATATTTTTCAATTAATGAAAATTAGTTTCCTTCCATACTGGACAAATCTTTCAGTTAAAGATTTAATACCTTATTCCCCTCTGTGAGCGAACAAAAACTTTGTTCGCTCACAGGGGGTTATTATTGTAAAAAAAAAATCCAATTCACAAAAATTTTAAAAAGTTATTATTTTAATTTGCCAAATTTATGCTTTAAAATGCAAGCTGTTTAAAATTCAAACAGAATTAGCTAGAGATTACACTATAATAATTATCACTTATATATCAAAATAATTATATAGAACTTTCATATTAAAAATTTTTCACTCACGGAATGGGTGTTAGATAAAATCTTATCCATTTATTTATTGAATAATAATCTATAAAGCAGCTTTATATGAGCACAATTAAAACTTCAAAGTCTGGCATAACATACACAAAAAGAAAAACGAGATCAAAAACTGTAAAATTTGAAAAAACTCCTAAAAAATCGGAAGGCAAGCGTACTGGATTTGAGCGTTCCAATACTTTAGAACAAGGATCAGACATAACGAACTCTTTTGATCTTTCTCACGATGCAATCAGCAAGGATGATTGGAAAACTCAGTCTATGATGCATGAAGACGTGGAAAGATCTTTTGATTCCATCAATTTCGATATGGCAAAATCGTTTGAATTGGAAAATGGTCATACTTTTGAAGGGCACAAAGAAAGTGAAAGCGAAAATTCGCACAACGAAAAATACGAAGAAAATAAAATTTCTTTAGAAAATGTTATCCAAGAAAGCCAAGAAGACGAAAATCAGCTAAAAGAAGAGGTCAAGGAAAATCCAATAATCCCGTTAGAAAAAGAAAATAATTTTAAAATCGAAATTAAAGAAGAACCAAAACTTAAATCAAACAAAGAAAATAATGAGGCTGTTAAAAATGCTTCTGAAACCAAGCCTAAAGAAGGAAAAAGCTCCAAAGTTATATATGGAGTCGCTATTGGTGCATTAGTATTACTAGGGATTGGGATTATTTATATTAGAAACAAGAAATAAATTATTTTTAAATTTTATTATCTCAAGCTTAATTCATCATCTTTAAATTGTCCTATCGTATTGACATATTTTAGATCCCTCAAAAGCTCATCATTACTTTTATTCTTCATTTCTTGTAACAGTCATCTTCTCGAAGTAGTTTTAACAATAAACCTTATCATCTCCATCCCAGCTACCTTACAAACATAAATTAAATGGCTGCAAGCTATCCCATATCTCATTATTTTTTCACACGTGCAATAGCTATTTTCTCAGTCAACTTGATAATTTTTTATATTTTTTGTGGATTTTTGATCTTCTACAACTAAAATTTCTTTGTCGCCATCACTATCTATACTACAAAACTCAATATCTCTTATTGAGCTTAAGATATGTAAAATGCAATAAGATTCGTAAATGTATTGGATACCATTTATATTTTTCAGTAAACTGTTTATCATATTTGTAGAGCTCTTCATAGATAAATTTTTCACACATAAATCTTCTTTATTTGATACTGAAACTTCTTCAAGATAAGAAAAAATTTGAAAAATTTGGTTTCTTTTGATTAGTTTTGTGAGCTTTCTTAGTATTTTTTCGATGTTATTTAGCCTATTTTTGGAATCTAAGCCAGCTGTGAAATGTTTTTTTACTGAAAATTTAGTCCAGGATTCTAAGTCTAGCATTAACCTGGAAATTTCATGGTTTTTCTCTAATTCAGGATAATCATTTAATAGCGAGGAATATTTTTGTATCATTTCATTGTGATTTTCAGACTCATATATAGATAGAAATCGGTCCTTTATGATGCTTCACTCATGTATTAGCATTAATTTTAACCTTTTTTCAATATGATGAAAGCTGAGTATAATATTTGATTCTGGGAAATTCTCCAGCAAAGCTTCATGTTCTATTGGATTTGAGGTAGCCAAAATAGTTTTTGGGTTTCTAAATCCTTGCTCTCTAAAGCAATTAAATGATCACCCAAAATTTTCTTTGGCTTCTACTTTTATTAGAGCCATTGCTATCAAATTATTAATCCCATTAGAATCCACAGTAAAAAAAGTCAAACAGCAGCTATAGTATGGGTGTATTTGAAATGAACTTTCTATAAGGATTATATCTCCCAGCCTGTTTCAGATTTCTACTTTTCTAGCAGTAGTGACAAATAATTTATTCCCGCCTGGATCTTTTATTGATATAGTGTCCTCCTCCATAAAATTATAATGTAAAATATCCTCAATTTCTGACGACGCATGCTGCGAATGTCCTTGGTATTTACTTTGCAAAAAATATCTCAGCTTATTTTCATTTATAATGATATTTGGGTATTTTTGGGTTAAAATTTTATAGACTTGCCTAAATGTGAGACCAGTTGAAAACAGTTGAACAGCGTTATCTTTTATTGATCTTGGCAAATAAGTACATTGGGCCATGCTTTCTATATGTTCATTAGAAATTTTTGCATGATTATGATATGGGTAAATCTCTCCACAGCAATATTCTATACTATCAGGCACTGCATAGCTTACCAATCATTTCATTATAAACTTGCATGGAGTTTCTGGGGTAATTTTAGGAAATTTGTTCATTTGACGAATTCGTGAAAAATAGCATGCCCATTCAATTCGTCTTTTATTAGAGCGCTGGCAACGAATAATAGTTTTGTCTTTTTGTAAGAATTCGTTGACAAGGTCAGATTTGAATTCTTCACGATTTTTCTTTTTAATTGTAGAGCCTTCAGAGTAAAGGTGAGAAATGTAGCCATCACTAAAATCTTCTTCAAATGCTGAAATTTCGTTTGTAAGGAAAGGCCGCTTTGTGAGGAGGTTAAAACTGTCAGATGGCTCATCGAAAGAAGATTTGAGATCATATTTCGAATTTACGGGGTAGTTATAAATGCGGAATCTTTGTGATGATGAATCTGCATTATCAAGCATTATTAGATTATAAAGCCCCCTTTTAGTAAATGAGACTTTTAAAAGGAGTATCGTACCTTTTACAATTTTTTAATCTTTTGTTTATCATTAAATATAAAATTAATATAAAAAGCCTGCCATTTATTTTTTTGATAAAATTTTTATGATTATTAATTTCGAGTATATGAATTTAAAACTTTGAGCTGAAAATAAATAAGAATAAAACATAATTTATGACTATTGGACTAATAGAAACATATTAAAGATGCAGATAAAAAATAACTTGCTGTCTTATTATTCTTGAGCTTTTATGATGAGGCTTTAAAGTAACAAAAATATATTATTATTTTAATGATTTATTTGTAAGAATATTTAATTCTCCGAAATCATTTATTAATTCTAATATGTTTCATGCTTATGCAATTTTTCACAAATTCTTGTCATAAAAGCCAATATCTAATAAAGTAAAATGGGAAACAAACATTCTGGAAGAGGTCACCTTTCAGAGCGCTGCAGGGCACTAGCAGAAGAAATATTCAAAGAAATTGACATAGATGGAAGTTTGACTATAGATATGGAGGAAACAGCAAAGTGGTGGGATAGGAACTTTGCAATCGTCAATTCAAGAGCAATGTTTGAAAACGTTGACCGAGATCGTAACGGGACAATTGAGTTCAATGAGTGAATAGACTTTTGGACAATGGTCAAGCACCAAGGCTACAGTGATGATGAGATATATGAAGAATTGACTAACTTGAAAAATAGAGGATCATGGGTGCAATTTATTGGAACTCAAGTTCATGCTAAAGCAAAGGATTAAAATATATTTAGACAAAAAGCTATAAAATAATAGTTTAAGAACTATAAAGACAGGGAATAGTAAATTAGGCGAAATTCTATTGGGATTAGTTTTTTATAATGATTTTTGCTTTAAAAGCTATTTTGTTAATAAGCTTCACCAATAATGATAATCTCATCATGACGTATGGATTTAATGATTTTAATTTGATCATTAATCAAGATAATTTTAGGAAATATGATACATATTAAATCCATAACTTTTTAGTTAAAATCTAGAAAAAGCTTATTTTAATGAAAAAGTTTAACTTAATTGTAGAGATAAACTGTAGATTAATTTCATAAGTTAGGCATTGAAATTATTTAGACAGAGTAAAGCCTTATCCAGTAAATAATATTAGTTATGATGGGAGTTTAACTTTTTAATTATCCCTTTTAGTTAGAGAACAAGATTTTTGCTTACTTTGGAAGGGGTGCAATAAATTTGTTTATGTCTCGTATTTGTTTATATTTTGTCTGGAAATGAATGAGGATATTATTTTTATTATCAATATATTCAATTTTTTATATTGACAATAAAGAGAAAATATGAAGAAATAAAAAGAAATAATCTCAATATTATCAAAATAGGAAACCATAATAAATTAATTACTTAATTTACTCTAGGTTCTTCAAGCAGCTATATAGAAATTACTCTTCGCAAAGCTTTTCCCCATCGCAGCGTCCTTGACATTTTTTGTGGATATTATGCCCACAATTTCCAATAATTATATTAATTTCATCAAGACTGCATAAAAATTACTCTGATTCGCACGTAACGCAAATCTCCCCTTTACTTTTCAACAAATCTTTATCTTTTCCCTTCCGGAAAAAAGCACTAGTCGCGTCTTCTCCAGTGCTCGGTCTATTTAAAATACCAGACATTCTTGCTGAAGTTTTTTCGGTTATAGAATCTTCATTGTCTTTAGTCACATTACAGTCATCCATTGCTGGAACTTCCAAAATCTTTTTGCTCAATTTCGACTTTTCCAGTTTATGCTGTCCTGGAAAAACTTTATGCTCAATTTTTCCAAACTTTTTTGAATATATTACACAATAAAAAACAGCTGCAAAAAATTCGCAAAATAAACTTACAATGCTCAAAATCGGCCCATCTTCAGGGCAAAATGAAATATTGTCATCACTCGCTTTGACTCTACAATTTGCTCTATAAGATACCTCAGATAAATTAAACCAGCTAATTATTCCAATAAGATTAAATAGGACACATAAGCTCGGCCAAACGTAATTCAGCTCAGAAGCCCCAAATTGTTTTTTTAAGACAAGATAGAGAAGATGTTCGAGCCATAGAACTAAAAATAGCAAAGAAAAGGTTATCATTCAGTAATAAATGTACCCTGCTTTAGAAAGTTTGTCAAATGCGGCACATTCACGTTGAGTTATTGCAAGATCTGATTCACTAGCACAGGATGGACCACTAATGCAATTATAGTCTAGGTTGTGGATTGAGATGCTGTTTTTTCGATAAGTGTCCATGCTTATAATGGTGCCTGTCATTTTTTTTGGGGACTGGAAACTTATCCAGTCCCAGTCAAGTGCTAGGCCTGTAAATAGAGCACCTAATAATATAACAGCAGCTACTTTACCGTTCATTAAGATATAGCCATTTTCTAACCCTTTTAGTTCTTTTTCTTTATCTTCTGCTTTATTGCGAAGAATAATTGCTAAAATTACAAATCCGCACCCAATTCCACTTAAAATGAGTGAGGAAAGTAGGTAATTTGGCCCGTCACTATTACAGATATTTTTGTTATTATCACAATTCGAGCTAATTTTTGATTGGGTGATTTCAATATAGCTTAAAAATCCTGCAAATTTTGATGAAGTAACTACTCCTATGAGCGCATAAAAAATCCACAATTTTCCATAGGCTTTTCGAAAAAGCATATAAAAAAGCCTTTCAAGCAGGAGGATAGTAAATAAACCTGCTATAACTTCACTTGATATAACACTTGAACGGGCTCTCATTAGTTTTCTGCCAATTGAGCATAGTTCAGATGACGAATCTTCCTTGCAAGAAATAGCAACTAAGCAATTCGGATTTGTATTTTTATACTCCGCAGGGCAATCATCACAATCAAGCATCCCATAGTTGAACGTCTCCTCATTATAAGAGAAAGAATTTCACTTAGGAGTTAAAATGCTGGCAAAAGAAATAAACAGACTTGCTGTCAAAATAAACGATGATGAGACTAGTGCAGCAAAGAAACCAATAGAATGATTGAATATATGCTTCATATATTTATATTTGACTCTAAACTTCCATGATGGAGAATTTATTAAGAAAATAAAGATTTATTCATATTTTCATTCATATCATATTCTTTATTGTATACTAATGTGGTGCTTTACAGCATAAAAGGCTTTTATTAAAATAATATAATTTATTATGCTAAACAAACATTGTTTTTGTCAGGCTAGAAAAATCCTTAAATTAGCTAAATTTCACAGAACACAGCTAATATGAAAATTTCTATAATCCTCCAAATTTTATTTTTGCGAAAGCTTCACTCTTATTAGCACAATTTACCACTTATTTTAATTATTTTTTGGCAATTAGTAATCTATTCGTAGCATTGATAATTCCATATGTACAAAAATGCCAATCTCTAATCATAATAATGGATTCAGAACAAATAAGCCAGAAATTCAGAGAAAATCTTGAAGCTCCCAACACATCTCCAGCTCACGCCTCAATTAGAACTCTTACCCAAGTAATAGAAGCAAGCACAGAGCAGACAGTTCAAGGCCTTTCGAAAGAGCTTGAAAGAGCAGCATCCATCCTATATAATGAAGCTGAAAGCCGAAGTAAAATATTGGGAAGAACTCCTTTATCAGTTATAGCAGGCTGTGACATGTTTAGACATCATACTTCAAAAACTCTTGCAGCACTAGATTATGATGACTTCCCTAAGCTCAAAGCCAAGTTGGTAGAGCGTGGATATTACTTATCTGAGACTAGGCCAGCATTTTTACAGAAAATAGCTGATATGGCGATTTGCTGCTTTAAAGACAACCAAAGTGTGCTGGTCCATGGATACTCAAATGTAGTTAATCGTATTTTGGTGAAAGCTGCTGAGCAATTTCATATAACAGTGATAGTGACTGAGTGTAGGCCGTTTTGTGAAGGTTATATTATGTGTGAAGAATTAAAAAAACACAACATTCAATTTACGCTAATAATGGACAACGCTGTAGCCAGTGTTATGGATGGAATTGACATGGTCATGGTAGGTGCTGAAGCTGTTGTTGAAAGTGGAGGAGTTATCAATAGAATTGGCACCTATGGCATCGGCTTAATTGCAAAGTTTTTCAAAAAGCCTTTATATGTATGTACAGAAAGTTTGAAATTCGTAAGGATGTTCCCACTAAGCCAGCGAGATCTACCGGAATGCACAAAATCTACATGTCCGCCCATACAAGAATGCAAAGCTGTAGACAGTATCAGCATGACTGTATGTGACTTGACACCTCCTGAGCTAATATCACTCATGTTTACAGACTTAGGAATTTTAACGCCTTCAGCTATTTCTGACGAGTTAATAATGCTTTATAACCAATAAACTAGGCTTATTTTGTTAAACGCAAGAATTAATTACTTTATTCAGCTTGCTTCTTAGTATATGCATTTTTTGCAAAACCGGATTGATTTTTTTTGGAATCTTTGGCTGTAAAATAGTAAGAGCACTTAAAGAAAATAGTAGTTTTGATCTTTTCGCCAGAATTTTAAACCTCCTCCAGCATTGGTTGTCAGTCCTTAATTTAACTAATTTAGCGATCTTGCTTCAGCGTTTCCCTAAATAGCAGACTCCTAATATCAGCCTAATGTCTTCGCTTTCACTCCAACTTGCAGAATTTACTTCAGGGCTTAATATATTGCAATATCTTTCTCGGCATTGAATATCAGTTCTATGTGGAACATATTCAGCTATTAAATTTCAGTTGCCTCCAAATACTTTTACAGCAAGTGCAAGCTTGATGTCTTCTTCTTTATCCCACTTTCCTCTATGAATATTTGGGTGGATTGTCTTCATTCATCGATGATAGCACTGCGAATTTGTTTTCCCGTCTACACAATTCGAAATTTCCCGTCAATTATTTATTCCATATTTTGCTACAGCATGATGAAGCTGGAAATCTTCATCTTTAGATCAGGATAAAGTCCGAATAAAAACAGGTGATTTTCTGTATACAGTTTTTAATTAATTTCCCCCTTGCGATTCTTTGGCTTATTTTTAATTCATTTATGCTGTATTTAATTATCTATTATATAATGCTTTTCGTGCATGCGGAAACAATCTATTTTTGTCTTGTTTAATAATACTGAGATCTCTATTCAGTTTGGACCTAGCTTATCGTAGGAAGTTTTTAATGTTGAAAGCTCTGATGCAGAAAACTCTTTTGCGGAAGGCAGTGATGGAGTTTTAAATTTCTTTAGAAATTGTTGAAGTTTGAAACAAGGGTGAATCGGGATTTTTGGCTTTGGTGGCTTTTTTGGCTTCTCTGGGGTATTTTTTTTGTTTTTTTGGCGTTTTATAATAGATATTGTTTTAAGCTTTTTATCCAGCTCAATTAAGTAGCTTCTTAAATAATTCTGATAAGCCCTGGAAGCTCGTATAGACTGAAAGATATTTCTTAGGATTTCCAGTTCATTCATAAAATTATTATTCTAATTATTTTTGATTAAGAGAATGAAGGATTAAGAAGCATATTTTCTCTTTTTGGTCCTACCCCAACCCATGAAATTGGCACTCCTGTGACTTCAGTAATTTTATCCAGATATTTTTTGGCATTTGTAGGAAGACTATTCCAGTTTTCAATTTTAGTTGTATCGCATTTCCACCCTTTGAGAGTCTCATATTGGACTTGAACTCTGCTTAAGTCTTCTAAGTTGCTTGGCATTGTATATATTGGGCTTCCATCAAGCATATACCCAACTCCTATTCTGACTTCATCTAGTTCGTCAAGGATATCAAGTTTGGTGATGTTAATGGAAGTATAATTATTGATCATATGTGTATATAATATATATTATGAATTCTTTGCTGTTACAACTAGACTATTATTATAATTTATGAAGAAAAAGAACACAGGATTTGCATATATTATTATTTGATAAAACTAGCTATATTTCACGACCATCAAATCAAGCCAACCACATCTTCTTTTTCTTCCTGTAGTAACTCCAATTTCTTGTCCTTTAGTCTGCAAGTGGTCTCCTACACCTCCAATAATTTCAGTTGGGAAAGGCCCAGCACCGACTCTCGTTGTATATGCTTTAACAACTCCAATAGTAGATTCAATTTTAGATGGTGCAATGCCAAGGCCTGAGCTGATTCCAGCTACTCCAGTAGAGCTTGATGTAACATATGGCCACGATCCATAGTCTACATCTAGCATTAATGCATTTGCTCCTTCACAAATCAGTCTTTTCCCATCATCAAGGCCTTTATTTACTAGATAGACAGTATCTACTATCATAGGCCTGATTTCACGACTCAGGCTTTGAAATTCGTCAAGTTCTTTTGCACGGTCTATTTTAAGGCTGTAGGCATGCTCAAAGAAATCAACTACCCTGTTATATTTGTGAACAAAAGAATCCCAGTGGAGTAAATCGCCGACTCTTAGCCCAATTCTCATCATTTTGGTGGTATATGTTGGGCCGATTCCACGCTTTGTAGTTCCTATTCCTTCAGAACCACGTGATCTTTCTTGGGCACCATCTGCTTCTATGCAGAAAACAGTGTAATTTTGATAATATTTATAAATTAATAGCTATATTTTAATAAAATTTGGTAGATATATGCCTTTTTAAAGGATTAGTGCATAATTATAGTATATATGAGCTTGAGTTACGATATGAGCCCTGTCAGAAACAAAAATTCTGTCGCGGCAAGTAATTCCTGCTGCTTCTACCTGCTTGATTTCTTCAAGCATTGTAGGAAAATGCATAACGACGCCATTTCCTAGTATATTGTGAGTGCGTGAGTAGAGAACTCCACATGGCAAGAGATGGAAACCAAATTTAACGCCATTTGCATGCACAGTATGGCCAGCATTGGCACCTCCATTAAAACGTCCAACCATATCATAGTCCCTAGCAAGAATATCAACAAGTTTTCCTTTTCCTTCGTCACCCCATTGACTTCCAACAACTGTGCAAACTTTACTATGCCTTCCAGTTTTGCAGAATGAAAAAGCACGCCTAAGCATTTTTATTTTCTTTATTGGTCAATTATTGAGATTTTCAATAGAGAATAACTAGATTTTTATTATTAATAAATTGATAACAGCAATAATTTTTATTAATTATTTAAACCAATTTTTCTTAAATTGTTTAAAGCCTGATATTAGATTTGATAAAGCTATTCTCATGATTTAAAATCTCTATTTTATTATAGATTCAATTAAATCCGCTTTAAGTCTCTCCTAAGCCTTAGCCTTATATAGTCTTCTGGCATATTTAATAAAAAGGTCCACTTGTGGATTTGAATTTGACATATGGAATAGCATTTTACATGTCGAAGCATCTAGAGTCCAAATATGGAATGCTATTCCACATTTCAAGCTCAAACCCATCAGCTGACCTTTTTATTAAATATTTCCAAAAGGGTATAAACAACTCTTATCATAAATCTTGAAAAAATGTGGACTGATAATAAATGTTGAGAACCATCTTCAGACGCATATCAGTTGATGCCCAAAAACTCAACACCCCCTTAAAGCTCTGGGACCCAGAAATTGACGCCATAATTTCAAGCGAAAAAGAACGCCAAAGAAATTGCGTAAATTTAATTGCTTCAGAAAATTTCACCTCAAGAGCTGTACTTGAAGCTTTAGGATCTATTATGACTAACAAGTATTCTGAAGGCTATCCAGGAGCTAGATATTATGGAGGCAACGAGTTTATTGACAAGGCTGAAAACTTGTGTAGATCCCGTGCTTTGCAAGTGTACAGACTTGATAGTGAGAAATGGGGAGTCAATGTGCAGCCACTTTCAGGGTCTCCATGCAATTTTTATGTGTATACTGCTATTTTAGGTCCACATGAAAGAATGATGGGGCTGGATCTTGCTCATGGAGGTCATTTGTCACATGGCTATAGAACTGAGACTAAAAAAGTATCAGCAACTTCTATTTATTTTGAAAATTTACCATATAGAGTCAATGAAACTACAGGAATTATTGATTATGATAAACTGGAAGAAAATGCGAAACTTTACAGACCAAAATTAATTGTTGGAGGATACAGTGCTTATCCAAGAGATTATGATTTTGCTAGAATAAGAAAAATCTGTGACGAGACTGGGGCGCTATTTATGTATGATATGGCCCACACAAGTGGAATTGTTGCTGCAAATGTTGGGTTAAGGGATCCATTTCAATATGCTGATATAGTAACAACAACCACTCATAAAAGCTTAAGAGGACCTAGAGGTGCAATGATTTTCTATAGAAAAGGATCATATAAAGACAAAAAAGGCAATGATGTCCCATACGATTTGCAACAAAAAATTGATTTTGCTGTATTCCCAGGCCATCAAGGTGGTCCACACAATCATACCATAACAGCCCTTGCTGTTGCATTAAAAGAAGCTCTTTCGCCAGAATTTAAAGAATATCAAGCCCAAGTCCTTAAAAATTCCCAAGTCCTAGCAGGAGAATTGCTGTCCTTAGGATTTAATTTAGTTTCAGGAGGAACTGACAATCATCTAATGCTCGTTGACTTGAGAAACCGAGGGATTGATGGAGCTAGATTTGAAAAAGTGTTAGACAAGGTCAGTATTGTTGCTAATAAAAATACAATTCCTACAGATAAAAACGCCTTAGTGCCAAGTGGAGTCAGACTGGGAACTCCAGCCATGACCAGCAGAGGGTTTATGGAAGATGAATATAAAAAAGTGGCAGGGTTTATTAATAGATGCGCAAAAATCACTAAAGATATCAATGAAAAAGCACCTGGGAAAAAAGTTGCTGATTTTAATGCATTTTTAAATAGTCAGCAGTGGCCTGCTATTGCTGAACTTAAAAGTGAAGTTGAAATTTTGGCTTCTTCTTTCCCAACCATTGGGTATTAACTTAATAAATTTGATTATGAAACTGGGTTAATTTTATTTAAGACTATAAATTGTAAAAATAATAAAAATCTTTATTCCTAGCAAAACTATATTATGTGTATTTATTTTGTGAATCTATAATAATAAACCTTCTCGCCTTTCTTTATAAACCTATAAAAATCCAGCTTAATCTTGAACGCCATTTTTGCCATATCTTCATCATATTTTCCATTACTTTCTCTATATCGTTCCAAAATGACCTTTTTTAATTCTTTTTTATCCACTCCTTTCGCTCCTTTTTCCTTCAAATAATATTTTATTTCATTTCTTCAACCTTTCCATACCCTCGTTTTTTTCTTCTCTTCCTTTGGTTTATGAAATTTTCCAAAGTATTTTTCGCTTTCCGTAATGCAGCTTGTATGTGTATCAAACTCAAACCCCTTGAAATCTTTTGCACAGTCTATACAGGTGAATGTCCAAGCATTTGGGCAAACAGTCTCGCAATGCTTATTTACTTGATTTTTCTTGAGAGTAGCTTGGCACGCACCACATATAAAAGTGACCATTTTTATTACTAAATTACTTAAACTTTTACGTTGTTTTCTTTGGCCCATTTATTGATGACTCTTACGATGTATTCTACCTGTGGATTGTTGGTATTCCTTAAAATTTCAACGGTTTCGACAAGTCTGTCTTTACTTTCCTTACCTGCCACTACCATTTGAAAAACACCAACAGCTGCCCCTCTTTTACCTTCCCAGTACTCTGGGTCTGGGTCAAGTCTTTCTAATACATCAAAAGCTTTGAGCGAATAATAAAATTGCCCCATTCTATAGCAGTCATTAGCAATAAGCTGTAATAATGAAAAGGATTCATTGGAATTTTCCATATTAAAATAAATACTCCAAGCCATGCTAGGTTTTCCATTCATTATATAAGCCCTGCATAGCCAAGTTATATATGCATAATCCATCTTAAGTCTTTCGTTTTGAATGAGCAGTAAAGATTCTTCTGCGTCTTTATATTCACCTGCAGCAGCTGATGCTATTCCGAAATTCCAGTTAAAATCGTCATCATTTGGAAAATAAGCCCTAACTGATTTAAGGTAAACAAGAACATCTTCAAATTGCTGAAGCAAAAAGAAACAAGATGCCATGCATTGACGGCCTGGAATTGTATCGCATTCACTGGCTGATGCCCCGACAAGCTGAAAAAGAGTTTGAGCAAGCTTAAGGTGTTCGCGGTTTTCTGTTTCTTGGCCGAGCATAGCATAGACAACACCTTTTAATATATATTCCCTTGGAACAGTCGGTTCCACATCTTTTATAAGTTTAAACGCTTCTTGGACTTCATCATTTCTTAAATGATAAATTACCAAATTTAGCCTCGCTTCAGATATAATATCAATTAATGGTGGCAAAACCTGCAAGGCGTTTTCTCCGTTTCTAAAAACCACTTGGTTATGTCTCAGCAAGTCACTATCATTAAACACATTTCCACTTTCTGCAGACGAATTAATTCCTTTAAGCTCTTGCTCTGCTGCTTTCCCATTAAAAAGCTGGAATTGGTTGCACGCTTTTAAGTTAACTGCAATTACACTATCAGGATATTGATTTAAATAGACTTGCAAGATTTCGTTACTGACCTCGAAATAGTCTAATTTGTAATAGCATAACGCTACATATACGTTGAGGGCATTAAAATCTCTATTATCAAGGAGTAGTTTCTTATAAATATCGTTGGCTTCATCAAAATGGCTTCTTAAGTAGTGTATTGCTGCCATGCAAAGCTGATCAGGAGTGCTTTGGCCGATTTTCTGATGGTAAACTAATACAACATTTTCATCACCTCGCTTGTGAGCTATATGAAACATAAGGCGGATCAGCAAAGGAGTTTCGGGGGCTTTGGTGCATTCACCATATGCTTCGTCGTATTGGCAGAGTGCATAATAACAGCATGCTTTATAAATATGAAGTTCAGGAGAGTAGCTTGGATTTTTCATAAGCTCATCATAAGCTTCTATAGCTTTTTTATACTCGCCTGCATGAAAGGCTGAATATGCGAGCCATAGTAGCAGTTTCTCATCACGAGCGGCAGATTTTTGAATTTCGAGGAATGTTAAAGCACCTAAAAAGTCTCTGTCATCAATAAATGTTTGCAGCTTAGGCATTTGCTGTTCTTTTCTTGGTGCATTTGGAACGGCAGCTTGTTGGCTTGCTTTATGCTTTGATAGTGACGATAAAGGTCTGATCATTTTATAACTTTAAATTGCTAAAAATGAGGCACTTTAAGATTATTATGAAAATTATAATTATTTATCAAGCAACGCATAATGTCTGATTAAAACAAATAATCAATTTTATTGAATTTCCAATCAATAATAAAATGCTTAAGATCTTGAATTAATGCTCAAAATTAAATTTATCAACCTTTTATAATTATTATGGGTGTGTGCATAAATAAAGCCATTAATCCTCAAATAACAAAGGAAGAGTTGAAGTCGAAAATATATAACGCTATAGACCTTGATAAGGTCGGAACTTTAAATAATTTATGAAAGACTTATATTAAGCCTAGACCAAACATCGTGCCGTTTTTTGAAATCAATGAGCCACTATTGCAGATTCAAGGAGTAATTATTATATTAGGTTGATATTAATACTTTGGCTTTCGCAATTAGGATCGGGAAAACAAATATTGTGAAATTTTTAATTGAAAATTGCAAAGCAAAAATTGAAGCTATGAATCAAATATATAGCTCAATTGGGAAAACTCCAATGGATGTCATATGCGAATATGGGCATCTTGACCTTTTGAAGTACTATTTACCAATATACCTCGAATCCAAAGAAATAAGGTCTACGGACTTTTCATTTCATGAAGACAGTTTAGAAGATCTTTCTATATTTAATTCAAAAACCATGAAAAAATCTTTAAATAGAGGCCCAACTGCAATTCAAAGGGCTTGCGAAAGAGGCAAAATTGAAATTGTTGATTACCTCACAGACTATTTTAAAGAAAAATCAGTCCCAGATGAGTTTAATGTGCATTTTGAGGATGAAAGAACTGGAGAAAATTGTGCTTTGATAAGCTGTCGAAATGGAAATTTAGTTCTTGCCATGCTTCTTTATAAGAAGTGCAATGCGAATTTTCATAAATTAAACAAGAGGTCAGAAAACGCTGTACAGCTAGCAGCGATTGGAGCCAATAAATATCCTTATAGGAAATACTTCGATTTGATAAAGTTTTTAGTAGAAGACTTAGAAGTAGACATAGCTTATCAATATGAAGAAACTCTTATGCTCTCAGAAAATAAATTAATAACTTCTTATCTGGAATCAAAATTACTACAGAGAGGATTAGACAAAGCGAAAAAGAAATTCATAGAGAAAGAAAATGCTATTAAGCAGGAAACACATGATGAGCTGACTGGGTTGTCACCAGAAATTATTGACAGATTGGCTAGTGCAGGAAGAAATTTTGAATTTACTGAAATATTCAAAGAAGAGTTAAATGAAAAATCACATTCATCTTTTGTTAGCTCTATAAGTCCGTATTCTGAGCCTTCAGAGATTTCTTGCCCGAAATTTTGGTAAGAGAGGAGGCTCAGGTAAGTTGGCTAACCCCCCCATTCTTGATCGAACGATTGACTGTAAAAATTCCTAAAAATTGGGAAACCCTCATCTTTGATCGAACGATTTTCATATCATCCAAAATTTTTTTATATATATAAAAATATATTAGTTATCAAAAGTTTGGGAAGATGCACATAATGAAGTTGTTCTCAGAGACTTTGAGACGACAGAAAGCTACGGAATCAGCCATCTGAAGTGATTTAGCCATCAACCTGGGGCTTAAAACTTAAAAAAAAATTAATTCAATAAGGAACAAATTAAAATTTATACAGTAACCAAAAAATCAAAATATTAAAAATTGGTATTTTATGAAATTAATTCAATTGTTTTCTGTAAAAATAATTATTAAATACTTATTTAAAAGTAAATAAAAAAATATATATATTTTTTTTTATATAAAATTTTTTTCCCAAAAAATTTTTTAACCCCATCCTTGATCGAAAGATGGCGAGCCATTCGATCAAGGATGGGGGGAGTAAGGATTTAAGAATAATATAAATAAAATACATCTAAATAGCTTTTATTGGTTAAATCTTATAGAAAATTAGAGTATAAATAAAGAATTCTAAGTAAAGCACTCATTAAGACAGTATGGCCGAGTGGTTAAGGCGACAGACTTGAAATCTGTTGGGATCTCCCGCGCAGGTTCGAATCCTGCTACTGTCGTTTTTGCCACTTTTCAATAATTTCTAATTATTTAATTATTTTTTCATCAAGTCGCTTATCCTTACCTTCTTTTTCACCGCATTTGTCAGCCCATCATGGTAAATAAACGCCAAACTTTGCCCTCCAAGACTTTCCCTTTTTCTCTTTCTATTTTCGAAATCCTGATAAGTCATTTCTTTCACCTGCGATATTACAGTTTTCGTCACCTGTGCCGTTCTATTAAAATTATTCACCAGTGTTCTACTAATATAAAAATCTTTTGGGATCCTTACAATTCTCTGTACAGAAGGCTCTACGTTTCCATTAATAACTTCAAACCCAAATTCCCTAAAAAGGTCTTGCAAAAGTTTTAGAATTTCATAGTCAAAATCATCATTACCACTAGAGCTTTGGAATATTTTGGTGATAAAAGAATAAATGTCTTCACATGCAACTGAACTTGGTAGCTTTTCTGGTTTTCGAGGCTGATTGTTTTCTAGATATACATCTTTTTATTAAATAGTGCGATAAGAAGCACGTTTTGAGCGGACCAATACGTTTCTGGCCAGAGAAATTTCAGTTTTTACTTTTTCAGAGGGAAAACAGAAATATAAATGATAGGATGATTGCTGCTGCTAAGATAAAATTGCTAAAGCATGTTGATGCTAAATACGTTTAAGAAGCATTAAGAATAGCTTATTAGTGCTAAAGAAAATTCAGGCAGAAAATATCCAATGTGCTAAAAAGGGCATAAAGGCTGCCCTTGTGTCATAGGATCCCACTGCCTGCAATAAAAACACCAGATTTTAAAAATTCCTGGGAAGTGGTAGAACTTGAATTTCTCACAGACATTTTTTATTTCAAATTTTTTGGCTCGTCAAAATCGATTTGGCGAGCCGATTCTGGCCGGTAAGCAAAATAAAAAAATAAAAAAGATACATGATAATGGACAATTCTAACATCATTTTAATTTATAATAATCTTATCATAAATGGAAAGTGATGACATCATTTATGTTTTCAATCGGCGCTGATCACTCCTGACTACCAACACGACTACAGCATTCATCACATGCAAATTTTTCCTTTAAACTTAATTTCAAATGGATCATTAGGTCTTTACTCAAAAAAAATTAATTGGCACAGAAGTCATAAATAATTAGTATTTAAGTGTCTTTAGCAGCTAAAACATCTGCAGCATAGAACTTCAATAATTTTTTTTATATGTACAATCTCAGTGAGATATTTTTGAGAAGTAAGTGTATGCTAGTGAGCCAAATCTAATTTGATAGCACTTCAGTTGCGGGAGTTAATTTTGATCACCTACAAGAATAATTTTTTTGGGTTGAAAATAAAGGGCATTAAACTTGATAAAGCTGTGCACTGGCAAGCTTCATCAACAATACCAATTTCAATTTCTCCAATTGACCTCAACATCGTTTATGATCCACATCTTTTGCATGATGATTCACCTTTAGCCTGCAAGGGTCTTTCTTTGAGTGTAAGAATCTTTAGATCATTTTTTTCCAATCATTCTTTTAAAAAACTGGTTTGGTATCTGAATTTTTTTTCATTTTTTTGGTTTTGCCTGATGAATCTGACCCAGGAGACTTTTCAGCTGAGCTCACTCCTTCTTTAAATAGCACACAATATTCTAAGAACCATGGAGGAAAGTATTTGTTGTATCAATCATGAATGTAATGCTTATAAATTTTATTGAACCCGTTAATAATTATTCAACAATTCTGCTTGTCTTCAAGAGGTCTCATTGTCATATTTCTAAATTCAGCGAAATCAGAGTTGCAAGAGCATATGTAATTTTTATTATCTCCAATAAAAACAAAGCAAATTCCAATAATAACTTTGTTTTTCATTCTTCCAAAGGCAAGCAAAAGTTTTATGCACTTTAGTGTCTAATGACAATCCTTTTTTTTAATTCATTTATTGGTGAACATATGCAAAAGCGGTCGACCCCTTGCATGCAAATTATTTTGACTTATGGAGATGGCTTAAGCTCTAGAATATCTCTCCAAGATTGAACTTATAATTAAAGATTGGACAACCTTGTCGAAATTGTCAAAATAGTTGAAGAGGCATTAGCATCTAAAAATCAGAAAACATAGAATTCAAGATCTTTTGTTATAAGTTCAACTGCAGAGAGATATTCTAGACTTTAAAACAATCTCCATAAGCAAAATTAATTAGTATGCAAGGGGTCGACCGCTTTTGCATAATTCATAGAAATAGAGATCAAAAGAAATCAATAAAGCCGATAGGAGAAATTGCTATTAGCAGCTAAAGCGCCAGAAATGCAGATGAATAATCTTTTGACACAAAAAAAAGCTTATCAGTCGCTTTTACCGTTACCAAACTCGCATGAGCTTTCACAGTAATTAGGACATTTACATTTTCTGAAAAATCACAAATTTTCCATTATCTTTTCTTGTTTTTTTGGCTTGGAAAATTCATTATGAAAATTTTGCAAATAGGTGCTGCTGAAAGATTCTCTCTTCTTAGGAAACAAAAACGACTCTAGTTGTACAATTCTTGCATAATCTATTGAATCTGAAGGAATTATTTGCTTGAATTTCTTAAACGCTGTTTGAAATACTCGCATAGATCGTTGATTTAAGTTCTCCTGCGATTCTAGCTCTTAAATTTGATGATAGGTGTCGTAAGCGGGTAAAGATAAGTTTAAAGGAAAAATTTGCATGTGATGAATGCTGTAGTCGTGTTGGTAGTCAGGAGTGATCAGTGCCGATTGAAAACATAAATGATGTCATCACTTTCCATTTATGATAAGATTATTATAAATTAAAATGATGTTAGAATTGTCCATTATCATGTATCTTTTTTATTTTTTTATTTTGCTTACCGGCCAGAATCGGCTCGCCAAATCGATTTTGACGAGCCAAAAAATTTTGAATAAAAAATGTCTGTGAGAAATTCAAGTTCTACCACTTCCCAGGAATTTTTAAAATCTGGTGTTTTTATTGCAGGCAGTGGGATCCTATGACAAGGGCAGCCTTTATGCCCTTTTTTAGCACATTGGATATTTTCTGCCTGAATTTTCTTTAGCACTAATAAGCTATTCTTAATGCTTCTTAAACGTATTTAGCGTCAACATGCTTTAGCAATTTTATCTTAGCAGCAGCAATCATCCTATCATTTATATTTCTGTTTTCCCTCTGAAAAAGTAAAAACTGAAATTTCTCTGGCCAGAAACGTATTGGTCCGCTCAAAACGTGCTTCTTATCGCACTATTTAATAAAAAGATTTATATCTAATTGCGTCTGTTGTTTCTGTTATAGCTTTGTTTATTTGTTTAAAATATAGAGGAAAATGAATTTCTGGGGACATAGATGTGCAGATTTTATTTGCAGTAAGACTTGGCATCTGTATAGACCTTACACATTGAAATGGCATAAGCTCAAATTCTTGTTTTTGAGAGATTCTTTGAGAAATTACATCTGCTAATACTAAAGAGTCCTATATGTATTATACCATTAATTCTGCAGATTTGTCCATACTATAATCTGTATACTTTGAGCCTGTATAGTTTTCAAAAATCCCACTATTAATTAATTCAAAATCCCCAAAACTGTTCACAATTTTCCTTAATCCATTAGTATTTTTCTGAGTGAAAATGATTTTTCATATATCAAAAATAGACCTATTGACAAACTTTGACCTGAAGCTATCTGAGTCACTAGAATACACGTTAAATTGGCTTCCTTCTCTCTGAGACCCTAGCAATTGTAAAGTATTTAAACAGGTCCTGATATCAGCATTATTATCTTGTATTAAAGTATTTAAGTACTGGCTTTCTAAATGAACTCTCTATATATAAAATACTTCTTCTCTGCAGATTTCTTTAAGTCTTTCAAATACTTCTTTATGGAATAAAGATTTACAGTTCACAATTTTACATGTGGGCCTTAATAGCTTTAAAGAAGGCGCATAAATGTCATTGGTGATAGCTATGATAGGTCTTTTGGTATTTACTGAAATGATTGCGTTTAATTCTTGGACTGTTTGCTTGTCCAAGGTTTCTACTTGGTCGAGGATTAGGAGTAAAGGCTTCTCAGTGACTGTTTTTATGTTGAGAACGTTTCTTACCCTTTGAACGAGATCTTTTCCGACACCTATTAAAGCACAGTTCACTTCGTAGGGCTGATAATTGCATTGACGTGTAATAACTCTTGCTAAGGTACTTTTCCCACATCCAGGAGGTCCCCCAATTAATAGCATTGGTTTTGTTTTTTCATTGCTTTCAATTTTTGGTTTCATGAAAGGCCCTCTTTTCACTGGGGTTCTTTTTTCTTTAAATACAGCTTTATCTCAAGATTTTAGCCATGATAATGAGTCTCTATTGATATATTCTTCTGTTATTAGTTCTAAAAATGAATGAGCTTCGTATTTATCCATCCATAAACTACGGTCTTCTTTGTCTAGAAGTGCTAAAAAATTCAAGCCTGATTCGTTTTTTGATGCAGCCATTGCAGATTTCAGTTGAATATTTTCGCTAATGATTTCTTTTAAGCGTGATATTGGGACTTCTAGGAAACTTTTTCCGCTTAATTCAAACATTAAATCAGTGTTAAAAGGATTTGTGGAAGCTTTCTTTAGAAAATATTGGCGATTTATTGTAAAATCATCAGAAACATTTTCATACATGACAATTGGGACGGAGTTCTCACTCTTCCCCTTAGCTAGCGAATAAAAAATTGCTGGCTTGCAAGTGGGATTAATTTTCTTATTTTTAGAACCTAATAATATAACTTGATTGAGAGCTCATTATTATAATCATTAATTATATATATTAAAATATACTCTGTGCTATAAAAATATTTTTGTCTTAATAATTAAAAGGTTAATCTTACCAAATATAAGCATATTCTAATAGTTTGCTTGTTAACAAAAGGGAGAGTCAGTTGGCGCCTCACTAAAATGCTGCTCCATTTTATATCTAACTATGATATTAATTAATTTCCTTATGGATAACTCAACCCAAGCTGCTTTGCAAGCTTTTTCTCCGCTTTTTCATGCTTTTTAGTCAGAATCACAATTCGTTCACTTGCAGCTGCCCTTTCTATCCCAAAAACTTTTTCCAGTTTAGTTCTTTCTTCTTCACTTAGATTAGCCGCCCTTCTTTCTCTCTCATTTTCTTCTTTTTCTTCTTTATCAAGTAGATTTTGAAGTTCTTGGTGATTTTTATTTTTTAAATCATCAAACATTTTTTGAGCATAAGCTGTAATATTATCAGGCTGTCCTTGGACTTTCATTTTTGGCTGGGAATTTCGCTTTGTTTTTATTTTTTCTGTTCTTTTTGTTTCTGGTTTTTCTTCTCTTTGTGTATCTTTCTCTTTGTCTTTTCCTAACAAATTTGAAAATTTGCTTGTGTATTAGATTAGTGATGCTTCTTTATAGTTCCCACTTTCTGAGCACCATGCTTTAAACTATTTACTTGAGCTGGAGCTGAAACACCAGTTTTATTTTCCCTCTGGTCTTGAGCCTCCATTTCAAATCCTAGCAACTAGCTTATCCAACTATTCTTAACTTAGATCAGATCGCCCCTTCTCGGGACCCTTTCCAACTGGAAACTATAGCCCTTTATTCTTGTCTAGCCTGTCTAGCCTGTCTTCCCTTTTTAACCTGGTTTACCACAAAAAGAAAAGCTCAACCGTTTACGCGATTCAGGACAGACCATGAAGCAGCCTAGGCAGGTAAGTAGCCCTGGTTCTATCGAACACAAACCTGAGCTTACTAGCTGCTGGAAAAAAATTGCAATAAACTGCTGGCGATTTATGTAAATTGCTTGTGTATTCTTTAAGCCCGCTTTTCTTTTTTTTGGCCTCTTCAAACATTTGAACGATTCGCTGCTTTTCTGCTTCAGCTTTTTCTTTTCTTTTTCTCCTTTCTTCCATTAGCTCTTCTTTAGCTTTTCTTAGCATTTCTACTCTAAGTGTGTCTTCTTGGATTCTTTCTAAGACTTTTTCTCTGTGGTAATTTTGTTGTTTTGAGATCCTGATAACATTATCAGTTCTATCAGCTCTTTTCATATTCCTATAACATTGAATGCCACTTTCAATAATAATTTATCCAGAATATATTTATTCAGCCCTATTTATATATATCTTCTGCTTCCTTTTTAATTCTATTTTCTTTTTCCCTTTGCTTTTTTAGTTTTCTTACTTTTTCTTCCTCTTCTTCTCGCTTTGTCAATATTTTTTTGACTCTTTCAGTTTCTTGCTGCTCCATTCTTTGCCTTACCATAAGAGTTTGCTCTTGGCGCTGTTTTTCTTCTTCTTTCTTTTTCTCTAATTCTTCTTCTTTTCTTTTTAACTGTTCTTCAAATCTGTTATCAGCTTCTGTTTGTGCTTTAATTAAGTCATTTTTTCTTTTTTCTTCTAAAAACATGTTTAATTCTTGGACTTTTTTAAGCTCCTGCACTTTAATTTCAGCTCGTTTTTGGGACTCAATACGTGCTAGCTCACGATCTTCTTCAATTCTTTTGCGTTTTTCTTCGTTTTCCTTTTGCCGCTGTTCGAATTCGTTTCGGCGCTGGCCGAGGATTTTGGTTAAATTTTCTTTTGCAGTTTCCAGCTTGGCATCTTTTTCAGCACGGATTTTTAGGCTTTCTTCAATTTTCTTTTGAGTTGCAATTGCTATCATTTCTTTTCGCTTTTGGTCCCTTTCATCAAGCTGCTTTTTCCTCTCTTCAGCTCACTTGACTTTTTGCTCGACCATTTGTTCAGTTCTAAGTTTAAATTCTTCTTGTTTTCGTTGAGTTTCCATTTCTCTTCTTCTTGCTTCTTCTTTCCGTTGCTTTTCTTTTTCTTTGTCCTCTTTTGCTTTTCTTTGGACTCTTTCAAATTCTTCTTGGGCTCGTTTTCTATTTTCCTCTTCTTCTTGAAGCTGGGCCTGCATTTTTCTTTCCTCATCCCTTTTCCTTTTTGCCTCTTGCTCTTTTCGCCGTTGCTTAATTTCTTTTTGTCTTGCAATTTCTTTTTGCCTTGCCTTCTCAGCCTTTTCTTCATTTTTCTGCCTAACTTTTTAATCATTAACAATATTAATATTGTTATATTTACCTAAAAATAATGTATTGCTACAAATTAATGGCAAATAGATTAAGAGCTTCCATGGTGAGCTCATAGTCAACCATCTGCTGCAATTCCATTTGTTGCCTTCTTTCTAGTTTTTCAATTTCCCGTTTTTCTCTTTCCACTACGCCAGAGCTTAAAAGATTCAAATCAATGCTGGTATTATTGCTAAAATGAGACTTGGTGTTTAATATATCAGCATCAGTGATTTTTTCCCTTTCTTCTTTTAGTCATTTCAGTTTTTCTAGGCGTTTTTGTTCGACAAAATCAAAGCGAATTTGAGCAGTTTCTTTGTCCATTCCTTTAGTCATATAGCTTTCAAAAGGGCGATACACAAGCTCATAGGGCTCAATCCCTAAACGCTTGCATGCTTCTTTGGACCTTGGGGTGAAGCTTGGAGCCTTTGCAATGTTTGTATCAATTGTTTCTAAAGATTGCAACTGATTGTCCATTTATATAAATTTGGAAAATATTTGAATAATTATTTTATAGATTAAGTAAATTCTTAGTTTATTTGAAAATTTTCAATTTTGGGTCAATATTTGGTTTATAAAACAGCTTATTTATTATTTAAGCAAGCTTTGAGGGTAATTATTTGTCTTACCGGTTCACACTTTATATATATTAAAAAAATACAAAAGTTATTATAATCTTAAATTTAAAACATTTAATGCAAAGATGAAACCGAATAGCCTTTTATTGTAAATGCTTTAATTAAATAAATAACTTTAAATTAGCTTATTTTACAATTAATCTTAATAATAATTTATATATTTATTAGTTAAATATATCCCTAACTCAACCTCTGTGAGCGAGCAAAACCATTGGAAAATCTTTATATTAGGAAAACAACTCTATAAATAAGCAAGAATTTTTTGATGCAAAATATAAAAAATAAGTTATAATTATTCCAATCAATTATATAACTAGTTCTAATGAAATTTATGCAATTTACTTCTAAAACATATAAATTTTCTTAATTTTTACTTTCAATTTGAAGTTTTGAGAGAATAAATCAATATAAAATTTATCTAGAGCCCAGGACGTCTTCTAGCTCACCCCTGGGTTACTATTTTTCCATCTAACTTGTGGAGTTTGTTTAGAACAAAAAATTGCGAATCTATGCTCACTTGCCAACTCGTGGAGATGATGGAAATTGGGTGCCTAGAGCGAGCTAAAACCGTCCTGGGCTATTAAAATTTTTCAAAACAAATGCTAATCCCCTTGAGTAAATTTTCGCTCTCGCTTAATTAGGAAGGAATAATAATTTTTAGACATATTAGCTTGTAATGAAAATGCTTCTTACTTATAAATCGCCCTTTTTCTCTTTTCCAGGACCTTTCTTTCCATTTCCCACTTCCAATCTATACCTAATATCTCTTCTCTTCTTAAAATACATAAAATCCACCTCAATATCTTTCGAAGTCTCCAATCCATTATTTAAAATCGGCACTAAGTGCTCAAATTTACTCTGCTTTGAAGGGCTTGTATTAATAACTTCTCTCGCTTCTTCTTCTGTAATAAATCTCATGCAATTATTAAATGCCCTTTCCATGATTTTTGTCCTAATATTTGATGCATCTAAATGCGGCTTTGCTTCAATGACTTTTTCTAAATCATTGTGCTTTTGTCTCTGAAGTCACATTGTCAATGAATAGCAAGAATTTTCTTTGAGCTCTTCTAAAGAGGTGCCTGCATATGCCAAGCTAATTATAGTGAAAAATAAAATTTTCCACATTATAAAACACGTGTAATAATATGGATAGAAGAAGGATTGATAGGAAAAAGACTTGTCCTTTGCTGCTTAGAGTATTTTGAAAAGAAGAGCAGGAAATTAGCCCTGAAAGCTTAAAAAATAGAGGCAACGAATTATAATAATTTAAAATAAATTTCAATGATAATTAAAATATAAAAATACTATTCTTATTAGTAAATAAGCTTGAACTATTAAGAAAATGGTAATAATATTACAAAGAAGAGAATAGAGCAAGATGAAGTAAGATTATATACGTGAAAAGATGCAACTTTTAGAGAAATTGCGGATATGTTAAAGGAACATATTCCAGGAACAAGAAGAAAAAATGCGGAGCTGAATTTTTATTTTATTAGACCTAATTTAGAAGGAGGGTTAGAGCGCAAAGATATAGGAACAGTAAATACAATTAAAAGGGGAGAGGTAGATTTTATGACTTTAAACCAGCTGAGGTTTGTAACTGGAGACTATTTGGGATTGACGATAAAATATACCTGAAATAATTTGAAAGATTTGTATTCTGTTTAGATATAAATATAAATGGAAATGTAGTGTAATGTAATGTAAACAACTCTTAAGGAATTTATTCAAGAGACACTGGCGCATATTAAAAAAGCAATTAGATTTTAAAAATACATTATTGCACTATCAAAATTCTTGTACTTAGCTATTCAATGCTATATCTAAAATTTGAATACAGTCTTAATAAAGCAGAAACGACCTTACAGGCAATCAAATTATAGTGAACTTTAGCAATTATAAGGAATGATGCCTTAATAATAGAGAAATAAAGATTTATGTAGAAAATTCTCATTAATGATGAGTAAAACTAATAAGAGTATTATTCTAGTTAAGCAAATTATTTCAAAAAGATAAATATAAAATAAAATAAATCAATTTAATTATAAAATAAATTTGTAGACTTGCAATTAATAGTCAAGATTTAAATTAATTATTAGAATATTAATAAGATTATTTAGTTTTAAATTTATTTTTAATTTAAAATAACACAAGTTTTTAAGAAATAGTTAATTAGGAGAAAACCTTTACTCTCTTAAGCTTCTATGGATTCATTACCGTTTTCTCCTTCTTCCAAAGGGTCTAAGATTTTAAGGACAAAACTCCAAGTGTCCAGCTCTGAGCATTCTGGCAAGATTCTGATTCCACGGAGAATTCTTGTTAAGTCAAATTTAAAGTTGTAAATTCAGTTAGTAGTGGGTGCACTGCTGGTGATTTTGATTTCGATATTAAATTCTGGGTTGCTGTTGCAATTTTCAGTAAAAGAATGTAGTTCTAAGATTTTTTGAATCATATAGTTAGCACGATTAGTGCTTAAACAATCTGCATCTATATCAAGTGTATGCGTAATTTCATTTTCAGGAGTTAGAAACTCCTTGTAAATTTTATTGTTTGCTTTACTTTTTATGTTGAGTTCATCTTTGATTATATAGCTTGAATTTCTTAGGATATTTATTATTCTGGCGTCGTCCAAATCTTGTGGACTTAGGACAACTAAGTCTGCATTTTTCACAATTTGTTCAAGTTGGTAGTTATTGATATGTATTTCTCCGAAGTAGTTGTCTAAATTTATTCTTGAAGTGTTTGAAGTTGATAAATTCCAAATCCCCATTTTCGGGAACTGGGTAGCGTAACCTCTACCTGAAAAAGCAGAGGTTTCAAGTATAGCTACCCTTGAACTGATCAAAACAGGGCATCCTTTTGGGCTATAAGAGGTTTGATAAGAACTGCGCAATCCAAAAGAATGGTGGAAGCTGGAGCCAACACTGCTCCGATACAAATTTATCAATAAATCTGCATATGCTATAAAAGAGTCAGGATCTTTTTCGTGAATGCTTCACTCATCCTGAAATCCATGTCTCCTTAGTGTCAAGGACGAGAACGACACATCGTTCATAGGCTCTCTCATTTTTTATTAGTGACCATTGGTATACAAAGTGATTAGAATGAGATTGCAGACCCAAGTTTGCAACTCGAAAGAATAATAAAAAGATCGATTAATTTGAGTTTTGCTTTTTTTGGGGCTATATTGAATTACTCTCCACTTGGTGGAGCTTTACATCAGCTCTTAAAAATAATTGCCATGATGTTGGAAGCACGTGCGAGCTATGTCATTTTATTTATAAAATTAAAATATAAAATCTTTTGAGTATTTTCTACTAAAATTAAGTATACCAATTGCCCGAGGATGGCGCTATCTTGTGCCATCCTCGGGCAATTGAAAAAATGGCCCCACACCGGGAATCGAACCCACGTGTGGGGCCATTTTTGGTGTGTGGCCAACATCGACTTACACACACCAAAAATGGCCCCACACGTGGGTTCGATTTCCAGTGTGGGGCCATTTTTTTTGAATTGCCCGAGGATGGCGCAAGATAGCGCCATCCTCGGGCAATTCCTATATTTAAGAAGAAGACTGATGCAATGCATCAAATGCGAGTATCTGCATATTCATTGGTATCCACATTCATAATTAGAGAAAAAATATTATAATTTACAATAATGAAATTATAATAATAAAATGATGAGAAATTTTGCTATGAAATTTCTTATTTATTATTATGATATTCAGTTTTCAAGAGAATCCTTAGACATATTTTTCAGTAATGGCGAAATGTGTATATGCTGCTATTTCTGTTGAAGACATGGAGAAATCATGGGAGCAACTTGAAAATGGAGAAACATGGATGGATTCAGTGGAGAAGAGCAGTTGAAATTGATGAAGACTCTGAACCAAAGCAGAATTACCGAATAGGTGGACAATTCATCAGTCTTTGGGGAATTGAGTTCATCAGATTTTGGATTTTTTTATCAGAATTTTAATTTTTAGATCAGAATTGGCTTTAATCAGAAATGGCCAGACTGAAAAAGTCTTATGGCCGTAATTTCATTAAGTAAGTAAGTTATCCTTCAACATCAGGCAAGCAGCAGAAGAGGTGAAAAGCCAACTGAAATGATTCTTTGGACGCTTGGAAAGCTTAAGATTCATCTAATTAGCACAATCGAGGAAGGTGACCTTTGAGCAGAGCACTTGGAGGAGCTGAGCTACTCATAACGGCAAAGCACTGAATGGGATGCGCAACTGATTGAAAGATGTCTTGCTTTAACTGTCTACCATATGGTGCGCTATTTTAAGTAAAATAATTGTCAGTGGCATCATAATTTTAGGCTTAACCTATTTTAGAGTAGCGCTAAGCACTATAAGTATGAATGATTAATCATTATAACTATAATAAAATTAATTTAATTACTAATCTCCTTAATTTTAGTTTAATTTTTATCAAAAAAGTTAAAAACGATTATCGATAAATGGGAAAATTATTTGCACTTTTTTTGGTTATTGCTTTAATAGGGACTCAAGGCAAGCTATTTCAATCTTTTCTTCAACTAAAAATATCTTCAGACGAAATCGAAACAATTCCAACAAATGAAGCTGACTCATCTATGATAGGAGATTTAACATATAATTCTAAATCTGACTATGTAAAAATGACAAGAATCGAGCCCACTGAGGGATATGAAGGAGTTACATGGCAAGATATTGAAGGCGATGATTATGATGAGGCTATTCAAGTTTCAGATAATCCTGACGTCTACTCAGCTTAAATTTTCATACCTCAAATATAAAATTGGATTAAAATTAAAACAAAAAATTAATGAGATTTAATATTATTAAAGTAATTTTGAAATCTCACATACAAATTCCATAGCTCTTCATTCGCGCTTCCAAAACTTTTCGGAATATTCAAAACCTTCGGAGTTTTTAATTTTCCATTCTCATTTATCATCATCGTTCTCTGTATCTGGCTCATTATTCTATTTTTATCATCCTGTGAAATATTTCCTTTCTCTACAACCTGTAAAAAATCTTTAGAAATAGCTTCATAATTCGCTATTTTGGCTTGGGTGTGGGATTTTTCTTCTGCGAGCCTTACGATTTTTCTTTTTAAATTTTCGATTTTTTGTTCTCTCCTTTCTTTGATTTTCGATAAAGTTAATAAATCTTTGTATTCAAGCTGCAGTTCGCCATAGATTGACATTAATTCTTGTCTTTCCTCATCAAGCTTGCTTAGATTTTTAGTCCTTTCATTAAAGATTTTTATTGTTTCACTACTAGGAGTGCGCTGTTTATGTTTCGTTGTAATGTTTCTTGCACTGATAGAGCCGTGGTTTCTATCTTTTGGAGTTATAGCGGATAATAATTTTGTTGTTAAGTCATCATCTCCTAATTGTATTGAAAGCTTTTGCCTTCTTGTTGCTGGTAAAGACGTAGACTCATCTTTGCCACTAGATAGAGGACGCGTTGATCTTAATATGATTTTCTTTGAGTAAGGACTTTCCTAACTAGAAGTTACCATTTTCTCAAACTTTATAATGCAACTTTTAAATTTTTTTATAATAAATATCTTTAATTAGATTCGTCATATTTCACTTTCCCAGAATGAGTCCTTTTAAGTGAAGAACTCACTAATTTTTCATTTGGATTAGCAGGCCCTCTTATCATCTGCAGCTTTTCAGCAAAAATTTGTTTATTTTCGAGCATAACTCTTTTCTTTTCAAACATTTCTACATTCATTTTTGAGTTCATATTAGCTAGCATTTGATTTTTCATTTTTAGCTCCTCTTCCATTTTTGCTATTTGTTTGCGAGCTTTTTTTAAATCATCATCTAATTTAAGCTCATATTTCATCAAATTTTCTTTAGTTTTTGAAGATTTATTTGAGGCAGGAGGAGATAAGAACTTATCTGTGAGGCTGCCTTCTAATTCTTCTTCAAAATTCAACTGTGACCCAATTTCAGATGCAAGTTTATTTTTTGAGTATTTTATTTTGAAAATAATTCCATCAAGCTCTATTTAAATTTTGCCTTTTTCTTTGTTTAAAATTTGACCTTGAAGGTTAAAAATTTTGTTTTCTGCAGTTTGTTCAAGCTAATTAGGCTTTACTTGTTCTTGTCTTAAATAGTTTATTTTAACTTTAAAATATTCATGTTCTGCTTTAGCTTTAGCTTCTTCTAATGATTTGAATTTATCTCTTAAAATATCTCTTTCATCTCTGAGCTTTGTTAAAATAAGCTGCAAGCTTCTCTCTGCTTCTAATAGTTTGGCTTTTGCTTCTTCAGAAATATTGGATTGAGAGGGATCAAAATATTTGATTGCAGCATCAAGAACTCCTAGTAGTCCAGGCCGAACGGTTTCTTGCTGATCCATAATAGTTTCTTATTATATTTACTAAAATAAAATTTCGTTTTTTTTTAAATTAATTTTATTCTTCTTATAAATAAAACACAATTCCTTAAATTTAATATTTGCAAGCAAGCTACTTTAATTTGAAATAATTTTCCTCAGTAAATATACCTCAGCAGGATCAAGGATATCTTCTGTAATATTAAGCATTTTCTTCCCTTCAAAGAAATGAGAGTATTTCTGCTTCGATTTTTGTAAAGCAATGACATGCCTAATTCCTATCAGCGTTAAATGCTCTTTGGAAATTTGATAGATCTTTTTTAATTTTTTAAGCGAATGTATGATTTTTAATTGATATTTATCGAAATAATCAATTTCATCCGCAGTTTCTTCAATTTTATAATCAATTCCCATTATCATTTCTTCAATATAATTCGAATCAAAAATAGGTTCTGCTACACTTTCCTCTATTCATAATAAGGCAAGTTGAGCTAAAACTCTTGGATCAAGCTCTTTTTGCAGCCTCCAGATCCCAGAATTAAGCTCTTCTTTTCTTGCGAACACTTTTGAATCGACGCTACAGTCTGTTTTTTCGTCAATTAGTTCTTTATATTCTTTTGATTGAAAAATTGCATTATCAGGGTCACAAAAAGCTAGACATATTTGTTCTGACGTAAACTTTTGCGTTTCAACCAATTCGAAAATATGACTATACAACTGAATCAATATTTTTGGGACTCCTTTCAGCTTAACTCCTTCCTTTCCATACGTTAAAGCCAATTGATTCGCGAAAAAGTCATGAATAGATATAGGATTAATAGGATATAGCACTCTAATCCTAGTAATATACTCATAAAACTTTTTCAAGAAATTGCATTGCGACCTTCTTTGTATACTTTTTTTTCTTTTTGATCTCACAAACTCAATAGTGTCTATATCATTCATATTTGTGCTGTAAATCAAATGAGCAGCAATAGCAGTCCCAGTCCTTCCATATCCTGCATGGCAATGGATTATCAGTTTTTCTTTTTTTGAAATAATCACGCTTATCAGCTGCACAATAGTGATCATCTGAGAAGTCGTAGGAATGTCCATATCAAGCCATCCAAGATTGTGGACTTTTATCCCAGGCAGATCAGCTTGAGAATAAGAAAAATCTTCTCCAGGCTTAAGTCCGTCCCCACAAAATGGATGCTCGCCTGGAAGCTGAAGATTTATAACATTTGTTATGTTATACTTTTGGAACTCTTCGAGAAGATTGAAATCTTTTATAATCCTTGTGGTCAGGCGCTGTGAAGCAATGATATTTTCAGTTACCCAGCTTGAATTTAAACCTTTGAGGGCTGGGTTGGGGTGGATGAGTCAGTTTTCGTTTCTGCAAGATGAGCCACCACAAACCAGACAGAAAAACTTGTTTCTCATATCAAAGTTTCGTGTTGTTGTCCGGTTCTCTAAGGCCGGGGTAACTTGCTTTGAAGAGCCTTTATTACGGTTCATACAACATAACATTTTTTTGATTACATGTGTAATTATCAGAGAAATATGCATAATAATTGTGTTCTAGAAAAGAAAGATGGTTAGACTTGATTAGAAGGTTATATTTGATTATAGAGGTTTCCTCTATATAGCGCTAAAAGCGCAGACATTTTCCCAGGAGCTTTCCAAGTTCGTCGGACCAAATCGCTTTTTGGTCCGACCAAGGCATTGATTTGGTGCAACCTACCGATAAATTCCGATCAGAATTTATCGGCCTTACAGCGCCAAACATAGGAAACTTCTATACTTAATAAAGATAAATAAGATCTGTAATCCAAGATAGAGCCTTGCTTACATGCATATAAATAGAAAAATTCTCCAAATAATTTATATATGATCTTCTAGTATGTCTCAAAAATTATCACCATATTAAAAAAATGCATACTCCCATCCTTTAAATTTGAGCAAAATACAGGTAAAATTTCCCCCTCTAAATAGGAACAAATTTTTTAACTCCCCCCCCCCCTCCGTGAGCGAACAAAACCATTAGAAAAATCGCCATTTTTTGACCAAAAACCCACCCTCCGTGAGTGAACAAAAATTTTTTTAATAGAAAAAATTTTAATGGAAAAAAATTTTGATATATAAGTGATAAATTAGTATAATGAAATCTAGAGCTAATTCTGTTTAATTTTAAACAAATTGCGTTTTTAAAACATAAATTTTGCAAATTAAATTAATATTTGCTTCCCCAATTTTTGCAAAATTAGGATTTTTTTTAATTTCGAAAAAAATATTTTTTATAAAAATTTATATATAAATTTTTTTTAAAAAAAAAAAATTAACCCCCCTCCGTGAGCGAACAAAATTTTTTTGTTCGCTCACGGAGGGGGGGGGGGGAGTAAGAAAATTTATAGACAAAAATAGTAATTTCTATAAAATTAATTAAGATCTAATTTAAGGAATGCCACTATAATTATATTTAAACGGCTTAGGCATAGAATTTATTAATCTGTCCGTTAATTCTTCATAAAATTAAAATTCAAAACTATTGTATTCATTTTATATTTTTTAATTAATATAAAACAATATTTTTAAAAAAATAAATTGGAGAGGATTTTTTATTCCAATTTAAAGGGGGTTAGTTAAATATTAATCTATATAGCAAGTACATTGATAGCATTTGAAATTAAATATCTCAGCTTTTTATTTAGAACATTGAAAGGCTTTTTGGTTTGATTTTAAATTAGTAGCATCGCTACCCGCTATATATTCTTTGCAGTGCATCTCTTTATATTCCTTCGTCCCCGAATCATATCTCAAGAAATTTTTCATTATTGGGCTATTCCATTTTCTGCACATTTGCTCTGAAAATAAAATTTCATCATGAAAACTTGGCGTTTGGTCATAATCCTCATTTTTCTCCTCAAATTCATACATTTCTTGCCTATCACCAGAAAATCCATGGAAAAAAATTGCTTTCAAAATTTCTTGTTTCACAATTTTCCTTTGCTCTTCTTTCTCCATATCAAAATTCTCAATTTCAGTCTGTATCTTTTGCATTTGGTTGGTAATTTCATCGAAAATGCTATTTTCATCATTGGACTGGTCAGATTTTATTTCTCTTTTGATGCAAGAGACTTCAGTATCTTCACTGACTTTTGATGACTCTATTTTAAGTTCTACTATAGAGTCATTTCTGGAGGACTCTTGCTTATATTCAATTATTGTATTAGGGGTGCTTGCTCTGCTTTCTTTTGAGTCTTCTAAGCTTTTTTGGCTGGTATTAGGATTTGGATAAATATCTGGGACAACAGTGTCTGGGGATTCTTCATCAGAAGGAGATTCATATCTGTCTATAAGTTTTTGAGAGAACTGAGAAGAAATATTTCCAAATGTTAGAGTTTCTTGCAACACTGGCTTTGGGATTGGCTCTGGCTTAGGCTTTGGCTTAGGCTTTACTGATTTTATCCCTTTATCAGCTTTTCATTTCTCTATTTGTTTCTTTTGTTTTTCAATTTCAACCTGCCTGGCTTTCAGCCTTTCTTCCTCTTTTTTCTAATTTCCCTTGACTAGGAGGCAAAACTATTGAAAAATTTACTTACTTTGACAAGTGAGCACAAATTTTTTAAAAAATATTTTTTGATATATAGTTAATAATTATTGTGAAAGATCTATCAAATTGTATTGTATTTCAAATATTAAATTGCATTAAATTAATTAGAGTATTTAAGATGTCTAATGCCACACTCCCACAAAAGGGACAGAGCCAAAATGGTGATGTCACTAGAATTTCCGATCCGAAATGTCGGAGCATCCCAAATAAAACCGCCTGCCGTCCTGACCAGCGCTTCTTACCCGACGCAATGTATAAGCCCTTGCCCGACTCAGCTCCTGCTAGTGTTCCGCCTAAGAGTAACCCCCTTGGATGTGATGATAAGTAAAACTCTGAGCTTCTTGGTTGCACTGTGGAGCAGTTTCTAGTACTATTCCCAAAGTTAAACCGCTGTTTCTGGCAGAAGTTCTCGATAAAATACCCAACCTCATAAATAAAATTCCATGAGGAGCGAAATTAAAGAGCTAATTTCTACCATTTTATTTATCAATTTGCACTTCAAGCAGCTTGCATCTTTTAAAGCATAAATTTTAATAATTATTAGATTATTTAAATATTTCTATATTAGGCTATTAAATAATTTTGATATCTCTTTGGCTATAATTAAATATGGCGTCTCAACTTGGGTCTGGCCTCTCGGCCAGACAGTTTCGAGCCCTATTTAATTATATCCGGCAAGGTTTTGCCTAGCTAGAGATGGATAGCAATATCAGGTAAGCAATTCTGGCAGTGTACAGAGCCTGATCCCAGTCCGTTCTCGGGTTAGGATTTTACCTCGAGAGAAGAGGAGGCTTGGAGTTGGAAAGGAGAAGCCCAGCAGCGCCTACAGGTAATCCCTAGGCCATTTGGGCAAATCTCTAGCGAGAAACCGGGAGTTTCGCCCCGGGCTACAAGTTTTCCCCCTTTTGCCCGAAAGTCGGCCAGAAATCCCATTTTTTGGAATTTTCCCAGCAGACAACCCTCGTTACAGAGAAAGTAGCTCATTCATGAGCCGTCGAAGCCGGAACATTGCGCAGGAGGCGCACGTTGGAGATCAAAGCTAGTTGTCCCAGCAACTAGTGGGCCCCGAGCGACGAGAGCGTGGTGGTAGTCCTGGAAAGAGCAACCCCGTAGGAGACGTTAAATGTGATGGTTAATAAGTTAAGTTAAGATATCTCTTTGGCTAGCAAGCAAAATATATCGCTCATTTATTGGATAGAGTAAATAAAAATTACTTTTTCAATTCTTTCGTCTAATGCCCGCTTTTTATCTTCTATTAATTTTCGTGCGCGAGCTAATTTTTCTGAGTTAGTATTCATTTTAATGAATTTTTTAAATTTTTAGTTAGAAAATGTATCAAATTGAAATGGCTCTACAATGTTGCCATTATCCCACACTCCTTTTGTAATCTTCCCGTTAGCTTCATAAAGCAGACCACTTCCATGTGGTTTGTCTTGATTGAATTTTCCTTCATATCTGCTTCCATCTTTATAAGTCATGATACCGAGCCCTGCTTTTATACCATTTATATTTATTTCAAAATCTTTTTGCAAATAATATCCTTTCTACAATTTTTTAAAATAAAGCCAAGCTCTTTGGTGATCTTCATTAAAATATCTGCATTTTTGGAGATTTATCTTATACCATTTATGTACATGCCTAAATATTCTTTTCCGTCTCGGTATTTCATTCTTCCAATTCCATGAAATTGGAAGTTTTTCCATTCACCAAGATATGTGTTACCGCCTGCTCACTTATACTCGCCGATACCATGAATGTCATCTTCATGGTAGTTTCCTATATAAATATCCCCTGATGCCCACGTACTTAGCCCAATCCCATGCCTTTTATCAAGCTTAAACTCTCCATCATGTGTATCTCCATTACTTAGCACAAGCTTTCCTCTTCCATCTCTTTTTTCATCGCGCCATTCTCCTATATAAACAGACCCATCCTTATAATGTTCCTCATAATAGGTTCTTTGGCCTTTTATTAGCTGCATTGATGGCTTTGACAGTTCCTTTATCATTCTTTTATACTTCTTAATTTCTTCTTCAATTTTATTAAATTTTTCTTTAATTGTAAGCAGCTCTTCTGTAAAATCGGCTTGTGCTGTGTTGCTTCTAAACCTTATAGGTATTTTCTTGACGTTTTTATTGCTTGAAACACTTAAGCGGCTTTCTTTTGGAGCTTCTGTTTTAAAGATTTCTTGTTTCAGCCAAAGTCATAAGTATCCATCACTAGCTAAATCTTTTCATTTAGCTAAATTTGAGCCGGTCCGAAAAATATCTTTTGGGGATAAATAAGACCTTTTTCATTCTCCTTCGTAAACTTCTCCGTCAATATGTACAAATTTTCCATATCCATGAGGCTTACTATATGAAAAATTTCCTTCGTATTTAGCTCCATCAGGCCATTCCATTCTCCCGTAGCCATCTTTAAAGCCTCCACACCATTCCCCTATATATGCAGCTCCTGATTTATGTCTAAATAGTCTTCGCTTTTCTCTAATGGCAGATGCATTGCGTGTCTTGCTTAAAGTTTCCAAAATTTCTTCTTTAGAAAAATATGAATAATTCGGTTTTGTTTGTTTTTTCAAATGCTTTACGTATTTTCTCGAGACATATCCCTGTCATACAGCTACGATTTTTGGTGCCAGAGGTTTTATTTTTTCAACTGCGTCATCAAATGAGATTTGAAGGGTCTTGCTAGCCTTTCCTTGAGATGTTAATGTTGATGTTAATTTATACTCAGTCGTCAGTTCTTGGGATATGTCTTTATTTCCTATACTAAACTCATGCTGCCTCAGCATGCTTGTACAATCGCATCCTTTGCAGTTAAAAGAAAGGAAATGGCTTCGTTGACAGAAATTAGATTCCAAGGCACACTCCTTGTGGAGTTGGTAGAATCAATGCTGATGAAACTGAAAGCAGGGCCTCTTTGCCTTTTTGAAATAGGCCTTCAGGCTTAGGCAGCCTTGCCGAATAGAGAAGTTTGGTTTCTTTCCCTAAGGTTTCCGTCCCTAACAGGTGGCTAGGTAGGATTTGTCTACCTCACGGTTCCTGCTCATTGGGACCAACAGGGCACCTCACAGATAATGGCTTTGCCCTAGTAGCTAATCCTTGGACATGTGATTCATGCCTGATAAAAAGGCGACTTTAAGTGCCAAGATCAGCGATATTTGTGGGTTTACCCGAATATGGCTATCATAAATTATAACTTTACAGTTAAAGTTTCCCATAAATTAATTATTTATAGGCAATTTATTTTAATTTATTAAAATTACTATCTGTAGTTGGGATATATGATACAAGATTCTGATATGTAGACAAAAGATCGCTTGTGGTTTCGTCTTTGATTTTCAGATTTCTTAAGTTTTGGATTCGAGTTAAAAACCGATTTTTAGTAATATTTGATTTAAAAGTGCTAGCTTTAGGAGTTTTAGGGCTTTTTGATGCATCTTTGCCATCTAGCTTCATATATTTATTTATCACAAAATTTGCATCAAAAATCTTTTTATTTGGTTGGCTGACTCTTGGACTTTCTCCTACAAGCAATTTTTTTCGGCCAGGGGAGTTTGAGTATGATTTAGCTGTCATTGTATCATACCTATTTGTAGCTTCTGGGGTTTTAGCAAGTCTGATAATTCTATGTGTTCATTCATTGTTATCATATACACTTTTATGTCATGGCGACCTTATTGTATCTTTTTTAGGAGAATTATCACTTTCTTCATATAAGCTGAAAGATTCTTCATTAGTCTCATAACGGTCATTATATTGTGTTGATGTAAGTTTATTTATGAATTCCTGACCTTCTGTTGTTTGAAGGTTTACACGCCTTTTTGATTCATTAGGAGTTTTGGGAATTTTAAATTTCGAGTTTGTTGTTTTATTTTTATATTGATTTTGGTAAAAACTTCTAATTAATTGTATCATATTTTCTTGAATTTCTTCATTGGTTAGTCTATATGGTTTTTACTTACTCCCCTCCGTGAGTGAACAAAAAAATTTTGTTCACTCACGGAGGGGGGATAATTTTTTTTTTTTAAAAAAATTTATATATAAATTTTATAAAAAATATTTTTTTTCGAAATTTAAAAAAATCTAATTCGCAAAAATTGGAAAGCAAATATTAATTTAATTTATAAAATTTATGTTTTAAAAAGCAATTCGTTAAAAATTAAACAGAATTAGCACTATATTTCATTATGCTAATTATCACTTATATATCAAAATTTTTTTCCATAAAAAATTTTTCTATTAAAAAATTTTTGTTCACTCGAGGGTGGGTTTTTGGCAAAAAAATGGCGATTTTTCTAATGGTTTTGTTCACTCACGGAGGGGGGGTGGGAGTTATGCTCTCCTTCTTCGCTATTTTTGTATTTTTCTATAGCTTGCAATGCATTTGTGCCTTCTTTCACTGAAATTTCTGAGTTCGGGCATTTTATTCCAGACATGATTAAAGACCGCTGATATGATGTCAATTTAAATAAAGGCGACATTTCCTTACAAGCAAAATTCCCATCAATCAACCTCTGTGCTAATTTTATAAAAGACCCTTTGAGCATAGATTTTGCAAAAATTCTTTGAAATTGTTCAAAGGAAACTGTTGTGTCAGCTCCTGAATTTTTTCGAATTAATTTGATCCCAACATTAACATCTTCAGCAATATTCAGAACGATTAGCTTTTTAGCAACATTTTGAATATTGATTTTATTTGTTTTTTTAGGATCAATTTCAGCCCACCATTTTTCAAGGAGTCTTTGATGCTCATTTATCGTAATATTTAAGTCAAGCTTTTGCTTGATTTTAATATCAGTACCTTTAGAAATTTTATTTAGAAATGATAAAACAAAAGTTTTACTTCGAAAAAATGAAAATTCATCACAATTTTCGCCCAAATCTAATTTGTCGTTATCCTTGACTTTGTTTCTTTCAGATAAAGCTAAGCTGTTTAATATTTCAAGAATCCTGTCTGTATATATATTAGACCGAAATAAGCTTTTAAAATCATCTAAAGCTACATATGTGTCTTTTAATGTATCTTTTTTCAAAATCATACATAGGGTTTTCCTTAGAACTTCAGGATCACTTGCAATACCAAGCATTAACAGTGCTTTTATTAATTCTTCTCCTTCAATTTGCCCTCTTTGTTTAGTATCTAGCTGCTCATAAAGTGCTGATGAAAAATTTTGGTAGAGATTTTCATCTAATCGACTAATTCCTCGCTTTTTAAGCCAAGAGCCCATATCACTTTCATGAACTCTTTGAAATGCATTTTCTAAGCTAGTATTTGTAAAAGTTGGTCTGTAATTGGGTTTTGTTGCTCCATCAGGACTTTGTGCTCTTTTATGCAAATTGTCCATGCTTTTAGCCAAATTATTAAAAAATTTTTCAGTTGTCGTTTGCGAAGGAGCTTTTTCGTCTTTTGAGTATAGAAAAATTCCCATAGATGGCGCTGTTTGCCCTTGATTTGCCCACTGGGGAAATTTTTTGGTTCGACCAGTCCCATATGGTTTGGTCAAACCAAAAAGTTTTTCTCATGGGCAAATCAAGGGCAAACAGCGCCATCTATGGGAATTTTCTATATATTCATTTTTTATAGCCCTTAATAAAGGATGCTTCCTATTTGTACTGATTTCTATTTTTGCCTTTCCTTCAATTGTTTCTATTGTACTTAAAAGCTGTGAATTGTCCTGCTTTTCTATAGATATTTTGTCAGTTGTACGAAAAGTTTGCTTAACAGAGCGAGATCTTTTTGAGATGTGAGATTTAGGGCGAGAAATTTCTTTCATGATACCTTGCATTTTGGTCGCTGGGTGATCGAAAACATAGCCTTCTTTTGAGGTATCTTGAATAAAAATTACCATAGGATTTGCTATTGAGGTTTATAAGAGCTTTAGCTGAAGATCTTTTAGTAGCAGAATCTAAAATTTTTGAGGATGTGGGATTGGCAGGTGATTGCTGGGATTCATCATCTTTAGGTTCTGATTTAAGTAGGGAAAAAAGATAATTCATTATATTTAGATTAAAATGGATTGAAAATTAATAGTAGCTGTAAAATCAAAACATAACGATATTATGTTTATATTAGTCCCTATCACTATAATGGTTATAAATCAATGTATTTTCAGGAATTACCTTGCTGTTATTAAAATCATTGATATTAATTTACTGCTAATCTAAAAATAATTTAATTTAATTATAACGCTTTGGATATTATAAATTATTTTTTTCTGAGTTGCTCATTTGCTATCTAGATCCTCTTGTCAGACTTCCATAAATGATAGGAAATGTGAATTTAAATTTAATCCCCATTATAAAATCATTTATTATTTTATTTTAACTGATTCTGAATTATTTATCATAATTTATTAAAACATTATTGTCCGAGTTATCAAACACCCTCTATAATCTGAATCATCAACCACAAGTTTATTAATAATTGTAAAAAACTTCTTTGCTAGTCAGGAAGCATTAACAAAACTTGAGCTTAACAAATTATCAGGCTATATAGTAAATTATTGCCTGTTTATTATAAACATACCTATACTCTGCAAATTATTTTCGCTTAGGGGCTATTAATATATAAAATGGAATCACAACTAGGAAACAATCTTTGCGAAATTTTAAACTCTTATCTTCTTTACAAAGCAAGTGAACGATATTATCTTTTTGAAATGAGCAAAGAATTCCAATTAACTCAAGTAAACAAAACAGTTAAAGTAAAAGAACCTGTATTAATAAAAGACGCAATCAAAATCTCTTCTTCTGAAGCTTGTTTGAGACCAAAATCCAAGCATTATTTGCCTACTGAAATCAATTTTATGGCAATTGACAAAGACGAGCTCACGTATCTTCCCTTTGACGAGCATGTAAACAAAGTCTACATCCCGCCTGGACTAGATGGTCATTACAAATCGACCCCCTTCAACGCTTGTGACCGAGAAGACAAAATCATTGAAAACGACCAATTTCTCGAATTTCTAACTCTTTCGCTCTACAAAGACTACCATAGCTCTTCAAATTGACTGAAACTAACTACAGAATTAGCAGGCTTACTTAATAAAGATCGCAGAGATATGGTTACAAAAATGAGCAAGATTATAGCAAAGCATTCTAAAACTAATATTAGATGCCTGAAACCTTCCAGCTATAAAGAAAATTTTTGTAGGATCTGCAAAACATACTCATGTCTTGCTCATTTTTCTGATAGAGCAATCACTTATGAGCAAGATCAGTCTAAACATAAACATATAAAGGATGAGCACGACTACAAAGAAAAATTATTCAAGCAGCTCGACCCAGAAAATTGAAAATTAAAATGATGAATCAGAGAAAAATCGCTAAAAAAGAGCGGAAAATGGCTAATGAGTTATAAATGTCCAAATCTCAGAAGGTGTGGAAAAGAAAGGGCTAAGGAGTTTGAAGCTACTAAAATTGATAAATTCATTATCAAAAAATTTCTCAGTCATGGATGTGATAATCCTTGTGCTTTAGCGTTTTTTTTAGAAAGAACATGCCAAGAAGCAAAATTCTTAATCAATAATTATCAAAATTATTTTGAGGAAATTCCTGAAATACCAAAGCTTCCTAAAAAAACCTACTTCACAGATAAGGAAGAATACAATTATCTCATGATAAATGTTGTTGGCTTACATTGTGACTGTGAAAATGGGTGCACAGTAGAAAACCAATGCCCTTGCTTAATTGGCGAAATTAATGAAAATGATCAAGTAATTAATAGAAAATGCTGCGAAAAATTCTGTTCCTGCGCAACTTCTTGTGCATATCGTTTTTTAGGCTGCAACTGTCAGAATGGAAAATGCAACACAAAATCATGCGTTTGCTTTGCAAATTTTAGGGAATGCGACCCAGATCTATGCAGAAGTTGCTGCTCAGCTCAAATGCATTAAATGGCGACACACATCAACCTGCCATCTCTAGACCTATGGCGACAGCAAACTGGGACGGACACTAGCCAGGAATCAAGTGGTGGCTAAAGAGATGTGTAGATTCTGGCTGCGCTTCTGTGGTTACATAAGAGGTTTCCCAACAATATCCTTTGGATCTGAGGACCCATGGGCATTCCTCTACAGAGAAACTGGGGGTTTCGCCCCAGGCCACAGGGGAGCAGTATTTTTCCTTAGCCCTCGAAGGAAGGCACTTCGACACCCAACAGACTCCAAGGAGTTGATCATTGGAATCAAGATATTCCAATCGCCCGTAGCAGGGCCGCAGAAATCCATAAGCACTCAAGAATGAAGCCGCAAGAAAAGGAGGAGACAGAAGATACCAGAGTGGCATCCATCTTCGGGGGAAAGACCTTCTGGCTAACGTCTGTCTTTAATAGCCTAGCTAGCGTGCTGCTCAGCTCAATCTATAAAGGACAGAACTTTTATTTCCCTTCAAGCAAAAAATAAAAGTGCAGTTTTATGTAGCAATGTAAAAGTTCAGTTAAAATTCCAAAAAAGAACTGCATTAGCTCCTTCAGCTTTGGAAGGCGCTGGAACCGGCCTAATTGTGCTTGAAAACGTAAATGCCGATGAATTTATAATTGAATATACAGGAGAATTAATTTTTAAATTTGTTTTTTAAGTTTTAAAGAAATTCTCTAGCATTTGAATGCCTATAAAGTCCCCTTGCTTGAGGTTCAGCTAAATTAACAGCTCTGAACAGCGGGAGGTGAATCGGCCTAACCGTCGAACCGTTAAAATTAATAAGCCGTTAAGACTTCTCTAGTCAGTGCCGGACACAGCAGTGGCCCTTCTCTTCAAAGCCGAAGCTCTCAAGAAGATTGACTTCTCTCACTGAGTTCGGAATATAGGCCCATCCTGTTTGAGCAGGAGCTAGGCCTATCCCTAACTGGCATTTTTAATATTATGGAGAATTAATTACAGAAGCCGAAACTAATAGAAGAGCTGCAGTTTATGACTACAAGCAACATAGCTATATTTTTAGTATGTCGCCTGATCCAGCGTGATCTATTGATGCAACTTTTCTTGGGAACAAAATGAGATTTGTTAACCATAAAAGCCATGACGAAGATAACTGTTATACAAGAGTCTGGAGAATTAATGGAAATTCAAGGATTTTGCTGTTTGCTCGAGAAAAAATAAGTGCAGGATCAGAGCTGTTCTTTAATTATGGATACGATACAAGCACAATAAAATATGGATGGTACCAGCAATATGAAGGAAAATTTAAAAAGAAAAAAATTAAAAATTAATTGATAATAATTTTGACAATAAATTGGCTACGAATATATAATGCATGATTATTTATCCTTCTAAAGTGTGTCTTTTGGCGTAAAATGTGGAAGTAAAAACCCTGTGATATCAAAAGGCGGTTGATTATCATTTAAGGAGTCTTGCCTTAAAACATTCGAACAGGAATCACTTCTTAGATAGCTCTGAGATGAGTCACATCTAAGATAGCTTTGAACAGAATCGGACCTATTATACGTTTGCGGTTGATCTTGATTAGGAATCTATATAGAAGTATACCAAATTGTCAGCAGATATCGGGTTGAATAGTTGTTCCCAGTTGATAATAAGTGGGCTTTCTTCTTGAAATTTCGATGCTGTTGATTTTGGCGCTAATAAAAAATTATTTGCGAATAAAGAATTTTCAAAAATGTTAGCAGTTTCTGGATTCTGTAACGCAGGTGTAGACTCAGCAACTGAGATAGCAGGCTTAATCTTAGATTTTAGCTTACCAGGGCTCAGTTCTTCTCTTGGAGTTTCATAAAGTGAATAAAGTATTGATGACCCTTCCTCGTCAGTTGACTTTGACTCCTTAGACTCTTTTGTCTCTGTGATATGATTTTCTTCTTTAATTTCTTTCACTTCAGGTTTGGTTTCTTTAATCGCTTGCAGTCTTGAAGATTTTCTTCTACATATATTTTACAAGCTCTGCTCAAAGTCAGGTTTTGCTTTCTTTTTATCAGATGGCACCATCAATAAACTTACAATTTCTGGCTTTTGTATTATTTCAGAAATCGACTCAGCAATTCGTTGGTCTTCTGGCACTCTCCTATTATATCGTCTCAAATTTCTCCGAATTGTGCTATAGAAATAATTCTTTATTGCGTTTTCTGTACGTCCAGGCAGAAAAGTTGCAATTTTTGACCAACAGTTCCCGTGCTCCCTTTGAGTTTCTATAAGAATTTGCTCTTCTTCTACAGTTCACCAGCCAATTTTTATGTCAGGATCTAAGTGGTTAAACCATCTTTCTCTGCATTGTTTGCCAGTTCTAGCTAAAACTTACTTTCCTCTGATTCCAAATCGATCTTTTAGAGCTTTCGCTATTTGAGTCCAGTGTTTTAAGCCGAATTCTTTGACTAGGGAAGAGATAGCATCGTCTGCCTGAATGGAAAATACCTCTTGGGACCATGATTCTCTATCATACTTAGGCATTTCTTAGAATAAAATTATTATTCTGCTAAAATGGTTGTTAAAGGACAATTTTATGTTAAAGCAATGCTTTTTGGTTGATTTATTTATATTTAAACTTTTAAGACTCATGTATAAATATGGACGATAGAAAAACCCCAAGCTTTTTAATTTCTGGAGATGTCTCAGCAATTGACCCAGATATTTCAGACGATTTTTTTCGGCCAATTGGAAATGATAGAGGAGATGAAATTTTGGTGGTCTCAATCGATATTGGAGATGGCAGGCATGATCAGTTAATTGTTTGTGAAAACGATAATCCTGAAGATATTGTATTTGAGTTTTGTGAAAGAAATAATCTGAACGAATCAATTCATTTTGCTTTACTGCAGCAAATTTTAAGCATAATCCCTGAAGAAGCTTCTACAACTGTTACTCCTAAAAAAATTAGAAGCTCTATGATGCACAATGGATTCACAAGTGCTACATCTGAATACACATATCGTCCTAAGATTAACAATAACTCCAAAAAAATTGTTAGTGAAAAGACAAAACAAAATGTCTATGAAAGACTTTATAAAGTAAAAGCCAATAAAAACTCCAAGCTTGAAGAGACCTCAACTAAGCCAAAGCCTGCTACTTTTAATGCAAAAAATGAAAGTGCAGGAAAGCAGCTGTATTATAGAGGATTAACGTTGCAACAAAAAACGAAAAGATATGTAGAACGTTTTTTAGATTTAGATTTATTACGGTTATCGCCCTTCTACAGGACCAATTATCTCCATCATCTTCAACTATTTCAAAAACACAAATTTTCTTCAATTTTCTTCATTTTCTTCATTTTCCCTCAGCTTTCTTCAATTTTCTTCAATTTCCCTGCAAAAACCTCCGTTCTTAATTTCAAATAGCCTCAACATGTTAACGACTTCCTTCTTCAATGCTTCGTCAAATCTACCGCCATTTTTCCCATTCCTCCATTTTCTCGCGGGCAATTTTTTGTGCATACGCTTCTCTCTAGCCACCACTTCATCAATACAGTCTTCAGTTCTATCTTTACCTCCATCTCTGTTTACTCTATTCTCACTAGTCATCACACTTTCACAAACCTTAGCATGGCTTTCATCATCTAACGCCTCTTTCTCTTGATGCAATGCCCATGCGTATTTCGCACAAATTTCTTTTTCTGATTCGCAATACTTACAGTCTTCATAATCTTCATAATCTTCATAATCTCCATATTCTTCATAATCTTCATAATCTTCATAATCTTCATAATCTTCATAATCTTCATAATCTTCATAATCTTCATAATCTTCATAGTTTTCATAATCACCATAATCACTACCAAAACAATCCTCAGCACTAGGCTTATAATTTTCTATATAATCATCATAGTACCTAGCGTCTTCTTCATCTGACCACATCTCACTCTTCCTGATCTCTTCTCTTTCTTTAAGCTCTCCGTTGAAAGTGGCGCGGGAAATTTGCTCTGGCGCATAAATCGCTTTTGCAAATGAGACTCACGCTGCGTGGTTTGGCTGGAATCTCAGTTCTGCATCTGCAAAAGGATTTGGCACTGTAATTTCTGGCGATTTGATAAAATTTTCAGCTCTTGATTTCTTAAACAAAAATAAAAATTTATATATGTAGAACGTTTAAAAAAAGAAAAATTGGAACAAGAAATGAGGGAGGTTACTTTTAAACCTAGAACAAACTCCAGTGGTGGGATTAGAAATAAAACTCCAGAGATACAATTATTGAAAAAACATCAAGAAAGCAATGAAAAAATTAAAAAATTAAAACTTGAAAAAAGAAGATCAGAATTAGAAGGCTGCACCTTTACCCCAAAAACCAATACAAAGCGAAGTGCTCGAAAACTAAATCAATCCGCTGATAAATGTATAGAATTGTATAAAAGATCAACATCTATCCAGACACAAAGAGAAAAGCGAGCTTATGAAATGTAAAGAATATTTAGGCTAAAGTTGACATGTCCATTTACACCTAAAATAATTCCATGTCCAAGCAGTTCTAAAAATACTATATTTTTTGAGATTACTACATCTTAAATCTACCATGGTGTTTCCATATAAAATGTAGAAATTAAGGTATAAAATTAAAAATCTTGTGCTCGCTCATTCAATTTGATATAAAAGAGATTTGGATTTCACTTGTGGCAAAACACTAGATGAGTATATAGAAGAGAAAAAACAATATCAAAAAACAGATCTAAAAACAAATCAGCCATGGTTTACACCAAAAACAGGAAGACCTCCATCACATAGAGATATCAGTCCAGGCAACATTTGGGATTATTTATATTCTAAAACTTCACGATCAAATAGTCTTGAACCTGAAATAAAGCCTATTTTAACTGATGAAAATTCAGAAAAAATTATTTCAACTATTAAAAGGGTCAGGTTTTTTGATATTTTCAGCCAGCTTGGGCCAGATGAATCAGGAAGAATCAGCTCAGAAACCATTAAAAAATCAACTTTACAGTCTACCATCAGAGCTATTATCGATCCATTAATTACAGAACTAGCCCAACTAAATGAAAATCTTGACTTCGAAGAATTTTATGATTCTATGAACGCTCTTTTTAGGAGGCTAACTCCTGGAGAAAGGAGCATTATTTTAAAAATTCGTAAATCGAAAGAGATTGATGAAAGCAATAAGCTTGCTAATAAATCGAGTCTTTCAAGATCTTTTAGTGCTTCAGGAATGTATGAAAGGGAAAAGATGAGAGTAAAAATGCTGACTGAAAAATTTGATGAAATCAGAGCAGAAAAGCAAGCTGGTTATATTAGTTTAAATTCTAGCAATTCTCTGGAGACTATTTTAGCACTTATCCCTTCCTATGGTAACTTAGGGCGCAAGTAGTATTAGTTTCTAGTCTCACACCACACCTTTCCTGTCGATGCCAGTAATCTCTGGGGAACCGACCATACTTGGGTCAACTTTCTTTGACTGGGCAGACTTAGGACATGAGGAAACATCCATAACCTCCTTCTGAACTATAGGGGTTTCCCCTATACCTTGTATTTATTAGGCGTATAATGCTTTCCAGAAAGTGTGAGCCAATGTTGCACCTTGACATCATCTGTGGACAAGGAAAAAGCCTGTTTTGGGGTTCGAACAGGCAAAAACCTGTCTGGAATTTTCTAAAAAATGGAATCCACTTGCCTGAGACTTAGATCAACTCATCAGTCACTCAGAACCTTTTTCAACTCGTCATCTTTATAACTGCTAAAGAAGCTGAAGAAATAAAAAAATGTACATTCAAGCCAAATATTCATAAATGAACACCAACAAATTCAAGCAGAAGAGTTCTACAGTCTTAGACTTTAAATTAAATTGTAACTATTCAGCAGATCATATAAGTTTTAATTTAATCAAATATAAGGCTTAAATATCTGCATGTATATTTTTATAATTATAAACACATCATTAAAGGTTTATATTTAGACAAATAATATACATTATAAAAAATGAGATTTCAACCCAGCATGATATTAGAGCAATCCGAAAGGCTAAGCAGGATTTCAGAAGGTGCAAGTCTCCCATCTCATCTTATTTCTCAAGCTCCATCAAGCTTTAAATCAAAAGTAGTAGATTTACTATCAAGGCTATGGAATTTTTTGCTACCGAAATCTGAAATTAACTCAATTACTAGATCTAGTTCATTATTTGAGTCACTTAAAGGTGTAAAATCAATAGACTCTTTCAATGAAACGATAACATCTGAAGATGAATTAGTCATAAATGATGTCCAATTAGAAGACAATCGATATAAAGAAATTTATGATCAAAAATGATCAGACAAGAATGAACCTTGCAAAAGAAAGAAAAAAATATTCAATGATTTACCTGCAAAGAAAAGAAAAATCGCTAACTTTTACAATTAATAGCAAAACTTTTTGATTATTCAAGGAATTTTTTATTAACTCCCCCCCTACGTGAGTGAACAAAACCATTAGAAAAATCCCTATTTTTTGCCCAAAAACCCACCCTCGAGTGAACAAAAATTGTTTAATAGAAAAATTTTTTATGGAAAAAATTTTTGATATATAAATGATAATTAGCATAATGAAATCTAGGGCTAATTCTGTTTAATTTTTAAACGAATTGCTTTTTTAAAACATAAATTTTATAAATAAAATTAATATTTGCTTTCCAATTTTTTTGCGAATCAGGATTTTTTTAAAATTTTGAAAAAAAATATTTTTTTATAAAATTTATATATAAATTTTTTTAAAAAAAAAAAATTAACCCCCCTCCGTAAGTGAACAAAATGTTTTTGTTCACTCACGAGGGGGGGGGAGTAAGATAAATTATTTAGAAATCTTTGTAATGGTAATTATAGAAAATTTGAAAAAAAAAACCCTAGCCTATGATAGGTTGAGTGAGGATAAATCAATAAAAAATTCAATTAAGAAAGACGAGAGCATAGAAGTTAATTTTGATGTCAACACTCCTTCATGGGAAAAATTCAAAATCCCCAAAGAAGTGTTGCCTTCTTATAAAAGAGCAATTTTAGCTGCTTATACAAAGCAAAATCCTTGCATAAATGCAATTTTTTCTAAAAATTTTGAGCTTGGCTTTCCAGGAAAAGTATTTAAGACAATTGACATGAGCAATGAGTCATTAGATATCTCACAAAATACTGATTTAACAGAAAATAAAATAAACTTCAATATTTCTGACGATCAATCTGTAGCCTTAAGCGATGATTCACTAATAGCTACTCCATCTGATTCCCCTAAACCATCCCCAAGGATTTCTCCTAGGATATCTCCAGCACAATCTCCAAAAAATTCCCCTTTGCTGCTACCTCAGTCTAATTCTAATAAAAATGTTACTCCAGAAAAGGCTTAGATATAGTCTTAGTTAAGATATAAGAAAAGGTCCGTGCAATAACTCGAAAGGGTATATATCTTCACCTTGCTTCGCGACTGCAGGTCGTTTTCCTATCGGCTATGCTTCTCAAGAAATGGGCTCGCACTCTAACTGGAGTTTAGTGGGACGGGTCACCGTATCATATGCCGAATTAGGTTGCCTTCAAAAAAAAATTCGAAAAAAGAATTTTTTGGTTATTTTGACGACCAAGATGGAGCCCGAAGTACAGAGCGCAGTACTAGTGCTGCAGTAGGAAATAGCTCGATTAATCGATAGGGCTTGCCAGGCTTTCTTTTCCAACTGCTAGTATCGACCTTCTCAAGACGAAAAACATTGACCTGAAATAAGCTGGGGCCGATCCAACATTGCTGTTCACCAAAAAATGTAAAACTTAGCCAGATATGCATCATTGAACGCTATCCTCCCTTTCACAATGGTCTAGCTTACCCCAGCTATAGGGATTTAAGAGGACGGGTTGGTTAGCCAATCCATTTTAATGTGTATACTCCAGAAAAGGCAAAAAATCCTAATCTTGAGCTTGAAAGCCCTATAGCAATCAGAGCAGAAGCACCCAAAATGTGAGGCCGGGGAAATTCTAAAATTATTGAAACAGCACAAAGCCCACAATTTGGAATATTTTTAAAAGAAACCGAAGAGCCCAGAAACAAAACTTCAGATTTCCTTTCTGGGATCTCAGAAACAATTGCTGAAGAAGATGAAAAACAAGAAAACAAAACTGAAAGTATGGAAATTTCAAATGTAAAACATGATGAAACTAGAGAAATTAAAGAATTATCATTACCACCAAGTATAGCGATTCAAGGAAATAAACCTATTTCACTATTACAAATTTCTTCTGAAGAGGCAAAAAAAGAAAACCCTGCTTTTGTAAATCCAGAAATAAATCCTTCTCAAAATCCATTTTTGAACCCAAATGTGGTAGTAGGAGCAAAGTCTCACTTTGTTTTTGGATCAAGCTCAGCAGCCCCTCCTAGTTATAAGAATCCGTTTCAAGCTCCTCAGCTCTCAGTTGCAGCTACAACAAATCATGCTCCTGCTGAAGATATTGATATGAAAGACTCACCAAAACTTCAGCCCCTTTCAAGCCCTAAGCTTCAGCAGGCTCCATTTCCTATGTTTTCATCTCCAACCTATACTTCGCCAGCACTATTTTCATCTCCTCCATTTCCTGTTCCAAATCAAATACAGTCTCCTCCTTTTCCAGTTACTCCTACATTCAGCCAATCTCCACAATTTCCGACCTCCCCAGCTTCTTCTACTATAAATTTGCCTTTTAACCCTCCTTTTGTGGGCACAAATTCTTTCATGCCAAGTATTGGATCAAGCACCGGCTCAACTGGAGGCTTTAGTCTTGGAATTTTGCCAGAAGGTAAAAGGTCTTCAAGAAGAAAATAATTAATGCACTAATTAACTTGAAACTAAAACTTTTTATTTTTTTTAATTTGTAGTCTTTCACATTTTATGCTATGGATTTATCTTTAATTTATATTTATGTAAGAACTCTGAATAAAGATTTAATAAACCACGCATAAATTGTTCAGTAATAAAAAATATGGGATCTTGTAAATCAAAGCAAAGATATAGCATAAGCTTTTCCAGAAGCAGCACCAGAAAACTCACACAAACCACCCTTATATATGAGAGGCAAAACACAGTGAACACCACAATTGTACCACTAGCAACAACAAATAAGCCTAACCGAAGGCTTCTGTTAGACTATTACGCTAATGAAAGCACGAAAATGCCGGATGAGATTAAAAAATATTATGAAGCGATTTTTGCCCAAGAAGAACTTGAAGTTCCTGACATTGACCTTGAACATGTTTCGTTTGACTTGAAATCAATTTACAACTTTAAGCTGATTTTGAATTTTTTTCAAAATATCCGTATTTTAAATCTTGGCTACACAAATATTACATCTTCAGATTTAAAGAGGATATATAAACTATTTTTTTTTGAATTTTCCGTACTAAATTAATTGGATTTAATTTAAGAGCATTTTTATGTTATTCAGTTTAGACTGGCATAAGCCTATCGAAAGTTTAGGTTTATTAGAAACTTTATCGTTGAAAAATAACAAAATTGATCCTTCCGGTGGGGAATATTTGTACAAAATTATTAAACACCTATTTAATTTGAAAAACCTTTATTTGCACAATAATCAGCTTGGATGCGAAGGGCTTATTAAATTTTGTGGAGGATTACAAAATCTGAGTAAGCTTGAAAAGCTCACTCTAGATAATAATAACATTCAAAATGAGGGAGGATTTAAGTTGCTTGAATCAATATACTTATTTTCTTAAATTTATCATAATGCCTTTAGTTAGTTATACAAATTGCCCGAGGATGGCGCAATAGCTCCATCCTCGGGCAATTTGTATATTTTAGTTAAGAGCTAGATCTTTAAGTTCTCGTCTTCAGAGGTGGCGTTCTGTTCAGCTTTGAAGAATCCGACTGGTGGCACAAGCTAATTGGGTAGCTGCATTTCCCATTGGGTCAAGACCTTTGCCAGGAATTGCCATATCTAACTCGTCACTTCACCGGCCTAATTACTCCGCCCGCACATCACCCCCGGCCGTTCTCGATCCTTTGATCAGCAGCCTTTAACTGGAGTGATCGCCTTATTTTTCTCTTTTTCCATGTCATCACTGAAAAAATATTCAATAGTTTGGGCGATTAGAGCAGTAGATAAGTCACCTTGATCCATTTTTGGTACGCATGGATTCAGCGCTGCTAGCAAAAAGATGTCGCGATTAATTACTCATAGGCTAGGTAACGCAGGTGCAGCTCCGTGTTTAGAATCTTGCTTCAAGGTCCCCAGCATTACTGCCAAAACCATTCCGATTTATATGGGCAGGAGACAGTCTCTGATATCTCATGCTACTTTATATATATATCATAAAGCCTTTAATAGCAATCATTATCAGCCTATATTTTATAAATGACTATAAGCAATTTGAAAGAACTAGCTTGTATTGGTCTCAGTGAAAATGAGCTAACGTCAGAAATCGGAAAAACACTTGTAGAAGCTGTAAAAAACTTCCCAAAGCTCACAGTCCTCCGACTTGAGAGCACAAAGCTGCACCCCAAGTATCTAATGATTATTGAAAATCAATTAAAACACACAGTTAATTAATAAAAACATTTTCCCATAAATTTTTCAATTAAAATTAATTAAAATGCAAAGAACTGCTTATCATGATGTTATGCCGAAAACCCTTTATTATAGAACTAACGGCACAGGCCGCGACACTTATATTGCATATGATAACGGAGGCGTTTTTCAATCTACTTCAAAGTATCCTAACAGCCAAACAGGAAAATATTGAATAAGGCCAAAATCGTCATATTCACGACCTTCTGCAAAGTCGTTAAGATATTCTTCAGATGGGTCTGGAAGGGATAGCTATGTAAAGTATGGGGATGGAGGGCTTCATGCTGCAAGCACGCCCAGAGACTCTTTGTCTACTTTTAGAGAAAGCTTAAGGAGCAACGATTGCATCACGATGAGAAAAACGATTTCTGACCCTTTTTCGTGGGCACAGCTGACTTGGAGCGATAATAGAACAAGAAGCATTAGCAGAGAGAAGAAAAGAAGGGTTCAAGATTGCGTTGAGAGACTTTACTATACTAAAAGAAGTCGCTAACTTATAAAATTTTCAAGATGGATGCGTTTTCTCGAATATAAATTTTTTGATGTGATAATTATTTTGTATGCCCTAGTATAATAGATTATTTTATGCTATTAGCGACTATCAATTAATATTCATTCATTCTGGACAGTATATAATATGCATATTTTTACTGTTATAATATAAGCACAAACAATAATTATCATAGAGAATTTATCAAGTAGATTCTTTATATATCTATATTATTTTGCATCAAAAAAATTACTGCAGTTTTACGCTGTTAAAAATAAAAAAGACATGTCTGAGAAACCATTTAAAGGATTTACTTATGGGAAAGTCATAATTAAATATGGCGTCTTCGTCTGGGCATGGCCTCCCGGCCATGCAGCCTCGACTCATATTTAATTATATCCGGCAAGGTTTTGCCAGCTCAGAGAGGGACAGCAATGCTAGGTAAGCAATTCTGGTTGTGTTCAGAGCCTAGCCCAAGTCTATTCTCAGAGTTGGTTTTTTCCTCGTGGGGAAGGAAGGCATGTCGGTTGGAAAGGGGAAGCCCAGCAGAGTCCTAAGGACCAATCGGGCAACTCCCTAGCGTGAAACTGGGCGTTACGTCCCAGGCTGCATGTTTTTCCTTTTTGCCGAGAGCCGACCAGAAAATCCATTTTTGGATTTTCGGAAAGGCAACCCATGTCCAGATGCAGTAGCTCACTCGTGAGCCGTCGAAGCCGGTGACATTTGCCCTAGGCGCACCTTGGTGATCGAGACGGGTTGGCCCAGCAACTCGTGGGCCCGATGCGGCGAAAGGCAAGTGGCGGGTCTGGGATAGTCTACCCCGTAGTGGACGTTAAACGTTATAATTAATAGTTAGTTACTTAGTTAGTTACTTATGGGAAAGTCAAAGAAAAAAGTAACCAACCTAAAGTACAGCTTGAGTTTATGAATTTGCTACTTGAAATAGTTAGTAAACTGCCGCAAAAGATTTCACTGAACATCCCAGAAACTATTATTTATGGCTGCGGAAACCAAGACCCACATATGATTTTTACAAATGACTTAGGCCATTTGATATCTATCAAAGCATCCAAAACCAGCTTGTAATCTTTATTCAGAATCCATCGATTTTTTAAAAGGTGCTACTATATGAAAAGAAATCCTTTTCCAGCTATACTTTTTCATACTAAATATTCAAAAATACTAAAATTAGCTAAAATTAAAAGGTTTATCATAAAATAGAGAATATAGCCGGGACTTGTTTTTGATCTCCCTGGCTAGTCATTGCCATCTCAACCTGTGGGGTTTAATCAGGCAATATCAGTTGCCAAATCAACCCCATAAGTTGGCAAGTGGCCATATAAGTTTTATTATCAACTTTGGGGCTGACTTAGCAACTGATGTGCCCGGGTAAGCTGAGATGGAAACGAATACCCAGGGCGATCCAAAGCAGGCCCTTTTTATATAATATATAAATATGATAAAGGGAGTTTGATGGATTCTTGTAAAGCAATGATGAGTGCTAAAGAAGGCCTTAAACTGTGAAAAACAAAAATAACAGCACAAGAGCCAATTTTAATTCAAAGATATATACCGCCTTGCGCGATGTATACATCCAAAGTTCGAGTATTTTATGCTCCTGCAAAAGGAGTTGTGCAATGCAAATTAATGAGGAATAGAGTCAGCATTAATGGAGAAGTGCTTAACAGCGTTAGAGGGACGCCAAAGAGTAAGAGATTTATCGTTCTTGAGGATGAAAATCAGCAATCTGTTAGTAATGATGAAAAATTTTTGGTCAAGAAATCAGAATTCTTAGCTATTGATGAATCAGAGATTCCTTCTAATTCGTCGATAAACAGTCAATTAGAATCTTTAAAAATGATAATTGAAAAAGCAAATTTGTACGGAAAAATCAACGTTTTGGAAATATTGGCTGATTTTATTCAAGATTGTGATGAAAATTGGTATTTCATCAATATGATTGGAGCCAAGACTGAAAAATTGATATCAAGAATCAGCCCAGCATTTTATCGCGAAAATAAGCATTCTAAGTCGATAAGCACAGAAGCTCCGTCAAAATATTCACTTCCTACAAAAACTTCTTCTCCTTTAATTATCCTCAATTCTTCTCCGCCCACAAAAACCCCAGGAGTTCGAATAAATCAAAATTTATCGCTAATTGCCGGTCGCCGATCTTTAATGACTAACCCTTCATTTGCTAATCATAAAAGAACTCCCGAGAGCACACCTATAGCAAAAAAGAGAAAATCTCACAGCTTTACAAATTTATCTGCTGAAATTATCAAAGAAAGTTTACTCCAAAAAAGCAGCGTATCAGTGCTAAAAAATGAAATTATTAAAGATTTATCATTTCTCTCAAAAAATAGGTCTTTTTCCTGCTTACCATCAAAACACAGAAAGCAAGCCACCCGAAATACTATTGCAAAATCTCATAAGGCCCGAACTCTTAGCAAAAGCTTTGAAGCTCTTTGCTAATTTGTTTTTATATTATATGAGCTTAAATGGCATTTTCCTATGGAATTATCATAATTATAAATGAATCTAATTAATGCAGAGACTGCAAAATTAAAATATGGAGTATGGGCCAGCAAAACAGCCTAAGCAATCTCTAGATCTGCTTGACTTTTCAAGAGATAATAAAAGGCAGCTATCTTTAAATGTTTTTAAATACCCTACTGCATTTTCTCAAGTAATTTCACTGTCTCCAAACACATATTCTTGTGTGTCAAGTCCGATAAGCAAATCAAGTCATAAAAGAAACCTCAGCGATTTTAGCACTGCATTTTCTCAAAATGAGGCCGACCCACCTGCTAGAGATATAGATCGAATAATAGAGAATTGCGATAAAATGCAAAATACACTTGTGACGACTTGATCTGACTTGAAAAACTCATTTCATATCAGGAGCAACAGCTTAGGTGAAATAAAATATGATAAAAATTTAGTAATTGATCCAGAACTTGCAAGGGCTAAGAAAAAATTTATGACAATAAAACAAGGAGTTACTGATCCAAGCAGTGAAATGATAAGAAAAATCAAATCAATACTATCAGTTTCAAATTTAACTACAGATAATAAAACCGCTGAATCAACTCTGAGACACTACTTAACTAGAGATGATTTATCAAACACAACAACAGCAAAATTGCTTTCAAAAAATAAGAGGCAGTTTGGAAAACCTTTTGATAAAGGCGTCAAAATGACCAATAAAAATCACTCTTCTTCTCCAAGAAAAATTCCCATTAATAATGTTTGTCCTGAGTTGACAGTAATTGAAGACATAAAATTGTTGAAAAAACAAGAAAGTTTTAAGCATCTTGATATAAAAGAAATCAAATTAATAAAGCCTGAAACCGTTGTAGAAAAAGCAGATGAAGATATTATACTTTATAAGTTTTATAAAGCCCCAACAGTGTATAAATATGCAGTTGACAAAATTTTAAAAGAAAAGCCGAATATTCCTAACTTCATGCTTAAATTGAATAAAATATAGTTAAAATTTCCTTTTTTGGATATACAAATTGCCCGAGGATGGTGCAAAATAGCGCCATCCTCGGGCAATTTGTATACTTTAACCCCTTTAAATTGGGAACAAAATTATTTTTAATAGGAAAATTGTATATGCAAAAAACTAATTTTTATTGATCAAATTTAATGGGAAAATTGCAAGTAGAATGCTATTTAAACAGATTTGGAAGAAATAAATATTTTTTTGAATTAATTCTTTATAAAATTAAACAATTTTGAGTTCAATTTATATTTTTTTAATTATCTATAGAAAAAAAAATTTACCCCCTTTAAATTGGAACAGGATTTTTTAAAGGGGGAGGTAATGAAATTAATAAAAGCAAACAAAAAACAATCAAAAAGAAAATTAATAATTATGAAGAGTTATTAAATAACTTAGAAGCTACAAAAAGTAAAACTATAAGCCCTAAAAATAAAACAAGCACACGCCAACTCAAAAGGGTTAGCAATATGACTGTAAAACTTACAAACAGAAAGATTAAAGATGATAACATCTTTCAAGATATAAGAAAAAAATATAGCGAAGATATCGAAACTAAGAAAAAAATTCACGAAATGTCCAAACTAAATACCCATCACTTAAGAAACTCTTAATTTTAATTAACTTTAACGTATAGATCGGGTATATGATATGAAATCTCACCTGCTCTAAGCTCATCACCTAACGAATTAGCTCGCCTAGTATAACTTCATCAGTCTTAAATTTCCATTTTTTTGGATTACCTATATAATAACTGTCTGTCTTGCCAGTCAGAAAATTCGGCACTTAAGAGCCTCTATTCTTTAATTTTTACTCTATTTAAAAATAATTTTTCTTATTTCCCTTTTTTCTTGGCTTCAGCTTTTCTCTTTTCAGCAGCAATTCTTGCTTCCTCTTCTTCCTGCTGTCTAAACCTTATTTCTTTCCTCATTCTAATCATATTTTCTTTAGCTTGATTCAAAAAATCATCGCCAAGTTCCAAATTTTGTGCCTGCTTCACCAGCGCATCAAGTACATTTACCTGTGCAATTAAAGCAGTTAGCTGTGCAGCCCATTCAGGGATATTGAATTTTGGTTCTTTTTTCTTCTTTTTTGGAGGCTCTTTTTTTTCTTCAACTTTCTTTATAGGTGCTCTTTTCCTTGGATCCTGCACAACAGGTTCTGGGTATTCTCTCATCGGATAGTCTAAAAAGGTCCTTAAAATTTGATGGGCATGAATATTTTCTTTCATGCGAAATATTAAATCAGAAGCATTTTCTCAATATTCTGGAGATACATTATTATCTATTGCTTTTTTATTCAAAGTTTCTAAAATAGCTACAGCTTCATCAGTAGCATTTGCAAGAGAAGTAATAGCTGTCTGATGCCTTAAGTTTCTTTCTGCCATTAGTCTGTCACTTTCAGCTTTAGCTTTATCAATAATTCTTGGATCTACTGCAACTCCTCTATTAGCAGCATCTTCTAGCATTTGTCCAATTAAATATACACTTTTTTGGATGGTTTTGTAGTTTTCGACATAGCTTAGGCTTGCTAAAAATTTTTGGATTTCTCCTTCTGTTCTTAATCTTTCGTGCTCTACTTTTGCCTTGTAAAGAAGCTTTACATCGATATCATATTTCCCATTTTCTATATCTTTTTGGACTCTGTCAACTTGGTCAAATAAATTTGAGTCTATTGCGTCGTTTAATTCAAGCTCCTTTTGCTCAATTTGATTATGGCAATCTGTGCAGCGGCAGACTGGTCGCTCTTCTTCTTTGCTTTCGTTTGTTAAATAAAGCCAGGTAGAGACCTTGCAGTTGGCACAATAATATTTTTTGCAAACTTGACATAAGTAACGATTGTTGTGAATATCAAAAATTGATGAACATTTTTTGCATTTTTTAGCTTTGACTGCTGAATTTATCATTTCTTTTAAATGAGGGTCTGAAGTCAGATGAATTGGCATATGGCCTCTTGAATTTTTGGCTTATTTAAATTATTTTGTTTTTTTTAAAAAAAAAATATATTTTAGATATATAAAAAGGAAAAATTTTTGTGCTCAGCACTGACACCAAAAGCTAAAAATGTTTCTAGAATATCACTTCGACCTCCGGCTACAGCTTGATGAATACAATTATTTCCAAATTTATCTAAGTCTAAAGGAGAAAATCCTTTTCTCATGAGAAGTCAGACTGTTTGAATGTGGCCGTTGAATGAAGCCCAATGGAGAGGACTTGTGCTGCCTACACTTTCTTCTTCTTCACTTTGCTGGGGCTGGTGAATCGTGGCACCACTTTCAAGAAGGACTGAAACGATATCAGTGAATCCTTGTGAAGAAGCCCACATAAGTGGATTTCATTGCTTTTTATCTATACTCATAGAGATATATCTAATTATAATGAATTAAAGCATATCCACTGATAATCGTTATCCTATATTTATATATGGCTAATCGCTATGACTGTTTTCATTCATTGTAATTAAGTATAACACGTTTTTAGGCTTGCTTACCATTTTTCTATTTAATATAAAAAATTTAATTTTCTGTGCACCATAAAAGCAAAGAATTATTATAGCCAGAATAGATAATTAGGATCTGCTTTTCTTTTTAGAAGTGAAATAACTGATGCATAATCTCCATTCGCTGAAGCTTTTATTAAAGCTTTTCCTAATTCATCAGGATCTTCTTGGACCTCTTCTTCTTCGTATTGGCTTCCTTCATAGTCTTTGCTTTCTTCCATTTAAGTTAATAGGGATAACTGCTAATAATTATTTTTGTGAAATTTCAGGAAACAATAGATGAAATATTCTTTATAATGAATTAAGTTTTAGTCAATTATTATAATTATTTAGCTTAAAATATAAGTTTATTTTAAATTCATTAAATTGCATTGACAGCTGCAGCCATTAGCAGCGAAATCTTTCTTATCTTTTTTTACGATTAAATTTTAATATTAATTATTAAATTTGATGCCTGATAATATAAGTTTCAATTAAATCTGTTGATGGAAGAAAATAAAAACGCCTTATTTGGTGCTCTATCCAAAGCTCTGAGTGCTAATATCCACAAGCCCAGCATGTTCTTACTCACTTGCCACATATTTGATTGAACGATTTTCAAAAATAGGAAATTAACCCACCCTGAATCGAGCAATTTCATAATATCAAAAATGAAATATCTCATGTTAAATCTAACTACCGATCTTATATAATAATAAATCTTACTACTCCCCCCCCCCTCCGTGAGCGAACAAAACCATTAGAAAAATCGCTATTTTTTGACCAAAAACCCACCCTCCGTGAGTGAACAAAAATTTTTTTAATAGAAAAAATTTTAATGGGAAAAAAAATTTTGATATATAAGTGATAATTAGTATAATGAAATCTAGAGCTAATTCTGTTTAATTTTAAACAAATTGCGTTTTAAAACATAAATTTTGCAAATTAAATTAATATTTGCTTCCCAATTTTTGCAAATTAGGATTTTTTTAAATTTCGAAAAAATATTTTTTATAAAATTATATATAAATTTTTTTTAAAAAAAAAAAATTAACCCCCCTCCGTGAGCGAACAAAATTTTTTTGTTCGCTCACGGAGGGGGGGGGGGAGTTAGAGATATTACAATATAATGCTCCAATATAATTATAATGCTTTTTATCATATTACATACTCTATCTCTTATCGCTAGCTGATAAATATTTCATATGAAAAATATTTTTGTTTCCAGAACCCTTTTTTTACCCCAATTCTAGGGGAATTAGAAAAACTTCCAGCAGGTTCTCCTCCTACCCGCCAACGTGTTTACGAACTTCTTTCAAAAGACCAGCGTATGCTTGCATTTGACTTTTTATCCTCTATAACCACAACCACTCCCCGTAATGAGTATATTGACGCTGTTTTATTCGCAGCTAGATTTCTTCTCGGTAATCAGCTTATAAACGAATGTTATATTTTCCTAAAAATCTGTCAAAGTCACCTCGAAAAAGTATATGGTGAGCCTATTGATTACTCATTAGTTGAAGAAATTGGAAACATGTTTTACTTGACAGGCCAATGCAACGAAGCAATTAAATGGTATGAAAAACTCATGGAAATGAATGAAGCTCCAGAAAGCAAAATGTATTTTAATATTGGAATGTGTTATCAAGTGCTGGGAAATGTTTCTCAAGCTATTGAAGCTTATTTAAAAAGCACTCTTGCAGATTCCAGATTTACAAAATCATGGGTAAATTTGGGAAGCTGCTATTTACAGATTGGAAAAGGGGATAAAGCTATAACGGCGTTTCAAAATTTGCCTCTTTCGGCTGAAAGTTTAACTTGTATAGGAAACGCTTATACTGTTTTAAGAGAATAAAGAAGACGCTTCAAATGGTAAAAGCAAATATTTAATATCAGTTCTCATATATTTATATTTGTAAATTAGAATACTTTAAAATGGGAAATTTTGAGGAAGCAATTGCTCATTATTTAAGAGCGATCGAAATTAAAGAAGAGCCGGGAACTTATAATAATCTTGGAGCTGCATTAAAAAAAGTTGGGCTTTTGCAAGACGCTATCTACGCATTTAATGATTCTTTAGCTTTACAACCAAATGCAGATGCAGGAACAAATTTATTGATATTATATATCGAAACTGGGAAATTTACGGAAGCAAATTCACTTTTCAGAAGTATTGCAAGGATATTACCAGCAAATGAATCAAAAATGATCTCAAAAATACTTGATGAAAGAAAACCAGCAGCAGAAAGAAGAAGCACTATGCTTGTTAATAAAGTAGGAGAAGGGTTGCTAGGTAACATTTTAGCTCCAGCTATGTCAAGAAAGCAAACTTCAATGAATCCTTTCAATCAATCTTTGAGTCCTCAGAATTCTAGATCTCCTAAGCCTCAGAAATCCCCAGGGATGAGTAGTGGAAATATCTTTGGCAACGCTCTTAACTCCTTGTCCTAATAATTAAAAATATATAATCTTTTAAATAAAAAAAATGATTTATACTGCATTTAAGTTAGTAAAATTAAAAGATAGTGGGAATTTTTAATTAAATTATTCAATTAATAATTTAAATTTGATAGATATAATTATCTTATACAAAACTGTCATCTGGAATCACATACTCTTTCGTGAAAATTGGGATCCTCAAGTCTTCAAACTTAAGAAAGTCCAATGGGAACTCCACCAAAAATCCTCTTATCACATCTTTAAATTCGTTGTACTTTTCAGGATGAGCCTCATTCTCAAAATCAGGAATTTCAGCTATTGAGGTAATATAATCGTCAGGATAGCATCTAAATAATTCTCTATATAAATTTGTGTTTCTGGCAGCTGTTGATATTCATTCATTTGTAAATTGATCTGATAGTGGATCTCTTAAAAGCTCTTCGCTTTCTACCCCGAGATGCTCTTTAAAAATAGAAGTCCTTAATGTATATGCAAACTGGGAAACAGCTCTTGGCTTTCCTGCCAAAGTGCTTTGGATTTTGGTTTTATCAGTCACAATCATAGCAATCTCAGAGTCATGGTTTCCTAGCTGGCTTCTGTCATTTATATTAGCACTTCCCATCAGGACAATGTCATCATCAACAATCATAAGCTTGCTGTGGACATATACAATTTCAGTAACTGGCCTATCTCCAAGAACTGCATGAGCTCTTAGCCCATAAAATCTAATATAATCAGCTGGGTCTGAGATATTTGGATCTCTCCTTAGCTGCTCATAGATAGAATTTTGACCTCTACAAATAGTTTGGTATTCCCAATGCAGTTGCACTCTTACTCCCCCCCTCTGTGAGTGAACAAAAAAATTTTGTTCACTCACGGAGGGGGTTAATTTTTTTTTTTTTAAAAAATTTATATATAAATTTTATAAAAAATATTTTTTTTCGAAATTTAAAAAAATCTAATTCGCAAAAATTGGAAAGCAAATATTAATTTAATTTATAAAATTTATGTTTTAAAAAGCAATTCGTTTGAAATTAAACAGAATTAGCTCTAGATTTCATTATACTAATTATCATTTATATATCGAAAATTTTTTTCCATAAAAATTTTTTCTATTAAAAAAATTTTTGTTCACTCACGAAGGGTGGGTTTTTGGCAAAAAATAGGGATTTTTCTAATGGTTTTGTTCACTCACGGAGGGGGGGAGTTAGAACTGAAGCTGAAGAGTCATCAACTGCACCTTCAAACCCAGGCAATAAAGGTAAAACTACAATTACTTTAAATGGCTCTTTTTTATCGGCAGCAATTTTAATTCTTTCTACCAAAGCTTGTGCTATTTGATTTTTCACAGTTTCTCCAGCAGTGCTAGAAATAAAAAACTGATTTTCTATATAAATGAAATGGTCGGCTTGGTCTATAAGATTCAAATAAGCAGTGTGAATAGAGTGCTCAGTTTCCTCAAGCCCTAATGATCACAGTCCAGCACTTCTGAGCAACTGGCAATCACAAGTCCCAGTTTGTCCTAGTTCTTTTATTTTTGGTAAAAGCAGCATTTTTGAGAAATTTTCGTCTCCTTCAATTTGTCCATCTTCAATTTCTTTCATCAGTTTTTCTTCATCAGCCATTTCAATTTTTTCTCTTTGTTTGCGCTGGAACTCAAAATCAATATTATGAACTGTGCTTCTTCTTTTTAATACTGTAGGTTTCTCATTATCAATATCTTGATTTTGTAGCAAGCTGTTTCTTTTGTCGTTTTCTGTTGTTTTCATTCTTTTAAGAGCTTCTTTTTTATCGACTGCAACTGCTGTTCCTGGGTTTAATTCTGAATTCATTTCCATTCTTTGATTTAAGAACTCTACATTGATTCTTTTCCCGTTAACGTTAAATGAGCTTCTTCTATGTGAAGCTCTTCTGTTTTCTGCTATTTCTTTAAATGTCTCTACGGCTAGAGATAATTTCTTCTCACGGAGCACTATGACAGGCTTTTTTGTTTCTTCTTCTCCTTCTGATGAACAACTTGAAGCTGACTCAGAATCCGATTCTTTGCCACGCTCATTTATAGTTGGAGAATGGGCTGGCTGCAATAAATTTTTATTTTTATGATATCCAGTTGTTATGTCGGTCATAACGTGGTTTCACAGCTCAATAAAATGCAGGCCTATGTCTGCAGCTGATTTTCCGATAACTCGTAGTGCTACATCATGTCATGGCATTCGTGGATTTATTTCTCTATTTATTAAGTCTCTATTTCAGTTCTGCACCTCATAGAAATCAGAAATTCTAGCATTGGAGTAGTCAATTCCATTAAAAATATGTTCATGGTCGACTAAAGGATGCTTATTTGTGTCATATCGTCCATAGCATAAATCCAGCCCTCCCATAAAGGCAATTTCTTGGTCAATGCAGACAATTTTTTCATGATGAGACCACAAAAATTCGCCACCTACAACAGACCTATGTGGATGCCTGATTACTTTTATGTTTGGATTTCTTTGTAATAGAGTTGTTTTTGTATACATAGAGTTCAGTGTCAATGCAAAGGTCACTTCTTTATATACATGAACAAATACAGAAACACCTCTATCAGCCAGCATCCCTAATAATTCCACCACCTTTGACTTTTCGTATTTCTTGGCAGGTCTTTTTAAATACAGATCAGGACTAAGTCAATAAAAATAAAAATTAAAATTCTTTGTTTAACTCCACTGCCAGGTTGTCTGCTGCTACAGCTGCCTTCAACACCGATCTGGGGCGAATTCCCGTCATCTTCTTACGGCCAGCCAAAGGGTGGCTATCTGATTTGTTTCACGACAAGGACGCCAGTTTTGAAGCTTGAGCTTCTACAACTTTTTTTTGAGCTCAAGCTGCCTACTTGGGTCCGTCAAGCACCCTAAAGGTCCAAGCCTCTACCGCCTGGGATAGCAGATGCCTTTATGGAAAATTCAATTCCCTAAGGCTGTATTGAGTTCGAAATATAGCCCGGCTCTTGCTCCCGAAATAATTTCACCATAATTAAAATATCCAAGAGATGAATTTTCGGCAAATTCTAACAACGCCATATTTTAATTATGATCATGACTAAGTCACCAATCAGAAATAAAAACCTCACGTTTTGCTCTTTTCAAATACTCACAAACTTCGTTAAAATACATTTTCCCATCCACATATCACGTGACCTCGTTTTGTTCTCTCAATGGAAATGACGAATCAAACCTCTGTTCAGACCTGTTTCATTCAGATTCATTATAAGCTGTTACTATAGCTTTTACCCATTCATCCCTTTTCAAAGGAGATCCAGCTCTAAATATGAAGGTTCTTCTCAGTGTAATTATTTTTACACCGTCTTCATACCCTGTGTCTTTTTCTCCATATAGCACTTCGAACCTACCCTTAAACATCAGGACTTCGTTTAAAGAGCTTTTTGTGTTGCTTTTTAAGTACCCGACCATGTCATTTCTGATTATCATTCAGCGCTTTTGAAGCCGTTTGCAGTATTTCGCGCAGTTGAAGATTCGGCGCTCGTTACCGATCTGTCCTCCTGTTCTTTTGAAGACATAACCTTCTTTTCACTTTTGTTTGACTCCTTCGAAGGAAAGAGAACTGACTTCGAAAAATTCCCAAAATTTTGGATTGCTGATTGTGTCTCTTTGCTGGGAAAGGTCTTTTAAGTATGCTTCTAGCCTTTCTAATTGCTCTTCTAAAGGCTCTTTAGAGAAATTTTCTATATTTGGCAGTCTAGGTACAGACGCTAGGTTCCCTTTCTGCATTTCTTTTAGCAGATTTTGATGAAGATCTTGGAATTCTTGGATGCACCGATTGATGGTCCACTCATAAACAGGAGCATCTTTCCTCTTTTGGTATTTGATTTTAAATGAATAATTTAAGTGTTTGCTATTGATTGAAGAATTTGATGAGCAGTTTTCCATGTATTTAGCGTCTGCAATGCTTAGGCCAAGCTTAGATACAGTCGGGGCAAAATTTTCAAGCCCAGGGCTATCATCTGCATAAAAAGATGGTTGCATTATAGAATGACGTCCAAAAACAGCTAGAAATGAGAATTAATGAAAATTTATTTAAAGCCACAATCTTTTCTATAATAATTGGGAATGATATATCATGGGTTATATATATTACAGTCCAATTTAGATCTTTTAGAAGATGGGGTCTGAAAAACTCACAATATTAAAGCAATGGACTTTTTAAAAATTATATTTATGATTGCATGCTAGCATTTTACCCTAATATACTAGCATTATTATATAGACGAATATAAATTATATAATATATCTATGCTAAGCTATTGCATTGATTAATGATTGCATGGCTTTTAAGGTTCTTTCTCTGTTTTCGTTTTACAGCTAGGCTGAATGAATGTAGTTATATTTCACAACTTCTTAATTTCTCGACAACTCTAAAATTCCATTTGCTATATATGCATGAACACTTTTTCATTTTCAACTGAGGTTCTATGGTGTAGTGGTAGCACGTAGGACTTTGAATCCTGAGATCTGAGTTCAATTCTCAGTAGAACCATTTTTGCTTAATCAAAATATTTATCATGGAATTTATTTAATTCAATTACGGTCTTCCAATTCTCGAAGTCCCATCATTTTTAAAGAACGCTTCTCTTGCCTTTGCTTTTCTTTCCATTTCTTCTCTTTCTTTCAACGAGTCTTCCTGCTGTTTCTGTAGCATCGCTGCTCTTTCTCTCCTCCTTCTATCCATTTCTTCTTTAGAAATAGCTTGGGTTTCTATTGACTGTGAGCTTCCTACAATGCTTGCCTTCTTTGCTAATTCTTCTCGTTCCTGAATTTCTTTAATTTCATGCTCATCTCCTTTTTTAATTAAAAAACTTTTTGGAGGCTCTTGATGAGCTTGCTGTTCTCTTGATTGCTGAATCATCATAGCTTTGAAAACTTCAAAGAGCTCCATAACATTCAGCTGTTGGCCTTGAGGATTGTTGTGATGCTGCCGATCAGCTTGAGTTAAAGGAGGTAAATCTTCGTCTAGAATGGCACGGGCATTTTGGATTTTTTCTGAGGCAGCTTCGAGCTTTTGCTCTGTAGATCTGAGCAAGAATGAAATCCTATGCAAATAAGTAAATTCGTCAGTAGAAATTCTGCCTTGCATTTGCATAAAAGCAGCTAGGTTATAGAGCCCGTCAGCGGAGAATTCTTTTGGGAGAAATGTTTGAGGCTCTGGGGAGGGCTTTGGGGGAGTTTGATCTGGTGCTGGAGATGAAGGGATTTCTGGATTCGAAGTTATAGGAGATTGAGGAGGAATTAATGGTTCTTGTATAGATTGAGGTTGTGGCTGCTCTTTAGTTTCTTCAACTGTGACAGCTAATCTTTCTTCTCTATTTTCATTGCTATCTAAATCCATCTGCTCGTTTTGTTCTTCTGACATCTTTAACTAATTATAAGCTGATTTGTATTAACTTCCATTAATTGGCAAAAATACTATATTTATCATTATGTGGTTAAAATTTAGAATATTTTTGCATCAGAAAAATTTTACTGAAGTGAGATACCAGCGAAGAAGGAAATCATACCAAAAATTTTATAAATGATATAACCTGGGAATTGTTTAATTTTTCATAATTAAGCAATGCATACAAAATATTATAAAAAAATTTGATGAAGAAATAAGAAAATGAATTTTTAGCATTCATGATCATCTACTCTTTTAAAAATAAAATTCTGCTCATCTTCTGGTCCCAAAAATGGATCTGTCAAGGTATAAATGGAATGCTCTATGTAATCTTCATAATCTTCAAATGAATTATTATTTTTCCTGATTTCCAATGAGAAAAAATAGGAAAAATATTGGCTAGCTTCAATAGCAATTATACTGTGGTCTACTTCAGCCTCCTCCCATTTGCTGAATAACATTTACTAAGGCGTTTTTTCTGGGTGAAACATATATGCATAAATTGGGTAGTTTTTTGCTTCTATAAACGATAAGTAAGGAACCATACCTCTATCATAAGAAAGCCCAAGAATATCCCAAAATGTATTTAATTTTTCTTTTTCTATATAAATATTACTTTTGTATGTTTCAATTGAGATTCCCCAGTGATGATTTTGAGCTGTAATATTATACTTGTTTAGATAATAAAGTATCATTGGGTTTACGTTTTTGAATAACTTTGAATATGGAGCCTTTTCAGTAAAAAGCGCATTTATTGTATGATTCCATGCATCTGTATATGTCAATGTGCACGATTTCGAAGTAACCATTGTCAGAACTTCCATACCTAACCTCATTCTGAAGCAAGAAAAAAATTTTACTGTTAGAAAGGAGCTTTAATTTTAAATTTTTAATGATTTAAATCTTCAAAATCTGGAATGTGATAAAGTTTGTGTTTTAGAATGCATCAAAAATTTTTAAAGTATATTGCTTGCTCCAAAGTTCGGGGTAAGCAAATCCCCATAAGTGGGAAATATTCTCCATTATCATTTTTCCTAATTGTTGATTTTAATAAATAATCAGCTGTCTTTACATATTGAGAATAAATGATCTCCCCATCTTCTCCCCAGCTATTCAGCTTAGTTGATCCACCAGTAAATACGATACCTAAATAATGATTACCATTGATTTTCCCTAAAATTTCATCCAATTCTTCTTCGTCTAAAGTATGTAGAATTGGGACAACTCTCATCCCAGCGCTTTCAAAATAATGGACGTAAGGAGTTCTGATGAAAGCCTTCACATTTGGCTGGTCCGCAAAATCGATATCATTGGGCAAAGTTAGCATTCCTATTACTGACTTTAGAAATAAAAAGGTGACATTGACGGAAATTGGTCCCCCGAGACGCACTTCCTATGATGCAGGTTGAACTCATCCTAATTAAGCTGAAAGTAAGGTCTCTGTCCTTTTTTGAACCAGGCCTTCAGGTTTTTGGGAAGCCTTGCCGAAGAGGGAAACTATCTTTTTCCCCGAAGGTTTTCCTGTCCCTAGTAGATGGCTAGGCAGACTTTGCCTCTCACATAATCTTGATCTATCGGGACTATTGGGGCACCCTATAGTGGGTCGCTCTGCCCAAAGGAGCTGTTCTTAGGTTAGGTGAGTCTCGCCAGAAATTCAAGAGGATGAATTTTGTTGGGCCTTACACAATTTGCACTCTGGTATATATATACCCAGTGTAGGCCACCTTTCCTAGAGTCAAGGTAGTCTGGCTAGTGGGGATCCCGCTTATGGCCGCATAAATTTAATTTATTTATATACTGGCTTTGAAGCGGACTTGAAGACTTCGTCGTTGTAGTCTGCAAAATGAAGAGCTTGAGAAACAGCCAATAAGCAGAGGATGAGTATTGGCATCGTGGATATGGAATAATAAATATATAAGAAGCCATTTAAAACTGTTTAGGCGCCTTATGGCAAAGAGTGGACATTTTGGCACTTTGGGAATGTAAATGGAGTAAAAAACTTCTTTATTAGTTGGATGAACATAATTTGATAAGTTTTATAGTGATTTAAAGGATTTCGTAAATAAATTCATTTAAAATCAATACTTTTATTAATAGAAATTGCATTTACAGTATTATCTTAAACCAATAAAATTCGACTTAATGGAATGCTTAAAGTAATTTATTGAATCACGCATTTGCATTGCTTTGTTTCTCTCTCTTGAGGTTTATTATTTCTCATCATCTCTTGTGACTCTTTGCTTCTATCAATCCTTAGCTGCAGCTGTATTATTTCCAGTCGTTGTGCCTCAGATTTCTCTCTCAGTTTCTTGATTTCTTCCCCTTCTTGTCTAACTACTTTTGTTTCTTTCTCTTTCTCTTTCTCGTCCAATTTTCTCAATTTTTCTTCTTTCTCATGCTTTTTTGGGATTATTTTTTTCTTTAAATTATCATTTTCTTTTCTCACATCTTCAAGCTGTTCATTAACCCTTGCAAGTTTTTGTTTTAATTCTTTTTCTGCTTGCTTTTCATCCATATGTTCATCAATTTCATTAGCTTTATTATTCGCTTCTTTTTCAGCAATCTGTTCTTTTATCTTCGCGATTTCATCATCAATACTATCTACTTGCCAGGTTATCTTAGATTTTTCTTCTGCTACATCTTCTCTCTGTCTCTTTAAATCCAAAATTTCTGTCCTGAGCTCTTCAAGTTCCTTTTCATTATTTTCTTTTTCAGTCTCAACTCCACTTAATTTTTCTTTCAACTCTTCTACATCATTTTCAATTTCTCTGATTTCTTCTGAAATCTCGATGTGCATATTTGCAAACTCGATTTCTTTAGAAGAAAGGTCCATTTTGCATTTCTCAATATCATTTCTTAAGACTTCTAAATTTTGATTAAAAATAGACTTCAAGCTTTCTTCATGGACGATTTCTTGATTAAGCTCTTCGCTCAGTTCTTTTTCTTTTGCTATATCTTTTTCATAGGTAATTTTTACTTGGTCTTCTAGTCCTGTGTTGTAGCAATTATCACAAATTCTGGCTGCACGATTTAGCTCAGGGTGGAAACCTTTGTGTAGCGAGCATTTTTCACAGACTCCTCTGTAGCAGAATTTACAGAACCTTTTGCGATTTCCAAAAGCGGAAAACTCGTCCAAGCAAACAATGCAGACTTTGTCGTGCTTTCAAGCGTTTTGGTCTGCATTTGGATCAAACATGTGGCTTAGAAGCATAAGTTGGTCTCGTAAATCAGGTGTTGCCTCTATTGGGGATGCTTCTTCATCACTTGACATATTTTCACCTAATTTACAATTTAAAACAATTAGTTAATTTATATGTGTTCCAAGCCTAGCTTTACATTTTTTTCATGGTCCGAAGCAATAGTGCTTCGAGTTGAGCCACCGTCGTTGCTATGCATTTCCTGTCTAAGGATTTGAACTTTCATGATATGTTCAGGTAAATCTTTTGCAATAAATTCAAATTGTTTAGACAATCTCGCAGTATTTTGAAATTTCAAAGGTTTCATACTTACATCAAAAGTTTTTACAAATTGTCCAGTACTTCCAAATCTTTGATGACTGATTTTATGCAAGTCATTCACACTGGATTTTTTATTTAGCTTTAAATTGTTTGATCTACAAAATTTTGCTACCATAAATGCCTTTTATAGATTTATTTAAATTTTTTTTAAATATATTCTAAAATTATTAAAGTCATAGAGAAATTTATATAAATAATTTTTGTTATAAATAGATTGAGTCTGATCTACAAGGATCTTTTGTCTCGCAGATTATTTCTCTGTGATCAGTGACATCTTTTGAAATTGATACTTTCTCAGTCCCTTCTGGAACTAAATTTTTCGAAAATGGGTTATTTTGTTTATTAAAAATTCTCTGATGCTGATCATTGTGAGGAGTTTGACAGGGATAAGATGGGAGAGCTGCAAAAGTGAATTGTTGAGATAATATTCTATTATGAGATTTTGATGTCCTTATTTTCTGAGTCTGTAAATCAGTCGTCTTCCAGTCTTTCATTGACTGTTGAGGAGCTCATATCGAGATTCGTTTTTTTTTGATATGATATTTTTCCGTTTGTGGAGTTTTGATAGTGATTTGTTTGTTTTGGATTTCTTTCATTTGGGTTGATCCCATGGAGTAAAATTTCTATACTTTTAGATTTAAATATAATTTTATTAATAAAAATTTTCTGCTATTTTTTATTATCACGTAAAGATTATACTTATACAAAAAGATTTATTAAAAGGCAATAAAATAATGGAACGTAATTTAATAAGACTCCAATTTTGTATGGTTTTTATTAAAATCTGGTCACTATTTTTAAAAAATCTGCCAGGCGCTATTATAGCCTTTGCATCGCATTTATAAAATTTAAACTTTATTAATTCTACTAGGTTATGGAGAATAAAATGATTACTGAAGGTTCCAGTTAAGCAGGATGAAAGCGATATTCCCTGCACTTTCTCCGCACTTCAAATAATCAGCTGAGCATTGTTCAATGGTTGCTATATCTGCGTTGATTGATTGGTAGTATTTATAATACCTTAAAAGAACAATTTTGTACCCATCAGGCTTCATAATGTTTTTAATAGATTCTACCAATCCTTTGAAAGGACAAATTTTCGCAATTGCTTTTTCTTCAGGCACTAGTCCTTTAGCATTATTAATGAAGTCTTGAACAACGTTAAAGTTCCCACCAAATATTGAGCTGCCTTCAGTGAATAGTGTTTGAAGCAAATTTCCTAACTTTTCTAATTCTGTATAGCATGGTCCTGGGGTCGTATTTGGTCCTTCAAGTCCTGATAAAAATCCTGCAGCAATGACAGCCCAGCTTTTAACTGTAGTTTCATAATTAGTAGCATGGAGTTGTGGGTTATTTAAATTCCAACTAATGAGGATTCTAATGATATCTCCAATACCATATCCACAAGCTGTATAATTGGTAGAGCAGCTTTTGACACTTTCAAGATCTTTATCGACTTCTTTAGCATGTAAAGTGTATCTGAGGACAACTGCTTTGTAGTCATGAATTGAGCTGTTTACTGCTGTAATAAAGGTTTTCCAGTCACAAACTTTGCTGATAGGCTCAAGTTCTGGCTTAAGAGCTTCGATATCCACAATCAATTGAGAAACAGCTGAATAGTCTCCATCAAGGATTCTTGAAACATCAGACACAATAGCTCCAATAGTTTCGCTTGATCCACTTATAGCAACATAGCATTTTCCTGGTGTTTTTACAGGTCCTTCAAGCCCACTTAGCATCCCTGCAAGTAACTCGAAAAGATCAGCTCCAGTTGGTTTTGGCTTACTCCCTCCCTTTAAGTTTGAGCAAAGCATCGGCAAAATCTCCATTTTTGGGGACTTTAACCCCATTTAAATTGAACAATTTGTTTTTCAATAGGAAAATTTTATCAATGAAAATACTAATTTTTTATAAAATGAATTTTGACCTAATTTAACAGACAAAAAAAGGTTAAAGTTTTTTATTTAAACAGTTTTCGCACTTAATCAATTAATTTTTTTATTTAATTCTTTTATTAATTCAGATTAAAATTCAAAAGTTTTAAGATTAATTTATATTTTTTAAAATCTTTTTAAAAAAATTAAAAATGAAAATACTAATTTTTATAAAGTAGCTTTAAACTAATTTAACAGAAAAAGTGCAAGTAAAATGCTATTTAAACAGTTTTCATATAAATTAAATAATTTTTAATTATTCTTTCATAAAAATAAATTAAAATTCAAGGTATTTATATTTTTTATAAAGAAAAATGTTTAATATAATTTTTTAATTTTAAAAAAAAATTTGCTCTTCCTTTAAAATTGGAGGGTTTTTGCTCCAATTTAAGTGGTGGGAGTTAGGATCAGCTTTAAGATTTGTGTTGAGTTTCCAGTTGAGCTCAATTCTTAAGATTTCTCCTGCAGCATAGCCACATGCAGTGTAATTTGCATTGCAATTTTTAATAGTCAAAATGTCAGCTGTCATTGTCTTGATGTGCATGCTGTAACGAAGAAGGATAGTTGAATAGCCTCCAGCAATCAAGGCCTTGGTTTGGTTGTATAATAAGCCCCATTGGCATTGGCTTTCAAGAGGCAATAATAATGGGAGAAGAGCTTCTGAGTCGGTAATTAGTTGGCTAACTGCAGAGTTGTCTCCATTTAAAACTCTGACCACATCAGAAATAATAGCAACGAAATCTTCGTTTGTAGAGGCGAGAGCTTGATAGCAAGGGCCTGGAGTGCTGACTTTACCTTCAAGACCATTCATAAAACCGCCAAGAAACTCATAGACGTCGTCTGTGCTTATTTTAAGGTTTGGAGTGCCTCTTAATTCCTGTGCTGAAGCTACCATGAGCAAAGCAAGAAGAAAACACGAAGCTTTCAACATATTTTTATAAGATTGAAAAATTAATTCGCCTATTTACTGGTGTTTATTTAATTTATTAGCATGCATAATATATATCCAATTATTTTAATTCGTAGTTACTGCTCTATGTAGTTATAAACTGTGTGCACTTTATTATGTTTGGTATAAATACCTTCTAAAACTATTGTTAATCTTAATGTTTATATATATTTTTACTGATAAGCCAAGGACACTGAATAAAATTTAAAAATTCACTTTCTTAAAAGCATAGGAAATGGTTTAAGATTTTAAATGCAGGATTTATTTTGAATTATTATAAATTTTCTTTTTAGAAAACGTAAAAAATAAATTTTCATCAGATATATGATAAATAAACTTTTAAACAAACTAGCCAGCATTTAAACCTTAGTTATGGCTCTATAAAGAAATGGAAGAAATAAATCAGTTATCTATTCAAAATTCATCTCAAGCCCAGCCAGACATCAAGAAATTCATCAAGCATATGCACAAAAAAATCGAGGAAATTAAGTTGGAAATGCACGATTCTAAGCAAGACTATGAGCAGCTAAGAAGTGAGGCAAAAGCTATGGAAGCTCAAAATAACAGAGATACCAATGATATAACTGATAGGATTCTTGATGAGCTAGATAGGATTGAGCAAGAGTTCAAAAAGCAGGCAGGAGAATCCAAAACTGAGAGTGGCTTTTTAAAGCAGCAAATAGCAAGCGTAACCCAAGAAAAAATGAAACTGGAACAAAATTATTTGTTGCTAGCTACCCGGGTGGGAGAAGCAGAAAGAGTTATAGGAATCGAATTGATGCTTCCTCATATCGATGATCCAAGAGGTTATGAATAGACTGAAACGTGTGAATTTTATAAAAAATTAGGAATAATTAACTAGTAAAATTGAAAGCGGGGTTTATCTTGAAGGTGTCTCTCTATACAAATCGGTTTAACTAAATAAGAAATTTCTTCGTTTTCTAAGGCTGCTCTGTATGCTCTAGAATCGTCTACGGTATTAATTGTTTTTACTTTACGTATTTCTGCCTTTGTGGTGATTTTTTTCTTTTTCCTTTTTGTTGTGAAAGCTTTGTTTGAGTTTGCATCATTAAAGGCATTTTTCTTATATTTTTTATGCTCATATTTAATATTTTCCATTGGAACGTTATGGACCTCAATTGATTCATTTGTTTCTGCTGGCTGATCTTGAATTGTGGCTGCTATCAAATTTGTGAAATAAATAAATTTTGATAATTATTTAAAACAATTTCTAAAAATTAGGTAACATTGAATTTCTTTTTCGCATAAATTAGGGAATATGACGGTTAATTGAACTTTTCGCTCATTAGGCAAGCATTTTTCTTCTTCTTTTTTCAATATTGGCTTAAGGACCTTTTCTGAAGAAGATCTTTGATTTTTTCTATTAGTACTCTTTGGTCTGCTTATAGCTTCTCCAAGGGCTTGCAAAGCACAGACACAGCTGGATGTTCTTGAGCGATAAATTCCCGGCTTGTTTTGGCTCAAATTGGATGCTCTCAGTGAATTTAAATATGGCTTACCTACAAAAGACAGCCTACTTCTATTTGCGTTCAAATGGCTTGATGATTGAGCTTCAGATACTAATTTCTTAAGGGATTTCGGTATGATGCAATTCATGTCGAAAAATATGATTATATCTGATGAATGCTATTTTTTACAAATTATGGATAAATTGTTGAAATAAAGATGCATAATAATTAATTTTTTATAAAACGATCGAATATTTATGATTCAATAGCACCTTGCAATATATTTAAGTTCCCACAACGTTTGCATAGTATTTGTAAACAATATTATAGAGTTCAAATTACTTATAATTTCAAAGTTTTTAAACTTAGAAAGAAAGCCATTCTTAAAAGATAGTAAATAGCTAATGTGGATCTTTGAGATTTACCTTGCTTGATCTGATCAATAATTTTTGAAAAAATATTTCTGAAAAAAATTATAAGTTTAGAATAAATAGCAGATATGCATAATTGTTTATCATTTATCTATAAATCATAGCTATAAAGGTTACCAAAGCTATAGAATCCGAATTGTTTATGCTCTCTTCTATTATTGGATATATTTTTGTTTACTCTATGAGTGATTCCTACTTTTTTGAAATTTATGTGATGAAATTATTTCATAAGAAATCTTAGACAATATTAATTTGTGAGTTAAAAATTACATTTAGACTTTAATTCGGTTTTTATACATTCTAATTTAGTTATTATTATTATAATTTATCATTAAAATTCTCTTCATAATTTTTTAATTTATATTTAGAATACTCTCTCAAGCAATAAGAAGTCATCTAATATCACCATAAGGAATTAAATTAATGAAATATGCATTAAATCTTAAACCATTAGAATAATTTATATCCTCTACCTATAATAAAAAATCATATTCGAAGGTTTTTATTTACTTTACTAATTTTTTATCATCCAATTTCCTAAATCCTAAATAAAAATAATATCAAATTGTCGTTATATATTAATTAACTCAATGGAAAATTATGAGCGGCCTTATACACCTTCTCTCTCCTCACACCCTAGTACACCCAGAAATACAATAAAAGCAGTTTTTCAGAACCTCCAATTTATAAATGAAGTGACCGAAAAAATTAATGAAGTTTTAGAAATTCTTGAGCCTTTCAAGGACCCAGATAATGCCAAAATTAAATCTATTCGGTGCTTAAATCTGACAACTCGGCAAACAGAAAGATTTAAACCAATCATTAGCGAAGCTTGTGACAAATTAAATCTGCTGAAAAATGAGGACATTCGCAAATTGGATGATGATATAAAAGGAATTGAAAATAGTTTGAAAAGTCAAATGGAAGCTAATGGAAAATTAAAAGCAGAGTTGCATCATTTGCATAATAAATTCGGGCTATTTGAAGAAGAATTGAGAAATTGAAGGGCACAGCTAGAGGATGCACCATTAGCTATGGTAGAAAGCATTGCAAGCACTCTTAGAAAATACACTGAATTTTCTAAAGAAAAGCACCCAAAAGAGCAATTTACAAGAATACTAGAAAGTTTTATGTCCTCGTGAAATTCCTACTACCCTGACACATTTGACAGGCCACCTTCTGTGCTAGATAGAGATGTATTTATTGACGATGATTTCAAAGATTCAGAAAATTTTTATTTTAAAATAAATTGCGAAAATTGCAATAGTTTAAGGGCAGAACTAGACCAATCAGAAATGAATTTATTAAGTGAAATTGAAAAAAATTACAATTTACAGAGAGACAAAGAAAATGAGGTCAGTGAGCTAAAGAAACAATTAGAAAAAGCAGCAGGAAATGATGAAATAGATTATGAAATCTATATAAAAAAAATTAGAACTGATATAGAAAATTTGCTTGATTGTGAGCTGCCAGATATATCTAATGACCCAAAAACGTCTTTACCAGAACTCTGAATGAAGATCAGAAAGGTTATAGGAGAAAGTGCAAAGAGATGTAGATCAAAAGCAGCTCCAGCTGCCGCTAAACAAGAAACTAATTATATTGATTGTAATGCGAAAGATATAGAAAATTTGAAGCGCAAATTAGATGAAATTTATGATGACATTGAAAATGGAAAGCCCAGCAAAGTATATAAGATTATGATAGCAGCTTCTGAGTTTAGCCTACTTTTAAAAAAAGTTGAGGATTCATGAAATTTGAATTTTCCAAAAAAATATGAAATTGCCCTTAATGCTGGCTCGAACAAAAAAATTATTTCTAACAAAAATCCTATTTTTGACTCATTGAATTCAATTTTATCTGAAGAATTTAGTGAGGCTGAAAATCTTAGATTGACTGAGCTTGAGAACAAATTAGAAGAGCTTACTGAGCTATCATATCAAATTAACCCAAGCATACAACAAAATTTGAGTGCAGAAAGTAATACAACTGCCAAGCTCTATGAAGAAATTAAGGAGAAAAAAGAAGAAATTTCTAAGTTAGCTCATGAGCTAGAAAGAAAAACAATTGAAAATAAAAAGCTATCTGAAAATATAGAAAAATACAAAAATGAGCTAATGCAAGTGAAATCCAAAAGTGGCTTAACAATAGATACAATTGAAGAATTAAAATCAGTTTTCACAAATACTGCTATTTCAGATTTTGTTAAGGTAGAGTATGAAGAGCCTGAAGAAATGTAAAATTTATTTAGAGTGTTTGATATTGAAGATTTCGATCCACACTTGAATTCAGAACTGAGGCTCAGAGACCAAGAAATCAAAAAGTTGCAGAAAGAAAAAGCAGAATTACTAGAAAAACTTGATAAATCATCGCCATTTATAGAGATGCCTGAAATCAATTTAAATTGCAGCTCAAAGCTTCAAGACAGTCAAGAAATTTCTGACATAAAATCCTTGATTTCTCAAAAAGAAAATGAGCTGGAAAACCTTCCTCCAGGAACTAGCCCTAATTTACTTAATCGAGAAATAATAAAGCTAAAATCAAAACTGCAGGACATAAAAACTAAAAAAGCTTTAGATGCCCATGCGACTCTTCAGACCAGATTAAGCCGATCAATGGCAAAAATTGAAAAAGATTGACTAATAACAGAAGAAAAATCAAAGCGTGTTCCAAGTAATCATAGTAAAAGAATTATGGAGCTAGACGCAAGTCGAAGCTTATCTCCTGACAATTTTAAGAAAATCGTGGCAGAATCCCAAAGATACTCAATGAACCCAAATTTTTCATTTCGATCCATAAATTTAATAAAACAAAAAAGGATTCAAAATTCCATGGCAAGCGGAGAACTTGAATATTTAAGAACTGAGCTAGAAAAATGCTTAATCCCATTCCTAATAAAATCTTTTTAATAGAGTCTATTGCACAAATTTCTGATTGAGCAACAAATGATATAAAAATCTTTATAAACAATATTTTAATATATATATATCCCGTTAACAGTCCATAAGCAGGTGAATTGCCCGCTGAGTATCAAATTTGGTCAGACCAAAACAAATAATTGGTCGGACCATATTGTAATTTTAGTGGTAGTCACCCCCTTATGAAACTATTCATAGGAAATAAGTATTTATATATAAGTAATAATTATTATAAATTAATCTCTAGCTAGTTCTGCGAATTTAAGCATTTTGCATTCTAAAGCATAAGTTTTCCGCCTTTCCAAAAAAAAATTTACAATCTATAAATTTTATAAAAATATTTAATCCTCAAAGGAGTTAGAAGAAAAATCGAACTTAGAAGTTCAGCTTAAAAAGTTCACTGAAAATGATAAATTAGAAGAAAAATGGAATGAAGTAAAAGCAAAAGAACAGACGGCTGAAATTTTGATTGAAAGAGCCTTGAAGCAAGAAGAAAAATTGAAAGAAGAAAGACTTGCTAACCAAAAACATTTGAAAAATATAGAAAAAGAATATGAGGATATAAGAAAAGAAAAAGCGAAATTAAAATTAATAGGAAATGAGCTAAAAGAAAAAGAAAAACAAATTGAGCTGAAAAGCATAAATGTCAATGAAAGCCCATATTTAAGACGAATATCAAGAGCAAATACTAGCACAGGATCAGATGAGTCTGTAACAAGTTTAGGCTCACCAAGGGCCTTTAAATTTGATGAGTTTGATAGGGAGAAAGAAAAATTTGTTTTAGAAAAAAAGAAAATGTGCATTCTTGTCAGCAAGATTAATAATGAAAAAACAAAAATTAATGAAGAAAGAAATTCATTAGCAAAAGAAAGAGCTTTGCTTGAGTATCAAAAATCAAAGTTTTCAGAGATCTTGCCAAAATTAATGAATTTGGTTGAAAGAGACAAGAATTAAATTTTGTAGAAAAAATTGTTTTTTATAGTCTAAGATTTGGCTTAAAAATAATTAGGAAGTTGTGTCTTTTAATTTATTTGCTAAGAAAAATAAGCATTATATAATAATATTTGAATTTCAAACAATTTAATGAATTAATATTATAAATTATTTAAATTCCATTTTGTCTTAAAAATAAGCAAGTTTATGGCTATTTCAAATAATCCAGAATTTCCTATAATAAAATTTAATTTAAATTTCTATTTCATCACCAGCTCAAGAAAATAGAAAGCAAGCCAACAAATCTCATGACATTAAATTTTAAGCCAGTCTTAAATTAAATATATCTTATAAATAGAGAGAATACCATTCAAACTATTAAAAATTATGATCTGATTATTACATATTTCTGCCTATTCAAAAAATTTGTGTCTAAAGATAGCTTTCAGTGCCTATAAATCGAGCATCTAAAAAATTCTGTTCCTAAAAATTAATCTTTTTTATATCAATTTAAAGAAAAAGAACTAGATAAAAGGGATGGCATAAGAAGGTAAATAGAATTCTTAAATGAAAATAATTTTATTTTTTTTAGAGGCACTAATTTTCAATTTATAATACTATTGAGTACACTATCAAATTGAATTATCAATAATTGCAAGTATTCTAATATTATTAACAATTTCAAAGGGATAGTGATTTGCAATGCATATAAACATCAGAACTTCATAAAATATGGATGATCTCTGAAATCAATATAAAAATATTTCAAGCATTAAATATAAATTTGTGTCAGAATCTGCCAAACACATCAGATATCACAGATTATTAAGTTTGATATTTGTTTCCCTGCAAAAGGAAATTGTTAGTTAATGATACCTCGTGCAACCATGAAAGAAGTACAGTATCATTTTAAATATAATATTTATTAATCACTTTCTTCAACTTTAACTTGGAATTTCTTCGCTTTAACTGTGACTTCTTTTATAACTAACGGCCTAATGTTCTTATGAGATCCTCTCCCTGCATCTTCTCTGACCAGAATAAAAATTCAGCCATTCATAAAGTGTGATGTTACCTCAGTGACTGCGATTCTGACGGATGCCAAAAACTTTTTCCTGCGGGAATGATATTTTAGTGTGCAATTGCTAGTTCCTTGAATGAAATTTTCTCCTTCCTTGTTATGGTTGATCAGAGCAGGCTTGGGCTCTGCAGTCCATGCTTCAACAATTAACGGGACTTCATAGTTTTCGGATAGTATTTCTTCAGTTAATTCTGATAAAATTACATTGAAGTTAAAAAATCTCTTCTTGCAAATTATTTTAGGAAAGCCAATTGCTGACAGTTTGTATTTAAAGTCTTGATTCCGGTCAGTAATGTACCTAAGAAACTCTTTCTTGGTCAATGCTCTTTTCTGTTTTGGAGACCGTACAGACTTCAAGTTTTTATTCAATGTCTGAAACAAGTCAGATATTTCTACTGCTGATGACTTAAATTGTTTTGATGATTCTCAAAACTGATAGAACTGATTTGTTCGCTGCTGAATGGAGCTAAAAAGCATATACAAGTTGTCCGATGATGGCGCTCAATGCGCCATCATCGGGCAACTACAGCTCAGGGTCGACACGGGAAATGGGTTCCACGTGTGGAGCCCTTTTTGGCGTGTGAAAGTGAGGATTCTCCACGTGTCAAAAAGGGCTCCACATGTAGAATCCGTTTCTAGTGTGGATCCTTTACTGTAGATGCCCGATGATGGCGCATTGAGCGCCATAATCGGGAATTTCCTATATCTCATGAGTTTTCTGCAAGAGGCTGTCCAAAAGGAAATTGTAAATTCAATTTGCTTATATTATCGTCCACCCCCGAGTTAGGGATGTTTTCACCCATTTTGTTTAGTAGGCACAAAAAAAGCCATTCGCAAACATAGCGATATATTAATAGAAATTTTCTGGAACTTATTTGAAACATAAATATCAAAATTACCTAGTTAAAAAATTTATGAACTTTCTTTTTCTTTTGCATATGCTGCCTGCCATTTATTGGAAATTGCCAACTGCATGAGCCCGCTCAAATTTTGTAGGAACGCTAACAACTAGGCTTTTATTAATTGGCATAAACATCGTTATAGATAAGAAAAATATTATGATTCTTTTAATTTTAACAAAAATTATAAAATGAAAAAAAGAAAATTTTAATTGTAGGAATTATCTATCATAGCAGGTTTTATGCAAAGTAGTTATGATGCCAAAAACAGATGTATGCGCTCATTAGTCTAAATTAAAAAATTAAAAAATTTTCAAATTTAATTTTGCAAGAAAAACTAATATGGAGTCTTTAAGCTTTCTCATGAGTGAGTAGTAAAAAGCAAACTGCATTATATTTAAAGATAAAGAAAATCACAAAATCAATACTTAAATTAAATTATTATTTCAATTATTTTTTATTTGGCTTCTTGCTCTTTGCCCACTCAGAAAATTGATTTTTTAGTGACATGATTTGATTGAACATAATTGCTGTTTCTCCATCAGTTCTAACTAAATCAGAATCCTGCACAGCATGCAAAATGGCTTCAATTATTTTCTTTGCTTTTATTGTTAAACATAAAAATCTTGACGACAGGCCACCTAACCTCCTAACCATTTTTCTTTAATACCAGAAGGCAACGGCCCAGTGCGAAGGGAAAGGGTAGAAATCCTTTATGTATATCGGGCTAGGTTTTTCTCGGGCCCTAGGAAGCTAATTCCAGGGACTTGGGGTTTTACTTCTGAGACCATAATCGGAGAAAGTCCCAAGAGGATGATAAGCCCCTTTAGCAGGGCTCTTCGATCCAAACGATGGGCCCAAGGCTCATAGAAATAAAGACGGTGTGCGCTTGAATCCTTTGTTTACGGCAAGGAGGGTGTCTGCCGGGGTTCCGCAGAGGATGAAGAGTATTTAAGGGTGAAAATCCCTCCTAATGAGAATACATATAATTAACTATTGTTAAATCAAATTGCTCTATAGAAATAATCGCAGAAGTAACGGAAGCTGCAATCATCTCCATTAATGATTCTAGCCGCTTTGTATCTTTATCAGTTATAAATCCTCCTTTTTTATTAATAAGCTGTATGACTGCAATAATTTTCCCATTTCAATTTTTAATACAGCCCATTAATATGTTCTTAGCTTCTTGGGCTCCTCCTACATTATCAAGCTCAGGATTATAAGAAAAATTCATTTTTGGGTTTTCTATAACAGAAATATCGCCTCTTTCTATAACCTCTCCTGTAATTCCCATATTATATGGAAATCTCAATACTTGATCTCCATAATATTCATCATTATTTGGATCATGGCACATAGTGAATAATTCTTTTAAATAATTATCCACAAACACAATCCCAGCACACTCAAAATCAAAATAAGACGGAAACACACTTCTAACCCTATTAGCAATATCTTTATGCGTTAATGAGCTCGATATTTTAGCTGCTAGTCCTGCAGTTTGTCTAGCATGTTTCTGCTCTAGATTTTCTTGAGATTTTGCGATTATTCTATCTATTTGTAAGGACACCAAAATTGCAAGCGATTTTACCAAAATTTCGTCTACTGGGGAAAAGATTTTTTTGGTGTTTTTTGTGGTGTGTTTATCTTGGCATTGAATAACAAGAAAAAGATCTTTTCCTACTCGAACTGGAGCTGCAAGAGAATCCTGGTTTCTGATGGAAAATTTTAATTCTTCCAGCTTTTTAAAAATTGGGTCTTCTTGATTGGCGTTTGGATGGGTGTGCACAAGGATCCAGTTATTGCCAACACGGGCTCTGCCTATGAAATCTGAAGACTGTCCAAATGATTTTGTGTACTCATCTTTTGCTTTGGAATTTGCGATAAAAATTGTGGCTTTCTCACATTTTATTAGCGATTTTGTAGAGCGTATAAGACCTTTGCAGATTTGCATTAGGTCTTCACACTTGGAAAGCTGAGCCATTGCATGACTAAGTCTGTCAAGCTTGCCCAGTGAAACTAAGTTGTTTTTAAGCCCATTTAGAGTAACTTTGCTAGCATCTAGGGTTACATTTAAATGCCTTTGATCCAGAATTGACTTATGAGAGCTTTTTTCGGTTGGCATCATGCTCATAACTGACGAACTATCAGGTATTTCTGAATTTTCTGGCTTCTGGATGGCTTCTGATAGCATTCTTCTATATCTCTTCAATGTTGCACAAAGCTGCGAATTCTCTTTCTTTACTATCTCTGCCTCTTTTTTGGCAGCATCAATTTGCTTCTTATAAGTTTCCATTTCTCCATTCATTTCTGTCATTTGCTGCTTTAAATCAGTAATAAAAAGATCATGATAAAGTGCATGGACATCTCCATTTGTGGCGCCTTTTTCTTCCAGAAAATTTTTATTAAGCTTCTTATGATTTTCAATCTGCTGTTCTAGGTCTTTTACCTGCTTTTCTAATAGCTCTATTCTCACTTTATCAGCTCTATGCTGTCTTTCCAGTTGGCTTATTTGTTGAATTAGACTGAATTTGTTCTCTACTTGGTTTCTTGGACTAGTTGCTTCAGTTGTGATCAGCTCGTAATTCTTTATTTTTGGCATAACATAAGCATTCATATCAGATCTGCTTGAAAATGAATATTCATGGCTAGGAGTGATTATTGGGGATAAACTTTTGGGCCTGTATCTGCTTTTTAATGGAGACTTGCCAGTAAGATTTTTGTTCATTCTTTATTTGTTAAAATTCGAATGTAATATGATATTTATACAACAATGACAGCTAATTTTTTTATGAAATTAATTAGAAATATAGAGTTATATATTAGCTACAATACGGAAATGTAAATCCTCCACATGCAAGCAGCACAATAAAGCCTATCACTAACACTATGATCCCAATAATAATCAAAGTGAGCTTAAAATTTTTGCACCACATATGTCTCTTGACCCTTGCAGACGTTTTTCTGAAATCAATAGCTTGGTCACTCATATATGCGGTTTTACTGACAAGCAGCTCAATTTTATCTCCTCTCTGTATGACTTTGTCAATATTCTCTATCATAACGTCTCTTGTCTTATCCAGTGTTTGCTTTACGATTTTTAGTTTGTCTGCGTTTGGGTCTGTATTAAAATACTGCATCCTTTCCTTCATGGTGTCTTCGAACTGTTTATTGGCTGAAAACCCGATGGCTTTTTGGGCTTCTTCGCCGAATTGGGCATGAAACTTTTCTTTGAGATCAAATAAGAAAGTATAGGCTGTACGGTTTGAAAATGATGCATCAGTCATGCAGAGAAAGGTGAAGCCAGAGTCATTGTGGTAGTGGAATATGTACTTGTCTTCGTAGGAATAGGATATTGAGGAGTTTGGTTTGATTTTTTCAAGGATTTTAAGTGCCATCAGCTGAAAATTACCAGTTGCGAGGGAAACTTCGACAAGAGGCGTTGGGTTGTTATCGTTTGCGACAAGAGCGTAGATTATTGATGATGACATTTAATATTATTTCTTACAAGCTCATAAAATAATAAGCAAATTTGTCATAATCAAAATCAAAATTAAAGTTTTTAGCATAACTCCTTATCTAAAAATTAACCCAAAATTGACTCCAATTTTTTTAGCTTAAAACTTAATTAAGATAATAATATTTTCAATTATAATATGGAAAAGGTTGTCTAACAATTATAAATTTTGATCTACCACATATTTCCCAAAATTAGTCTAAAAATAAATATACTCTTTTGGCGTCATTTCTGATGGGCTCCCACGAGCCAAAAATGGGTTTCCACGTGGAATTTCTGGATTTTCAAGCGTGAAATCCATCTTTGGCTTGTGGGAGCTGATCAGAAATTTAAGCAACTGATTATATAGCATCATCTTCTTTTTATGACATTCTCAGCGTATTTTCCATTACTTTGCATTAACAATGGAAATGACTATGCTTAAGGAAAATCTCTATATGTCTTCAGAGGATTCAAGGGACGACACAGTTAAAGTTAGTCTTCTCACGTTTTATTATACACAATTAGTTAGATTTCATGTTGCAAGAAGACCCACTCGATCATTTTTATTTTCAGATATACCAGAATTATATCGTCGCTCCTTCAAAGCTAATAGAGCGAACCGCAAGCACTCAACCCATAACTCAGCCTCCCTAATGCAAGCTCTATCTGATCCATTCAAACGGACAAGCTTGGATGACTTAAAACTTGTTTTAAATAGTCTAGATGATCAAGGATGGAAATTGAAAAACAAATTATGTAAAATCTAATCAGACAGTGATGAAGAATATGAAATTGTTAGAAAAAACTTTTTATATTTATTTGCAATGCACCGACCTCAAGACGGCGCAAGACTACACAATGGAACTCATGAAGTGCATAAACTAAATGTTAAACAATTTTTCCTTGACTGCTCAATTTCTTCATTGCGAATGTTAGATGTAGCTATGTGCAATATACAAAACCTTTCATGAGTAAATCTATATGATTTCACTAAATGTGTTGAAGAATTTCAAAAATTTATATACAGATTTCCTAAAATTTTCTATTAAATTTTCAAGTGTAATTTATTTTGCATTTAATAAAAAACAGATTATTAGAATATTCAACAATTTTAGCTCAAGACCCAGTTTTTAGAGCCAATATTACAATGCAGCTGCTTTTGTGTAATTATAAATTAGTCTTCTTTCGCTTTGTAGATGTACGTAGGAGAAACTTACTAGACAAGTCAGAGCTTGATATAGTACTTAGCATGGCTTCCAAGAAAAAACGTGAAAAACAAAACTTCACTGACCTTGTAAATTTTACCTTCTCAAAAGTAGAAGAATTTACTGGAGAGCCAAAATTCGAAATCTCGTTTGAAGAATTCGAACAAGCCTTACATAGCTCCGAATAAGAATTGTATGCTATAATTCTATAAATTAATCTTAAATGCTCTGCCTTATAAGAGCACACAGCACGAATGTTGGTAAGCACCCACTTTTTTGTAGCTGTTGAGAAATTTCACTTGGTAATAATTTAGCGCCCCATGCCGATGCTTCCTGATGAGACCCACAGCGCCATTTGGGTTCATGCCTGCTTCAATTAGGGCAATTGCTACTAATACAGGGGCTCTTCCAAGGCCAGCAAGGCAATGTATAGCAATGCATGGAGGCTTTTCTTGTAAAGGTTTTAGCTTTCTTTTTTCAAAAAAAGTATTCTTGACTAAGCTGAGCCATCTGAGAACGACTGCTTTAGGAGGGCTTGATCCATCAGTGAACTTGAATTCCTGTCTATGAGATACATGAATTTTGATTCCTTTTGACTCGAATATTCGGTCATCATACATGCCCTCACATGTCCTGACCAAATGAGCCACTCCTAGTCGTTCAAGATTATCTGCATAAGTTGCTGCATTTTCGTCGGAAGGCGCATCCATCACAACAAATTTTAGGTTTCCGCTCGAAATCAATGAAGGTCTGTTGCTGATCATTTTGTCATTTATTTATATTTGAAGTGAAATTTCAGTAAAAATTTGAATAATTTAAAAATTCAATATGGATTAAATTAATTATACTTCTTTAACCGGTTTTGTATTAGATGGAGGATTTGTAAGAATCCCTATAACTATAAGTGTCTCTGCCAATAGACATACATAAAGAACACACATCAGCCCATAAGGCGATTTATCTCCTCCAGTTAATTGGCAAACCAATCCATATAAGAAAGGGGCTGGTAAGTATCCAAACGTATTTGTTACCATCGACGCTATAGAATTTGCCAGTGCTTTCTTTTTCGATGGAACTGAACTTATCATGATGCCAGTTACTGCTGGCATCACCGCAGCCCCAAAAAATAATACAAGTCATAGCATAGCTATAAACCCTGGGAAACTCGAAATAAAAGGCACAGGAATCGCACACAGGCACCCCATGAATCCAAAAGATGCGCATACGTAAATTGCATTTTTGCCACGATATCCTCCAGTTTTATGACAAACAGCTCCTCCAGTAACCACTCCCAGGGTAGGTCCTGTAATTGTAGTTATAGCATAAGTTGGGAAAACAAGACTTGGCTGCATTTCCATCACATTCAATAAATAATCGCTAGCCCAGAATTGGATTCCTGTGACGACGAAATACAGACAGGACACACACATCATTGATATCAAATAAATTCTATTATTGACTAGTGAAAATACTTTTAGAAGCCACCTGTGTCCTTTCTGATTGAAACTTGCATTTGCGTCAAAACTAGGCTCTCCTGTTAAATGATATTTGTCATAATTAATAAATCGGGAAGGTATAAATTGGATAAGAATAGCAAATGGTATAAATGCAGCTCCTTGGATATAAAAACTTCATTTTCACTATCTATAAATTTACACACTTCAAAAGGTTTGGAAAACAGCCGTAATTGCATAGCCAAGTATTACTCCTAAAGCAACAGATAATTGAAGAAAAGTCAGCCAAAGAGTTTTCCATTGATCTGGGCCTAAAACATCAATCCATACAGGGAAGTATATGACAGGAAACACCTATTTAGAGATTACTTGGCCAAATCCTGATAAAAGCCTCATGGTATACAGCAGAAAATTATTTTGGGCCATAAGAGGAAATAATCCAACTGAGATTCCAGTCAATGCAATGGTAACTGATAATATTTTTTTTGCTTTGAATCGGTGAAAAAAGAACCCAGCTATAAAACTACCAAGTGTAAGCCCTACATATACAAGTGATCCAATCGCGCCTAATTCGACTTTTTGGAGATCAAAATCTGCTTGAATAGCTGTAGTTGCTGCAGGAATTGAGCCATGGTCCATGTTGATAAGGATATTCACAGCAAAGAATAGCATAAAGACAATAAATTCCATATTTTATATATTTTATAATTTAAAATTTTTGATTGAATTCTGACTGCTTGGAATTTGTATAAGTATAAGCAAAGCTTTTATAAGATTTAATGAAAATATAATTATGATATGCAAATAAATAGTCCTAATTTTCATTATGAAATAAGAAAAAAGCCTTTACTTATTTTTAGGTTCTTTATAAGTAAGATTACTTAGACATATCTATAAATATATTGCATAGCAGTTTTAAGCTTAAAACATAATAAAAATGGGAAACACTCTAGGAGATATGGTTAAACAAGAGTCCAAAGAGCTTCAATGAAATCTCTTGCAGTCTGACGCATTTTATTTAGAATTAACCAGCAATACTTTTCAAGACAGAACTCCCCAAGACATCTGCAAATCAGTCATAAAAAACAGCCAAAAAATAGAATGGATATGACAGATAATGCAAAAAATTACACAATCTTGAAATACACCAAACCTCGTCATAAACCTAATGTTGATGCTAAAGCATTTCTTTTTGTTTGTATTTTCTGAAGGAATTCCTTATCAATTCCTATTTCATCACAGAGCTGAAAACCACGTGGAAAACCATGATTCATCATTCCATAGACTAGTTCCTTGCCATCTTACCTATAAAGGAGAAGGTAGGACTATCTATATTAGTGTCCCTCAGTCCTTAACATATGAAAAGCAAAAAGAGCAAGCCTACTTAATCGAAACAATTAAATCGAACTTTCCACAAGTAAATGACCATATAACGAGAACAAATGAGAGGATTTATATGGTGGATGATGATGGGAGGAATGCGGACATTGATGACATCTATAGGCATTATAACGCAGAGTCAGCTGAAGATGTACTGAGTGACCCATTTAAAAGAAGCACAAAAATTTACTCAATTTTTAAAGCCAATATAAATACAACTGAATGTGACATGGATTCCCCTATGAGCATTTTCTTAAAAGAACTTATAGAAAACTTAGCAAATTCAGACACAGATAAAGAAATTCATAAAATGCAAACTGGGATAAATTTGCTTTTAATCCTTTTGTCAAGCCAGCTTTATTATGTTGAGAAACCAATCAGCAAATTAAGGTATTCTTCATTTAAACCTTCTCCTGTGATTGATATTCTTATGAATCTTATCTTATCTTATAGAACGTCCACTACAGGGTGACAACCCCAGGTACTATCACTCGCCTTGCGTCGCATCGGGCCCACATGTCGCTGGGGATGGCCTGCTTCGATCTCCAGGGTGCTTCTCGGGAGAGTGTTCCGGCTTCGAAGGCTCATGAATGAGCTACTTGCTTGGGTTGCTTTTCCGAAAAACCCAAAAAATGGATTTTTCTGGTCGGCTATCGGCAAAAAGGAAAAACACGTAGCCTGGGACGTAACGCCCAGTTTCACGCTAGGAAGTTGCCCGATTGGTCCTAACGGACTCTGCTGAGCTTCCCCTTTCCAACTCCGTGCCCTCCTTCCCCACGAGGAAAAATCCACCCCTGAGAATAGACTAAGACTAGGCTCTGAAACACACCAGAATTGCTTACCTAGTATTGCCGTCCATCTCTAGAATGGTAAAACCTTGCCGGATATAATTAAATATGAGTCGAGGCTGCATGGCCGGGAGGCCATGCCCAGACAAGACGCCATATTTAATTATGATATTCTTATGAATCAACCTATTGAAATCGGTCAGCAATTTATATGGAAACTGTTAGAAGTTACAATAAAATACTGAAAAATTGAGATGCCTAAGTTAGGGTACCTTTCAGTATTATGAAATAACAACCTTAAGAAGCTGAGAATGGATGAAAGCGTATATGTAGCACCGAGGCAAGCTTTATCTTTGTTTTTGTTTCTCCAAGGTTATTATCGTGCCAAAAATCCTTTCTCAATGAGAAATTGGGAAATTTCGTGAAACGAGATAGGCAGGCTGGTTTCTGAGTAAGGAATATTTAGACAAATAGAAAACTCAATGATTCTTTTATTGTTTTACAATTTATCGGCACACAATCCCAGCTTTCAAACCTATTTGCTTTCTCTTACAGAGCCTGAAAGATTTTTAGAGCCTATGGCATGCTATTTGTACTCAGCTCCTAAAGATTGTTTTCGACTTTATTTAACTTTAATTACAATACACAGACTTGCAAATGACAGAAACTTCATCAAATTTATCAATAATGATGTGATTCTTCAGCAAATTCCTTGGCTTCAAGATTTTCATATAGACTCAATCAGCTTACTCCCCCCCCCTCTGTGAGTGAACAAAAAAATTTTGTTCACTCATGGAGGGGTTATTTTTTTTTTTTAAAAAAATTTATATATAAATTTTTTATATAGAAAATTTTTTTTCGAAATTTAAAAAAATCCTAATTCGCAAAAATTGGAAAGCAAATAATAATTTAATTTATAAAATTTATGTTTTAAAAAGCAATTTGTTTAAAAATTAAATAGAATTAGCTCTATTTTATTATACTAATTATCACTTATATATCAAAATTTTTTTCCATAAAAAAATTTTTCTATTAAAAAAAATTTTGTTCACTCACGGAGGGGAGTTAGGATCATTGCTTTATCTAGGATTAATAAAAATTTATAGGGAAAATATCCGTGGCACAAAAGATGAATATTTGCATGTCATTTCCTCCTCATGCTTATTTTTTCTTGCTGAGTTTTCAGTGAATCTCCATGAAATTCCAAGCATGGAGCTGCTAAACATCATAAAAGCTCTGGTAGTAAAGCATAATAAACTAATTGCTGCTGAAACGCCAGCTTCTGAAATAGATGCAAACAAGGACCTTATATATCTCTCAATTGATATTTTGACCAAAATTTTGTTTTCGACTTATACAACAAATTCTTATTTATTATACGCAATTCTCCACCATTCAGAGTTATTTACTAAGCTTAAAGAGTCAGATTTATTATCAACAAATATTGAAATTATCAATGAAATAATCAGCTACTTGTTGGCGCATATAGAAACCGAAAATATTATGGAAGGAATTAATACTTTTTGTAAGACCTTTAAATTTAGTAGGGCTCCTGAATATTTGATTTTCAAGGATATTACAAGCATTCAGTTCTTTGAAGAAGGGAGAAGATGGGAAGAATGCATAATCCCGTATCTTTGGGCTGAAACTGTGAATGGGCTAATTACTTTGCCAAATATGGAAAAGATATTGCTTTTTAAAGTATAAGTTAGTTTTAAATAAAAAGGACGAATTGGAAAATAGATTAAATTTCAGCTTCTTAGCAGTGATTTTTTTATTAATTAAATAGCTGGATAAGAAAATTGTCAGTAAGAATTTTTATATTAGCCTATAACTTAGCCTACGAGTTCCAACATATTTTTTCGAGGGAGCAAGAAAGCCAATGTTCTCCTCTTGAAATAGTATAAAATCATGAGATTGCTACTTATCTTAACAATTTAAATAGTAGGCTGCCAATGAAAAGTGGACATTTGTTTTGGGGAATGCTATATAGCAAAGAGATGATATCTCAGCTGATATTGAAAATGCTGACCAAATTGATTTTTGAAACTCTCTTAGTAGTGAACTTCCAATTTTTCCATTAGAGACCTGAGCGATCTTGAAGAAATCAATTTGCATTCATTCATACCATATAGTTTATATCAATTGAATGACTTGAGCCCTCTAAAGAAGTTTTTGCCCCGCATAACGCAAATGCGAAAAATTAATTAATTTGAGTTTGAATTAAAAAATATATTATGAAAATAAAACTTTTTTCAAGATTCTATTAATAATTATAAATGCTTATGCTAATTAATAAATAGTGTTTTGATAATAAAATTGATATATGTAGATAGATCTATAAGTTTGCTGGCTCTTTTTATTGTAATTCTTTCTAGGGAGTGAGGCGGCAAAAATTTCACAGTCCAATTTTTGCAACTCTCTTTATTGACATAAAATGATGGTAAAAATCATTTGATGAAAAAATATACCTTTTGAAAAAAAAGAGTCATTTTATGTCAAACAAAAGAGGTGGAAAAAATGATGATGAATTTTTTTCAACCTCACCCTTTTTAGGCCCATTTTTTAAGAAAATATCATAAGGAGATCTAAGAGCTTACTCAATAAAAATCTGATTGAATCTTAGAAGTCTTGCATGCATACTTCTAATTGTTTGAAATCTAAGGAACAAGTAAATTTCATACCTATATCACTCCAATACTTTAAAACCTCCTTATCATATAAATTAAAATTAAATTTCCTAATTATCTAAATAATCCTAATATAAAAAGCGACCTCGAAAATGCGATTTATTCACCAGGCCATAAATTCATCCAGCTTTATACAAATAATTAATGGAAATCAGTATTCCAAACTTTAGAGAAGTGAAAGAAGGACCGAAAACTTATATTATCTACACGATTGAAGTGGCATTTGGAGGTTGGCAGAACACTTTAGAGAAAAGATATTCAGAACTTTTAGAACTTCATCAGGTCATGAAGCTTATGAGAAGGGTTTTAAGCGCTCCGCTTCCTCATTTTCCCGGACAGCTGATATGGAAGCAAGTTTTCAAAAAATTAAAACCTGAAGAGGTCACCAAAAGAAAGGAAGACTTAGAACGATACTTGCAGGAACTCTCCAGAACTGACTGTGCGACAAATAGCCAGTATTTTATGGAATTCATAGGTATGCCTCAACGAGTCAGAAGTGAATGGATAATTGGAACACACTAAGGTGAGTTGGGAATTATTTGTTCAGAACTCAAGGTATAAAAGAATAACCATAACTATTTTTAGTAAGTGGGGCGTTTAGAGATAACTATTAAAATTAGTTAAATTCGGATATTGATAGAATGGAGAGCAGTCTATACTTTGAAAATAGGATGGGAAGTATTTGGAGTGAATTAGGGGCCATTGCTTGTGAATGAAATATTGGGAAAGATTTTAATCAGGATTTATGAGTGCGTTTCGTATACATAAAAATGGTGATGACATATCACCCGATCTCTAGACCCTATTTCTTAACACCAGCATGCAAAGGTCAAATGATGGAGATTTAGGCGGAAAGGGGTCGGTAATCCTTTATGTGTGTCGGACTGGGTTTTCCTCGAGCCTCAGGGAGCTAATCCTTGGGACTTAAAGCAGCAAGAAACTGGAGTTTCGACCCAGATAGTTGGCCTTAGACTCCAGGAGCCATGGAAGTCAAGACTGATGTGCGGATGCCCTGTTTGTGGCAAAAGAGAGGTTGTCCCTCGAGCCTCCTTGGAAGGATGAACGTGTGTGGGGTGGAAATCCCCGGCCCTGCAAGGCGAACGGCGAATCTTAATATTAATCTTAAAATGAGTGCGTTTCAGAATGCCATTTTATTGAGTTAATAAATTATATGAGATTATAAAGATGATTCATATTTGAAGAAAATTTTTGATATTTTGCAATTTTTATATGATTTTTAAAAAATATATATATTTTCTGAAATCTTAATAATCAACGTGCCAAAACTTCGTTGTCGATTTAGAATTGTCTATTATAAATATTAGTAATTTTTTAATAGAAAAAGAGAAATGAATATGAGATAAATATTTGATAAAAAAAGGAAAAAAGAGAAATTTATAGTCACACAAAGGGCCTTAATAGAAACGCTTTCTAAAATATAATTGCAATATAAATTAGTTAACCTATGAAATTTTTCTTTATTTGAACAACATTTCAAAACTCTTATCCTTTGTGCGGATATAAGAAGAATATAATTTTTATAAATCATATTATTTTTTAATAAAAATGATTAAATTTCTTTAATTATCAAAAATGCATCAAAGTAGATACAAATATCTAATTGGAAAAAATGAATGGGTAAGCATATAATAATTAAAATGTAAATAGAAAGAATAATTAATAGTTTATGCACCGATTTTTTTATCCAAAAAGAAAGAAATTGTATCAGAAACTACTCCATTTTTGGTTTCAAGTGCATGCAGTACATCGTCTTCTGTAATAATTCTTTTGCTAACCTTTTTGCATAAGCTGAATAATTTACTCCCCAATTCAAGAGAGAACAAAGCCATAGAAAAATGGCGATTTTTGAAATATTAGCCCCTTCAAGAGCAAAAGTTTTAATATAAATTTTTAGGTATCAAATATTTTAATTTACCACTATAATTATTATATTAAGATCTTTAGCTAATTTTATTAAATATACATAGTTTTGATTCTTAAACATAAATTAAATCAGAGTTTCTTTTCAAATTTTAGTATAAAATTAACCCCCTTGAGTAAAGAATGATTGTTGGATTTTGAAGAGGGAGTTATTAAAATGTTCTTCTATATTGACATCAATGCATATACCAATTTAAGGTGTATGCAAAGATCTCTATAGTTATCAAACTTAAATCAATTAGAAATTAGATCAAGGACTTTATTTGGGTAATTTTTAATGAATATAAATTATCATAAATGCTTTAATGACTTTAAACGATGGACACTTCTTATTTGACTATCACAAACAATAAACAGGTCTTCTGGATCATCAACAAAATCTTTAAGCTTATGCTGATTATTTTGCATATAAATTTCAGTTTTGATACACTCTTGTGTAGTAGCTCTTTGTTCTGAACCTATATTAAAGCTATTTTGTGTTTCATTATTATAGTATCGCTCTGAGTCACAGCTTGGCTCTTCTTTTTCTTTTTTTATTGCCACTTGTGCATTTTCACTATCTTGATTTATGTTACTCCACGTGAGCGAACAAAAAAATATTGTTCTTTCAAGGAGGGGTTTATAAACCAAATTTGCTGTAAATACCATTTTTGATTCCCGAAGTTTCTATTGTTTGGCCTTTTCTAGCAGAATTCTCAAGCATTTGATTAGTTTTTTTATTTGAAAAATCAATTTCATTTTCTTCTTTAGAATTTCCTACATCAAATAATATTTCAGGATTCACGCAGTGCTTTTTATATAATCTTAGATTGTTTTGGTGATATATTTTATCTAGAGGCTTACTAATTAAATTTCTTTGGCATTGGCTCAATAATTTCAGCGCCTTTTGGCCTTTTATTTGCCCTTCATTTTTTCTTTTTAATTGATTTTCTAGGAATATTGGTTTATTTGGTGTTTTTTCATTCTCACGTAAACAAGTTTTTTTCTTTGCTTCCAAGCCATCTAATGTATCTTCTCCTTCTGAGCTATCTGTTTCAAGAGGACTTTTGGATTGAATAGGAATTTTCGATGCATTTTGTGCAATCATAAACTCAGCTTTGATATTTTCATTCATAATTAGTTCTGCAGCGACTTTTTCTTTTGCATTCATCACATATTTTCAATGGTATCTCAAGCTTTCACTGCTGTGTTTTACTCCTTCTTTCACAATTCCATCCCAAAATGATATAACCCCTGTGTTTCCAAACGTCCTCTTTACATAGTCAAGCATTTTTTCTTCATCCTCTATAGTGTATCTAGAGCGCTTAGCAGCTTTGGGTTCTTCTCTTTTTAGCTCGTATTTACTTAAATCCAATAGTCTTTTAGCTTTAATTGAATCATAGATGAACTTATAAGAATATACTTTGTATTTTTGGGTACACACAGAAGTGTGCCCAGGCTCATAGGGTAAAAGACATATAGAATATTCCTTGCGTTTTGTAAATAGAACTCCTCCGTATTTGAAGATAATTTTTTTAAGAGCATTTCTTTCTGGGCATGGAATCATAGAAAATACAAGTTTCTGATTCCCCTTACCTTTGAAGATTTTATAAGTCATTTTCAAATTTATAATTATGTAGGCAATAGAGAAAAATGGGCTTATTTTTATATTAGAATAAATGCAATTTTCATATAGATGGATTCATTAAAAATAAGTAAAATAATTGCCTCAATGATGATATTTTTGTTTTTTGAGATTGAAAGCACAGCTAACAATGAAATTAAGCTTATTTATTCAAAATGAAATTTAATAGAAATTAGGATAATATTTTTTGCAATTTTTGAGGAGTTCAGTCTTCAAATTTATTTATCTGCAAAACTATGGCAATTTTTGAAGAGTTCATCTTCGATTTTATTTATCTGCAATACTATGAGAAATATGGACAAATCAAATTTTCCCTCCATTCTAATATATAAATGATAGGATGCTTATTTTTATTTTTGACTATTGTCACAAGTCAAACTTTAGTCGAAAACTTATATAAAAAAATTGAAAGAACTAAAGGACAAATTACGATTGAGGCGGGCGCAGCTGTAGTCCACTTAAGTGATGATGAACTTGAATTTTTGCTTTATAACTCAGACTCAGATTGGTTTATCATGTTTTATGACTCACTAGAGACCGATTCGTTTACAGTGAATAATACATGGAATATGGCAGCAAGGTACATAAAGCATGAAGGCTATAATGTGACATTAGGAAAAATTGATATCCGCGATCAAAGAAAAAATTTTATACGTTTAAGGCTTTCTAAATATCCTTGCGCAATCTATCTTGCTGAAGAGCATTACTATCAATTAGAACTTGAGTTTCAGATGGATGAAATTTTATCTGTAATCAGAAATAAAACATATTTAGCATATCCTAAAAAAGAATTGCCACTGTCTACTCGTGGCATTTTTGGATTGTTGTCTTATTTTCGTGTTGGATACTTTATCGCTGGATTTATTTTTATAGTGGCTTTGACATTAGGAATTTCAAAGCTTATTAGGATGAAAAAGAAATATAAGGCAACGATTATCAAGAAAAATAATTAAATCATTATTTAAAAAAATACTGAAATTTTAATGGGATTGTGTAATGAGATATAGATAAATAGTAAATGGGAATTAAACTATCTCCCACCTTTATGAGCGAACAAAAAAGTTTTGATCGCTCAAGGAGGGTTTAATTTATTTTAAAAAATTATATATAAATTTTATAGTAATTTTTTTTTTCGAAATTTAAAAAAATTCCATTTTGCAAACTTTATGCTATAAAATGCAGGCTGTTTAAAATCCAACCAATATGGCTAAAAATTTCATTATATTAATTATCAATTATAATTTAAAATATTTTTCATAAAAAAATTTTGCTCGCTGAAGGAAGGGTGTTTTTTTTTACCCAAAAAATAGGTATTTTCCTATGTTTTTGTTTTCGCTTGTGGAGGATTAAGGCATATTTGAGAAATGCATCTAATATTTATCTAAGCTCAATCGCTCTTCATATTCTCACTTTTTTGATAAAAATTAGCTCATATTTTAATATCCAAGCAGCGAATAAAACTAATAATATTTGCCCAAACATTTTTATTGGGTAGCTCCAATTTTCCAATAAAAGAGCTTTCCATGAAATCCCAGTCATAATTTTAATATCAACACAAATTATTCCATTAATTAATTTTATTTGATCATCTATTTATATGTCGAGATTTAATGCAAAATAGGTGTTAATAAAAATGTTTGACAAAAAGAAAGACGACCTGCTGGAAGATATTGAATCTTCCAATGCAATAGCGCAAGAAATTTCGTCAGATGGGCTTAAACTATCAATTTTAAAATTTCTCGAGAAAGTTTTCAAAGTAAAATATCACAACAAAATGAACTACAGAAACCAATTAATTTTCGAGATAACTACAAATATTGTTATAGCTCTTCAAATGCTCTCTCTTATTTGATATCCTGATATGAATATCAAGCAATGAAATAAATACAATAGTTTATGAAATTTTGTCAGGTATTTTAACTTAATTTCTATATGCAGCGAAATTGATGCAATAGTTTTGGGCTTTTATGGGATAATTTCTCTGATATTGTTTTGCATTGCTAGTTGGTTAAGCATGAAACGTCCACCGCTGCCAATACCAAGCTACCTAGCCTTGATAATAAGAAATATAAGAATATTCAGTGTGTTTGCGTCTAAATTATTAAAATGCGATTTATAGCATATTTACAAATATATTTAATACTTTATTTTATATCCCTGCTATTAAAAAATTTTTATATGGCTAGCAAATTTAGCTCATATTTTTGAATTAAATTTAAATGAGATATATCATGCTTTATATGTAAAATAAGTTATTGAAACAAACTTAATCTATTAAAATGCATTTAATTTAGTGCAATCAATGCTAAATATTGTATGCGTCTATGATGCATAATTATGTTGAAATTGATTTATTTTGTGTTTATCCATTTTAGAGCAGAATCGGTTGAATCCGTTTTTAAAATGTGATAATTAAGAGAAATCCAGTGCATTTCTCTATTAACTATCTTATTTATTAGTCTAAAACTTTTTACAATATAAAAATGTTGTATATTCCCAGAGATATGAAATAAAGTATTAAACATATGTGTAAGAATTCTACAAATCTCGTTATAATAGCATAGGCACGAAAATACCACAATAGCCCTTATATTTCTTATTATCAGGACTAGGTGATAAACATAAAATGGCCGGTGACGAGCAATATTTTCTATCTGGGCAGGTGCTCTTATATATATCCAGACTACTTTTGGTGCAGAGATCTGCCCATTGTTGGGTTAGCCTCGAAGCGAGAGGTTCAGCAAATTTTTTAGCAAACAGCGCCAAAACGCCCGATAGACGCAGGGCTTACCTACCCAAGCTGCTTTTAGCCTCTCCTAAAAATCTGCTCAAGCACATTAAGTTTTTCTCTCGGAGATGATCTGGAGAAAAAGAGAAGATAGACGAAGATCTCAGGGCTAATCTCTCCAATCTAAAAGAGTCCATCAATGAATGATTAAGTTACACAGGGTTGGGCAATCTGGCACTTGGGCTGGAAATGGAGGTTTATGCCAAATCTGCTTTGGCCTGATCAGTAGGGAGAATGCCTCTATTGAGAAGCTGGGGTTTCGGCCCAGGCTTAGGATGCCTTGAGGGGCCAGCAGGCATTCGCCTGCAGAATGCAAAGCACTTCAGGAAGCTGGGACTGTAAATACTGATTGTAATCTAATTTAATCTAATCAAGACTAGATAGTTTGACATTGAAGGGGGGGTGTTTTATGCTTGAATAGCTATTTTCATATTTGTAGCTGTTCTTGGCTATTTTAAAAAAGAAGCTCCAAGCATAATTACTGCATTAACTCAACAAATTATAAGTTTTATTAGCACCATTGCATATATTCCTGGGCTTTTGTTCTTTTCAATGATTTTTAAGTATTCTTCTTTTGGCTATGCAGAAATATATTAACTAATATGATGGAGATGACCACCCATCCTTTTGACTCAATTTTCTCAACACTCTATGGAATGCCTAGCTGGGAAGCAAGCTGAGAAGCAGGTGGCATCCTTAGTGCATATTGGGCCTGTGGTTTTCTCTGCCGTATAAATTTTAAATTCTAAGGTATGGGTTTTTACCTCCCTGTAACTCTTGGAAAGGAAACGGTCAGCGAAAGATATAAAAAACCAGAGCAATAAGACTCCTCTCTGGCCTGCAAGACAGCATGCACCTAGCAAAATACAGGGAGCTATCTCCCGCGGAATCAGCCATAACTTCCGCCCTCCGTAAGCGAGCACAGCCATCGGAAAATCTCTATGTTTTTGGTAGCACACACTCTCCGTGAGCGAACAAAAAATTTTTTATGAAAAAAGATTTGATATATAAAGTGATATTTACTATCATGAAATTCCTATCTAATTTTGTTTTATTTAAAGCAAATTTTACAAATTGAATTAGTTTTGGCGTCCCAATTTTGTGAATTGGATTTTTTACTATAAATTTCTTTCTTAAAATATGATCCCCTCCATAAGTGAACAAAAATTTTTAATTTACACACGGGGAGCCAGACAGTCCAATCCGGTTGTGCAAAACTCTACTGTAGTATAAGGAAGGCGCCTGTCGGGATACCTCTGTGATGATGAGCATAAATGGCGAACAACGAATACTAATCTAATCTATCTATACAGAGATAAAAGAATTTCATGGGAATAAGTCAGTGAGCCAGCTGGACTATGGTTTTATCGGCGCTGCCTTAGGCATAATATTCGATTTTTTATTAATTTTGCTCGCTATTTCACATGAATTACTTACAGCAGACTTAAGGCATACTTTTGCCAGCAAAAACATTCGTGCTAGGTCTCATTCTACTATAGATGTAGAAACTCTCCTCTTTTATCCAATTCAAGTATTTTTGTATCTTTTCGTAGGAAATTCTTCTACAGTATATTATCAATTATCTTTGTTCATTATTGGTGGGCTGTTCACAATACATATATTATATTATCTTCCTTATTACACTCCTGTAGGAAACTCAATTGAGTCGAGTAGAATGAGTATGTTTACAATAACAATAATCTTTTTTTTTATTGGTTATGCCTTAGATGATGCAGGGGTCTTTGCTTTACTAGGAGTATGCTTGCAGATTTTTATCGCTGGAGGCACCACAATTATAGCGTACTCTAGCTACAATAAAGCTCACAAAAGAAAAAACGAAATAGCCACACAATATGATTTCGAGTTAAAAATTAGGCATCTATTAATGAACAAATCAACAGATAATCGCAAAAAAGTTATTGACAGCTTTACTTATTTCAGCAAACAAAAAAAATTTATTAGAAGCAAGCTTTTTGTTATATGAGAAACTTATTACTGCATATTTATCCTAAAAGACGAAAGATTAGCTAGAATAAAATTTTCAAAAATTATCAACTATAAGTCAAGCCCAGAAGCATGAATTCAAGAATTAAAAATCATCAAATGGTTTGAAGATAATAAATCCAATGTCTTTGCAGAAACAAATTTTTTAGAGTATTTAATTGAGCTTGATAAGGTAAAAACTCAAGATAAAAGCATGTGCTTCATGCTTTTGAAGCTGTGGAATGAAATTACAGCTCATAAACCTAGGATAAACTCTCTTAGAAAATATGTAGCCAAGGTCGCAGAGAATATTTCATATGCGAAAACTTCTTATAAAAATCTTATAGGAATTCATAAGCATGCTTATGCTTTCGAAATATATGGAACTTTTCTGCAAGATATTGCTGGTGACTATGAAGAAGGAGGGATTATTTTGAGAAGAATGGATGGACATAAGGACCATGATTTAATGATTGGGGATGAAAAAAGATTATCAACCTTTAGAGATCGATATGGAATCATGCTAATTTCAGCTAATGAAGGGACGTTTGGAGAAATTACATATTTAAACGAAAAAGCTGCCCAGCTATTGAGCGCCCCTTCAATAGAAGCACTTGGTACTCCTTTTTCTAATTATATACCTGAAAACTACAGTGGAGTCCATGATAGTTATATGAAGCAGTTTGCGGAATCCTGCATACACCCTGAAGTTGGCAAGCCAAATGATTTTTTTCTGCAAAACGAGAGGGGGTATTTAGTAGAATGCCAAATGATTATCAGATATACAGCTTTTAGTAGCTCTTCTTTTTTCTTGGTATCTATGAGACCTAACTCCCCCCTCCGTGAGTGAACGAAACTATTAGAAAAATCCCTATTTTTTTGCCTAAAAACCCACCTCCGTGAGTGAAACAAAATTTTTTAATAGAAAAAGTTTTATGGAAAAAAAATTTTGATATATAAGTGATAATTATCATGATAATCTAGAGCTAATTCTGTTTAATTTTAAACTAATTGCTTTTTAAAACATAAATTTTATAAATTAAATTAATATTTGCTTTTCAATTTTTGCTAATTAGGATTTTTTTTAAATTTCGAAAAAAAATATTTTCTATAAAATTTATATATAAATTTTTTAAAAAATAGAACAAAATTTTTTTGTTCACTCACGGAGGGGAGTAAGAATACCACAAGGCAGATGGCATATTTGACTGAAACCGGAATGATAATAAACTACACTCATTCTTTTCCAAGCCATCTTAATTATGAAAATCGATCTTTAAGGAGCCAATCCATTACACAGCTAATCCCAAGCATAAAGATGACTGAAATGAAGCCTTATGAGCCATATCTCACTCACATACGTACAAAAGAAGTCGGCTTTGTCCACGTAATCAAGCAGCTCAAGCGTTCTCTGATCCATTTACTATTGCTAATTCACGATGAAAAAGAAATCAAAATTTGGAAAGAAGGGCTTGACCAAGAACAATTAGACTATTTCAATAAAGATATAGACAATAGTGATATAATAAATCCAGCTTATACAGTGCTAAATGCAACAGAAACAGTTTTTTATTATGGGTCTCATTATAGCGAAAAGAGATTATCATATATCAGAAAATCATTTGATGAAAATGAAAAAGATGAAGAAGAAACAGATGGGAAAAACCAAACTCTTGAAGTCACAACTATTGAAGAAAAAATGGGCAAAGATTTAGATGACGATGAAAAGGTGAATACAGATGGATATCAACCTAATAGTCCAACTATTAATATGCATCGTAATTGAAATTCAGATCATATTAAAAAGGTTATAGAGGATGCATCAAGAAAAATTAAGATTTTTCAGTGAGTTTTGTTTGCTACGGTAAATTTAAAGTAGGTAATTGCTGTGATTTGCACTAATGTTGGGATTGTAGCTTATATGTATGAGGAAATAAACCATACTGGATCACTTAAAACTTTTGAAAACCTTGGAGAAATCGCTTATAATTTAGGAGTTACGGCAAATTTTGCAAGTCTGTTAGAATTCGGCATGGTAACAGGCCAATCCAATGTTGCAGAAAATAAAGAGAGGCTAACGAACTCTATTGAAGAGCTAAGATCTTTAGAAAATACAATACTTGATGATTATTCCAGCTGAAAATATTGCTCTTATTCTGAAATTGTTAAGGATCCTATAATCCCCACTTGATCTTTTGAATTTGGACCACAAATTTCGCATCTGAATTTATATGACCAAGTGGAAAAATTCATTTATCATGTAAATTATATATAGGGACAAAACATGCTCTCTAATATTAACCAAAATATAAGCTATATGGATGATTTCAAATTTCTATTTATTAATAGCTTAGGCTTTACCTATCATTATACATATTATTCACTGGATGGGCTGATTAGCTGTGAGCATGATAGAATAACTAATGAAGGAGTAATTGTGACAGGACTGATATTTTTTGGGCTGGGATTTCTTACCTTATGCATTTTGATATTGTCTTATTTTGCCTTTGCAACCAGTAAGAAAAGCGATATCTTTTGAAATGCTATTAAAAAAAGCTCTCATTTAGCTTATCATGCACTTATGGGGGCATGTATTGATAGGTTAACAACTGTGCATGGGATCACTTATAGAGGCTGCCTTTGAGTAGCGCTCTAAGCGCCCGAGACTTCCCGACGAAGTCTGGGCGGTGGTTTGACCAGCTGATGTTGGTCAAACCAACATCCAAAATGACAAATTCTTCTTATACAGAAGGTTTGTCAAATTGGATGCTGGTTCGACCAACATCAGCTGGTCAAACCACCGCCCAGACTTCGTCGGGAAGTCTCGGGCGCTTAGAGCGCTACTTAAAGGCAGCCTCTATATCTGTCAGAAGAAAACAATGTAAATAATTTTAAAAAGAATGACAGCGGTGAAGTAATATCAAGGACTTATTGGAGATATATTTGACGACTTATTATTCTGCTCATATTTTCTTCTATATTTTATTTAATTACAGGATTCTGGCTTTATGGAGACTGCCAAACTTATATGCTTCATCGGTCTGAGTTGCTAGTGAATTTTATAAAAAGAAGAGTCGAGCTATCAAGGATGAGTTTGTTTGGTAGAGAATTGTCAGATCCACTGATGAGCCATCGATTTCCGGAATCTTATAGTTTCGATGACTCTAATGAAGAATTTAGCAGAGCAAATAAAACCTTCTGAGATGGATTAGAGCAATTAAAGGAGTATTCCTTAAAAGAACTCATGTCGAATGAACTCAAAGTAAGGATTTTTGAAAATATTGATACTGATAATGAACTACTTCAGTATGGAACATATTTAGCATCACAAATTGTTGCATGTGACGTTAATTCCATAACTCAGAGTTATCGATTTGGGTCTTTTGATGTAAAAAACGAAATTAATCAGAATGTGCTAGATGTAAACGATGAAGTAGGAACAGACTGACAAATGGCAAATAATGATTCAAAAGACAAAATATACAACCAACTATACATTATTATTTATTTTACTCTTTCGTACTCTATAGCAAGTTTCTTTCTATTCATAGCATTTTATATGCCATTTCTTTCAGAGGAAAAGAAATTCCTTTTAAAAGTGCAAATAATATCATCAATTATTCCAAATAACATCAAAAATCCAAAACAAAGCATTTAACAAAGTTGAGCTATCTATATAGAATAATAAATGTTAATGGTTTAGTTTAATAATTTATAATATTCTCTTATAATAAAGATTTACTTTACTTTATATAAGAAAGAAGCAAATATTCCTTCTTCTAAATGATTAGATTGAAGGGAAATCTTCGCCATTAAAATATTCAAAAATTCTAACTCTTGTTTAAGAATTATTTCAGAAACTAGCAAAGAAGATGAATTACCATTAGGTAAAGCTCTTTCTTTTCTTTTCTTTTTAAGCACTATGCCATCAACTAATTTTTTATAATTTTTCTGCGCATTTTTTCAGTTTGTATTAACCATTTCATTATAGCATTTATTCAAATCTCTTATTGTTACTTCAGTTTCATCTGAAAAAATATCCAAATAAAATCTGAAGGAAACAACAAAATTCGGAATTATGCTATTAAGCAGCCACATAAAAGGCTCATAGTCATCATTCAAAATCATTTTTGATTTTAGACATGCTATGGCAATCATCAAAAAAGGATTCGTAATAAATTTTTCTATTGGTATTTTTCGTATAAGAATTGACAAAAGAACTAATTCCAACTCTCCCATCATCAGATTATTAGCAAAGAAATTAAGAACTCCATAACTCTGAAACAGAGCTTGCTTAATTGTGGGAATCAAAGAAATCTGGTGAAGAATATGCTGCCGAAAGTATGGTAAAGGAGAAGACCGATATTGGGACATCAGTCTACGATAAGATTCAAGCTGATGCTTTGGTCATTTTTTACCTTCAGCCTCATCAATATCAAGGGAGACTTCTAAGGTATCGAGCTCGATTTGTTGAGGTAAAATATTTTGATCCATTTATTATTTAGAAACTATATCATAATTCTAGAAACTAAGGCTGGCTTATACATAAAAAATATCAAAAAATACTTCTCTGATGTTTTATAATATGAATTTGATAATTATTGAATTATAATATTACAAAATTTTCCCTGCCTATTGATAATTCCCATAACTAATAAAATGCTAAAAAGGGCTATGCCGATCATTAGCAAAACAGAAATAATCGATACTAAAGATTTATAATACAATAATAAAATATCTATATAAAATAATGATATCTAGATTCTTTTTGATTTTTACAAAACTTTTATTTTTATTTTATTTTTATAGACTTAATAAGGCATTTTAACTAATTAAAATTTAAAAAAAAATTAAAATTAATAGTTTTGCTGCTGCTAATAATAAATCTTATAAATCTATAGAACCTATAAGCAATTTAAGAAGCAGTCTTTAATTTCTAAAATAAATAATATTCTAAATCAGAATAATTATTGTAAAATTATGAAGAATAATAAATTTATTGTTGGAAAATAATTAAATTTGAAGACACGCAAGCAAATAAAGAAATTATTCGCTCTGTTTAAGATATTTTAGTCTATTCTGCTGCTTAAAGGATTTAGTTAGAAAGGAACTCATTGATTTTCTTGGAATTTTATTTTTAAAAAGTTTAAAGCCTAACTCAATTAAACATCGTTATCCAGTCCTTTTTAAGAAAAGTCTTGCTATGACTGGCATAATACTGTTTTATATTGAGAGTATATTATACACGGTGGATTATAAAGTATTGGAAAATATAATTCAATTTGAAAAGAGTTTTCAGATGCATGAGGGGTTTTGTATTCGGCATCTATAGTTTCGATAGCTCTTTTTAAGAATGAAGTAGAGTCAATAAAACATTATGATGTGTTTAGATATTTAAATGAATCCTCCTTATTTGAAAAGTAAATTTTTCGAAAAATGACACTAAATAGGGTATATAGAAATTTCATAGAAAATTGTCAGTTCCACTGATAAGCTATCGATTTCTTATAGTTTCGATAACTCTAATGAAGAATTCAGAAGAGCTAATAAAACCTTCTGAGATGGAGTAAAGCAATTAAAGGAGTATTCCTTAAAAGAACTCATGTCTCATGAATTAAAAGTAAGGATTTTTGGAAATATTGACACTGATAATGAACTGCATTATTCATCTTTACTCTTTCGTACTCTATAGCAAGCTTCTTTCTATTCATAGCATTTTATATGCCATTTATTTCAGAAGAAAAGACATTCCTTTTAAAAGTGCAAATAATATCATCATTTATTTCAAATAATGCACAAATCAAAAAAAAAGCATTTAACAAAATCGAACTAACTATATAGAATAATAAATGCTAATGATTTAGTTTAATAATTTATAAAAATTGAAGATTTATTTTATTTTAACTTATATATGAACGAAGCAAAGTTTATTATATAATATATTCTCTAATTACCGAATATTCCTTCTTCTAAGTGATTAGATTGAAGGGAAATCTTCGCCATTAAAATATTCAAATAACTCTGACTCTTGTTTAAGAATTATTTCAGAAATTAGCAAAGAAGATGGATTACCATTAGGTAAAGCTCTTTCTTTTCTTTTATTTTTAAGCACTATGCCATCAACTAAATTTTTATAATTTATTTGAGCATTTTTTCAGCTTATATTAACCATTTCATTATAGCATTTATTCAAATCTCTTATTGTTACTTCAGTTTCATCTGAAAAAATATCCAAATAAAATCTGAAGGAAACAACAAAATTCGGTATTATGCTATTAAGCAGTCACATAAAAGGCTCATAGTCATCATTCAAAATCATTTTAGATTTTAGGCCTGCTATAGCAATCATCAAAAAAGGATTCGTAGTAAATTTTTCTATTGGTATTTTTTGTATAAGAATAGACCAAAGAACTAATTCTAACTCTTCCATCATCAGATTATTAGCAAAGAAATTAAGAACTCCATAACTCTGAAACAGAACTTGCTTAATTGTGGGAATCAAAGAAATCTGGCGAAGAATATGCTGCCGAAAGTATGGTAAAAGAGAAGACCGATATTGGGACATCAATCTACGATAAGATTCAAGCTGAAGTTTTGATCATTTTTTAACTTCAGCATTATCAATTTCAAGAGAGATTTCTAAGGTGTCAAGATCAATCTGTTGAGATAAAATATTTTGATCCATTTATTATTTAGGAAACTATAGCATAATCCTGGAAACTAAGGCTTATACATAAAAAATATCAAAAAATATCTCTCTTATGCTTTATAATCTGAATTTGATAATTATTGAATTATAATATTACAAAATTTTCCCTGCCTATTGATAATTCCCATAAACTAATAAGATGCTAAAATAGGGCGAAATGCCGATCATTAGCAAAACAGAAAAAGTCAATGCTAAAGATTTATAATACAATAATAAAATATCGTTATTTGCAGATTTTTGAACTTTACCATCTATATAAAATAATAAAATCTAGATACTTTTTGAATTTTATACAACTTTTAAATGAATTTTATTTTTTATAGATTTATAGTTTGATCTCTGTTAATAAATCTTATAAATGTTAGATAGCCTGCAAGTAATTGAAGAAGCAGTCTTTTATTTTTAAAATAGTAATATTCTAAATCAGAATAATTATTATAAATTATGAAGAATAATAAAAATTATTTTGTAAATAATTAAATTTGAAGCCAACACAAGCAGATAAAGAAATTATTCCCTCTGTATTAAATATTTTAGTCTATTCTGTTGCTTAAAAGATTTCGCTAGAGTGAGAAAGGAGTTCATTGATTTTCTTGGAATTTTATTTGTAGAGATGTTTAAAGTCTAACTCAGCTATATCAATCACATTTAATATTTAATATTAATTAGCGATTTTGCGAGATTTTATTATTTTTATTATTATTTATCTTTTAAAGCGGTAAATCCGCACTTCACTTGCTTTTAATCAACCTTTTCTTCTATCACAAAAATCACAATTCACTCAAAAAATCTCCAAACTTAAAAATTGATTTTGCGAGATTTAATTCTTCAACTTCTTCTTATAGTATTTAATTTTGATCATATCAGCAGCTTTATCTGTCCTTATTAGGAAAAGTCTTGCTATGACTGGCATAATAGTGGAGAGTTAATAGTTTTATATTGAGGCTATATCTAATCGGTGGATTATAAAGTATTTGAAAATTTTATTTAATTTGAAGAGAGTTTTCAGATTCACGATGGGTTTTGGATTCAATATCTATAGTTTTATAGCTCTTTAAAGAATGAAGTAGAGTCAATAAAGCATTATGATGCGTCTTAGATAGTTAAATGAATCTTTCTTATTTGAAAAGTAAATTTTTAGGAATATAGACACTGATATAGGGTAATTTTCTTTTGTTTTGCTTAAGCCCAAGTCCTTGAACATTATGCGAGCCAAAACAAACATTCAAGCCTTATGTGAAGAAGATATTGGCTTGCTCCTCCCATCCTTGATCGAACAATTGACTGTAAAAATTACTAAAAATTGGGGAAAACAAAATCCATTCTTGATCGAACGATTTTCATATTATGTAAATTTATTTATATACAAAAATACATTAGTTATCGAAAGCTTGGGAAGATGTGCCTAATGAAGTTGTTTTCAGAGGCTTTGAGATGACAGGAAGCTACGAAATCAACCGTCGGAAATGCTTTAGTCATCAACCTGGACCTATAAACTTAATAATCTAAAAATTAGAGATTCTTTAAAATTTAAAAATTTTAATTCAATAAGGGAACAAATTAAAATATATACAGTTTAAAGGGGTAACTAATAAATCAAAATATTAAAATTGGTATTCTTATAAAATTAATTCAATTTTTTGTTGTAAAAATAATTATTAAATACTCTTAACCCTCTTATTTAAAAGTATATAAAAAAACAAAAACATTTATTTTTTATTTTAACCCCCATTCTTGATCGAACGATGGCGAGCCGTTCGATCAAGGATAGGAGGGGAGTTAGAGAAAGAAGGCCTCACACTATATTGAGATCTTTTAATACCGTGCATTTAGTGGGCACCGCAATCATTTCATACTGTACTAATTCTCAATCTTAAAAACAATGATTCTAAAAATAAAATTAGCTAAAGGTTAGGAAATAAAGACGAATACAGAACAATTTATTAAATAGCAATAATATCCACGAGAAGAATTATAGATAGTTATATATTATGCCTTTACATAATAAATGTGCATGTATTAAATAAAAAAAACGCAACCCCCTTTTTTATTAAGCAATATATCATGCAATTATTCTTTTGTGCTGCAGAAAAATTCTTGACTTTCATAGTGTGTCTACAAACATATTATGGCATCGCTTAACTATTTTTAAGTGTATTCTTTTATATGAAGCTCTTATAAATTTTCACCAATAAAAATGTCTAAGTTTTAAAAATGTAAATGAATAAGTTACAAGACAAAAATAAGCTTATAAAAAAAGTTCAGCTAATTATGCAGAATAAATAGCATTTAGTGATGGTTTATTTTATTTGATTATTTGTTGATTAACAATCGCATCCAAATTGATAAAATCCTCATAATGATAGAAGGAGAAATTATTATATTAAAATACTATTTATGGCGATAATTTTATGCAAATTTTGAATTATTACATCTGTATCCTTTTATCTAATTTTAGATTGAAGGAAAATCTTCGCCATTAAAATATTCAAATAACTCTAATTCTTGATCAAGTTCGATTTCAGGACATTTTGCGAAAGGAAAATTATCATTAGGCAAGGCTCTTTCTTTTCTTTTCTTTTTAAACACTATGCGATCCACTAAATTTTTATAATTTACTTGAGCATTCTTTCAGCTTGTATAAACCATTTCATTATAGCATTTATTCAAATCTTTTATTGTTACTTCAGTTTCATCTGAAAAAATATCCAAATAAAATCTGAAGGAAACAACAAAATTCGGTATTATGCTATTAAGCAAGCACAAAAAGGGCTTATAGTCATCATTCAAAACCATTTTGGATTTTAAGCCTGCCATAGCGATCATCAAAATTGGATTCGCGATGAGCTTTTCTTTTGGCATTTTTTCGATAAGAATCGACCAAAGCACTAATTCCAATTCAGACATCATCAAGCTCTGAGCCAAGAAGTTAAAAATTTGATAACTCTGGAACAGAGCTTGCATAATTTTTGGGCTTAAGGAGATCTGGCGAAGGATAAATTGCCGAAAATATGAGACAGGAGAATTCTGATATTGAGCCATCAACTTGCGATAGGACTTAATTTGACGCTTTGATCATATTTTTCCTTCACTAGATATGCCTTCGTCGATATCAGGAAGGATTTCTGATTCTTGGAATTCCATCGTCTTAGAGAACATATTTTTATGCATTTATTAATGGTTTAAGCCATATAAGTTAATTGCGGAGTCTGAAATTATATAGGAAAAAAAACATCAAAGTGGTTTTTGAAGCTTTATAATTAATTTTATGGCAATTATTCATTAGCCATTTTAAGTTTAAGTTTAAGTTTAAGTTTAATGAATTACTCTGGCAAGTTGCCTTTAGTCTTCTTTTACTTGAGGTTCAGCTACATTAGCAGCTCAGAATAACAGTAGGTGGACCGGTCTAACTGTCAAACCGCTAAAGTTAATAAGCCCCGCTAAGACTTCTCTAGTCAGTGCCAGCCTCAGCACCAACCTCTTCTCTTCAATCCGAGACTCTCAAGAAGCTTGACTCCTCTCACTAAGCTCGGATAATAGGACCCTGACCTGTTTAACAGGAGTTAGGACCTATCCCTAACTGAAATTTTTTATATTGTGCATTAGCCATTAAATATTTTATTATAAACCGACATTATAGAGTTAAAAAGGGTAAGTCGCTTACTTTGGGTAATAATAAATAACTAATCTAAAGGTTTTAAAATGCTTTAAATAAAAGATCTACACAAAAATAGCTATTTATAGGTTCCATAATTTTCTAGCGATCAATAACATACCTATTAATAAGTTTGCAGCTAAAAGTTAAGTATATTAATAAGTAAAGCTGTAGAGAATTTAAGAAGGATACTGGATAGGATTCAATATGACTGGAAAATAAGGAAGTTACACATGAGAATAAAAATATGAAATCTATTAATAAAAATTTTTTATTATAGAGAGAATTTTCTAGCTTCATTAATATTATAAAAAAGAGTTCTTTTAGATTTTATTAAGTAAGGCATCGTTATATTTAATTAATAGTTAAAAATGGGATCAAAATGCTCTAAATCGAACAACAAACCTGAAAACTCTAAGTCATTAAGCTTTTCTATGGGAGACGTCGAAACAGGTCCAGATAAAGGAAATTCAAAAAAAAATTCCTCTAAGATATGCATTCTTAATGAATCTTACACGCAACTCGCTCGTATTGAGGAAATGCTAAAACAAGACCCCGAAAATCCTGAGCTAAACGAAGAAATGGGCCTTTACCTCTACAACAAAGCCAAATATGAAGATTCAGCTCCTTATTTTGAAAAAGCAATAGAATTTGATGGAAAATTGTCAATGAAAAGCTTAATGGCAGTAGGAGATCTTGAAACACAAAAAAATCAGTATGAAGAAGCAATAGAATATTATACTAAAGCTCTTTCTATGGATCCATCTGTAGCTGAAATACATGAAAGATTAGGCGAGCTATATAGTAAGGTAAAAAACCAAAGCGAGAGCTTAAATCACCTAGAAGAAGCTGTAGAGCTTGATCCAAAAAACTGTGAATATGGCACGAATTTAGGCCTAATGTATTTAAACATGCATCAATACGAGGAATCTATCAAATGCTTTTTAAAGGTTTTAGAAATAAACCCAGAATTTCCAAAAGCCCACAATAACTTAGGAAACGCTTATAGAAAAATTGGGAAACCTAAAGAAGCAATCCATCATTATTTGCAAGCAATTGAATGCACTCCTAAAAGGAAATTCCCAATAGCTCACATTAACCTAGCGACAACCTATTTTTATACAGGAGACACTATTTCTGCTCTACGACATTTTGAAGAGGCCTTACAAGTAGGCTCCAACATTCATAAAGTAATGGTAACCAAAGGTTATCATTTATTATTCAAAAATTCTAAAACAAAGCAAGGGATAGAGTGCTTATTAAGACAGCAATACAACGAAGCTGCATCCATACTGCAAGAAGTCCACCAAACCGACTTAGAAAATCCAGTAGTAAACTATTATCTTGGCCTTACTTATAGCAAACTGGATGATTTGAAATCTGCAAATATCTGCTTTAAAAAAGTGATTGAGTAACTTTTATTTAGACTTGGCAAAAAACCTATTCATAAAAATAAACAGTTTATCAAGCATTTTATGAGAAAAGCCCAAAAAGCAATTATCGATGTTACTGAAAGCGGGTCTGAAGATAATGTAGTTTATGAAATCTCAGATACATCAATTTCGCTTGGGCCGATAAGAAGAAGCTCTGAAGTATTTAAAGTAAGGGCAGGAGGGACTTATGAGTTTGCGCCAATAAAAGCTCCAAGTCCTACCGAAAGTCCTGAGGTCTCCCCTAACCAAAGTTTGGTTTATGAGTCTAATGATGAAAAATGTGATATATTTTAAAGAAAAAAGAGATAGACATGAAGTTAAAAGTGTTATTATAAATAAGTACAATCTGTCTAAATGCCTATAATAAATCATTGTATTTCTGAAATTTCAAATAGATTCATAAAATGGAGCAAAGTGAAGATCTGACATCAGGCAATATTAAAGTTGTCTGCAGATTTCGCCCTTTGAACGAGAAAGAAAAGCAGCTATCTGAGGGTATCTGTGTTGATTTTTTACCAGATCATAAGACTACAATGATGAAATCCCATCCTGAAGGTCAAGAGCCACCTAGATTTACTCTAGACTATGTTTTTACTCCGCAAGCTCGTCAATCCGAAGTATATGAAATTGCTGCCAAACAGATTATTGCAGCTGTTATGCAAGGATTTAATGGCACAGTCTTCGCTTATGGACAAACTTCTTCAGGAAAAACTTTTACAATGTCAGGACCAAGTATGGAAGATCCTGAATTAATGGGAATTATCCCAAGGATGGTAGGCGATGTGTTTTCCAAAATAGATTCAGCAGCTGAACATCTAGAATTTACTGTAAAAGTTGGTTATTGCGAAATCTATATGGAAAAAATAAAAGATTTGTTAGATCCCACCAAAAATAATTTAAAAATTCATGAAGATAGGACAAGAGGAGTGTTTATTGAAGGGCTCACTGAAAAGTATGCAGCGACTGAAGAAGATGTGTATGATATGATGGCGATAGGAATAGAAAACAGAGAAGTAGGATATACAAATATGAACGCGGGGTCGTCGAGGTCTCATTCAATTTTTATTGTTACGATTACTCAAACTAATTCAATTGATTATTCTACTAACTCCCTTCATTTAAACTTGAACAAAGCATAGGTAAATTTTCCATTTTTGAGTGCTTTAACTCCCTTAAATTGGAACAAATTATTTTTCAATTTGAATATTTCTAATTTTTCAGAATTTTCAGAAAAAAGTTCAAGTAGAATATTATTTACACTGAATTGATTAACTTTTTATAATTAATTCTTAAAATTTAAAAATGTTATGTTCAATTATTTTTTTTAATTTTTAACATTTTGAAAAAAATCATAGAGAAACTTAATATTAAAAAAACAATGCAACCCCCCTTTAAATTAGAGCAGGATTTTTGTTCTAATTTAAAGGGTGGGGATTAAGGTAGGGAAGCTATACTTGGTAGATTTGGCTGGGTCTGAAAAAGTTGGAAAAACTGGAGCTGAAGGAAAAAGGCTTGAGGAGGCAAAAAATATAAATAAGTCCTTGACTGTACTAGGGCAAGTAATTAATTCGCTTACTGATGGTAAATCAACTCACATACCATATAGAGATTCAAAGTTGACTAGAGTTTTGCAGGACTCATTAGGAGGAAATTCAAAAACTTCACTTATCATTACTTGCTCTCCTTCTCCTTATAACGAAGCAGAAACACTAAATCTATCTATTATTAAGAGCAATATTTCCTCATAAATTTTCGATGGACATAGTTGTTTTATTAAATTTCTGATTTTTAAAGGGTCTTCTATCTTAAAATATTTAAAGAATTATTTATAATTTTCTAGATACAATGAATCAACACCAGAAATTCTATATACAAATTTTCGAGTTAATGGTGAAGTAAGCACTTTAAGATTCGGAATGAGAGCTAAATCAATCAAAAACAAGCCAAAAGTTAATAGAGAGTACACAGTTGCTGAACTTAAGCTGATGCTTGCAAAAGCTAATGACGAAATAAGGCTTAAAGAAAGCAGAATAAGGCAATTAGAAACTACTATTGGCCAATCAGGTTTAGCCGTTCCGAAGGATCTTGAGGAAATGAAAGATAGTAGCTTTATTGAAGAAGACTCAAAAGCTACAGAATATGACGAAGTGATACAAGAACTAGAGGAAGTAAGATCCCAATTAAATAGAGAAGTTGAGCTTAGAACCCAAACGGCACAAGAGCTTGTAAAGAAAAGCCTAGAATTTGAAGAGCTTAAAATTTCTTATGAAACTCTCATCAACGAAAACTCTGTTTTACTCCCCCCCTCTGTTGGCGAAAAATTTTGTCTGCTTCTGGAGAGGGATTAAATTTTTTTTTATTACAAAATTTTAATAAATTTTATAGTAAATTTATTTTTTCAAAATTAAAAAAATCTCAATCCGAAATAATTTTAAAGCAAATAATAATTTAATTTGCAAAATTTATGCTTTAAAATGCACACTGTTTAAAATTTAACTTAATTAGCTAGAGATTTCATTACACTAATCGCCTAAATTTTTTTTCATTAAAAATTTCATGCTTAAAAAGTTTTTATTCGCTCTCGAGGGTGGACTTTTGCTTGAAAAGAGGGATGTTTTTCGTAGTTTTGTTTGCTTATTGAGGGGGGGTTAGAAGAAAAATATGCCAAGAAAAAAGCGGAGTTTAATGAAACTCAAGAAAAAGCGAACAAACTCGAGCTATCTCAAATTATGATTAAAAATGAATTTAATGATCTAAATAAAAGAGTACTTGATTTAGAGCAGTTATTGAACTCCAGAGATGTAGAAATTGACCACTTAAAAGCGCAGCAAACCCCAAACACCCTGAATGAGCCCGGAGAAGACTATAGTGAACTTTTAGATGAATTTAAAAACCAGCTTCAAATTGAGCAAAAAAAGAATAAAGATCTTAACGATCATATTGAGCTGCTCCACAAACAAATCGAAGAGCAGCAGCAAAAATTAACAACCCAAAAGCCAGGTCTTCCTTTCACAGCAAGCAGAGCTCCAGATAGCTGGGAAGAAGAGAAAAAACTTCTTTTGAGAGACCTTCAAAACCGTGTCGAAAAAGTTGTAAATCTACAGATTGCTTTAGATGACTTCAGAGATCGCTACCATAGTCTTGAAAATAGCCTTCCCAGAGGAGCAAAAGAGTTCAAAAATAAAGCTGATGCACTTGAGAGAACCGTTGACCAGTTGACCAATGCAAATCATGATCTAATCCATCAAAAGTCTGATTTGAAAGTGGAAATCCAGATGCAGGAGAAGAAGAATGCATCAATAATGGAAAGAAATAATAAATTGGAAGCAGAATTAAAACGGTACAAAGCTCTGCTTGCAGAAGCTGAGTCTACTATGAAAAACTGGTATGCGGAAATGGAAGGGAGAAGATCTTTAAGGCCTTCTTTAGGAGGTGGATACAGCAATATTATAAAGACTATTAGAGGTGGTGGAGGAGCGGCCAGAATGAGCACAATGCCTGGAAAACTGCAAAATCCTTTTGAAAAAAATTTATAATTAAAAATAGATAGATGTTAAATAAATTAAAATTATTTCATGCTGTTTTTCGGCTTTGAGTAAACAGGTTTTCTCGTTTTATAGAATGAATTTCTGGGACTCTGTGTCGGAGATAAGCTTGATCTTACATTTTTACGAAGTAAAGAACCTGTGCTTGCCAAATGAGACCGATCCTCTTCTTGGGAGAGAAATTGAGAAGATAAAACTATCTCACCCTTAGCATTAAAAAATGTTGTTCGTTCATGGAAAGGGGTTAATTTTTCAAAATTAAAATAATCCCAATTAGAAATAATTCAAAGCAAATATTAATTTAATTTATAAAATATGTCTTAAAATGCAAGCTGTCTAAAATTAAAAGAATTAGCTCGAGATTACATTATAATAATTATCACTTATATATCAAATATTTTTTCATAAAAATTTTTTTTTCGAGAGAGGTTTAGTTTTACCCAAAAAATAGGGATTTTCCAATGGTTTCGTTCGCTCCCGAAGAGGGGAGTAATGATTCTAATTCTTTTATTTTCATTTCACTTGACTTTAGCCTATCTTCAATTGTTTCTGGCTCCTTTTTTCTTTCTACGTTAGATTTGATTATATCTCTTAGTAAGTTATTATTTGTGACTTCATTTTGACACTTTAATTTCAATTTTTCAATTTCGCTTTTTAACTCGGTAATTGACTCTCTTTTGGCTTTTCTTCTGCATGAAGTAAATGGTGATGCGCTTCTGCATTCGCTATTAATATATTGCTCAATTCGTTTTTGCGCAATCATATTGCTTAATTCTAACTCTTTAATTTTCTCAATAAGCTCTGATTTTTCTTCTAAATAATGAGAATTATTTTCTTCCAATTTTTTCCTCAATTCTTTATTTTCATTAAAAAGTGTCAGATTTTGATCATAATGAGATTTTAAGAGCTCTTCTAATTCTTTATTTCTTTCTTTACTTTGGGCTGCTTCTAGCTCTGATGTTTTCAGTTTTAATTTTCCGTCTTCGATTATTCTTGCCATAGCAGTATCAGTATTTCTTTGCATCAGTTTCATCTCATCAATTTTCTTATTAGCTTCTTTAAGTGATGCATCAAGATTGGCTATTTCTTGCTTTAAAGCCCCTATTTCGATACTTCTTTCTCTTGCGATATTTTCATAGCTGCTTTTAAGGTACTCTTCATTGATAAGCCGTTGATTTAGATTTTTTATCATTTCTTCTCAGTCTTTTTCTTTTAAATATTTGTATCGATTTTCATTAGTAGGATAAGCTGAAGATATAAAATTGCTTTTTGGTGGCTTTTTAGTGGAATCAACACTGTATCGATGCTTCTTTTTGTAAAAATCCATTTTAATTTAGCATTTTATTTAAGTTTAAGTCTCTTTGTATAAGTTTTTAGCTTAATTTTCAATATAGCACGGTTTGCTATCTACCGATTATTGAAATTGACCGACAATTAGGACAGCAAACGGCTACACAGTTTGCAGGAGCTCGCAGCATTGTATGGCAAATTCCGCATCGACATACAATATAATTCATTGAATGAGGTGCATAATATTGAGTTCCATTTAAAGAATTGCATACTCCACATCGAACTGTTTCAGCGAAACTTTCATAAACAAGGTGGGTCTTGCAATTATAGCAAATTAGGTGAGATCTTTGAGGAGTTTTAACTTCAGTTGCTAATGCTAATTCTCCATCAGGAAGTACAACCATGAACTCTTTATCATTTGCAGATTCCATATAAATAAATTTATAAGAGAGAAATCTGACTGAAATTAATTAAATTAAATCATATAATGAATAAACAAATTATAAGGAAGAATCAAGGGCTAATGTTCTAGAAGCATCATTTTAATATCAGAAATTATAATTATGTTAGGATATCTTTAGATCGATTCATATAAGCAGTTAAATTTATGTGTTTAAACAAAATCATATAAAATAGTCTAGTAAATTTGCGAATTATAAAAAAAATTGAAATAATTAATTAATCCGTTTTACCATCATTTTATATGTATACTAACTAAATTTTTGGATAAATAATTAATTAAAAGTAACCAATTGAAATACAAAGAAATTAATTATTTCAATGTATGTAAAATTAAGTCTGTTAATAAGAATAAAAATATTATTTTAATTTTATTTTCTAGCTTTAGGGCTTGCTATTAATTTATTCGCCAAGAGAGGTTAAGTATTAGCTTGAAACTAGATTAAATTGCAGTCAAAATCCTTAGCTATTAACTATTAAGCATTTTCTTACCAAAAATCATCCAATGGCCTTTATATTAGTTATCTCAAAATTTCAATTGTTAAATTACCAATCCTCAAATCATTCATTTCTCTTCCCTAACTTATCCCCACCCTGTTCCCTCGCTTCTGGCACCTCAAACCTTCTTTTTTGTTTCGAAATCTCTCAAAGATGAAACAAAAGTTAGTGTAAAACGGATAATCTTGACAGACTTATATAATTAAAATGTCTTGGCAGCACTACAAAGCGCTCATGTACAAGGATTGGATCCTTTGGCGACGACGCACTCTAGGCTCAGTATGTGAAGTTTTATTCCCAGTAATCGTATTCCTCTTACTTGCAGTAATCCGCGCAGGTTTAGGATCAGAAGAAGTCGATGCAGAATCATATCTTTCTAACATCGAGTACGTTAGACCGTCTACTTCTAACGCAGTAACTTACCCTTTTCCAGAAGGAGACTCATTTAAGTGGTGCAGAGAATACGTCGAAGAAGGCGAGTCATGAATGATTGGCCTGGCCCCAAGAAATGAAATTAATGAATACCTCGAGACACAACTCGCTGCTCATCCCAATTTGCAAAATGTAGAAATCAGGTATTTTGAAGACGATGATGAAATCGATGACTACGTTAGTGATGAAGACTATGAAGATGGACCCAAGTTCTGCTTTGCAGTGGTTTTCGAAGAAGCTGAAGACAACTATTACGAGTATCACATTAGGTTCAATCAGTCTTACTCAATACCAGAAGGCGGAGAACCTTTGGGAGACATGATCGACATTTTCCAGCTCCACATGTTTGATGCCACCGATGAACTAATCAGAGAGCCAAAGCCAGAATTCCAAAGAGACTTCATGCACACTGGGTTTTTGCAGATCCAGAACTATGTAGATAACTATTTATTACAGCAAATCACAGGGGACGAAAACGCATATATTGCACCAGCCTTTGTCCCAATGTATTATGACGACTATGTGGATGATGATTTCATTGAAAATATCCAAGATATTTTGCCATTCTTTTTCATCATTTCGTTCTTGATACCAGTCTGTAGGAACATCGCACAGATTGTGATGGAGAAAGAGTACAGAATCAAAGAAATCATGTGCATTATGGGATTGTCAAATAAAGCTTATTGGCTCTCATGGATCACTTATTATTTCTTGGTGTACTTAGTGATCTCAATTTTGGCGACGATCATTATGGGATTTCAGATATTTACGTACAGCAATAAGTTCATATTATTTTTTACGTTCTTATTGCTGGGCATTTCCTGTATCAGTTTTTCTGTACTCATTTCTGTGTTCTTTTCTAGAGCTAAAGCTGCTTTAGCTTTAGGACTTATGGTTTTCTTAGGGCTCTTCTTTGTATTCTTTGCAGTAGATGACCCTTACTTTGGCAGCACCCAAAAGCTTTTGGCTTCATTTATCCCTTCAGTAGCTTTTGGCCTTAGCACTGGGATTCTTTGTGAGCTGGAAAAAGGTCAAGCAGGAGTACAATTTGATAATATAAATGAAGACATTTACAACTACAAGTACTCTATCGCTCTTATCATGATGGCCGTCGACTCAGTCATCTTTTTCGCCTTGGCTTTGTACTTTGAGCAAGTATGGCCTTCAGAATGGGGCACAAAACGACCATGGTATTTCATTTTCCAAAAAGACACATGGGTTACCAGAAAAGAAGAAGAAAACCAAGATGACGATTTCCCTCAGGACGTTGAATACAACGACACTGTAGAGCCAGTTGACTCTCTTCTTGAAAACCAAAAAACTTCAGGCAGAGCTATGCTGGTAAGAAACTTAACTAAGAAATTCAATGGAAATACAGCTGTAGATGAACTCAACTTAGACATCTACGAAGGACAGATTTTTGCATTACTGGGACACAATGGAGCAGGAAAAACTACCACCATTTCGATGCTTACAGGACTTATCCCAGCTACATCTGGAGATATGAAGGTTAGAGGACTTCGCCTTTCAAAGGACTTAGACAAGTTAAGAAAGCTGTTTGGTGTTTGTCCACAACAAAATGTGCTTTATGGAGAATTAACCCCAACTGAGCATTTATACCTTTTCTCTGTCTTCAAAGGTATGAAAGATAAAGCTCTGATTGAGCAGAAAATTGAAGAAAAACTCCAAGAAGTAGACTTGGTTCCTCACAAAGAAAAATACTCAGACTTCTTATCAGGCGGTCAAAAGAGAAAACTTTGTTTGGCAATGGCACTTATAGCTGACTCTCCAATTGTGCTATTAGATGAGCCTACATCAGGTATGGACTTAACTGCAAGGCGTAACATGTGATAATTAAATATGGCGTCTCAACTTGGGTCTGGCCTCTCGGCCAGACAGTTTCGAGCCCTATTTAATTATATCCGGCAAGGTTTTGCCTAGCTAGAGATGGACAGCAATATCAGGTAAGCAATTCTGTCAGTGTACAGAGCCTGATCCCAGTCCGTTCTCGGGTTAGGATTTTACCTCGAGAGAAGAGGAGGCTTGGAGTTGGAAAGGAGAAGCCCAGCAGCGCCTACAGGTAATCCCTAGGCCATTCGGGCAAATCTCTAGCGAGAAACCGGGAGTTTCGCCCCGGGCTACAAGTTTTCCTCTTTTGCCGAGAGTCGGCCAGAAATTCCATTTTTTTGGAATTTCCCAGCAGACAACCCTCGTTACAGAGAAAGTAGCTCAATCATGAGCCGTCGAAGCCGGAACATCGCGCAGGAGGCGCGCGTTGGAGATCAAAGCTAGCTGTCCCAGCAACTAGTGGGCCCCGAGCGACGAGAGCGTGGTGGTAGTCCTGGAAGAGCAACCCCGTAGGAGACGTTAAAATTGATGGTTAATAAGTTAAGTTAAGCAAGGCGTAACATGTGGGAAATGCTTAAAAAGAACAAGTCATCAAGAATTGTGATCCTCACCACACATTATATGCAAGAAGCTGACATTTTAGCTGACAGAATCGCAATCCTCTCAAACGGAAAGCTTAGATGCTGCGGCTCCTCACTGTTCTTAAAAGGGAGATATGGAGTTGGGTATTACCTTACCCTTGTAAAAGAGGTTGACGTAGCTAGTCCTGAGCACAGCCAAATGATCACTGACTTTGTGACTTCCTTTATCCCAGCAGCAGTCAAAGCAAGTGATGTCCATGCTGAAATTGCTTTCAGACTTCCTATTGGAAGTGCGACCAAATTCGAAGAGTTCTTCCAAGCTCTTGATAGCAGAAAAGGAGAACTGAAGATCAGGTCGTATGGAGTCTCTGTCACAACACTTGAAGAAGTTTTCATTAGAGTTGCCAGAGGTGACAATGAGCTCAAAGAGATGGGAGACCAGTCTTATAAGAGCGAAAAAGAGCTGGGCAAAGATAAAGATAAAGAAAAAGAGTTCAAAGATGAAGGAGACGAAACAATGATGGGAGATGAACAACAGCTGATTGAAACAGAAAGAGAAACTAAAGGACTGTTCGGTAGACATATGAAGTGTCTTTTGAGAAAAAGGTATCTGTGGACTAAGAGAGACTGGAGAATCTTTGTATTCGAGTTGCTTGTCCCTGCATTACTTGTCCTGGTTGGACTTGTGTTCATGCTTGTCGCAGAAAGGTTCATTGACCAAGATCCTTATGAATTGGCCATTGACCAGTATGAAACTCCACAGAATGTATTGTACCCAGAGTCTACTGAAGTGGTAGAACAAATCATGCAGCTTATGGATGAGGATGAAGATATTGAGATCAAGGACATTGAAGTTGATGACATTGAACAGTTCGATTATGAAGTATTTGACGACAGAGACAGAGATCCTTACAGAATGGGTGCTTATTACTTCTATCTGATGAGTTCAACTGATAACCAATATGAGCCAGTTGTTTTCCACAATCAAAGTGCCTTCCAGTCTGTGCCTACTTATTATCAACTAATGTCAAATACCATTCTTCAGACCTTGAATCCAGATATTGAAGTTGTCGTTTACAATGCTCCTTTCGACTGGACTAAAAGTGTACTCGAAAATGCATCTGTAGGAGACGGTGTGATTTCTTGCTTAATCTTTGGTTTAGCCTTCGCATTCGTCCCAGCAGGCATTGCATCTTATATTGTCAGAGAAAGAGAAACAAGTGTAAAACACCAGCATATGATTACTGGCATCTCACTTTGGGCGTACTGGATTTCCAACTATTTGTGTGACATAGTCAAATATGCAGCAGTATATCTAGTCACATTGCTATTTATCTGGATCTTCCAAGTCGACATTTTCACTGATGAAAGTGATGACTTTGCCTGTGTCGCTTTACTTTTAGGTTTGTATGGCCTTGCCGTCATATTATTCACCTACTCGACAAGTTTCTTATTTGATGACTACTCATCAGCTCAACTGACAAACATTGTTTTCCACTTCTTGACTGGAAGCTTATTCCCAATTCTTTGCTTCCTCCTCTATCTTTTTGATGATACCAGAGATGTTTCAAAGACTGTCGTCTGGATATTAAGACTCCTTCCAAATTTCTGTGTAGGTAATGGCTTTTTGTACCTTGGATCTGCTTCAATTAGATCAGATCTAAATGGAGATGACAAGTATGAGCCATTTTCATTAGATAACGCCTTTGCAGACTGCATTATGCTGATGGTTGACGTATTAGTTTACTTTATAGTGCTTATTTTGGCTGAAGCTTTTGAGTCAAACCCATCTCTTAGAAAACTGATCTCAAGAGTTGACAAAGGCACTCCTGGGGAGTATGAGAAAGATGAAGATGTAGAAGCTGAAAAAGAAGCTGCCTTAAATACTGATCCAAAAGAAGTCCAGGTTAATGTCCGACAATTAAGAAAAGTGTACAAAGGAACCAAAGGAAATAGAATAACTGCTGTTGAAGATGTCAGCTTTAACGTTCCTAAATGCCAATGCTTCGCTTTATTAGGTGTCAATGGAGCTGGAAAAACTACAACCTTCAAAATGCTTACGGGAGAAATCGCACCTACTGATGGTGAAGCTTATTTGAGTAGTTTCAGCGTTCTAACTTCGCTCTCTGCAAGCAAGGAAAAAAAATTTTTGATGTTTTAATTTTGTAAAAAATATTTAATATGCAAGTAATAATTATTAAAAATCTCAAAGCCAATTCTATTTATTTTATATGTAACTTTCATTCTTTATGTAATATTATAATTAAATTAAAATTATTTTAAAATATTTGCAAATAAATATTTTTGAAATTTGAAAATAAAATTAACAAAAAATGAAATGTCTTTATGAGAGTAAACAATTTAGACAGGGCAAGAGAGAATATTGGGTACTGCCCACAATTTGATGCTCTAAGTGAGCTTTTAACTTGCATGGAGCACATCAAGTTCTATGCAGAGGTTAAAGGCATCAATAAGAACAAAATTGATAAGCTTGCTAAATCCCCCCTTTAAGAGTGAGCAAGAGATTCTTACTCAATTTTAAAGCGGGCTATTTTTTTAAAAAAAAAATAATCTATTATAATTTAAAAAAACAAAATTTCAGAATATAATAAATATAGTTAGATCTTTTTATGGCAGCTATTAATTATGCTCTACAAACAATTTGCTCTTAAAGGTTAATTTTCCTAAAATTAGGATTTTTCCAATGGTTTTGCTCATACTAAAATAAGAAGTAAGGACCTTTTAAGAGAGCTTGATCTTGTAAAATACACAGACTATCAAGCTGGTACACTAAGTGGTGGAAATAAAAGAAAGCTGCAAGTTGCTATTGCGCTGATTGGAAACCCTACAGTTGTGTTCTTAGATGAACCATCTGCAGGTATGGATCCTGAAACTCGTAAAAAGCTTTGGAGTGTTCTAGGAGATATCAAAAAGCGTGATTCAGCAGTCGTACTCACAACTCACTCTATGGAAGAAGCTGAAGCCCTTAGCGATAGACTTGCCATCATGGTAGGAGGAAGACTCAGATGCATTGGAACTTCTACTTATCTGAGAAATAAATTCGGGCAAGGCTATGAGCTTGAAGTCAAATTATCCATTCCTAAGCGTGAAAATGTCCAGAGAAAGAGTGAAAAATTGAACTCTGTTATAGGAGAAGAGCTGTTAATTAAGCAAAACCAAGTTAAAGCTTGTCTTGAAGCTTTAGACAGTGCTGATTTATATGAAGAAATCAGCGAAAGAGGCTCTGGATCAGGACTTTACCAACAGATACTGAGTGATGGCTGGATCCCAAGAGAAGCTTTAGTCTCCTGGACGATCGTCGAAAGAAGAGGAGACAACGTCATGCAGTGGCTAAAATCTGAATTCAAAGATGTCGCCATGCTTGAGCACTATATGACCCTTTACAAATATAAGATAGGAAAGCAAGACGATAAAACTATTGGATATCTTTTCAGTTCTGTTGAGAAGAAAAAGAAAGAGCTCAAGATTTCTGAATATGCCTTGAGCCAAACAACCCTTGACCAAATTTTCACTACCTTTGCAATGATGGGAGAAATTGAAGCTTCAGGTCTATAATTAAAAATATGGCGTCTTCGTCTGGGCATGGCCTCCCGGCCATGCAGCCTCGACTCATATTTTAATTATATCCGGCAAGGTTTTACCATTTCAGAGATGGACAGCAATGCTAGGTAAGCAATTCTGGTAGCTTTCAGAGCCTAGCCCAAGTCTATTCTCAGGGGTGGATTTTTCCTCGTGGGGAAGGAGGGTGCAAGGTTGGAAAGGGGAAGCCCAGCAAAGTCCTCTGGACCATTCGGGCAACTCCCTAGCGTGAAACTGGGCGTTACGTCCCAGGCTTTGCATTTTTCCTTTTTGCCGATAGCCGACCAGAAAAATCCATTTTTTGGGTTTTTTCGGAAAAGCAACCCATGTAACAAGCAAGTAGCTCATCCATGAGCCGTCGAAGACGTGGACATTTGCCCTGGAAGCACCCTGGTGATCGAAGCGAGTTTGTCTCCAGCAGACTGGTGGGCCCGATGCGACGAAAGGCGAGTGATAAACCTGGAGTTGTAACCCCGTAGTGGACGTTAAGCGATATAAATTCTAATGTAATGTAATGAAGCTTCAGGTCTAAAGAAGAGAAGGACCACTGTCCCACCTGTGAGTAATGAAGAAAAACCTTAATTAAAATTATGTTTTAAGTTATAAAAGAAGCTTTTATTAAAATTGAAAATGGATAATATATGATTAACTTTGAACTGCTTCTTAGAAAAGAAACAAGACAGCCACTGGTGCAAACGATACTCAGGCAGATTTTAAAGGAATCTAGGAAGCAGACCGATGAAGTTGTGAGGAAGTATTTGATATCTACGACCCTTTATTGCTTTAAATTAGAAAAGAAAAGCACGGAATTGAAGAAAATTGAAAATTTTTTGAACTTGCAGAATGACTTACTTAATGCGATCAAAAAAGCTAACAATAATAACTGAGAAAGCAAGAAATATTTGGTGGATTTGGCATATGGGCAGATATGTTTTACTCCAAGGCATGATCATTTTATTCAAGCTAGATATTTAGGCAAACTTCCGTTTGGTAAGAAGCCCTTATTGGCTATGCCTTATAAAGAAGGATATCAAATCACGGGGCCTAATCCAGTGCCAATTGAATTTTTAAATCACGCAAAGGACTATATTAAGCAAAATCCTTCTCAAGCAGGAATTTATGAGGACATATTAAGATTCACATTCAATTAATTAGTTAAGAGTTATCAATAATAAACTTCTTTAAAAAATATTTGGATTTATTTTCTAAAATTTGTAATGGAGATTTAATTTAATGATAAACTAAATTAAATCTTAAATCCGCAATAGCGCTCTGAATAAAGAATTTAATAGTCCAAAGCAGGACTCCCTTTAAACTTTCATACCCTGTGGATAGCTTCTCTTCTGAAGGGATCCTCAAGAAATCGTAGATATCTATCACTAGGTCTAAAGTAAGAGAGCTGATCATTAAACCACCATTTTATATTTTACAAATCTTTATGTAACGCTCAAAGATTTTCTCTGAATAGCTACTCTATTAGATTTTCCCTTTATAATTTTAAGGATAATAAACAATTCAAATAATTCAGTATTAAAAATAGACATAATTTAATAATAATGGACGATCCTGGTCAGAAACCTACTATTAGCCCAAAGCTAAAAGCTTTCTATTTAGTTTTTACTTTTCTTTATTTTGCTATTATACCTTTGAAAATTGCAGTGATGTCCATCCATGATTGATATAAACAAGGAAAAGATGAAACCAAATGAGAAGGGTCACTTTTTGAAATTTATAATTCTGGAGGACTCTACTTACTTAATTTAATATCACGTTTAACGTCTCCCACGGGGTAGGCATTCCGGGCCCACCGCCACCTCTTGCCAAGTAGGGATCTGAAAGCACAGCCTCCAGGTACAACCGCTTAGCACACCACGCACCTCCAGATGACGTCGCCGACTTCGAGGCTCATGAATGAGCTACTTGCACTTGAACATGGGCAGCCTGCTCAGAAAATCCAAAAAATGAACTCTCGGCAAAAAGGAAAAGCACGTAGCCTGGGATGTAACACCCAGTTTCACACTAGGGAGATACCCAATTTGTTCTAAGGACGCTGCTGAGCTTCCCCTTTCTAACTTCCGTGCCTTCTTTCCCATGAGGAAAAAGCCATCCCTGAGATTAGACTTGGGCTAGACTCTGTACACCACCAGAATTGCTTACCTAGATTGCTGTCCATCTCTGGCATGGTAAAACCTTGCAGATATAATTAAATATGTGCTCGAAGGAAAGTCGGCGAAGCCGACCGCGAAGCGCTGAGACGCTATATTTAATTATCATGGAGGACTCTACAAAGAAGAATCTTATGCTTGGCTTTCAAACCACTACTGTGAAATAAGTGGCAACTATAGTTCTAACGCCAGCTCTACTTTTACGAATTTATATGGTGGAGGAGTTACCTTTGTTGTGTTTAGCTGCTTAGAAATGATATTTGTGCTTGTATTTGCAGTATTCGGAATAGCCTCAACGTGCCGAAAGAATAGCTGCTTTTTGTGTTTGAGAGTACTTTTTTCAGTTTTAGCACCCTTAGCTGGTCTTCTTGCTTTTGCATTAATGGCAGGAACAGCTGTAATAACATATTCAGACGCATGCGACTCAACATCGAGCTATTTATCTTCCCAAACCAGCACTTGTGCATTGACTGGGCCACAATTTGATTTATTCAACTTTTTATATATCGTGGCTTTATCCATTTCATTTTGAATTTGCCTTTGTATTTTGAATTGTGAGGAGTCAAAAAGTGTTGAAAGCATTAGTAGCCAACCTCATGAAGGTGAAAATCATCACCAAGACCAAGAGCAAGACCAACTTACAACTAGAACTTTTCCTTTAACTGTCATTGGACCACCTCAAAACGAAGAAGGTATAGTGGTTGGAATTCCATATAAGGATGTTTAGATAAAATAATTTAAATAAATTTATTTGCTATTTATAATTTGCAGTATAACATTAAAAATATTCCTTTTTGAAACTAATTATCGAAAATTGTTAATGATTATATCTAATCCTTCAATTCCATCAATTTAAAAGATGCCCATTTATACATGATAATAATTTTCTCTGCTAGTTTTATATTTATTGCACTAGCAGGCCAATTATGGTATATAAATGCAGAATATATGTTCACTGCCTCCTTTAACGCATTTTCGCATTCATTTTTTCTCGCAATTGAAAATTCCTCTCTATCTATAGTGTCCTTAACCTCAGAAAAGCTTTCATTAAATTGCTCCAATCTATGTGAGTAATTTGCCATTATCCACATATTTATATCCCTCAAATATTTCCTCTGCATTTGCTCGTTAAATTTAAAAAATGTATAAATTTCAGGGCCAATCATATCCAAATAGCCATCACTTTTATAGTCTTCACAGTATTTCTCTAGCAGTTTTGGCATTACCCCACTGACTTGCATTCATAGCGTATCATGGTCTTTTCTATAAAATCCAAAATAAATGGATACAGCTAAGAAAAAATTTTTATCGATTTCTTGAAGATTAAGAGACTTTATATGAGGAATGGCTTTACGCAGATAATCAGCAAAAATATAGAGGCTTGATGAGCCTTGGTCAATTAGCTCATTTGTGTCCTCGTAGTTTAATTTTTGGTTGTCTAGTAAAAACAATAAGTCTTTCTGTATAATGCCTTGAAGGTTTTCTGTTGATTCAAGCATATCTTTGGAAACATTGATGGAAATATCAAGGCAACGACATAAATGCATGGCATAGGCATATCTGATGCTTGTGATGTAATAAGTGATTGGAGAACTGTTGTCTGTCAAAAATGGGCTTACCTCAGTGTATTCGTAATTTGGACCAAGGTAACGAGCCAAAAGGTAAGTGAGCTCCATGAAGATATTTGAAATAGTAGAAGCATTAGATGTGTTTTCAATGATGGATAAGAGCTCAAAATGATAGAGTTGCTCTCTTTGGTCATATTTTGAGAAATCAACTTGGCGTAGGTCGTTTAGTGTGTTTGAAAGATTGTAGTCTTGGTACTCCATATTTTTATAAATTTTGAGAAATTCAAAAATCTTAAACTCTCTTCTGAAATTTTAGTGATTAAAGTAAAATAATTCAGAGAGGATTGCTATAATTGATTTAGTTATGATAAATAATAAAATTATTTATGCATACTTACGATCAATAGCCACTAAGCAGAACTATTTAATTCTAATTTGGCATCTGGCCAACAAAAAATTACTCTTAGTGAGCTATTAATGATAAACAGTATATACTTCTATATTTCTGCTATAAGACTATAAGTGTTTAGAATAAAACACAGCAGCATCCTTTTCCTTGATTTGTGTCATTTTTAGTATCATTTTCTGAGTTTGCAATAGACATCTTCAATGGAGATTTGAAGTGTTCGTACTCTGGCTTAACTTCAGGCTCGTTTGGTTCTGTTGTTTCAATTGTTTCGTTTGCTTCTTTTTCATCAACAATAGGTGCCAAATTAGGCTGATTCACAATTTTTTCATTAATGTTAGTCAAAAATAATTCTGAGCTAGCCCGAGAATCGTGCTCTTCAATTGCTTTGCTTTCTTTTTCTATTTCCCAATAAGGAAAAGAAGAAATCGCTTGCTTAATTTTATCCTGAAGTGAAAAAACAGTCTGACTATGGGTTCTTATGACAATTTCAGGATCTTCCATTTATTATAGCAACAACTTATCAAGTTTATTTCAATGATTTTATTTTCCTAAATCTCAAAATATTCATACAAAGATTATCCAAAAATCAAATTTAAAGTAAGATTAAGAAAAATTATTCAATTTTTACTATATTGTCTAAACAATTTTCATTTTATAAAATATTTTTCTATACTATATCTTTAGCTAATCTATTAAAATTTTATCCAACTTGCATTATTAAACATTTTTTAAAAATTAAACGAAATTTTTCTTTTTAAATATTATTTTTTAATTTTTAATATAAGACAGATCAAAGGATCTTGCTCACTCTTAAATGTGGAAGTAAATGTAATATACTTTAAAATACACTCCTTGCCTATTCTGATCTATAGATGAAATCTTAGTAAGCCACTTAATCTTTGAAATAAATAAAATATTAATCTTCGTTCTTCTTAGTTAATAAAACTGATTTCATTCTCGCAACTTCTTTCCTCTCTCCCCCATCGTTAAAGTTAATCATTGAAGCTACCTTTTTCCAGCTGCTTCCATGACTTAGCTGTTGCTTCATTTCTCGACTATGCTTTTCTTCTTCCCTATTAAATTCCATCTTTTGTTGAATTCTTTGCCTCCTATCATCATGCCATTTCTTGAGCTCTTCTTGGGCTTTTCTTCTCTTTTCATCTTTTCTTGTCCTCTCTTTTTCATCTTTTAAGTACAATTTCCTATTAAAAGCTTGCTGCTCTACGTCCCTTTGCCTTTGTCTTTCGTTTTCTTCTTCATCTACTTCACTACTCATAGAGCTCCCAGATGGCTGAGCTGATTCTTCCACAAAGTCAGTGCTTAAAAATGGGCCAGAAGTTGCTTGAGGTGGCTGCGCTATTTCCCCTGCTGTCGTTGTAGTAGCTGGCATAGAAAAGATATCGTCATTTATAGGAAACGAGTCCAAAACTTCTGACATATTTTTATAATGAGCTAGCCTTATTAAGCGATGTTAAGTAAATTCTTGGCATATTTCTTGACTCCAAGCATCCCACAGTCTTCATGGTTCACAATAAAGAAAGGACAGCTGTTAATAGCTGCTCTGATATGAGGAGGCTTAGCATATAGAGCCTCTTTGAAAATTTGGCTTCGGGCTATATTTTCAGCATTTCTAGTAACCAGACCTCCAATTAAATAGAATCCGCCATAAGGCAAGGCTTTAGCGATTGCGTTTCCGCATTCGTATCCGAGCATTTGAAGCCACATTTCTACTGATTTTTGGCATAGCTGGTCTCTTCCTGAAAATCCGTATTCCATGATTAGCTTCATTCTTTCTCCTGGACTGCTTTCAAATAGTCTGTCAAATTCTTCATTGATCAATTCAGGAAATTCTCTTCTCATAAATGGGTAAAGGTTATAGGCTCCAACTCCTGCAAGCACCAGCTCTTGGTTTGCTGCTTGGACTCCTTCAAATTGTGGGTACTCTTCGCCTTTTTGGCAGGCTCCTCTTACCCTTTCAAGCATATACATAGAGAACTTTCACTGCAGCTCAGTTTTAGGACCGAAGTCAGAATGTCCTCCTTCAGTGCCCCATGCATCATAATGCCGCCCATTTCACGTTAAAAAGCAAAATCCAAGACCAGTACCAGGTCCAATGACTACGACTGGAGAATGCTCAACTGGCCTTACTTCTGGAATTAACTGAATGACTTGATCTGGCTTTAAATCTAAGACTCCGTAGCCAGCTGCTTGGAAATCGTTGAGAAACACAACTTTTTCAATTCCCACTTCATTAGTAATAGCGTCTGTTGTGCATGGAGGCCAACCAGTATTGACAAAAGTAACACTGTTGCCTTTAATAGGCCCTGCAATTGCAAAAACTCCAATGCTTGGAGTTGGCTGACCAGCAAGAAAAGCTTTAATTACTGGAATAAACTCTTCAAAGCTGTGAGAACTTATGCTTTCTAAAGGCTTCAAAACTGTGCATTCTCCATTTTCGAAGGAGAGCAACTCAAAGCGAGAGTTAGTTCCTCCTATATCAGCTACCAAAACAATCGACATTAAATTTAATGGCTATTTAATTGAGACAACAATGACAAGAATTTTTAATTAATGTGTATAGAATAATGAAGCATTTTTTAATATAAATCTTTCAATAGTTAATATTCATTTCTATGAAATTTGCGACGAGGCTTATCAATAAATTCAAAGTGAATAACCCAGTTCTCTTACTCCTAATTGTGTAACAAAAATCATTTGAAAAACTTATTATTTGAGCTAATTTTATACAATTTTAAGCTCTAAAGCATAAAATAAATAAATTTTTATTGTCTAATTTTGCATTTAGGCTTTGAAATCCTAAAAAACTTTTTCACGGAAAAACCAAAAAATATTTGCTCGCTATCAAAAGGTCGGTTAGAAGAGCCTTCAGCACCGCTTATGTCTACTTCAATTCCTGGACCAAAAGGAGCCGAACTACTAGCCAAGCAGAGTCAATTTTCTCAAGATTACAGAACAGTAATGAAGAATTAGATCAAATTTTACGTGGATTACAACAAGTCTATAGGAAACTACGTTGTAGATGTTGATGGAAATATTATTCTTGACACTTATTGCCACATTGCTTCTCTCCCTCTTGGGTATAATCATCCAGATATGATTTATGTAATTCATATTTAGAACACCTACTCCGGGGAATACCAAAAATTCTTAGCCCAAAGGCAGTCTGCAGATGTCCCAGATATTCATTGGCCAAGGATGGTGAGAGATATTTTATTGCCTCTTGCCCCAAAAAATCTTAATGAAGTCATTGTAAACTGTGGCTGTGGGTCGAACTCAAACGAAGAAGCATTCAAGATGGCGTTTGCTTACTATATGAAAAATAAAAGAGGCAGAGAGCCAAGTGACCAAGATATTGAGAAAGCCATGAACAACCAAGGAGAAGAATTAACAATCCTTTCTTTTACTGGCGGCTTCCATGGAGGAAATATGTCATGCCAAACAACTACTCATACAAAACCTATATACAAAATTGGGCAGCCAAAATTGGATTGGCCGAAGGCTCCATTTCCAGACATCAAGCGTCCTTATCATCTGAACGAAAGCCATAACATTAAAGAAGAACAAAAATGCCTAGCGGAGGTTGAAAAGGTTTTTAAGTCTGCTAAAAAGCCAATTGCTGGAGTTATTATTGAGCCAGTTATGGCTGAAGGAGGAGATAAATCAGCTTCTCCAAATTTTTATATAGGAGTCCAAGAGTTAGCTCATAAGTATGGAGCTCTATTGATTGTTGATGAAGTACAAACAGGCGGAGGATCTACAGGAAGGTTTTGGGCCCATGAGCATTGGGGTGAAAGAGCTGACCCAGACATAGTGGCCTTTGCAAAGAAACTCCAAGTTTCTGGACTGTTCTATAAGCCGCATTTGAGACCTGCAAGGGCTTATGCCTTATACAATTCTACAAGAGGTGATCCTATAAGGCTGCTGAATTTGAGAAAAATTAGGGAAGTGATGGATAATGATAATTTGCTGAGGCAAACAGAAAGGGTTGGCATGATGCTAAAAAATTCTTTAAATGCTTTGTCACCAAAATACCCAATAAACAATGTGAGAGGATATGGAACTTTTTTGGCTTATGATTTCGAAAGTCCTGAATGGGCTAATGCTTATGTAAGAGAAATGCTTAAGTTAGGAGTTAATGTTGGCCTTTGTGGAAGTCAAGGTATCAGAGTTAGACCAAGCTTAATATTTAAGCCGAAGCATGCCGAGCTATATTTAGATCGAGTAGAATTTGCATTAAACCAAATCCTGTCTAAAGGATTCAATTTAGCTAAAGCTTAGCCTCTTTATTAAAAATATCTCCAGAATAATTATTTATAAACTATTAGTTGACTGAGATTATATCGAGTCAAATATATAATTAAATCTCAAAATAATTTCCTTATCTCTTAATTTCATCAATATCTTACTATCCTTAATGAAAATTTCTAAAATGTCTAAATTTCTCAACCTTCAAGCAATTTCATATATTTAAATAAATTATAATACCGCCAATGTCAAAATTTGTCAAAGAAATTGAAGAAGCACCCAAAACAAAAATCATCGAACGCTATCCTCCTGGAGTCCGCGCTCTTAAAGAAATACGAAAATATCAGCATTCAACTGACCTCCTTATAAGCAAACCTGGATTTGCCAGACTAGTTAAAAGTATCTCTTATAATGTAACCAAAGACGACTCAATTAAATGGAGTAAACTTGGAATCGAAGCTTTACAACATACCGCTGAAGACTTCTTAGTTGGCCTTTTTGAAGATTCAAATCTCTGTGCCCTACACGCAAAAAGGGTTACTTTATTAGTCAAAGACATGCAACTCGCGAGAAGAATCCGTGGGAGATTTGAAAAAATTGTTAATAGAACTTAAATTATTTATGGGAAAAGATAATCTGTTAGCTTAAGATTAGATACAACATGAATGATGCCAACAAAGGTAAATGACCTTTGCTCCAGGAATCCATCTTGTAGGAAGGATTATATAGTTTAAGGGCTTCTGAGCAGTTGTCAATTGCACCAGAATGATAAAGAGCCCAGTCTGAAAAAATCGTCATCATTTCGTTATAGTAATTTTTTCCATCATCACTCACAGCATTACAGAAATAAAGAGTATCAATATCAATTGAGCTTCCATCATCTCCAGAGCAGCTTGAGTCAGAGTATTGAAACTTTGGCCAAAAAACGTCAGAAATACCTCGGACTGGCCCTAGCGAAGGGTTGCAGAAACCTATATTTGACCCAACCCCAGCACATTGGCAAGGGGCGGTTGTATCTGTTGTGTTGTCAGAATCCCATTTATAAGTGCATGTACTCGGAACAGTGCAGTAAAAAGGTTCTTCTAATTTTACGTTGTCGACATATATGCTGACCCTATCACATTTCCCATTTCTCACATAGTTTGATTTGCAATATTTCGCTTCATTTGAAGCTTTTCCAAAACCTAACGAAAAAAAAGATATACAGGTGTAAGTGTATTGGTTGCATCCAATACCTACTGCACATTGGCTTGAAGCCAGGCATGGCGTTCCAGTTACAAGTGATTGAACACATAGGTTATTTGAAGAGCAGTAGTAGCTTGGCTCACAATGGTCATCTATCTTGCAGTAATGCCCTACTTTTATGCTTTTGCAATGCCCATCATTACACTTTTTGCTAAAGCAATCATCATTACTGCAGCATTCATTATAAGTCACAAGTTCATGATTGCCTGTACAGTTGCTTTCTTTTGTTTCAGGGACATCTTCACTACAGCTGGAATCTTTCCAGGAGTTCCAGTCACCAAATTGTGCAAGATTGCTGCAAGTGTAATTTGTTGGGCATGCTTTGACCTGTATTGTTTCTCCGTCTTGATGAACACATACGTTTTCTGATAAAGAATCACTGCAGCTTACTACCTTACATGGGGCGTCCGTGTCAATTTCTAAAGACAATTTAAGTAGGCATGAAGCGATTAAATAGAGCAATTTGGTCATTTATGAAACTTGTAGTCAATATGATAAAATTGTTAAAAATATAAATGAGTTGATATTTTTATTTATGGATCCAATAATTCTTATTAAAGAATTAAGCACTTGCTAATCTATTTAATAATGAGTTTGCTTTATTCGGAGCAGGAGGAGAGAAAATAGGCGTAAAGCTTGAATTTTCATAGCTAAAACATAATGAATCGATTCGACTTAAGAGATCAGAGGACTCAAAAGTCGCAGATCGGAGCTTTTCTCCATCTTTTTCATTTTTAATAGCTTTTTTTTTAATGCCAGCGTTTTTTTCCTTGGATCTGCCAAGCTTTTTAAGCGATTCTTTGCATTTTCGATTTTTTTCCACCTTAGTTTCTTCATTTTTAACTTGGCTTTGTGTATTAGCAGTATCTCGGACTGAACTATAAGGAGGAGACAGTGATAAAATTTCGTCAACGTAAAAATTGTAATCTATTATCGGCTTGCTTTTGGGAGCCAAGATTGACGAACCTAGCTCTCTTAATTTTGCATTAATTTCTTTCGGCGTGACTTCTAGCTGATTCTCATATATTGTTTGGAAACTCAAAAAATTTTGGGTGAAATTTTCAATTTTCTGGCTTAAAAATGCTTCGTAGGGTTTTATATCGTCGTTTAAGAAGGATTTTGCAGCAAATGCTGAATAGCATATGAGATAATTAAAAGATAGTTTGGCATCAGTCCAGCCAATTTTATCCAGATAGAGTGCTCACAATGCAGTTTCTATTTCATTGAAAGCAAAATCTTGCATAGTGCCTATCAAATATCTAAGAAGCGGCTCTGCTCTGTAGTCGCCTGGAATTTCTTTTATTTGCAAAAATCTTCTCAATATCAACTCGCTTGTTTGAGTATTCCCAAAATACATAAAATCTTGATGGATATTATCATAACGATTTAGTAAAACCCTTAGCTCTTCATTTTCTTTAATCCCTGAATATGCCTCATCTTCTTTCTTAGTTTTCACTAAAGAGCTTTTTAAAAGGCAGCTAGTGAGTTTTAAAGAATCTCTATTAATTTCATCAGAAAACATTTATTATAAACACCTGATTAATACTGTTAAACGCAGAACTTTTAAGTAAGAAAAATTATAAATCAATGTCAGTGAAGACACCACTTGTTATTAATAAATTTACTCTTATTTTTTTAATTCAATTTTTAAAACAATAAACACAAGAAACTTGTAGAAACAATTTTCTGAATCAAACTCGGCAATTTAGATACTATTAATATAAAAATAGGTTTTAATATAATTGGAGGCTGAATTTTAAATTTAATTCTCAGATAAGCATAATTTTATTGGAAAATTCAAGAATAAATAAAAAGGTCAATGATAATTAAACGCCTTAAATTTAACAATATTATAATAAGCAAAGCTAAATTATATTGCATATCGATTTCGATGAAGCTTTTATAGGAACAATATGTGCATCAAAATATGGGAAATTCAATGGAAGCTGGGAACTTAAATTCGAAACAATTCGCTTTATTGAGTCCGCATTGCTTTTCATAAAAGGGAAAATTTTGGTTTTCTCCGCATAATATTTTATCCACTCCTCAATTTCTTTCATTAGTTGACATATTCTTGCTTGCGAAACGGCTGGATATGATTTTGGGTCACACATGAAATGGTTGAATTTTAATTGAACTCTGATATGCTTGCCTTTCACCCTTACAAGAGGCCGAATTTCTCGGATTGGCTCACATTCTACATATAAATGCAAGTTAAAACCGTTATAAGTAAAATAAACATAATAGCTTGAAGTAATCCCAATCCCTACAACATCTTTGGACCCAAATCTAGGCCCATGCTCAATCACTTCACCATCCATAAGTATATCTCCAGTATCTCCACAATACTCAACCCCAGTTCCTTCTAGCCCAACTTTTATATTCCCTGTAAGCCCTGCCCTTTGCACATATACTTCATAATAAAAAATAGTGACAGGCCTAATATCATCATTAAACACATTTATTTCAGCCACACTTGTAATACTTATTTCTTTAGACTCTTTTTCCGTATGATAAATATGGTTTTCATGTTCCACTCCTCCTGTCGCAAACAGCTCAATTTGTTTTTCTTCCCTTAAATCACTTAATACAGCTGATGTAAATGCTGAGGGATGCGCACTCGCACAAGCACAAGTTGCTTTAGGGTTTAATGTGTATATCAAAAACTGCAAACTATGGCTTTGAGAACTAGAATGAAATCTTGAACATGCTGGGCAAAAGTTCATATTGCAGCGGGTGCATTTTGTGAGAAATGGAATAGTATTATATGAATGAGATTTAGTGAAAAGCTTGCAGCATTCCCCACTACGATTGATTTCATGCTCATGCTTGCATTTGAATAAAACCTCATATATGATTTCTAAAGCAATGCTTAAAGATTCATTAAATTCTTGGCTGACTGTGCTCGTTTTGACCATACGGCTCATGAGTTCTTGGATTTGATCTAATATAATTTCAGGACGCTGCCTTTTGAAATGGATAGGAATTGCAGAAAGGGCAAGGATTTCCTCGAAATCGTTCCCAATAACACGGTAATCTCGGAATATTTTTATTCTCTTGATGTTTGCTCTGCCACAGAAAGGCAGCATGACAGTTAAATCAGATGATTCGTTGAGATATCGAGGATAAAGGAGGTCGTTGATGATTCTCTTTTGTTTTGCTATAATTAAAGCAGTTAGTGTATTGTTTTTGCATAGCAGAGATAAGTACCTGATAATTTCTTTTCTTAACTTGGCGTTTGTAAAGTCAAGCTTAATATAAAATAGTCTATATAGTCCTAAAGGCCCTGACTCAGCCCTAATCCAAGCGTTATTTTTCATTAGCTCATTTAAGGCTACCAGTGCATTTACTAAAAATTCTTTATTTTCTTCATAAAATTTGTAGTGAGTTGCAACTTTAATAACAGTCCTTGTAACATCAAAACAGTTAGGCATTGTACTCAAAATTTTAGGAACTCCGCAATCTTTTGCAAAAAGCTGCTCAAAGCCTCTTTTCCTTATATGTTTATCTTTAAAATAAAAACTAGATATCAGTGCTTTCGAATCAAGCTCGCTCAAATCTAAAGAATCCCTCTCAGTCTCTTTAAATAGATAAAGCCACGTTTTGAAGAGTCTTGAAAACAAGTGATCGACTGCTTTCATTGTATATGTTCTATCAGTTACAAGTTCAGCTATAAACTCACTGAGAGATGGGATATAGTTTTCAGCGAGGATCATTTTGGTCACTTCGTCTTTATCTGATGTCATAAAATGAGGCATTTCGTCCATTACTGTCCTGGTAACTGCTGCATATAAGCAGACGCCAACTCCTCATAAGTCTACAATGTTTTTATCATCAAATGGAAAGATGTCAGGATTTAAAGGAAAAGCGGTGCTTAAAGACCTAGCATTTATCATATCAAGCTTTAAATCAATTCCATAGCCATTCAGTGTATAAACTGGCCTGATAGGACTTTGCGAAATTTCAATATAAAGATTGTCAGGAGAGATATTCCCAATTACCATGCCCATTCTTCTTGCGCTGGCAACTTGGCTTATTAACTCTTCTGCAGCTCTTATTATGACTTCCTGGCACAAATTAGAAGTTTCTCTAATAACTTTAGGAATCTCCACATTATTTTTATGAACTAAAAATTCATCAAGACTCATTGAATTCTTCAATTCTGTCATCAAATAAAATTTATCAAGTTCTCTAGCACAAGTTTTAGCTACGCCAGAGAGATAATGTACGAGGGTTGCCATTTCGAAATATCTTTTCTCATATATTTGTGCTTCTATGCTTGAAGAAGTGATCACTTGTATATCAAATTCAGTTCCTTTTTCATTTACTCCAAGGAATTGGGTTTCATTTATTTGTTTTTCTATTCAAAAATGTTCATGGCTGAGGCTTAAATGATATGGCTGTGATAGAGGGAGGTAAGCTCTCTTTTTAAGCTCATAAACTGCATCAAAGTAATTCAATATAGAAACGCTATCCATTTAATACAAATTACATTATTCTAAAGAAAATAGTTATACTGTGATAAATGATTATTTATTTATAAGAATTTTCAATATAAATATATGTAGAAAAATCGATTCTCCATTGATTTAGACAAATATATTTATTTCTGCAGAGGGATTCCTTTGTATTTTCTCTTGAAAACCAATGACTTGATCCACAGCAAAGAGTATCCAATGAGAATTGCTGGAATCCAGCCAGCCATCAGATCTGAAGCTGTGTTGCCGTTATTGTCTGCTTCATCTGCGCATAGGAAAAGCCAGGCTTGCCCGCACAAAAGTCCTACTTTCAAGCTTGCTATATGAAGCTCATTATAGCACTCAAAAATAACTATATAAGCTATCAAGACGCAAGTAAGTAGAATTCCTACCCAAGGCAGCCTAATAGGAGCTAGTAAATAAATAATTCCGACTAATAATATTCTATCGAATCCAAAGAAATAGCATTCATCTCCCCAACGCTTTTCTACTCCGTTTCTCTCTGATTTCAGTGCTGGTAGCACAACAGCAGATATAAAGAAAGCGAATGAAGAAAACACAAACCCAACCTCTATCAATGCCATTTGTTTTTTGCCCCAGCAACTAACAGAGTGATAAGAATCAATGTCATGGGAATTGCAATACTGGACTTCAGCCAAAGCCCCAATCATAGGGACAAAGCCTATTCCATAAATTATGTACTCCACAAACCAAATGAGATACCTTAAAGGAGACTCCGATTTATTTGCTTCATGAATTTTTTTGCTGAAAGCAATGTAAATTGCAAAAGTGAGGAACGACACTATGCAGCTGATTATATAAATTGCAAAAAATGAATCACCTGTAAAACGAAGGGCAATGGATTTGAGGCCGTCAAATGCAGATCTTGCTGAAGAGTTTCAGTCGTCTGCATCAGGTTTTGTTGCTTTTTTGATATATGACATAAGTTGAAGGTGCTCAAATAGCATGATTGCTGAGACACCTGCCAAACAAAGGTATCGTAAGCCTTTGCTCATATTTTAATTAATTGGTGACTTAATTTTGTTGCTTTAAATTAAAATAAACAATATGAATATGAAAATAATTATAAATCAGCATAAGCCCAAAAAGTTTGAAAATCCTAGTTTTGGTCCTCAGTTTGCCTAAATTTTTAATTAGGTCTGCAGATAATTCAGAAAAATTTTCTGAGAACAATTTATATTTGTAATATGAACAGAGATATATTGTACGATCTAACTGAAAATGACTTAAAACAAAATGAACAGAGGCTTCTTCTTGCAGTTGAAGAGCTAAATGACTTACTATTCGACTTGGAGCAAGAGAAACAAGAACTAATAAGCACAAGAGACATGCTGATGGAAACCTTAAAAGAAATAGAACCGAAGCCAGAAAATATCATGAATAAAGTCAAAAATTTAGCAATGGGGGTATGGAATAATCTGGTTGATGGGAAAAGTGTTCACAGCCAAGATAGAGAAGAATGGGAAAAGATCATGAAAGAAATGGGATAGTTAGTTATCATTAATTCTAATAAAATGAGTCAGGATATTTTTAAAGTTGATGAAAACGGCCATGGACATCAAGATTCTTTGAGGGGAAGCTCAAAGGAAATAGAAGAAAGGTCAAACAGTCGCAGTTCTCATGTATCTATAGAAAATGGGGATCAGAACCATGAAGATGTGAATGTGGAATTTGAGCCTGACCAAGAAGAAATTGCTAAAATAACCAGAAAAAGTGAAATGGACCCAAATTATATCCTTCATATGGTTCCGCTATACTGCTGATGATATGGAGTACTGTTTTTGCTTTTTATTACTATGTGTCTTATTCTGGGATGCATGGGAACTTCAAGGTGGATTTATCAAGGAAAAGATGACACAAAATGGAGAGGAGGAATGCTTAAATGTGGAGGGTGCAGTGGTCCTTGGGAAGATAATTATTATTCGACTATTGCAACTGAGTGCTGCGATGATAACGATTATACAGGATTCTGTACAACTTTTAAGCATTTAAGAGATGCTGGAATCGGATTTGCAGTATTTGAAGCTGTGACATTGGCTCTCTTAACTTGTTGACTACTGAAGGTTTACATACTTATTAGGGGCTTTTATTTTCTAAGTGATAAAGTCTCAATAATTATAGCATCTTCCACACTTGCTTCCCACACAATTGCTCTTGGGATATGATACGGAGTAACAGAAGCTGGATTTAGTAGCTGCGATGATATTACTACAATAGCAGATGATTATGACATTTGTGCAAGTCATGGACCGATTCTGATTATAGTGAATGAGCTTCTTTTTGCTATTATTCTTGGAATATTTATTCTTTTGCTCAAAAAAAGATATCAAGCTAAAGAAATTAAAAGAGACATCGAGCTTACATAAAACCCAAAAATTATAATATTTTACTACACTAAACCATTTTAAGCATTCACACTCATTTAAGTAAATTCGTCTAAAGTAATTTCTAAACAATAAGAAATATGGGTGTGGAGCGATTTTCTTTTCTTTTGCTTTTTATTTCAGCTATATCAGCAAGTCCTTTATTCCTTGGGAGTTCACCAAATCCTAACTGTCCTGCTTACACTTGCAAGACTTCAAGCCAGCAATTTGTGAATAGCACATGCATATATTTTACTCCAACAGCTAGTACTCCTACATATTATGTTAGTCCATGCAGCTCTGTCAAGCTTCCTTATTGTCTACCTTCAACCAACAATAACTCTACATGTCAAGCAGCTACCCCAACACCTCCAGTGGCTCTATGTCAAATGACAGTTTATTTTTATAGTGACATTTTATTGAAGTTCATTTGGTCGAAATTTGACTTTTTTTCGGTCAAATGTCTCACTATCAAAAAATTTTCAACCAAATGTACTTCGGTAAAAATGCAAATTATTAGAAGTGAACGATCATTGGACTTCCGCCCCTTCCAGTTAATGCATGGCCTGGTGAAAAATGTTCATCCTCTTCAGATTGCAGTTCTCATGCAAGCAGAGGCTGCATTAATAACGTTTGTGTAGGAGGAAGCCAAGGAGACACTTGTAGCGTGAACGACGACTGTAATCCTAACTATCGTTGCCTTGGAGGAATTTGCCAAGCTCAAATCCCTGTTGGAGGAACAGGATGCGTGAATGATTATGATTGTGTAAATGGAGCAGGCTGCAATATTGCTAAAACTTCATCAGAAAGCATATGCTATCCCTATTTCTCTATTAATCAGCATTTGCCTGTCAGCTCTTGTTCATCCAATAACCTATCAATGCTATGCAACTCAGGACTTTGCATGGCAAATAATGAAGGCTATGAATGCATGGCCCCTGTAAAATCAAGCAGGCTACCTATGAGTTGTCAAGTTGACGGAGACTGTATGTCGACAAGAGATGACTATTTCCCGACTGGATATTTAACTGGAACTTGCTATTGTGGATACAATGCTAACTCTGCAAGCTATTGCTCAATCTTTGCTGGCGATAAGCCTTACTTGGAATATATTAATTATTTCAAAAATTGGCTGCAGTCTACTTATATCAAGAAGTGCAATACCATGAGAAGATTTACTGCTTCCTGCATGAAGGACTGGTGGACGACAAAGGAGTACAATTTATACATGTACTACTCTTTGAACGCTGATTATTATCCTCTAACCGTCAGTGGAGAATCTTGTGTGCAGCAAGTTTATCTGCCTCAGTGGTGGGCTGCAAGAAATGCGGTCTAAATAATTAAATTATTTTAATCAAAAATATGATAGTCATAATAAGGTAATTAAATATAATTGAAAAGCTATTATACCTTCAGAACAGGTATGGCTCGATCTGATACTCGCCATCCCTCCCCCTGACGCTTTAAGTTTGAACGAAATTGCTAATTCAAAATGGCAAGTCCCTCACTAAGGATTTGACAAGTCAAATTCAATTTGTTGATTTCAATAAAGCTGAAACCGTCAAAGGATGGGGGGAGGGGAGGGGGGTTCTCAGGTCGATCTAAAACCGTGCTCTCACGGTATATTTAGTTGATAAACATAATTTTTAACTTAAATAAATCATGCTAATTTTAATAAATAAATGCAAGCTCCTAAAAAGGAACAGCCCACCAGACTCAGAGATCTAATCAAAGCTGTACGTGCCTGCAAAACTGCTGCTGAAGAAAGAGCTGTCGTCGCCCAAGAAAGCGCTGAAATCCGCGAAAGCTTTAGAGACGAAACTTACAGGTTCCGACACAGAAGTGTTGCAAAGCTTCTTTTCATACAGATGATGGGCTACCCCACTAATTTTGGACAGGTTGAATGTCTTAAGCTCATTGCATCTTCAAATTACACAGAAAAAAGAGTTGGCTACCTTGGCCTTACCCAGCTTCTCAATGAAAAAGACGATGTTCTCATGATGGTCACGAACTCAATGCAGATTGATATGAACTCTTCCAATACCCAAATCATAGGAATGGCCTTGACTGCTCTTGCAAATATCGCCACCGCCGAAATGTGTCGAGACCTTTCCAAAGACGTGTGCAAGCTGATGAGCCATAATAATTCCTATATCAGAAAAAGAGCTACTATTGCAGGAGCCAGAATTGTTAGAAAATGCCCTGATCTAATAGATTAGATTAGATTCGATTAAAGTTAAATGGTCCTTTGGGGTTGCACTGAATTCAGGCTTCCCAGCCTAAGCATCGAGTTGCACTTACGCTCTTTTCTGTAGACGTGTCCAAAAAATGGTTACGCCAGCATATCTGGGAAGATACACCCACACCCAGGTACTTCCTTGGACAAACTCCTAGCAGTCGGCACCATCTAGCCGGAGATGGGGGATAGGATGCGACCGAATCATCCTTCTTTTCTTCTTGCCTTATGCATCAGAAGTGTGGAGTTTTCGTGTGAACTCTGGTCTACTTGTCTTTGAGTCGAGTTAAAAACCTTGTCGTGGTGTCCCGACCATGTATAAAAAACCTACCTCTGACACAATTTCCAGACCCCGTATCTCTTAAATCCACAAAACCCCGAAAGTGTGGGAGAAGGACGGGTCGGATAATTCACCATTTTATTTGTGTCTGATCTAATAGAAGATTTCCAAGGCGAGGTCCCAAAGGTGCTGGAAGACAGAAGCCATGTGGTTGTGATGAATGGGGTGAATTTATTGTTAGAAATCATAAAAATCCAACCAAATATAAAGCAAGCTTTTGTACAGTACTCGGGGCTTGTAGTGAGAGCTATGAGAAATTTGATACATACAGTCCATTCTCCAGAGCATACTATTGGAGGCGTCACTGATCCGTTTTTGCAGGTCAGTTTGATAAAACTTATGTCAAAAATAGCTGGGGCTGAGCCTTCTGAAGAAATGACTGACTGTCTCGCACAAGTCGCCACAAATACAGAACCAGCTAAAAACGCTGGTAACGCAGTTCTATACGAATGTGTTAGAACCATTATGGACATATCTTCTACAAGTGGTTTAAGAGTGCTCGCTACAAATATCATGGGAAGATTCTTGCTGAACCGTGACAACAACTTGAGATACGTCGCTTTAAATTCATTATTAAAACTGGTAAAGGTAGATTTATTAGCTGTGCAAAGACATAAGACGACTATTATTGATTGCTTAAAAGATGCAGATATAGCTATTAGAAAAAAGGCACTTGAGCTTACTTACTGTTTAATCAATGAGTCTAATGTAAAGCAGATCGTCAAAGAAATGATTGACTTTTTGATAGCTGCTGAGCCAGAATTCAAAGAAGCCCTTGTAACCAAGCTATGTTTAGCTATTGAACTCCATAGTCCTACTAAGCAATGGCACTTTGACAGCGTATTAAGAGTATTGACCCTTGCAGGTAGTTATGTTCCTGAAGAAGTTGTAGCTTCGACTGCCCATATCATTAGCTCGACTCCTGAGCTGCAATCTTATGCAGTCCATAAGCTATTTAATGCATTAGTAGATAATACAGAACAGCAAGGGCTTGTATTGCTAGCATTGTGGTCGATTGGAGAATTCGGGAATTTCTTGGTGAGTGAGACTCTTAAGACCTCTGATGGAGAACTTAAAGCTATGACTCCAAATGAAATTATACAAGGAGTCGAGAAAACGATGACTCCAATAGCTGCTGACATCTGCAAAGAATACGCACTGACTGCACTTATCAAGCTTTCTGTAAGAATTCCGCAAGCAGTCCAAAGCATCAGAAGATTGATAGAGCAGCAAATCAGCGCACTCAATGTAGAACTCCAGCAAAGAGCATGTGAATATATACAGTTGCTTGGAAGCAATTGGGACAGCATAAGAGGACCACTCCTCGAAAAGATGCCTATTTATGCCAAAGCTCCTGCAGTGGATATTCCTACTACAGACAGCAGCTCACCAGTTTTAGAAAAGCCAAAAACGCCAACCCAACCAAATTCTGCTCAAAATCTTCTTGATATTGAAACCTTAATATTTGACTCACAGCCTATTCAGCAATCTCAAATTCAGCAATCTACTGAAGTTCCTCAGCCACAATTCGAGTCTTTACTTGACCTATTTTCAAGCACCCCTCAGCCTTCTTTTCCAGCTCCAGTCCTAAATCCAGTCACAGGTGATATCTCAGAGCCTGATAAATTTGAAGATTTCGTAGAAATAACCCCTATTAAACATAATTTCATCGCTTTTGAAGATGAAGAAATAAATGTGGATTTTAATTGCACCAAGCCAGAGCCTGACGCTCTAGAAAATACTCAAATCAGCGTGATTGTGTCTAATAAGTGCTCAAAAGATATAGTAGGGTTTAAGCTATCAGCAGCAGTTTTGAAGCATCTAGAGTTCAGTTTTTCATCAGCTGCTAGCACTAGTATGATGCCTGGAGGCTCAATCCAAATGCAGATGAAGATGAAAAATAAGGCACAAGGCCAAAAACCAATAGCAATACGCATGAAAATTGATTATACTATAGACTCTGTCCCTCGATCAAAATTATCAACAGTAGACTCTTTCCCACCTAATTATTAGCTAATATTAGTTACATCTAATCATGTTACCTATAAATAAAAACTAGGTAAAGGAGGTCCTTGTCTTGGGGCGCCATTTAAAATGTTAAAGGCTGAGTTTCTTTTTGCATCTAACTCCCGCTATGAGCAAATAAAATATTTTGCCCGCTCATGGGGTTAATTTTTTTTAAATGATTTATAAATAAATTTTATAGTAAAAATTTATTTTCGAAGCAAATATTAATTGATTTGTAAAATTTATTTTTTAAAATACAAACTAAACAGAATTAGCTAGAGATTTCATTATAATAATTATTATTTATATATCAAGTATTTTTTCATAAAAATTTTTATATTAAAACAATTTTTGTTTGCACCGAAGGTGGGTTTTAGGTCAAAAAATAGGATTTTTCTAATGGTTTTGTTCGCTCGCTCGCAGATGAAGTAAGTTATACAGTCTCATCATAGCCCTCTGCTTTGCGAGATCATCTTTTCGTTTTAAGTACTCTCCTTGGTCTGTTGGGTCGTAGTCTAAAGTAATTGGATTAAAAGCTTCGCTTGGGTTATTTTTTTGACCATTTTTCCATTTCGATCTTCTGATTTCTAGCTTCTCGATTGATTTGGCATAATCTTGATTTAAAGATTCCCAACGGTTGATTTCTCTATTTATAGCATTTTCCCTTCTTTTATTGAAGGCTTCCATTTTTCTTTGATTTTCTAGCTCTCTTCTCCTACGTTCTTCAGCTGCAAAATCTCGCTCAAAACGTTCTTTTTCTGAAATAAACATAGTAGTTTTAGGCTCTGGACTTAGCAGGGTTTTAGCAGAATTATTAAGAAAAGGGTCAATTGAGCGATTTGATCTTGCTCGAGTAGGGATATTTTGATATATAGGCGTGCCTATAATAGGATTCATATTTAAGATTTTTATATAAATCATTAAATTAAGGCTAGAATGAATTAGAATCTTTTTCAGGTTTAACTTTTCCATGCTAAATTTGTAAAAATCCTTAGACTCACTTAAAAAATAAATCGAATCATCATAAACCTAATAAATGAGATTGGCGTTGAATAGAGTTTAGATCGAATTTGCTTACAGGGTTTCAATTGTGTAAACATTTTTCATACGCAAAAGACTTTTCCTTCATTTTGGCAGCATAATTCCAGCACTTCATATTAATTATTAAACCAGAAAGTATATTATTGCAATGAACTGAGCTTAAAACTTCAAAATGCAAAACAAGGTGCAATCTTAATAGTATAATTTAAATTTAAATAAAAAAATTTCAATCGGAAATTTAAAATTTATTTCTTGTCATCCTTCATCTTATTAGTATTTTTAAGTTTTATCATTTGACTCTATCAAGGCATCACATAAAGTTCTTTTTGAGAACGTTATAAATGGCCAACTCTGAAAGGCTAATACAATCTGCCGAAGACTTTTTCAGGGAAAACAAATTCCAAGAAGCCTTAGACCTGATCTCTTCCTCATCTCTGTTATCCAACTCATGCGACGCCTTAGTTTTAAAAGCAAAATGCTGCATAGAATTAAATATAATGAATGAAGCAGAGCAATGATTAAATGACGCCAAGTCTGCTACACGATCTATCAAAAATGCAAAAGAAAGAAATGATATGTGGGAACGGATTTGTCTGGTATGAGGCTGCTATAAAGAAAAATTAGGGAAGCCAAAAGAAGCTCAAGAGTTTTTTAAGCAAATTATTTCAACATCGTCTAATCAAGATAATAAAGCAATTGCACAAAATTCGTATAGAAGATTGTCATCAATAAGCAGCCCTGCTAGGATTCCAAATAGATCTGATGATGAGCTGGAAGAGTTTCTTTCTGAGTTCAGAGAGAATATGGCAGTTCATCCTGGATCTGAATGACATGTTGTAAGCTATACATGGTTTAAAGCATGACAGTTATACATTGGACTAACATCTAAAGAAGGTCATGAAGATCTACCATTTTCTTTTGATGAAAAAGCAGTGAAAACTTCTCAATCCCCAGGAGTGATTGACAATAGGGATATAATCAACCAAGAAGACTCAAAAATACTAGTCAACGATCCGGAAAGACCTTCATTCGGAATTAGTTTAAAATCTGGGGTCCAAGAAAATATAAATTACGTTTTGCTTCCAGACCCTGCTTTTCAAGTCTTAAAAGAAAAACATAAATGCAGCACTGATATAAGAAGATATGCAATTGAAGTAAATGATTCCATTTACCAAGTTGAAGTCTTTTTAAAATCAATCCACATTGGATGCATCCTTAAAAATTCGGTCAATCTTAGCCTTATGAATGTAAGCCGGAAAGACACAATTGGAGAAATCAAAAGAAAATATTTAGCAATAAAATCAGCCCCAAGGAACGCTAAGGTCTGAAAAATTAGCCTAAATACAATTTCGCTGCCTCGGCTTCAAGCTATGGTGAAAAGCAATGAAAAAGTATATATAGAAGGAGGAATTATATTAAAAGAAACCACAATTATTGATGATGCAGAAATTGGAGAAGAAGATGTGATGTTTATAGAAACTGGAAAAGAAAATAAATTTTATTTCACGAATGAAATCAAAGATATTTCTGAGCATTGTGTGTCATGTAATCAAGTTATCACAGCACCTGTATTTTGTAAGGACTGCAAAAAAATAAAATATTGCTCAGTTGCTTGTAGGCAAGAGCATCACTCCACTCATAAACGTAAATGCAAAAGACCTTCTAGAAGCTTTTTTGCGTGCTTTTTTTGTAAGCCATCTTATCGAGACAGTGATGAAGATATGGAAGAATACCACGTATCTAAGCCTAACACAAAATATGAAACACCTAAAGCATTTACTACAAAAACCAATGATGGGGCGACAGGATTACAAAACTTAGGAAACACATGCTTTATGAACTCAGCTTTACAATGTTTAGCCCACACAGAATGCCTTACTAATTATTTTTTAAATGAGCCATACAACAAAGAAATCAATAAATCTAACCCTTTAGGAACCAAAGGAAAATTAGTGGCTTCATATGCAGAAGTTTTAGAGCATATATACAAAGGAAATGAAAATTCTTTTGCTCCTTGAAGATTTAAGAAAACACTGGCAACCTTTGCTCCTCAGTTCGGAGGGTACCAGCAGCATGATGCTCATGAGCTGTTATGCTATTTGCTAGATGGTCTTCATGAAGATTTAAACCAAGTAAAGAAAAAGCCATATTACGAAGACCTGAACACCAAAGGTAAAACAGACCAAGAAATCGCAGTCGAAAGCTGAGACCGGCATATTTCAAGAAATCAGAGTATCATAGTAAACACTTTTCATGGGCAATATAAGTCAACTTTACTATGCCCTAAGTGCAAGAATTATTCTTACACATATGATCCGTTCAATTCTCTTTCTTTGCCTATCCCTTCATCTCAATCATCTGGGAGAAAGCTGAAGCTGTATTTTGTTAAAAGTGATCCTCGCTATGCAGCTATTAGAATGGCTTCAGATGTCACAGAAAATACAAGCTTTGCGAGATTGAGAGAACATATTTCAACAACATTAAACGTAGAGCCTGAGTCCTTTATATTTAGCTCAGTCTTAGAAAACTGTGTAATTGGGCTGCCAAGCGATGATAAAAGAATAGAAAGCTTTAAAAATGGAACTGTCATTGCATATCAAGCAGATACGGCTTTAGAAAATGTGTTTGCTGTAGAAGTTCGGGTTACTAAAGAAAATTCAAGGAATAAGTTTGTGACATTTCCTCGCTTTATTTTCCCTGCAAAAAATGCGAATTTCTTTAATCTTCACTTTGAAGTGTTTAAAAAATTTGTAGTATATATAGAAAAATTATTTCAAAGTTCCGGGAATATTAAAAAATTATATGAAAAGCATGATGAAAATCCTTGCTATTTGTTATATTTTAAGCCTGGGAGAGGGATAAACTGCTGTCCATTATGCAAAAAAGTATCTTGTAAAGGTTGCGAGGTACCAAAAAATGAAGAGTCTATAGATCAATTATTTAATCAACGAGCAAGAGTTGTATTAGAGCTGGTATGGAAACAAAACTGTTCTGATTATGGGGTAGACCTAGAAATTCTTAATAACAGCACTGATCACCCCTCAGTTTCTTCTAACTCCCTATTCTTGATAGAGCGATTTCATCGAAAATTTCCTCAAAAATCGTGAATTGAATTACTATCCTTGATCACAATTTTCATATAGATAAGCATAAAAATAAACCTATCCTATATACCGCTTAAAATCTAACGAATCTTTTGAAGCATAATCACTTATTCGCAATTATAATCTGGTTTTGCATACTGCTAATATATTGCATACTCTATCTGTTATGACTAGTATATAAAATATTTTATATGGAAAAGTTTCAGCAGTAAAAAATTTATATTATAATTATTTTTTCCGAAATATTCTAAATTATTAAACAAAAGATGAGGGAAGAGTAAAGGAAAAGCCCAAGAAAAGTTTTCTTCAATCAGTATATCTGAGTGCTTTCAAATGTTTAGAGTTGCTGAAGAACTAGAAAAAGAAAACGCATGGTATTGCCCTATCTGTAAAGTGCATGTCCAAGCTACAAAACAGCTAGAAGTTTATAAAGTCCCACCTGTCCTTATAATTCATTTGAAACGATTCAAAACACATGGATTTTATAGAGAAAAACTCGGGGCTGCAGTAGCTTTTCCAGAAAATGGGCTTGATATCTCAGAATTTGTAATAGGACCAGATCGCCCTCCTTTATATGACTTGTTTGCAGTTTCAAATCACTTTGGTAGTTTAGGTGGAGGCCATTATACAGCAACCTGTAGAGATTCCCAAGGCGGATGACTTGATTTTAACGACTCACAAGTGAAATCTGGCGGAGAAATATCAAATACGTCAGCTTATTTGCTGTTTTATAAAGCAAGATAATAAATTATTATATATATTAATCTCTTGGCGTTTTAATATCATTAAAACCAGGCAAATCATTCAGAGGAATTCTCCTATCAAAAGGCTTGAATTTGTTATCAAGTTCGTCTTCTGGAAGCTGAACAATCTCATAAATTGACTCAATAAACATTTTCAGCCTATTCAAGTACTCTCGTCTGTGTTTTATTTCTATATCATTATGGCCAGCATTTTTTACCCACCATGGTGGGAAGCCATATCTTACAAAACTCGCAAGCCTTTCTGCATGCTTCAAAGGAATTTGCTTGTCATCTATTCCATGCAGTAGAAATATTGGGCACTTTATATAAGGAATTTTTGAAATATTTGAAAAAAAATCAAACCATGGGGATGCAGATACTTTTTTTGAAAACATATGCAGAGCTGATGCAATTGGCCCATGCAAAATAACCCCGCCGACCTTAGATCAAGAAGCTAGCTCACAGGAAGGCACTGTTCCAATAGACTGTCCATAAAGTACAATATATTTTCAAGAAATCCCTCTCACATTTATAAGGTAATCATAAGCAGCTTTTATATCTGCATAAATATTTTTTTCTGAAGGTTTCCCTGTGCTTTGTCCATATCCGCTGTATTCATAAATAAATACATTCACTTTAAGCTGAACTGACAAATCTGCAATGAAATTCCTCATAATCCCAATGTCAGTTGAGTTGCCATGTGAGAAAATCAAAGTAAATACCGCATGCACATTTTTAAAATAAATTGCTGGTATGATTTGCTTCCTTTCTGTTTTCAGCGTAATAATTTCACTACTAACTCAGCCTACTTCGATTGGTTTGGTTTGGCATCCATTTTCGTCTATTAATAACATTTGGTAAGCATCTTGGACTTGTTCAATAATGTACCCTGGAGGCTTTGGAGGATGAAAAGCAAAGCTTCTTGTGATTTTATCTCTACATCCAAAAGTAGAGGTACAGCAAAAACAACACCTTATGAGATCCATTTATTCTTAAGTCAATTATATCAATTCTGTCAGTATGAAGAAAATTTATTCCATAGTGGATTCACTGATGAGATGTTTGAAATTTTATTTAAGAGCTAATTTTGCTGGTTATAAAATTAGCGGAATAATTCAACAAATGTGAAAGAATGATTAAGATAAAATTGGATAACAGATCTTTCGCCATAATTTTATGTGGACTCTATAAAATTATCTTAGAGCCGAATAGTTATAAAGGTTAAATAAGCTTGCAATCCGACCGTATTTAGGGCAAGCCCCAATTAAAGTTGGTCTAACTCCCCCCCTCCGTGAGTGAACAAAAATTTTTTTTAATAGAAAAATTTTTTATGGAAAAAAAATTTGATATATAAATGATAATTAGTATAATGAAATCTAGAGCTAATTCTGTTTAATTTTAAACAAATTGCTTTTTAAAACATAAATTTTATAAATTAAATTAATATTTGCTTTCCAATTTTTTGCGAATTAGGATTTTTTGAAATTTCGAAAAACAATATTTTTTATAAAAATTTATATATAAATTTTTTAAAAAAAAAAAAATTAACCCCCCTCCGTGAGTGAACAAAATTTTTTTGTTCACTCACGGAGGGGGGGGAGTAAGCATATAAGTTAAATTCTATTAATCAATATGGATTGGAAAAATTTAAACGTTTCAAATGAAATAAAATAAGAATGAAGGAGCTTTTCAGAAAATTAATATTATTCCCTGCATTTTATTGGTAATTAAGCAAATATATATGCTATTTGCCTCAAATGAAATTTGAATGCAAAAGCCATTCATTTAATAAATAAAAGTGAATATGGCGCAATACCTAATTAGATGTTTAGGTTAAACAATATAAAGTGTCGGAATTATTTTTTTCAATTATGATCATGCTACAGATAATTGATTTAAGACCATAAGATAGCTGCACTAAAATTAGTCAAGAAGAGAAATTTCCTCATCAATTAAAACAAATTTTATCTAATAAGTTTTAGATATTCAATAAAAAAAATTATGAATCTATTATCATGCGTCCAATGATAAAAAAATTACTTTTTCCATAAAATTATCACTATAAACTTCTTCCTCTGTAATCATTGCTTATACAAACTTTAAAACTTATTTAATATGATATCTTCAAATTCTTTGAGATCTATTTCACCATCCCCATTTTGGTCCACAGTTTTAATAAGCTCATTCCACAGCTCATTATTCGTCGCATTTTCTCCTTGCAGCATCTCTTTCAGCTCTAATGCTGAAATTTTCCCACTTCCATCTCTGTCAAACATTTCAAAAGCAATTTTCAAGTTTGACTGCGACGCGTATTTTTGCTGATCAACTGCAGCTTTTAGAAACTCTGTATAATCTATATAGCCATTTAAATCTGTATCAACTTCCCTCATAATCCTATCTACATCTTCTTCTGTAATTCCTCCAGGTTTTACATACCCTCTGATAAGCTCTTCTCTGCTGAGTTTTCCATCACCATTGGTATCTAGAGCTCTGAACATTTCTCTTGCTTCTTTTGTGTCATTATTACTTGTGAGCTGAGTAACAATATAAGTGTTTACGGCATCTCTAAGCTTATTGGTTGAATTGTAATTGGTGAGGTGCTGTAAGGTGGATTGGAGTTTGCCGTTATCTACATTATTGATGTTTACATCTCGAATCCAAGGATGGTTTAAAGCTTCAATAGCGCTGAGTCGGTCCTTCTCAGGCACTAAAAGATGCCTTATCAGATCTTTTGCAAATTCAGTGACTTTATTTCAGGTGGAGCCTTTAAAACTATAGTTTCCAACTTTTACTTTCTGGATAATTTCTTCGTCATTTGCACCTTCAAATGGAGGATAGCCAGCAAGTAGTACAAAAGCGATAACTCCGGCACTTCACATGTCACATTTTTCTGAATAACTGCCAGCCAACACCTCAGGGGCTATATAATAAGCAGTTCCTAAGGCTCCTTTGACTTTAGAGCCTGGATTGAATTTTGTTGCTGTGCCAAAATCAATTAAGCCTGGCTATATCAATATTCATAAAAAGCTAATTATTTTCTCCCTTTGGTACAGAGAACCTTAAAAGTATAACTTTATATTCAAAAAATCTGAATGATCGTCAAGCAAAATATTTTCTGGCTTTAAATCTCTATGGATTATATGCTTTGAATGTATATAAGCCAGGCAAGAAAAAATCTGTTTCATTATAATAGCAGTTTCCTCCTCTTTAAACTGCTTTTTTTTCATGATTTCTTCGAAAAGTTCTCCGCCTCTACAGTGCTCCATAACGATATAAAAATCAGCTGGATCTTCAAAAAATTCGTATGCCCTTACTATACTTGGGTGATCCAGAATTCTTAAAATTTCGATCTCCTTTACTAGTTTTTCTTTGTCTATTTCATTTGTGAAAATGTCTTTTTTGAAAATTTTTACAGCTCGCCTCGCGTTTGTTTTTTTATGGGTGCAAAATCTCACCTCACCAAAAGCTCCGGAGCCTAGTGAACGACCAAGCTTGTAAACTTTTAAAAATGACCTTTGATTGATCTGAACAAAGGTACTCGGCAGGATTTTCAAATCTTCGACTTTATGTACAAAAGCTGTTGTCTCTTGAACTCGTTTCGTTTTGCTGGGAAAGCAGCCCATGTTATCAACAAAATAATGGTAAAACATAATGCAAGAATTAAATAGAAGCAATTACTCAAATTCAAATTGTATAATATTGGTTCTGTAAGATTACATAAGTTTAAATTGAGAAAATTATATTGATTATTTGTAAAAATATAAAAATAAATTGGCGTGTCTTGATGTAATTCTCTCAATCCCCACCTTTTTGAATTGGGTTAAATATCTGCAAAATTTCCATTTTTTGATGCTTGTCCCCTTAAATTTGAGCAAAAATATAATTTTTATTAAACTAGTTTTGGCTAAGTTAATGAAAAAGTGCATGCAGAATTGTATTTAATAATTTTTGAATTAATTCTTACTCCCCCCCATCCTTGATCGAACGACTCGCCATCGTTCGATCAAGGATGGGGTTAAAAAAACATTTTTTTGGAAAAAAAAAATTATATATAAAATAAAATATATATATAAATTTTTTTTATTTACTTTTAAATAAGAGGGTTAAGAGTATTTAATAATTATTTTTACAGCAAAAAATTGAATTAATTTCATAAAAATACCAATTTTTTTTTATATTTTGATTTATTAGTTACCCCTTTAAACTGTATAAATTTTAATTTGCTACTTATTAAATTAAAATTTGTTTTTTAAAAAATCTCTATTTTATTAGATTATTGAGTTTTTAAAGCCCATGTTGATGACTAAATTACTTTAAATAGTTGATTCCGAAGCTTTCTATCGTCTCAAAGTCTCTGAAAACAACTTCATTAGGGTACATCTTCCCAAGCTTTTGATAACTATTATATTTTTTTATATATATAAAAATTTGCATGATATGAAAATCGTTCGATCAAGGATGGGGGTTAATTTCCCCAATTTTTAGGAATTTTTACAGTCAATCGTTCGACCAAGGATTGGGGGGGAGTTAATAAAATAAATTAAAATTCAAAATATTGCATTATTTAATTAAAATTTTTTATAAATTATTTTTTTAAAAAAGCCCCCTTTATATTGAAGCAGGATTGCTTCCATTTTAAAGCTCAGAAGTAATCAACTTTTACACCCTCAGGCAATTTTATTATTATGGGCTCAGATTTCCAAGTAAACCTTTATCCAGCTATAGATAAAGCAACATCCTAGCACATAGGCTGAAGCGTCTGATTCATGGGCTTTAGAAGGCATAAATTTTTACCTCTTGATACTTTCAAGAAGGGAGATCTTAGATGGAGCATGCGCAAGATTATAATTCAGAGCGAGGCAATATGTCACGTGAGGTTTTCTGGCAAGGTGAAGGTGCCTCTTGTTCTGGATTTCAGAGTCCTTCGTAAATGGCTTGAAGTTGGAGCACCTAAACTTTGAGTAAAAAGAGCACCCAATTTCACCCGAAGGAGAAAGTATCAAACTAAGCAATTAATTAAATTTCTTAATTATTGTAAAAATGGATATTCAAAGAAATTGGGCTATTTAAAAAATCGTCAGGCATAAATATGTATTTCTTTTAATTTTTTGAAATTATATGCACTATGAAGGGTTGATAAAAATAAATTTTTCCTATTTTTAGCAATCATTTTTTAAATAGTAGCATATGATTTTGCCTAAGTTTTGTATTATAGTTATAAATGATTTCAAAATGGCTTAGAAATCAGAAGTAAAATATTCTTTACAAAAGTAATCCTATTGACTAATACTTTAAGTAAACTTGCAGAGAAAAATTTTAGTGACGTAAAATTTGACTGTCAAGCTGAACTCCTGTTTTTGTGGCTCAATTAACTACATTTGAATTATCTCGTTGCATAAAAAGTTAGATGAAAAATGTGTTCTAAATCGTCCTTATTCATTCTTAATTGTTTATAAACTATTTATTTTCAATAAATATCAATAAAACTGCCTGTCTCCGCTATTCTTAAGTGATTCTTCTCGACAATTCCATCTTTGCCTCATTCAATTGGCGAATTTTCTCAATGAATTATAATCAATAATTCCTAATAAAATGGATCACACTGAACAACTTACACATGAGCACAAAGAACTTTCACAAAAATTTTTGTTTGCAAGGCTAGAGACATACAATTTTTATAATAGAGACCCCAGCCCTGTCATGAAAACTAGAGATAGGCATCAACCTTGCAGAGGGGAGATTAGAAAGGCTCAAGAGTCAATTTCACATATATATTATCCCCCTAATAATGCCTATAGATTAATAAAGGGTTAGGATAGCAAAATATCGAGGATTTCAAAAAAAATGACAGGTAATATAGGTAAAAAAGTATATACATAATTGTAAGAGTGAAGACTTTATGAACCCAGCGTTTACACAAATTAAGCTGTATAGAGGATAATTGCAGGTTAACAATAAATGTAAATAAATAATTTTGCATTAAATTGATGCTCTTCCCTTCTTTAAAACGAACAAAATTTCGAGTAACTTTTATTGAAGAAAAATCAGTAGGTTTGATTTAAATTGGGATGGAAATTAGCTATTGATTAGCCAAAAAAATGGAGATCGCAGGTTTTATTACTGAACCCAAAAACGGAAGAAATTCTGATTTTTGCTAATAAATATTTGGTTATCTAAACAATTTAACTGTTTTAGTAAAGGTTTATAGAATTTTCTGAGCCAAATTTATTGCTCTAGAACAGGTGAATTAAATATTTTTAACTTTCTGAATTAAAAGGCAAGGATTTGAGATATCAATTTGTTTGTTTAAATTTATAAGTTACTTACAATGCTCTAATCTGGTTTTTTTCTTAGGGACCGGTAAATCAAAGCCACTGGGCCTTGCATGCTTTTCAGGTATCATAACTTCAGTTAAATAATTGCTAATGGGGTTTTCTATCAACTGCGTCTGGCTGATAATCCCACTACACTGGGTCATTCTCTCTATATAAAGATGATGAGCCATCGTCTCTACAGTTTTAGCATACAATTCAAATTTGTATACCATCCTCGGAAACGTAAACAGCCGATTTTGCTGCTCAGAGCTTGCCTTTTGTGTCTTCTCCACTTTGAGAAGATATTTTTGTGCATGGGATCTTACCTGAGCGATGGTTCTTGTCATTACATGCCTTTCAATTTTACTTCAATCTTTATCGTAGAGCTTTAAAGCTTCTATAAACCTTTCTTGTTCTTCTCTAGTCCACCTTCCTCGGTTGACTGAATTATTTGGGTCAGATATCATGTCTAATATATATAATCAGCAAAGTGTTCTAAACGATTTTATAAATCAAATTTATAGCCCCGCGGGGTTTTGTGAGAATATGAGGAGGAATATATATTAAAGTCAGCACATACGTTACCTTAGGATTAAAAAATGGAAATCAGTGCTTTTTATCCAAATTAATCATAAGTTTGCTACTTAAATAAGCAATTTTATGCATAATCTTTGGAGATTGAGAATCTTGCAGTGCCTCAGAAATCTTAAAGGACTGAGCTTATGCATTTTTCACTGGAAAAATTGGGTAAGCTCAAAAATTGATATAATAAAATAAAATGAAGCCGCAAGACAATGCAATGACATCTAGAAAAGCGACGAGGTTACGATTTTTGGAGCAAGAAAGTGATCATCTTTTTGCTTATAAAATTGATCTAGAAAAAGTTCTAACGAAAACTAAAGAAGTTCTCAACGATTTACTCTCAGCCAAAGTGTATTCTTCAAGCCAACAGCTTGATGGCTCATGTGAAGATACAGCTTCAACGTCAAATATTTTGTTCAAAAGTGTAGAAGTCACTGCAGCTGAAAATATGGAATTGTTTAATTCAATATGCAAAGCCCACTACGCAAGAGACACAATTGATGCCAAAGTCCTTATTTCTCAACAGATTACAGAAGAATACTCTAGAAAAGAAGAAGAAATTTTAGGAGAACTTGATGAACAAATAAATGATCTAAAGTATTTATTGGAAAAAAAAGTAAATAGAATTAATTTACTTAACTCGAAAGTAAAAGACATGGAAGACCACCAAGCAAAATTAAACAGCGAATGCACTTTGCTTTTGCCACTTAATAGTGATAGCCTGAAGGTTCACGTACAAATGGAATACCTTAAAGAGAAACTTTTAAAAAGATTAAAAGAACTTCAGTTCTGCGAAATGCAAAAAGATGAGCTAAAAGTACATGCTGCAGGTTTAGAAGAAAAAATAAGAAAATATTTATTGCTGGTAAAAAATCCGTTGCTGAAGAAAAAGAAATATATAAATGCACAAGAAAACAGTCAAGAAAACATTATTGTGGATTCATTGAATGCGTCTAATTCATGTGAAGCTATTTTTCCAGATAATTTTTTAATTGAAGCAGAAAAAGGCATAATTCCAAATTTGGATTATGGATCTTTACACCAGAAAGATAAAGTCTCTATTATAGACATCAATAGTGGAAAATCTCGGATTAGAGAGAAAGTTAAAGAAATGCAAGCTATGTGTAGTAAAAAATCAGAAGATTTAAATAATTTAAGACAACTCGTGAGAGATCAAGACGCTAATATAAAAAATCTTGTATCGCAAATTAAGTTTTTGACAGAGGAAAGTTCTGAACAAGAAAATGTGAATAATCAGCGAAAGAGAAAGAAAGCTATGAGTAATCCATTGGAGTATCTTACTCCCCCCCCCCCTCCGTGAGCGAACAAAACCATTAGAAAAATCGCCATTTTTTGACCAAAAACCCACCCTCCGTGAGTGAACAAAAATTTTTTTAATAGAAAAAATTTTAATGGAAAAAAAATTTTGATATATAAGTGATAATTAGTATAATGAAATCTAGAGCTAATTCTGTTTAATTTTAAACAAATTGCGTTTTAAAACATAAATTTTGCAAATTAAATTAATATTTGCTTCCCAATTTTTGCAAATTAGGATTTTTTTAAATTTCGAAAAAAATATTTTTATAAAATTTATATATAAATTTTTTTTTAAAAAAAAAATTAACCCCCCTCCGTGAGCGAACAAAATTTTTTTGTTCGCTCACGGAGGGGGGAGGGGGAGTTAGTGGGAATAATGAAGAAATCCAAAATAAGATTAAAGAGATGCCGAAGATACAAATATATGAGGCGGAAAATATTGAAGATATGGATGAAGAAGAGGATTATTATCCAAATGAATTAGTTAGTTTTATCGCGAGTGATGTAGCTAAGTGTGAGTTTGAAGAGCCTGATAGTTTACTGGTTGGCTATATTAATGAAATCCATTAATTCAGTAAATCATTTCAGAACTTTAGATTATTTTTCAAGGTTTTATTGACAAAATAATCTTGAAATAATAGGATTAACACGTTTTGGCTATAATTCAAAATTTAAATATAATTTAAAATACATGATAGCAAAAATTAAATGTTTTGCCCATTATTAATTACATAAATGTAAGTTATTGATGAGTGTCATCATCCATCATAGTTTGTAATTGCTTCCAGTACTTTTTCATTCTTTCTTGTTTTTTCAACTCAGAAATAAAAGGGTGTTTCCGACCCTGGCAATGTGCCCTCGAGCACATATTTAATTATCTCCGGCAAGGCTTTTCCAGCCGAGAGGAATAATATGCTAGGTAAGCAACTCCAACAGCGTTCAGGGTCTAGCCATAGCCAATTTTCAGAGTTGAAGTTGCATCGTGAAGAGCAAGCTTGATGTTGCAAAGAGATAGGGCCAGCAAAGCCTTCTAGCCATTCGATTAATTCCTAGCACCATACCGGAAGCTGTGACTTGTGCAGCAGCTCACCCCTTTTGCCGACAACCTGCGAGAAAATCCTTTTTTGTGTTTCTGCGCAGGCAACTCACTTAAGCTCAACAACCGTCGAAATCGGAACACAGAAGCCGAGGGACTATTCAGATCAAAGATTGGCGCATAGCATCAGATAGGCGACTGAAGCAGTGACAGAAACCGTGTGGGCAGTGTATTATTCGACGTTAAACGATATAAATCTTAAAATCATTCTTTCTTGTCTTTCAACTCCTTTTTTTCAAATTTCAGTCCCAATATTAAAAGCGCCTAGTCCACCTAAAACATAATATTTTGAAGGCCTTACTCTTTTGTAGTCATCTAAGGTGTAGGGTCTGTATTTTTTGGACCTCTTTTTACCTGCTTCTGTTGCAACATTTTGAGTGTTATTTTCTCTGGGATTGGAAAAAGATCTATCAAAAGTAATTGGTGTGTACAGCTTTCTTTTATTGTGAGAATTAGACCTCATTGTAGGTGTCAAAGATTTGACTTCGTTAAATTTGTTGTGTATATTCAATCTATTTGGACTTGCTGATTGATTAGATATGAGAGTTCTAAATATTCTTTCTTTCCCAACAGATTTTTCGCTTACTTTATTTTATTAATAAGATAAATATTAAAAATAGTCCTCTATTTATTATGTTTTTAGTAAGGACGGCTTTTAGCTCGCTCTAGGCTACCACCTTTTGGTATAACTCATAGAGTTGGTAGCCCAGGGCGAGCTATAAGCAGCCTCAGGCTATAGCATAAATTAGCAAAGAGCAGTTATAAAATGTAGGAAAATTAGGAAAGAATTAGAGAAATCATGGGATCTAACTTTGGCTTTGCGTTGGATTTTGCGCCTACAAATACAGCACTATGAGAATCATTGATAAAAGCAGATATATCATGATCTATCATAGAATAGTTGTCCTTATATACCTGATTCGGCTTTACTGCTTTATTTACTGGGACAAATTCAGAAAATGGATCAGACCTACCCCGAGTCTTTATGCCGAGATTAAATCGCTGAGCAAATGTAGTATCCATCGCTATGCTGTAATTAAATAAATTAAACTCAAAATAAAGCAACATTGAATAAGCTTATATCCTTTTGTTGCTAAAAATTAAACTATCGATTATACGATGTGGAACTGCATATACTCCTTTTAATTATATTATTATTTTACATTTATTGGGCGAGATTATTAAATAGCAGTTATCTTTGTTTCATTATCCATACTTAATTTTACCTCATAATAATTACTCAATTCTTTAATTATTTTTCTATTCAGTATTATAATTGCCATGGGTTTCATGAAGCTGCTAACCTTTTAGGAGTAAGTTATAGAATTTGCTAAATTTATCTTATTCATGATATAAGCCTAAACCGCATCAAAATTTAAAGGTAAGGCCTTGTTTGAGGTTTATGCGTAATTTTCGAAACTAAAACTCTTTATTACTTCAGTATATTTTTTGGATAAATTTAAATATCAAATATTAAGAATAACTTTCAAGATATTTCCTTTATTTTATGAATCTATCTAAATATCTATTTGTTACTTTATTGCTATTCTTAAGTCAAAAAACAATTTGTTTAATTTAACTTTTGCTATGAAAAGCAAATTAATTTTTCACAAAAAAGTTTTTAATAAATGGAACCTCTTGTAATTCAAGAGCAAATTATTGAAAAAGAGTCCACAAAACTCGTCTCATCCCTCGAAAAAAGTAACCCATAAACAGAAAATTACGACATGATTGGGTCAAATGGCGTTTTCGAAGTGAAGCCTTCAGTTCTCACATTTGCAGGATATGAAATCAAAAAATGCCAAACAAAAAAACTGCTGATCAAAAACATCTCAGGCACCCCTCAACGCATGAGCATTTTACCTACAAACACTCCTTTTTTCAAGCCTAAATACAATAAACGAGGCCAGCTTGCTCCAGGGATGTCAGAAGTTGTGTATATCCAGTTCACTCCTCCAGAATGGAGATATTACTATGACTGCATACGATTTTTAAGCCCAGGCGGGAATTTAAATATTCCAATCCATTCTTATCCCGTCATGAACAAAAAAGAGCGATATTTGCCTGCACTTTTAGATATGGGGAAATGCAACATAGGGGAAACAATTACCAAAAAAATTGATCTAGAAAGCACTGTTCCTGTAGCTTTTGAGTATGAATTGAGATTTGTAGAAGAAAATAACGATTTTAGAATAGACCCACTCAGCGGAGATGTTCCAGGGCAGGATAAAGCAGAAATTACTATCACTTATGAACCAAAAGCAGCGTCAACGTCCACATGTGAAGTGGAGCTTAGGCTAAGTGAGTTTGATTATCGGCCAATTACGATGAAACTTATTGCTTCAGGGATGCACAAACAAATGGAAACCCCTATGATGTCACGAATCGACTCATCTCCTATCATAAATAGAACACTTCTAAAAGGAAATAAAGAAACCTCCTTTGAAAGAGCCCCTAAAAAACTGCCTGAAATAGTCCCAAAACCATCAAAAACTTTAACAAAGTTCGCACAAATGCTAGTTAAGCCAAAACTTATAGACAGAGTTATATATGAACAGCAATTTAATACAGAATATCGCAAGCTTGAAGAAGGTGATAGAGAAAAAGAATTTAAAATATACCAATGCATAGGAAACCCTCATCCCTCAGAAGAGTTGATAAAAGAAATAATAGATTTAAGAGCAGAAAAAGACTACAATAAAAATGAAGAAATGAGGAATAAAGACTGTATGAGAAATGCACACCAGGTAGATCAAGATAAGCCTATTAATGATGTTAGCTTTACACCGCTTAAAAAACCGACCTGGGATCCCTACCAAAATGATGAATTCAGTTTAAGACAACTCCCTTTGCATAGACTTGTAAGAGCTGCAAATAAAGTAATGGTGCAGCTTAGAGTTTCTAAAAGAATTGAAATGATCAAAAAAGTATTGACTGAGCATAAGGTCAATAATAGAGAAGATGCCAAAAAGTTTGTAGCTTGGGATTGAAAAAGAGCAGATTTAATAGGAATTGGGAATAAGGATTTTATTCCATTCGAGTTTACTATTAGTCAAGATGAAATAAAAAAATATGAATTTCCTACTGAGTATGAAAGAGTAATAAATGGTGACGCAACGGAAACTGACTCTTAAGCGCACTCCCTATGCATATGGGGCCTAACCTGATGAGGCTGAAGCAGGGCCTCTGCTTCTTTTTAATGGAAGCCTTAAGGTTTTTTGGAAACCTTGCCTACAGGGAAGTTTTATTTCTCCACGAAGGTTTTCATGTCCTTGCCAATAGGCTAGACAGGTTTGCCCATGAACTTCTCTAAGTGAGACCATCAGGGCACTCACAGACAAATGCTTTGCCCTAGGGAGCTACTCCCTTAAACAAGTTTGCAGGTCGGAAATCCAAAATGGCGACTGCTAGTTGGTTTGCCCTCTTATGGCCAGCATAAATTTAAATTAATTTTTAACTGCTGAATATGAAGAACATTTAGATGAATTTAAACAGAAAATTGATATCGAGCCTTTAAGCGCTTTTGAGTCAATTCAGCCTTTAAAGCTAATCGAAACACAAGATTTCTTGATAGCTGGCTATAATGACTTTTTGCCCCCTCCTGTTAGCCACTATATCCCAATAGAAAAAGAAAGAGAATTCCGAGCTGGAGCTGAAGAAGAATACTCTATATGTTTAGAAAGAGGCGAATTTCGAGATGATCCAGTCCTTTCTGTGCCTAATTCCTGTCTAAAACCTATGGTAATTGATGCTGTTGGATTAGTAAGGCCTCATCCTACTTTAAGAACTTACCTTACCTTATCAGCTTTAACTGAAACTTCTCCTGAATTCAGCTTGCTACCTAAAGAATTTCCAAGAGACTATCCTGAAGAATACCCAGGCTTTACCCAGCCTTCTCTATCATTTTTAGCTCAAAAATGGAGACCAAAGTATAACTATTCATCTCCGCAGTTGCCAGAAAAGCTTAAAGGGATGAGACCTGCTGAAATATTGAGCGACTCAGACTCAGAAAGCGAAAATACATTTGCGATGGATGTACCTGTGCTTGATCAGTACTTAGCAAGCTTTGAAAATGACGATGAAGCATTAAAAGGAGAAAAAGTAAATGCGAAAGAAATAGCAATGAAGACATTGTGTGAAGAAATTACTAAAGGGAGACAAAAAGATTCAGCTTGGTTGCCAACTCAACTTGTGGCGGCAAATAAACAGATTTCTGATCCAGATCATAAAGTTTCAATTTTTAACTAATATAGTTTTGTGATGACTAATAAGGATATAGGAAGCTATAAATTTGGAAAATAATTCATAGATTTCTAAGAATCAATAAGATTTTGCAAATTTATAAATAATTCTAAAGATATGAGGAAAAATTAAACTTTACTCCCATTGAGCACTTTGCATACCCCTGAACTTCTGTATTTTTCAGCCAAATCGACAGCTGTCTTTCCGCCATTATCTTTTATCCACTTATCAGCTCCATTCTTCACCAAAATTTCTGCAATTTTTTCTTTATTATTAATAGCAGCAACCATCAATGGTGTTCACCCTTCCCCAATTTCTTGGACATCAAAATCTGGCTCATATTTAATCAAAAATTCAAGCATTATTTCATTTCCTGTTTGTGCAGCAATATGGGATAGGGTTCAGCCAGACTGATTTAAAGGAAAATCCACTGGGAAGCCAAGCCCTATATGAGCATTGACCACGTCTAATTCGCCTCTATAAGCTGCATTAAGGACTTCTTGTACATGTTTTATTGCATAGGAGTCAAAAGTAGACATTGAGGATCGATTTGTGCTGTTTCTGTTGTTAGATCGGATCGTGTTTCTTGTGTGGAATTCTTCAATAGCTTTTGTCATATCGTTGTTTCTGTCAAGAGATGCTGTGACTTGCTCTTGGCAGCTTGGCTGCAAGGCTGGGCGCTTTTTTTGCCTTTTTGACTGAGATTTAGAGCAGGTTTCTCCCATTAGATTAATTCACCTGAATTTAAAATAAGCCTATTTTGAGGAATTTAAATGTTTCTAATAAAAAATAGTCTTGTCATTTTCGGCTGCCAAAATAATGTGTGTTTAATAATTATATTTAATTGGTGAATTTTTAGGCTGCATATTTGATTTATGAATATATCAAATCGCCAATATAGCTTTAGTACTCTTTTGGATCGAGTTTCACTATATTTCCCGACGGAAGAGAGGAGTTAGTGTAACTAATTAATGTTTTGGTTTAATAAACTCCCAAATGGCAGGGCCACTTGTTGCAAGGTTTCTACCATTTGGTAAGTTTGTCAAGCCAGCATTAGTTGGTAATGATCACCTCACCTCTTTCCTTTCAGGAAAGATAGGAAGCCCAACCATAAAGGTGCTCGTGCTATATACTGAATGAGAAAATTAAATTATCTATAAGGATAATTAACTAATTACCTTTCTTGTTCTTCTCTGAGTAAATTATATAAAGCATGCGAGATTCTACAAGAATGGCTAAGTAATATATTATGCATATCACCACAGTCAAAACAAGCCCAGTCATACTTCTCTCCAACACTGCATAACCTAAATAAGAAATAGAAGACCCCCAATACATAGGATCCCCACACACTGAGTAAGGGAATGCAGTGACAGGCTCAGAAAGTGTAAAAATCCCAAAATAATCTCCCAAAAAGGTGGCAAAAAATCCAAGCCTGTAGAACGAAGTCCACACAAACATTTGTCCAATTCCTATCAAAAGATAAGCAAGAATATCTGTAAAAAAGGAGTCATGAGCGAGCTTAGGTTGCTCATCAATTGCTTGATGGAAGAGTGTAGTCCTGATTGCGTTTAAAAAGAGGATTAGGAGAGCTGTTGCAAAACAGGCCACTTTTTTCTGGTTTCCGAAGAGAGTAGAGACCAGGTGCCATCGGTATTCAACTTGTGCTAATATATTCCATGCAATCGGGTTGAGAGCCATCATGCCTGCAGCATAATAGAGAGTCGAATTCCTAAGGTTAATTAGGTCCATATTTATAAAATCGTCCATAAATCAATATAGGATGCATGTTTTTCATAAAAAATTTTCAGGATTTAATAATTTTTGATATGGGATAATATATTTTCGCATGATAAAAGAGATTTGACTTTGAGAATCAAAAGAAAAAAGTTAAAAATTGTATAAGCTATCGCAAAAGCGATTTTTTTATCTTTAAACTAGAATCAATTTTTAATCTCAGAAATTTGTGGTTTAAGGCTTTAATTGTTTTTACGAATTTGAAGTTTTGTAAGCATCAAATAAATGGAAGAAGAAGCAGAGCTCATAAAAACTGGATCTCTTTCAGATCTTAGGTTAGACTTAGATACTTAATTTACTCAACTCAAATCGGCCTTAAGTGTATAAGGCAAAGAAGCCCTTTTTTCTCTCAGCTTGGTCACTCCCTCCGATTGTGTGTACAGTCTGTCAACAAATTTCGCTCCTTCTAGCCTCTGTGAAGCCATTTGAAGCCCAGAAGTACTGGGATTACTACAGCTTGGCAAGTTACCCCGCTCTATCCGACTTTCCTCCAGGGTCTGTTCGACCTAAGTGTTCTTCCTTTATCAGGCAGTGGAAAGAGGTAAAGCAAGATTTCTGTAGGATGCGAAGTAAGAAAACTTTAGCCATTTCTTCCTTATCAGACAGAAATGCACGTGCAAAAAACCTGACCCTATAATAACAAAATTTGGGTGAGGGAGATGGAATTCACGGAATGAATTCTCCTCTCATCCAAGCTATTTATTATTATGGATCTCATTCAGGTCAGTTTCCTGAGAATCTTATCAAAATTAAAACAAAAGAACTCGAGATTCTTAGAGCAGAGCTTGCTTTACTTTTGCAGGAATACAATCTTCTTAAAAATAAGCAAAAGCCTGAAGCGCACTTCATAAGTGAAATTCCAAAACCTCAGGAATTATTAGAAACAAAGCACTCAATTGAAAGCTCTCCAAACTCAACTAATTCAATCAAGAATGAAGAAGACAAAGTAGAAAAACTCAAAAGAAAAATTGGGCAAACGACATTTGGTAAGCTCTAGCTAGATTCTCTAACTTCTACCAGTAAATAATCGCGAAAATATTTTTTTCATGATATATTAATTTTCTATTTTACTATAGTATTTTATTTTTAATAGATCACTATTGACCATCCATTTTAATTTTAAAAATAAATTTAAAGCACAAATAAAAATGATAAATCTTTCTTTTATGGCTTTGAGACGCTTAATCAGACTGAGAATATATGACGCAAGTTTCTTGAACCATAAATTTATGGTTGGTATGTTGCTTATCATAGCTATCTATTATGGTGGTTAAAATATATATTTATTTTAAGATTAGTATTCAATTAGCAATAATTATTTTATTATAACAATTTATTAAATGCTAGTTTTAAAAAAAAAAATAAGAAATAGAAAGAGTAAGAGAAGTTTTCTTGATGTATTCTGGCGTTCAGAATTATTTGCTAGTTGATAAGCTTGAAAGCATGCTTTTTAATCGGTTTCTTGCTGATTTTAATCTTTATAACTCTTTAGTCACAAAAGCGCAGGCTGATGTATATTTCTTTAAAGGGCTCAAAGGAGGAAGATCAATCAATTTTTGGAGGTTCGTAGAGATTTTAATAAAATTAGCAAAAATTGATTATCCAGACAAGGAGAAATATAAAGCACTTCAAGACTATGCAACTGAAAAGATAGAGCCTAGGCTTAACAATGAAAAAGATAAGGCCAAGATTAAAAGGCTCCATGAGATTTATTTATCACAAGAAGTCAAAGGATTTATTAATGCAAATAAAGGGCTACTTGAGGATATTTATGAAAGATATAAAAGTAGTGATGTAGTTCATGCGAATAGAATGAGAATCCAAGGATTTGTAAATTTATTAGCTAACTCTCTCCTTTAAAATAAACTATTCCAATTTATAGGGTTATTAATTTTTTTCTCGAAATAAGAATTATGATAAATTTCTCAAAAATATTATCGATTTAAAGTACAACTTTGTTTTAGTAGTACTCCCTCATTAAATAGAGCATGCAATAGGAAAATTTTTGATTTAGTGATATTAAATGGGTATGTATGCTCTAAACATAGAAATTATTATTTTAGCTTACTCCCCCCCGCCCTCCGTGAGTGAACAAAACCATTAGAAAAATCGCTATTTTTTGCCCAAAAACCCACCCTCCGTGAGTGAACAAAAAAATTTTTTAATAGAAAAAATTTTGATATATAAATGATAATTATTATAATAAAATCTCAAGCTAATTCTGTTTAATTTTAAACAAATTGCGTTTTAAAACATAAATTTTATAAATTAAATTAATTTTTGCTTTCCAATTTTTATAGAAGTGAGATTTTTTTAAATTTCTAAAAAACAAATTTATAAAAAATTGATATATATAAATTGTTTAAAAAAAAAAAAATTAACCTCCGTGAGTGAACAAAATTTTTTTGTTCACTCACGGAGGGGGGGGGAGTTAAGAATTAAAATATTTCAATTCAAAAGTGTTAATATACCATAAAATTGAAATTTTACCAGTATTGCGTTTTCAAATTCAAGATTGGAGGAATAAGTATGAATTTATCCCGAGCCATATTTCAAGCCCACTTGCTGCTTTATTATTTAGATCAGTCCCTTCAACTTTACTATTTAATGATTCTCTTCTATACGAAGGTTTTGTGGAAGCTTGTGTATATGTTGCCTTAGAAATATATGAGGGCCCTCAATTTAGTTCTTTTGGATTATCCCCTGCTCAGTGCTTAAAGACATGGATTGATTACTTGATACCTCGCTTTGAAGAATATATAGAAGTTTCTAGTAAGGAAAGCAAGCCTAAAGAATCCAGCCCAAAGTTGAAAGAAAATGGAGAGAAGTCTGCAGAAGTTTAAATAATTGGTTAAAACTATAAATTACCTTATAATGTAAGCTTTTGAATCCTTATATATTGACCATACCAAAAAGGGTAATTCTAGAATGCTTTAAAAATTATAAAATTGAATTTATTTCTTGAGCTTTGGAATTCAGATAAAGCGCTTAATTTTCTTTAGCTTTCAGAAAAAATCAATAAGATATTAGCCTTCACTAATAAATTATAGTGGTTTCTGGTTATAAAATATTAAATATATCAAAGTCTCAAGCTTTCTCCAAAGTTTCTCAATTTATAGTCAATATTTATTAAAAACATGAGAGTTTCCAAATTATTAAATATATTCAACACCTCCTAATTCCAAGCTTATGTCATTAGCATTGTTCTGAAGATAGCTAATATCAGAAACATTTCTAAATACAAATAAAATGTCATTATTTTTTATACTATTTAAGCCTGATGCTCCCTCAGCCTCTTATCTTTGAGATTGTTTCTTATCTATCCTTACCTGACCTGTTTACAATGGCCCAAGTTAATAAGTCTTTCAATAAAGCAGCTGAGACTCCTTCACTTTGGAAAAGGGAATTTCTGAAAATATGAATTCAAGATGACGGCTTAAACTCTCAACTAGACTACAATACCCACCGCTATTGGAAACAATTGTGTATAAAAGGACTTAAATCTCAAAATAATTGGAAAAAACTACCTGGACGGCTCTTCACGCATGCTGAAATTTCTCTCCTTTATAATGAGCTCCAAGGCGTATTAAAATCTCCTGCAATCCCTATTATTTCATTTCGCAGAGATATAAACACTTTCCCAACTTTATTGCAGGACATATTCGGAAATCCTCAGGATCAACATTCAGAAGATATGGATATAGACACCATTCAGACCTTTGAAGATTATTTGAATTCTGCAGGGAATTGCTTGTGCGCTGAAATTCGGAATGCATCAGATTTAACCTTATTAGCCGCTTCTAGATGGAACTTGATATCAACTGATGCCATTTGTGAAGAAAGGCCTAGTGACAGCTCTGAATCAACCTGTGACACTGATGAAGAGGTTTCATGCAAATTTTCTTATAAAAGCACCAAAAGCTTTTTATTGGAATTTTATATTTGTCTGAAAAAATCAATTGAACTGTTTTGTGAAGGGATTTCATATTTTTTGTTAGAAAGTAATGATATTTTGAATGATTATTTGCAAGTGTGGAATAATTTTGCAGCTTCAGCTAAAAATGCCAATGAATTATTTTATCCTTTGGTAGAAATGATAAATGAAGTTTATGAAGCTAAATTTGGAGAAGTTTTGGATGCTCCGAGAATGAGTTTGATAAGAATGATGATTGCTGGTTGGAGAAGGATTGTTTTTGAAAGAGTGCAAGAAAAATTGATAAGTCAGATAGTGAAAATGATTGAAAGTGTAAGGAAATTGATTTTTGAAGGAAAAGTGGATTATTTGGCTGTAGATAGTTTAAAGAGCATCGTAGATGCAATTATGGATATTAGCTTGAATGAACTTACAGTATACTTTAAAAGCCATTCTAAATTGCAGTTGGAAGGGCCATATTTGGCTCTTCATGAAGAAATTTTAGCAGCATCATTTGATAGTTATTCTGAACTTGCTTTACAACCACTTGATCTGGCAGTATTTTTTGAAAAAGAGAGCAACCTCTTATTTTCTTTCCTACCGAATTCTACAATATGCATGCTAAATGAGCTAAAAATCAAGATTTTAATCAATAATCTTCAAAAATCTCTTTCTAAAGAGTTCCTATTATTCAATCAAGCCCCATTTGCAGCCTCTCAAAAATACAATTCAAATGAAATCACAGCCTTTTTATATGCAATTGATCCAAATCCTTCTAAGATCTCATCATTTTTGGATTTTTGCTTCGGTAACGAAAAATTAGTAAAAATTACCCAAATGCTTGAGTTTCTAACGGATAATCGACAAAAAAGTAGGTTTTTTCTGCTGCCTTTTTACCTTCAAAAAGATGGAAAAGTTTTTTTCCTATTATTTTTTCCAAGAAAAAACATCAATGGTTTTTTTTAAAAAAAGTATATAAGAAAAACCTACTTGTCTATTTTTTAGGTAAAAACCTCTTTTTGAAAAATATTTTATCGGGATCAAATTATTTTAGCTGGAGATTTGGCTTTAAATATCTAGTATTAAAAGACTTGCTGTAATCTTAATGTAAAGCCTAAAAATGTAAGCCAAATGAAAGAAAAAAAATTTCACTGCATCCTAACCAATATATTTATTTGACCGTCAATTTGTTTTTATCCAAAAATCGAATTAAAAGACCCCCCTTTTTGCGAAGCATTATCGGGATCTAATTATTTTAGCTAGAGATTTAACCTTAATTTAATATGTCAAGACTAGCAGCAATCGAAATTCTAAAGCCTACAAAATATAAGTCAAATAAAGAAAGAAATAGCATTGTTCTGAAAAATTCATCTATCAGCTTAGTCTTAGTTAAATTTATAAAGTAGCTTCCGGCCAGGACCGAAGGTCCTTGCTTGCTTTCCTTGCCCTGCTCCCAGTGTGCACCTAAGTGCCACAGGCTACTACTCAGCTCCTTCCGGCCATGGGACTTGGTCATGCTATCCCGGAAGTAGGCGGACAGGGTCACCGTGCTTCACGTCGTCAGACTAGGGTTAGAGCTAAGGATTAACTCCTTACTCTCCCCCCCCTCCATGAGTGAACAAAAAAAATTTTGTTCACTCACGGAGGGGGGTTAATTTTTTTTTTAAAAAAAAATTTATATATAAATTTTATAAAAAATATTTTTTTTCGAAATTTAAAAAAAATCCTAATTCGCAAAAATTGGAAAGCAAATATTAATTCAATTTATAAAATTTATGTTTTAAAAAGCAATTCGTTTAAAATTAAACAGATTAGCTCTATATTTCATTATACTAATTATCATTTATATATTAAAATTTTTTTCCATAAAAAATTTTTCTATTAAAAAAAAATTTTGGTTCACTCACGGAGGGTGGGTTTTTTGGGCAAAAAATAGCGATTTTTCTAATGGTTTTGTTCACTCACGGAGGGGGGGGAGTTAGCTCTTGTCGACTCCTGCCATGCCCTCCAAATTGGCACTAGCAGTCCCTAGAGGAAAAACCCTTTTTGCCCTGTGTCCTATCGGGACGACCCTAGGATCGTCGTTGCTGGAATGGGAGGGAAACCTAGCCGGACACAAACTACCAGTACCCATTCCAGACCTTTCCCTGGGCGGATTGGCTTCAGGCCGCAGCAAGGTCCCCAATCTCGCCACAGTTCCGGGAGAGGACGGGTCGGTGTCGTCGCCCATTTTATTTGTGTTTTCATCTATCAGCAATAAATAGAAAACTCTAAAGACTAATAATTAAAGATTTAGATATTAGAGCTTAAGGTTAAATCTCCAGCTATATAATTAGATATCGATAAATGCTTAAAAAAATTTTTTCCCTTGAATCACGGAATCATTGACTTTTTTCTAGAAAAAAAGGAAAAAACTCTCCATCATTTTTGACGGTAAAAAGGCAGTGTAGGAAAAAATCTACCTGGGGGTTTTTTTTCTTGATGACCCATTTCTAACTCACCTTTTTAAGATTAAGATTAAGATTAAAGAGCATAAGATCTACCAGATTTGATGCCTCTGCACGCTTGTGACCACCAATTCTGCTTACCGGGATAGCTTATTTCCCTAAACCCATCAACAGTGGCCTACTCCCAGGATCTGAGGCTTGCACCGTGTCCTTAGGTCTCGATGGGTTAGAAAGACCCCCTGCTGCTTCACGTCTTGTGGGTGCTATGGAGCCAAAGGTTAGCACGATGCCTCCTGTAGCCCACCTTGAGGAAGATTGACAGCCAGGAAAAGAAGAAACCACGGCATTCTGGAACCGGCAGGAAAAGACCCCGTAGTCCAAAAACTATACGGATAGCTAATACCCAGACAGGAATAATCAGCTGATTGCCAAGGCTGCCCAACCCTTACGGCCCCTCTAGGCAAGCTAAGGGATAGGATTAAAAGGTTGGAATAAAGTTATATTTTTGCGTTCAAAGTGGTGCGTTGTAGCAAGGACATACTTTGTCACCACCATATTAATTATATTCACCTCTTTAAGGGAGAATTATTCTTTTGATCGCTTTTAAACAATGGTTTTTTGGAAAAATTTATATGCTTTTTTTTGTAATTAAGAAAAAAAGAAAATCTAATCTAATGTATAAATTTGTTTAAAATACAAACTGTCGAAAATTTAAAGGATTAGATAGATCTCATTATTATTACTATAATATATAAAACACTTTATTAAAAAAATTATATAAAAATTGGCTTCTCCTACTTATATGTTTTGCTCGCTTTTAAAGGAGGAGAATAAGCAAAAATCCTTATGATGAAACAATAATTGAAGAAGATTTAATCATAGAGCGAAGAGCCACTCTTGCAGGAATTCCTATAAATATACAACCAGAAAAGCTTTTTTTATTTTCAACTTGCCAAGACCTGACATATCCTCAGTTAAAAAATATTTTAAAAGCATATGCAGTTTAATGGTTGTTATTTAACCAATTTTCGCTCTAATTTCTTCAATTAATTATTCTAATTTGTTAATAGCATATGTTAATGCTTGAATTTTTTGAATGCAGCTTTGAATTAAACTTGCGTAAAGAGCCCTTTCGTCTTGGATTAATTGGACTCTGATCCTTAATGCAGGGTCAACTTGTTTAGAAGGATCGTCAATATCTAGCTTAAACCACCCTTCTTTTACTCTTTGGTCTGATAAATCATTTAAATTTATTTCGAAACCTCCAAAAAGATGGGTTTCTGACGAGTTTTCTCTGGATCATACACGGAATGAAAGACTTGTGAAGTTGTCTAGGCTCTGTTTTAGCTCAAATAGTCGGTACCAGTATGGCTTGTAAACATCAGATGCATTAGTTTCACATGTAGGACCTTTAGGCTCTAATTGAACAGTAACATATGGCTGTCCTCGAGTAAAGCAAAGACCTTTTGTGTAGAGACTAACACCTTTTTGGATTTCTATATTTAATTCAGGGATTTGTGGCTGCCCTGCAGTAACTGAGTCTATTTTGGTTTGAAATTCCAGTATTTTTCTTTGGTATAGTTTCAGTTTTTCTTCTAATCCTCTTTTATTGGTATCTTCTGCGATAGTTTGGTCGATAGTCCTTTCATAAGGAATACTTATAAAACTTTGATCATTTTTTGCGTTATAATCTTTCATGTGCTGCTCTAGCTCACTTTTTGATATTCGACTTGCGCAATCTCCCATATTAATTAGAAAAAATAAAAACGCTTGAATAAGCTACATTATTAATAGAGTAAAATAGCTCATTCAAATTTATATCAAGTCATAGAGATAAGGCAATAAAAGTAGATTTTACTCGATTAAAATTATAGATTTCATAGAAAGTTTAAGAAACATATTATCATCTTAATTTTGAGATTCCAACAAGCATGCTAATAGGGTAATTTCTGAATTTTAAAATGACTTCCTATTTTTTAGTAAATGGTAGAAACTTCCGAACAATTCAACATAAAAATCCTTACATTCGATCTGCAGCTCTTTATAGTTAATTATAATATGGCAACAATATTTTTTAAAATCTAATTATTATTATAATAATTTTTCAGCGAATCAAACCAATTAAGTTTAAAGTTAGCAACAGCAAGCTAGCAATCCTTTTTATATATAGGATGTTTGCAAAAAGGCTTGTATTTAGTTAGGAGACCCTTATGCAGTGTATATTTTAAACTAGGCAAGAGGCAAGGTATTTTTTGTTCTATAATTCTTATTACCTTATAAGGCTTAACCTGGGCTGGCTTTAAAACCTGCAAATATTTAGCTGTCTCGCCAAGATGGGCTTCTAATTATAAACTCTAAACAGAAAAGAGATCTCAAAATAAGGAAATAAATAATCAGCTCTTAGAAGCCTCTGTTTTTCCGAATACCCTAATCTCAGATTTAAAAGACAAAATATGTGCCCAATCTCAGATCCCAATCGACAGACAAAGACTCCTTTACAAAGGTAAATTGCTTAAAAACCGCCAATCACTCCTAGATCTTAATGTAAATAGAGACAGTATATTATTCCTCGTCGCCAACCTTTTCCCAGAAGTCCGGACAGTTGAAGACGATCTAATTAATAATCAATTCGCTGACATCGCTCTTTCCTCTTTAGAGAACACCCAAACCATTCATATATCTCGAGGTGGAAGAAATAGAAGAAGAGAAGTCACCAGAGCCGAAAAAATTGAATCAATTCAGCAAAGCCTCACAACGATAAATAGCCTAATTCAATGCATGAATAAAAATTATAATGAAAATCAAGCATTCGATATAAACAAAAGAAAATTTATTATAGGGCAGTGGGTAGACGTAAAAGACACAGCTGACAATTGGCTTGAAGCCCAAGTTATAGATACAGCTGATACTGAAGAAGATGGCGAGCAGGTGCTTATACATTATAATGGATGGGACGAAAGATGGGACGAGTGGATTAATATTTCGTCGCCAAGGATTCAGCCGTTAAGAACACAAACTTTTCAGTCACTAAACAGTCCAACTCAGTCTCCCTTTTTGCAATATCCAGCTGATTCTCCAGGACTAAGATTTTCTTCTAGTTTAAAAGACTTGCTGCCTCAGACGCTAAAATCAATTGATTTTATTCAAAATTTGATGGACGATTTCTATACATTGAGTATAATTCTAAAGCATGAACAAGCTAGCGAAAGAATAGGCCCGCTTCAAAATAGGATTCACGTAATGCATTTAGAAGAAGAAAAAGAGTGAGAATCTGAGCCTGTTTCAGAAGCAACACTTGGGTCTGAAGAAGAGGATTATTTAAGCTGTGAAATGGATGAAAGATATTCAGAAAGGATAATGCTTGAAAATCATTCGTTTGGGAATCATTTTGAAAAAATAGAATGCAATGAGCAGAGATTTGGACTACTTACGATGCAGATTTCACCGCTTATGGATAGGATTGGGAGAGTTTTGGCAGACACTGCAGCTATGATTGATAGAGGGAATAGGCAAAATAATCAGGATATAGATCAAGAAAGAGAAAATACTGGAACTGAGTCTTCAAGCTTAAGTCCTATGCCTTCTCAAGCGGAGCTTTTTTCAAGAGAGCCTGGAGTTGATATACATATCCACGCTATATTTTTAGCAGGATCAAATGATCGATATCCTTCTGAATAATAAGAAAATTCATAAATGTAATGATAAGGCAATGCAATTCTCTTGGTGATAATTTAGCCTAATTTAATTAGCTTAGAAGTTTCTTTTATTCTATAAAAGCCAATGATTTCATTTTTGATTTGTAAATAAACAGCTTCATAAATTACGAATAAAAGTAGGCTCCTGAAATTTTATAACTAAAAGAGTTTAATTTTTTTCATAATCATTTAATTTAAGAAAATTAAATCCTGCTTTGCCTAATCTTTTCTAATCATCTCTCTCAAATTTACTGTAAAATTAAATTTCAATATAAAATGAGCAGATTTTGCAAGAATTGGTAATATTAATACAGCGAAAAAGAAATCTCTGAAGACGTTTTCATGCTGCACGAGGCTCATTGTGAGCGATTTCTTTGCAAGTGTCCCGAATGCGGAGAAGCAGTACCAAAGTCATTCAAAGATCAGCACATTCAAGATGTCCATCCAAAAGAAAAGTGTCCATTCTGTTATGACTTAATTGAAAAGAGCAAGCTTGAAGCCCATAAATTAGTTTGTGATAGCAAACCAAGACCATGTGAGCATTGTGGAGCCATCATGGAAATCAGCCAAATGATTGATCACGAAGATGCTTGTGGAAATAGAACAGAACAGTGCGATATATGCCAAAAATTCATCACGCTTAAAGCTATGCCTGAACATATTTTTCAATGCATGGAAAACCTTGATAAACCAAATTCCAATGCAAAAAAGAGAAAGCCAAATGAAGATGCAAAAGCACCGAGAAAGAGAATGAAAAGGAATAAAAATGATTGGGATTAGGATTTGAAGATTAAATATTTCATATCATTTGAAAATTTTCAAACGTTTTATATTTAATAAGTTAAGTTTTATAAATATTAATTATTTATTTAGACAGTTATAACCCTTCTAGAGGGCCAATATAAATTTATCTGACTCCCCCCCCCTTTAAATTGAAAAAAAAAAATTTTGTTTCAATTTAAAGGGGGGTTAAGAAAATTTTTTTATAAAACAATTTATATATACAAATTTTTTCAGAGATAAAATTTTATAGAAAATAAATTATATAAATTTAAAGAGACAATAAATTGAGTAAATTATATTTAATAACATTATAATTTTATGACAATGCCTATGTTTGAAGCATATATTAAATAGGGTATTAACGTATTTACATATAAAATAATGATTTTTACCTATAAAATTTTCTATTATAATAAAATTTTGTTTCAATTTAAAAGGGGGGGTAATTTCCCAAAAAAGTAGGAATTTTACCTATATTTTGTTTCAATTTAAAGGGGGGGGGGAGTGATAACCAAATAGCAGGAATTATAATCATTATGATTTTTTGAATTAATAGGTATGCGAGATACTGCTTTATTGCAGTAACTTTAATCAATTATAATTACCATTTTTACTTTGCATAAGACAGTCAAAACGTGATATAATTGATCGTTTCTTTATAAGTTATTTATAAATAAAAATAATTTAATAATTGATTTTGATAATTGAAAAAAATTGTTATGAAAGAAAGAATATTGAAGAAACAATTAAGAATTAGTATTTAATCCGTATTTTAATTTTTTTAATGAAGAAATAGATCTGATAAATAATAAAATAATAACTCATCTTTTGGCAGCAACCTTTGAATTTCATCGGTTACATATTGACGAATAAATTAAAAAGGAAAAGTTTTACAATTCCTGATTATTCTAACTATATTATAGAGCTTTTGTGAATCTATCTCGGAGGGAAAATAAGCATCTCCAGTATTAGAAGCATATTTTGCATTGAAAGTATATGCAAAGAAATTATAATTTGATTTTTAAGAATTATAATATCGAATAGAATAGTTAAATTATCTGCACTGAATGCAGCTTATTTTAATGTTTATTGTTGAGGAGCTTTGATTGGAGGCAAAGAAATCAGTGGCTGATCCATTGAGGATGGCTCTGGATAATTATAATTTACACTTTCTGATAAAAATTCTGCTTTAAGCAATAGGGAAGTTAGCTATATAAATTTTACCTTTAAGTATATTGTTTCTGAACTTGTGTTTGACAAGGTCCGAATAGCCGTATGGACTCTTCTATGAGCGGAAAGCTGACTACCTTGCCTGAATGTCTGCCCACAGCCAGGCTCCTTACAAACATATGGTTTTTCACCGGTGTGGATGTACATATGTTCTTTGAGGTTTTGCTTACTCCCCCACCCTCCGTGAGTGACAAAAAAAGTTTGTTCACTCACGGAGGGGGTTATTTTTTTTTAAAAATTGATAGATAAATTTTATAGAATTTTTTTTTCGAAATTTTAAAAAATCCTAATTTGCAAAAATTGGGAAGCAAAATATTTAATTTATTTTTATAAAATTTATGTTTTAAAACGCAATTTGCTTAAAATTAAGCAGAATTAGCTCGAGATTTTATTATACTAATTATCACTTATATAAGGATCCCCCCCCTCATTTGTCCAATTTTCTAGTCTTTTTTTTATAGGATAAAAAAAATTTTCAGGACCTCGTTTGTCCAAAATCTAGTTAAAAATGATTTGTCCCATTTTCTAGTCTTTTTTGGATTTTTTCGAATCTCTTAAATTTTAGTTTTTTACTTTAAAAAAACTAGAAAATAAGACAATTGAGGTCCTGAAAAATATTTTTTGTCTATCAAAATTTTGACTAGAAAATTGGACAATTGAAATGAGGTCCCTAAAAATTTTTTTATCCTATAAAAAAAAAGACTAGAAAAAATGGACAAATGATAAAAGACTAGAAAATTGGACAAAATGATAAAAGACTAGAAAATTGGACAAATGAGAGAGGGGATCATTATATGAAGTGGCTTTGAGCATGCCTTATTTTACACCTGTAGATGATGCTAGTGATGATTACCTGAATGATGCAAATAAGGATTGCTCCCCCTCATTTGTCCAATTTTCTAGTCTTTTTTTATAGGATAAAAAAAATTTTCAGGACCTCATTTGTCCAAAATCTAGTTAAAAATGATTTGTCCCATTTTCTAGTCTTTTTTGGATTTTTTCGAATCTCTTAAATTTTAGTTTTTTACTTTAAAAAACTAGAAAATGAGACAATTGAGGTCCTGAAAATTTTTTTTTTTCTATCAAAATTTTGACTAGAAAATTGGACAAATGAAATGAGGTACTAAAACAATTTTTTTTTCCTATAAAAAAAAGACTAGAAAATTGGACAAATGATAAAAGACTAGAAAATTGGACAAATGAGGGGGGGGATCCTTATAAAATTTTTTTCATAAAAAAATTTTTTCTATCAAAAAAAAATTTTGTTCACTCACGAAGGGTGGGGTTTTTGGGCAAAAAATAGGAATTTTTCTAATGGTTTTGTTCACTCACGGAGGGGGGAATTAGAGGACAAAATTTTTCTACACGATTTGCATTGGTAGTTGTTTAGAATACTATTTCCAAAAAGTCCTTTTTCGTTGCCTTGATTTTTTTGGTGAAATCGAGTGCTTGCTGAAACTGGGTTATCTTGGGATTGTTCCATATTATTAGTACTGAATTCGCTGGCTGATAAAATGGTTTTGATAAATAAAGTATAAGTTGTTATATCATATTCTAATTTAATTTATTATCCGCTCGCTAATAAATATCTTTTCGCATTTTAAAATTTTTTATTATTATAGCCTAATAGTACGTTTTTAAAAACTAATTTAACTTATATAAAAAATCTAAATTAAAATATTTAAATCTTAACCATCCACATATAGGAAAAATAATAATTTTTTTGTTTGACTTATATTTCTTTAATTGATAGGATATATTTTCTGGCTGTCAAAAAAAACCATTTTGTAAAGGTATTTTGATAAACATGGCCTTTCATATTTATTATTATATATCCATTTTATGATAATAATTTGAAATAATAAAGAAAATCTTCACTAATCATGTAAAATTAAATTTAAGAATAATATGCAATAAAAGTTTGAAAAAAATAATAAAATATTTCCAATTTTGATTAATTATTATAGTTTTGAAAATAAGCTAAATGTTTTTGTGTGAACTTAAAAATATAATTAAAGCATAAAATAATCATGATAATTATTTTTCTAATTATAGAAATTTAATCCTTAATTACAAATATAATCAACTAGTAAAAATTAATATGGACTTAGATGTTGATCTATCAATAAAGGTACCTGTAGAACTTATATTAAAGGAATTCGAATGTCCAGTCTGCTTTGAACACATCAAAGATGCTTGCCTTACAAAATGCGGCCACGTTTTCTGCAAAGAATGCATCGAAGAATGCTTAAATCGTCGTCACGAATGTCCCAACTGCAAGATGGAAACCTCCTTGGACCAAATAGTCAGAAATTTCCATTTAGATGGAGTCCTTAAATTGCTTCTTGAGCAGCGAGAAAAAGCAGCCAAAGAGTTTTACGACCAAATCCTCAATCAAGTAATCCAAAGGTCAGACTCCGTCAGTAGAAACCCAATCGAAACAGTTTTTCAAGAAAATATGAGAGAAAGCTTGCTGGCTTTCGAAAAATATTACGATGACCTCAAAGAAAGAAACGAAAGAATGAAAAACAAGCTGAGAGCAGAAGGGATCCCTGAATATGCTGAAAAAGCTGCTGAATTAGACATGCATTTCAACAGAAGCATAGATTTAATTGTAGAAGGCTACGAGAAACATATGAAATCAATTGCTCCATCCCCAGTACTCCTACCTATAAGATTATTTTTAAAGGTACCTAAAAAAAATTTGACTTTAGATGTCCATATTCCTAGGACACATACAACGAGAGATTTAGAACAAATAATAGTGGAACATTATAATTCTAAAGGAGATCAAGTTCAGGAATTTGGCCAAGGAAATTATATAGTCCATCAAGCTGTGCAGTCAGGGGAAAATGATTTTATTATTATAGAGAATCCTATGGATCCGATAGGGAAATTAGATATCACTCCTGGAAGTGCAATATTTTTCGATGGGAATATTTTATTGAAAAGTGATGCTCCTAAACAATGTTTTACATTGAATTTCCAAAAAGGGCAGGGGATGAAAACTAATTATTATCATTGCAGCAATTGTGGAATTAGCTGGATTTGTGAGCCTTGCGCACAAAGCTGTCATGTAGGGCATAATGTTAAGATTGCAATCCCCAGCCATGAACCGAGCTGGGCTTGCTGCTATTGTGTAAAGAAAGGAAGATGCGTTATTCCAAATAACAAAAAATAAATAAGAATTTGATTTTAGAAAATTTTAAAATTCTATCTTAGCACGTATTGACTGTTTGTCCGAGGGGTCTATGGCGGTAGCTTAAGGTGCTGTTTCGAAAGGGATTGGGTTCAAATCCTATAGCAATCATTTTAATTGCCATTTAATTTCCCTTTTATTTGAAAACGCATTTATCTCATTTTTTAAACTTATTTAATTTAATCTCCTACTATTTAAAGACTGTTTTTTTATAATGGGCATTCAAATAATGATTCTTTCTTTAATTTTCCTTGAATGAAAAGTATTTTGCTACTTCCATAAGAAAATATGTTTTGAGCTTATTTGCTTTGTCAAGCACAAAGCATTGTCTTTTTAATTTGTATTATTATGGAAGAAATTAGAAAATTCTAGTTTGTAACCGATTGAGATAAATACTTAGCTGGTTTTTGACTGAATTTAAATACTTAAAATAAGTATGTATAACTGTCCTTGCATACTTATCTTTCCTGTCAAGTTGATAAATGCATAGATCACCCCCCCCATCTTGCAAAATAAATAATTATTTAAAAATATCTCACAGTCACACCAGGCGCTTTTTATTTTATTAATAAATTAATCTTAAAAGAGGATTAAGATTTTTTCTCAAAATTAATTCTTCAATGTCAATGCTTCTGAAACGACGAGGTCTTCATCATGAGTTTAGTGCTGTGTTTTCAAATACACTCAGCAACCCTGTAGATATTCTAAACTCTCCGATGATAAAATCTCCTATGAGCACCCCAGCAAGGATCAGCTATGCCGAGCTTAGTGAAGAATTTCATAACTCTGGTGTGAGCTACATGAGGCAACTTTTACTAACTCTTTATTACCTTGCTTCATATATTTTTGGAAATATTAAAAAGTCAAAATAATCTCAAAATAAAAAAAATAAATCTTGAGTAAGAAAAACAGCCTCAAGCTACTATTCTGACTTTGGAATGGACTATGAAAGTACCTATATCCTTTTGAATTCGATCGCGGATATTTTGCTCCTCAACGAAATTGAAATATTATATTGGTCTTACCTTCTGCAGAGAACTCTGCGCCATAACTTATCTCTACCTCCTCAGAACATATGCAATCTCACCGCATATCTCTCCAAGATTAGCTTCAATGAAGACATTGAGCCTTTCGAGAAAATCATGGGAGGAACCCAATTCAAGCTGCATTTTAACAACTGGCTGCTCATTACAGATTTCTCAACAGAGCCTAATCTACGAGAAATTAACAAAATGTTCAGTCAGCTCGTGTATAATATTAAAATGGAAGATGGAGATAAAGACTATGAAGAAATGGTTGATAATCTTATGCATACCCCAAAGAGGAAAGAGAGTATGGGCTCTGAGTTAAGGAGCGAGATTTCGAGCATTGGAGATTTATAGACAAACCCTATAAATGTCCTATAAGGGTGGACATTAAAGCTGGAAACTCTCCAGTGGCTGGACCAACTGAGGTTGGTCAGATCAATTGGAGAGATGTTCATTTGCCAACTCTCCAATTGGTTTGACCAGGCTGAGTTGGTCCAGCCACTGGAAAGTTTCCAGCTTTAATGTCCTGTCTTATTAGGCAGTTTATAGGATTTACCTATAGATGCCGAGCTGATCATTTTTCAAAAAGATTTTATGTGTGGAGAGAAACTGTCTCCAATCGATGACGATGTAAAATAGTGTAGCATTTAATTAAATGAAGTAAAGTAGGGCACTTAAGAGATTTTAACAGGCTTTGATAAAAATCTGATAAAAGCGATGCATTTTATGATTCTAGAAAAGCATTTAGAAAGCAAATAGGCTTCTTTTTCAAAAATCCAGCAATTTTTGATTAATATTTTATTTAACAAAATGTCTTTATTTTCTTTCATAAATAAAAAAATCAGTACTCATATCATTCTTCTCTGAAGCGGAACTATTATTTATTTATTTGTTTTGATTCTAACATAATAATTAATAAATGTCCACAATAGAAACAGCAAGCTTCGAAGAAAGACTAAGACAGGCAGCTAGGTTTAGAGAAAAATATATTGACCGAGTTCCCATAGTAATTCAAAATGACGAAAGATGCTCACTTCCTCGAACAATGCATAACAATCTGTTTATAATCCCAAAAAATAATACTGCCGGCGATTTATTAGCCCTGATCAGAAAGAAAACCTATTTACCGAAGACACAAGCAATTGCGATGTTTGTAGGGCATCAGAACTTAGTTATGATAGATATGACTTTAAGTGAGCTTTATGAAAGATATAGAAATTTCCCTTAGATGGCGCAGTTTGCCCTTGATTTGCACGCTGGGAAAATTTTTTGATTCGACCAGTACCATATGGTTTGGTCAAACCAAAAAATTTTTTCAGTGGGCAAATCAAGGGCAAAATGCGCCATCTAAGGGAAATTTCTATATTCAGACAATGATGGATTTTTGTATATTTTGTGCACAGACCATGAGGTATTTGGCAATTAGAATCTTTTACAAAAAACTGATATAATAGTGTCCTTATAATTTATCGTTAATTATTAAATATTCATTTGTGTGAATTTATATATAAAATTTCTTGATTAAAGAAATTTATATAATAAATAAAGAAAATTTATTTGTGTAATTATTATAGGTGGCTCATCTCATTTGATCAGAAACGTGTTGATTGTGTAGAAAACTTGATCGATTTTTTTTTTATAAAGACATTTGCTCAGAAAAATCCCTTAAATTTCTATTATAATATCTTATGAGGAATAAAATTTCAATAAATTTCTCAAGGAAAGGCCACACTATTAAAGTGCACTGATCAAAAGTATACCTATTATAGGTAGATATATGTTTAATAAACAATAAGATAGGAGCTTTAGCAAGCATCAAATAAAAATTATATAAGAGTTATAAATTTAGATAAATAAAATGGATTTTGTTCAATTGGCAAGAGGACTTCTCCCACAAAGCTTCGGAGGAAGAGTTGGAATAGGAGCTTTAGGACTAATTGGAGCTACATATGTTCTTTCATGGCCTTATAACCTTATTCATTATCATCGAGAAGAAAAATATCGACTCTCTGTTTGCTGGGAACAATATTTAGCATATAACAATGCTTCAGAAGAAAGTTATAAGTATTCACCTAGAGAAATAAATAGAAGAAAAATGATGTACAATGAGTGCATATGCTCAGCCCGTAAAGGAACCAAAATTTATCCTCCAGCCTTATAAGCTAAGAGTTATAGCCCGGGCCTACTTTGGATAGCCCTGGGATACAAGCTACCACCTCAGCCTGTGGGGTTGACTCGGGCAGCATCAGTTGCCAAGTCTACCTCGCAAATTGGCAAGTAAAAATATACTGACACTTTTAGCTTGTGGTTGACTTGGTAACTGATGTTGTCCGAGTCAATCCCATAGGTTGAGGTGGCAACGTATAGTCCAGGGCGATCCAAAGCCAGCCCTGGGTTATAACACTTCATCTAAATTATTTAAATATCTAATTCTTTTATATTATTGTTCTCAAGTAGCCTTAAAACTTCGATTATGAGTTAATAAAAATTTAAAATTCTTGAAGAAAAAACTATAAAACCTTATGAATTTTTTATTAAATTTCACCTATTTTATTATTTTTTCTATTATTTCGCTATGCCAAATTTTTTTACAATGCCAATCGCTTTGTTAATGCATCCATGCACCTATAAGTTTTATACAACTTATAATTCAATAATGTTTCTTTCTTCATGATGTCTTCTTAAAGGCTCAATATCAAGGAGGAGATCGGGCAAGCTCTGTATAACTGTGCTATTATATATTGAATCAAGCGACTTTGTGGACTCACTTTTATTCATTTCTGTGTACTCAACTGACGCAAGATTTGATGACGTTAGTCCTCGTTTAAGATGGCTTTCTGCCATTTTCTGCTTATTAATTGCTCGAGGGATCATCACATCTGACGTCTTAATCCAAGGATGCTGAAGTGCTTCACGGGCGGTTGGTCTTTCGTCGACGTTTCTGTTCATAAGTTTTTTTATGAAATCAGTAGCTAATGGAGTGTATCTATCCCATAGTCCTTCAAATGGAATAGCTCCATTTAATGTAAGATCGATCAAGACTTGCTTTTCTTTATGGTCGAAAGGAAGTCTTCCAGCCAATAATAAATAGATTTATAATGAATAAAGGAATTATTTAATGTTCTTATATATTATAGACGTTTTGCTAATAAATGGTATAAATATGCGACAATACCAATACTCCAAATATCAGCTTTAAAAGTATACCCTTCTTGGCTCAGCACCTCAGGAGCTGCATATCCTAAAGTCCCACAAGCTAAAGTCTGTATATCGTTTGGACCAGTAAGCTTTGATAAGCCAAAGTCTGCCAGTTTTATCTGTGGAATATCTGAGGTATCGCCAAGTAAAATATTTTCAGGCTTAATATCTCTATGAATAATTCCAACTTCATGCAAATAGCACACAACTTCAAGCAGCTGCTTAATTATTTGGCTTGCTGCGTATTCAGAGAACACCTTTTTCTTTACAATTCTCTCAAACAATTCTCCTCCTTCCACGATTTCCATGACTATTAACAAATGCTTTTTCGTATCAAAAACTTCTTTTAGTTGTAACGATGACCCCCCCCCCTCAATCTTCATGTCTATTGCAACAAAAATTTTTCGAAAAAATCTTCATGCCTACTGCCACACAACATTTTTATAAAAAAAATAATGCATTTTTCTCTAGGTGAGTTTCTCAAAAAAACCATAAAACAGCGCTACTGTAGGTGTGTCAATGACCTTCTCATCGAGATTTGGACGGCTATTGTCATCGCTCGCCATTTTATTAAACTTATCTAGCTAAAAAGTACGGGAAAGTTAAGATGCGCATCAAAAATTTGTTGCAAGAGGTTTAGGATTATTACAGACAGGCGCTAGCCATATTGGTGACGCAGTCATTAAAGACCTCCCGTACGGAATATTCTACCGTTTTCGACTCCAACCCAGAGTGTCTATCCCTCTTACGAGTGCCCTTCCGGTACCTTCTGTCTCCTCCTTGCCTTGCGGCTTATGGATTTCTTCGGCCCTGCTACGGGCGATTGGAGTAGCTTGATTCCAATGATCAGCTTCTTGGAGTCTATCGGGTGTCAAAGTGCCTTTCTTAGACAGCTACAGGAAAAAGACTGTTCCCTGTGGCCTGGGCCGAAACCCCAGTTTCTCGGTTGAGGAATGCCTATGGGTCCTCGGATCCAAAGGACGTTGCTGAGCAACTCCATTTCCAACCACAGGAAAGCAGCCAAAACCTATCCGGATACAGACTTCTTGAGCCTGCATCTGATTCTCGGCTCGGAGTCCGTCCCAGTTCGCCGTAGCCATAAGGTCTTAACTGCTGCGCCAAGAGGGCAGGTTGACACGTGTCGCCATTTAAATGCATATAATTTGTTGAAAGAGACATGAAAATTATTATTTTTTTATATAAAAAATTTTATATTAAAAAAATTGCATTTTTGTTGCAATAGACATGAAGATTGAGGGGGGTCATCGTTATTATTGAGATTTTTAATAATTTTTCATAGTAAATTAAAAATTATTTGTTAATCCTAGGGAATTTAAGGAGAAATAGTTTACGTTTGGATGGTCAATTAGCCTCATAATTGCGATTTCTGTCCTTAAGAACTCTTTTTCCTGCTTATTCAGCCGAATTTTATTAATGACTTTGACAGCCCATCTCATATTGGTCGAATGCTCAACTGCTTCATATACATCAGAAAATTTCCCATGGCCCAGTCTTTCTTTAAGCTCATAAAATTCTTTGAATTTCCTTGTTTTCGCAGCATTTTCAAGCATTTTGACCCATTCATCTCGATCAGTTCTTAAATCGCAGTAAATGAGGACTTCTTGGTAAGCTGCATTCTGGTGAGATAGTGAAATTCCAAATTTATTGGAAACAAGATAGTCACCAATTACATCCACATAACACCCTTCCATAAAAACGACCCCAGAAGGCATGACGTCTTCTTCATTATCAAAAAATACTAATAAATTCTTTTTTAAAATGGCATATTTTTTTTCCAGTTCATCTTTTTCTTTGTTTTTCTTATAAACAGTCCCAGACATATCTATACAGTTTAAGCTAGGAATTTTGCTTGGGCTTATAGGCTCACTGTTGCTTTGGTCACTTTTAGTTTTTGGGGTTTTGCAAATTTTCTTTGGAGAATCCAAGACTTTTGCAGTAGACGACCAAATGTCTTCTTTAAAAACCGCTGAAAAAAGCTGCAGAATATTAGGGTGTTGGTCAATAAAGTTGACGAATTCTTTAAATGTGAGCACTCCTCGTTCTCCGTATTGTTCTAAAACTTGAGAAGCTAAGAGCTGGGCTTTAGAGTTGTGATGGCTCATTGTAGACTGAGTTCTGAGAGAATACGAAGAGCCGCTCCTCGATTTATGGACTATATTGAATTTACTTCTATATTTAGGAGTTCTCATACTAATTACCAAATCTGAAAAAGAGCCCTCAGCATTTGCATCTTTTTCCCCTTCTGGAACGATGGTTTTTTCTATAAGTGTTTCTTTCAGCGAATTATGAATCTATATAGCCCTTACAAGTGCTAATAATTCAGCTCGATCAATATACCCATCCCCACACAAGTCATAAAGATCAAAAATCATTTGCAGTTTTTCCTCATCAGTACCTTTACTGAACCTGGCTATCCCTATCATAAAATCTTCAAAACTAATAACGCCACTCCCAGTGGTATCGAATAGCTTGAAAAGCCTTTCACTTAGCATGCCCTGAATAATTTTTTACAGGCAGTGGGAAGAATTGGATAAACGTTTCTTTATCGATATTTTGGTGCGAGTCTGTTCTCCTTGACAAATCAATATATAGCTCTCTTAAGAGGCTTATTTCTTCTTTAGAAACTGAATGGGAAATACATTTAGAAATAATTGGAGCAATTTTGCCCGATAATTTAAGTATGCTGGTGCTCATATCACATTTTGCGTACGTTCTACCCTTTGAGCAGCATAAGCCCATTTACTAGTTATTATTATTAAAAACAAATTTCTAGTCATACTTTGTTTAATTAAATTTAATAAATTGATTGTGTGGATAGAAAACCATTGTGAAAAGATACATAAAATTTAGTTCTAAATTTGAAAACTGTTTGATTATAAAGGGATGAATAAAATTGCAACGCTTAATAATCCGTTGCATATTTGTGGTTTCTAATTGTTTATATGAATATAAAGATTTGTTTTTTAGGAGAGTGGTAATTGAGAGAGGGAATGGTAAGAATTTGAGTAGAATTTCATTGTCAGTACTTACAATATGTAAGAAAAAAATAATATGTATATCAATTTTTTGAAATTATTTAGAGAAGTTGTCTGTCTAATTTATAGATTTATTTTATACTTTTTACATGCTACCAATCTGAATAAAGATCAACTTTCTAATTTTTGTAAATTTTGAAAAAATTAATATTCACCAAAATGCATAGAGTTAGGGGTAATTTTGATGTAATAAGCAAAGAAATTGTTATAAAATTGCCTAATTATCAATTATCATTTTTTGAATTTTTGCCATAATAAATTAATATTTCCTCAACAATAAATATGTTCATAAATCATTTTAAATTTTATTTTTCTCCAATCCTAAAGTTTTTAATAAAAATAAACAAAAAATAACTCTAATCATTGCCCTCCGTTCAAAAAGAATAAAAATTTTAAAAAAGAAAAGAATCTGGAACGAATGAATAATTAATTCTCATATCATTAAAGATTTACTGGTTAAATCAATTTAAATTAATTTTTATTTTCGCTAAACAGAACTATTTATTATATTTCTAAATCTGGTCTCCAAATGCTCATTTATTTAACTTAAGCCTCATAAAAATCCTCCTACACTTCTAAAGATTCAAAAATCATTTGCCTATTCAAATTCAATAAATATTAATTATATTTCGTTTAAACTAGGACTCCTTGCCCCTCCCAAGTAACCAATCCACAACCCTCTCTATATTTGTTCCTCTCATTGCACTAATCGAAATTACAAGTCAAGGATTGTCAATCACATAATCTAAATTCAACCCTTGTATAATTTCTGGCTCACTCATATGCGGATTTATATCAATCTTATTAGCTAAAATCAGCAGTGGGATCCCTACAAGTTCTCTGTCTTCCAGCATCATATGAAGCTCTTTTCTTGATAATGAAATCAATTGAGATGCAGACGCATCGACTAAAAACACAATCACGTTGGTTCCTCTTGCATACCGAGCTCATTCAGTTCTATATTGAACTTGTCCTCCAAGATCCCAAGCCTTGATGGTTAAATTTCCTTGTTGGACTGTCCTTACATTTAATCCAATTGTTGGGACTGTTTGTCCGGGACTTCCTGATGAGAGCTGGTTGATAAAAGTGGTTTTTCCAGAGTTTTCAAGCCCAACGATGACCATTTCCATTTTCCTTGAGAAGAGCGATCTTAATTTTGCTAAGAGAGATCCCATCTTGATTATGTAATCAATTGTTTATATAATCTGAGTTTAAAGCACAAAGTATTGAGGAGAATTAAATATATTTTCTATAAAGGTTTACTTAGAAAGCATATAATCCTAATCCCACTTAGAAAGCATAGGATTTTTAATTGAACTTATAAAAGACTCAAAAAAATAATAAACACAGTTTGGGGTGAAATTAAATAAATAGGATGAGGAAGAGGATTGGGAGTTTTATTTCAGGAATCTCTGAAGCTCTCTCCTTTAATCAAGCCACTCTATCTGGAGCTTTAGACGTTATTGTAATTGAGCATGAAGACGGCTCCATGTTTTGCACTCCTTTCCACGTGAGATTTGGCAAATTTAAACTCCTTAGATCAATGCAAAAAAAAGTAAGAATTGCTGTAAACGGGAAACTCACCGATATATGTATGAGGCTTGGAAAAGCTGGGGAAGCCTATTTTATTAAAGGTGAAACCCTAAATGATGCCCCTGATCTGCCTCCTTCTCCTATAATTTCTCCTGAGCAATGCATACTAGATAACTTAGAAGATCTAGAAGAGGATGAAGAAGATAAAAAATCAGTTGAAGAGCTACTAGTAAAAAGTCCTGAAGCCATTATGAAAGAGCTTGAACAAGAAACTATCCAAACTAAGTGGGCATGGCCATGGACAAAACCTCCGACTGAAACCAAGCCGAGATCTTCTTATATTGGCTCTATTTTTGGAATGTTTAGGAAGAAATCAGTCACAATAGAAACTAAGATTGAGGCTAATGAATCTTTTGCAATGTCACTGTGTGGGTACTCAGACACTGATATAGATTTAAAAACTTTTGAAGAAAATATTGTTTCTTATGAAGATTTTCAGAGCAATCCTTGAGAAATCATTAGTGACCCGAAATTTGTAGTGAAAATTGATGGGAAATTTTATAATTGAGAATCCGCTGTGCCTCATATATGTTTATTGAACTTATTGAGAAGTCCGCTGGCATTTCTGAAAGGATATTTCTTCCCCTACTGCTTCCTGCTGCTCGCCAGTTCGCGCTTCACGACATCGCGAAGGTTGCTCCTGCCGGACGAGGGCCTCCCGATAGTCATATGAACCGCTCTACCGTGCCGTGAGTAAACAGAGGTTGCCCGCCATGGAAAATTCAAAAGGGTTTAATTTTCTGGTCGACTCTTGGAGAAAATGGAAACTCGAAGCCCAGGACATAACCCCTAGTTTCAGGCTGGAAAATAGTCCCTATCGGCCAGGACGACGGGTACTAGCTTCCGGGAGATTCCTTTCTAACTCTCGGACACATTTCCCCAGGGGCAAAAAGCTGGACATTGGATTAAAGCTTGCGGTAAGATAAACACGACATTGCGCTTCACTAAACCAAGAATAAACTGGCTGGATGCACATTTCCAAACGCCATCTCCCTTTTCAAGGTCCCAGCACACCCTATGGGATGTCAGTTGCAAGAGTCAAGAGCGCGGGCTAGTTCGCCACATCATTTAAATATACTAGTCTCATATAATGTCAATGCTAGCGTTTAAAAGGCCGCTCTATGATGATCAGAAATCTCCAACACTTTTGCAAAAAGAAGAAAATAAAGAAGAAAATGGAGATAAGCATCCTGACGTAGAAATAATTACTGATGTTAAAGAAGAAGTTGTATATGAAAAAACATTATTATTAACATCTCAGCAGCTTAAACATCTAAACCTCACTAAAGGTGTAAATACAGTCACATATACAGTAGAAGGAGATTATAGAGGTGAGCAGTCTATAACTGGCAAAATTTATCTGTGAGACTCCAATAGCAAAATTGTAGTATCAGATATCGATGGAACTATAACACGTTCTGACGTACTTGGCCAATTCCTACCTTTAGTCGGCAAAGACTGAAGCCATCCTGGTGTTGTAGGCCTCTACAATGGTATAATCCAAAATGGCTACAAACTCCTTTATCTCTCCTCCAGAGCTATTGGACAGGTCGGGATAACAAAAGGGTATTTAAATTCCCTCAATCAAAATAATCAGGTATTGCCTGATGGCCCAGTAATTATGAGTCCTGACAGACTGGTTGTGTCTTTTATCAGAGAAGTCATCAAGCGAATGCCTCAAAAGTTTAAAGCAGGTGTCTTAAGAGACATAGCTTCTCTATTTCCTGAAGATAAAAATCCTTTTTATGCAGGATTTGGAAATAGAGACACTGATGCGATTGCATACAGGGCTGCAGGAATCTCTCTTCATAAGATCTTCATTATAAGTCCTAATGGGAATGTTAAAACCATTAACCAAACATTTGTGAAGTCTTATCTTGAGCTCAATGACGTCGTTTCCGAGCTATTTCCATCATTGAATGGTAATTTTTATTTACTCCGCACTTTAATTGGAGCAAAAAATCCTCCACAATTTAAAGGGAGGCTAAATTTTTTTTGAAAAAATAATTAAAATATTCATTTATCCTTTAAAATTTGATGGAAATAAACGGCATTAAATTGTTTACCAAATATTTTTGCATGGAACTATCATTCCATCTTTATAAAAAGTCAAATTTTCCAATATAACACAATTTTAAAAGGAGAGTTAGGCTTAGAGGAGTCCTCAAATTGGGAATATACAGATTTAAATTATTGGAAGGCTCACTATGCACCCACACTGGAAGATGAAGTTGATTAATTATCATGAAATAATCTTTATTAATTACCAGGTCTATTTGTTATAAATTACTATAAAAATAATGCATAACTTTATAGCAATTTATATTTACAGCTATTTAATATTATAGGTATATAAGCATTTTTATTGTGATAACATTTCAACTGGTGAATAAATAAAATGACATTTCTTACGCCTTTGTTCCTGTTAGGTTTATTAGCAGTTCATGTTAATTCGTATGGAGCTACTCTGTTGGGAAACAAGCCTGATGACAACGATAACATGATCCCTCTTAAGCCAATCAGTTCTTGGCCGTCTTATCTCTTTTGGGGCAATTACAATAGCACTCTTTATCCACCTGGAAATTATCTGACTCAGCCCAGAAACCAGCACATCCCAGTCTACTGCGGAGCTTGCTGGGTGTTTTCAGCAGTATCTGCAATGTCAGACCGCTTGAGAATTGCTAGGAAAATGGCCTGGCCTGAAATTCTGCTTGCTCCTCAACCTGTTCTTAGCTGCTATCAAACTGATGAGATGCAAGGATGCCACGGAGGAGACCATATGAACACCTATTGGTTTATCAAAGAAAACGGAATTACTGACGAATCTTGCAGCCCTTATAGAGCAGGAAGCTATTATGAAGAAGAAAACAATGTCCCATGCACTAATGACGTATGGTGCAAGAACTGCGAACCAGCTGGAAATTGCTTTATTCCTGCAACTTATCAGAAATGGTACATTTCTGAGTGGGCAAATTTGACAACGCTTGCATCACAAGGATCAGGAGAATTGGCTATGATTAATGCTTTACAATATGGCCCTATCTCCTGCAGTGTCTGTGCTACCCACTCATTTGAAACCTATTATAAAGGATTCGAAATATGGAACGATACTGAAAACTGCTTATCTCCTTCGGAGCAAAAATATTGATATAAATTGTTTAATAAAAATAGGCTGATATCTAACTCCTCCGTGAGCAAAAAAACATTAGAAAATCCCTATTTTTTGCCCAAAAACTCACCCTCCGCGAGTGAACAAAAATGTTTTCAATAGAAAATTTTTTTATGGGAAAAAAATTTGATATATAAGTGATTATTAGTATAATGAAATCTCGAGCTAATTCTTTTTAATTTTAAACAAATCGTGTTTTGAAACATAAAATTTTGCAAATTAAATTAATATTTACTTTCAATTTTTGCGAATTAGGATTTTTTCTAAATTTCGAAAAAAATTTTCTATAAAATTTTATATATAAATTTTTTAAAAAAAAAATTAACCCCCCATGAGCGAACAAAATTTTTTTGTTCGCTCACTGAGGGGGGAGTAAGTAATAATTATTATTATGAAACCATAGCTAGTTCTCTTAAGATTCAAACAAAGTGCATTATAAAACTATATTTATAAACTAAATTAAACTTTTATTCTCAAAATTGCAAATTGGAATTCTTAAATTTATGGAAATAATTTATAAATTAAAAAAAATATGCTCATTATGGAGGGAGTTTAGAAACTAACCACGATATTTCAGTCGTCGGATATGGAACAGAAAATGGAGTTGACTATTGGATCGTCAGAAATTCATGGGGTACTTACTTTGGAAATGAAGGGTTCTTTAGAGTTGTCAGAGGTGTAGCAAATTCTACATGGAACATGCTAATAGAAACCCAATGCGCCTACGCCAATGTATCATCTACTCCTGTGATTGTAGACCAATCCCAATTAATTGAAGAGATCTCTAAGCCTTCATTAAGAGGCTACAAAGAAGTAGTTGAGCTTCCTGAAGAAAAACCAGCTGAAGAAACTAAAAGAAAATACAACAGAGTGCCTAAGCTGTTCTTTGAAAATGGAGAAAGAATTACTGAGCCAAGGCCTCATCAGCTCTTAAAAGCTAGCGATTTACCAGCTGCGTGGGATTGGAGAAACGTCAGTGGCCAAAATTACGTGTCTTGGACTAAAAACCAGCACATTCCTCAATACTGTAGAAATTAAATGGTGATGCTGATGGAATTGGACTCCGAGACTCACTCCTATGGAGCAGGTTGGGCCTATCCTAATAAAGTTGAAAGCAGGGCCTTTGTCCCTTTTTGAAGTCGAAGATTTTCCTATATTATCAAATTTTTGCCTCTCACATAATCTTTGTCTGGCAGGACAATAGGGGCACCCTACAGTGGGTGGCTCTAACCTAGGAGCTGATCCTTATGCTAGGTGAGTCTTACCAGAAAATTCAAAAGGTGGAATTTTGGCTGGGCCTTACATAATTTGCACTCTGGTGTATGCACATCCAGCATAAGCCAACTGTATTCAAGTGCGGTTAGTGAGTCCCGCTTATGACCGTATGAAATTTAATCTTAATCAATACTGTGGAAGCTGCTGGGCACATGGTCCAACTTCTTCACTATCAGACAGAATCAACATTTTAAGAGGCAATAAATGGCCTAGAATCACCTTAGCTCCACAAGTAATTCTAAACTGCCATGGAGGTGGCAGCTGCGACGGAGGTAACCCAGGCGGTGTTTACGAGTTTATCGCAACCCATGGTATTACTGACGACACCTGCCAACAATATACTGCCGCAAACCCTGCAGAAGCTTCCTGCTCACCAGTCCAAAACTGCATGACCTGTTGGGAACTCAACAATAGGACTAACTGTCCAGCAGTCTCCGACCCAATCACCTACACAGTCAGTCAATACGGCGCTGTAAACGGTGCTTTTAGAATGAAAGCAGAAATTTACAAGAACGGGCCTATCGGATGTGGAATTCAAGCCACGCCAAAGTTCGAGAACTATACAAGTGGAGTTTTTGAAGAATTCATCCCATGGATCTCTATTAACCATGAAATCGCTGTTGTAGGATGGGGAGTCGCTGATGATGGAACTGAGTACTGGATCGGCAGAAACTCCTGGGGAACTTATTGGGGACAAGAAGGGTTCTTCTACATCAAGATGTACGAAAATAACTTGGGGATTGAAACAGACTGCGACTGGGGCATTCCTGTTTACCCTACAACTCCTCCATATAGTGTCTAATCATTTTCTTGAATATTTATTAGTTAGCTTGTAAGGTCTGCGTACATGTTTTCTCTGATTTGGTCGAGATCTGGATAAGTGACATTTCCGGAACTGTCTGTGTGGGTAGGGACATAGTAGTCTTTGAAGTAAATTGTAGTGCTTTCTATCATGTATTTCATTATTAATGGGTCATTGTCGGGGCTGCTTGGCTCTGATACAATTTCAGCTTCGGCTTGGGCCATTAAACCTTCAGCGTCATTTGAGCTTGCTTCAGTGTCTGCACTTGTAGCGACCTGGGCTGCTTTTATGGCTTCTTGCTGCAGAAATGAGTGCCTAAAAATCCTTTCACTTATAAGCAAGTGAAAGAAAGCTATAAGAAAGATCGCTTTCATTATCCGTTTATAAACAAATAACTTATACTTTTTTCTATTTTGTATTGGAAAATGGGAATTGTTTGTAAGCTATTTTTTTAGCCAATAGAAAATTTGGGTTATTTTTATATTGATAATGCTTAATAACAAAAGAGGATACATATTTTAATTTCATTGAGTAATGCAAATTTAAATGTCGTCAAGATCTTCTACCCGAGAAAGAGAAAGACCTAGGAACTCTCCTTATCAGCATTATAAACAAGATATATATAAGCCACCATCAATGGAAAGTATTCTTGCTAGTCTAAGCACCAAAGTGAAATCTTTAGAAGACAAGTATATGGATTTCGTCAACTATTGTGCCAGACTACTAATGGAAAATAAAGCAATCATTGAAAAAAGGCTGGAAAATGACATAACCACAAACTCCACAAATTACTATAGTGAGCACAGTACAGATAAAGAAAAAATCGATAAAGACTTAGAATTTGTGATGAGTGTAAAAAATTCTTATTCATCCCCCAGAAATTTTGACACTTTTGATAGGTTTTCTCATTATATAAAAGAAGCAGAAGAAGAGATTTTAAATTTATGTGTAAATGATATTTTTGATATGGACAGCAATGAAATTAAGCGTAATGTTTTGCAAATATTCAATATTTTATCCCGCCAAATTTCTGAAATTGTAACAATAAGTGGCTCTTCACAAGAATTAAATGAAAAAATACTTGTTTTGACTACAGAAAAAAATAAGCTAGAAGAAATTTTGGAAGAAAAAAGATCTAGTGATTTACAGATAATGAGAGAAAAAATGAGTAAATTGGAAGAGCTTGAAAAAGAATTAGCAAAAAAAGAGCTGGATTTAAATAATGAAATTGGGGAGAATAGGAAAAAATATGAAAATGAGAGGCAAGAGATCATTAATAGCTATTGCAAAAAAATTAAACAATTAGAGCAGGATATTCAAAACTTTAAAGAAGAAAGACAGTCATTGACTTTAGCGTTAAATGAAGCTGAAGAAAGGCAGAAAATGATTGAGCCGATGCTAAAAAAGTATGAAGAATTAAAAATCAGCAGCAAAAAACTAGCTGCAGCTGCAGAAAATTATGAAAAATTGTATGAGTCAGTTAAAGGGTGAGCAGAGAACGAATTTTCTAATGCAAATATGGGATTTGATGAAAAATTCAGAGAATACAATAAAAGGATTGATGAATTTGCTAGCAAATTTGAAAAATTAAAGCAGCAGTGCAAGCAATATCTTGAAAAGCATTTAGAAAAAGTCTTAATCATGAACAAACAAATAAAAGCAAAAAATGATGAAAATACCAAAAAGGAAATAAAGGACTGCAAAGATAAATTTGATTCCATTTTGCAAAAAAATAAAGCTGAAAATGAAATGAAATTCAAGAAACTTACAGAAATTATTGGAGATCTTGAAGAGGACAGAGCTCAAATGACCAAAAAATATAAAGAAATTGAAGCAGAAAATATAATTTTGAAAGAAAAATGCAGCAAAATTTCTGAATATGAAAAAGAGGCAAGGGAAATTGAAGAAATTTATTCGCAGTTTAAGAAACTTAAAGAAAGCTATTCAACGTCATTGAAACACATAAAAGCAAAAGAAAATGAAATTGGGCAGCTAAAGATGGTGAATAAAGAAAATGAAGAAAAAATAATCCAGCTTTCAAAGGCAAACTCAAACCAGGAAATTTCTATTCAAAAGCTGCAAACTGAGCTTGAAGAGAAAATCCATAATTATGAAGAAGAAATTGGAAAATTAAATAAAACTATACTTCAGAATGAATCAAAAGAGGACCAATTGATAAGAGAAATAGAAGAACTCAATATAATTAAAGAAAAAATTATAAATGAAATAAAAGAAAAAGAAGAAGAAATAATTCAGTTATCGAGACTATTGGATGAGAAATCAGAATCTTTAAAGGATACCTTGGAGAAATTAGAAGATTTGCAAGAAAGCTATGAAATAAAGATAAAAGAAAGCAATGGTGAAAATAATTTATTGAGATCAGAAAATGAAGAAATAATCATAGAAAATAACGCGGTAAGATCAGAAAACGAAGAAATAGCTATTGAAAACAATAAGCTAAAAGAAGAAATGAAAAATTTCGATTTACGAGAAATAAACCATAAAAAACAATATGACCAAGTAAAGAAAAAAATTGATGAATTAGAAGATTGTATCACTATTTTGCAAGAAGAAAATATCGAAATGTCCAACCGTTTAAAATCTCAAGATATATTAGTAGATGACCTTAATAAGAAATATGCCGATAGTGAAAAATCATGTGCAGAGTTAAATGCAGAAAATATAAGAACAATTAATATTATTAAAAGCATGAGCAATGATATCCGTAATTTGGAAAATGATAGGAATATAAAAGATGAAGAAATCATAAAAAGCGAAAAATTATGTTCAGAACTAAATGCAGAAAATATAAGAATGGCTAATAATATTCAAAGCATGAATAATGATATTCAAAATATGAAAAATGAGATAAAGGTTAAAAATGAAGAAATTATAAAAAGTGACCAAGAACTTATGATAATTAAAGATGAAAATAGAATTTTATCTAAAAAACTTTATGAAAGTACTAAAGAGTGCCAGGATTCTCAAAATAAAACTGTATATTATTTGTCAAATTATAGCAGTGTTCTCAACTCGATGATTGAATCGTTGTCCATTCGATATGAATCTGCTATAAAAATCACTAAAGAAAAACTGTGTAAAGCAGAAAAAAGCATTTACAAGCTACAAAATATTTTGCCCTCATTAATTGATGCAAAAATCATCAAATTATCTAAATTGAATACCCAAATTACTGATTTGACAGAGGCAAAAATCATGAATATGATTAATGAGAAACAGCATGGACTTGAGTATTTAATCAATGAATCTGAAGGATTTTTATTGTCAAGAATAGAGACTGTAAATGAAAATATTGAAGCAAAACTCCAATCAGATGAAATTCTGTCAAAAAAGCTTGAAAACTTGGTAAAAGAATACAACTTAATAAAAGAAGAGGTCAGTAGTACACCAGACGTAGAATGGATATATAAGGATATGGAGAACTTAAAAAAGTCGTTATTTGATATAGAAAGCAAATGAAAGCAAGCTACAAGTGAAATAGAACTCAAAGAAATCGAACTAAATTCATATAAAGAAAGGATTTTCTCTATGGAAAATGAAATTAGTATGCTAAAGCAATATAAAGAAAGAAGCTTTTTAATGGAAAATGAAATCGAAATTCTAAAAAATAATTTGGCAGAAAAAGAAAGTAACAATAACAGTGAAATGCTGCTTCTTGAACTAAACTCTTTGCAGGTAAAATATGATCATGCCTACAAAGACTTAGTAGATGCAAGAAGCGATCTTGATAAGGCTAAACGAGATATAGAAAAACTTTCAATTGAAAATTCTAATCAAAATAGAATATCAGTGTCTGAACATCAAGAACAAATTGAGAATTTGCAAATGCAGCTTAATGAAAGCTTAAATAATGAAAATGTACTTAAAACACAAATAGAAGAGCTGAGAAATGATATAACAGGGCTGACTGTGCTCAATAATGAAATTCAAAAACAGAGGTATTCTCTTGAGTCAAATTCTAAAGATTCAGAGCAAAAGCTAGAGCACGAAATAAAACAGCTTGAAGATCGTATTCAACTTAGAGAAGAAAAGATTGCAGAATTAGAATGCTATATTAGCTCAGCAGAAGAAGCACTAGGAGGATTCTTTGATGAGAATTTAGAAAAATCCATTAAAAATTTAGTATCACAGCGTACCCAAGCTATTAAAAAGCCTCCCAGACCTCTTCCTGCTTCATCAAAATTCCGAAGCCGATCTAGAGAGCACACTACAAATATCGAGCACAATGAGCCTATAGTAATCTGCAATACTGAAGACTCCAAAAATTCTGACAGATCCTGGTCATCCCTTCCTCCTCCAGAATCAGAACTGCAAGAAGAGTTAAAAGAGCAGCTTAACATAGGAGAAACTCAAACTAAACAAATTAAGCTTCTAAAAGAAAATATCAGAGACTTAGAAAATCAATTGAAAAGAGCAGAAAGGTTTAAGGAAACTGAAGGCAACTTTAATATTGAAATGTTGAAAGACCTTATGATGAAACTAATAAAAATAATGCCTCCACTTACAAATGAAGCAGAAGGGATGATAACTGTAATTCTCACAATGATGTCTGTACCAAAAAATGAAATGAACCAGCTTCAAGATGAAAGAAGGAATTTAAAGTCGTCAGGTGGCCTTTTTAAATTTTTCAATAAAAAATAAGTTGTAATTTCATTATATCTCGAATTGTAAAATTGTTTTAGTATAATGAAATCTAGAGCTAATTCTGTTTAATTTTAAACAAATTGCGTTTTTAAAACATAAATTTTGCAAATTAAATTAATATTTGCTTCCCAATTTTTGCAAATTAGGATTTTTTTTTAAATTTCGAAAAAAATATTGTTTATAAAATTTATATATAAATTTTTTTTAAAAAAAAAAAAAATTAACCCCCCTCCGTGAGCGAACAAAATTTTTTTGTTCGCTCACGGGGGGGGGGGGAGTTAGTATTTTTAATTTTTAAAATTAAGTGAAATATTTCAATAAAGTGCCTGGTCATAAAACTTCACCACAAAATTCTGCATTTATATTTTTATAATGAATTACTCTTTCTTATCTACACGAGAAACTTTTGAACTTCCAGAGTTCAATCTATCTTGTGGTATCGAACAATCACCGACTTTATCAGCTCTAGTCTCATCTTTTAGATCATATGAAGATAGTGAGCTACCTCACAAAGAAGGATGGCTCAAAAAAAAGTCACCAAAGGTACTCAAAGGATGGCAGTCTAGATATTTTGTGCTATCAAACAAAGTTTTATGTCTTTTTATCATAAATAGAGGCATATCTGGCTGCCAGTTCTTATTTATAGAAAAATAAAATAGTAGGCAGCAATGCATGCAAAATTCATTGTATAAAGGTATATCATACTATTCTGACGAAAATAAAGAAAATCCTCTAGGGCTATTAAACTTTGACCAGATTTCGGTAAAAATCATAATAAAGCCAAAAATTTGCCCAACTAATCTGCTAATTATGCCTTTAGGGAGCAAGCGTGTGTTTCATCTAAAATCTAAATATACCGCAGAAATTTCATCATGAGCCAGAGCATTGCAAGTTCACATCGATGACTCTTTAGGCAAGCAAGAAGACTTGCCTAACCTTTCTGAGACAACTAAATTTTGAAAATATAACAGAGTATCTCAAGGAGTCTTTCTAAATGACGTTTCAACTGGCGATATTTTACTATTCCGAAGCAAATTATTTGCATCAAAGCTCCAGCGATGTGCTACAAGAAGTGATTATGATCATGTAGCAATGATTCTAAAATATGAAGATGGAGAAATTGGCTTTCTTGAAGCAACGCTTCAAGAAGGAGTAAATATTACCTTATGAGATACCTACTGGATGGACAATTGGCATACTCTATATAAAAGAATAGCATATAGAAACTTAGAAATAGAACGATCAGAAACTACCTTAAAAAAATTAGAGAATTTCCTAAATGGTGCTATTGGGAAAAGATTCAAAATTTCCCTCGGTAAATTAGTACATAAATATCAATATAAAGAGCCAGGTACAGAAAAACACTTTTTTTGCAGCGAACTTATCGCATCGACATATAAAGCTATGGGATTGTTGCCAACCCATATTTCATCATCTAGTTATTGGCCTGGAGACTTTTCAGCTGCCCACAAGCTTAAGCTTCTAAAAGGAAGCTTAGGCCCTGAAAAAGTCATAGATATGTCTTTATAATGTAAAAATCATTTTTGGTAATTTTAAATTATGAGTGGAAGAATCGCTCCTCAAAGCCCAGAACCTAAGAAAAATAAGCCAACAGCAAAGCCTTTCTTTCAGCAAACTAAAAAAGGTTATCGACCTTTACCAACAGTCCTTTCTACAGTCCTTATTTTTACCGCAGTCGGGTTATTTTTTATCCTTTTTGGGAGCATAATTCTTTCATACTCTTTAGACATAATTGAGCACTCCAAGCGATACGACAACGTAGGTGACTGTATTAACACCAAATGAAATGATACCCAATACTGCAATATTACAATAGATATCGATGAAGATATGAACGCTCCTGTGTTTTTTTATTACTCACTGTCAAATTTCTATCAAAATCATTGAAATTATATGAGATCATATTCTCAATATCAATTATTAGGAAGCAATCTTTCGAAAAGTGACTTAGATAACTGCATTCCTGTATACACAATGAAAGATTTAGGACTTGAAGATAATGCTATACAAGAAGGGGCATGAAATCTTTCTAACTCAGCTGTAGCTTTTCCTTGTGGACTTACTGCGAAGTGGTTTTTTAATGACACATTTGAAATGTGAAGTCCAAGAAAAGAGAAAGTTTTTATACATGAGGATGATATAGCGTGGAGTTCTGATAAGGACAGAAAATTTAATAATATGCATAAGTGAAAGAAGTCGCAATGAAAAGATGTAGAGGACGGTAAGAAATAACTATATCTTTTTTATAAAAATAGTATTTTTTAATAGATAAATCATTAATTTATTTTGAAAAGGTATAGAACATTTTATGGTTTGGATGAGAAGCTCAAGTTTTTCAACATTTAAAAAATTGTGAGGAAGAATTGAAGACGATTTAGATGCAGGGACTTATACAATACAAATACATAGCCACTATGACCAAAATGCGTTCAATGGGGAAAAATGGGTTGAGATCTCGACAGCTAGTGCGCTTGGAGGTAAAAATGATTTGTTAGGGATCGCATTTTTGAGTTTCGGAGGGTTTGTACTGGTTATTGCTGTAGCATTTGGGGTCAGGGGGTGGATTTTCAAAAACCCTAGAGATTTGCATTATGATTAAAAGCCCCTTGTACTTTATTTCACCTTAATGTTTTTATCTATTGAAAAAGAAGTAATTTAGTTTTCTTTCTGTAACTGACATTGCAATGATATAATTTTAATAATTTCTAAAATGATTGGAAAGCCTAGCAGTTATAACTATTTGGTAAATAGAGGTAAATTTTACATACTCTTTTCAATAAAATTTAAATAGTTTTTTCTTTGAGCAATTAATTAATTTTTTTTCAATAATTTTAATTAAATTTTCTTATAGGAAAGTTAGACGATCTCACAGCATTGAATGCTATAAATCAAGGTGGCTATCCTCAACAACGATCTCCAGAACGCGCAGCAAGAAACCCATTAAAAGTAGATGACATTCAAGGAGCCTCATCAAAGAGCAGTTACCTAAAACCAGGAACACAGAAATACCCAACTAGCCAAGGTCCACAAGGTCTTAGTCTTCCTAGCTATGACCAAGGATACCAAAATCCTCCTTCATCTGATCATAATCGAAGATTTCAAAGCAACCCACGATCTTTAATGGCTCCCTATGCAGTCCTAGAAGACAACCCTCCTGATCTCCTTGCCAGACGACAAATGGGCGAAATAGTCCAACAAAAAGAAGCCAAAATGAGCAGAAATCCAATGCCTAATCAGCCCTATTCAAATTACCCTCCTCAAGCCCGTCTAGGAGCATTCCCTACTGCCGTAAATAACCAAATTACAGACTCCGTTATCCAAAGAAAGCCAAATTATACAGATTTCCCTCCTAGCCTAAACCCTCAGATCACAGATTCTGTTGTCCAAATGAACGTCAATATTTCACCAAACGATGAAGCTTATTTAAGAAACGCCGCATTGTTTTTTGGAGTTGATCTACAATCAGATTCTAATCCATATGCTGGACAAATTAATCGACAAATGATGGATAATCCAAATGTCCCTAGAAATGACTCTAATTACCAGAAAAATGCTGCTAAATTCTTTGGAATTACCCCGCCTCCTACAGGGTATCCTATGAGAGGTGAGTTAAGAAGTGACGCAAATATGCCGTCTTATAATGATAGAGTCTATATAAAAAATGCTGCAAAATTCTATGGAGTAACCCCACCTCAGACTGGAGATGTAAGCCAAGCTGTTAGAGGAAATTTTGGTGGGGATCAGTATACGTCAGTGAATGACCCAAAATATGCTAAAAATGCAGCAAAGTTTTATGGAATCACTCCACCGCCCACTGGATTTCTCCAGCAAAGCCAAAATTATCAACAAATAAGCTCTCAGCAAATAAATATTTCGCCAAATGATTTGGCATATCAAGCCAATGCAGCAAGATTCTTTGGAGTTGACCCACCCCAAACTACGCACAATAATTACTCTCAGCCTGAAGTTTCGTATAACGATCCAGTTTATAAAAAAAATGCTTCAAAATTCTACGGTGTCACCCCTCAGGCAACAGGTAATAATTTTGCTCAAGAAAACATTTATTCTCCTTCCTATAATGATCCAAAATATCAAAGAGATGCTGCAAATTTTTATGGAGTTACTCCATTACCAAGCAGAGGAGGACCTGAAATGATGCAGAATATAGGATCTAAAAACCCTGGAAGCTATAATGATTTTTCAAGACAAAACATAGACAATGCATATGCTAAAAATGCAGCTATTTTTTTTGGGGTAAGTCCTCCTAATTCAGCAGGAAATGATGGATTAATGGCTAGGAACGAAAAACCAATGGCGAATTATTTTGAAATGGCACCTACTCAAGGCGGAATAAATCCTCAACAAGATCCAAAGTATATGAAAAATGCTGCAAAGTTTTATGGGATTACACCGCCACCTACAGGATATAATTATGGCGCCGGAGGTAGCCCACAAATGATGAATCAATATAATAGTTATGCAAGTAACAAGCCAGGACTAGCTGCGAATGCAAGAAGGATATTTGGGTAATATTAACATTTTACTAGGGTAAATTTATATTAAATCTGTTGTTTTCTTTTATGTAAATGGCAGAATCGAAAGTTCTTGATACTTGTGCAGACTTTTTAGCAGAAATTCTTAATAAAAAATCAGCCTCTGCCAATTCTACTTATATTCCTCAGTTCATTGAAAAATTTTCCCAGATTCTCAACTTAACTGAAATGAATTTAAAAGTCACTGTAAAACCATATGGGAAAAACTGTTTGCATTGTGGAAAATACATACCTAGCTATCATCTTTCTTCAGCTATAGGTCTTTGGTGTAAACCAAATGACCACTTTTTCTGCTCAGCGCATTGTTTACAAAGGCATTCATTAATATCAACAAATGGAACTCTCCTTGATCTTGACTATGTAAGATGCCCTATTTGCCGATCTTCAATATCCCCAGAACAAATTAATGAAGCATTCGACGGAAAACTTGAAAGCTACCAAAGGGATGCATGTGACCGCGCTTTGCTTATGCTTCTAGATGAAGAAGGCAAAGAAAAATTAAAAGCAAAATTTACATGTCTCATTTGCTACACTGAATTTAAAGTAGATGAAGGAATCACCTTAGAATGCGATCATAGGTTCTGTATAAACTGTATTAAGCAACAAGTCGAAATGCTGATAGAATCAGCTCAAGTCAGTGACGAAAAATTAAAATGCCCTATGTGCCCTCAAGCATTGTCTGTATATGAAATCGAAGATATCGTAGGTCCTGAATTATTTGCAAAATATGAGAAATTTAGGTTAAGAGGAATCCAGCTGCCTCCAGAAGACGAAAATTCTTATATTTTCCATTGCAGAGGAGCTGACTGCGAATATATCTGTATAATTGAAAAAGGTGTTGAGGAGTTTAATTGCCCAAAATGCGGATTTAAATGTTGCCCTTTATGTAAAGATGAAATTCATAAGGGAAGTACTTGTGAAGAATTTGCAAAGCTGAAAAAAGAAAAAGTTATGTCTGCAGACTACAAATTGACCTCTAATTCACTCCCGCTTACAATATCCAGTATCTCCATATATTTTGCTAGAAAAACTGGCCTTTAATAGTCTACATCTTTATAATTTTTTTTGTAAAAAAACTGCATAAATTATATCAGATCCATTATGAAGATGAAATTGACCTTATAGGCGAGCTATAATAATGCATAACCTATATAGGAGATGAAGAGTTTGAAAAACTTTTAAGAGATGAAGGGCTGCTTAAATGTCCTGAGTGTGGAGCTGCAGTACAAAGAATTTCTGGATGCCAGTATATGGTTTGCAGTTCTAGTCAGTGCCAAGGGAGAACTTATTTCTGTTATGATTGTGGGATTAAATTGGAGCAGGATCATGGAGCTCATGATTGTAAGCCAAGAGAGGGTCCGAAAAATCAACCAGCAAATGTTTTTATGGATGATAGAATGATACCTGGAGTTGCTTATTATCATCATCCTGATGATATTGAACCCCAAGAGATTATTCCCCGGCCTATATTTGAGCCAAGAAATATTCTCGAAAGAAATCATGGGCCTGCAAGACGAGGACGACGGGCACGTAATTTTTTCAGAAATTTGTTTCGAAAAGGATAGAATAAATAAGAATGCTTTATAAAATATTATTTATCAATTAAAGGCTAATTTAATAATAAGAGAATTTTATAAAAAGATCCATATTGCAAGATATTCTGCTTGTCTCTGATATATTAAAGCCATTATAATGCTTAAAATTTTGATGATAAATAGCCATTACCTATTTTAACAAAAAGTGTCCATAGCTCACCAAATAATATTATTTCAATTTAAATTGAATATTATTAAAAATGGAAAAAGCATTTAGTGAACTCAATTTATGTTTGGAATCTTTAAACCAATTTTTATCACAAAAATATGACCCTCTAGAGCATTATGAAATCATAGATTTACTCCAAAGAATATATGAGTTATTAGCCGCTACTGGCAATAATTTAATTATCAATATTTCTCCATCAAAAATCTATTGTTTGCACTGCTATAATGAAATTCCGATTAAAGAAATAGACTCATCTATTCATTTATCTTGCAATCCATATCATTGTTTTTGCTCTACACATTGTTTCAGAAGGCATGCACTATTATGCACTGATAGCAAACTAATTGATTTAGACTATGTAAGATGTCCAGCATGCCTCACATCTATTGATATCTCACACACTTGTGATGCTTTTGATGGAAATCTTCCACAAATTTATGAAGAATATAAAAAAGAGCAAATCGCAACTTTTAAGTGCTTGATATGTTTAACTAACTATGAAATTGAAGAAGGCATTACCCTAGATTGTGACCACAGATGCAACCAAAAATTAAAATGTCCATTATGTCCTCAGCCTATATCATCTACACCATTGAATATTAAATTTCTTTAGAACTTTTTGCAAAATACGAAAAATTCATGCTTAGAGACATAGAAATTCCTTCTGGCTCGAATTCTTTTCTTTTTTATTGTCCTGGACGTGATTGTGAATCTATTTGTATCATTGATAATGGGGTTAAAGAATTTATTTGCCCATTATGCCATTTTCAATGTTGCCCAAGCTGCAATAAAGACATTCACAATGGGAAAACTTGTGAAGAATATGCTAACAATGCAAAATAGATAAAGAAGATAAAGAATTTAAGATAATGATACAGATAAAAGGATGGCTTAGATGTCCTGTATGCGGAATTGCTATAAATAAAGTTAATGGGTGCCAATATGTGGTATGTACGTCAAGTAAGTGCCGGGGAAGGACTTATTTATGCTATGAATGTGGGCAAAAAATGGACTTTATCCATCAACGGCATGAATGTAAAATTCGCGAAGAACTTGTGCGTGCAATTGGACAGAATGATAAACATGATCGCGATGATGGTAATATATATCTTGGAGGTCTTCTTCATATTAGAAGAGATGTTCGTTCTCCTCCGCCACCTCCACGTAATCAAATTTTGTATATTAAGCCAAGAAAAAATTATCCTTGGGGTAAAAGCCCTCTACAAAGGAAAAGAGAACCCAAGCCAAATCTTCATGGAATTTTACCTTTGATGGTCGAAGGGAAAAAATTACTTAAAGATAAATCTTAAAGGAAACCTAGCTATTTCTATTAGATATTATTATTTTTTAATGCAACTATTTAAGATATGATAATTAAAGCTTATAAATTGCATATAAAATTAGCTATAATGATGGTTTGATATAATTAAATGATTAAATATATTTAAATTAATTCTTTCTTACAATTCTAAAAGTTGCTCATTTTTAAGATCATTTTAAATAAAATTTATAATGAAATGTGTCAGATATCAACAGAGAATATGAGAATTGATAATTTATTTTAAATTTTTCCTAATAAATAAAGCTAAATATAAACACTTATAAATGACTGTGATTGGAGAATCAATAAAACCATTTACAAATTTAAGGCAACAAGCTGTTTTGGAATTTTTAATATTCTCCTTTGTTGTATATTAATTATTCTAAAAACTCAATAATTTGACAATTTTGATATTCTTCTCCTTTAAAATTCATTTTGATACTTAAATTCTCAAAAATTATATAGGCATAATGTCGAAGGAGTTGAATCAAGTATCAAAAGAATTCTGAATGCCAGACACCTCAGCTAAATCTTGTGCTCGCTGTGACAAACCATTTACAACTTTTAGGAGAAGACATCACTGCCGCTATTGTGGACTGATTTTCTGTTCCAAATGTACAAGTAAAAAATCTCTCCTGTCAAATGGTGTCATAATAAATCGATGCTGTCCTCAATGTTTACTAGCTTTAAAATCTCCAAACAAGAAAACTGCAATTCTCCCTACCTTTGCAACAACCACAGATTTAGATCCTCAACCATCTCCAACAGGAACCCCAAAGCATATGGAAAAATCAGAATCTGCTGATGTAATTAAAGAAGCTGCTGAAGATGATGCTATGTCTGATCTCATGTCTCTTGAAGATGAGCATGCTTTGGATAGCGTAAAAGAATTTCTTGGAGAAATTAAATCTGATTCGGATCCTAAACTAGATGCTTATGCAAATGAATATTTCGAGCAGCTAGCAAGAGAGTCTATTGTTAAACAAGAACTAGGAAGAGAATGACTAGGATTGATAATTAAATTTTCAAAAGAAATTGTAGAGAACTTATGTTCATCAACACAATTCAGAAAAGACTCTATGGACATCAACAATTATTTAAGAATCATTAAAGTCGCCTGGCCTGATACAAGTTTGTCAGAGTATATCAATGGAGTTGTTTTTGTCAAAAACATTGCTAATAAAAAAATGAACAAAAGAATTGAAAACCCTAAAATTTTGATCCTCAAAGGCGGCACAGATATCTACACAAGTGACAAAAAATTGGTCTCCATGGACAGATTAATAGACCAAGAGACCTCACTTGCAGAAATCTTTATCAGAAAACTAGAAAAAATCAGGCCAAATGTTATGATTTTAGAAAAAAGTTTGCCTCAAAATATATTGTCAGAGTTTGCCAAAATGCAGATAACGACCATTATGAATGTAAAATTAAAAATAATTGAACAAATAGCACGAGCCACCAAGGCAAAAATTTTGAAATCAGTGGACCAAACGTCCACTACTGAAAACTATTTACTCCCACCCCCCCTCCGTGAGCGAACAAAAAAATTTTGTTCGCTCACGGAGGGGGGTTAATTTTTTTTTTTTTAAAAAAAATTTATATATAAATTTTTATAAAAAATATTTTTTTCGAAATTTAAAAAAATCCTAATTTGCAAAAATTGGGAAGCAAATATTAATTTAATTTGCAAAATTTATGTTTTAAAACGCAATTTGTTTAAAATTAAACAGAATTAGCTCTAGATTTCATTATACTAATTATCACTTATATATCAAAATTTTTTTCCATTAAAATTTTTTCTATTAAAAAAAATTTTTGTTCACTCACGGAGGGTGGGTTTTTGGTCAAAAAATGGCGATTTTTCTAATGGTTTTGTTCGCTCACGGAGGGGGGGGGGGAGTTAGGGACTTGTGGGGTGTTCTATCTTGATACTTTAGAAAAGCAAAGCTATGTGTTTTTTAAAGACCCACTAGATACCACAAGGGCTGGAAGCTTAATTCTGTCAGGAACTGATAAGTTTGAGCTTAAGAAAGTGAAAGAGGCGGTAAAAGATTTAGTAATCCAATATAGAAATATCAAGCTTGAGCTGCATTTTTTTATCCAAAGCGGAATTAGACCAATCCCTAATATTTTTTCTGCATTTAAATCATCAGCTAGTCAGTTTAAGTATTTAGTTATATCAAATATCAATAACAGTATGTGCACTAAACCGACTACTCAGAATATTTCTTATTATAAAGGCGAAGATATGACGCTAGGAGATTTTATAAATTCTATTATAATTTCCTTTTAATTGCCCAGTAGAAATTTCAAGCCATTTCTTATAGATAAAATAATATAATCATATATACTATTAAAAAAAGCAATGATACCTGCCCTTCTGGCTGTGAAAGTAACCTAAGCGACCATTCTACCTATTACATAAAAAACGGCGGCAGAATAAAAATGTATTTTGCTAAATCTCATCAAAATCCTTCACAAGAAATCATGATGAAAAAAGAATGCAAAGCTTGTGGAAAGAGTACCATAGTAACAACTCCACTATCAAAATCAGCATGGGAATATTCATTTTATAAATTCATCAATAATTTTTTTACAAAAACTGATTTTCTCAATGAAAAAAACTGCCCTCATGATTTTTATAAGCTAGCGAAATTTTCTTTTCATATACAAGGCATAAAAATTGTGTTTGAATGGGAAGAAAACCCAGTTTATGACTTAATACCAATGTCAAATTCCAAAGAAACTACTAGGTTTTATGCAAATTTTATGAGAAATAAGTTTGATGAAACGAGGTCTTGCGCAAAGGAAGTTTTTGACGATTTGTTAAGACAAAGCAAAGAGATGATTTTAAAACTTAGTGTTGAGTCAATAGGAAATGAGTCAAAATCCCAGCTGCAAGGGATTGATATAATTAGGGAAGAATTGGTGACGATCGGAGATACAATAACTTCAAGCCTGTGCAAGCTACTAGATATGGAAGTTTGTCTTAACTTAACTTAACTTAACTTATTAACCATCACGTTTAACGTCTCCTACGGGGTTGCTCTTCCAGGACTACCACCACGCTCTCGTCGCTCGGGGCCCACTAGTTGCTGGACAACTAGCTTTGATCTCCAACGTGCGCCTCCTGCGCAATGTTCCGGCTTCGACGGCTCATGAATGAGCTACTTTCTCTGTAACGAGGGTTGTCTGCTGGGAAATTCCAAAAAATGGGATTTCTGGCCGACTTTCGGCAAAAAGGGGAAAACTTTGTAGCCCGGGGCGAAACTCCCGGTTTCTCGCTAGGGACTTGCCCGAATGGCCTAGGGATTACTTGCAGGCGCTGCTGGGCTTCTCCTTTCCAACTCCAAGCCTCCTCTTCCCTCGAGGTAAAATCCTAACCCGAGAACGGACTGGGATCAGGCTCTGTACACTGCCAGAATTGCTTACCTGATATTACTGTCCATCTCTAGCTAGGCAAAACCTTGCCGGATATAATTAAATAGGGCTCGAAACTGTCTGGCCGAGAGGCTAGACCCAAGTTGAGACGCCATATTTAATTATATGGAAGTTTGTCAATTTAAATGCCATTTAGATATAGACACTTATAAAAGATCATTATTTTTGCAAGCTTGCTCAATTAAAGTTTCACTTGAAGATACAGCCTCTAAGCTAAAACGACTAAAAAAAGGTTCAAAACATATAAATAAAGAACCAAAAAATCCTCCGCTCTCTAGATCAAGCAGCTCAGGGCCTGATAATCGAAAATCCCCAGCCCAAACTCCAACCCCAGAAGGGAAGATTTATCCATCCCTCAGTGCAATATCTTCTCAAGACTTCGAATCTCTCGAGCAGACTCATAGAAACTCTGCAATCTCTACACCTATCGATAATTTCGACAAAGATGACGAATTCCTCCAAAGCGAGCATTTCAATATATTGCAAAAAGGAAATTTAACATTACCATTAGGCTATAATGATTTATGTGTCCCAGTCGAAGAAACAGATTCTTTATCTATCATTGCCTATGCATTGAACTCTCAACGCTATTTTGATGAAATCGCCTGCAATATTAGAAAAACTGAAAATTCTGCTGACCAAATAGAAGCAGATTTATTGTCTGGCGATGAGAAGCATTTTAAATTCAGCGTTTCTACTTATGAAGATGAAATGATTGGACTTGCACACAAAGATGGGGTTAGAAGATTGTATGGATCTCATATGAAAATACAAGTGACGGCGTATTTTCCGAAACAGTTTCATGCGATTAGAGAATATTCTTATGAGCCACATGATGAATTTTTATGGTGGGTTAAATTTAATATTGAATTTTCATATAAAAAATTGGCATATTATTGTATAAATTAAGCCTTAAAATGATTAGTGTATAGCTATTATTTACTATAAAAAGAATAATTTCAATAACAAGCTCTCAGAATAGCCAAGAGCAGCTTGGCAAAAGCAGAGCAGTTTTCCGGAAATCTTTAAATGGAAAATACATCTTAAAAACTATAGATGAAAAAGAATTTCGGATGTTTATTGACCTAACTCCTAACTATTTCAGGCACGTTTGCAAAAATTATTTCCACAATATGCCTTCAAGGCTTGTGAAAACTATTGGAGCATTCAAAATTTCTGTCAAAAACTACAGCACAGGCCGAAATAAGCTAGAATGGGCTTTATTATCAGAAAACTTAGGCTTTGCGATGCCTTCACCTTTATATGTTTACGACTTAAAAGGCACCTCAAACCATAAAAGAAGAGTAAAAGAAGGCGACACTCGGACCAAAATGGATTTAAATTTCATAGAAGACTTTAAAGGAATCCCTATAACTTTAGCTCCTGAAGTTAAGCGCATTTTTGATGCTACAATTTGGAACGATACACTGTTTTTAGCAAAGCAAAATGTAATTGATTATTCTTTGCTGATTATGGTGTCACTAGAACATAGAAAAATTGCTGCGGGGATTATTGATTATATGGAGCAATATACTTTTGAAAAGGCGATTGAAAGCAAGTATAAAGCTGTAATTACAGATCAACTACCGACGATTACACATCCGACAATCTATAAGGAGAGGTATAGAAGTCAGTTAATTGAAAGCTATTTCATGTCTCTTGAAGACTAAGCTGTCTAATAATTCATTTTCTTCTTAAATAAGCTTTTTAGTTGAGATTGATAAAATTATATGGATAATTTTTTGGATAATTTAATCCCATATCAGGGCAATGAAGGCTTGGAAGCCAAAGATTTGATATTCAGAAACTATATCCCAAAGAATGATTCTTTAAAAGAGTTTATAGTGCATGCTCCGACAACAGTAGCTGAAACAGAACTTGAGATAGAAAGAGATATCAAGCAATCTGTAAGGGAGTTTAATATGCAGCAAGAAGAACCTCTGACAATTATACCACAAAAGCCTAATATGGACTTAAAAAAGAGCTTAGATCGAAAGCTAAATGTGCTTATCTCTCTCTTTCGAGGCAAGCAAAATTTTTTTTAATCTCACACTAAAATCCTTTTTCGTAAAAATTAATTTATAATTTATGTTCTAGAGTGCAAGTGGTTAAAAATATAATACATTTGATTATATACCAAAATATTTTTTCTCATTACGAAGTTTTTTTCCAAAAAATAAGGATTTTTCCAAAGGTTTTGCTCGCTCAGACGGGAGGATTTAACAAGAAAACAGAAGCTGCTATCATTCAGCTATTAAAAAACAAATTGTCAGAAAAAAATAAATAATGCGTATTGTTTTAGTTAAATTCTCGTATAAGAGCTAAAAAGCCTAATAAATTACATAGTAAGATCAGGAAATGCTTGTTTATATCTGTCTTTATTTTAAAATATCGTTATTATATATAAAATAAGATAAGTGAACTAATCTATTAATGGAACTTAGAAGAAATATTTTATTTGTTTTAATTTCTATTTGAATTTTATAAATTTACTTATTAATTAATAAAGGAGTTATATCTTTATAATTTATATGCTCAGGAATCAAGTATACGTAGAAATCCTAAATGCAAGCCATGCTATCTCTTTACAAAATGCAGCATTAACAGGAGCAATATCTCGTCTCTTAGATCGACTCTGCCAAAGCGAAGTTCTAGTAATGTCAAATAATGCGAAGTTACAAATTCCCAGAACATCTCGGCACGAGCTCGACATATACACGCCTTATCTTATTATCCAAGCTTTTATTCCTAACTCCCCTTTTCTCAGCAAGCAGTCCATTGGAAAAATCCATATTTTTGCAAAAAAAACCACCTTCTGTCAGCGAGAAAAAAAAATTATTAAAAATATTTTAGTATGCAATGATATATATAGGGCTTTCCCTTGAATAGCCTGATAACGGGCTGGCTTCATCCCGTTATCAGGCTATTCAAGGGAAAGCCCTATATATTATAAGGGGATCTCTAGGCAATTCTGTTGAATTTAAAACAGCTTACATTTTAAAGTATAAATCTTTTAATTTTCAATTTGATTCTTTTGAATATCAAAAATATTAACCCCTACGAACAGAAATTTTTTGTTAGATCATGAAGGGGGTAAAGGAAAGCAATTTAACATCGAAATTTCAGTCACAGACACTTCAGCTATGAAAAGGAAGCTTATTTTTACACAGTGCCGAGGAATAATAAGAAATTCTCTCCATTCAAGAATACTTAGTTCTTAATTAAGATTATAGAAAAGATTTCTGTGATACTTCAAAAGGGTAATTATCTCCACTTTGCTTTGAGACTGCCTGCCTTCTATGATCCTCCGGAATAGGCTCGCCGGAGTGTAATGGGATGGGCCGCCATGCCGTACGTCCGCCTTCCAAAAAATTCGAAAATGAATTTTCTGGCCAAGTTGCCGACCAAGTTGGAATTTTTAGCCTAAGGCGAACTCGAGGAAACTGTCCGATTGGTCCAGAGGACATTGCTGGGGGTGTCCTTTTGCAACTCTAAGCATCTATCTTCCCTAGAGGTAAAACCTTGACCTGGAAGTAGCTACGGCTAGCCTAATCCGAAATTGCGCTCCACCAGACCAAGTAAAACCTTGCTGGATACTCATTACTGAGCACCATCCATCTTTTCACAAAATCCCGTGGTTTCCCTGCTACAGGTGTTAAGAGGAAGGTTAGTTCGCTAATCCATTTATGTATATCCATTCAAGAATCCAAAATACCATAATAAACCGAGATCAGTGGACTAATATATGTATTGATGTCTCCTTATTCAATTTGGAATGCTTTGGTTCAACTTTTCATCATATAGACTCTGTTACGATTTCTGGATTTTGCAGAATACGAAAGATATTTGGTTGCAAATTTCCATTAAAGGATTCAAATGAGCGGATGAACACTCACTCCCCCCCCTTTAAATTGGAACTAAAAATTTTGTTCCAATTTAAAGGGGGGTTAATTTTTTTTTAAAAAAAATATCAATATACAATTTTTATAAAATATATAAAAAATTAAAAAAAACAAATTTCCAAAACTTATCGAATTAGATTAATAAATTTGTTTAATAAAACGCTATTTACTCTTTATCCTTTAAAAAAAGCAAGATATAACTAAATTTTCATTATTAGTTAATACGCCACTATTAATTGGTATCAAAGTTATTTACACAAAAATTATTATTTTTATTGATAAAGAAAATTAAAAAAAAAACATGTTAGAAAATTTATCGATCAAAGTGCTAATTTTGTTTAAATAAGATGTTATTATATACTCTATTCTTTAAAATAAAGCAAGAAATAAGTAAATTTTTAAATTTTATAAAGAATTCCTATTGAATTTATGTCAAAACTATTTAAATAAAAAATATCATTTTTATCAAAAAAAAAACAAAAATGTTTTTGAAAATTTTAAAAAAAAAAAAAATTAATTTTTTTTTTAAAATTTACAATCAAGGATAATAAATTTATTTAAATAAGATACTCTTTATACTTTTATCTTTAAAAAAGAGCAAGATATAACTAAATTTTTAATTTTAGTTAATAAGAAACATTTTAATTTATATTAAAACTTTTACATAAAAATTATATATAATTTTTTATTATAAAATTAAATTTTGTTCCAATTTAAAGGGGGTTAATTTACCAAAAGTGGAAATTTTACCGATATTTTGTTCCAATTTAAAGGGGGGGAGTCAGCTGAAGCATGAAATATTGCCTGATGCTTATGAGTTTCCTGATATTTTATACATTATTTGAAAAAATTTATTTTTATATTGATAAATTAGGACTTTATTTTACAGAAATCAGGGCCTGATCTTGGTACAAAAATATTTAGTCTCTATAATAGATATATCTGCATTATCTCAAATAATAAACCCTGGGAAAATCTCAGTAGAAACCCCACTTCCTGATGCTCCAAGTAGAGTAGCTAATTATTCTCCAAATCTGTCCAAGCGACAAGAATATTTTTTAGAAGATTCTCCACAAAGGTCAATAAAAATTAAAAGGAAAAATTTAATTGAGTCAAAAGTATATGATAAACTTATAATGGGGCAGTTTGGCCCAAATCCATTCAAGCAAAGCAAGCATAATGCTGATTTTTACAGTAAAAGTATTGTTCCCCAAAAATCGACACCACAGATGGCTCCACCACCCATAAGAACTAAACCAAATCGGAGGACAATTTTTAACGATGATGCTCCCCAAAAAGAGTCTAAATCGTTCAGAATCAGTCATGAAGATAACAGTTTTATTGGTCTAAATGAATATGGAGTTGATATCAAGCCAAAAAGCAGCTTATATGAGCAATATATGGGTGCAGTAACTACTATAAGACATCATACACCGCCTTTTGTAAATTTAGATAATGAAGGCTTGACATATGATCCTGTATCAAAAAATTATTCACTTCCAGCGGAAGTGGTGTGAAGAGACAACTTTTAATGTTAATTTTTTTATTTATATTATTTTTAATAAATATAAACATTACTAACGATTAGCCTTTGCCTATAGGGAATAGGGCAGATTCTATTTCATAATCATTGTAATAGGTATAAAAACTTCTTCTATCGATGGTTTATTATAGCAAATTGGGAGAAATATTAAGGCAAAGACCCAAAAAGTGCTTAAGCCGCCTGAAATCAATAATGAAATCCCAAGAATGTAATTTTCTCCTCCAAAAGGGTTTGAGGTGGATAGCAAAATGTATTTATTCCCATCAAAGTTAGATACATCAAATTCTGTATAAATATTACTTTCGTCAATAGTGATTTTATAATCACCTTTTTCAAGTGACTGATCTATTATACCTCATAATTTTTTTAAATTCGGAGACGCCCCATTTCTCATTCATACAGCAAAATGCTTGTTTTCCATATCAGTCCATTGCTTGGTTTTCCAGTTCTTTAAATTTTTATATTTGGATTTATTATCAGTATTTCAGGCTATGTCGCTCTCTTTAATGCTTATTCCATCAATAGAAAAAGTATCGTTAAATAGACTAGCTGCTGCAAGCCCACATGGTATAGCAGGATCATCATTTTCTTCATCTGTAGCAAGATCATCAGGAATTGTGTAGTCTAAATCTGACATTTTGACTATGGGCTCACAGGAAGATAAAGCTCCAACTTTTTTGTAATTTCCTTGAAGCTGATCTAAATTTCTTGATTTCATATATTTTCGGTGATTTTGGTAATATCCTTCAATTTCATAATATAAATATACAGGTGAGGTCATTTTTTCAGAAATTGTAATAGTTATATCACACTTAGAAAGGCCACAATCATATGATTTTTTATAGGATACAAGCTGAGAGGAATAGACTATTAGGATTATGCCTAAAGTTGAACAAGAGATAGCAAAAAATCCAAAGAAACAGAGTCCGAATTTTTTATTTGGCACAAAATCATAAGCTTTGAATTGACTTGGGTGGCATTTTTGCTTCGATTTTCTTGATTGTTCATTCATATTTTTTAAAATATAAAATTAATATCTACAGTCGTATTTTAGAAATTTATGATTATTCAAATTATTGTTTATTAATCTAGTCAGTTTAAAATATTATCCCTTTATCCTCTAATACTTAAAAATTCCTAAAATTTTAAGTCAATTAGCCTGCCAAGCAATATACTGCATCAATTATGATTTGAGAAAATCACTTAAAATATGATTTTAATGCTAATTTATACTGATTTTAAAAAATGCAAAAATGCATCATCCGGGACTCGAACCCGGGTCGACTGCTTGGAAGGCAACCATCCTAACCTCTAGACTAATGATGCAACATATCATTCCATCACAAAGAAAAGCTAAATACTTAAATCTCAGTTTTCCAAGCACACATTCAGATCTTCTCTAACTCCATAATTATTAAATTCACTTAAAAATCCAAAATTGATCTATTAGAAGATTTATTAATAAAAACACAAATTATCCTCTATACTTATTGTGGTGAGCTTCAATTTGATTTCTATCAACCTAAATAACTCTTACAGCAGTCTGAATATTTTGGAGAGGCCTAACTAGCGCTTGCTTTGACGGCATTTTAATTCCAGCCGCATTCCCAAACCCTTGTAAAATCGAATAAGCTCCACTCATAAACGTTTCCACAAGCTTAATACTTTCAATCGAAAAAGTTTTGACAAGCCCAACAAGTGCTTGCTTGGTTCCATCTACAGCTGACTCTGAATTATAAGGCAAAGATATAACATCATAAAGTGCCGCGCCTAGATTGGTCAATGTTGTCATTGGTCCTAGCCCAGAAATTAATTTTACAAGTTCTTTATCGCATATATGTTTAAACCAAAATTTCCAAGCTTTTAATATAGCTTGCTGTAAATCTCTAGATCCTTTTATTTCGATTTTAGGCAGCATTAAATTAAATCCTTCTATTTGGAATATATTTAAGATATTTGCCCCGGGGTGCCTTCCTCCAATACTGTGTGGGATGTAGTCAAGGTTTATTTCAATTTTTTCTATTGTCATTTTTTGGATATAAAGTTTTTTGGGATTTTCGGATTGCTGAGGACTTATTTGTCCTGGAACTGTGGCGGTTTTTCGCATTGAAACTTGCTCTTCTGGCTTTCAGTTAGCTAAATCTAGACAAAACTCGACGAAATGTTGGTCAATGTTGACTTTTAGAGGAAGAAGTTTGGAGGAAATTATAAATTCAATGTCACTTGAGTAGGTGGGTCGAGGTCAGACAGCTGAAACTTCTAATTGAAATAAATGGGAGTTTTTTTCTCTGATTTTTGTACTATCGAATTGCAAAAGTTTATTTACAGCGCTGTTTCTTATTATTTCATTATGGTGAAATTGGTTTGTTTTATGCGTGTAAATTATTACTTTTTTTTAAAAAATAAATATTTGTTTAAAGCAGTTATATTAGATCTTTGATAATAGCATAAATCTAAAATTTCAAATTCTTCAGCTGTTAAAGCTAATCTTCAAGAATAGTGCAGCTTTTTTGGGAATTTTGAAAACGTTAGCCCAAGATTTTCACTTTTTACCTGTATAGAACTATATGGATTCCTCAGTGACCCATGTCGAGACTTTCCAGTAAAATCATTTCCTGAATAAACATTTATACACAAATAAAATACACACATAGACGCCCGTATTGTTGGAAACCCATGAGCAGGCTTTAGCTGATGGAAATCTGACTCCACAGTATTCGATTTCACTATATTCGGAATTTCTACATGAGTATGAATTATCTGTGACTTTCTTACAGATTTCCTTACTCCTCCCATCCATCCATAAGAGACCGCAAAAATTTGCTCGCTTATAGAGTGAGGTTAATTTTGTTTAAAAATTTATACACAAATTATTGTAAATTTTTTTTTCAAATTTAAAAAAATCTCAATTCGTAAAAATTGGAAAGCAAAAATTAATTTGATTAGTAAAATTTATGCTTTAGATGCAAGTTGTTTAAAATTCAAAAAAATTAGCTAGCCCCTGAAACATTGTAGATCATTATTGGCCATCCCATTTTAATTTCCAAAATTAATTTGTGCTTGTCAACTTTTTTTGAAAAGAAAAATGAAAATGACAAATCTCCGTTTATGGTTTTAAGGTGTCTAATTAGACTTATACTGTATAAGTCAGGTGCCCTGTACCATATTTTTTCTGATCGGTATTCTGCTGGGGTATAGAGATCTATTAAGCTGCATGAGTTATAGTGGTTTTATTATAATAATTATCATTATATATCAAAAATTTTTATATTAAAAACATTTGTTTACGCGGGGTTTTTGATCAAAAGCAGGATTTTTCCAATGGTTTCGCTTATGGAGGGGGAGTTAGAGGTTTTTTCAGTACTTTTTCTTCTTCTTTTGACCTAAACTCAGGCGACAAATAGTCTTGTAAATTAATATTTTTCAGCTCATCAGGCCTATTCGGATTAATTGTTAGCCCAGTTATCTGCACAGGATATGTATCCGAATCATCACTGCTTAAATCTGAATCTTTCCTCATCATTTCTATAGGCTCTTCATCATTTGGTAGGCTAATAAATTTGCTTAGCACACTAATCGTGTCTTTGCATAAATGGAAAATAACGCATCCAAAATTTGCATGAATTTCCAATAATTCTTCATTTAATATGCAGTTTCTGACTTCTTCACTTATGAAAATTTTATTGGAGATTGAGGTGCATTGGTCTGATCCAATTAAGCATTCTAGAAATGGTGGGCATTGGTCAGAGTCGTCTGAAGGGTGGCAGTGTTTATCTTTATGGATTATTGTCATGAAAAATTCAATTGAGTCCATTGATAAGCTTAATACAAATTTTTGGGACTGCAAAAAACGGTCAAGCTGGATAGGGTTTAACTGGGCTGATAAAATTGGATGATGTATGCGTAAAGGAACAGGGCATTGCAAATAAAGACGTAAAGAGCCTAGTTTTGAATGTAGACCTATAGAACTAGGAGACCCCAGCATACTTCATAAAGCTAAATCTTCTATATATATAAATGCCCTTGCTTCTTTTATATTATAGCTCACATATAAATTTTTAAATAATAAATGAAGCTTAGTCAGTGTGTTGTCTCTTTTTGGGATTTTTATTTCAAATTCTTTAATAAATTCTAAAATACTCACAAAATTATCAGCACAAATAAGAATATTCTGCAGCATAATTTTACAATCATTTTCTTGGTCTTTTTCAAAGGTAAATAATACAGGATTTTTATCAATTGAATAAATAAGGTTACTATCTCCATAATACCCATCAAGAGATTTTACTTCAGTGCTAAAATAAATTTCTTTCCCAGACACACAATTTTTTAGCAGAAAAATTTCAATTTCTTTAAATTTCACTGAAACTGTCGGAATCCGGCAGCCAACAATAGGATCAATTGTTTTGGTTACGCTTGCATCAAGAGTATAGCATGATTGCATTGAATTAGGCTGAGGATAATTTCAATTAACATGTGCATTGTTTGAGCACAAATTTAAAGCAATTTCTCTGATTTGGATATTCCATGATTCTTTTTTATCAAATGATGGCTTTTTATCACTGATTGGTATTAATTGGCTTAATAATAATAAGCTATTTGAGTCTACAAAAATTTCTATTGATGTAGAAACGATAGAGTTTAAATAATTTGCACGGCCTTTTCATAAATCTTCTTGTAGCATGCTTCTTGAGAGAGGCTCAAAAACAAAGGAATCCTCAGCAATTGATGAATAAGGCTCAGAAGTTTTTACATTTTTAGTAATCACAACTGTTCCTTGGCGAGGAATATAATATCTCATAGAAGGGTTTTCTTTATGCTCTTCTAGCACTTCTTCATGGTTTTCTTCTTGAAGCTGCCTATCAAATTTAATATGATAAATTCTTACGATATTTAAGATTTCATTATCCTTCAAAATATTTATGATAGCTTCTGCTAAATTTACTTCTAATTTTTCTTTTTTGATGATTTTCACCAGTTTGAGCTCAGTCGTGATTTTTCAATATTTTTCGTTGCAGCAGCACATCTCATTGATTGGCCCTGAAAATTCGTTATTTTGGTATTCACAGAAAATCATAGGAATTTCTATAACTAGAGTTTTAGAGGACTGTGAGTGGTTTCTATGGTGATTTTCAAAGAGGGATTGTAGCTGCTTTAGCCTAAAAATTGTAATTGTGTCTAAATTTATACGTGTCATAGCAATTTTAGCATATATGTCATTTCGGTTAATTTTTATTTCAATATCTTCTTTTGTTTGCTTTAATATAACACCTGGAGACATAGGAATATCTCTTGCGGACTTGTGAAAATATATGATATTTTTAGTACAAAAATGCTGAGTGTTTATATCTGCAGCCCAAAAGCCGGAGTTTGGGTTTTTTCCCATAAAGAAGTCAGGGAAAAATGATTGTCGTGCTGATTGATAAATTGAGGAGGATTCAAGAGCTTGTGTATTGGCAAGATGAAAATATTTTAAAAATCCGTCTTTAATCCTAACCTCCCTTATAATTTTTTAAGCATAATTTTTTTGGTCTTAAACATTTTGAATTAAAATTTAAATATAAAATTTATTACTCAATGAGTAATTTCCTCAAAATGTTAGGATTTTTTCAAATGGTTTTACTCATTATGAAAGTGGGATAAGCGACATGTTGTGGGAAGCTACAAATTTAATATTCCCAATTTTTAACAAAAAATGTGACTCAGGCAGTGCTGGATAAGGCCCGTCTGAATATTCTCATTTTTTTCTAAAAGGAATAGTTTCATCACATAGCAGCCCCACAACTAAAGATTTTAATTGAAATTTGACAGTTTTCTCTTGATTGTGACTCATTATCGGTGACTGAGCGCTTTCTTTGATTTCTTCTTCAAATTCTTCATAAGCTTCCTCTAAAAAACTTTTCCCAACATGTTCAATTAAGTTATATACATAGCATTAATATAAATATTTAAGGTGTCTAATGCCACACTCACACCCAAGGGACAAAGCCAAAATAGTGGCGTTACAAGTATCTCCATCCCAAAAGGTCGGACTATCTCAAATAACTGGCCAGCACTTCTTACCCGATGCGATTCTGTCGCTATTGCCTGACTCAGCTCCTGCACATAATTCGCCTAAACTCCCCCCCCCCCTCCGTGAGCGAACAAAACCATTAGAAAAATCGCCATTTTTTGACCAAAAACCCACCCTCCGTGAGTGAACAAAAATTTTTTTAATAGAAAAAATTTTAATGGAAAAAAATTTTGATATATAAGTGATAATTAGTATAATGAAATCTAGAGCTAATTCTGTTTAATTTTAAACAAATTGCGTTTTAAAACATAAATTTTGCAAATTAAATTAATATTTGCTTCCCAAATTTTTGCAAATTAGGATTTTTTTTTAAATTTCGAAAAAAAATATTTTTTATAAAATTTATATATAAAATTTTTTTTTAAAAAAAAAAATTAACCCCCCTCCGTGAGCGAACAAAATTTTTTTGTTCGCTCACGGAGGGGGGGGGGGGAGTAAGGGTAATCCTCTTCTGATGCGCTAAATGGTGAAATCCTGAGCCCTCTGGTTGTACTTTAGAGCAGCTCCTCTGGCTATCCCCAAAGTTAAACCGCTGTTGCTATGAAGAAGTTCTCTAGATAAAGCCAAGCGTCATAAATAAATTCCATGAGGAGAGAGCTAGCAGAGCTAATTTCCTTCGAACCGAATACCATTTTATTTATGTTCAATTAAGTCGCTTTTCCTTAAATTCATCAAAATATTTAATACAATTCTTAGCTGCTCAGGGCTCATGAGTACATTTATAGCATCCATAATGCAATCCACAAATAGCATCTCTTTAGAGATCACAATTCTAGCTTCAATCTCATTTTCCAATACACATATATTAGAATAATCACTAGGATCATAAATTTCTCTTTCTCCTTTCATCATGCTAATTCTAATTCCTCCAATTCTCAATAATTTCTGTATGCTGATTGATCCTTCTTTATTAACGTCAGTCAAAGTAATTCTTGGTATCATAAATTGTATGCCATTATCTTAATTTATATAAAAACATCATAAATTTATAATAAATCATTATTTATTATAAATTCTATACATAATCCGGGTCTTCTGGCCTAGCTCTAACTCTTATTTTTACTACACTTATCTCAAATATGATATTTGATAACAAATTTCCTATTGCTTTTGTCATTAATGTGACTCCTTGTTCTTCTTCACATTCAGTAGGAGCAATACTAGGAATATTTTTTATTACACTAAACCCAGAGTCCCCAGCACTGCAAAGTTCGATTAAAACCTCACGGATTTGTACCGATATAGGCCCGCCCATAATGTTGATGATAGAAGGAAAGTGAATATGTATGCTTGGATAAATAAAATGGCATTCGGTTCGAGAGAAATTGGCTCTGCCAATTTTCTCTCCCTCATGGAATTTTATTTATGGGGTTGGGTTTTCTCTCGAGAACTTCTGCACAGCAATAGTCGTTTAACTTTGGGGATAACCAAAGGCACGACTCCTCAGTGCACTCAAGATTTCGGAGTTTTACCTCTCAGCACGTCCCCACGGGAGGATGACCCTTAGGCGGGAACACGCGCAGGAGCTGAGTCTGGACGAGCGACGGCAACGCGCCGGGTGAGATGTGCGGCGATTTATCTGGCGACTAGCCTTATAGAAGGCTTGGGTGTGGGCTGACCACATATTCCAAGATGGCTTGGTGACGTCACTAGTTGTCGCTTTGACCCTTTTTCATTAAGGGGTGTGGGCACTAGACACCTTAAAAACTATGTAACTAAGTAAGTAAGTAAGAATATGTATGCTTGATATCCGTGCTTTAGTAAGATGTACAATACTTTCTGCAAGATTTTGATTAATTGAATGCGGGTTAAGATTTAGATCAGATAATATATTTACCTAAATTAACCTTTATTTATTTTAAATAAATATATAATAATTTTAAATTAATTTAGCATGGTTTATATAAATTCCATCAGTTACTTTAGCCTGAAAATGATTGTGATCTAGCTCTCCTAATAGCAATCCTCCATGGATTCTTGTCAAGATATATCTTAAGAGCTCTTCAACTGGCCTTGTCAGAAGAGACATTTTAATTATAGAGACGAAAAATTTCTTTGTCGTGGCTCTCTAGATGCTTATGCTATGAATTTATACTTATCTAACTAAGGAGCTGGAGCAATAGCAAATGTATTTTCAGGCTTGAAAATCTCATCAACGCCTTGTATAGCCCTCAGCTGAGGTACAAGTCTTGGCGTCTCTTCTTTTTCTCCCCACATGCCTCCTAGCATTTGGTCAAGCCTCATTTTTTCATAAATTCCTTCAGCTTTTTCTCCAGGGGGAATTATAAACAAAGTTTCTCCTTCAAAGGAAGCGACCCCTACACGGTCTTTTCTTTGGAAATAGTGAATATGCTCCATGAAAGCTGTCCTTTCATCCTCTTCAGCTGCTTCTATAGTAATAATGAATTTTGGAGGATAACTAGGAAGGTCTGCTGGTCTTGCTCTGTGATTAATGTCAATTTGATATCTGGACTTCAAGAAGCTATGCACAAGTCCTTTGATAACTTTGGCACGAACATTCACTCTAACTTTTTCCATCAAAAAAAACATTTTTTGGTCATTGAGATATAACTGATAATATTTTTTTATTTTATAAATTTGCCATTATAACCCAAAAAACTATAGCTTTTTTTATTGACTGAGAGAGTAAGGCTACTGCAGCGTGTTAAACAGCCTGGCCACATAATTTCTGTGGACCTTGACAATGCGTTTTTTGAATCTTTGCTTAAGGCAACTTCCCAGCCTCTTGTATTCAGATCTTCAACTGCTTTTTGTGCGTCTGCAAGATTCTCCATTTCGATGAAGGCATAGCAGTGCTGTCTGAGGGGAAAACCTTTGGGACCATTTCGTATTACTCGGACTTTACCTACAGGTCCGTAATTTGAAAAAAGTGTGATAAGCTGACCTTGAGGAAATTGTACAGGTAAATTGGTGACATGAAGCTTGATTTTTTGGTCAGGCGATCTTGATCGTTCGTTTCTGTTCCGACTATACATTAATAATTATTAGTCACAGATTCAAATAGATAATTATTAGACTAAAAGAAAATGATTAAATGGTGAAGTATATAAAAAATCTGAGGGATTTTATATAGCTTACACCCCGTTTTGGACCTGCCTTGAGCACCCCCTCCCCATGCTGCCCACCTCCTAACGGTCCCAAATATATTTTGACATGTTAAATATTAATTTGACAAGTTAAAATATTTGAGGGAGATTGCCAACCAACATTTTAACATTTAAAATTTTCAGGACCGCCAGGGGTGGGTGGGTGGCATGGGGAGGGGGGTACTTAATGACAAGCAACCACAAGGGGTGTGCTATACTGAATTTTGAAATATATCAGATTAATATTTTCTTTATTGTTTATCTAATTTATACTCTCTCACTAGTATTGCGAAATTGAATTCCTAAAGAATTGAAGATCAATATTATTTAAATTTTTTTTGTAAGATTTGATTCTATAAGGCAAGCTGTGTGTTGAGAAATATTCTATTTCTCTAGAACATTTCATTTAACTTTCACTAAAGATGGCTTAAAAAAGAATTATATTTTTAAGGAATTTCTTATAAACGAAAACGTTTATAAAAGTTTTAAGTCCAAAATATACATTAATTCTATCATTCTTTAAAGTAAAAATTTAATTAATTTCAAAATAACAGTCTTTATCAAAAATAACGATAATCTATTGATTCTCGGTCCTAAATATTTTCCTTTGTATATTGATATTTTAATTTTAATTCCTCTAGATTTTTATCTGATCTTTCTTTCTGACTGACTATTATTACACTTTATCTAAAATTTTATATTCCTTACCAATAATATGAGTAGGATTATTTCAAATTCCTCAGCCAATTTTGATCGCATCTCTAAGCTCTCTGAAAAGCTTAACAATATCAGCCAATACCCGCAGCCTGAAAAAGGAGGTCGTTTAGAAGATTTAGAAAGAAAATACCAAAGTATCGAAGAAAAACTCTACGAAATCCAAGAAACAAACTCCAAAAAATTCGCAAGTCTCCGTGAGCAAACAGTCAAAATCCAAAAAATTCTTGAAGAAGAAGTGTCAGTTAGAGATTCTTTATTTGATGAACAATCTCATAGTTTGGAGTCCACTCAAAGCGAGCTTGAACAGTTACTTCAGGCAGAAATTTCTGTAAGGAAAGAATCGGATTTAAAATTATTAAGATATCTTGAAGAAAAATCCTCAAATTTACGCTTAGATATCATAAATGAAGCTAAAATCCGATCTCAGACGTTTGATATTATAAAATCACAGGCACAAGACGAAATTCCAGCATTAGAAGAAACGATAAGAAAAGAAAAATTAGCAAGAGAAGGGATTGAAGAAGCATTGGATAATGAGTTGAAAGAAGAAATTGAAAAAATTGAAGGGGTTGTAGGAACTGAAAGAAAAGCAAGAGAAGAAACAGAAGAAGCTTTATTAAGCATGCTAAGAGATGTTGTTGGAAGAATGAGAACTGAGCTAGATCAAGAAAGAAAAGACAGAGAACTCACTGAAGAAACCCTTTTATCGTTACTAGAAGATACCTGCGCCAAACTAAGCGCATTGGCTCCACAATAATTTAAAGATAAAGATAGTATTCATAACTAAGCTGTTAATATTTTAATAAATTGTTGCTAGAGTAGCCAAGACCTTCCAAATTGGTTATCAACATTTTATTCATTGGATCAGGACCGCAGAAAAAAATTAGAGTATCTGAAGAAGGAGCTGGCAAGTACCTTTCTAGCATTTCTCGAGTAACAAATCCTCTTCCATATTTCCAAGTCTCTGAAGGAGTATCAAGGGTATAATGAAGAGTTAATTTTCCTGTTTGTGCATACTCGTCCAGTTTGTCTCTAAGCAAAATATCATTTTCTGTACGATTTGCATAAATCAAGGATAGATTGACATCTTCATTATTATCAATAATATACTGAATCAGCTGAAAACAAGGTGTAATCCCTGATCCTCCTGCAACAAAGCCAATGTTTTTTATTTTATAATTTTTTCCTTTAATATCCATATTTCCATCACCAAAATATGTTAATTTTCCTTTTGGTCCACATACTTCTATTATGTATGCAATAATTTCTTATCATGCATATGCATCTCATTTTGAATTTGGTATGTGAAAACCAAATATGCGTTTCAAAACGCAGATTTTAGTGCGGCAAGTTCATAATTTGAAATTTCATATGAAAATGGCGCGTATAACGTCCATAAGAAATTTTACCAACGGATTATACTTTATCTCCTGGCTTTAAGGTGTCCAAATATTGAGTCATTATTCCTCCATCTGGAAAATTTGGATTGGCATTTTTATTATAAATTTTAATAGGAATTTCTATTGTTCCTCTTTGGTCAATTTTAGATGTTGGGGTATAGGCTCGCATTATTATTTCGCCTTCTGGATGCGCTTTGGTAGGGAGATTAGCTCTAAAGGCGATACTGTTACCTATAGGGCAGCCTAGCTGCAAATTAGGGTCTCCTAAACTGAAAATAAACATTTTAGAATCTGAAGATAGTTCTTTAGCTTCAATAAAAGTCATGGATTGCCAGTTCATGAATCCTGCTAAAAATACTGGCTCTTGGAAGATTGAGGGATTTGTGCGCCTATGCTTCCAAAATGAGACTGGGTCTTTTTTCTCTTGTGAGAAGCGTGAAGTCAGCTCTCGAAGCGCCCCAAAAATAGTTGATAACTTTCTCCAAGCCATATTATTACATTAGGCAAAATGTCTGATCTAAAAATGATGGATTACTGACTTATATACAAAATATTTTATTTTATAAAAATTTAATTACAGACTTCATTAAGAAATCCTTTATCAATAATTGAAAAAGCAAGCTTATGAGCTTCATAATGATTAAAAGATAAAGATATGAGTAGTACCCATTAATTAAAGCTATTAAAACTTAAAGAAATGGCTACTGGAGTGACCCAGTTCTTGCAGATGATTTATAAGCATTTTATTCATAGGCTTAGGACCACAAAAACAAATTAGAGTATCTTCTGAAGGACCTGGCAAATGTTTTTGTAACATTTCTTGAGTAACAAATCCTTTTCCATATTCCCATGTCTCTGAAGGAGTATCAAGAGTATAATAAGCCTTTAATTTCCCTGTTTTTACATACTCATCTAGCTTGTCTCTAAGAAGAATATCATTTTCTGTACGATTTGCATAAATCAATGACAACCTGATATCTTCACTATTATCAATAATATACTGAATCAGCTGAAAACAAGGTGTAATTCCAGATCCGCCTGCAACAAAACCAAGATTTTTTATTTTATAATTTTTTCCTTTAATATCCATATTTCCATCACCAAAATACGTTAATTTTCCTTTCGGTCCACAAATATCTAATAAGTCTCCTGGTTTCAGAGTGTCCAAGTACTGGGTCATTAAGCCACCATCTGGGAAGTTTGGATGGACGTTTTTATAGTAAATTTTTATTGGGACTTCTATTGTTCCTCTTTGGTCAATTTTAGATGTTGGGGTATAGGCTCGCATTATTATTTCGCCTTCTGGATGCTTTTTAGTTGGAATTTTAGCTCTAAAACCAATGCAATGGCCTAATGGCAGACCTAGCTGTAAATTAGGGTCACCTAAGCTGAAAATAAACATTTTTGAGTCTGGAGATAACTCTTTTGCTTCCACAAAAGTGACCGATTTTCAGTTCCTAAATCCTTCTAGAAATACTGGCTCTGTAGAATTTGATTGATTATGATGTCTATGTCTTCAAAATGAAAATATTGGGTCTTTTTTCTCTAGTGAATAATAAGAAGCAAGCCCTAAAAACGCTCCAGCAATAGGTAATAAAGTTCTCCGAGCCATATTAAGATATTAGGCAAAATGGCTGATCTAAACTTACTGACTGCATACATATGGATTTTTCTAAAATCTTACTAAAATTAAGCAAAATTTTGTTTTGATTGGGAAAAGCGTGGATTTGATTTTAAAATTTTAACTGAATTTATAAATATTTTTCAAAAATATTCATATAAAGTTGAACATTAAATTTTACAAGTGCGGAATTTTATTTATAATTTTAATGGTTATTCTCTAAACAAAAAATCTGATCTTGTCCATTCTGGTAAAACGAATATCGATAGAAAAAGAAATAATAGATGTAAACAGAAAAAGCAATATTAATGACATTAAAATGTATTTAAAAATGAGAACCTAATCCTCCTTAATGTTTTGCTTCCTTATTTTATTTAATATCTATATCAAATTTTAATACAAAGAATTTCAATTTTCAAAATTTAAATAAAATTTATGCTTTAGAATGCAATCTATTTATAATTTAATAGAATCAAAGATGTATTTATTAATGATATATCAAAATATTATATAAGAAAAGTTTATAATTATTGCTAGTAAGGGTTTAATTTCAAAAAAAGAAGATTTTTTAAGTTTTTTTACTAGTTTACTGAAAGAAGGGGAAAGTTAAGTATATAAATATAGAAGAGATAAAATATTAATAAAGAAACTTTATCTCCAGTTAACTAAAACAGACTCGTTTGATTCAGCTATAATATAAATATAAAAATACCAGTAATTTCACAAATCTTCTTCCGTATTTCCACATCTCTGAAGGGGCGTCAAGGAGTGTAGTAAATAGCTAATTTCCCTATTTTCTCACACTCATTAAGTTTGTCTCTAACCCTTCATCCCCGAAATAAAACAGAGAAAAATGCTTTAACAAAAAACGTTTTTTCAATTGACAAAGTAATAAACCATCCCTAATGATCTCGTAATAGGTAATAAAATTCTCCAAGTCATTATATTCCATTAGGTAATAAGCTTAATTTAAAAATACTCCTAATTTTCTTACTTTATGTCCAAATTTTGTGTATTCTTAAAGTATTTTAGATGAAAATTTCCTAAATTCCTAAATCTATTAACCTCTGCTATACTCTCTTATATATTTGGCTTAATAATATTTTTAAGCATCTTAATTTCTGAATTAATTTTAGACAAACTTATATATTATTGATCCTTAAATTATTAGGTCTTAACACTTAATGGTTTTCATAATGGAAATTCCCAAAAATTTCATTTTCATCTTGCATTCTTTCAATGTTTCTGCTTGCAGGAATCCTAAATGGGAAACTTTGCCTACTTTCTTCAAAATTTAATTTATCATTCGAAATCATGTAGACCATAATTTCCCCAACCCTGCTATTCAAATGAATTTGGTACTTCTCTCTTTCTTCAGGTGGAAAACTTTCTGCATCTGGTACTTCTAAACTTGTCCCAGTAGGAGCTCTAATTGCAATTAATGCTTCATTATGACTGCGATACAATTCTCATGCTAAATTATTGGAAAAAATCATTGTAAATTATATAAAAAAAAGAATTAAAAAATTGAAATCATTTTTTATATTAAATTCTGTAGTTTCTCTTGGAGCTTTTCATAGACACCCCTTCATTACTATGATTTGTCAAATTCGGGAGCGATTTAATATCTTCATTGGTAATATACGCATATTTTTCATAGCTTGCATCTTTCGTTAATTGATTCATTAAATCTTGGATCTGTGCTTTTCATCCATCTAAATTTCTTTCTTCCTGTTCCAATTCTTGCAGCTCATTATTAATTTCTCTCAATTCTGACGTCAAGGTGTCCTCGTAACCCTCACAGTTCCCTGTTCATTGGATTTTATTTTTATTAGTTTTTTGAATGAGTCCGATACATATAACTAAATATGGCGTCTCCGCTCTCACATTGCTGGAGGCAATGCAATTTTAAGAACAGATTTATTATATCTGGCAAGGTTTTGTCAGCCCAGAAATGGACAGCTATGTAAGCAATTCTGATAATATTAAGAGCCTAGCTTTCAGGATTGGATTTTACCTTGACGATAAGGGTTCAGGGCTGGAAAGGGAAAACCCAGCATAGTCTATAGAAAATGCCTAGGCTATTCAAGCAACTTCCTAAGTGAGACTGAGTGTTACTCCTAGACTTTGTATTTTTCCGAGAATTGACCAGAAATTCCATTTTTTAGGATTTTTGTGCGGGCAACTTCGTTCAACCCTAGCAGCAAGCCACAGAAGTCCATAGCTTTCCCCACTCAAACACTGGAGCCGACAAGGCTAAGAAGAGATGGAGATATAGAACTCTGCTTCATAGGTGCCATGCCATCAAGCGATGAAGAAGAATGTTGGTGTTCTAGTCTTGGCTACTCACTGAATCATCATCTCATTCAGGCAAGTTATCCCTGATGACACATCACAAGAGGATGAATTATGCAGGGATCTTTATGACTGCATTACAATAGGCAATCCAACCAAGCAGTAATAAGTTTAAGTCTAAGAATGAGTCCGATACCCTCAAGGACATTTGTTATGTCATAAATTCTGCGTTTTTGGACCTTTAAATGTTTTACAGCTTCATTAAGATCAATACAATGCTTGTCTTGTTTTTGGATCAATTCTACGAACTGTTTGGTTAAAACTCCAAGCGAGTTGTCATGCTTCTCATTATCATATTTTGCCCCTTTAGCTCTTTTCTTTCTCTTTTCTGAAGGAGGAGTTTCTGGCTCATCTAAGGTGTCATAATAATAGTCGTCGTCAGTTTTGACCCTTCGTTTGGCGCTTCTTTCAAGGCTCATTTGATTTATATTAAAATCCAGAAGCTCGATAGCCAAAGAAAAAGAAGGGAATTGGGGCCACAAAATTAAAGGAAGATTATTGAGTAGGAGAAAAGGAAAAGAATTATATATAGAAAATTGGTCGTATTGATTATTATATTAGGTAAAAAATTATTTATCCCGCAAAATATTATATTAATATATCTAAAAAATGAGTCTTAATATAAATAGCATATTATAGGAAGTAAGGGTGGAAAGGAGCTGAATAAATTTTAGGAAGGAAAGCCGTTTGTTTATGAATTCAAAAAATTCATGGGCTAGCGCTTATAAAAATGAACAAAGAGTGCCTTGTTAGGTCATAATTTAAATTAAAAAAATTACAAAATTTCTATCTAAATAAATAAGGCAACTTCATTCTTCATAGGACTTTCATTTTTAAAAATCCTACCAAAATAAACCCTTAAGAAAAATGCATAATTCAAAGCCAAAACTCCAAGCATCCACGCCTCAAACCGACGCAGATTCTCTATTTGAGTCCAATAAAATGAACCTCAAAGCAATTTTTGCACTTCACAGTCCTCATGAGAACCGAATATCCCTAACAGCATTTGGGAAATTTTGTAAAAATTCTCATATAATTCCAGTATCTTTCTAATTAGGATTTGCTTTCTGTAATTGATTTAAAACGAATAATCACAAGAATCACACAAAATCAAAACAACAAGTCGTCGTTTACTTATCAGAATTTTGAGCAGAGCTTGAAGTATATTGCTATTACTGGGTTCCACACATCAGTTCCGCTTTCTGACAAGCTGCAAATGCTGTTTTTACATATAAGGAACCCTTGCAAAAAAGCTTATAAAGTGAATTTATCGACTTCGTTAAAATCGAGGTCGACTACTCCATTTTCTTGTGACACTTCTGGGTCAGAATGAGATGAAAATAAATGCTCACAAAGGGCCAATGCATATGCACAGAAACTAGGATTAAATAAAACAAGTGGAAGCTCCAATATAAAACTCCCATTAGATATTGAATCAGTGCTTGGACTCTATAAAAAGTCTCCATTGCAAACAAAGTCGACCCAAAGAATCAGGGCTTCACCTAAAAAAATTATCCCTTGCTCCTCATATAAATCAATATCACAAGACACAAGCCCGCATTCACGTGTTACAATTATCAGGAAAAAAACAGCCTGCACTACTGCAAATTCTCGGAGAAACTCTCAAGACCTTATTGACCAAAATAAAATTAAAGAAATATATGAAGCGACTGCAAAATTTGGAGAAAAAAGGCATTACCGAACAATGTCAGCAGAAACATATATGATTCAAAGCCCGAAATTTGGGGGAAGCTCCAGCTCGCCTGAAAACACTTGCATAAGCTCAAATAGCACCCCAAAGCCGATTTCCCAAAAAAGTGGAAAAATAAATCAAATTGAAAAATTATTTAAAAATTTTAAAGAAAAAAGCCAAAATCCAGAAAAAGGTAAAAATGATAAAGAGCCACATTTAACATCTTTAAGAAAGCATAGAGATTATATAGGAAAAGTAAGGGAAGCAAGCTTTTCGAAGAATGTGATAACGAGAATGATTTTCAATGCATGGAAAGGGCTTAGATCTTAAGTTAATTTATATTATATTCTACCATAAAATTTATTTTACTATTAAAATATATCAAAAATCTGTTTTTTATAAATAAAAATCCACAGCCTTACCATTCCAAAACATTTTTATCTAACTATTCATAAATTACTGAACCCCTAATGCTTTAGACAGCAACCTTCTTTTTTCTTGTACATCTTGATCTAGCTCTTTTGACGCTGCATCCAATTTATCAAAAATTTCTTGAAACTTCATATACATTTGTACAGCCCTCTCTTTTCTCCCATAATTACACAAAGTTAACGAATAATTCAAAAAAATCAAAAAATCCTCTTCCATGCTTAAAGCTTTTTCATAAGCATTACAGGCATTTTCTATATCTCCTAGGCTGCTTAAAGCCATAGCAAGATACATATAAGAAGTTGCAAAATAAGGGTTTAACGATATCGCAGCATTAAAATAGTGAAAAGAAGACGCATACTGTTGAGTGCTTAAATGGACGATACCAAGATTATATGCGATGATCCATTCAAAAGGATCTATACCCATTTATAGAGATTCATCAAGAAATTTTTATATAAAAAAAAACAATATAGGTATAAGTTTTTAAAGTCTATAAATCTACATAAATATTGTGCTTTTTTTAAGCACGCAATCGCAGCGACATTTTTTGATTTTCCGAAAAAACACATCCCAATATTGTTTCAGAGCTGGGCGGAATTTGGGTTATGGGCTGCAATAATTCTGTATTTTAATAATGCAGCGTCATGGTCAGATCTGTCTTGGATTATTGACCCAGTAGCAAGTAACGCTTTTTGGTTCGTTGCATCTAGCGTCAAAGCATTGCCCAGATATTGAAAAGCTTTTAAATTTTCGCTTAGTCGCAAATAAAGCAAACCTAGCGTCGTCAATAATTCTGGGTTTTCTGGAGAAAACTCCAAAGCTTCTAAATAAGTATCAATAGCAGACTTATAATCTTCTTTTCTAGCGTAGACTTCTCCAAGCTGCATAAAGGTCGCATCATGTTTTTGTATTAAATTCGCCGCTCTAAAAGAGTCCATGGCGTCTTCTATTTCATTTCGATTTGTATGGCAAAGTCCTTTGAAATGGTAAATTTCTCAGTCATCAGGACACAATTTGAGTGCTTCTTCGTAGACTTCAATAGAGGCTTTGGTTCTCCCTTGGAGGTATAAGCATCTTCCTACCTGTTTGACCATTTCGACTGAAAATGGGTTAAGTTTTTGGCTTCACCTGAAGAGATCTAAGCTTTGAGGAATTTGTCCACGAGATCTGACTCCCCCCCCCTTTAAATTGAAACAAAAAATTTTGTTTCAATTTGAAGGGAGGTTAAGAAAATTTTTTTATAAAAAAATTTATATATAAAAGTTTTTCAGAGATAAAATTTTATAGAAAATAAATTATATAAATTTAAAGAGACAATAAATTGAGTAAATTATATTTATAACAATTGGACAAAATAGAGTTTAATTTCTAAATCTTATATGTTTGAAGCATATTATATAGGGTATTAACGTATTTACATATAAATAATGATTTTTACCTATAAAATTTTCTATTATAATAAAATTTTGTTTCAATTTAAAGGGGGGTAATTTCCCAAAAAAGTAGGAATTTTACCTATATTTTGTTTCAATTTAAAGGGGGGGGAGTGAGGATTAAGCCTTTGATATATGATGCAAAATCGTTGCGGTCGTTGGTTTCTTTGAGAATTTCTTCTATAAGCCTTAAGCATTCTTCTGGCTCGTTTCTAACATAAAGTAAATAAAGGAGTCAATTTCTGCCGTCTTTTTTAGCTAATTTTGACATTATTTAAATATGTTATAAAGAAATTTAAAAGAAATAACAAAAATCGTGATTTTTAGGTTAAATTTAAATATATTTTTATTGATAAAATCTTTTTCTATTTTTATTATTTTCTTAGTTTGGCTTTCTATAAAATGTCGACATTTGAGTACAGCTTCACAGCATTTGACGATTTCCCAGGCCATAGAAACAACTCTTCTAACTCCCCCCCCCCTTTAAATTGGAACTAAAAATTTTGTTCCAATTTAAAGGGGGGTTAATTTTTTTTTTTAAAAAAAAAAATATCAATATAAAATTTTTTATAAAATATATAAAAATTAAAAAAAACAAAAATTTCAAAAGCTTATCGAATTAGATCAATAAATTTGTTTAATAAAATGCTATTTACTCTTTATCCTTTAAAACAAAGCAAGATATAACTAAATTTTCATTATTAGTTAATACGCCACTATTAATTGGTATCAAAGTTATTTACACAAAAATTATTATTTTTATTGATAAAAAAAAATTAAAAAAAAATAAATTTTAGAAATTTATCGATCAAAGTGCTAATTTAGATGCTATTTATACTCTATTCTTTAAAATAAAGCAAGAAATAAGTAAATTTTTAAATTTTATAAAGAATTCCTATTGAATTTATATCAAAACTATCCAAATAAAAAAATATCATTTTTACCAAAAAAACAAAAAATTTTTTGAAAATTTTTAAAAAAAAAAAAAATTAATTTGTTTTTAAAATTTAGCAATTTAGGATAATAAATTTATTTAAATAAGATGCTTTTTATACTTTTTTCTTTAAAAAAGAGCAAGATATAATAAATTTTTAATTTTAGTTAAGAGAGAGAGAGAAATCTTTATTACTTAAAGGCCTTTATTTCAGGGCCATGTCCCGATTAAAATTTTTTAACTTTCTTCTTTTCCTAAAATCTTTGGATAAAAATTTTTAGTAAAATTTTCTGAACCCACGTAATCCGCGATTTTTTCGATTTCTGAGTCTGATATGAATTTTCTATTTCTGATGAAATTTGAATCTGATCTAAATTTTATTTTCCTGGTAATGTTTGATTCTGATATCAATTTTATTTTTCTGATAAAATTTGAATCTGATCTAATTTTTATTTTTCTGGTGTTCAGGATTTTCTTATCGATTGTCTTCTTATCATCAATGATCACCTCAGTCTTCCTATATTTGAAGGTTTCCTGAATAGGATCTATTTCATCTAGTATTTTTCCATCTAAATGACTTAAAAACTCCAATATTTTGTCATCTGTATCAACATTTTCTGTATCACTATCATTTCATTCATATTCTGATTCAGAATTATCAAGTAATCCTGTATCAATAAGTTCATTTAATAGTAGTAAAAGTTCGAAAAATTCATCCTGTAAAGCTCCGTTTTCTTCACAAAAGGAAGAAGAACAGGAAACATTACTTTCCGAATCTTCCATTAAAATAAAAGTTTTAGTTAAGAAGAAGCATTTAACTTATATCAAAACTTTTTAGATAAAAATTATATATAATTTTTTTATTATAAAATTAAATTTTGTTCCAATTTAAAGGGGGGTTAATTTACCAAAAAAGTGGAAATTTTATCGATATTTTGTTCCAATTTAAAGGGGGGGGAGTAAGAGAGCTTTGGAAGACATTGTAGAACCTTTCAGCAGTGCTGGGGTCAAAATTGTCCATAGAAACATCATCAAAGCATCAGTCCTTGATACTTCAATAATAATCCGAAATATTTATGCACGTTTATGATGAATAGCCTGCTTAGGACAATTTTGGTTTTTTAAAATAGCTCCTTATGAGCTATTTATTTTAAACTAGTATATTCATCACTACGTGACAGAGCCCTTACATTCCCAGAAAGAAAACAAGTGGTCATTCATCTTGCTGAAGACACGAATATTGAGAACTGTGAAATTATAGTCGGAGCCCAAAACATAGTAAACACTATCCATGATGATAAAGGGCATGCACTTCAAAATTCTCCTATAAATCAACTATTAGGCCGCTCTCATATATTGAATTCTCAGTTAATTCCTATGCTATCAGAACTTCCAGTAAGTCAAACTAACCTATGTGGGACTAGCATTGAAAATTATCTTTATTATTTATCTCTCACTGAAAGCTACAACTGTGGGATTTATTCCCTATTAATGTGCCTTCCTCCTAACAACCCAGACAGTGCTGATTTACTTATGGAGCTCTGCGTAAAAATTAATGACTTAATTCCTTCTTAAAATAATTCCTATTTTAATCTAATTCAGAGGATGCTTAAATTGAACGATAATCGCTGTCATGTTATCACAACCAAGCCCTGCGTTGGCCCCTATTTCAGGTGACAAACATCTGTCAAGCATTTCCTCTACAATCACTGAAAGGCTTTTCACCCCGATTCTTTGTCTTACAAAATCCATTGTAGTAGGTTTTTTCTTTAAAAAAAATACTTGGCAGATATTTTCTCGGCTATTGTGTGGATTTTTTCTCTTGATACTGCAAAAAAAAATATTTTTCGAAAAAATTCTACCAGATGTCACTAACTCCTCTTATTATAATTAAGAAAATTGTTAATATTTTGAACAGCTTAATTTAATTTCTCGATATATCAAAAACTTGCAAAATTTGAATGTAAAATAATATATAATATTATGTATTAGAATGCAAGCTATTTGAGATTCAATAGAATTAGCTCAAAATTTGATTATAGCTATCGCTTATTTATAAATCTTTTTTTTGCTCATGGATATGGCTAATTTTCCCAAAAATGTAGGACCTATGCTCGCGGATAAGAAAAAAGATGGGACCCAAATCCACACATTGCTGGCTAGTCAGCATATCCCACACCCCATCACAAGCTAAAATAATAAATTCGTCATTTGGCTGCAAAGTTTCTCTTCTGATATCTGGAAAAGCTGTAATCATCTGGTCCCTTTGAGGGATGCTATTATTTTTCTTATATTCCAAGTCTCCAATTGACCTGCTTAAATTAAGATTTCCCATAACTCTTCCTTCTTCAACAGTTCCTCCAGCCCTTCTGATTCTTTCTAGCTCTTCAGGAAGGTCTGGCTTATGGTCCATTGAAAGTTCTACAGCTAAGCCTCCTCTGCTGAGGACACAGCGAGAGTCGCCAGCGTTGGCTACATATATTTCGTTGCCTCTGATTAAGGCAGAAACTGCAGTGCAGCCTGCTTGGACTGTATTATCGTTCACATTGACGGCAGCTGTTTCAGGCAAGTCTCTGGAAATCCTAATTAGTTCTCGGATCCCGTCTGGGGTTTGTTGAAGCTCATCCATACGTAAGTACGATTGTCTAAGCGCATCGTCTAGTCTGCCTTCACGATAGGCTTGACTCTGTGCAAGCTCTTGGGGGAGGTGACGCGTTACAAATTCTGCCACTTCTGGGCCACCATGCCCATCATAAACACCAAAAAATGCAGTGTTAGCGTCCAAATCCAATTTAGCAATCCTAGCATCTTCCATTGTTACTCTCCACCCTTGCATATCTGATGTAGCGAATCTCATGCGCGGGCTTTCTCCTGTGAGGGTGCGCTTTTCAGTCTTTGGGGTGGATAAATAAGGTCCCATATTTTTATGAGAATTAAGCTGGGTAGGAAATAATAGAAATTAAGTAAAATCATTGAAATATAAGAAAAATATATAGGATTTTCTTATAAATAAGAACAGGGATTAATCGATTTTTTTGTATGGGATTGTTTATAGAAAAAGATATATAAATAAATGGTAAAGAAATAACAGGATTAAAAATGAAATAAGACTGTTTAAACGTCATTATTAATTTAGCAATTTGTAGGGATTTTATGAGCCGAATTCTAAAAATCTATATGCTTGGTCCATGATAGCTGAGGCTTTGCTGCCATGATAAGAATCTCGAAGGCCTTGCCCACTTTGCTTGCTTATGACTCATTTGTCGACTTCTCTTTGGCAGACACCATATTTAGCTTTGATTTCTTTATAGGTCAGCTTTTTCTCGAGGTATTTATCAACAATTTCTTCTTTTTCTGCTCGGCTTAGTCGTTTTCTGTGAATTTCCATTACAATTTCTTCTTTTTCTTCAAGTTCTAAATAAATCCAGTTTTCAATTGTTTCTTGGTCGACGCCAAAGTAGTTTTTTATGGTTTCTTTGTCAAAATTTCCTTCTAAATAGTCCCGCACTAATTGAATTCGGAATGTTCTTGGGTAAGGATCATTAGCAGGATGAGACTTTTGTGGATTCAAGAAGACTTTCCTCCATATTTCAATTGTGTCTTCATCAACATCGTAAGTTGCCATAATGTTTTGTTTGTTGATGTCACCATTATTTAATTGTTGAGTTAACAAAAGGCAGAATTTTGGGGTGAATTGGGAAATTTCTTTACCCTCCTTCTAAAATTTTTATTTAAATTTAATTAGCAACCTACTTATTACAAGATATCAAAAAATGCCTGTAAATGCAATTCACTATAACAGAAAGAGAGTTAGGTAAACAAGAATCAATATATTTTTTATATTTTTCTCGTTCTTTATCACTTTCAATGTGTACCTTAGAATCATATAAAATATGTACACACAGCTCTAAAGGAATCTTATACAATAGTGCAGTATTAACAAATCCATGTTTTTCGACAGTATCACGAATAGTATTTCTCACAGCTGAAAGAAACTCACTTCCCCCCTTTAAATTGGAACAAAAAATTTTGCTCCAATTTAAAGGGTGTTAAGAAATTATTTTATAAGAAAAAATCAATATAAAATTTATATAGAAAAAAATTATATAAAATTTAAAGAGAAAATAAATTGTATACATTTATACTTAATAGCATTTTAATTTAATGTTCCTACCTAATGGGTGATTTAGCGAATTTCATTTTCGCGAAAATGGTATTCTTCTAACTCTCCTCCTTTAAAATTGAAAAAAATAGTGTTTAATTTTTGATTCTGCATATTAAATTGGGTATTAAGGTATTTGCATATAGATTATATTTTTTTTATAAATTTTTTTATTATAAAATTGAATTTTGTTCCAATTTAAAGGGGGTTAACTTCCCAAAAAAATGGAAATTTTACCTATATTTTGTTTCCAATTTAAAAGGGGGGAGTCAGTAGACGTTATATATTGTACTAAATTAGGGATTTTTGAATTTCCCTCAGCATCAAGAATAAATTGATTTATTTCAGCTTCAATTATAGGAAGAAGTTGCTTATTTTCATTATCCATTTTTTTTGAAGGTATATCAAAAGTATCGAGAACGATTCTTTGGATTTCACTTGGAACTTTTCTAGACTTATTCGGCCCCCTTGATTTAGGAATATAAATTTGGTCCGTATCATCAAAAGTATTAAACTCAGAATTATCAATTTTTTGAAATTTTGTGGGAGAATCATCATTTTCTTCTGCATCTGAAGGCCTTTTTATTGGCAATGAAACAGAGGGAATTTTATTATTTTCTGGTGGATTTTGGCTATCTTCTATGTACAGTTTTTTAGTCAGCTGGCTTTGGAAGGTTCTTAAATAAAATCCATATCCTTTGTCATTTAAAAGTTTTATTCTATCACCTTCTGCATCTAAATAATAGATGTTGGGGTTTAGAGGAACGTCTGGAATTGTTTCTTTAATAGTGAGGCAAAGTTTACAAAATAATGATGGGACTGGGGCAATTATGTGAAATTCGTTTTTAAAGGAAACTTTGATAGATGGTAATTTTACCATTATAAGATCCCCCAAATATAATTTAACGAATTTTTATGGCTTAAGATTTTTGCGTGTTGAGATAAAATTTGGGAAGATTTGGATTAGAAAATTAAATAAATTTAATATTTCTATTGCTATTGTTGATCAAAAATTAGGGTGTAGGTTTGCACTTTTATTTGACTCTACGTATGGAGCGCTATTGGCTATAATAGCAATGAATAGGTAATTTTTATTAATTTAAAAATAATGATTTAGTACAATAATTTTTATAATTTGTATATATATTATAAAGAATGCAATGGGCATTACATAATAAATGGATCCAAGACATGTTCAGAATGCTTCTCATCTTCGATATCCTCAAGAGCATAACTCATTTGATATGGCAGATCCTTCCATTAATACACAGAAATCATTTCTTCCAATGATAATTAAATCATCAAAGCAATTAGAAGATAATGATTTACCAAAACTTAGATCTTCTTTAGAAAGCGTTTCCACTGTAATAAACGTAAAAGCCCCTCTTAAATCCTTTGAAATAGATATCAGCACTTATCGAAGAAACCAAAAGCAGCATAATGGATCTATTTCTCCAATTAAAATATGGCGTCTCCACCTAGCATGACCTCCGTCCATGCAGCTTCCGAGCACATATTTTAATTTTATCGGCAAGGTTTCCAACTCTGAAATGGACAGCAATGCTAGGTATAGAAATTTCCCATAGATGGCACTGTTTGCCCTTGATTTGCCCACTGAAAATTTTTTTTGGTTTGACCAAACCATATGGTACTGGTCGAACCAAAAAATTTTTTCAGTGGGCAAATCAAGGGCAAATTGCGCCATTTAAGGGAAATTTCTATAAGCAATTCTGGTAATGTACAGAGCCTAGCCCTAATCCGAATTCGGGATTGGTTTTTGCCTTGATGAAAAGGAGGGTTCAGGTTTGGAAAGGGCAAGCCCCAGCAAGGTTTACAGGTAATACTAGACCAATCGGCAACTCCTAGCGTGAAACTGGGCATTACGTCCCAGGATCTGGACTTTTCCTTTTTGCCGAAAGGTCTACCAGAAAATTCCATTTTTTGGAATTTTTGGATGGCCAACCTCGTTCAACCCATGCAGCATGCCGCAGAAGTCCATAGTCCACCCACTCAATACTTGACCCGACAAGGGAAGGAGGAGACGTCCAAGGCAGAGTCTCACTTCATAGGTGCCATGACATCAGGAGATGAAGAAGAAAGGAAGTGTCCGAGCTGAAATCTTGTCCAGCGAATCATTGTCCCAATTCGATCAAGGTGAAGCTGAAGATGCAGCAAAGCGGATGAACCTCCTAGGAGGTTCTTGGTGACTGCGTTAACAATATGGCAGGCGCCTTCGTGTAATAAGTTTAAGTTTAACTAAGTTTAAGGATCTATTTCTCCAAGGTCCCGAATTTATCCAACAATCAAAAAAGCAAAATTACAAAAAATAGGATATATCGAAAAACCTGACTTTCTTTTTGAAAGTGACTCAGTTGTGCTGCCCGTTATTTCACCATTAAGAAACAGAAAAGACCCAAATAAAGTCCATTATTTTAAGCCTTCACATTATAAACAAATCAGCCTTGATATAAGAAATCATCGAGACTACAGACCGAAAATGATTAGTATTGCAGTCGATACAAGCTTTTAAGCCAAGTTTCTATTTATATGTAAATTAAATTATTAATCAGTAATTTAACATAATAATTTCTTTTATAGTCATAATAAACAGAATTTTTATTTTTTCGATATTTTCATATAGCCATTTTAAAAAGATTCATAATTTGTATTTAAAATGGAAAAAAGGTCAGTTCCTCTGCGCTCCCAAAAAACGCGTAGCGAAAACCAATCCCGCTCCAAAACACCAGATTCTCGTCCTCTTAAAGAAAAGGAATATCAATTAGCTTGTGGAAGAAACATCGTTGAGCATTTGGCAATAAATTTTTATAAATACCCAGTATCATTACAAACACTTTTGATTCCAGATATCAAATCCTTTTGAAATATAAGTGATTTTATATTTAAAAAAATCGATCCATCAATATCTTGCACAAATGACAAAGAATTAATAGAAATTTTAAAATGGCTGGGTTATCCGTATGCAATAACAGGTCAAATGCTCAATGTAGCTCAAAATTTTTGGCCTAATTTATTAGCTGTTTTAAGCTGGCTAGTAGATCATATAAAAAATACGTTTACAGATGAAATAAAAACTGATTTAAATAAAAGTGACCAAACAATTTTTAATGAATATTTATATGAAGCTTATGAATACCAATTGCAAGACAGACCAAGATTAGAACTTCATAAATCATTATTAGAGAAATTCAAAGCAAAAGCAGATGCAATTAATAATCAAAAATCCGAAATTCAGCACAAAATAGATGAACTTGTGAGAGAAAAAATGAGCTTGGAAGAAAACGATTTAACTCTTTTAGATTTTGAAATTGAAGAGCTTGAAGTTGAAAGCAAAGAACTAATAAAAGATAAAGATAATAAAGAAAGGCTTAAAAACGAATACATATATACAATCCAAAGCTGCTGGAACATTTTGCTCAATTATTTTAATGTCAAATCCATTAATGAGACATTAGTTTCATCTTTAAAACAAAAAATAAACTCTTATCAAACCAGATATATCCCACTTCTTGAAGAGCAGATGTATTATGAGTCAGAAATTATGGAAAAGTCACAGGAGCTTGAAAACACTTCACTGTTAATAGAAAAAGAAAAAAAATCAGCCCAAGAATTAGATGTAAAAATCCAAGAGGAGCTGGAAAAATATAAACAGACTAATGGCTCATTGAAATCAGAAGTAAGCACTGTGAAGTTGGAAATTGACAGTGAAAAAGAGAATATTGCAAATTTTGAAAACCAAAGCAAGACGGAAATCTCAAAGGTTACAGCTGTTATCAGAGCTGACACAGAAGCTATTTGTAAGCATGCCCAAAGAATTGCAGGATGGCTACAAGAGTTAACGATGAATTTATAAATCTTATTAAATTTTAAAACTGACTAATATTAATTATGGTTGACGCCGATGTGATTTGTTTAGATGCAGACTACACATTGATTAAATACAAGTTAGCTGAATTTTTTGAGCTTCAATATAAATCTTTAGCAAAATGTGTGGTAAAACTTGGATTTTCTGAGTCACTTTTGAATCCTCCTTGACTTGGTGACATGAATAAATATTTTTTTAATGGATCTCTTGCAGATCTACAAACTGGGTACATCTTAAAGCTTGCAGAAGACAATACAATTTTAAGAGCTTATTATGGATTAGATGAAGTCAGCCAAGAGCAGCTTATAGAAACATATGGAAACCCGCCCACTTATAATCTAGACCACTTAGAACTTGTATTTGAGAAAGAAAAACACTTTATGTTTATCACACAGTTTTACGCTGGCGGTGCCTTTGTTTTCCTCTCTGGAATTGAGCTGAATAAAAGAGGGTTATTAGAAATAGGGTCTTTTTCGAATTGGGGTGAAAAAGTTTATATTGCAAGTAATATGAATTATGATCACTCTAATATAGCCTGATCACTATTTGGATAGGGTTTAAGTGATGTTGGGAGACGTCAGATGGGAAGTTGACGAACCAACTTTCTGGTAAAGTCAAATCCTGAGATGGCAAATTCTCTTCCTATTGAAGATTTGTCATCTGGAGAGTTGACTTTCTCAGCAAAAATGGGTTCGTCAACTTCCCATCTGGCGTCTCCTGATGTCAGTCAAGCCCAATCCAAAGCAGAAATCAGGCTATAATGATTTATCAGAGTTTTATCCAGAATTCTTTACAAACCCAGGAAAATACTTAATAAGACAAAGTGAAGAGGTCAAAGAAGAGCTGACTCCCCCTCCGTGAGTGAACAAAACCATTGGAAAAATCCCTAATTTTTTACCCTCCGTGTGAGTGAACAAAAATTTTTTATGAAAAAAAATTGATATATAAGTGATAATTAGTATAATGAAACCTCTAGATAATTCTCTTTAATTTTAAAAAAATTGCGTTTTAAAACATAAATTTTATAAATTAAATTAATATTTGCTTTCCAATTTTTTACAAATTAGGATTTTTTTAAATTTCGAAAAAAAAAAATTTTTTTAAAAAAAAAATTAACCCCCCTCTGTGAGTGAACAAAGTTTTTTTGTTCACTCACGGGGGGGAGTGAGAAATTTAAGAAGTTCTGGGAAAAAAATAGTTTTAGTTACAAATTCTTGTCATGAATATTCAGAAATAGTTTTTCAATATGAGTATGGAGATGACTGGATGAATTTTTTCGACTTAGTGGTTTCTGACGCAGGGAAACCACAATTCTATTTAAGAGATGAGGAATTTGAAATATTGGATAAAACTCATATGAAAAGAGGAAATCATAGAGCACTGATGATGCTGATTGGGTGCCAAAATTATATTTTTATAGGAGATCACTATGTAGGAGATTGTATTGCGCCCAAGTCAATTGCTAGGTGGAATACCGCATTTCTGATGGAGGAAATTTATTATGAAAAAAGGATAGAAGGGGTTGCGTCAGCTTCTGAAATTGAAGAATCAGAAAGATGCCTGGCAGATAGTGAGACTGTGGACTATTATGAAAAGTGGGGAAGTGCTTTTGTAGATAAAGGTAAGAGAACGTATTGATGGGACCATATTCTAAAGCATAGTTCAGTAATTTCATCAAATTTATTAGGATGTCTAAAAGCTATACATAGATAATCATTTATTTTCTCCTAAATTATTTTTGATTAAATTTTTCTTGTATATAGTTGTTTTTCATGAATAAAAACTTGAAATTTAATATTTATTAAAGACTTTAGGCTATGATTATGTTTAGATTTTCACGATTTTTCTCAACTTATCGGCAGCCAAGACCTCATATAGACATAAACTCTTCTTTAAGCATACTTAGAGACCCAAATTCATACACCACAAATACAAGCTCTGTTATTAGAGCATTGAGCGATTTAGGAAGATCTACACAACTGTATCAAAACAAGAATATTGAATGATCCAGTAAGCCTGAAATAGTTAGCGCTTCTAACTCCCTCGTTAGCTTATATTTTCATTAAAGAATCGGAGTATTTTAAAAATAACTGAATGGGAAAATCAAATTTATTTATAAATTTCTACTGTAGGATTATTGCTGTTTAATAGAATGAGCTAGATATTTCATGATTGCATGCCAAACTGTTATTTTTAAAAAAAAAAATTTTTTCTGCTAACAATTTTCCAAAAATTTCGTCTTAATGGTTTTATTTATTAACAAGCAGGAATAAGTCAATTCCAGCAATTATTGATAATCTAGATCTAGAGTCATCCGTAGCTTTAATCAAATGCTGTGGACAATTAGGGATGGACAATAATGATTTATGAAATGCAATCGAAAGGAAAATTATTTTAAAGCATTATAAAACCATAAAATCCAGCGAAGCTAGTGAAATCGTTACAGCTCTACAAAAACTGAGAAAAGGATCCGCAAGAGTCTGAAATTGCTTGGAAAGCACAATAATTACAAAATTCTGTGAGAAAAACGAAATTACAGCCAAAGAAGCAACTGATATTTTGGTAGCTTATAGAAAATCAGAGCATGGCAGTGAACAGCTTGTACAATCTTTAGAGCAACAACTTATAAGAAATGCAAGCCAAATCAACTCTTACGATATATGAAAAATTATGCTGGTTTATGGGCAGCTAAACTTAGGCAGTGACGAATTTTATGCCAGATTGGAAACCCAAATCAAAGCGATTTGTTCTACTTTTAACACTTTAGGAGCTGTAATAACCCTTGATACCTACATAAGGCAAGCCAAAGGCTCCCAGGAACTCTACCAATCCCTTGAAAATGAAATTTCTCATAGGCTTAAAGCTGAATTAAACTTAGAAAATATTTCGAGCTTAATGTACACTTATGCCATGAATTTCACAAAAGAATCTCAAAATATTGAAAATAGAAAAAATTTTATAAAGGATTTGGAGACTATTTTATGTGAAAGATATAGCTCAATTGCCCATGAAAAGGCAAGAGAAAGGGATTATAACATTGGGAAATGCGCATGGGCTATCTCCAAGCTTGATATGCCTACTGATTTGAGGCTTTGGAATATAATTTTCAAAGAAATGAAAGAAAAAGGCTGGGAAAGCAATGAAAAATTTATATTTTTTATGCGTGAAATTAAGCCTTATTTAAAAAGAAATAGTTTAATTTAGTTATAAAATGTCTGAAATTTTAATCGTAGTTGGCACTTATACAGGTGGGTTAATAGGGCTTCAAGGTCCTGTAAATCATCCAAAAACGATTTTCGCATTTAGCGCTACCACTGTATTTTTTAAGTAGAATTGTATAAAGTCCTTGAATATTCAAGGTGAATTTTTATTCGCTGGTGGATATGATGAAATGATATTCTCATAAGAAAAACTTTTTTTTTTGCATATTCCCTATTATTAAAATATTAATTTAGATTAGAGGCAGTGTTTTTTAATCCTACTTCTGGACCACCATGCGTTCCACAGCAACAGCTGCAGGATTTGCACACGGAAGACTTTCGAAGTCCGGTAGAAATGCAGGTTTCTCGGCAGTGCGCGCCATTTTGATCCAGATCATATGGATTTTGCCGGGCAGCACCATTTCCAACTCCAAAGCCACTATTGGTCAACCCTGCTTAGCTCTGGCCAGATTGCCCCCTTTCTGACCCTTTTAAACTGGAGAGACTAGCACTTGAAATCTTGTCTAGCCTACCTTCCCCTTTTCCCCCGATTAGCTCCGAAGGAAAAACTTTACCGTTTGCGCTGGTTCATAACAGGGTGTGAAGCAGCTCAGGCAGGTAAGTGGCCCTGCGTCTGTTGAAACCCGCTCTGGGCTTTGGTGCTGCCGGCTAAAAGGATTTAAATCTGCTGCACGTACCCCAAACCATTAATCATCAGAAGTAGTTTTAGGCCTCTCGTTTCAAAGCTAACCCAACCTTGGCAGCTCTTTGTCCAAAAAGCCGCATCCGTATATACATAAGGGCATCCACTGAGATGACGGGCCGCTCATCTCCAGCCATTTTATGTATCTAAAATATTAATTTAATTATAAAAGTATAAGAATTTTCCATCTAAATGAACGAAAAGAATTAGGAGCAGTCTTAGAAAATTCTGGCTCAGTCAACTCAATCGCTTCTTGTAAAAGTCATTTTTTGACTGGCAATGATCAAGGTAAAGTCTGTATTTGGAGGATGAAAGACTTTACTATGCTTCACTCATTAAAAGGGCACAGATCATCTGTAAATGGTCTTTCCCTACACCCAAGTTCTCGCATGGCTTTATCTGTGGGAAAAGATAATAGGCTTTACTTATGAAACCTTATTAAGGCTAGAATTTCTTTTCGGCAAAGATATTATTTCCCATTAGAAGAAGTCCACTGATCTCCATGCGGATATTTTTTCGCTATTAGAAGTTACAGAAATGTTTATTATTTCAACTCAGAAACCAATATAAAAGAAGACTATATTACCCTTACACACACAAGCCAACTAAACACATGTGGATTTTTAGGAAAATCTGATTTAATAGCTGCAGGGGACAATAATGGTGAAATTGTGATATACTATTTTTAATAAATATTATATAGACCATTATTGTTTTTATTAAAAATCAGAATAATTATTACTCCCCCCCCTCCGTGAGTGAACAAAACCATTAGAAAAATCGCTATTTTTTGCCCAAAAAACCCACCCTCCGTGAGTGAACAAAAATTTTTTTAATAGAAAAATTTTTTATGGAAAAAAAATTTGATATATAAATGATAATTAGTATAATGAAATCTAGAGCTAATTCTGTTTAATTTTAAACAAATTGCTTTTTAAAACATAAATTTTATAAATTAAATTAATATTTGCTTTCCAATCTTTGCGAATTAGGATTTTTTTAAAATTTCGAAAAAAAATATTTTTTATAAAATTTATATATAAAAATAAAATTAACCCCCCTCCGTGAGTGAACAAAATTGTTTTGTTCACTCACGGAGGGGGGGGAGTTAGTAAAATTTTCTAACTGCGACCTTTAAAATTGGTGCAATAAATTCTGTTCCAATTTAAATAAAGTTAAAAATATAAATACTTTTTATTTTAATTTATTTTTATAATAAAAAAATAATTTAAAAAATGAATCGATTTAATTGAAAACTGTTTAAATAGCATTCTAATTTCACTTTTTCCAATAAATTAAGTCAAAACTAATTTTATAAAAATAGTTTTTTTGTTTTAAAAAAATATAAATTAATAATTTTATAAAATTAGTATTTTCATCAATAAAATTTTTTTATTATTGAAATAAAATATTGTTATAATTTAAAGGGGGCTAAAGTACCCAAAAATGCAAATTTTTATCAGTATCTTTCCTAATTTGAAGGAGAGAGTAATTAAAAAGTATATGAAAAATCAATGGAGGAAGCTTGTCATTTAAAGCCCACAGTATCAGGATCACTAAGCTCCAATACACAGAAATCGAGACTTCCAATGGCAAACGTGGAGTTCTAATCTCCTTAACTACCCAAGGCGAAGTCTCCATCTGAAACGTGACCCCAATCCAAGACGCAATCGAAAGCCTAACCCCAGGCCAAAACATGAAAGTTGACAACAATGAAGACTTATTAATCACGTCTATAAACCTGAACTGTAGATGTTCTTCATTGGCAGTAAAATAAAAATTCTTATTAAATTTAAAATGAGCATTGATTTGTTACCAAATGAAGAAAAGCGCTTACATTCAATATTAGATAGAGGAATTGAAGCCATGAGGAATAGTGCAGAGTTCAGCAATTCACAGATTAGTAATAGTAAAAGCCAGTCAAGGCTAGATAACTCGTTTAAAGGGAGTGGGAATAATTTACAGGATTCTAGTAAAGGTTCAAACATAAATAATGAGCTTTTAGCTTTACAAGAAAAATTTGCCCAGCTTGAAGCGAAGCTGGCAAGAAGATCACCGTCGCCTATAGAACATATAAAAACAGCGAATGCTGTATTGTTGCCTTCAAAATCCTCTCTTAAATCTTCAAGAAAATCCCCGAAACGATCATTAACTCATTATTCCTCAAATTCGCCAAATTTATCGAGAAATTCTTCTAAAAAATCACCATTGAGGTCAAAAAAAAATTCAAGAAAATCGTCTACAAGCTCACTGAGAAGGTCAAATTCTAATAGCAAAGTATACCAAAGCATTGAGAACTCTGAAAGAGAAATTAATAAATTAGAAAGAAGCTTAACTCCACAATCAAGGTCACAGACTATTAATATTAATAGACAAATTGATAAAATTAGACAGCAGCTGGAAGAGGAAAGGAAAATTGGAGAAAAGCTTGTAAGGGAAAATGAAAATTTAAAAAAAGATTTGGGGAAAAGAGACGAATTGAGGAAAAAAATAGCAAAACTGCAAGATGATTATAATGAGCTTGCGATTTCATTCGAAAGAAGCGAAGCAGTTAGGAAAAAACAGAAAGAGCTTATAGAAAAACTAAAAAGCGAACTAAGAGTTTTACAAGGAGAGCCAGAAAACAGAGAATTGCCTAGAAACGCTGAACAATACATAAGGCCTCCTACTGCAAAAATTCGAAAAAAGGCAGGTAAAAAAGGTAAAAACTAAATATTAATAAATCATGATATTTCCGATTTATTTAATAATTTGCTTCATAAAAAATGGACTCAGATAGCTCCTTATGAAAATCCCAAGCTGACGATCTCCATTCTAAATTAGAGAACCTAGAGCAGCTTTTAACAAAATTTGAAATAGAATCCTCAATTGACGAGTTCCCTACAAATGATTTTATTGATAGGAATTTACTCAATCAATTTAGCAAGCATAGAAAACGCAGCAGCGTTGACAGTGTCAGTGCTTTATTGCAAAGTGACCCTGGGTTAAATATAAATTTAAAAGATATTGCAGCAGATGCCAGAAAGAAAGCAGCGATTCAGCCTATTCAAGAAGTGGATTCAAGAACACCTCCGTTACAGGTAGAAGAAGTAATTGCAAATAATCTTATAGAAACTGAAAAAACGAGATCAGAAAGAGGCAGAGTGGAAAATAATGAGTATGAAAAAGTACTAATGGAAGAATACAAGAAATGCGAGGCCAAACTTATGATAAAAAACGAAAAAATCGCCTTACTCAACAAAGAAAACGAACTAAAAATTAATGAAAACATTGATCTTAAACTTAAAAACAAAGAACTCCACACAAAACTTGAAGAAAAAGACCAAAAAATCAAGAAACTTGAAGAAATTATTTCTTTAAATTCCAAAGAGCTTAAAACTTCAAATGAAGAACTAATAAAATCTTTTGAATCAGAAATTGACATGAAAACCATAGAAATTGAAACTTTAAAACAAAAAATTTCTTCCCTTGTCAGTAGTTCTTCAATCACCCAAAAAGACTGACAGAATGAGATTGACATGCTCAGAAATAAAAATAAAAAATTATTAATAATAAATAAAAACTTTGGTACCGGTAGCTGTTTTTCTATTCAGTAAATAAAGCAGGAAAACCTAATCTGTATTCATTATAAAAGGATATAATAAAAAAACACAAAACTACAAGAAGAAATTGAATTTTTAAAGAAAAATGAATTAGTCACAAATAAGCATAAAGCTGCAGTAGAGATAGCGAAAAAGATGAATAAAAGGTATAAAGCTAAAAATCTTGAAAATTTAAGCCGAGAAGATTTAATTGTGCTATATTTAGATTCAGAAGAAAGGCTTAGGCTGCGAGAACAAGAAATAGCGGAGTATAAGCAGCTGATTGACGGTGATAGATTGTCTGAAGAGCAAGATGAGGACTATTCTTAATTGTAATTAACATTATTATAATATTATTAAGATGGGACTTTGTCTGTCACATTCTATTTCAGTTCCTGAAGATCCTGTATACCCAAGCAACCATACTATTAAAATCCAGGAAAAAGACCAAAATGGGCGTATAAACCGTTTGACACCAATTAATTTTACGATCCCAGGCCCAATTTCAAATAAAACACTTCAAGCCGAAATCAATCATTTTAGTTATTTTATTTCAGCTTCAATTCTTCCAGGTTTTGACCCTCGCGGAATGATGAATAATTCTTGTATGGATAATTTACTCCTTTTTATAATAATTTGGCTAAAAATAGCAAGAGAAATTTCTTATTTTTATATAAAAAAATAAGATTTTTCCCTTATAATTATTAATTCTATTATAAAATTATGCATATTTCTTATAACAGAAAACGATTCAGTTTTTGCAGGGCTTTTTGACGGCCATGGACGAGATGGACTAAAAATTGTGGAATTTTCATCAAAATTTATGCAGGACTTTTTTAGGAAAAATTCTGCCTTTATTAAAGAAAACCCAAAGGAAATGATAGAAAATATGTTTCATCAGTGTGACGAAGCTGTTCAAAATTCAAGTGATTTGGATTGTGCCACATCAGGAACGACCGCAACAATTATATATTTGAATGAAAATGGCCTTTACTCAGCCAGCGTCGGAAACTCCAGAGCAGTTTTAGCAAGTTTTCCTAAAGAAAATGAAGAAGTGCAGCAGGGCATAAAAAACAATAAAAATAAATATAAAAGAACAATAGAACCTTCAAGGGTGCTGAAAGAAATGGCAATTACGGTAGATCAAAAACCGAATCACCAAGAAGAATATGAAAGAATTATTCAAGCTGGAGGAAAAATACAGCAACTTGCAGATAGTCAAGGAAAAACATCAGGGCCATACAGAATTTGGAAAAAATTTGGAAATTTGCCAGGATTAACTATTTCGAGGTCAATTGGGGATTCTATAGCGAAAGAAATTGGCGTGATCTCTACCCCGATTTCGCAATTTTTTGAAATATTCCCTGACCAAGATCAGTTTATCATTGTAGGGTCTGATGGAATTTGGGAAGCACTTACATCTCTCTAAGAGTGAGGAAAATTTTTGGAAAAAAATCCTAAAGTAATTTATTAAATATTGAGTTTTATCTTTATTCCAAAATATAAATAAGCCAAGATTATCCTAGAGATTTTTAATGGTACACCTTATGGAGTATCGCTATCAATTGGGTAATCATGAAAAAAAAAACTGATGGGTAAATTAAAATAAATTTAAAGCTTATAAAAATGACTGTAAATTTAAACATTTTTAAAATCGCATGACGGAAATTTTTTTTTTTTAAAACAATTCTGTAAAAAAAACCCAGTAAAAAAATTGAGGATTTCAGGAGTAGAGCAAGTGTTGGAGAAATTTGTGATGGAAAAAAATTGTGAAGAAGTCTTTGGTCCAATGAATCAGGCGGGTAACCATAAAGTAATAGTTATACATAGAAGATATTTATTTATAGCTTTTTACAATAGAAAATAATATAATGGCTATCTGTAGGAGTGTTTCTTTTCATTTTAAAAATATAATAATTCATAATTGCTACAATAAAATTTATTAAATTTAACACAACTTGAATTCTTAAATATAAATTTGCAAATTGGGATTTTTAAACACACAAAAGACACTTATATAATTTCAAATCACCTTTAATAGAGCAAAAAAATATTGCTAACTTCTTAAAGGTGGGATTTAGTAATATAGAAGCTGTGAATTTTGTTGAAAAATTCAGGAAAAAATGTTTAAGAAATCCACCTGTAATTAAAGAATACCCAACAAGGGTAAATTTTATATAGAAAAACAACTCTACAATAGCACAATTAGTAGGAGAAGAAGCAAGATACAGATGATTTGACATATGCGAACAAGATGATGTCGTAATTGACGATATTTCTGTCATTATCATAGAAATCAGCACAACTTCTCCAGTTACACAAATTTCTGTAAATAATTCTGAAAGAAAAACAATAAAATTCAAGTCATTTGCGTATGAAAATGACCCTAATTGGAATAGCACATTTTTATTGAAAAAGCCATAATAAATAATTTCATTTATTATAGAACCATTTAAAAAAGACTATAAATTGAAAAAAATCAATAAAAAAGGTTTATTTTCATAAAAATATTGTAAAACCTAATTGGAACCCTTCAGCTGTTAACCAAAAACTCGTAAAAGGGACAACTGTCATGTCATCCGAAGACCCCTTAGGTGTAGAATCCATACTAAACGAAGTTGTAAAAGAGGAAGAAGAAGGAAAAGAAGAAGAAAAAGACGAATAATATTAAGGCAAAACTATTCAAATTAATAATAGTTAGATCTTCTTGGACTTCTACTTCTAGGTGGGCCATAATTCCTGCTTTGGTATCCCCATCTGTTATATCTGTTGTAATTCTGTGCTGGTCTTTGGCTTCTGTACATATCATAAAGCCTGTCAGGGATATCTTGTTTGGACTCCCTCAATAGCTTAATTAAATCTCCAGCCATTCTGGCATTTTGTTGGGTGAAAAATGAAATTGCTGTCCCTTTGGCTCCGGCTCTGGCAGTCCTTCCAATTCTGTGAACGTAGTCTTCGACTTGTCCTGGGAAATCATATACCTATTTATATTAAAATTTTTAATTTTCATATAAAATAAATAAAGGATAAGCAGAAATTTCTATTTTCTATAAAAGGAATAATTTATGACGTGGTTTACGTCTTTGATATCAAGACCTCTGGCTGCTACGTCGGTAGCTACCATAATGTTTATTCTGTTATTTCTAAAATCTCTCAAAACCTGGTCTCTGTCTCGCTGAGTTTTGTCTCCATGAATCGCGTCTGCTGGGAAATTTTCTTTTTTAAGCTCATAGCAAAGGACATCGCATCCTTTTTTGGTTTCACAAAAGACAATAGTTTTTGATCCTGGTCTAGCAATATCATGCAAAATATTTATCACTTTTGTAAGCTTATGCGGTTCTTCCACAATTTCAATAATTTGTCTTATATCTTGATTCGCTGACAGGTTAAGTGACCCAATTTGCAGATGCACAGGGTTTACCAAAAAATCCCTTGCAAGCGCTTGTACTTCTTTTGGCCAAGTTGCACTAAACATGACAGTTTGTCGGTCAGGTCTTACTTGTTCAATGATTTTTCTTATCTGAGGCTCAAATCCCATATCGAGCATCCTATCAGCTTCATCTAAAACTAAATAAGTGACCCTTCTGAGGTTTGTGGCTTCGTTTTCTAAAAAATCAATTAGTCTCCCTGGTGTTGCAATGACAACGTGGACTCCTCTTTGAAGTTCCATTTGTTGACGAGATCTAGGAGCTCCACCGTATACACAAGCATTGCTGATTCTGCAAGGCCTTCCAAATCGTGTACATTCTTGTGATGTCTGCATCGCAAGCTCTCTAGTAGGGGATAATACCAAGGCTACTGGGCCATCTCGCGGCTTGAGCTGAGGTTGGTCTAAAATGTGGATTATTGCTGGAAGGATAAAAGCAAGGGTTTTTCCAGAGCCAGTTTTGGCGATACCGATCAAATCTCGACCACTCAATACAATTGGCCAGCTCTGGCTTTGAATATGTGTAGGGGAAGTGAATCCAGTATTTCTTAGCATATTTTGGATATAATCAGGGAAATTTGCTTCTTCAAACGAGACTACTGGTCTCGGGATATCAGTGCCATTAATAGTCATTTGAAGATCATCCCTAATTTTTGTAATTTCTGCTTCACTTTTTGCCGAAACATCAGGACGCTCAGTGTAGAAGTCTTTTCTGAATGGAGGAAGTTCCCTCACATTCCAAGTGACTGGCTCAAGCTTACTGCCAAGTTCACTAGGCTTATCGTTGTGAGTTTTGTGGGGTCGGGAATCGTTAGAATAGGATCGGGAATAATTATCACGAGACTTCCACATATTGTTTTGCCCTGAAGTGGAAGGAGGCCACTGGCTTCCTTGTCTTCGAGGATATTGGGAATAATTTCTTAGTCCGTGCTCACGACCATAGGAATCTGGCTCTCCCATCTTCTTTTTTATATAAAATTAAATAGCTTTTCGTAAGATATTAAGACTTATACCATAAATGGATTTGAAATAAAGAAAATCCAGATAAACTCCCCCAGCCAACCAAAGTTTAATTAAAAGACCGAAATCAAAAATATCAATTCTCGTTTTATTTAGCTGGAAAATTATTTTTAGCTATTTAATTATTTCTCTCTCATCAATTCTAATATTCGGAATTATCGATGTCAAAACCTGCAGCTTCCTCAGGGTTTTCTTTTCGGCTCTTATAAACGGCATATAAAAGAACATAAAAAGAAGCACCAAAGCTATTATGAAAATAATGGTTTCATAAATCAGCCAATTCAATTGGTCGCTAATAATATCTTTAGAATCTTGATCAATAGTATCAAAGTCTACTCCCAAAGAATACTGCAAAGCTGATACATTCCCCATAAATGCTGCATACTCAGGGATAGGCCTAAACCCAGTAACTGCTGCTATATTAATTGAGTCTAAAAATAGCAAGTTTGACGCAGCAAAAGTCCCTTGCTGGATATAAAAATCAGTGGTGTCCCAAATTTCAAAAATCCTGACTTTCATTTCATGGGACATTAAATCTAAAAATTCCTTTTTTCTTAATTCAAAATTCATTGCTTTAAATTCTGTGCTGCTCAAATTATATTCAATTCTTGAGTTTTTAAATCCATAAGAGTTTGGAAATCAAATTATGTTGCTTGGCGATGTACAATCTCTAGCAAAAACACTCATACGGGATAATTGTGCTCGTTTAACGACGAGATTTTGAAGAAGCCGAGGTCTACTATGTAAAAAATTTTCACATTGGTCGTAAAAAATATGCTGTAACTAATTAATTATATTTAGAAATTTAGAAATATTTTTTTATAAACTTAAGTATTTTATATTTATGAGATAATTATATAGAAAAGAATAAAATTTTGAAAGAGTAAAATACATGGTATAGTCCAAGCACGACAATAGATAATCCTGGATTTGGAGAATGCTTGGCAACTCCCAAGTAACTCTCGAATAAGTTGACGAACAAACTTTAGGAGTTGGCAAGCATTTTCCAAGCCCAGGACAATCTATTCATAGTACCTGGACTATAGTAAGTATCACAAAAACAAACAACCTTCAAATATATTTCACGTATACCCCTGAAGTAATTCTTTCTTTGCTTTTAGCAATTTTTGCTTGTGTTGTATAAGTTTTGACTTCATACTCAAGTCCATGCACAGAAGAAAGTCTTTGAATGCAAGCTCTTTTAGTCTCAAGGAATGCAAGATGAGTGATTTTCCTAATAAAATTCCAGAAATCGTCATACTTTTTGTTAATCCACAAGGCACAGCCTATTAATATAAAAAAGAAAAACCCAAGAAAGCTGACACCTACATATAGCCATAAAGAGACGCTTAAGCCGATTTCTTCTACTCTATTGACTTCACAGTCTGTCAAGCTCTGTAGTGCAATATTTATATACTCAAAAGAAAATCCTAGGCTGTTTAAGACAAAAAACTTAACATCGTCCAAATCATAAGAATTGTCTGATAGTAAAGTTATCAACTCTTCACCCTGAATAAAAATTACATGAGATATATACAGTTCAACTTCATCATATATACCCTATTTATTTAAACAATTTATGGCCCTAGTTTTGGATTTAGATAATTTAAAAAAAAAAACAAATAATTACTAATTATGGTTGGATAGAATATATTATACTTTGTCATGTGAGGACTTGGCTCGAATGATCAGACTGGAATTATTTGATTGAGCACCAGTTTTGAGCCATCACAATAATTTCAATCACTGTAATCATCTAGTAAAGCATTTTTCAAAGATTTTATATGACTTATTGAGTCAGTGAACAGTTCGAGATCTTTAGTCAAATTATAAAAGCCATACCTAACATCATTATCTAAAGACCTTGCTAAATCTGCTGAAGATGCTAAATAAAACATAAGCTTCCCGAAGTCAGCAAAAACACTTATTTTCTTCAATTAAATATAAATAAAACCTAGTATTTTCCTTTTTAATTCAAAATTATATTTTTTCTTGTCTCATAAAATAAATATTAATAATTGTAAGGAGAGCTAGAGAAATCGTATGAATGGTTTCTTGATAAATATAAGCTAAAATCGCTATACTTGTACTGATAGTTGCTAATGTCTATGTTATTCTTACACATAGAAATAATACTCACTGAAAAATTTTGATATGCTTTATCATTTTTTCAATATATTTGTTTGCGATTCCTAACTAAAGGTTACGAGTAGAAGAATTAGAAATACTCCCTTGCATATTGGAAAGTGATTTTTCTTCAGTTCCTTCACTTTCTCTTAAGTTCTCAGAAAAAGTCTCATCAGCAGCTCCATTAGTTCCTGTTTCTTTATCTTCATCTACTGATTTAAGATAAAAAAAAAAATTATTATAAATTTTGCAATATCTTAATATTATAAAAAATATTTTTAAAAAAATATGTACCCAGACCTGATTTAAACGACAAAATTGATTTCTTAAACTTCACACTATGAGAATTATCTTGATAATCTGATGTATCCTGACGCGTTTTTTCTTCCTCAAAATGATTTAACACATTTTTTTGAAAAAATTCAATTTGATCAGTTTCTTGGCCATCTTTTCACAATTTTATTTCATCTTCATCAATAACCATAATAATTGTATGAATTACTGCTAGTCTCAGTTTTTTAATAGCATGCACCAGTGCAATTTCTTTACCTTTATTATTTATAACTAATGGCTCAAAAAGCTTCATTTTTGATATATTTAAATCAGGTACAAATTCCTTTATATGGTAATTACGGATATTATGAAAATTTGCACCTATATAATGAGGGAAAAGTTCTGAATAGTTATAAATAATTCCTTTTTCAGATATTAAGGCAAGCTGTCTATTTGTAGTTCTGGGGGTTAAGGAAACTAAAAAATAAGCATTGTTATGGAAAGCTGTCAATTTTGGCTTCATGTCAAAAGACAGTGGATTTTTGATAGTGTACATTTCATCGACAGACATTTGGACAAAATTTTTAAATTGATCGAAATTTAACGGGTTTTTTTTGGTCAAATGTCTCGCTATCAAAAAGTTTCAACCAAAATTACTTCGGTAAAATGTACACTATCCAAAATGCACGATCATTGGACCTGAACCCGTCAATTTTATAAGAAATCTGCATTCTATAAGGTAGCCTAAGGTATTTTGTAAGAAAAATCCTCCTCTCTGAAGGATTTCTTCTTTTTTATAATTATTGTAAAAATCTTTCATATGGTCATCGTGGTTGTAAGAATAAGGGTCTGGTATATAATAACTAAAATGGCTGCCAATAAAATCAGAAATTGAGCCTTTTAGAAGTTGAGCAGCCTTTTCATTTATATAAGTGATGATCCCAAAAGTATCTTCATTAGCTGAAATTAGAATAATCCCAGCATTGTCTTCATATAGGCTTAAATTTTTATCATCATTCCCATTAAAATATAATTGCTGGCTTATTCTGGTCTTTAGACGATTTATTATATTAGCTTGCTCTTCATCCCCAAGGACATTTTCAAGGAATGAGCTATAAAGATCAAAAAGCTCTAAATGCTTGTGCTTTGATACTAATTTTGCATAAAATTCTTTTAGACTAGTCAAAAGATCAGAACTTTTGACAACAAGATGGTAAATTTTTTTATACTGTGGGATTTTTGCTGAAAATTCAGACCATAAATCAATAAGTGTGCAGCAAATTTCTTCATCTTGCTGCTTTACTTTATCAATATCGGCCAGATATTCTAAATAATGAATATCAGTCAAAGAATCCCCTTTTTCTTCAATGTTCTTATTAGATCTCCATTCTTGAATGCTCCCTTCAATGCTGGAAGACACTGAATTAATTTTAGTTAGTTTTATCCTTGCCAGCCTTTCATCTTTCATAGCAAATAAGCAGTAATTTACTTCCCAAATCACAAGTAGCTTGTCTTTAGTCAGTTTTTTATTGTTATAGCATACTTGAAAATAATCAATTACTTGGGCTTTATTTTCTAATTCTTTATCCCATAATATTTTCCTTATGGTTTTTTCAAACTTATGTTGACTTGAAAAATCAATATCACATTTCTCAATATAATCAAGACGAATATATACAATTCAGCAATTAATACCAATTAATATGGGTTGCAGGAAAAAAATAAGAATAAAAATAATTCCTGCATTATCCATGGCTGTTCCAAGTAAAAATACTAAGAATATTCATGCCACTGAAAGAACTTTGCAAGATTTTATTGCATTTTCGGCTTTATTATAGTATGATAGTTTTACTAATGATTCTATAAACACTAAAATTGAAGCAGCCAGAAAAATCACTTGATACTTTGTGGTGTCTGAGTCTGCAAATAGCACATAAGAGATACTCATAAATGTCCTCAAAGTCAATAATTTTAAATCAAATGAAGAATGCGATCTTGTTGTTAAATTTTTGTCTTTAAAAAAGTGCCTAATATCTGCAGTAAATAATTCTCAAAAATACGCCATTAAAATTAAGTAAATCATAGCAAAAATACTAAAAATTGCTCCTCCAATTCCATAATCAAGTAGCTTGGGGTCTTTACTGTAAGTATATTCGCTAATTTTGTCACAATTAAAAGTTGAGTATTTAAATATCATTGAAAACTCAACTAAAGAAGGAATATACAGTAAAGTTACACAAAACGATAATAAATTCCGAAAAACAAAAAGTAAAATCTTTGGAAACTTCATTTTGGCAAAGGCAGAAATTACCATTGCCGAAAACGTACTGATACAGAAAGCCACAATAGAAAGAATTCCGTAGAATCAATATTCAGAAATTTTAAATGCATCAGAAAGATCGTTGACGTTAAAGTAGCTTACAATATTTCAGAATGCGATATAGTGATTTCATCCTGAAATACTCATATCAGGATGCCAAGCTAAGCCGATTATTTGAAGGCATATTACTGTTGATAATAAAACTTCAATCATTATTTGAGACTTTATTTTATAGCCCCTGATATATTTGGACTTGCAAATTTTTCCAAATATTTTGAAAATTATAAGTTTTTGCTTCTCATAAAGCGATTTCTTGGCTTTAAATTTGATAGTTTTGGTAGTCTCAAAGAAGTTTTCAAGTGAGTCCAAGATCATTTAATTTATTAAAAAAATATGTGAATTGAATTTATTGCTTGTCTTCTTTCATATAAAACAAACCATATAATCTATGTTTATTTGTGAATTATCGAATATATAAAATTCTTTGAACCATTTTAATTATCTTAGCTTAGATAACATATAAATGCTAAAAATAAAAAGCCACAGCTAAATCAGGCTGATGTTAACATTATAGTTTATAAGGATTTGGATTATATCCACATAAAATTATTTATATTTTCTTAATTTAAAGATAGCGCTCTTCAAAATTTATTACAGTTGAAAGAAAATTTTAGATCATTGCTTTAGATTACCACACCAAATAAAAACCCAGGAAATTGCTTAATAAAATCTTAACCTATAAACAATAATCATATTCTTCAATTAAAAGGGTTTAAACATGAAAAATGAGTTTCCTTATTAAATAATAAAAAATAAATTTATATTTTGATTATATTTAGCATTCTATAAGCCAGATTTGTTAATTACAAATAATTCTCTAATGCTTCAATATTTTTTTATTTTTTAACTTATCAGTATCTATTTTTGTATTTGGAATTACTGATGCTAAAACTTGTAGCTTTCTCAAAGACTTTTTCTCAAATGCAATAAAAGGCAAATAATACAGCAAAAAAATCAAAGCCAAAACTATAGAAAAAGCTATATTTACATAAATAAGCCAATTTACTTCTTGAGTTATAATATTTTTAGAATCTTGATCAATATCATCAAAATCAGATTCAAGCGCATATTGAAGCGCTGATACATTTCCTATATAAGCAGCATATTCAGGGATAGGTCTTAAGCCTGTTTTTGCAGCTATATTTATGGAATCTAAAAACATCAAATTTGAGGCAGCAAAGGTCCCAAATTTTAAATAAGCATTTTCCGAGTCTCAATTTTCAAAAATTCTTCTTTTCATATCATCTGACATTAATTTTAAAAAATTTTTTTGCCTGATATCATAATTAGTGTGTTTAAATTCCATGCTTGTCCAGTTATATTCTGTTCTTGAATTCTTAAAACCATAAGAATTTGTATATCATAACAAATTGCTAGGTGAAGTGCAATCTCTAGCAAAAACACTCATACGGGATAATAATGATCTTTTATAAACCATATTATGAAGAAGCTTTGGCCTGTTTATTAAGGATTCTTCACACTTATCATATAAGTAAAATTTTGACACAGTATAATACGCAGATGAGATTGCTAAAATAATGCAAAGTCTCCATACAAATTTTAAATAAATTTTCGATTTTATTTTCACATTCATTTTCTTAGGCCTAGCCATTTCAAAATTTCCATCAATCTCATAATTTATTCCATGAACAGTCACTAATCGTTCAATGCAGGCTCTTTTTAGCTCTAAGCACGAAAGAAAAGAAACTTTTTTAATAAAATTTCAAAATTCATCATAGTTTTTATTGATATTAATCACATACCCAATTAGCGCCCCCACAAAAATCATCAAAATACCTATCCCTAGGAACAGAAGCGCCGTAATATTTGTTCCGATTTCTTGTATCCTAACAGTTTCACAGTCAACTAAATTCTGCATTGCTGTACTTGCATACTGAAAAGTAAATCCCAGGCTATTAAGAACAATAAATTTTACCTCATTTAATGAATAATTTCCATGGCTTAATAAGTTATATAAGTTGTCTCCCTATATAAAAAATACATGGCTAATAAATTGTGCAATCCCATCAAATAAATTATATTTTGATATATGAGATGATGGGCTAAAAAACCACATAGGGAGAATATCTTCTTTTACAATTTCTGAGCTCTGGCAATAGCTTCATTCATCGTAATCAGATAATATAAAATTTCTTAATTCCTTTATATTGTTTATTGTATCCCCAAAAAGTCCGAAATCCCTTGTGAGGTTATAAACCCCATATCTTATTTCATTATCAATAGATCTTGCTGAGAGAGAGAGAGAAATCTTTAATACAAAAATTGTAATTTTGATATATCAGCTTATATTTCAAAAATTACTAAGTCAGCTGAATTCATCAAATTATACATTAGGCTCCCAAAGGTAGAAAATACAGAAAGAGAGCTGGTATGAGAAGTGTCCTCATAAATATAAACTAAAATCCCAACACTTGTGCCGATTGCTGCTAAAGTCTATATAAAAAATACAGAAAATAATAAAATTCATTGGAAAAATTGTAATTTGTTTAATAAATTGTCAATGTATCTGTTTGCGATAGCGGTTGAAGAATTAGAAAGGCTGCTGCCTTGTGCGACTGAAGCTGACCGATCGTCAGCGACTTCAATGTCTTTTAAGTCATCGATTAGAGTATTGTCAAAGGCTCCATTAGTTGTAGTCTCTGGCTCATCGTCTAATGATTTAAGCGAAATTATTGTGTCTTTTTGCCGGCGAAATTTGACTTTTATTTGCTTAATTATTGAGTTTTCTGGGGATGTATCGGGGCTGTTTTCTTCTTCGTCGTATAGTTGTGTGTTTTGGAAGTATTCAATTTGATCGTTATCTTGCCCATTTCTTCATAGTATGCTATTTTATACTGAATTTTGCACATTAATGGCTTATTTCAAGAAAAGTAATTATATATATTGTTAATTTGACAAAAAAGGTATAAAAGCTCTTTTTCATCATGAACTATTACAAAAAGATGGATTATCGTGGTCTTGAATTTTTTTATAGTGTGGATTAATGCAGAATCAGTATATTTCACTACTACCCCCTTAAATTAGATCAAAATATAGGCAAAAATTTGCATTTTTTGGGTACTTTACCACCGTTTAAACTGGGAAAAAAAGTTCTATAGAAAAAGTTTAAGAGAATGCTACTTAAACAGTTTTCACGCTGAATCGATTAATTTTTTTAATTTATATTGAAAAATTTAAATATAATTTTTTTATTAAAAAAATAAACATTTAATTAGAATAGGATTTTTTTCCAATTTAAAGAGGGGAGATTTAAGTACTAGTTTCTTTCCTTGCTGCTCTTTAGCAGTATGCCCCTAAGGTCAATTTAGAGTCTAGAAATATGAAAAACACTAGCGCATTAGCACACTTCGTTACTCAATCTGATTCTTCCAGTGGTAAGCACGATGAAAAGGATACTATGTAAAGCAATCCTGTTCATTTTTTCCCTTGTGCAGTAGTTATCGTGAAGGTCAAAGCTATAGCAATTTAAAAGATGAGCGAATTACCCTTTCATCCGAAACCATTTTATTATATAGATTAATGCAATTTCTTGGCCTCTATGAAGGGTTATCCACGGATCAAATATATTCATTTCTTGCAAATTTAAATTTGGCACAAACTCTGAAATCACGCTGTTACGGATATTTTGCGACCTCGACCCTATATAGTGTGGGAAGAGTTCTGTGTAGTTATATATAAGACCTTGCTCAGAAACAAGGCAAATTTGGCGACTTGTATGCCTCGGGCGCAAAGACACCAAAAAATAAGCAAGATTGCTAAATGCAGTTAAACGGATAAGAAATTTGCACTCTACAAGATATCCAACTGTATTTTGAAGAAAAAGCCCTCCTCGTTTAATAATTTCTGTGGACGTACAATTTAAATAAAATTCCCTCATATATTCATCATGGCCCACACAATAAGGAAAAGGTATAAAATTATGGAACGGCATCCCTACTAGATCTGATACTGATCCTTTTAATATATGAGCAGCTTTTTGGTTTATATAAGAAATCGCTCCTAAATTGCTTGAATTTACTGAAATTAGGATAATTCCATTATTTTCTCCATACGCGCTTAAAAGTTTGTCTTCCCCTATAAGTGGATTGATCTCAGTTTTTATGCTGGCTTTTTTTCTATTAATAATATTTGCCTGCTCAGGTTCCCCTAAAATATTGTCTAAAAATGTACTGTAAAGCTCAAAAATCTGTATATGCTTATGTTTCGCTATTAGTTTTTCATAAAAAGTTTTTATTTGTGTCAAAAGCTGTGAAGTTCGGATCGATAAACGATAAATTTTTTTATATTGCGGGAATTTTGAGGAAAATTCTGACCATAAGTCTATTAACGTGCAGCAAATTTCTTCGTCTTGGCGCTTGATTTTGTCAAGGTCATCTAAATATTCTAAATAATTTATGTCAGCAAGATCGTTGTCTCTTTCTTTAAAATCTTTTAAAGCTCTTCATTCTTGTATATCCCCTTCTAGGCTTGAAGTGACTGTATTTATTTTTGTCAGCTTTATTCTGGCTAATCTTTCATCATTTAATATATATAAGCAAAAATTTACTTCTCATATCACAAAAAGCTTGTTTTTTCTGAATTTTTTATTTTTGTAACAAATTGAGAAGGAATTTAGCACCTGAAGCTTGTCAGCTAATTTTTTGTCACATAGACGGTGCCGCATTGTTTTTTCGAAATCATATTGATTTTCATAGCTTATCGGCTGGGTTTGAAGTTGGTTAAATCTAGTGTTGATATATCTAGATATAATCAGCACTAATGGAGGCTGTACGAAGATATTTAGCGCAAAAATAATTGTTGCATTATTCATTGCATTGCCTATAAGGAAAATTATAAGCCAAAAGACAATACAAAAATATCTGCAGATTTTTATTGTATTTTCGATTTTGTTGTAGTAAGGTAATTTTGATGTTCCTTCTAATGCAATTAAAGCTGAAAAAAATAGTAAAAATATTTGGTATCACTCGATATTTTGTTTTCCTAATAAAACATAGACCAAACTTTCAGATGTCCTAAATACCAGCAGCTGAAGATCTAGAGAAGAATGAGAGCGGGTTGTAATTGATCTGCGTGCGAAAACATGCCTAATATCAACTGTTAAAAGCTCAGCAAACAAAAACTTTTTGATATATAGTTATATTTATATAATGAAATATCGAGCTAATTCTTTTTAATTGTATTTTAAAACATAAATTCAACACAATTAAACAAAATATTTTGTTTGGAATTTTTGTGGAGTAGGATTTTTTTTAAATTTCGAAAAAAAATTAACCCCTCCTTGAGCGAACAAAATTGTTTTTTTCGCTCACAGAGGGGGGAGTCAGCAAAAAAAAGCAAAAGATACTAAAAATATGATAAGAAAAATGCTAAAAATAGCACCAAAGACTCCATAATCAAGAATAGAGGAATCCAAATTATCAGAGAATTCTTCTATTTTAGAATAATTTAAGGCTGAATACTTAAAAGCCATCGTAAGCTGAACTAATGAAGGGATATAAAAAATACTCACAAAAATCACAAGAGTTTTTTTTAATGCATATAAAAATAGCCTAGGGAGTTTTATATCAAAAATATTTAATACAAATAGTAAAATCACTGATAAAATGCAAGCTGTCAGGACTGCTATGTTTGTATAAAACCAATATTCTGCTATTCCTAATTCTTGGGAAAGGTTATTGAAATCGAAATAATTAATAAAATTTCAAAATGACGAGTAATTATTTCACCCTTTCACACCCATATTTGGATACCAAGTCATAGAAATCATTTGTAGAGCGATTATTCAATTTATTAGCGATTCAAAAATTATCTGTGTTCTGAGTTTGCAGTTTAAGCTATATTTTGATTTGAAGATTTTCCCGAGTATTTTAAAGCAATAATTTCTTTTTTTTCGAAGAAAAGCTGAGTTTTGTTTTAAATTGTTTGCTTCTGTATTGCCAAATAATTTATCATGTGACTCCAGCAACATTTCTTACTCCCCCCTCCGTGAGCGAACAAAACCATTGGAAAAATCCTATTTTTTGCCCAAAAACCCAACAAAAATTTTTTTAATAGAAAGATTTATTATAGAGAAATAATTTTGATATATAAGTGATAATTATTATAATGAAATCTCGATCTAATTCTGTTTAATTTTTAACAAATTGCGTTTTAAAACAATTAAATTAATATTTGCTTTCCAATTTTTGCGAAGTGAATTTTTTGAAAAAACAAATTTTCTATAAAATTTATATAACAAGATTTTTTTGCTCGCTCACGGAGGGGGAGCTAGTGGAAAATTTAATTTATGGTTAATGGATAAATGGAGTTTATTTCATGTATTTTGAAACTCGCAAATTTAATTTTTATAATTAAACAAATCTGCTCTTTTCTAATTTTTTGGAATAAACTTATATAGAATGGAAAATCTTTATAATTGATGCTATTTAAGGCGATATAAAAACTTCTTATATATTAAATTTACATAAGTTTATTGCAAAAAAATTTGATAAAATTAATTTTACTCGAATTTTGCACTTTCAATCCCTTGATCTAGCTTAGAGCAGACAACTGCCATTAAAGTTCTCAATTTTCCTACAATTTCTAGCTCTTTTCTAAGAAAAGGAAGATAATATATACAAAATAAAAGCACTAAAGCCGCTGAATATGTGCTTGCTACATAAATTAGTAGCTTAAGCTCATAATAAATTGCATCTTTTGAGTCTTGATCAGCTAATTTATACTGGCTTCCAACAATTTCTTGCATAAGTGTGTAATGATCAACAAAGACATTTCTATCTTGTTGATTTGCATTATTTGAGCTTTCTGTCCAGTAAGCTTCTATTATTACAATATTTATCCCTGACAAACTTCCATATTTTATCAAAAATGAGTCTGAGTCTGATTTTTTAAAAATTTGCTCTTTTAAGCTTGCTGACATTATAGCGTTTGTCTACTTTCTGACTCCCATCGTCCTGATTTCTCCTGAGACGATCCAAGTGTTTTTCCAACTTTTGTTGGTAAAACCAACCATTCAAATAGGTAACCTTCATTATGGGCGAATTATCAATTTAAGGGCTAGTTTTACCGATAAAATTGGTAAAACCAACCCCTCGATTATTTCCGGAGAAATTGAGACGATGGGAGTTAGAAAGCGTGCAGACTTTATATCGAAGAAAATTTGCTTTTCCTGATTTCTCTAATTTTTAGCTCTAAATTTTCGATGGTTTCATATAGACGTAATGTAGGATTTTTAAAGCCATACATATTTGGATAATAAATTGCTGTCCTTTGGTGGCTTGCATCTCGTGCAAAAAATCCTATTCTAGATATTAAGGCTCTAGTATATACAAAACAGCTAAATCCCCTCTGTGAGCGAAAAAAAAAATTCATTTTTTTTTTAAAAAATTTTTAAAAATTGAGAAGCAAAAATTAATTTAATTAGCAAAATTTATATTTTAAAACGCAAGTTGTTTAAAATTAATCAGAATTAGCTAGAGATTTCGCTATAATAATTATCATTTATATATCAAAATGTTTTTCATAAAAAAATTTTTGTTCGCTCACGGAGGGTTTTTTCTAATATTTCGTTCGCTCACAGAGGGGGGAGTAAGCAGAAGTGGACGATTCTTCATATCATTTAGGCAATTATTATAAAGGTAAACCAAAAATAAAAAATAAAATGATATCGAAATCAGCACAATTATGATGATTTTTTTTGAGTATTTAAGTAGCATTTTTGATTTAATTTTTTTTATAACGGCTCCTTTTCGATGGCCAGTTTGATTGCTGGTTTGTGGGATATCAAGTACACCGTGCGTGTTTATTAGTCTATCTATAGCTGTCTCTCTTAGTTTTTCATAAATATCCAATGTATTTTTTCTTATGCTTAATCAAAATTCATCATATCTTTTTTCTACAGAATACGCAAAATATAAAATAATCCCTGAGCAAATTAAGCTTATAAAAGTTCCAAATATCAATAAAAGGTAGACATTTTGGCTTGTGTTAGTTATTTTATTTACTTCGCAATCAATAAGACCATCTAATGCTTTACTGATATATTTATAGGAAAATTCCATACTGTTGATAATTAAAAATTTCAATTCATTATTATAATTTTCACCTGAATTAACAGCAGCAATAAGACTTGTCCCCTAAATGAAAATTACATGGCTTATAAATTCATCGATCATATTATAAAGATTGAGCGTTTTTAAATATGGCTGTCTTGCATTAAAATATCAAGCTGGAATTGTTTCTTCAATCACAATTTTAGAACTTGAGCAATAGCTTCATTGATCATAATCATCTAATAATGAGTCTTTTAAATGAACTAAATTGTTTATTCCTTGGCTAAATAATGATAAATCCCTTGAAAGATTATATAAATTATCAGCAACTCCAGCATCAATCGTGCGTACGAGTGTGCAATATGAGCTAATTTCAAATAAAATATCACCTAAATGCTTGATAGTTTTTAACGATACTTCATGCGACACTGTTAAATAAACCAAAATAATAATTGCTACATAAGTAAGAATAATAGCGATTATTGATATAATCAAAACATATTTGAAAATTTTTAATGTTTTTTCTGAATTTTTAGCAAATTTTTTTGACATTTTTTTCCCATTTGCAGAAGATGCTGAATTCCATATAAGTCTTTGGGATGAAAGCAGCATTCTGCTACTAGAACTGCTAGAAGAACCATTATATTCATTATCAAAATTTGCTCTCGTATTTTTAAGATCTACCTTTAAATAGTCTTTTTCTTTTTCTAATTCTAACTCTTTTAATATATCATTTTCCCTGTAAGAATATTCTATAATATTTTCAAATGAGTATCCTTTTCTTATCAATTCTATTTCTTCACTATCATGAAATATCGTTAAAATATGGAGAGTTGAAGACATAAAATTCACTTGGTTATAATAAAATACCAGCATTCTTCCATTAAATATTAAAAAATGCGGCTCATGTGTAGACCATCCTCAAAACTGTGGTAAAAAATCAGTAATAAGCTCGCCTTTGGCAATCTTTTTATTGCCAGTGTTGAATAATTTTGGAACCATTTGTGAGAAGGTTAAAATTATCCCGTTTTCTGACAGTAAAACTGTTTGTCTTGAAGATTTTGTTGGTAAAAGTAAAAGAAGCACATAAGCGTCGTCACTTGAGGTAGTCACAGTTGCAGTCATCTTGCACTCAATCAAATAGCCTTGGTAATCTTGCATAAACAATTTTTCAGGAAGTGGAATAAATGTTGTCGAGCAAGAGTTATAAAATTTTCGTAAATATTCTAAGTGGTAGTTGTTATAAGGCCATGGAATAAAGTCAATGAATTTATACTCTGCATTTCTGTAGGTGGGAACTTTTAAATAATGGATCATTTTTTCGTTCATGGAAGTTATATATCCAAAGGTATTTTTATTTAAGGATATTAAAAGTGCGCAAGTAGATGGTCCAAAAATATCAATCTTATAATAGTCTTTTATCACATTTATCATGCTAATAGCATTCTTCTTATTGAGAATTGCAATTGCTTCTTTAGAATCGCCCAAAATATTATTCAAAAAACTACTGTAAAAATCAAAAACCTCAATATTTCTGTATTTGCTTGTAAGAGAGATATAAAGGTTGATAATATTTTCTACAGAATCTGAAACTTTTATATCTCATATCTGATAAATTCTCATTTTTTATTTTTTTATCGATTTTCCATTTTTGCACACCGCCTTCTATTGTGGAATATAGATTTTTAATTTTTAAAAGTTTAACCCTTGCTAGTCTGATATCATTTAACGTATATAAACAAAAATTGGTTTCTCATATTACGTATAAATCGCTTTTTTTGATATTATTATCATTTGAAAATTTTGAAAACATTTCAAAAATCAAATCTTTGTTGGAATCTTCATAATTAATTAATAAATTTCGAATTTTCAGTTCAAATTCTGATTGATTATTAAAAGAATAATTTTGAATTTTGATTTGGTTTAATTTGATTCTCCTAATTGCTAAGGTCATTAAAATTGGCTGTAAAAATAAAAAAAATATGATAGTGATAGAGGTATCATTGATAAATTCTGCAAAGAAAAAAGATAAAGAAGTCACTGAGAGGCTACACAGTCCACAAGCTTGAATAGAATTTGCGTAAGTGTTATAATAAGGCATATTTTTTATAAATAAATAGGTAAAAATACTTGAAAAAATTGCTTGAAAACATTGCAAATACAGGACTGTGCTTTCATCAAAGCAGTAGTACAGAATACATATAAGCCCATAAAAAATAATGAGTAAAATGTCGAGCTCAGAATTAGATTTCGCTTTTATATTTCTTTTTGAGCTGGAATGACGAAGCTCTGCTGTGAGCATTTCATAAGAAATTGCAAAAATAAAAAAAAATGCAATATAAATAATGCAAAAAATTGCTCCATAGATCCCAATGCTAATACTCTTAAGATTAGAATTTGTGTCATATTTGGCTTGTTTTGTTTGAGTATTTGTCAAGTACTTAAAGCCTACTACTAGTATTGTCAAAATTGGTATAAAAGTAAAATAAGCTAATGGGAAAATGAATTTTTGAGAGACCAAGACAATGTATTCAGGAGTGAATTTTCAATAAATTTTTAAAATTCCTAAGGATAATATTATAAATATCACATAAGATACATATGCGAAAACTCCATAGAAACAAACATCAAAAATATCAAAAAATTCGCAAAGATTTTCTATGTTAAAATATCCTAAACATTCCCAAAAAAATTTATAACTGCTTCAATTGGTAATACTCATGTTGGAATATCAGCAAAAAGAATTCAATTGGAGCGAAAATATTATGCTAATAACCACATCAATGAAAATCTGTTTCTTTTTGTTCAAATTTGACATATAGCCTGACTTAAAAAGTGTCCCAAAAAAATCGTAAAATTGATATTTTATATTGGCTTCTGGTGATTCATGTTGAGATAAATCTTCATGTGAGTTTTCAGTGAAAAAGATTTCAGTTTTCTCAAGCATATTTATACCTCTTAATCAGTAAATAAAATAATTAGCATTCTTAGAATAGTAAAATGATTTTTATATGAAAAATTATTGGATTAATGCATCAACTAACTAGTTTTATTACTCTTGTGTAAAAAGAGATTTCACATGAAAATGGAAAATTTATTTTGCCATCAGATTATTTTTAATAAATCAAGTTATAATGGCATAATTAGGAAAAATGCTTATGATTTATTTGTTAAATATAGAATTTATGTTTTTGAGTTGATTAAAAGCTTTATTTTAATGACATTTCTTTTTAATTTATAAGTGTGAAATCTCCATAAAATTATTAAGATGTCCTAGTAATATTTGAAAATTTATAGTAAGCTCACCCTAAATGGCTAATCAATTATCATATTATAAATTGATTATGAAATTTTGTAAGTAATCAAAAGATAATTATTTGATAGTAATTAATAGAGAAAAATATTACTCTTATCTCAATATAAACTTAATCTGACATTATTCTGTCATCTTAATTATTTTTATAAAAACAATAAATTTGTATTATAAAAGCAAAAAATAAAACCCACAACATAAAAAAATATAACTACTGCATTGAGAAAGGCAAATCATTTTCGTGCAATTTCAGAAGTGCAAGAATCAATTAAATATAATTTAAGAATATCAATAATCTTTTGTAACTTTGTTTTAAATGGATAGTCAATGCATGGATGAGTCTTTAGCCTGCACTAAAAAAAAGTCTCACCATAAGCAGCTATAAAAATTGTTGATAGAGGAATTGGCTTGAAGAATGACCTTCTGGCTCACCTAATGACTTTTGGTTTACGAAAATGATTTTTGGTGAGCCAGAAAGCCGATTCCCTCATCAGCAATTTTTATTGCTGCTTAGTTAGGCTAGATGATGCATATAGAATATTAAAAACTTTCTCACAAAAAATTACAAAATTCTCTTGTCAGTTATGCTTAGTTAAAATTTATTAGGTATTAATGCCTTATATGTGAATAAATAAAATATGCTATTCAGAACTGATAAAGACTTCAAAATGAGGAGATGCTTCATGCATTAAAGCCTATTTAAAATTAGCTCAAAATGACTGAAGATATCTATTATAATCTGCGCCATATAGAACTGCTTAATTTTTATTTAAAAAAATTCATTAAATTTTAAAAATCATTAACTATAGCCCTTTCCCGGCTATACATCTCAATCATCAGAACTAATGGAAAAGAAATTTCACATGAAAATGGAAAATTAGACTCAGAAATTTTATTTAAATAGGATTAAAATTTTAGTATCATTATTATGCAAGTTGCTAATAGCAAATTTTTATGATTTATCTACTAAATATCAAATTCTAGGACATTTATTTACTACTGCCTGATATGAAATCTCCTTTAAATACTTCAGATTCATATATTATTCCGTATATTGAAAATAAATATCATTAAATAATGCTTCTTATAAGCATTAATTATTTATATTAATTATTTTATAGCCATAATTTAAATATAATAATTGATAGGAATAGGAATTAACTTTTAGCATTTTTATAAATTAGAATGCAATATATCGAGTTAGAGATAATAAACTAAAATAGTAGCAATGTAGCTATTAAGCAGCAATTTATAAGTCTCATACCATGATTGGCACTCTTAGCTAGCCAAGTTCTTTAGCAGATGCTTCAAAATTTAATTAAGCTTATTAAAGCATGGAACTTGATATATTAAATAATTTATTAAAATTACTGAAATCAAATAATAATAAATTAATAAGAAAAAGATTCCTAAACATTGAATTCTGATTTTAAATTCTTTGTCTATCCTTAGAATAATTTTAAAATTGCTTCCTTATTAAGCAGATTTTTAAAGCGACAATATAAAAATTCTAATAAATCTGCTATGTAAATATTTGGAAAATAATAAAAAATAAATGTATGCGAGCTCACAATTCAATTTATTTGAAAATCGAAGCATTCTTGAAGTTAATGTAAATCAAGGTTTTTTTAAAACTTGGGAATTGTTTTTGCTGGAAACTTTCGGTAGAATTTTCCATCCAACTTATAATAAAAACATAAAATTCCAGCATCAAATTGTGACAGAAATTTTTATTAATTTGATAATTGGCTTACAAATGATTTCTATTACGTGATATAGCTCAATGGATATATCAGAGTGAGATTATTATATAATTAGATTAATTATTTTTTTTTAATATCTGTAAGAATAAAAACTCTAATGATTGTTGAAGAAACCATTAATAAATTTTAATGAGAAGAGATATAGGGGTTTCCCTCGATAGCCCTTACAGGGCCGTGGATTTTGTCCGAAATCATTAGCCCTGCAAGAGCTATCTAGGGAAACCCCTATAATTAAAATTTCTTTGGAATTGATTAATAGATTCCATATTTTTCAAAATTCCAGATTATTACTGTACATTTTGAAAAGTTTTAGGATATATAAATTTTTGCAGTCTTTGTGAAGTGTTACAGATTACTGATATTTGTTTATACGGTATGATTTTGGGAATAGGTTATTGTATTTTATGTATTTTACTTTTGTTTTTATTATGCTTTTTCAAAAAGAAAATTCATATAATAATATTGTTTGTCTTAAGCAGACTCTCAGAATTTTTATCTACTATATTTTATATTTAACTCCCCCTTATAAGTTGGAACAAAACATCGGTAAAATTTACAATTTTTGGTGCTTTAAAATTGGAATAAATTGTTTTTAACTAGGAAATATTAATGATGAAAGAATTAATTTTTATAAAACTAGTTTTGACCTAATTTTAATAGACAAAATACAAGTAGAATACAATTTAAACAGTTTTTACACTGAATCGATTAATTTTTTTATTTTCATTCTTCATAAAATCAATTAAATTTCAAGGTATTGTGCAAATTTATATTTTTTTAAAAAAATTAAAAGATGAAAATACTATTTTATAAAATTTATCTTGACCTAATTTTATTGATAAAGTGAGTAGAATGCTATTTAAACATTGTTCAGGCTGAATAGATTAATTAATTCTCTTTATGATTTCTTCATAAAACACTTGTGCTCAATTTAGATTTTTTTTTTAAAAAAAATTTAACTCCACTTTAAATTGGAACAGTTTCAACTTAAAAAGCGGAAGTAAGTACATTAACAAAAAAACTCCTAATTTTAGCTGTTTTCCTATTTAATACATGAACATAACATAACGGCAACCAGTAGGAATGCTTGTATTTTCTATAAGTAGGTATACATTCCCTGCACATTAATGCTAGGATTACTATTTAAATATTCATTATTAAGCTATTCCACAGTTTCAGAGTTTTCAGGGAAATATGATGCCTCTAAAATAAACCTGGGTCCAGGAGGAGTATAGCGCCTTTCTTAAGATGGCGCGCAATGTGCCATCACTGGGCCATGTCGGGAGAGGGTTCTCCACGAGGAATGATTCCACGTGTGGAACCCTCTTTTTTTCCACGAGCCAAAAAGAGGGTTCCACACGTGGAGCCATTCCTCGTGGAGAACCCTCTCCCGACATGGCCCGGTGATGGCGCATTGCGCGCCATCTTAAGAAAGGCGCTATATTTTTAAGCATTATTCTTATGTGTTTTTTATTTTTAATTGCTTGAACTTACAGCTTATTTACAGCAGATATTCGACATTTTTATGTAAATAAAAATTTCCTATCAAAATCTAATACTATATTTGGATTGAATTTTTCTATTTTATAATAAGCATGCGCTATTTACTAGGTCCATAATAAATTATGGAAAATATATTGAGTTATCAGTTTTATTTATGAGAATACCTCATTTGATTTGTATTTTTTGATATTTATTACAGTTGAATGCTGACTTTTCGTATTTTTTGGAAGTTATAGTACTTTGTATTACCAATTTGCCTTATTTTTCTTATCACTTACTGTATTTTTTTCAGTTTTTTATTATTTACCTTATTATAACCCTCTAGAAAACGGAATCAAAGCATTTCTTATGCTGAGCTTATCCACTGCTTCAGGATCTTTTTTATTTGGGAGGCTAATTGACAATTCATTAATAACGATTCTTCTCAATATTTTTCTTCAGCCATTGCTATGCTATTTAGTTATCCGAAAAACCAAACTCAATTATTCATTATAGCCCAGGGCCTGCTTTGGATCACCCTGGGCTGTGCGTTGCTGGAATGGACAAGTGAAAAATATACTGGCACTTTTTAACCCACAGGTTGAGTCGGCAATATATAGCCCAGGGCGATTCAAAGTAGGCTGCGGGCATACTGAAATTCCAATACAAAACTCCTGACAACCAATTTGAATTTGAAAGGCAATTAAGGCACCTCCTCTGCGACCCAGATTTGCCAGATCCATTTGAAATTGTTAATTCTTTTACGAAAAGCTATTTCAATTGCAAATTCAGAAAAAATAAACTATTTGTGGCATGGGAAGTAAATTTTTGCCTTTATATAATAAAAGATGAAAGATTAGCAAGAATTAAGCTCACACAAATTTTGGCCCAAACCGCAAGCTATGAAGGGAATATACAATCATGAAGGACTATGAAATATATCGATGAAATGAGCTCTCAGAATTTTAATGATATTATTTATTTGGAATATTTAACTGATTTGTACAGAGTCAGAAGACAGGATGAAGAATTATGCTATTTATTAATTGACTTATGGGGAGAATTATCAATTAAAACTCCGAGATTTAATAAACTTTATAGTTTGGTGATACAAATTTCAGATGAAATTTCAGAAATCCGTAAAGTTTATGATGTTCTGGTAACTAAGCACAAGCATGTACAGATTTTTGACCAGTATATATCATTTTTAGAAAACATTTTAAGTGAGTCTGAATATGCAAATACTATAAATACACGAAAAATAGGCCTGCAGCATGCTTTTGACTTAAAAAAAGGTGATGAAATTTTGCTGAACCCTTATAGCGAGAAAAATGGGATTATTTTAATTTCTGCTAATGACAGCTCGTTTGGATTAATAGCTTATATAAATGAAAAAGCTGCTCAATTTTTAAGGATTTCTACAAGTGAGGCTATTGGCAATGGATTTTCTCAGTTTATCCCTTATCCTTACTCAATAGGCCATGATTGGTTTATGAAAGAATTTTTCTCAAAATGCTCTAAGACTGAAATTATCAAAAGAAATTGGCTTTTTATGCAGAATTTATTGGGTTATTTATTTGAATGCAAATTCCTTATAAGGCTAACAGCTTTAAATCATTGTGCTTATATTTTAGTCTCAATGAGATCTAGAGAAACCACAAGACAGCTTGCAGTAGTCACTGATGCAGGCTATATCTATAATTATAGTGTATTATTTCCTCATTATATAGGTGCAGGCAACCAAAATATAAGGCAAAAATACTTGACAGATTTTATCCCTAATATACATATATCAGAAATGGCTGTATGCGAGCCTTATGTTTACTATGTAAATGGTCAAGAGCTAGTATTTGCTCATAGGACGATTCAGCTGAGAATTGCATTTATTCATGTTCTTGTAGTAATAAGTGATGAAAACGAAATGCAAATGTGAAAAGAAAGGAGAGACCCAGACCAAATTGAGTATTTTGGGACAAGTGATGCAATTATTGATAATACTGTCATCCAAAAAACTCCGAGTTTTTCTATAAACTCCCCCCCCCCCCTCCGTGAGCGAACAAAAAAAATTTGTGTTCACTCACGGAGGGGGGTTAATTTTTTTTTTTTTAAAAAAATTTATATATAAATTTTATAAAAAATATTTTTTTTTCGAAATTTAAAAAAAATCCTAATTTGCAAAAATTGGGAAGCAAATACTAATTTAATTTGCAAAATTTATGTTTTAAAACGCAATTTGTTTAAAATTAAACAGAATTAGCTCTAGATTTCATTATACTAATTATCACTTATATAGCAAAATTTTTTTCTATTAAAATTTTTTTCTATTAAAAATATTTTTGTTCACTCACGGAGGGTGGGTTTTTGGTCAAAAAATGGCGATTTTTCTAATGGTTTGTTCGCTCACGGAGGGGGGGGGGGGGGAGTAAGTAAAATCACTAAGCTTGGCAAGGTAAAATTCCAAGACCTTCAAGAAATTGACTCAGACTCAAAAAATTCTGATCTGCTTAACCAAGAAAATGACTCTAAAAAGCACCTTTTAGAAGATTCTTTAAAATACCTGAACGAAACTGATGTATTGCTAGAAGAAGAGCGAGCTGATTCGGTCTTACAAAAAGGGTCCCAAAATTCTTCCTCAAGTCACTCTCAAATAGCAATTACTCAAAAACTCGTCAATAGTACTACTAGGTATATAAAAATTTTTGAACAAATTTTATTTATTTCAATTTTAACTACTATAAGCATGAATATTGGGATTTTAATTTACACATATCAAGACGCTAATCATGCAAGCGAATTATCTCTTTATGCTCATTTTGGAGAGCTTTGATATATAGATTTACTTCGGCCTATTGATATCAAACATTTTTTTTTTGCATGCTAACTGAATTATCTTAATTTTTTTCCCCCAAGTTTGTAAATATTTGAATTTATAAAATTATTTTTTTTGATAAGCAAGTGGCCAAAATTAACCTTTTTGCTGGAAATCTCATTATTATAATTACAAATCATATATCAAATATTTTTTACAAAATAATTTTTTGTTTTAGGATTCTTTTTTATAAAGAGAGTTTTTCAATGGCTTTTTATTCTAACTGTAGGATGATTTAGCAGCATGAGTGATAATGTAAGGACCTTATGATTAGAACAAAATTATGGGGTTTTTAATATTTCTAGAGACCTTGGCATACTTAATGATACAATTAATATGCTAATTTACATACAAGGGGAATTATTAAACGATTTGCCTGAATGAGATTATTGTGCAGCCTCAAAAATAGTTTCTGAGTCTAAAATAGGAGTTTGGAACTTACAAGGGTCGCCTCACTTGGAATTTTTTAATTTATATGATACTGTCCAATTGTTCATTTCAGCTGTAAAATATACATAGGGACAAGCAATTATCTCAAAAATTAATAAAAAGGAGCCAATCATAGGCGAAGCGAGATTTATTATGATTAACAGTTTAGGGTACTCTTACGCTGCAATCGGTAACACCTTTAATAGTCTAGTTACTTGTGAAGTTGACAGAGTAGACACAATTGGGGTAAAAATCTCCATATTTTCATATATTGGAATAGCCATTGTAGGCCTATTCAATATTGCTCTTATATATTATGTGCTTTTAATCAACAAAACATATGATAATTTTTGGAATTTTGTAAGAAAATTATCGTCTTTGTCATATGTTGATTTAAGAGCTGCTTGTATTGATAGACTTTCGACCATTCATGGAATAGACTATGATCTTCTAGACGACGCTATTCATTTTCGCTCCCTAGGCCATGAAAATAAAATCCTTAAATCAAAAATTTACAAAAAATATCTGTATAACTTATTGATTTTTTTTATTATTGGATGCTGATATTTTTTATTTACAAAATATTATTTATATGATAACTGTAGAAAATCTATGATAAATAGGCCTTATTTATTACAAAATTTTGCATATAAAAGAGTAGCGCTATCAAGGCTTTCGTTGTTTTCGATAGATACATTCGTTAGACAATATGCAAATTGGTTCCCGATTTCATATGATTTTGGGAATTCTTGGTATGAGAATCATGAAGCATCTTTAGTTTTGGATGAAGAAAATATTAAATCAAGAATAAGTATATTTAAAGAGCTCATGTCAGAAGGCTTAAAAAAGAGAATTTTCAAAGGAGTGGATTCAGATAATCAAATCCTAAGTTTTGGGACCTTAACAGCATCTAATGTATACCTCAAGCCTATGATTTTAACTATTAAATAATTATATAAAATTTCCAAATATTATAAAAAATTCCTATTTAATATGGTGATGTGCTTTTAATGGCATATTTTATTTCGATTCCGTTGACATAGCAGCAGTGACAGGCCAAAAAAGCATTGAGGATGTTGAAGAATTTATTAGAGGCATTTATCAGCTTCAGACAGAAATGGGGGTAAATTTTGACATGGCAAACCACGATTCTAAAAATTTAATTGACTTGCAGCTTAGCTATATTGTAAACACAGCTATTGGATTTTCTATTACTTTATTGATGCTCTTTTTTGCTTATTATTATCCTTTATTAAGGCACGAAAAAATTGCTTTAGAAAAGCTGCAAGTGATGACAGCTTTAATACCTCGCTCAAATAATAATTTAAAAGGTCTCACAATATAGATTTAGAAATTTAATTTAAAAAACCCTATTTTGTATTATGCTTAGCGATTTTAATAATCTATAGAATTTCTTTTTCATATAAATTAAGAGGAGTCTCAAGCCTTTGTAAAAATATATAATTAAATTAAAATCTTCAAATATTAAGTTTTTGTAACAGGGAAATCTTTATAATCTTAAGATAAGCTATATATAATTTGGTGATACAATAAAAATGGGAGGAAAAAGTTCAAGCCAACAGCTCGAAGACACGATCTTTAATATGAGATTAGCTTCAAAGCAGCTTCAAAAAGAATCACAGCGAAGCGAAAAAGAAGAAAAAATCGAAAAAGATAAAGCCAAAAAATATCTCGAAAAAGGTCTAATTGACACTGCCAGAATTTATGCCGAAAATGCTATAAGAAAGAAAAACGAAGCCTTAAATTATCTAAGGCTATCAAGCAAAATGGATGCGGTCTGCTCCAGAATACAATCAGCAGCAAGGACTGAAAATATGACTCATCAGTTTCAAAAGGTGATTCCTCAGATGAATAGAGTTCTTCACAATATGAACTTAGAAAACATCAGCCAGACCATGAATCAGTTCGAAAAATGTTTTGAAGATTTAGATGTGGCTTCTGGGTATATCAATGAATCATTGAATTCTACTACTACAGTTTCGACACCAAAGGAGCAAGTTGATTCTCTTCTAGGGATGATCGCGAGCGAGCATAACATTAATGTTCAGGAACAGCTAGGGGAGACTCCTTTAACGGGCGGCGCGAACTTAACTGAAGATCAGATGAAGTCGAGATTTGAAAGATTAGGGTAATTTATAGAGGAATTATGATAATCTGAGCATAAAATGGTAGCTTTAATAAAAAGAAGCAAGCATATGAAGCGTAAATATATTGAAATAGAGATAGAAGAGATAAAAATATGTGAATTATTGAAAAAAATATGTGAGCTTAAATTTTACTTTCATCAGTACAAGAAAATGCTATTTTAAATCAACAAGAAATATTCATCTTATACAGTTATATGTAATTAAGTTAAAATTAATATTTAAATCGTCATTATTTGTTAAATTATTTTCTAGCACATTTAAGATTTTCAAAAAATTTGATCTGGAGCATATATTGTTAAATAAATGTATATAAAGCTCGCTTTAAAGTCAATAAATATTTGAGATAAAAAATTTTAAGATATTTATTAATTTATTTACTATAGAAGATATATTGTTAAAGATACAAATATTTAGACCATTTATAAAATATCAAAATAATAAAATACAATTTTATGAAATGTTTAGAAGTTATACTAGATTTATATATTAAAATAATCAAGATTTTCTTTAAATATTTGTATTTAATATAGACCTTAAAAATTATGTTGTCAATATTTATATTACTTCTTTTGATTTAAGAATTGATGCAATCAGAGAAGGTGCAAAACAGAAAATCCTAAATTTTGGCTAGGAATAAAAAAACACCACTTGCTCGTAAGAGGCACAATTCCAGAGTGGTGCGGTCTGAGCTGACTGGGCTTCCACTAGACTAACAGAAAAGAGATCTACAGCACAACATCAGCTAAGCACTTCAGGAGAAGCATTATACTGCCTGTAAATGGCAGAGGTAGTTCCATAAGGAGACATCGGACCGTTCACTCATAATCTGGGCACTCAAGAGAGTCCTTTGTACAAATTTGGTCTAGGTGAGCTCCCGACAGACTGACAGCGTCATCATTTTTGGTAACCCTGAAGTAAAAGGGCGTTAGCAACTTTAGTGCCTAGCACCACATGAAGTGTGAAGCTGAAGGTTGACTGACTCGGGCTGAATTAATCTCCATTTAACTCTCTAATCTAATTATCTCTTTTGATTCATCTATATTTGTACTATAAATTAAATCTAAAACTTTTGTATTAAATTCAAGATTATATTTTTGTGGTAATTCCTTAATCTAATTATTTTCAAATGCTTTCTTATAGTTTTCTTGATATCTCTCAATTATGTAATAATTTTCTGTAATATATGAATCTTTTGCAACCTCCCACAATTCTATACTCCCCAGGAAGCACAAGTGTCAAATCAACCCAAAAAGTTCTCAAAATTAGACGTCGCGTCCAGCCTGCACAAAATTTAGATAATGCTGCAACTCATAAAATAGTCAAAGTTGCTCACAAAGCAATCAAGCCAAAACCATCTGAAATTCCTCTGCCTGGGTCAATGGAAGAAGATTTTTTATTAGAAAGTGAAGGAAATCCTATTCAATTTTAGAAATAAATTGTGGCGCTGATGGAAATTTTGCTCCGCACTCCCTATGGAGCAGGTAGGAGTCTATCTAATAAAACTGAAGCAGGGACTCTGTCATTTTTGAAGTTTGCCTTCAGGCTTGGCCATGCCTTGCCGAGGGAGGGAATACATAAATGAGGCTGGAAATCCGAACCTACCGACTCAGTCTTGTCGAAGAGGGAAGCTTTTTCTCCCCAAAGGGTTTTTGTCCTGCCAGATGGGCTAGATTTGCCTACCACATGGCCTTCCCTTGTCAGGACCATCGGAGTACTCTCATCTTAATCGCTTAATTTATAATTTATTCACTTTTTGCGAGTGAAAAATCCAAGTACAGGAAATTTTGAAATGAATCACAGGATATTCCGTGCTGACTATTCTGAAGACCCAAAGCCACCTGCTTCAAAAACTCCAAAAACCATTGAATTTTTTACTAAAATCAAAAAATCTGTAAAGGTTCTAGCTGAAAACGAGAGTCCACCGCCCCTAAAAGTATCAAGCCTTCGTAATTTATTCCGCAAACAAACTTCTCTAGTAAGCCCTGAAGCAAAATACAATGAAAAATTAATGCAAATTAAAGAAGGCATGAAAAAAGAAGCAGAAACTGAAGAAAAACTATTAAAATCTTTAAAAACAGGCCAAAGGATAACTGAAACAAAGCAAACTCACTGCCTAGAAAATTATTATTCAAAAACTAATTATTGGCATAAAATTGCTGAAAATTTATCACAAAAAGTGAATAAACAGCCACAAGATTTAATGCTAAATTCAGCTCCTAATTTTAGGCAGAAAAAAGAAGAATGCGAGCTTCTCGATAAAATTTCTCCATTAAGGGATAAATATGGAAATTTAGCATGATATTTGACACTTAGGCAATGGCCTGAATCAGAAATACCTGGTGAAGTATGAATTCCTATAGGTAGCCAATTAACTGGTCTTTATACACCAATTCGCCATAGATGTAATACAGCTCAGGAAGTTATAAGAACTGTAGGGTCACATGCCAGCTCTAGGGGAAGTTTACGATCTTCTCAGTATTTTCGAAGAAAAATTAAAGAAAATAGACAAAAAAAAGAAGAAATTTTAATTGACAATGAATTTGATGATATGATGGTTCAAGGTGAAGCAAAATTCCCTATTGAAAAATCAGCTGCTGAGAATATAGGAGTCAAATTTGTGACAACTGATATTGGAAACAATATTTTGCCAGAGCAGACAATTGAATTGAATTATGAAGTAAAAGTAAAATATTAATAGGGTAAAATCAAATAAATCTTATTAAAATTAATTCAAATTAATTATTAGTAGGAATAAATCGGTGCAGATAAATATGGGAGTGGTATTGTGGCAGCAGAGCTAAATAAAGCAAAAACGCTGAGAGATGAGAAGATAAATAAATTTTAGACTTGATTAGAGGCTTATAGTATAAGCACCTTTGTAATGCAAACTTTAGAAATGGTTAAATCTTACAGTTTTATGCAGTTCTAAAGGATATTGGATATTAATTTGCATAATTTTTGAATAGCTATAGTCTGGATCATATTCCACGCCAGTCAATGAATTTCTAATAAAGAAAATGGTTTCTCAAAATAAAATTTGATCCTAATTTTTTATATAAAACTTATCAATCACATAAAAACTAAACTGACTCATGCCAAGCAGGATAATTTCGTGGGTTATAATTTTTTAAAGTCATGCTCTATGTTAGGGTCTCGATTTATTTCTTTAGCCTAGAATTTAGCTGAAAAGATTAAAATGACTAACTGATCTGACTTATGACTCTTATAGCTGGTGATCTAGAAGGTAGCGAGACTTTGAGGAAAGCAGCGCAGCGTTAGATATATGTATCAGGATAGGGTTCACTAGTGCAGGTGAAGGCTTCAAGAGTTAATTCTTGGCAGGTGCTACTCTTGGAAAGCAGTTGGAACTGGTTCTGCTGGTAGTGCCTTATGTATCATTTTATTCTTGCACTATGCAATCCCGTTTCTCATAGATATAGGCTCTCGCACATCGCTTTCAACGCAAATACCCAAAAAAAGCTATATCTGCATATGTATATTTTTTTAGTTGCATTGGGTCTGCAGTTGCTCAAGATGGAAGAAATCAGTATATGAAAATTACTTCTCAAATAGCTGCACTATTAAGAAAAACTTCAAAAAACCTTTCTAAAAATTGTTTTATGAATCATTTTTAGTTACAATGCTAGGAGTGCTCAATTTAATTACATGATGATTCCTCATATTCAATATATACGGTATCTCTTATAATTCATAAGAGCCTTTATTTTTTATTATATAATCATCATTACTTGCTTATTCTTTGCATTATTGGCTGGAGTATGCAGTCATATCCTTTATAAAGCAAACTTCTCAATTTCCATCTTGAAACCATGAAGCCTATAGGATCTTTTTGTGCTGAATATATATTGCCTCATTCGATAAGAATTTTCTTTTTATAACAGCCTAAGAAAACATTGGGAATTGAAAGGAGCTATTATAGTGCAATAAATAATAAAGGCAGAGTGGCTTAAAACTTTTCAATAATTAAAGTTCTATTGCTTTTTAATCATCATTCAAATCTACTCGACTTCTTATAAAGTCATTAAAGGTTTATTACAGCCTTAAACAAAAAATTAAGTCAAAAAATTTTAATTCAAAGCTTCATTTTCTTAGCTAAAATTCAAAAAATATGCCTACATCATTAATTTTACTAATTCTTTTATTAGAAAAGCCTATATAAACTAAATGGCAAGGCAAACTCAGCAATGGGCTCTTCTTTTGGTTTTCTGTCTTTATTTTGGCAACTCAGAATTTTCTCCATATGCTCGCTATATTCTTACTTAAAATAGTTTATCGAGTGAGAAAATAGCAGGAACAAAAGTCCTTCTTTTTATCCACTTCAGCTAGCTATGCACGTCTGCTAAATGTGGATATTTAGGAGTTCTCAAAGTGCTGCAAGTTGTAGATTTTCGAACTGCGATTTCTGCATTACTTCTAAAATTGGTCTTAGTTGCTACGCTTTCCAAAATAAACTCTACTTGTAGGTTATATAAAATAAAAACGAAGAAAGTTGACTCAACCCTTAAATTTGGACAGGTATTTAAGGATTAAGCTGGAAGGACTAAAAAGCCTATAGGCTCGAGCTCATTCAAATTAAAGAATGAGATAAGGCACTAAGACGGATTAATTAAATTTCTAATGAGCTTTATTGAGGCTCTAACCTTCTCATAATAAATGCTCGCTTTTACCATCTTTATCAAGAGATAAATTCTATTTCCACAAAGCTTTGCTGCTCCCCATTGTCTTGTTAATGAACGCAATAAAGATTCTAATATCGAGAAAGTGATCACCTATGTAATAGGCAAAAATATTTTCAATATAATAATTGTTTCCCAGGCTCTATTAAGGAACGGGCTGGATCCCTAAATCAGGATTTGCTAAAAAGTGGGATATTAAAATAATTTAAAACTTATAAACCTGGTCTCATTCAATCACCATTAATTGTCTTCCTTGCTCTCTTGCAGACAATAACAACGACTAGTAATATAGATAGTTGGTTTGCACGACATGATTATATTAGTGACAACACTAAAATCCGTTCTTTTAGTGGAAATTACTACATGGTAAGTAAGCCAACAACTGATATTAGAAGTAATGTTTTATGCTACGCAATGACCTTGAGCGGCGAAGCATGAGGCTTCGAAACAGACTTTTCAGGCCTAATTACTGGATTGAAAGAATTTGCATTGGGCTATTGACTAAAGCTTTCAAATACTGTCAGTAATAAAGTGCTCCAAATTGGAACCGATTCTGGTCCTCATTATACCATCTCATCAGTGGATAATGGCGTTTTAAATGGAGTTTACTACAAAGACACCTCAGCAACTGACCCTAGCAACAATTTTTCATTTAAAATTCCAATAAGTAATTTTTACATAGATGAGTGGATCGGCATTGCATTTAATTTTCAAGAATCAAATTCAGTAGTTACATTAAATATTCTAATTACTACTAAAGGGAAAATATCTATAACTTCTGATGCAAACTCATTAGCAACTTTTAAACTTCCTGAAGGTTATTTCTTTCTCAGTAATTCAGTTAATGGGATCATTTCTCATGCATTTATAGCAGAAAGTGCTGTTTTTGAAGGTTCAGAATATAGAGAACTTAAGACTGGAGTTCCTGGCTCCCAAAATTGAAGTAAAGAGACTACAATTTGTACTGCTGATTGCGCTGATGATGTCTGTGATTTTTCAAATTCCTGTACTTCCAGTTATACTCTATGTGGGTGCCTGACATCACAATGCGATTCCTGCTCTGAGCCAGCTCGCGATCCAAGTCAATACTGCTTGAAATGCGTATCTAGACATTCATTTAAGAACCATCACTGTATTTTTTACTTTAGGCTGCTCTGACGATCTTGCTAATTGTCTTGATTGCTCACCCTTATCAGGCACTATTTGTACTTTATGTGAAGCAGGCTACTTCCTCTACAATAACGGATTAGGCACTGTATCTTGCATCTGTAATTTTTATTTAGCTTGCGCTGACTCCTGCACTTATTGCTCCCCAAATCCTCAGTGCTTTCTATGTTCTTCATTAATCGTTCAAGCAGGAGATACTTGCAGAGTTGATAGTATTGGCTACCAAATCGGCTTCAGCAAATCAAATATCGAAATTGACTTCGCTAACGCTCTGACTACTGATTTTACATTAAGCTCCATTACTGCCTATTCAGATGCTTCTCCTTCAACGCCTTTAACAACAATTGGATGGACGCTTAATGAATGCAAAGCAGGCGCAACTCAGTGCAGTATTAAGACTGACATTAAAGAAAGCCAGCTCCCAATTAGTCTTGATTTAGAATTCAATCAAGTCTCAGCATAGGATAACTAATCCTCTTTATTAAATCTATGTTTTATGTCTCCATAGTAAACATTTTAAAAGTTATTTCTTAAAATTGCTTTATGTATTATTTTGATCATAAGTATCAAGAAATCCTTACGATTAAAAATTGCTTTATTATTTATTGCTATTATATTAGAAAGTATTTTTATCTTAATTTTAGATAATTTCGAGGATATTATCATTTATAAACTTTCTAAGATAGATTCAATTTTTTTTGGGCTTTGACTCCTCTTTAATTAGAACAAAATTTTTTTTAAGGTGAAAATACTAACTTTTATAAAATTACTTTTAATTTAATAGAAAAAAAACAATATTTAAACAGTTTCAATTGAGTTTATTAATTTTGGAATTAATTTTCATAAAATAAATCAAAATTCAAAAATATCATTTTCAACTTCTATTTTTTTATGTAAAAATTATTTTTATTTAATATATAAAATTTAAACCCCATTTAATTAAGAACAGGATTTTTTGTTCCAATTTAGAGGGGGAGAGTAAGATAAAATTTTGAAAAACTAACCCAAGAGCATAATGCCCCAAAATGACGAAAGAATTATCAGATTTCGGATCTTTTATAATATATGGACACTTAGTTTTTATAAAAGTGGTTCATATTGAGAATCAATTTTCGTGCGCAGGATAAAAATTCGCTTAGTTAGACAAATTTGCAGTCATTATTTTGATGTAAAAATTCCAAAAATTTTATCTCTGTCTCCCCTGATATTTTGTTTTATCAAAATCATTTTTTAAAGTTTACATTATAAGAAGCACTAAATAGGAGATATTGAAGAAACGATGGAGTCTCTGTATCTGACCATGCAAATGTGCAGGAGCTTTACAATTAGCCTCAATTAGAACTCTTCCCACCACAAAGATTCGGTTATGATTCTTTGTTTAGCCCAAACGTATAAGCAGACCACACAAAAATTATCGTTTCCGTTGTCACATTTGCAATAGTGCATGGATTATTATTCTCCTAAATGATAACAAGGTGCTTTTTTGTCTGGAAAATCATGGCCAGTTATACTAATTCGGTCCCATCATCAATTCACAACAATTGTAGGGCTGATTGGCAGGATATCTCATTGCTTAGTGGCTCTTTGAAATGAGCATAGCCATATTGAGCTATAAATATTCACATTTGAATTACCCCCCGGTCCTCCCAACATCTCAAGTGGATTTCAGTGATTATTGAGCTCTTCACGAAGTACATTTGTTTTCCGATTTTAACAGAAAATCTTCAGAATCTGAAAGTAAGGCGCCTTGGATCACAATATCTGTTTGGAAAGTGGTGCCTGCCTACTATCTGGGCTCACTGAAGTAACTTGATGAGTGCTGTTTGAGCTATAAAGAGAATAGGCTAATTCAGCTTGTTCCCATTTACAAATAATTCTAAATCTTCTCCTGAGCCTGTCTATTCACTTGTAATACATTGGATTTAAGTAGTTGATGTGCTTATTACTTTGCAAGGAGAATCTTGAGCTTATTCAACTTGTTAGTAGCTCGGTTATTTAGGTAATTACTCACTTGATGCCTCCCATGATACTGCCTGAAACAGGAGAAAATGAATCTACAGATAGAGAAAGCTAATCGTATCAGTAAAAGATGAATCTATCAGAATAGTTATTTGCTCAGAAATTGTTACTATTGGCTAGTAGCTTCCATAAATGTTCAAGTTATTTTGGAAACAGTTGTAGAAATATCAGTACAGTCAGAGTAGCCTAAAGAGACTGAAAGAACACTTGTATCTGTAGGGAATTTGTCCCTATCATAATAAGTGTGCTCAAAGGCAAAGCTGGCAATTTTGGCAAATGATGGGTATGAGAGGTACTCAAAGCTGCAGTCTCCTCTCTTAAAGCATTGCCCACCAAAACTCTTGTCTAAGGGAGGATTCAGCCGTCCTCAAGAAGCTTGATGGGATTGCAGACCAGTATGCATCATCAGTCAGCTAATGCACTGGGCCTATATTAATTGTAATATTTGGAATATCTGATGATCCTTCTATATTTTCTCTATTAAAATTGGTATCTACAATAGAGATGCTATCAAAGTCCTTTCCATCAAGCATATACTATGGTAGGGCTAAGAGGACTTTAAAACGAAATTCAGGGCCATAAATGACTAAATTGTTTTCAAAATGCTTAACCTGCTGGTTAAATAGAACTGCAAATTGCCAACAGAAGTGCTGATATCAAACACAGAGAAATTGTATTTCTAAAGCTTAGCTTGACTGTCCTTTGATTTTGGTTGGCCCGGATACTTCACGTTTGAAATTGGGTGATATCTGCTGAAAACTTGTATAGGGGTTTCCCCTATATCTCTTATCAGAGACCAAATAATTAAAAGTGAGGTTGTAAGCCAAAGCGTTTTTGTCTTGCCAAGATCATACATATGAATGTGAGCCTGCTAAGCCTAAATAATAAGTTTTTTTTGAGGATATTAGAATAAGTCCACATCCCAGCGTCTGCACTCCAGTTGATTGGGTAACTTACTTGTTCCACCTGAATTTGCACCAAAAATCGTAAGGGTTTTAACCTCATATACTACGTCAGCAGGCAAAATCTGCAAATTTTATATAAGGCATAGCTTCTGGCAAGTAATAGTTCGACATTTTGACGCCAAAATCTAAGTGATTGATCCTTTCCCAAAGTGTGCCTTATTTCTATATAATAATTTTAATCTTTTTCTAGCTCAATATTGCCGCTTGGAACAGCTTTGCTAATTGTTCTCTCAAAGAGGTGTAGATTTGGCATTTAAAGACTTAGGTTTTAGCTCTATAATCATTACTTGTAGATAAGAAAGCTTGCAGTAGTCGTCAGAAAAATTGTAATTTCCGGCGATGATTACCTTAAAGAGCCGTAAATTTTGTCTCTTATGTAGATGCCTTCATCTCTTGGGATCTGCGAAGTCGCTATATTAAAGGTAAAGTTAGGGGTTATGTTGGCTAAATCGTCAAAGTTTAAAGTAACCGTGGGTTGGTGGCTTTATACATTGATGAGCTTGTGCTATGAACTACTAGAGACGTGCTACATTTAATTTTTTTGTACTCAAGATTTGCCACGTCACAATCATTCCCATCAATCTCAACCCTGACCCATAATGATGTCAGCGGGAAGCTCTCTCTTTCTATCGTTAAAACTTGTCATCAGCTGTGCTTCCACTTGCAGAAATCTTATCAATACTTGCCAAAACTCTAAAATTATAATAAAAACATTCGAAAATATCTCACTGATATCCGTTCCAAAGATTCCACCATATCCATAAGGGCCATTAAGCTTAATAACCGAGTTTTTATTTTAATAATTATTGTTTCCTAGTAGTTGCCTCTAAAAGCCTAAGGGCTGATTGCAATAATTTTTTTGTAAAAAATTACAGTCATTTTTATTCTCTTGAAGCTTTTTTATAGCAATCTGTCTCCTAACACTTCAGCTATGTTCATGATATCCAAAAATTCAAAAGTTTGGCTTGAATACAGTAGGTAAATGATCATATTTTGAGTATCAGTTTTTACATTTATCTACCTCCCAACAAAACTTATCTAGTCTCCTGGAACTACTTCGGCCAGATTCATGTAAAATATGACTGGGTGAATTCTATGATTAGGCCTTGGTCCACCAGAATTTCAGTGTTATAATAAAACGCAGTGATTTGAACTTTAGCTCCATTAGGGTGCTTTGACGGAGGGATTATGTACTGCAGGCAACTTGATGCTGCTCTTAATGGTCAAAAACGCCGCTTATGTAGAGAGTTGTAACTCCAGCTAATTAGCCTGCCAGGTATCCTATATTAAGAGAGAAGGATTTGCAGAGATACCTGAAATTTCTATACAGTTTGAATAAACAAAGCCTCAATAATTAGAGTTATTAACAGCATACTTTTAAAAACCATTCTTTTAAGTTCAAATTTTATGATAAAGATATATATAAAAATATATAGTGAACTACACTGACTGGCACGGGGTGCTTTTGGCCCGAAACTGAGCCAAAAGCACCCCGTGCCAGTCAGTGTAGTTAACTATATTTATAATTGATATTATATCCATTTAAGCCAACAAATATGGATTTATTGATCATTTTATTTTCTAAGTGACACTTAAAAATGAATTTTTAGTTGGAGAGATTAAAAGATTGAGATTATTAACTGAAATTAGCAAAGCATTCTGATACTTAAAACTTCTGTAAAAATGGCTAATTGTGGGGAGTTGCTGATATAATGTTATTTAAACAGTTAGCTCATAGAAAAGATTAATTTTTTAAACACCAATTTTTTGGAGCAAGGTTTAAATATTTTATAATTTCATATATATACCAGAGATAAGATATACAATATGTATATATTAATTAGATTTGAGTTAGATACGGGTGTGAATTTCATGTTGGGTCATATAAAAATTGTTCAAAAGGATATGGATTAATTTTCCTAATCTTTGATAATTTTCAATTTAATCACTCTATCAAGGGAGTGAGAAACCTCGTTTGGCCCCGCCAGCCTTGGACACTCTATCAAGGGACTTAAATAATATTTCTCTGATTGTTTGATTTAATTTTAGATTAAACTTATATAGATTAATTTCTTTAAAGTAAACTTTTTGCAGCAGATTTAAATTAATTCTGATTCATTTTTTAATATTATATCCTTATCGTAAAATTTTGATACTTAAATCCCTAAGTATATTATAATATAAAAACGCAAGACAATCATTCTCGATTAAGCAATAAAAAATAATTACTAGAAAATAAATAATATTTTATAAAGCTACTTATAAAATTCAAATCAATAAAATAAATAATTATTTTCTAAAGGCATTACCAAAATGCAAATAAAATTTTTTCTTAACGATTTATAATTGCTTTTATTAATTTTAGCTTTCAAATAGTTTGCATATTAATTTTTCTTTAATTATAGTCCTTTTATCTTAATGTCAATATCAATAGACTATAATAAGCACACCACCATAAGCTAGAGATAATTTATTTATATTTAGCAAATTTGGTCTATATTTACTAGACAAACTCCTAAAAATTATTTTTAAATTTTAATGTGTTTTAATTTCCCAAGCGTTACTTCATTTTGAAATAACTTTCAATATACCAATTTCATCATTTCTTGAAAAGAAAATTTTAAGCAGAATAATCTCTTATTTTTAGCGGCGTTCCCTCAGAATCTCAAATGAATTTAATTATTAATTTGAAAGAATTTTTTTTCTGAGTGGGTCAATTCATTTCTTCCTATTTTTTGTGTCAGCACAAAATAAAGAATTGGTAATTATTAAAGAATAAAATCTATAAATCTCTACAATTTGACAATTATTTTCATTTGCGTCCATAATATTCTGATAAAAATTCTATGCAGTCAGTAGACCCAATAATCGTAACCCAACTACGCGCATTTAACTCATCTTCAGGACGAAAAATTAGCTTGAACTCGAAAATAAAGAACTGTTTTTATAACCCAAAAAACTCTATGATAGCGCCACCAAAGAAGGAGTACTTAAGATGTCGTGTGATTCGTGGACACAAGCGAGCTATAAGACAAATTATTATTATTTTATTTAAAAGAAGACCTTGGTATTATACAAATGTAGACTATTTAAATGGAAAATAAATCAGCTTAATTTTTCACAGATTTTTATCCAGTAGGAAATATCATAAAAAGAGTGCTATACCAATCAGGACCTTAAATGCTTTTGACCCAGAAAATCCCACAGCACTTAGAATCTGAAGAATCCTCTCAGACGTTTACATAAAACATGAAGAAGAGCTCTCAAAATTCAGCCAAACAGAAAGTGGTCCCAAAACAGATGGGAAGTCCAAGCGTCAAGGGAAAGTTGAAAACCTCGCCAAAAGCTTTAATTACGAATTCTGCAGAGATTATTTTACTCCTCTAGGAGTAAGAGAATCATTTTATTATTATGTTGAGCTCTTATTTGTTGACTTAAACCCTAAAAGCCTCTGTGAAAAATTTGACTTCAACTGCTGCAAAAGCCCGCACTCCCATGAGTGCCTTGAAAAATGGCTTTTAATGAAAAAATACATCAGCCAATATATGATTCAGGAGCTAGGTCTTGAACCGTTTATGCCAGCTTCGCCTGAAGGGTTTCACTTGCCAAGCCTATTTAATTCGAGCTTGGATCAGCCACCAGAAATATCCACCTATCATAGAAGGCTGAGGTCAAGTTCAAGCTCTACTCTTGATAGTAATTCTGCTACTAAAACAAGTCTTTCGTCAGGGGATTTGCAGAATAATTGTAAGGGTGGATCGAGAGATAAATAAAACTAATAATTGGTTTATTAACCTGACAAAAGGGTCAGTAATTGCTTATGTGAGGTGACATATTTATCGAGATAAAAATTTTTAAAAATTAAGAAATTAATTATTTATAAAAAATTTGATCACGGGCTTAGATGGGAATTTAAAAAATTAGGAAAGTTGCAAAAAAGGAATGAGTTTTGTGAAATTTTGGTAAAGGAAAAGCTGCATTGAATTTGTGTGATTAAAATGGATTCTAGAAGTATTACGTTTTTTTAGGGTTGAATAAATACCAAATAAATTCAAACCAGGCTAAAAGAATCAGCCTAAAAGAAGTCTATAAAATGAAAGGATTAGCTGATAAAGAATATTAAACTATGATCAGCTTAAAAGGTTTGGTGCAAATAATTATGAAACTGAATTAGCAAATATAAATATTTTGAAATATTAAGCTATCAGTTTCGAATTTAAAAAAGCTTAAAATTAGCAAGATTAGTATAGGGCAAATATGAAAATCACTGCTACAAATTAAAAATAAAACACTCATTTAGGATTCGGATAAAAATTATTACGAATATTATTTTGCTATAGGTCTTGCAACTCGTTTTTTTGCTTTATTTTACAAAATATCAACTGATTTCCACTTTTTCATTTCGTATATTAGAATTCTGACAATTAAAAATGGTTGAGCAAAATATGCTTTTTATGAGCTCCAATCAGAATAAAAAAATCTGATCTCAAATCAAAATTTTATTTTCAGAAAATTAGAGTGGCTTTTCGAATTTAAGAAACAATTATCAATGTCTCAAATTTCTATAAAAGGAATTTTTATTATTTACCTATATTTTATAGGAAATTAAAAGGGAGAAGTTTGATTATAAGAATAGGAGGGTTTATATGTTTTTTAGCTTATTTTTAGATTTAGATTTGAAGATTTAAAGCATTTCGCATTTTAAGTCGAAATGGAATATTCATAATGAAGCTTTTACTAAATTTTACCCTTAGAAGCATAGGTTTACATGGAAAATTGGTTAATTAGTCAAGTGAAATTGAAATTATAAAATTTGCATTTCAGTACTAAAATTAAGCAACAAAAACTGTTTGAAATCAAGTTAAATATCAGAAAGCATATAGATTAATTAAATTTTTAACTTTCCAGCAAGTTCATGAAGATAATTATGAAGTAATCAATAAAGTATTAATAACTTCCTATTCATCTTCTATTTTTTAATCAAAAATCATCTAAAAAGAAGTAGATTTTTTAAAAATTAAGCCTATAAGTTTTCAAGCATTTCCTTCAAGCTTAGCTAATTTTAGAAAAATTAATTTTTTTTTCTAAGGTTTTTGATTTATTTTTTTTAAAATACTTATATATATCCTAAATAAAGCTTGATATTTTATACTTCTCACTCATTCTTCAATATCAATAAATTTTAAATTCTTTTTATTTTCTTCACCACTTTAAAAGTTTCCTATTAATTTTAAAATTCTCCAGATAAGATGATTTATAACTATTTGAAATTTTCTGACAGTAAATTAATCAAAAACAAGCCTTAAATCAGCTTTATAACAAAAAAAGTCTTGAATATAGAGCCGAAATCGTTACCATATTTTGAAAAGTTAATTAATTAAAAAATGGTCTGGATTAATATTGCGTCCTGGTCTGGAGGTCGAAAAAATTATTAAACCTTCAATTTTTATTTTATTTGGTTTTAAATCATATAATTTCCTATAAATGATTGAATTCTTACGATTTCTTAAATATTAAAATAATGAAGTATGTACAATCAATGGACCATATGTTGGTCAGTCAACTCCAATCATACGGGCCGTATTCAGGACGCAAATGCAAGCTAGTGGCAAGAATCAGGAACTGTTTTCTCAATGCAAAGCGGTCTGCCACTACACTGATCAAGAAAGAATATTTAAGGTGTAGAATAATCCGTGGCCACAAGCGAGCCTTACGACAAATAAAAAGCCAAAAAATCCCAACAAGAACAATCAACTCTTTTGACCCGAAAAACCCATCTGCTGTCAAGATTTGGATGAAGCTATCAGAGGTTTTCCAAAGGAACGAAGACGTCCTTTGCCCTATCAGCCAAACAGAAAATGGGCCAAAAACAGATGGGAAGTCCAAGAGGAAAGAAAAGGTAGACTCCATTGCGAAGAGCTTTAATGAAAAATTCTGTAAGGAATATTTCACCCCTTATGGAGTGAGAGAATCATATTATTTCCATTTAAAGCAATTAGGAGCATAATATTATTATATTTTCTTGTATAAATAATTGGTATTATTTTATTTTTATTAATAATTTTTACTAAATTTTTTGATGTTTTGCAATTTTTTTAAACTTTTATGATGTAAAAACATTTAAATCATTATAAATAGGTATATTACTACATTGAGCTTTTATTTGTTGACTTAAATCCTAGAATCCTCTGCGAGAAATTTGAATTTAATTGCTGTAGAGGAGCACACAATTTGCAGTGTCTTGAGAAATGGTTACTGATGAAAAAATACATCAGTCAGTACATGATTGAAGATCTTGGATTGGAGCCATTTTGTCCCAAGTCGCTTCAGCATTACTCATTGCCAAATCTATTTTCAGATGAAAATTTTCAATTGCAAGCAATTAGGTCAAGCCAGAAAAATTTTGAATTTGATAGGGGAGAGTATGAAACACAGTCTTTCGATGAAATTCGTAACTTCATTTGTAAGCAAAACATAGAAGCTAAGTAAATATTTATTATAAAAGTTAATAGAAATATGATAAAACAATTTTGTGTTAGTAAGATAAACTGGCTCGCCAAGGAAGGTTAAAGTTTTAGCTTATACCTTTTGATAACTAGTGATATTTAGATTTTTTAGTTTCAATTGCAATAATTAATAATTATTCAATCTTTAAATTTATGTTAGAAGAATTTGCTGAATTATATTGATTATTGTTTTAAAAAATTATATATAAAATATTACTTATATAAATAAAGTTGTATTGTAAGCAATTTTTACTCATTATCAAAGATAGAGGAGAAGTTAGATTATTAAATTTAGATAATTTTTAAGGCCCAACATAAGAAATGAAGCATTTTCAATAAGACTTCTCGAGAAATTTAGAGATTGAATTAAATTTTATGACCATAAGAAAATGGTTGATTAAATGGTTTTTTTTTGAGATTTTTTGAATTCTTAAAGTATTTCAAAGTATTTTATATTAAGTGATGTTCTTAAAAATATTAAAAATACCTAAAAAATTAATATAAAACATAATGAAATTTTCACAAATAAATATTGCCAAAAAATCTAAAAAATAATTGTCTAAATAAATCCTTTAAGTTCTTGAAATAGTAAAATCTGATATTCTTTAGAATTTGAATTATAGCCAAATTTCATTTTGTAAGTATTTCTATATGTCACCATTTTTAGAATTCCATAATAAACTGCAGCTAATAATGGAGTCTACACTTTGACTTATCATAGCGTAATCAAATATTCAAGGGGATTACTTTTTAGCAATTATCATTTTGAAGACGCAAGCATTTTTCAAATAAATCGAGCGAAGTTCCAAAAATTTTAAAAATTTAATCAAAAATAATTTTAACAATTTAAGAGCAAAATTAAAAAATAATAAAGTTCAGAAGTGTGAATTAAAGATATTCTTAATTAATTAAAATATTTTATCTCATAACTGCATTATATAAAATAGGAGCTAAAGATTAAAAGCAAATTTTGGCAAATCTAGAACAAAATATTGCTTCGAAGTTTAGAAAGCATAAGGAAATTCTTTATTTTTGTCAAATCCCAATCTATTCAATAAAAAAATAAGGGTAAAATTTTAAAAATTTTTATTTTTTGAATTCAGCCAATTGCTGCAGCATATAGAGCAAGGCTTATTATCCAAAATCATAATTTGCATTCAAAAACCTGACTTAGATATTAAATTTTAATTAAAAACCTTATTAATTAGCCCTCAATTCTCCTTAAAGTTACCCAAAAATACTTAAATTATATTAGGTTTGTATTACGTCCTATATGATTTTATTATTTATCAAAAATAATAGTAAATTATAATGGCCTTATCTTTTCTACTGATGAATCACTTCTCAAAGTTTCTTGGACTTTACTACTATTAACAAGATTTTTCACAGTTGTCATTGTTCGATGCAATGAAGCAATCGATAAATCTTTATTCATAGTTCTATCATTTGATTTTTTATCTGGCGAAACGCCTATAACACTTATACTTTTATCTTCATTGGCTTTATCCATCATGAGCCACTGAGGCTCCAAGTAAGGATTATCACAGCCCATAAGATATTGGTCAATTTTATGAGTTTGCTGCTTCCTCTTAACTTTTTCTCTTTCCTTCAAAATTCTATTTAATTTTTTAATTTCTCTGTCTTCATCTTTCTCCCTTGGCATATTCAAAAACTCTGTCATAGTCTTCATACGGTCTTGCCTACGCTCAGGGGATTCATATTTTTCTCTCATGTTTCTATTGTAAATTGGGCTTGAGTCTCTATTTTCATCAGAATATTTCCTAAAGTTTCTCTGGACTGAAGCTGAACGCTTAAGATTAGCCCCAGTTGACCGATTTTTTCTATGAGAAAAATCAGATTGGTCATTAAGAAACGAAATAGGACTTTGATCGACCCCTTGTGGGCTTAAACTTCTTGAAGAATCATTATTAAATCTTCTTCTTACCATATCTCCCAATAGCACTCCTTGTGAAGTATGTCTTTCTAGATTTCTATTTCCTTTTTTTCCTCCTTTTTTCATTGACTTTTTCCCTCGGAATTCTCCACTAAATTCGTCATTTTCAGATTCTATATTCCAAATAAGTATAAATATTTTTTTATCGTAAAAAAGATTTTGAATATTAAATATTTAGAGAAAATTAGGATATATCGGATAAGTCTCCGATTAAATTTTTCAGTCTTCCAGTCAGTCTTCTGCCACTTTCTGAGCCTGAGCTGGACTCGTCACCTTTTCGCTTTTTTCGTCTTCTTGGCTCTGATTGGAAGCGATTCCTTTTCGAGTCTTCAGGAATAAAAAGGTGACGTAAAGGAAATTGGATTAGAGGCGCACTCCCTACCCATCCTGATAAAGATGAAAACAGGGCCTCTGTTCTTTTTGAAGTAAGCCTTTAGGTTTGGAGATACCTCGAGCTTTGTTTCTTGCCCGAAGATTTTCCTGTCCCAGCCAGATGAGCTAGACAGATTTTGCCTACCATATGATCTTCCCTTGTCGGGACCATCAGAGCCCTCTAAGTGGCTCTGCCCTTGGGAGCTGATCCTTAGACAGGCGGTTCAGACATAATTTTAGTCTTCTATTTTCCTAATTTGAACTCGAGGTCTATTTAGGCAGCTATTCTTGGAGCCTACACGAGGCAAAGGCTAGAGGGCTTTCCCGCTCATGGCCACTTTAATCATTTAATTTAATTTTCGAGTCTTCAAAAATCAGCTTATTTCTAGTAGCTGCATATATTGAAGAAAGTTCATCTAATTTAGAATCATCTTTGCTTGTATCTACTTTTGCTGTTTTTCTCTACTCCCCCCCCCCCCCTCCGTGAGCGAACAAAACCATTAGAAAAATCGCCATTTTTTGACCAAAAACCCACCCTCCGTGAGTGAACAAAAATTTTTTTAATAGAAAAAAATTTTAATGGAAAAAAAATTTTGATATATAAGTGATAATTAGTATAATGAAATCTAGAGCTAATTCTGTTTAATTTTATACAAATTGCGTTTTAAAAACATAAATTTTGCAAATTAAATTAATATTTGCTTCCCAATTTTTGCAAATTAGGATTTTTTTTAAATTTCGAAAAAAATATTTTTTATAAAATTATATATATAAATTTTTTTTTAAAAAAAAAAATTAACCCCCCTCCGTGAGCGAACAAAATTTTTTTGTTCGCTCACGGAGGGGGGGGGGGGAGTTAGTTTTTTTCTTTTTCCTTTTAGTTAGAGATATATTTCTCATCATCATTTCTTTTGATAAGGACCCATCAGGGAATTCTGGCTCAGCTTCGTCATAAGAAATAGGCTCAATAGACCAGTCTCCTTTTTCAAATTTAATTTCTTTAGAAGGACTTATATTACGTCCGCCCTTAGGCAGTGGAGGTTTTCCTGTACGAAGTTTGGCATCTTTTTCTGTATCATCTATTGATATATTATTTAACAGGAATTCAATATCATCTGGAGGAAGATTTTTTTGTTTAAGCTTGCCTGTTTCGTCTGTTTCTTTTGATTTTTTCCCTTTTTTGCCTCCTTTTTTACCTTTTTTCTTTTTATCAGGTCTTTTGTTAACCTGAACTAGCTCATAATTTGGGGAAAATTTATTACTGCCTTTAGCTTTTTTGAATTCTTCTTCTATTTCTTTACGATTTTTCTTTCTCATCCTTCTTTTCTTGGTAACAACCGTTTTATCTGATTCAGGGAACAGCTGGTTTTTATTAGGATTTTTATTTGGGTCTTGGCTTTCAAGAGTTTTGCTATATAAATCGGCGTTGTCGACTCCAAAAAATGTAGGGACGACTGGTATCATTTCTCCTTTTGATCCTCTTTTATATATTGGCTCTTCATTTTGGTTAATTAGAGAAATATTCCCATCTTTGTCTATATGCTTTTTAGCTTTCCATAGTTTCCATTTGGCTTTAGGTGGAGCTTTTATGACAGCGCCACCATATGCGTACATTTCTGTATGGTCTTTGGGTTTTCTTCTTAATAAGTTTTTTGGATTAATTTCGTACTTTTTCGCATCAGATTTGGTAATATTTTTCTTGCTAGCTTCTCCTACTAGTATTAAGGGTTTTCCGTCTTTTCCTATAACCATGACTTCTTCTGTATTTCCTTCAGGCTTTCTGACGATTTTTCCTTCTTCATTTCTAATATGGTTTTCATGATTTTTACTATGAAAATTTTTTTTGTTGAATAATTAAGCGAATTTTCTATTATTTTCTTTTAAAAATTTTAATATAAAAAATTTATTAATAATATTTTACGCTTAAATACATTCAATTTTTTATTTATTGTGAGAAAATTGATTATGATTTATTGCAAATTGGTATATAATAATCATCTAATATAAAGTCTTGGGTTTTCAAACCTCTGCCTTGCGATTTTTCTTGGTTTTCCATTACAGTCAATCATCATTTTAGGGTACAATTTTTTAGGTTTTGGCTCTTTATAAACCTTTCCATCTTCTCCTTGTACATCAATAAATTGCTGAGATTTTGGGTTTCTGCCTAAGGTGCCTTCAATAGGTATTCATTCTCCATCAGAAATTTCTTCATATTCTGTAGCAGACTCAAAGCCTATTTCATCGCCTTTTTCATTTATTTTTTTCATAACTCTTTCAAGCTCTCCATCATCCCCTAATTCATATTCACTTACATATTCTGATATATCAGATTCTTCTTCTGGATCATCAGGGTCTAATAATTCACCGTCAGGCCCAGTTTTAAAAATTTTGATATTTTTGGATTTTTTAGGGGAATCTATCTTAATCTTAATTAATTTATTTTTATGTGTAGAACCATAGTTTTTCATATTAAAAATCTTCATTTATAGGCTTAAAAAATTAATGATAATAGGAATCTACAAGTCTTTTTTGTATAGGAATTAAGGCTCCTAAATCATTTAATTCATAGTCAGTTTCATACTCATCTTCTTCTGGGATTGGAATTAAATGACCATTATTATCGACTGAAAACTTGGCAGGGTTTATTAAGACAAGGTCTCCATTTTCGTTTTCTTCAAAGAAAACTTCATTATTAGACGGTAGAACTTCTCCATTTGATCCCACTGTAAAACGCCGAGAATCCTTTTTTCAGCTTCTTCCAGTCAAAAGAGCATCTGTATCAGAATCATAGCCACTTAAATCTCTGTCGACTTTTACAAGCTTAGTTACTTTATTTCCTTCGCTATCAATTTCTTCAATTTCTGTATAATCACTATCTACTGATTCATAATATTCAGATTCGTTATCTATCTTTTTTATTATAAATTTACTATATTAGATATTAAATTAGTTATAGAGATGTCCTCTGCAGGTCTGCAGGGTACTAGCACCTGCACCAGTCAGGATACGGCCTTCTAGTATGTTGCTCCTCACGGATGAGGCATTCTCTACTTGAGGGTCAGAGACACTGAGTCATCATGTCGTTTACTAGCAGGGTCCGCCTCCAGAAATTCGAAAACGAATTTTTAGTCAGGCTATCCACTAAAATGGAACCCAGAGCCAGGACGCAACGCCTGGTATCACGCTGAAAATTTGCCTGCCTCTAGCCTTGCTGAGCTTTCCCTTTCCAACTCCCAGCGAACCATTTCCCAACAAGGAAACTTTGACCTGGATGTGAGCATGAGTTCAGCTAAACCTGACATTTTCCTCCACCAAACCAAGTAAAGCCTGGTCGGATATGTGTTTTCCCATGAAAAGCAACCCCGTGGGCCAATTTATGCTCTCCCTCCCACAATGTCCCTAGCTTTCCCAATTAACCTGCCGGCTACAGGTGCTAAGAATTCAGGTTGGCTCGCCATACCATTTTAATACATATATAAATTAACTATTATCCTAATAAATTGCTTATAAAAAATTGTTTTTTTTAAATCCATTATTTCTATAAAATTCACACTAAAACGTATACTACAATTGTTTTATGAAGCTGAGAATTCTCCAACATCTCAATTTCGCCTTCATCACTTCCAAACCCTTCTTCAAAAAACCAGACTTTTTCATTCGTTGCATTAAAATTATTAGCTTCTTTAGTATTATAAGCTTCTGAAGCATTCTGGGTCATCATCCCTTGTATTTTATCAGCATCATCAAAATTCAATCTTTTGACTGGCCTAAATAAATCACTTTTATTCATATTATTGTCTTGATGAGCATATTTCGGCTCATGCTGGGCTGATTCTATATGGTTTTCTTTGCTTCCTAACAAGCTAAATGATACATCATGTAAAGACATTGTAGGCGGTGAAGGGCATTTAAATTTTTTATTGCGTGGACTTGTAGCTCTTGGGGAATGGTCTAATAAGGTATCTTCTGAGTAGCCATCTAATAGAGGGTCACGGGCTTTGGTTGGGGATCTTTTATATTGACGTAAATTCCCTGGAGAAATATCATGATTTCTAATAATAAATTTTCTATGTAAAAATGCAGAGCAGCGGAAACAAATTAGTAGAAAAATAATGACACTTCTGAGAGGGATGTCTATGGCTATACCAAATAGTCAATGTAGGAAGCAAACCCGAAGATTGTCTTGAGACATGTGAGAAGACATATAAATGCTTCAAAACAAGCCTGCAACACAGCATAGAGCTAAAGCAGTTACAAGGATTTCTAAGGCTGCACTGTTATTTTTAGACTCATCAGGTAGGGTAAAAGCTTGATCACGAGGACTTAGTTCGGGGGTTTCAATTTTCCCTATTTCATCCTCACGATTGGTGAATTCATATTCAGTGTGCTGCTCATTTTCATATACTGAGACGCCTTTAATTAATTTAATTTTTAATTTTTTGCAAAAAATAACGAATTTATGACAAAAAGGATATAATGTTTTATTTTCTTGCATTTCTTCTAGGTTTTTATTGGAGTCAGACTTGGCATGAGCTATTTTGGTTTCATCAATTGTTCCATACATGCCATTAAGCTTTCCTTTATTTTTCTCATTAAAACTTGAAAGAAAGCTGTTAGTAAGGATCGCTGTTATACAAATAGCTATAGCTGTAGATGCGATGCTGCAATAAAATGCTATTAAGAGGTCAGTTGCTGTATAATCAGGAATAAATAATTTTTTTGTATTTTTTTTTATTTAAATTAATATATACTAAATTCATTTAGGGTATGATTTTAATATTAATTCTAATATATTAAAAAAAAAATTAAGCCTTTATTAGCGCATTTATTCGCCAAGGAGTATTTTTTATAAAAATTTTGAAAACAAATAATCAATTTCATAAATCACGATTTGGTTAAGGATCCATAAAATTGATAGAAACACAATAACGAAAAAAAATTGGCTTGCTCTCGGTACTTCTAATTGAACATCTTTATATGAGAAAAGCGCTCACAGAGGTATATAGCGTTTGGCTGCCTGAGTGTAAGTGAAGGTCTTGAAATTCATGGTTGTTTCAGTTTTAATTGTAAAAACTTGATGCTTAAATAAGTCTTTTAGTACTTTTACAATCTTGAAAGAATAATGCAATGATATAATCATCACGATGATCATTACAATAGTAATTATGATGACTGCTCCAATTCATCCTGCCATGGAAAATTAATTTATTATTGCATCGATTCTCTTATAAATGAAAAATTAAGGAAAATCGTAAAGGGTTTTTGTTAAAATAAAAGCATTGAGTCAGTATAAGAAATTCTAGGCTAGATATTTTATTATGCTACTGATTTAATAATTTTATTTTAAAAAAATATGATAAGAGCTAATGCAAAGTGTTATGTTTATTATTTTGAGATTTATAAATAAATATACATTAATTTTGATATAATTTTACCATTTAATTTATAAAAACATGAAAGCAACAGAGTTTAGACTCAAAAAGCTGTGGGAGTATAAATTAATAAAGTCCGGTTTTCTAATATGGACATTTTTCTCTATTGAAAATTTAATTATGAATTTTTAGTGAAAGCTTATGATTTTATAAAATTAGAGTTAAGAGAATCAGTGTGTGCTTTGCAAGATTATAGGGGTTTTCCCTATATGGCCCGATAAGGGCCGTGGGTTCTCCATAGAATCCCTCTGTTGGTCTAACCAACTCAGTGCGTTGGTTTGACCAATTCACTGGTTGGTTCAACCAGCAGAGGGATTCCATGGAGAACCCACAGCCTTTATTGGGCCATATAGGGAAAACCCCTATAAATAAATTTTAATATTCGTAAGGTAATAATTCAAATTCAGTTAAAAAACAATAGCGTTAATTTTTGACATGAAGCAGACCTCTATAAAATACTTTAACTTAAAGAATTTAAAATATTTTAAATTTTATCTTAATTGGTACACACACAAATGAGAAAATTTAGATCTGAAGACGTTTGGGCTCAAAATTAACCTTATATGATCATTTATTTAATCAGATCTCCACAACTTTTATAAGTTTATCACCAATAAGCATTATATAATTTTACTTCAGCTAATTGAAATAATTATAAATGAGTTTGTATCATACAGTTAAAAACTATAATTAACTCAAAAATTAGCGCATTCTAATTATTTATCTTAATTATCTTAATTAATCATCTATTAGTCTATAAGGTAACTGCTTCAAGGGTAGAAAATTTATATATATGATAAAAGAACTAAAAATATCATTCTATTTGCAAAAAAAATTTATTTAGATTCCAAAGTAGCCTTTCTACTTATCTCATATAATTTCTTTATAGTTTATGCTTCCTGATCTTGAATATAATAATAAGATGGACTGGCTGAAAAATAGGAAAAAATCCATGGGCGTTATTTTACTCCACCCCATCCTTGATCGAACGACTCGCCATCGTTCGATCAAGGATGGGGGGTTAAAATAAATTTTTTTGGGAAAAAAAAATTATATATAAAATAACAAAAATATATATATATATTTTTTTTATTTACTTTTAAATAAGAAGGTTAAGAGTATTTAATAATTATTTTTACATCAAAAAATTGAATTAATTTCATAAAATACCAATTTTTAGTATTTTGATTTATTAGTTACCCTTTTAAACTGTATAAATTTTAATTTGTTCCTTATTGAATTAAATTTTGTTTTCTCAAAATTTTAAAGAATCTCTCTTTTATTAGATTATTGAGTTTTTAAGCCTGGTTTGATGGCTAAATCACTTCAAATGGTTGATTCCGAAGCTTTCTGTCGTCTCAAAGCTCTGAAAACAACTTCATTAGGTACATCTTCCCAAGCTTTTGATAACTAATATATTTTATATATATAAAAATTTGCATGATATGAAAATCGTTCGATCAAGGATGGGTTAATTTCCCCAATTTTTAGGAATTTTTACAGTCAATCGTTCGATCAAGGATGGGGGGGAGCTAGGTCTTTTATTCGCGACTTCTTTCTTTTGGGTAGTAATTGTTTATAGTGAAGAAGCAGGTTTTGATGATTCCACTAACAGTAATGATCATTTACTTTTTAAAGATTCCAAAGAAGATATAGATAATAGATGAAAAATTTCTCACCATATGATTAATGACACAAATTCAACTTCAGATAATCAGACAAATCAATTATTTGTAATAGAATCTCAAGTATTGGCATCTGATATTTATATTTTTGATAAAAATATTAAATGCTACCCTCAAAATCTTGGCTATACAAAGTCTCAAAGCGATTCCAGGTTTAAGTACCAAAATCGAGCCTTAAAGTGTTCTTCTGGAGATGAGCTATTTTCAATGGAAAACAACACTTTATACATAAACTGTTTAAGTTTTGGCCCTGCCCAGTATTCTTTAGGCAATTCTCCTGAAAATGAAATTATTGGAAACGTAAAATATTTGCCTGAATGAAAATCCTATTCATCCCCAGTAGATATTGGGGATCGAGAATTCGGTTTTATTAAGTGTGGCAGAGACAAAAAGCAAGCATGACTTCACAATAAATTTTCCCAAAAAATTTTTAATAAAACTCAAGAAAAGAGAAAAAATATCATGAGTTCGCTAAATTTGCCAGAAACCCCAAAACCATTGACAGTTCTACTTATAGTAGTGGATTCTCTATCAAGGCAGCATTTTTATAGGACTATGAAAAACACAGTAGAGTTTATGAACACTATAAATAGCGATTTTTCTGAAAATTACATTATTTATGATTTTTTTAATGGAAATTCACATGGCGAAAATACACAGCCAAATTTAGCTCCCTTGCTTTATGGGCGTAGCCTTGCTGACCTCCAAATAAAAACTAAAGGGCTTTCCTTGAAAAAAAGTGATGATGCACCAAAATATCAAAAAATCCAAGAAAGTATTATTTGAAAGCATTTTGAAAATCATGGATTTGTGACTATGTTTGAGTGGGAAACAAGATGAGATTATTTTCCTGATCTAGCAGGAAGAAAAGTTCTATGTGACCATGTAGCTACAAGCTTTTGAAGAGGTGCAGTAGATGTCGCAGGGTTTACAGATTTTAGTGAAAAACAAAGATGCATAGGAAATCATCATTCCCATGAATATTTATTTAATTACACAAAAGAATTTATAGAAAATTATGCTGGACTTAATAAGTTTGGGTATATGCATTTAATATCTGCGCATGAAGTGACTGGGTCAGTGGTCCAAGCTATGGATAATGATTTATCTCGATTTTTTGAAGAAATTATGAATTTTCATATAGACAAAAACGAGGATTTAGCAATTTTTCTTGTTTCTGATCATGGTAATCATATGGGGCCTTGAGATAGATATGAAGAAGGGACAGTTGAAAATTTGTCTCCATTTACATTTTTTATTACAAATAAGCAGTTCCTATCAAAAGTCAATAAAAATTCCCATGAAATTATTTTACATAACACACAAAGATTGGTAGGAAAATATGATATTTATCTTACATTACAGCAATTAGCGTTATTACCATATGGAAATCCATCGGATCAATATAAAAATTGAAAAAATGAAATTAAAATTAATTCTGTTGTTTCTTTATTATATGAAAAAATTCCGGATAATCGAACTTGTGAAGACATAGGCGTACCATTGTACTGGTGCAATTGTTTGGCATATAAAAAGATTGAAATAGCTGATGAAAAAGGACTAGCCCATCATATAGCAAATGAAGCGGTTTCTACAATTAATAAAAAAAATTCTAAAGATAAAGCCCAAGAATTTTGCTTACTCCCCCTTGTGAACGAAAAAACTATTGGAAAATCCCATTTTTTGAATAAAAGCCCATCCTAGCTAGCGAACAAAAAATTTTATATATATAACTGATAATTAATATAATGAAATCTTGATAATTCTTTTTAAATTTAAGCGCGTTTTATAATATGAATTTTTCAAATTAAATTAATATTTGCTTTCAAGTATTGTGGATAGGGAGTTTTTGGATTTTCGAAAAAGCAATTTTACTATAACTTGGAAAAAAATTTTAAAAAATAATTAACCTTCATCTGTGAGCAAGTAAAATTTTTGTTCGCTCACGGAGGGAGTTATTCCATTGTTTAGTGCATAATTTTGTTCGAAAAATTACCAATTATTATTTAAAATTTAATTAAATTAATAAATGAAGGAGTTAGAAGTAAAATTTGATTATGTTATAAAAATTGAAGAAGAGACCAAGCAAAGTCAAAATTATTCAGGAAACATGTATAAGGTTACGTTTGCTATCAAAGAAAGATCAGGAGTGATTTTCGAAGCTTTTGCATTTGTTGGAAATACTATAAAATTCATTAAAATAGAAGTTGAAAATCAATATTATATCAGCCTAAAAAGATTAATTCTCTTAGATAAAATGTAATAATCCTATTAAGCCTAGAAAATAGGTTATTATTTTTGCATTTTAAGGGTTTATTGGCTATAAAGGGCAAATATACATTAAAATGGCATGGTGAATTAACCCATCCTCTTAACTCATACAGCTGACACCCGAAAGAGTGCCGGGGATCTTAAGAAAGGGAGTTTGTCATTCGATATGGTATTCGGCTAGGTTTTTCTTAGTTTGGTGAAGCACAATGTCGACTGACTGCAAGCTGTACTCCAATACCAAGTTTCTCAGAGAGAGATGGGTCCGGAAGTTGGAAAGGGGTTCCCAGCTGTGTCATGGCGTTCGGCTTGACCAGTCGGGACTATTCCAGTGTTAAACAGGAGTAACGCGTAACGCCCTAGGCTACGGGTTTCCATCTTAGTCAAGAGTCAGGAAATTCAACCTTTTTGAATTTTCAATGGTGGGCAACCCAGTTGGCGTAGGGCACGGTGACCCAAACTTTGCGACTGCCAGGAAGCATATGCAAGTCCATTCTTGTAGAAGACTTTGAAGGTCTTAAAATGATTGCCGGCGAGCAGGGTGAGTGGAGCGTTAAGGGAGGGAATAAGGATCTTCAGATACCTTTAGGAGCTTTTCTATAATCTAAGTAATTGACTGTAAAGGGCATACCCTATTTCAAAATGAAAAAATTTTGAGGTCCAAGTCCAAAAAATCGTCAGAGTTGATACTTTAGATGATTATTGCGGCGAGTTAGCAGAACAAATGTCGGCCAAAGCTTCTTTTTGTGTATGCAAATACCCAGATTCTTATGAATTACAAAGCTCGATCCCTCAAAAACGAAAACTTACAATTGAAAAACTAAAAAAAAATTTATCAATTTCTATTGGAGGGATTTTTGAAAATTGCATAGAAACTTGTTCCAAATTAAATAAAAAATGCGAAAAATGGGGTTTGCCGCTTCTGAATAGGCTGGAGATACTTAATGAGCCTTGAAGAAGTAGTCGTTCAAGTATTCAAGTTCATAAAGACAATCAGAATATTGATTTCAAAACTCTTAGGGTCAGTGGAAATATTAATGGTGAAGTCACTGGTCTGATGAAGGAATCAGATTCTTACAAATTCATGCAAAGCGATTGGAGTAATCTCACTTGTGAAGCAAGAAGTGAGAATATAATGCCAATCTGTCCATGCACGCTTTATTCTTTTATTTAAATGCACATAATTATAGTATTTAAAACTAGATTTGAGAAATTTAGTATAGGGATCGTTTTAATTTTAAATTCAATCAAAAAGAGATTTAATCTTATTACAATACTCCCCCTCAACTAGGGAACAAAAAACATTTGTTAATTTTTTTACCAAAATTTTATTTAATTGATAAATTTATGTTTTAAATTGCAGACTGTTTAAATCAACGAAATTAGCTTAGATCCTGTTATAATAATCATCAAATATCAAAATATTTTTGTATATAAAATTTTTGTTCGCTTATGGAGAGTAGTTTTTACCAAAAAATAGGGATTTTCCAATCATTTTGTTCACTAACCGAGAGGAGCTAATGAGACATTCTTAATATAAAATTATAACTCTTTATCGAGATCTATTTAAATGCTCTAATTTGCTACTTCAATTTGCAATAATTTAATCAATATTATTTTAAGGGATTTCAAATTGTGTGGGAGAAGTTAAAAGTTTTTATAATATTGTCTAGTAAAATATTGAATTTATGCTCAGGAAAAGGATTTTATTAATGATAAAGTACACTTGTAGATGCGAATCTATGATGCTATTATATTTTGGTAAAATATGAGTAAAGGAAATTTCATTTTATTCACAAAATTCATATTTCAGTTGCAAACTTATGAAACGTTGAAGTTTTATTTCAGGTTTATAGAAATATGCTTTGAATTATTTTTAGCTTCCCTTAGAGGTCTAAAAAGCTCGAAATCTGATATAATTAATCAGCCCTAGCTAGCATAGGAAGATTTGTCGGGGTGAGTTTAACGGAGATGTTCTGTGTTGATAAAGATTTGAAAAAATAAGGATGCAAAAGTATAAATAATGGCCGAAATTATAATCTGAAAATATGGAGTCAAAATTTTATGAAGCATTTATAAAATCAGTAAAAAATTAAAGTTTAAAATCATGAAATAGCTATTTAAGGGATTTCTTAGAATCAAGTTAATTCATTTATGTATAGCTAAAGACATAGATTAAGTGTCAATGCACTCTTTTTTAGATATTCATTGTATTGAATTTACAACGGACTTTAAATTAAAAGAATTTGCATTTATACTTAAAAATTTAAGGTTTTGCGATAGCTTGATCATCATCTCAAATACAAAGTACAACAGAGTATCAAATAGAATTGAAAATAACAAAATTTCAGATTTAATAGAATAGTTAAATTGCATTAAAAGCTGATAATTGCAGCTGTCTAATCAAAAATATGGTATATTTTTATATTATAAAATTAAAGCTAATTTTAGTTTCATTTTGCGTTCTCTAAATATTTTCAAGTGTTAGATGATTATTTAATCTCCCTTTAATATGGAATCAAAAAATCTCGCAATTTAAAGCGGCTTAATTTACTTTGTAAAAAATAATAAGAAATTTTTCATAGACAGTTTAAAATTTATCAATTCAAAGATGTTCTCCTTTAAATCGGGTATCATATTAAATTTTCGATTTGGCCCTATAAATTTGCGAATCGAGGCATTTATAATAATTTTTTTTTTTCATTAAAAGAGGGAATTTTACAATATTTTATTCCAACTTAAAGAGGGGAGTAATGAATAAGTCAATTTTTAAAAAGAATATGCATGCTCAAATAAAATAACAGAAGATTAGAGATAAAAATATTTATTTGGAGTCATTAATAATGGTCATTAAATATTAAGTTATTGCTATAATAAATGCCTTGGCTTCCAAGCAGAAAGAAATCCTTGATTTTTCTTTTGGGTTTCTTAATGATAATATCCTTTTTCTGGGCCTTAGTCATATATACAGAAGAAAGTAGCCTACTTCTCCTTTGCTAATTACAATATATAAGGCAATATCTTTTTTTTGGTAAATCGATTCCATTTTTTATTACATTATAATAAGTTTTAAGAAAATACTTATCTAATTATTAATCTATTTAACAAGCCGCTTTGAAAATTAGACAATAATATTATTTTAATTTAAATTTAATTAGTAAATTAACATTTTAAAAATAAAAAAATAGTAGCTCACATAGGAAGGGGTATCTAGAAGACCAAAAAAATGATGATGCTAAAGTAATAATCGGAAATTCAAACAGTCGAGTTAAACCTTCTAATGTCAATTCAAAATCTCATCCTAGTGCTAAAAATCAAGACACCGACTCATTTAATACAAATGCAATAAAGCCACTAATATCGTCACCCGAAGTAAATATTTTTGATGAAGGCATAAAATGCTTTCCTCATCTCTCAGGGTACCAAAAATTCCAAAGTGACTATCGCTATAAGTATCACAATCGCCAATTAGCCTGCAATTATGACCCTTTAAAAGTTTTTGACATAAAAAATAACACCCTGATAATGAACTGTAGCAATGCAGGCCCTGCTCAATATTCTTTAGGGAATAATCCAAATTTTGAGATTCTTGGGAATGTAAAATATAATCCTGATTGGAGACCTTATTTTACAGACCCAATTGACCTTGATAAGCATGAATATGGGTTTGTAAAGTGTGGAAATACGAAAAAACAGGGATGACTACATAATAAATACTCATGAGAAGTATCTGATAGAGTGAAGGAAAGAACAGAAAATATTACTAAAGAATTAAATTTAACAGAAACACAAAAGCCTTTAACAGTGCTTGTCTTAATGGTAGATGCAGTATCAAGGCAGCATTTTTTTAGAAGTATGGGAAGCACGGTAGAGTTTATAAGAGAAAATATCATAAATGGAACGTATTCGGATACTTATAATGTTTATGATTTTTATAATGGAAATTCTCATGGAGAAAACACTTTACCAAATTTAGTTCCTTTGCTATTTGGGCATTCTTATTTTGACCATTTATTACAAACTCGCTATCTTTCATTAAAAAGTGCTGACAGTACAAATAAATTTTTAAAAATCCAAGAAAAAATTATCTGAAAAGATTTTGAAAAAAATGGATTTGTTACCATGTTCGGATGAGAAACTAGATGGGACTACTTCGCTGAAATCGGTGGAAGAAAAATCCTATGCGACCACGTAGCTGCTAGCTTTTGGCGTGGGGCTTTAGAAGTTTCAGGATTTACAGATTTTAGTGAAAAACAAAGATGCATAGGAAATCACCATTCTCATGAATTTTTATTTAATTACACAAAAGAATTTTTGGAAAATTATGAAGGACATAACAAATTTGGATATGCTCATTTTTCGTCTGGGCATGAAATCACTGGATCTGTGCTTGAAGCTATGGATGCTGATTTAGCTGAATTTTTAGAAAAAACTATGAGGATTCATAACGAAAAAAATGAAGACTTAGCGATTTTACTTTTATCAGACCATGGACTTCATATGGGACCATGGGATAGATATGAAGAAGGATTAATCGAAAATTTGTCTCCATTTACGATTTTTATTGCTAATAAACAGCTTCTATCAAAAATCAATGAAAATTCGCATGAAATTCTTTTACATAACACACAAAGGCTAGTAGGAAAATACGATGTGTATCTTACATTAAAGCATTTATCAACAGTGCCATACGGAAATGCAATGCTAAATTATAAGGATTGGAAAAATGAAATTAATTTGACATCTGTGGTTTCTTTATTCCATGAAGAAATATTACCATTTTATGCTAAATAAGGCTATTTTTTTGATAAAAAATAAATAATTATTATCAGAAGTTGCATTATAAGTGGGTATACCAGATAACCGTACATGTGAAGATATAGGAATTCCACTATACTGATGCAATTGTTTAAAGTACGAAAAAATTAATATAAATGACGAAAGCTCACTAGCTCACCATATAGCTATTGAAGCAGTTGGGGCTATTAATAGGAAAAATATTAAAGATAAATCACAAGAAGTATGCATGGAAATTAAGCTTGAAAAAGTTATAAAAATTGAAGAAGAGCTTAAGGAAAGCCAAAAATACTCAGGAAATATGTATAAAGTATCATTTTCAATCAGAGAAAGATCCGGGGTGGTCTTTACTGCCTTCGCATATGTAGCTAAAACCTTTAAATACAGCAAAGAAGAAAAAGAAAATGAAATTTACCCGATTTCCCAGTTCGAAAGTTTCAGAGTCCAAATCCAAAAAATTGTCCGGGCTGATAATAAAGATGATTTTTGCTGTGAAGTGGCTGAAGTAATAGGGGCTAAATGCTCCTTTTGCATTTGCACACATCCAAAAGACTATCAAATCGCCAAAGTTATGCCTGCCAAAAAAAAGTCAACTTTAGAAAAATTAAAAAAATCTTTGTTTATTGCTGTAGGGAATGTCGATAAATCCTGTAATGAGACTTGTGCATATTTTAATAAAAAATGCGAAAAATGGGGATTATCGTTAGTAAATAGGCTGGAAATTCTTAAAGAGCCTTGGAGGGTCCAGTCAAGCTCAAATATATATAAAGATAAAGGCTTTATGGATTTCAAGAATTCAAAGGTAGATAAAACAAAAGAAGGAAAATTTCCTGGGCTTTTATTTGAAGATAATAAGTATACTTTTATCCAAGCAGACTGAGATAAGCTGAGCTGTGATGCAAAAAATGACAAATATATGCCAATATGTCCTTGCACTTATTATCATTATAATTAAAATATTAATTTTATTAAAATCACCATTAAGAAAATTCAAAAATTTGTGGGGTCGATTGAATTTCTAAATTTTCATCTTCAAAGCCAAAAAAGTCTTTAAAAATGTTTATTACATATTGGTATACTTCAGGCGTCATAAATTGTTGTGCATGCTCCATAGCGTCTAAACATTTGGTTTGGTCTAGTAAAATACACATTTTGTTGTCTTTTGACCTTGTATTTTCTGCTATTTCTTCGCCACATATTAAAGCTCTTTTTACAAATTTTAATAAATTCATAACAATTTTAGGTTCAACTGATTTAATTCCTTCACTAATATAAAGAAAATAATCATTATTACAAATTGCTAGAATCTGCTCAGTATTTGCGACTTGTGAAATATTCCGAAACGAATAGCTAGCTTCAAGCCGAGTTAAAATATCAGGGTCGATTAATCCAGAGGCCACTTTTTCAAAAATTTTATGATTAATTATCTGAAAAATGCATTTTTTGTCACATAATAAATTGCTTATTATTTTTTGGACTAATCTTCGGGCATTTTGGTTTGTATTTGCTATTATCTTTATTAATAAATCCAATACCCCAAGTTTCAATAATTCTTCATTTTTATCCAAAAAAGAAATGCTTGCAATAAGTTTTAAAATCTCAAATTTTATGTCTGGGTTATCTATTTCAAATTTTTCTATACAATTTTTTATAATTTTTTCGTCAAGTGCTGTATTTAAATATTTAGGATTCTGATTGTCAATTAAAAATCTTAATGCTGAAAATATATCATATATAATTTCTATATCATTTGAATTTCCTAACAAATTAATCATTTCTCATAAAATATTCAAAGCTTCTATTGGAATTTCTGAGTGGGTTCTGCATAGGTTGCTAATACAAAAAGCAATTGTTTTTGCTATATTTGTGTTTTTATTGATATTTATTGTTTGTAATAGCCTATGTAATAAACTGTGGAATGAATAATTTATGCTGATTTCATGTCTGTATTTTTCGTTGTCTCCACATATATTTGCTAAGGCGCATATAGAGTTTTCTGTTGTTAGAGGCTTATTTTCATTAATAGCACCAATAAGAGCGTCAATGACGGGTGTAGGTCCAATGATCATGTACTTTTAGTACTCTACATTTAATCGAAGAAAATTTGGTCGAAAAATTTTAGTACATGGCCTAAATTTAACGGTTTTTCTTGTCAAATGTCATATTCAAACGAATTGAACATAGGAAATGCCGCACTGTCAAAAATAAACGGTTATTTGACATGGAGCCTCAATGACTCCAAAATTCACGAGTTTCTCTGTAAGTGGATTTTTATAAATAAATATACACAAAATTCATGCAGCTTTACTTGTAATTTCATCAGGAAGGTCATTGTTTAATATATCACAAAGCATGTTTGCATAATCATCTCTATACAGCTCTATTAAATCCAGCTTATTTTGTATTAAAATTTTTGCAAATTCTTTTAAGCAATCTTTAATTTTATCAATTTCTTTGTTTTCATATAAAAAGTTGTATACCTTTTTCTATAAATTTTCCTATTATAATTTTTTTTTCTTACCAAATTAAGTATTGCACTGATAATCCTCATTAATTTAATTCAAAAAAGAATAAATCAGTAAAAGCTTATTTTCAGCTGTTTGGCTTGAAAAATCTTTTATTAAAGAAAATTCCTCACTTACCTTTTCTATCATATTTAGGCGCAATCTTTCAAATCTTTCAGTTCGCTTAGTCTTTCTTAATTTAACTGTATATTCTTCTGTTTTTCTTTGTAGATCTTTTGTATTAACTAACATGAAATTTTCTTTTCTAGACTCGAAGTAATTGTTTGTATTTATGACACTCATTTTTATTAATTTATTAAATGCTTTCATAATTTTCTAATTAGAGAAATTAAAAATCCTATATTATAAAATTTGGCTCATGTCAAATGACTGTAGAATTTTGACAGTACGACGAAAATTTGTTCGAATCATTTTGATAGTGAGACATTTGACCCCAAAAAACCATTAAATTTCGGCCAAATGGGTACACTTTTTAAAAAATTTTCGACTAAAAGTATTTCGTTGAAATGCACACTATCAAAAAGGCACTATCATTGGACCTGCACCGTAAAAATTTAGCTTGTGGAAACATAAATTATTTTTAAATTAGAAATGAATTTTTATTAATATCCAAGCAATTCAACAATTTTACTTCATTTTAAAAATCCTAATATTATCAGTTGCATAAATTGCTTATTTGTGAGCCTATTTATTAAAATAATATCTTATAATCAATTTATGCAACTGAGCATAATATTTTCTACCTCATTCCATTAAACCCATATTAATTCTTCTCAATTCCCACCATTTTATACCAAATTCGAACTGTAATCCTGGCCTTATTCTCTATTAATTTTTTGATATAATTACTTAATATGGATTCTTGCTCCTCTGATGAAGAAAATTCTAAAATCGAATCTTGGGTCTCTATACGATTCTTGAAAGAAGCAGCCAATATTCAGTCAGTCTATCGTCAGCGTAGCCGAAGCTCTTCAATAGATTCAACTTCTCCAATCCCATCTGAAGAGCCTAGTATCACCGTTGAATGAAAGCCGAACGGATTTGTTAATCAAAGTATCTGCTTCAACGCAGTAAATCGAAATAAAACTATAGACACCCCAAAGCCAACTGAAGCTTCACCTGATTTTGAAGAATTACAATGCTTACTTCAGCATAAAGATGCAAAAATACAAAAAATTCGACAAAAATCCCAATGTTTATTACACTTTTTCACTATATTTGACAAATTTTAAACCTAAATAAATTTATTTTAAATTTACCTTAAAAAATATAGAAAAATCAAATAAAGATTTAATTGAAGCAAAACTACACTATAAACAAGCCAACCAAGAAATCGCCACTTTAAAGAAGATGAATGAACTTATCAAAGAGCAAAACTCCAAACAATTAGAAGATTTGCAAGTCAGGCATGAAAGAAAACTCCAAAAAGTCAAGCAAGATGTAGATAACTATTTAAGTGAATTATATGAAAAAGCTGCTGTGTATGTAACTGAAAAATTAAAAATTTCTCACAAAAGAGAAATAATGGGGTTAAAAGAACAATATGAGGAAAAAATTAACAGGATGAGGATGGAGTATGAAGCAGAAATAGACCAAAAGGACTATGAGTGTAGACAGCTTCTGGAACAGCTAGAAGAGCAGACTGAAGAGTTTACTGAAGAAAATTCTGAAAAATACATAAATTTAATTAAAAATCATGTGCAAAATGAAAGGGAGAAAAAAAAGAAGGGAAAGGATGGAAAAGTAGATGCAATGATGAGACAAGTGGAAGAACAGAAATTAATTATTGAGTCTCAGCAAAGGATTATTGATGATTTGAGCAGAGAATTGCAGGACTCCTTTAGGAGAAGATCAAGAATTAGTGGGATGTCGAATAAGACTTGTCATGTAAAATCACAAAAGAGTTTTCAAGGGTTGCTTGATCAGCTTAGCTGCTTTTTGGATACTGCAGACCCAAATACTTCGAGAGAGCTTGAAGATACTCTAATTCTCCTTATTTAAATATATAAATTTTTTTATGAATGGGTATAAATAAATCATTTGAAATCTTTATATGGTTTTTTAGATATATCTCATTAGGATCGATAGAAACAGTCCTACAGAGTGTTCTTATGCTAGTTTGCATAATAAGTAGAATAAAGGCTGGTCATTAGGAAAATTTTTATTTAAATTAGAATATTTATTATATAATTTTAATTTTTAGTAATTTTGTATTTATATATAAAAGGATTATAGAGAAAAAACCTATAGATGAATAATTGCTAAATGAGGATTAAGAGGTTTTCAAAGCCGTCATGGAAGTTCAGAAAAATTAAGTTTTTAATTAGTGTAAATACTCTGTGATTATTCATACTAATTATTTCATTTAATCTCTAAGGCTAGCGCTTTAATATTAAACTAATTCCTATCATTACTACCTTAAAAATATAGATTAACCAATTATTTTATTTTTAAAACATCGATGCATAAGTCTGATATTTTTGGACTGAATCCAGCGAATACCTTTGGACTAACTCTTCTATTTGCCTTCTTCTCACATGGATTTGTTTTTCATAATTCGCATGCTTTATCCCCCTAATTTGCTGATTGGCATGGATCGCAGTTTGCCGAGCAGTCCTGAAAATACCGTCAATCGGTATTTTCCGGAATTTTTTTTTTCCTATTAAAAGAACGTAAAATTTTCAAAAAATCTTCGTTTTTCCGTGAAAATACCATATTGGAACAAAAATGTTTAAAAAAAAGTTCCTGAAAAAACCATATCATAAAATTTTACTGATTGAACCTCCTGAAAATACCATAAAGGTGAAAAAAATTCGATATCATGACAACATAGTTTTAAACAGAAAAACAGACAAATAAATCTGGATTTAAAGAGCAAATAGTCTCTTGTTTGCTGAAGCGCAATAATAATTTCAAAACAAATAAAGGGATTATATGAATTCTAATCATTATTGTTTAAATTCAATAAATTTTTTTTTCCCTCAAAATCGCATGAAAATACCGTCATAAAATTTTAAATTGTGACATGTGCGATTTTAATTGTATGTTCAAAATAAGTATTAATAAGAGCCATATACTATTTGAGCTAAGAAAACTATTACGGCAAGCAAAAAAATTCAAAAGATATAACAATAGAGTATATTTATATATATATAAAATTATTTCAAAATTGTAGGAAAAAAACCAAAAATGTCTTTTTTTTTTGAAAAAATCGCATGAAAATACCAATAGTAAATTTTTAAAACGGTCCAAAATTCGCCTGAAAAACCGCTAATGGAAATTTTTTTTTCAAAAAGTCCATGAAAATACCAAATAGGAATTTATAATAAAATTCAATTAAATTTAGGTTCGACAAATTTATCGAAATCATCTAAAGTCAAATTAAAGAAACTAAATTAAGTATAGTTGAAAACAATAGTTTAAAGTCGATTATATGAATAATATTACAGTAGCGTGTATCAATTTTTTCGACATAAATTAAGTAGAAAATTTTTAATTTTAGCTGTCTAGTGGAATAGAATTACGAAACAGTGAGAAGTAGTTTAAACTGCAAGAATCCCGAACAAAATTGGCCAAGCCGTTCTATTTATTATCTAATACCAGGATTTCCACATAATACGGGCAATACATAGGTTAAGGGCTGGTTTTAACTCATATGCTGCTATACGCACATGAGGAAAACCTCGAGCAGCCTTCTGTGTGAAAATTTGGACGTTGCCGAATATGAGTGTCATGCTATTGAAGACTGTCTGATATATGAACTGGAAAGACAACAGCTAAGAGCAGAGCTAGCAAGGATAGATAGAAGCATGCTGAATTTCAGAATAACGGACAATCTTGTACAGCTATGATTTTCAGAAGTTTTCTTTCTCTGCTTGACAGCTTTCATCCTCTAATAGTGAAGAAGAAAAAAACAATAAATACATGAAGTGAAGGAAAAAACTCAAATCTTTTAGATGAAACAGTTAAAATTCTATTTTGAGAAGCTCAAGGAGCAGGTTATAGATAATAGCAGTGAAGTCGATTAGTTTTTTACCATTAAGATAAAAATAGACAAGTCTGTTAAAGCAATTTCTAATATTGAACTATCTAAACTTAATAATAAAATCTTTAAATTCATTAAAAAGATTAGAAGTTATTAAAATTAAGGATTTCGATTAAAAGATAATAGACCTATCCTTTAAGAGCCATTAAAAATATAGGGTATGATCTTTAAGCTCTTTTTTATTTTTTGGTGGAATCAGTTTCTATAAGCTCTGAGCCTCTTTATTCTGCTTTATAAATTTTCTATATTATATGTTATGAACCTTTCTGTGCCAAAGCTTTGATATGATAAAAGTTGAATGGAGATATTCAATTGTAGGGAGTTTATTATAGGTTGCTTATTCATCACTAAATATTTCAGTTGGATTTTTTTGAACTTATAATAAATCAATGCAAATTTATCCATCTTTTATCACTTCCAATATAATATAATTTGAAATCTTAAGTTCCTCTGTTATATAGACTAAATAGCAATTTTGGATCATCATTTATTGTCATTTATTGTCGTCAAATGATTTTCGTCTACTTAACTGTTAGATAAACTTCTCCAGCTTCATTATCTAAGCCAAGTTAGGTATCTGTAGCATATTCTTCAGTTATTTTTTCTTTAATTAAAGCTTTTTGAAAGCTTTATTACACACTCTCAAAAATTCTGCGTCTTATACTATGTTAATAAGAGGCTGCTCTCTAACGAAACAACGGAATATCAGTTGTACGATTTTCTTTATTTTAAGCCTGAAATAGTAAAATATAGACCTTTTTCGTACTGAAAAGCTTATATTGCAATTTGTGCAACGAAGAAAAGGATTTTCACCACACAAAAATACATAAATAATTCCATTGCATAATCACATATATTTGGCTTAAGGATTCCAAACTTCTCTGGCATCAAGCTATTGCATTTTCTTTTGATCTCAAAATTTCTATAAAAATTCCATAAAGGATGCATAAAACGCTCAGCCATTTATTATTATTATATAGATTCTATAAGCCCCCATAAAAAGCATTAAATTAGTTAATATAAAAAGCATTAAGTAAATTATTTAAATGAGTTTTGATATCTAGGCATTTTGATATAACCGACTTCTCTATTTTTATCTTAATAGTAAAAACTAATCGATTCCACTACTATTGTCTATGGCCTTGAGGGTGGAAGCTGTTAAGTCAAAAAATAAATTGATTTAACATTATCGAATTTGCAATTCAGAATTAAATGCATTTATCATGCTTTTCTTAGGTTTGTATTAATTGACCTATGGGTAATTTACAAAAGCTACTTTCAAAGCAATGTTTTTTTGATTTGACCAAGTGCAGTTTAAACTACTTCTCACTGTTTCGTAATTCTATTCCACTAGACAGCTAAAATTAAAAATTTTCTACTTAATTTATGTCGAAAAAATTGATACACGCTACTGTAATATTATTCATATAATCGACTTTAAACTATTGTTTTCAACTATACTTAATTTAGTTTCTTTAATTTGACTTTAGATGATTTCGATAAATTTGTCGAACCTAAATTTAATTGAATTTTATTATAAATTCCTATTTGGTATTTTCATGGACTTTTTGAAAAAAAATTTTTCCATTAGCGGGTTTTTTCAGGCGAATTTTGGACCGTTTAAAAATTTACTATTGGTATTTTCATGCGATTTTTTCAAAAAAAAAAAGACATTTTTGGTTTTTTCCTACAATTTTTGAAATAATTTTATATATATATAAATATACTCTATTGTTATATCTTTTGAATTTGTTTGCTTGCCATAATAGTTTCCTTAGCTCGAATAGTATATGGCTCTTATTAATACTTATTTTGAACATACAATTAAAATCGCACATGTCACAATTTAAAATTTTATGACGGTATTTTCATGCGATTTTGAGGGAAAAAAAAAAATTATTGATTTTTAAACAATAATGATTAGAATTCATATAATCCCTTTATTTGTTTTGAAATTATTATTGCGCTTCAGCAAACAAGAGACTATTTACTCTTTAAATCCAGATTTATTTGTCTGTTTTTCTGTTTAAAACTATGTTGTCATGATATCGAATTTTTTTCACCTTTATGGTATTTTCAGGAACTTTTTTTTAAACATTTTTGTTCCAATATGGTATTTTCATGGAAAAAAACGAAGATTTTTTTGAAATTTTTACGTTCTTTTAATAGAAAAAAAAAGTTCCGGAAAATACCGATTGACGGTATTTTCAGGACTGCCCCAGTTTGCCTTACCAGTGGTCCTAGCAATTTCCATGGTATGACCATTCCATCTTGTAGCGGCCCAGTGTCCACTTCTATTTTTTTCAAAATTTGTATCCTAAACATCATAGGGGTCAATGGGTAAATAATAATAACAATAAAATTAAAATGAGTCAGCATAGTTTCACGTCTATAATCTCTCCAATGGTCACTTCATATTATATGGACTATATCATTTCCTACGTGTCTTTTTTTAAGCACTTGCTGCTCATCAGATTCAATAGTAGGCATTAAAGGAACAACGTGAAAAATTACATCATATTGAAAATCTGCATAAGAAATTGGTTTTTTATTTTTTTCAAAAAACAATGAAGATGGTTAAATTTTTTTTTTAAAAAAAAATTTAATGAAATTGTTATATTTCCTGCTGAGCCACTTGGATCAAGACCTCCAAGATTTCCTATATGTTGCCTAACATCAACAACATTTCCTAAGCTTTGTACAAACTTTTGAAAAGCTAATGACCCAAAGGAATTCGCTAAAACTTCTTTTTCATCTTGCTGACCTGGGCCTACATAAATAATTCCAATTTTTATAGGCTCTCTTGGCTGGCAGTTATCGAGCAACACAACTCCTCGATCCAATTTTTCACCAGATTCTAATGGTACAAGTTTCTGTAGTAACCCAAAATTTGACACAAAATATCTAATCATGCTGAAATTTGGAGCTGGGGGAACTGATCTGCTTTCTATTACTTCACATTCTGCTTCTAGCTCTTCTACACTGTCCATTAATCTTACTCCTCCCTGTCAGCGGAAAAAAATTTGTTCGCTCATGGAGGTGGTTAATTTTTTTTAAACGATTTAAATATAAATTTTTTCAGAATTTTAATAAATCCCAATCCGCAAAAATTGGAAAGCGAAATTGAATTTAATTTGTAAAATTTATGTTTAAAATGCAAGCTATTTAAAATCAATAGAATTAGCTAGATATCTCATTATATGCATTTGCTCGGAGGTTTTTTTCCTAAAAATAGGGATTTTTCCAATGGTTTGTTCAATCAACGGGGGAGTTAGCATCTCTTGGCCAGCTTCAATAGCTTTATCTTTTACATAGCATTCTGAGTAGGTATTTGCTATATAGTCTATTAATAAAGGCAGTAATGGCTCATCATCTAATTTTGTTGGAGGGTCTTGGGAGTTTAATTCAATACTTGTTGATTGGATTACGTTTAAAATTGTTAAAAATTCTTCAGTTTTGGTGGAATTTTCAAAAATTCGGTAGTCTTCAGATTCCCAGCAAAATTTCCCGAATTGGTTTCTAATATCCCATAAAACTATCAATAGATTATTTTTATGGTAAATTTATGCAAAAATATTTAATAATAATTATAAAATCGGCTTATATAGATAAGATATAATAAATTTTGCTTTATTAGTGGACAAAATTATTGAAAAAATCACCGAAGTTCCTAACGCAAAATGCAAAATCTGAGAATTTTCATCCAAAAATTCATCATCTTTTACCAAAGATTGGAAAACAGCTGAAGATTGCTGCTTTAATGGAAAATTCAAATAATAAATCGACAAAAATGAGCTTAAAGCGTTGATTTCTGCTTCAAGAGTCTGGTTTCCTTCTACACTTATCAATAAAATTGATAAAGAGCTGAATAAGTTTGTTAAAATTTCTTCATTAAATATGATAGGACTTGTCAATAAACAGTGTTGTATTGCATTTAAAGCAGTTTTTAAGACTTTTTCCCTGGTTGTGGATACTGTTGTTAAAACTTCTTCTATTAAAAACACAAGGATTTTTTCACATAAATTCGGAAGTATACTTACTAGTGGCTGTAAACAGTGAAATGCAGCAAGTGCTGTATTGTCTTCTAAGCTTAAACATTTATTGAGGATTAAATCTGTAATTAAGGGTAATGAGTCATGAATTTCTGAGGTGATTTCTTCTAATGCGAATACTGTTAGCCCATAAAGCACTGATGAAGATAATTCAGGTTTTTCAAGACAAATTTCTAAATCAGTGAATAATTTTTTTAAAAAAAAAAAATATTTGCATAAAATAAAATCTTATGATAATATAGGTCTTGCACAAATTATGGATTCTACATAAATAATAAAGGAAGTAAGGGTGTTTTTTATTATAGGCTTTAAATCAGCATACGTCATTGGATCATCAGCTGGGTCAAATAGAGGCGTATTTTTATAGTAATTTGGAAAGCACATAATATAAAAAATCAATTTCAATGCTTGTGGGTAGTTATTTTCACAGATCTCTAAGTAGCTTTTAATTAAAAAATGCATGCCTGGAAAATCCAAAAGTTTTGGGGCTGATTCTAAAATGCTTATGTGTAAATGTGGCTTTTGAGTGCTTAAAAATAAAATTAAGCTGAGTTGCTGTATATAGCAATCCATTGGAAGTTCTTCGCATTTTGTATTGATAAATAGTGAGGTAAGGGTGTTAAATGCAATTATTTGTGTTTCTTTGCTTTTACTCATACGAATTAGCCTTGAAAGAATATATTATATCTAAAATTAAGCTTTATTTTTGGATAAATTATGATTATTTTGGCTGGAAATAATCAGAAAAAGAATAAAAGAAAAATCCTAATAATTTACTAGGACTTGCTGATGATAAAGGATATGAAATAATCAATTTGACTATATCATTTACAGAATTCGCCCAATAATTCTGGACTTTTTCTATAAAATTTAAAGGCTCTCCTAATATATTTAACATTTGTAGCCAGTTATCAAGCAAAAGACAAGACTGAAAATTAATTTCTTTTAGTTTTCCTGTTAAATCTAGCATGATTTTATGCCAATGCTCTACAATGGGCTCTGATATTTTTGATCATCTTCTGATATACATATATGAATTGAATTTAATATAAAATCGCTATTTAATAGTTAAATTATGCTATATTTTTAATAAAATATAATATTTCTTGTTTTTTAATAATGATTTTTTTTTAAAAAATTAATTATTTATATCATAATTTTTGAATAATTAACCCAATCTATAGTCGTTTTTGAAAAAATTGTTGTAACAGTTGACAATAAAAATTCTGCAGTTGGCTCTATAATATCATGAAATGGTTTGGTCAATGAATGAGTTTCAGCTAATTTCTCGGCCAAATTCAGCGAAATATCATGGATTACTTTTCAAAAATCCTCCTTAATTCTTAATTTTTCTAACAGCTTTATCATGATTTTGCATAAATCAATCCTTTTTGGGCTAAAATCTGAAGAAAAATCAAATAAATTGATACAATGAGGCAAATAATTCGCTAAATGTTTCTGTGCAAGTGGGTTGTCAATTGAGGGTTTTTGACGTCCATCAATCCATTCTTCAAACAATTTCAGGCATTTATTCGCAGTTTTATAGCAAACATCAATATAATTTTCTGACATTTTAAAGGAGAGGCCTAGAGTATTTATAACAAACTCATAGTCAGTTACATTGATGAGCAAGCAGTCTAAGATTTCTTGGTCTTTGATGTATTTTATAAACCAATTAGAAATTATATACTGCAAAGTCGGCGGAGTGCCATTTCGGAAGCCCCAGTCATTACTCATATTTTCGCCCCCTGTGCAGTGTCCTGGGTAAATTAAGAATAATAAAGTCTTTTTTAATAAATTGAACCATCGTTTAAAATGCTCTTGCTTAGATTCAAGGCTAGGAGGAATATCTGTTTCTACAGAATACTCAAAAACCTTGCTAATTAATAACAATGTATTTTTAATCCCTATAGTCAACGATTGTCCAGTCATTTGTTCTAATTCTTTTAGTTCCTTCATCGTTGTAGCTGGTGTTGATTTCCTTACTGCTTCCTGTGCTAAAGTCAGTCATGGGAAATGCAGAGGGTTTGGCCCAGTTGTCAATATCGACCTGTCTGGGAAAATTATTTCTATACTATCTTCAGACCGAAACTGAGACAAATCTAATGACGCCAAAAACAAATGCTGTAAGTAAGGCAAATTTATATTGAAATTTAGCAGATTTAGCAACAAAGTAAACCCAATGTCCCTTAATTCTCATCTATTGTCCTCATAAAGACACACACAAGCGATTTCCTGGGCTTCTACCACACGATTCATTTGTCCATATCGCGTGATCTCAATCAACATCTTAAAGACTGCTAAAATGTCATCCCAGGACACATTTTTCCCTTTGGTTTTGGAGCCTTCTAGGTTACGCAGAAGGCTCAAGCAAATATTTGAGGCATCTTCTCCATATTCCTTGAAAAATTCATGCAATTTTTCATTGTAACCTGGATATGAAGCAGATTTTTCTAAACTTTTTGTGATCTGTAGTAGTATTGAAAATCGCTTTTTTAGCGGCTTGCTGGAGTCTTGCAAATAGTTAAATCTCGCTTTTTCTTCCTCGTTGGGTTTTCCTGTAAACCAGCTTGTGAAGCCTTTCATATTTAGAAAATTCGCCAAAGAGAAATTTTAGAGCTAATTTGAAAGGAGGAGGTGGGGAAGTTGGGAAAAAATAATAAATAGTAGGTAATTAAAGAATAAAATAGGTATTAATTGGAAAACATTGATTTTATATAGGATTTTTATGAATCATTTATTAGACTTTTAGGGTTTTTCTTGTTATTCATTATATTACATTTTATTACAGCGTTGATTTAATTTTTTTACATATTCATAAACTCTGAAAATGTTATTTTCCCTGCTTTTTTATTGTTTTTCTCTCTTAGTTTATCATCTTTTTTACCGAGCTCATCTGCCAAAGATGAATTTGAATCAATTTCTTCGCACTCAGGATACTCTACTGTAGGGAGACGATTATAATTCATCGATTTTTTAATATGGCTTTCATAAACTTTTATAGCGTTTTTAAGCTTTTCAATACAATCTTGATAAATATCTAATGCTTTATAGTAGTCTTTAATTTTCGACCTCAAATGAATCTTTTTAGGGTCATAACTCACTAATTTTGACTCTTTATACTCTTGCTCAAGTATTGATAGTGTGCCTATAATTACTTTCAGCTTATTTTTCGCATCTTTTAGCTCTTCTCTATATTTTACAATCATTTTTTTAATTTTTTTCTCTGAAAATTTTACTTGTTTATTTTCATTTCCTAAACTTGAATTTTTATCATATTTAATATTTTGTTCATTTTTTAAATTTTTTTGTAAAAGCTCTTTTTCTTCTTCTTTTCTTTGAAGCAAAGAAGTCATAGTCAATTTTAATTTTTGCAGCTCAGAAGTAGATGTATCACATCTCAGCTCTTTCCCTATCCCAGGTAAATAAATATAGCTTTCGCTATTTTTTATTTCATCTTTTGTATCAAATTTTACAGTTTCATTTAAACTTTTTTGTTTGCTGAGAGTTTTCGAAAAACTGAAATTTCTTGGGTCTTTTCCTTTAGATTTTCTTAATTTATCAACCTCATCATGAATTACTATATCTTGGTAGCTTAAATTAGCGACACTTTTGGCTCTTTTGTCTAAAGCATCATTATAAAGCTTTGTGGTAATTTTCTCAATTCGATTATTTTGCTGTAATCATAATTCTTTCTTTTTTGAAATTTTCTTTTTCTTTTTATTGGTAGTTGTGCTGATTTCTGGTAGAATTGTGATTTCTTTCTCAATCTTTAGCTTTATAGGGCTTTCTGTTTTGTAGCTTCAGTTTGACGGGAATCTGACGCGTCCAGGTAGAAAAAAAGTAGGAGATGCATCAGTTTCATGGATTGTTGTGTAGGTTCTATTAGGGCCTTGTGGGTTGATGTTTACAAGATCCATTATATTAAGTTTTTGAAGACAAAATTGATTTTTTTAAAAAATTATGAAAATAATTAATTTTTATCATAATTAAAGAAAACAATAAATCCAAATTTTCTTATTGTTAATTTCTTAAAAATAATAAATAATAAAAATTATTTGATCAGTAAATAAGATATGCATATTTAATGTCCATTTTTCACATAGAGACTGATTCTGATAAAATGGATATGTCAGTAAAAATCTCCACCAATAGCCGGAAGCTGTACTTTATTGCAAAGCACCAATTTTCAACAGGTGTAAAACTATCAGAAACCCACTCATATCTCAAAAAAGGCTTCGCCGATTCACAGAGCTGATACACTAAATATGGTGCTATGGCAAGCACTCAGCTTTATCGCGAATTTCTACAATTTATGAGTATGAATGAAGCAACCTCTGTGCTAGAAACAGGATCGGGCCCTGGCAATGGGATTTCTATAATTCAGAACTTAATCAACCCATCCTGCAAGTTTACAGCAACCGACATAAGTCCAGGATTTCTTAAAGAATTAAAAAAAATAAAAGCTGGAAATTTTTTAGCTCAAGAAGCAAATATAGAAGAACTTCCTTTTCCCCAAGAATCCTTTGATCGATATATTTCCAATATGGCGATTCATAACGTCTCTGACCCTGAAAAAGCATTTAATGAAGCTTACAGAGTATTAAAAATTGGAGGGGTTTTAGGGGTTTCAACATTTGGTGGGAACGATAAAACAAATACTTATATGGCTCTTATGAAAAAATTTAGGAAGTTTATAAATCAGCCATATCATGAGTCAATTTTGAGCAATTTAAGTATTATGGGGTATCCTGAAAATTTTAAAAAATTTGCCTTGAAAATCGGGTTTAGAAGGGTCATTGGATACTCAGCAATGGCTGTATATCCTTTTAGGACACCTGAAGAAGCTGCTGATTTATTTTTAAGTTTTGGTCCTTTAGAGCAATTTATGAAAAATAATCCTGATAAAGCGGAAGAGCTAGAAAACCTAGTGATAAGGGAGTTATATGAGTGTTTGGTTACCAATGGAACTCCAATTGGATATGAGTCAACTATTTTAATTGCTCGTAAATAGTTTAACTATAATATATTAGACTTATAGTCAAAATTCAATAAAAATATTGTATAAATCTCTTTTAAAATTAAATTATTAAAAATTATTTCAAATTATTCTTTTTTAAAAATTCCCAAAATTTACAAAAATTTTACCAAAAATTAGTGATTAATAAAATTTAATATAAAATTCAGTTTCAGGTCTAATTAAATTAGCTTATTATTAATTAAAATTGATTTAAAGCTAAGCCAATTATTCTTTTTTGAAAAAATTGGTAAAAAAATTCCTCTTATTTGTATTTATATGATTTTTCAAAAAATTCTTTTATGCATAATTACCATATGATATCAGATCCATTATAATAATCAGCCACTGGTAGAAAAAATGCAAAAAGCTCCAACTCAAGTTAAAGTTGTCCTCCTGGGCGATTCTGGTGTAGGCAAATCCAGTCTTGTCTTGCGTTTTGTCGCAGACAACTTCAAAAATGACGCAGACGCCACTATTGGCGCATCATATATGGGGAAAATCCTTCAGTTCAATGATAAGATGATAATCCAATTAAATTAGTCTTTTGCTTATAAATATATACATAAAAATTATCAAATTCATTATAATTTAATATAAAATTCAATATCTGGGATACAGCTGGACAAGAGAGGTATCACAGTTTAGCTAAAATGTACTACAGAGATGCCAATGCTGCTATCATGGTATATGACATAACTAAAAGAGACAGTTTTGAAGGGCTCAAAAGATGGCACAAAGAGCTTCAAGACTTCGGCCCAAAAGACATAGTCGTCACAATTGCAGGAAACAAAGAAGATTTAGTTGAAACTGAAGCAGTTCCACAAGAAGAAGCGAAAGAGTATGCAAAAAACATTGGAGCTTTGTATAGAAAAACGTCAGCTAAAACGAATTATGGTGTTGAACAGGTTTTCCGTGACATTGCGACTAAAATGTGCCCAGATCTAGAAAATCAAACTCCACAAGCAAAGAGAGGGACTATAGTGGTACAGCCAAATAAGCCTGCAAGCGAGAAGAAGAAAGGGTGCTGCTAATAAATACACTTAATTTCAATATTATTTTAGGAAAAATAGTAAATCATTAGCACAAATTGGGATAAAGTTTTACTTATAAAGAAGATTTTTGATTATAAAATGCTATTGCATATTTTTGAAGATAGAAATATGGTTTATCTCCCTTTATCATGAGCAAATGCCAAAATATTTAACTCTTCTATTTGGCATTTATAATTTTCCCTTATAAAAATAATCATTTATAATAGCAGCAGATAAATCATTATTTATTAAAATGAAGTAAGTTTGCATGTTATCGATAGCATAAATTAAGAAATTTATAAAATTTCAGATAAATGTCCTTTATTAATTTATTCTTTAGCCACACAAGTTCAGCTTATTTCATATCTAAAACTAATCCTTTTGCCCGCAAGATGAAAAAGATTATGAAGTTTGATTCTGATTTTTTTCAAAGTTAGCTCTTTTTATATCAATCCACAAGAGCAAGATAAATAGGCTATTAAAGTCAAAAAAGACAAAAGAGCACAGCTATATCAAATTATAACTGATTTCATCCACAGAAAAAACAAATAAACATCTCATAAATTTTTTAATCATAATTATTTCAAAAACCTAAAAAATATAGCATACCTTTGACAATTGGGAATTCTCTAGGTTCTATATCAATACAAAATGCATTTTCTTATACCTTATCTCTCTGAATATCTATATATATCCAATAATCTCATCCTTATAATCAATCCAAATTATCAAGTCATAACTTCTAAATGGTGTTTTATAACATTTTTATTGGATGGGAAAGCGCACAAAGAAGGTTGGAATCGTAGGAAAATACGCAACAAGGTACGGTGCTTCTCTCAGAAAGATGGTCAAAAAGATTGAAATATCTCAACACGATACTTATGAGTGTGCTTTTTGTGGGAAAAAGACTGTGAAGAGAACATGCGTCGGAATCTGGAAATGCAAGCACTGCTGCAAGACCATTGCTGGAGGAGCTTGGGCACCAACAACTGGAGCTGCTCTTACAGCACGTCACAACATTCAAAGGTTGCGCAAGTTAATGCAGACTGGAGCTTCCCAAACTACAGAAGCCACACCACAAACCCAACCACAAGCACCAGCTAAAAAGTAACCTAAGAATTTTCACATAGTTGAAGCTAAGAAATTTGTTAAAATTAAGCAAATAAAGTAGGCAATAATCACAAATTGTTAGGAATAAGTTCATTAGAATATGAACAAGCTAGTTAAATATGGATCTCTCTTTATCTTGTTTATGTGAGTTGGAATTATTTTCCTATTTTTTGCTAGTCTAAACCAAAACAGCTTCAAGTTTATTGTGCAAGAAATTAATTTTTATCAAGAAAATCCTGTGCCTAAAATATCTCTGTATGATGATGAAAAAATCATTAAAAATCTTGATTTGGCATGCAAACCTGAGTCATTTGGATACACTGAAAAAGAAACAGCTTTTATATTTCCAGATAAAAAATATCCAAAATGTTATAGAAATGATACAGATATTATGATTGATATGAATTTTGATACAAATTTGTTTACTATGAATTGTAGTGGAAAGTTTGTTCTTGGCACATTTGAAGGTGGGGAAAGTTTACAAGAGCAAGTGTTTTCTAATTTAGTTCAGGCTTATTCTGAGCCAGTTTCACTAAAATCAGAAGAATGGGCATTTGCGTCGTGTGAAAATTTTATTTTGGATAATTATGAGCATGTTATATACAAACTGAGAAAAAATCAAAAATCATTAGAAAGAGCCAAAAACAGCTTAAAAGGAAAACCAATAAATATCATAATGCTTGTAGTAGACTCTTTATCAAGGAGAAATTTTTTCAGAAAATTACCAAATACAGTTAATTTTTTAAACAAAAATTTATCAAGTGATTTTTCTATTTTTGACTATAAACTCCATCATATTTTAGGCCAAAACTCAGATACACATTATATGCCGACGTTTTTTGGGGACATTTTTTATCAATTTCAATCGAAAATGGCAAAGGAAGATCCATATTATGATGATTCTTTATGAAAATATTTACATGAAAGAGGATTTGTAACGCTATTTGGAATGGACTATTGTGGAGATATATTAGCTAGTTTTTTAGGAAAAAAACCAAAATTTGACCATATTATGGGGAAGTTTTGGTGTGCGGCTAATCAAATGTATGGCTATTCCCAGAGTGCTACAAAAGAAAGGTGTATTGGTAATAAAAATGCGCATGAATATTTATTGGACTATTTTTTGCAGTTTTCTGAGGCTTATAAAGAAGTTTCAAGGTTTTCTTATATACATTTAAGCACTGCACATGAAAGTACAGGGACTGTGATTTCGACGCTTGATGACGATTTAGTAGGATTTTTAAGAAAATTTTTGGGTTTTAAAGAAGACTCTGTTTTGTTTTTAATGGGAGATCATGGCATGCGATATGGAAATTGGCATAAAACAAAAAATGGAGCCCAAGAGCATAAGCTTCCTTTGTTCCTTATAATTCCTTCTAATTCTGTTTTAGCTCAAATCCCTGAAAGCTCTTCTATTTTGAAGCAGAATTCGAATAGACTTATAAGCAAGTTTGATTTCCATACAACTTTATTAAATTTGGGAAATTTTCCTAATGAGGATAAAGAGGAAATTAAATTGAAAACTTCTAAAAGATATAGAACTTATAACTTATTTTCTGATATAATTCCAACTGATAGGAAATGCGAAGACATTGGGATCTCAAATCATTGGTGTGGATGCCCTCATTATGAAGCCATTCCTACAGACAACACAATGGTTAAAAGCCTTACAATGCTAATCATCAGGAACTTGAACCTTGAAAACTTATTTAAAAAATCATATAAAATCTGCAAAGAAATGAGCATTAAAGATATTATTTATATAGGCAAAATAGAAGCTAAAGATTACTATAGCTTAAAAGTAATATTCACTATAAAAGAAAGTGAGACTGCAATTTTTGAAATTTTATTAGAGCTTTCATATACTTTTTATGATAAATAGAATAAGGCCAGGCTATAATTATTAATTGCCTTAATTTATTATAAAAAAAATACCAAGAGTTACCAAAAAGAGAAAATGAATTTTTTGAGTCAAAAAATGCAAAGTATGAAAATTTCAAGTTTTATAAAATAAAATACATCCAAAGGCTAGATGATTATATAGATGGATGCGCTGAGCTGGTTTTGCTGAGAGGTTTGGATCCGCTCTACTGCATTTGTGAAAATGATTAATAATTTCTTTAAATAAACTTTATTAGGAAAATGAATAAGGTCGTAAAAATAGGAACTTTCTCATTATAGCTTACACCCCCGTTTTGGATTGGCCTTGAGCACTCCCTCCCCTGTCACCAACCCCCTAACGGTCCCAAATATTTTAGCATGCTAAATATTATTTTCACAAGTTAAAATATTTAAGGGAGACTTGTCAAATAATATTTTAGCATTTAAAATTTTCAGGACCGTTAGGGGTGGGTAATATGGGGATGGGCTACTTAATAGCGAGCAACCACGAGAGGTGTGTTATACTTCTGCTATGAATTTTTATCATTACAATTCTTATTGAATTTCCAGAGGAGAGCGAGCCAGAGGCAATAGTAAATCTAAATCTAGTGCCAGACATTGGAATTTTGATTGAATCTCCAATAGTAGAAACTGAGCACCAAAAAGCTGAAATATCCAGAAATAGTCAACTGAATATGCGAGACGATGAAATTTCTATCAATCCTCTTAATTTAGCCTGTAAACCTGAATCTTTTGGATATAGTGAAGAGGAAGCTTTCCTTTTATTTCCAAATAAACAATACCCGCAGTGCGAGGAAAGATATAAATCAACCCAAGAAATGTTTTATATTGATCGCAAAAATGACACTTTATATATGAATTGTACAGGAAGAGTTGTATTAGGACAATTGGAAGTTCGTGAACAGCTTGGGAAATATGTATTTAATAACCGAATTAAAGAATATTGAGGCCCAGTTCAACTAGAGACACAGGAGTATGCATTTGGAACCTGCGATTTAAATAAGAGAACAGATTTTGAGCACGTTACCTACAAGCTGAGACCAAAGGAGGAATCTTTAAAAAGAGCTAAAAACTCTTTGGTTGGGAAGCCTATAAATATCGTTATGCTAGTAATTGATTCTCTCTCACGGCGAAGTTTTTTTAGAAAACTCCCTATGTGCCTTGACTATTTAAATTCCAATGCTAAAAATTTTTCAATTTTTGATTTTAAGCTTCATCATATCATGGGCCAAAATTCTCCTGCAAGCTACATGCCTACATTCTTTGGAGATATGCCATTTAAACAGTCAAGAAAGATTTTCAGAGGAGATTTATATTATTCCATTTCTATATGAAAATATTTGCATGACAGAGGATTTGTGACTATGATAGGGATGGACAACTGTGGAGACAACTTGCCAAGCTATATAGGAAGAACTCCTAATGTTGACCACATAATGGGATCATTTTGATGTGCAGCTAAAGCTTATTATGGGTACAGTCAAAGTTTAAAGAAAGAGCGATGCATTGGGAATAAAAATGCTCACACATGAATGCTGGACTTAATATTAGACTTCTCAGATACCTATAAAAACGTATCAAAATACACTTATATGCATGTAAACACAGCCCATGAAGAAACAGGGACTGTGATCTCTACATTAGATTTAGACCTTAAAAATTTCCTTCAAGATTTTACAAGCCGAGATGAAGATTATGTATTATTCCTAATGGGAGACCATGGCATGAGGTATGGGTCATGATTTAAATCAAAAGATGGCTCACATGAGCACAAACTGCCACTCTTATTAACTATAGTAAAAAATTCAGTTTTAGAGAATGCCCCTAATAGCACAGAAGCATTATTACACAATTCAAACAGACTCATCAGTAAACTTGATTTTCACACAACTTTGCAGCATCTTGGAAACTACCCTGATATGGAATCTGGGATTTTTGACATTAGACAAAAAACGTCAAAAACCAAAAAAACTTATAATTTATTTTATGATCATATCCCTGATAACAGAACTTGTGAAGATGCTGGGATACCTGTATATTGATGTGGATGCAAGCCTTTTGAAGAAATCACTGAAAACACTCAAGATTTTGACTATTTAGCAAATAATATTATACTTATCAAGCTAAATAAGCAAGAGCTGCCCATTGCGAATTCTCTAATATTTTTCATTTTTACATTAAAAAAATCTACAAATTCTTAAAAAGCAGCATATAGATACCTTTAACCATGAAAATAAAATAGATGATAGCTCAAAAGAAACAATCTGCCAAAAGCTAAATTTAAATAAAACTTCATATATAGGAAAACAAGAAGATAGCGACATAAGTTACTGAAAAATAAAATTCTCAATCCAAGAAAAAGCCTCGCTCCCCCCTTTCGTGAGTGAACAAAATTTTTTTGTTCACTCATGGTTATTTTTTTTTTTAAAAAAATTTATATAGAAATTTAATAGTTGTTTTTTTTGAAATTAAAAACATCCTAATTTGGAAAAATTGGGAAGCAAATATTAATTTAATTTCTAAAATTTATGTTTTTTAAAACGCAATTTGTTTAAAATTAATACAGAATTAGCTCGAGATTTCATTATATTTATTATCACTTATATATCAATTTTTTTTTTTCATAAAAAAATTTTTATTCACTCACGGAGAGTAGGCTTTTGGGCAAAAAATAGGGATTTTTCCAATGGTTTTGTTCACTCACTAAGGGGGGGAATCAGCGCTATTTGAAGTCATAATCAGACTCTCCAAAACTCAAATCACAAAAAGAGAGTCTGAATATTTCAATGTAAGAAATATCACCTTTGGAGAAATGAAATATTACAACATAATGAATGTCAACAGGCTCGATGCCTACGACAGCGTCTGCAAAGACGAAATCCTCAAAAAAGGCTTCGACCCTGTTTATTGCATTTGCAATGAAAGTGACTTTACTATCCCTGCCCTTAATACTACACAAACCGAGGATTCAGAAAGACTCTAAATTACCATTAAGAAATATCTAAAATTATTTCATTAGACTTGAAAAGCCGGGATTTTGTTTTCTATTGGATTTGTCATACCTAAATTATAAAGTGTTGTTGTCAGCCAGCGTCTCGTGTTTTCGTCCATCATCATTGCCTGAGTTGGCTCTTTAAACGACGCTGGGATATATTTTCTCAAAAATTCTCTGCCTTTCGCATGCTCTGAAATTCTTAGAAAACACCTTACAATATGTTTCAGCAGCCTCTGTGACGGGGTTTCTTTCATAGTATCAATCATATTGTTAAGCACACTGCAAACTGTATGAAGCCTATCAAAAGTCTGACATAAATAAACTAAGCCATTTTCGTCTGATAGGATTTTTTGTATAATAAAAGTCGCCACTGTTTTCGATAATTCGCTACCTCTGTCCATGATTCTTAAACATAATGGGATAATTTCTGTATGAATTAAAAAATTGATAACTTCAGGGTCGTCTGCCTTCACTAAAGCACCTATAACACCTAAAGAAGTTAGCTTTAAATACTCGTAAGGTCGGGAATTACTGATTGTATTGAGAAATGGGTATAAAAATAAAGGAATGTGAGCTGATAAAAAGAGGCTGCGGGTTTCAGTGTGAGAGGCAACACATTGCAAAAGGGCGAGGACGTTGCAGACCCTGTTTGAAGCTGTAACACTGAGGGTGGGAGGGACCAGAAGTGGGTAGACGTCAACGATTTCTTGAAGAAGTGCTGCAATGGTATAGAGGTTTTCCTCTATATAGCGCTGAAAGCGCAGACATTTTCCCAGGAGCTTTCCAAGTTCGTCGGACCAAATCGCTTTTTGGTCCGACCAAGGCATTGATTTGGTGCAACCAACCGATAAATTCCGATCAGAATTTATCGGCCTTACAGCGCCAAACATAGGAAACTTCTATATACCTACTGAATGTCAAAGAATTGGGGCAAGCTCTGTAAAAGATTCTCGATTTCGTGAAAGTTCAACGAGGGCTTCTTCTCGCTTTTCTGGGATGATGAGATCTTGGACGAGCTTAGACATGACTTGCTTGATGTTTTCCATATTTAACACTATAGTAATATTTTGTATAAGAAAAGTAAAAATTAGAAAAATTGAAGATGGATTTTTTATTATAAATTATTATGATGGTTTTTTATAGGAAAGAAATGGAGTTTATATACTGTTTTTTAGGGAAAAGGATGCTTTGGAATAGTTTAGGGAGCTAAGAATGCTGTTATTAATGAGAAATTTCTTTTCAACTTCAATTAGCGAAAATGGAATGATTTTTAATAATTTCTTTGATATAAGCTAATGAAAATGCCATTTTTTATAATACTTTATGCTATAAACTATTTTTATGCTTCTGATAGTTATAAAATGTTTTAGGTTTTATATATAAATTACGTGCTAGAAAAGCTGATATTTGATATTGATTTTTTGAGCGTGAAGAAAATCCAGGACTATATTTTAGACTTCTCAGATATCTACTAAATGTATAAAAATACAATTATATGCATATAGACACAGCTCAAGAAGAGACAGCGAGTGTGATTTCCACATTAGATTTAGACCTAAGAAAGATGAAGATTACATATTATGACAAATGGAAGACCACAGCATGAGGTTTGAGTCATGATTTAAATCAAAAGATGGCTCACATAAGCACAAGCTGCCGCCCTTATTAACTATAATAAAAATTCAGTTTTAGAGAATATTCCTAATATCACAAAAGCATTATTACACAATTCAAACATAATAATCAGTAATCTTGATTCTCACACAACTTTGCAGCATCTTGGAAATTATCCTGATATGAGGTCTAGCATGAATGGCATAAAAATAAAACCTCACAAACTATAAAAACTTATAATTTATTTTCTGATTTTATTCCAGATATACTCATTATCCCTGCTTATAGGTGTGTTTTAATAATGAATAGGCAAATTAGTGAAATTTAATTTTATTTGATTTTTTCATGAGGCTGACTCTATATTTTTCATCACATTTTCGGTTAAGTTCTATCTATGGATTGTCAGCAATTTATGGCTTAAGGGCTTATATATTGTATTAATTAAAGTAGTTAATAATTAATGTGCTGATAATCAATATTATAGAAACAAATAGGAATTAGAATATTTTAGTATGAAAAAGTATCAAATTTAGACAAATAAAATATTGCAATATAATAAATATCTATAGACTAATCTCTTATGAGAGAATTCTGCAATGACGAAATTATCAAATAAGGTTTTGATCTAGCTTATTGCATTTGAGACGAAATGCTTTAATTGCAAGACACACAATGGTAATAATTATGATTTTATAGCTCTAGAGACCTGCAAGATTATTAATAATTTTTCATTGGTAGGCAAAGAATAAAAAAAAGTGATCTTAAAAAATTTTGCTGCATGCTTCTGAAGCTCCTAGATATGTTGTAAGCTTAAAAATAGCATATAAAGAGCTAAAATTGTAAAAGAATTATCATATTTTAAATAGCTTTGTGTTGCGGTTACAGAATTTGATAAAAATGGAATAATATCTATTTTAGCTTATCTAAACATTTTGAATATGTAAAAGCAAATATATAAATATATTTAAAAATTTGAAGTTAATTTAAAGAATAACTAATTTATTGAAGAAATAATAAGAGTAAAGTTTATTTTCTGTAACAATTATTTGTGATATTCTTACCAAAAATAAAAAAAATTAGGTCAATAATTAAACTTTGGAGACCTAAATTCATAAATAATACACAACTATCTACCATAAGCAAATCTCTAATTTTATTTTGCATAAAGAACACTCTTCTTAATTTATTATCAATGCAGAATTTTTTTAAAATTTCCTGCCATTATAATGAATAAAGCTTTAGAAATTGGAACTATTGTATTTCTTCTCCTCTGGATTGTTTATGTCTATACACTTATTGCTCTTCCAGACAGAGAGCTGCAAAGAAGAAAATCCCAGGAATCTGATGTTGATGTCTCAATTGATTCTCCAATAGACAACACACCTCCACATCGTGCAATGTCACGAGAAACCTTACTAGATATGATGGATGATGAAGAGTCAATCTACCCTCTTAATTTGACCTGCAAGCCTGAGTCCTTTGGGTACACATTGGAGGAAGCCCTTTTTTTATTTCCAAATGTTACATATCCAAGATGTGAAACTAAATACAAATCAAGCCCAGAAATGTTCTATATCGACAGAAAAGATAATACTTTGCATATGAATTGCAATGGAAGAGTAGCGCTGGGGGCTTTGGAAGAAGATGAAGAATTTGGGAAATATCAGTATTCTAATAGGTTGAAAGAATACAAAGGAGAGCCAATCGCCCTTGAATCAGAGGAGTATGCATTTGGGTCCTGCGATCCCTACAAAACTACAGATTTTGAGCATGTGGCATATAAGGTAAAGCCAAACCATGAGTCTTTAAAAAGAGCTGAAAAATCATTGAAAGGGAAACCTCTAAATATTGTTATGTTAGTTATCGACTCACTCTCCAGAAGAATGTTTTTTAGAAAACTCCCAAAATCTGTAGAGTATTTAAATTCCATTGCAAAAAATGTGTCTATTTTCGATTTTAAACTCCATCATGTTATGGGACAAAATTCTCAATATAGCTTCATGCCTACATGGTATGGAGATATACCAATTGTGGTATCTCCAATGAATAAGGGAGACTTATATTATGACGTCTCCATATGGAAATATTTGCATGAGAGAGGCTTTGTAACAATGATGGGAATGGATAATTGTGGTGACAATTTACCACAATTTATAGGAAGAAAACCAAGAGTCGACCACAAAATGGGCTCAATATGGTGTGCAGCTAGCGCTCAATATGGGTATAGTGAGAGTTTGAAGAAAGAGAGATGCATTGGGAATAAAAATGCCCATGCATGAATGATGGACTATATTTTAGACTTTTCAGATGTCTATAAAAATGTATCAAGATACACTTATATGCATATAGATACAGCGCATGAAGAAACAGGAACTGTTGTCTCCACAATCGACTTAGACTTAAAATCTTTTCTTGAAGATTTTACTAGTAGAGATGAAGACTATGTACTATTTTTGATGGGCGACCATGGCATGCGATATGGACAATGGTTTAAATCAATAGATGGCTCACATGAGCACAAATTGCCACTCTTACTAATCATAACAAAAGATGGTGTGCTAAATAATATTCCTGGAAGCTATGACGTTTTGCAGCACAATTCAAATAGAATATTAAGTAAATTTGATTTCCACACAACTTTACAGCATCTTGGAAACTACCCTGACTTAGAATCTCATAGAGAGGAAATCAGAAAAAAGACATCAAGAAGATTGACAACTTATAATTGGTTTACTGATTATATCCCAGATAACAGAACTTGTGAAGATGCCGGAATCCCTATTTATTGGTGTGGCTGCCAGCCTTTTAAAGAAATCAAGGATGATATAAACTCAGAGAAATTCGTTTATTTAACAAATAGTATCATAGAAACTTTTAACACAGAAAATAAAATTCACCGTAAGCCAGTAAAAAACATTTGCCAAGAGCTACATTTAAATAAAAATACATATATAGGGAAACTAAAGGATAGGGATGAAGACTATTATAAAATAAAATTTACAGTCCTAGAAAAAGAATCAGCACTGTTTGAGGTTATTGTAAGGCTCTCACAATTCTGAACAGATAAAAAAGAATCAGAATATTTCAATGTGAAAAGTATTGATTTTGATGGTAAAAGGTTTTACAATATAATGAATATCAATAGACTGGATTCGTATGATGGCATCTGCAAAGATGAAATTGTCAAAAATAGGCATGACCCAACTTATTGCATTTGTGATGAGGAGGATTTTAAGAGAAAACATTCAATTAACCAAGAAGGGAACAATAATTCGGGAAGACCATAATAATTTAGAAATTTGTAATATTTTCTATCAAAATATTGTTTTAGGTATTTTTTTGGCTATCTGTCAGTTCCAGATGGAGTCTAAAGGCTAGCTTATATAGCTCAAATATTATTCAGCCAATATGAGTTGATCAAGCAAACTCTTGAACTTGATTAGTAGCTTAAGCACATAACTGGAAAAATAAGGCTTGCTTATGCATATTTTATATAAGAAATTAATTATATTTCTATGTATTTTTTTGTACCTAATAATCAAGAAATCAAGGCAGAATTTATATAAATATTTAATTGAAAGCTTATAGCAAGCGAAGAAACATCATCTACCTGCGAAATATTTATACTTTAAAAAATTCAATCTTGGCGAGACAATTTAGCCTCACACAAACCTAAATTATTATTTATAGTTATTAATCTATACATATAAATAAAGACGAACAGAGTGCTTCTGGGGTGATTTGCCTAATATAAGCTAAGTGCATTAGTAAGTCTTTAGGTTCGAATATTACTAAATTTAAATACTTTATTCCTCAGCCATATCAGAGTTTCCCATCAACGAAGCAGCATTTCAAAAGGCGCCAAGTCTTAATTGGCTTGGTCTTGGCTCACAGTGTGTGAGCTCTCCACTGAGACTGGATCTGCCCTTCATATCAGTCAAAAACAGCTTGAATTCACCTAGAACTCTAAAGGCTACATTCTCTACCGCTTGGGACGCTCTAGGGCGGCCAAGAACTGCCGCCTTTCCTACAGAACTCCTTCGTTTACAGTATGAGTCACTTCTCCATTCTAGGATAAAAACAAGTTGAAGCCAAATCAAAATAGGCTAAGAGAGATTATTGCTCAAAAAATGGTAAATATTGAGAACTCCATTTTTAATTTTCTGCATTGAAGAGGACATGATATTTCATCTTTTTAATTATTGCACAGACGGCTCTACAAAATTGAATGAAATCTAAAAGTTTACAGCAGTTTTCATTCTTGCAATCCTAATTAGAAAGTGGCATGATATTTTTTTAATTAATTTTATTTGCAAATCAAAAGGAAAATAGCAACTTATTTAAAATAGAAATTATTTTAAATAAATTTATTAGAATGATATTATCATAGGAACAATTTATTTTTATTTAGATATCTAGAATGTTGATGCTTAGACCAAGCAAAAAATTGTCTCTGGATTTAATTAGGGTAATATCAATAATGCTGGATAAATATTTATAAATAATCCACATTTTAATTCTTCTAACAAAAATAAAATTATTTTTTTGCTGAAAAAGAAAAATTTAAATTTATAAATAATACAAACCCAATTGCTATGTGCAAATACTAAAGTTATTTTTGCATGAAGACCACTCTTCTTAACTTATGATCGATGCAGAATTTTTTTAAAATGGTCCCGCTATTAAAATGAATAAAATTTTAGAAATTGGAACTATCTTATTTCTTCTCCTCTGGATTGTCTTTGTTTATGCATTTATTGCTCTTCCTGACAGAGTGCTGCAAAGAAGAAAATCTAACGAATCTGATGTTGATGTGTCAATTGATTCTCCTACAAATAATTCCTCTTATAACGAGAGAACATCAGGTGAATCTGTACTAAAAATGCTAGAGGATGAAGAGTCAATCTACCCTCTTAATTTGACCTGCAAGCCTGAGTCCTTTGGATATACATTGGGGGAAGCCTTTTTTTTATTTCCAAATGTTACATATCCAAGATGTGAGACAAAGTATAAATCAAGTCCAAAAATGTTCTATATAGACAGAAAAGATAATACTTTGCATATGAAATGCAATGGCAAAGTAGCGCTGGGGCCTTTGGAGGATAATGAAGAATTTGGGAAATATCAATACAATAATAGGTTGAAAGAATATAAAGGAAAACCAATAGCCCTTGAATCAGAGGAATATGCATTTGGGTCCTGCAATTCGCGCAAAACTACCGGTTTTGAGCATGTGGTATATAAGGTGAAGCCAAACCATGAGTCTTTGGAAAGAGCAAAAAATTCATTATGTGGGAAACCTATAAATATTGTTATGTTAGTAATTGATTCTCTCTCAAGGAGAATGTTCTTTAGAAAGCTCCCAAAATCGGTAGAGTATCTAAATTCCATTGCAAAAAATGTGTCTATTTTCGATTTTAAACTCCATCATGTTATGGGACAAAATTCTCAATATAGCTTCATGCCCACATGATACGGAGATATACCAATTGTAGTGTCTTCAATGAATAAGGGAGACTTATATTATGACATCTCCATATGGAAATATTTGCACGAGAGAGGCTTTGTAACAATGATGGGAATGGATAATTGTGGTGATAATTTACCACAATTTATAGGAAGAAAACCTAAAGTCGATCACAGAATGGGCTCAATATGGTGTGCGGCTAGTGCATTGTATGGATATAGTGAGAGTTTGAAGAAAGAGCGATGCATTGGGAATAAAAATACTCATGCATGAATGATGGACTATATTTTAGACTTTTCAGACGTCTATAAAAACGTATCAAGATACACTTATATGCATATAGATACAGCGCATGAAGAAACAGGAACTGTTGTCTCCACAATTGATTTAGACTTACTAGTCCCCCTTTCTCTTCTAATATAAAGGGCATTAATGGTTTTAGAAAAATTAATATTAAATTTTTTTTCAAATTTTGTTTAAAAATATTTTTATAAAATAATTGATCAAAGTGCTAATTTTATTAAATAGTATGTTACTTGCAATCCCCCATTTAAATTAATACTCTTTATAGGTAGATTTTTGATTTGACGACATTAAATTGGTATTAAGGATATTTACATATAATTAATTATTTTTACTATAAAACATAAAAATTTTATTCAATTTTGAATTGTTTTATTTAATAAGGAGTTTAAAAACACTTCCTTCGAGATTTTACAAGAAGAGATGAAGACTATGTATTATTCCTAATGGGAGATCACGGCATGAGATATGGATCGTGATTTAAATCAATAGATGGCTCTCATGAGCATAAATTGCCGCTTTTACTAATCATAACGAAAAATAGTGTCTTAAATAATATTCCTTCAGGATCCGACGCTTTGCTACATAACTCAAAGAGACTATTAACTTTTCCGTCTCTTGAGCGAGCAAAATATACTCTTTTATAGGGCTTTTTTAAATTTTATAATATATTTTATTAGAATGAAAACGGTTATAACTCATTTTTTCGATTTCAAACTTGTAATAAATTCAAATTTTCACACATTGATAAAAATCGATCTGAATCTGATTGATAAAAATAGATGTGAATGTGATCTAAAATTAATTTTCTGAGAAAGGATTCGAGTCTAATCTTAATAAATTAGAGATTTCATTATAGCAATTATCAATTATAAATTAAATATTTTTCCAAATTTATTGCTCGCTTTTGGAGCGCTTTTAACAAAACAATATGGATTTTGCAATGGTTTTATCGCTATGGAAAGCAAAAGGGCAGTAAGCAAATTTGATTTCCACACAACTTTGCAGCATCTTGGAAACTACCCTGACCTAGAATCTCACAGAGAGGAAATCAGAACAAAAACCTCAAGTAGATTGACAACTTATAATTGGTTTACTGATTATATCCCAGATAACAGAACTTGTGAAGATGCTGGAATCCCTATTTATTGGTGTGGTTGTCAGCCTTTTAAAGAAATCAAGGACGATATAAACTCAGAGAAATTCGTTTATTTAACAAATAGTATCATAGAAACTTTTAACACAGAACATAAAATTCACCATAAGCCAATAAAAAAAATTTGCCAAGAACTACATTTAAATAAAAATACATATATAGGGAAACTAAAAGATGGGGATGTAGACTATTATAAAATAAAATTTACAGTCCTAGAAAAAGAATCAGCACTGTTTGAGGTAATTACAAGGCTCTCATCATTCTATATAGATAAAAAAGAATCAGAATATTTCAACGTGAAAAATATTGATTTTGACGGTAAGAGGTTTTACAATATAATGAATGTAAGTAGACTGGATTCGTATGATAGCATCTGCAAAGATGAAATTGTCAAAAATAGATTTGATCCTACTTATTGCATTTGTGACGAGGATGATTTTAAGAGAAGGTCACCAAATAGCCCAGATAGGAAAAATAACTCACCATAAATACATATTTATCTTTACTAACTAATATAGGACTTATTTCCATATCAAATAGCATAAAGAACCTTTATAAGACTGTTTATTTTATTTGAGATTGATTTTCATATGAGAAAAGTATTTGACTTTTCAATAATTTCAATTTCGCCTCTAATATTTAAAAACCAAGGATAAATTCTACTAGCATAAATACTCCGAATTTAAACGTGGAATTATAAAGATACCTTGGAATTTTATTATTTCTTCAATTTTGGAATCTAAAATTCAAATAGGCTTTGTGACCTCAAGTATGTCAAAATTTGTAGTTTTTTTACTTCTCAGTGCTTCTCTAAGGTAATTTTTCAGCACAATTAGATGAAAATAAAGTTTTTGTTTTTATTAATTTTCAAAATCAATTCCTCTAAACATATGATTTAGAAATTACGCAAAAGTATTAACATAATAAATGGAGAATTATTTTTGAAAGACCAGAAAGCATATTAAATCTTATGCTGATGTGATTTAACATAAATAAAAGAAAAACTCCAATATTGAAATTTTATAGATATACATCAAACTTGCCATAGATTATTTAAATAAAACTTATCTAGCCACTCTGCATTAATTTATTATCTTTATTCTATATAAAATCCTTATTTTCAGCTTTTTAAAGATGTTTCCCTTCATTACGAATGCCATATTATATAATGAATAAACTTTTAGAATTTGGATTTTTATTATTTCTCCTCCTCTGGATTGTTTTTGTTTATGTTTTTTATGCGCTGCCACAGAGCAGACTATCAAAACTTAAAGAAAACTCAGACTCTGGCATCGATATTTCAGTTGAATCTCCAATTGAAGACTCTTCTCAAATCTTCACGCTAGCAAGAGTTACTGAGTTAAATATGCTGGACGACGAAAATTCAATATACCCTCTTAATTTGACTTGCAAACCAGAGTCCTTCGGCTATACATTGGAGGAAGCCCCTTTTTTATTTCCAAACGTTACATATCCTAGATGCGAAGAAAAGTACAAATCAAGCCCAGAAATGTTCTATATAGACAGAAAAGATAATTCTTTACATATGAAATGCACTGGAAGAGTAGCGCTGGGGCCTTTAAAGGATAATGAAGAATTTGGGAAATATCAATACATTAATCGAATAAAAGAATATGGAGGAGAGCCAATAGTACTTGAGTCAGAGGAATATGCATTTGGGTCTTGTAGTCCATATAAAATAACAGATTTTGAGCATGTTGACTATAAAGTCAAGCTAAATGAGAAGTCTTTACAAAGAGCTAAAAGGTCTTTGAGTGGCAAACCGATTAATATTGCCATGCTAGTGATTGATTCTCTTTCAAGGAGAATGTTCTTTAGAAAACTACCGAAATCTGTGGAGTATTTAAATTCCATAGCAAAAAATGTGTCTATTTTTGATTTTAAATTACACCATGTTATGGGACAAAATTCTCAATATAGCTTCATGCCTACATTTTATGGAGATATACCGATTGCAGTATCTAGGCACATGGCCAAGGGAGATTCACACTATGATGTTTCCATATGGAATTATTTGCACGAGAGAGGCTTTGTAACAATGATGGGAATGGATAATTGTGGTGATAATTTACCACAATTTATAGGAAGAAAACCTAAAGTCGATCACAAAATGGGTTCACTATGGTGCGCAGCTAGTGCATTGTATGGATATAGTGAGAGTTTGAAGAAAGAGAGATGCATTGGGAATAAAGATACCCATGCGTGAATGATGGACTATATTTTAGTCTTTTCAGAATCCTATAAAAATGTTCCTTTTCTTTTGTTAATTATTTAAAATATTTTTTAATGTCCCCTAACAGGAAAAATTGCTATGAGATGAGATATTCACAAATTTTTTCAGCTCATTAAATAGCTATATTGTCCTTGCTGCTATCAGCAGGCCGATCTTAAATATTGAGCCCTTACCAATTCTTATCGAGAATAGAAACCTAGCATTCCTCAGCCCTGTGATGTGTTTGCTTTGCTGATTGTGTTTGCTTTCGCTTGTGCTTTTGCTTTGATAATTGGAGTAGGGTAGGGATTAAAATAAAAATCTTTCTTCAGCCCTGTGAAAGGCTGCAGCTTATAACTAATTTGAATTCTGTAACTAGGAGCACGCTCTAGTAATAAATCGTTGATATATAAGGATGCTCTCCCGGCACTTAAACCTCATATTCAAAATTGGTCATAGAAAAACTTTCATATTAGAGGGGCAGGCACTAGCAATATTTTGATTTTAATAAAAAATGTATCAAGGTGCACTTATATGCATATAGACACAGCCCATGAGGAGACAGGAACTGTTGTCTCCACAATAGATTTAGATTTAAAACATTTTCTTCAGGACTTTACTATTAGAGATGAAGACTATGTATTATTCCTAATGGGAGATCAAGGTATGAGATGTGGGCAATGATTTAAATCAATAGATGGCTCACATGAACACAAATTACCATTTTTATTTATAATAACAAAAGATAGTGTCTTAAATAACATTCCAACAGGTTCTGCTGCTTTGCTACATAACTCAAACAGGCTATTAAGCAAATTTGATTTCCATACAACTTTACAGCATCTTGGAAACTACCCAAATCTAAACTCCCACAGAAATGATATCAGAAAAAAGTCCTCAAAAACCATAAAAACTTATAATTGATTTACTGATTTTATCCCAGATAACAGAACTTGTGAAGATGCTGGGATCCCTATTTATTGGTGTGGCTGTCAACCTTTTAAAGAAATCAGTAATGATATAAATTCAGAGATATTCGTAAATTTAACAAATAACATTATAGAAACATTTAACACAGAAAATAAAATTTACGACACCAAAAAGAAAACAATCTGCCAAAAGCTAAATTTAAATAAAAATACATATATAGGGAAACTAAAAGATGGGGATATAGATTATTATAAAATAAAATTACAGTTCGAGAAAAAGAATCAGCATTATTTGAAGTTATTGTAAGACTCTCAAAAGATCCTATTAAGAAAAAAGAGTCAGAATATTTTAACGTAAAAGAGATCTATTTCGGCAAAATGAGGTTTTTCAATATAATGAATGTAATTATTGAAAATATATTTTTACGTAGGCTGGTTAATCCAAATAGGTTAGCAGATCTTCAGCTAATAAATAAACTTAAAAACCTATAAAAGTCTAAAAATAATTGAATTTTTATCATTATAATCCTTATAGGATCTAGAAAGCCTCATAAAAAAAGTCAGTACTCGTTTTGAGCCTGTTGGAGACATTTTAATTTATTCTTCTTAGAACTCAAACTAAAAATTTCGGTTGATTCTCCATAAGATATTTAGCCTAAGATTAACTGATTACCTTGAAAAATCACTTAAAAGTGCTAGAAGATAATAAATTTAAATATAGAAAAATATCGACCACTTTCAATAATTCACTGATTTTTATGAAAAAAAAATCATTTCAACATCATTATAGCTATAAAGATCACACCGCTTTAAAAATACCAATATACATTATTAAATAACCTTGAAACCCACAAAATCTTAAATTGCTATTGATTGCAAAGATGGTGCTGTTATAAAAATAAAAAAATTTGGGGAGATAAGAGCATGGGGTTTTCAATTATTTATAGCCCATTATTGCATGGAATCACCTTTCTGTACCTTTTCTGAATGTTAAGAATAATTCATATGCGGTATTTCCAATCAATTTGTGCAAAGAAGAATAGAATCCTAAAAATTTTAGACTTGAGATCCCTTTTTATTTTTGCTATTTTATATTAATTGGATCTTTAGCAAACTAGAATAAATTTGGCTCATTCTTTAAGTATTTTATTTGCGGCAGGCCCAGTGCACAAAAAGAGTTTCATTTATTGACTCTCAAAGAATTAATTAGCTAATTTGGACATTTTCTTAAAATTAAGCATTGTTGAAAAAATTTCATTATTATATAATGAATAAGTTCTTAGAAACAGGGACTATTTTATTTCTTCTCCTTTGGATAGTTTTTGTTTGTGCGCTTTATATGCTTCCACAAGATGATATATCAGAAGCAAAAACATTCCCAAACCCAGATGCCGATATTTCAATTGATTCTCCTTTTGAAAATGAGCATGAAATCACAAGAGAAAGACAAATAAGTCTCTTGGATGATGAAAGCTCCATAAATCCTCTTAATTTAACCTGTAAACCTGAGTCTTTCGGGTACACATTGGAGGAAGCTCTTTTTTTATTTCCAAACGTTACATATCCAAGATGTGAAGAGCAATATATATCAAGCCCAGAAGCGTTTTATATTAATCGTACTGATAATACTCTACATATGAATTGCACAGGAAAGGTCGCTTTAGGATTTTTGGAGGCAGATGAAGAATTCGGGAAATATTGGTATTATGATAGACTAAAGGATTATAATGGAGAGCCATTAGCCCTTGAGACAGAGGAATATGCATTTGGGACATGCGATATCTCAAAATGGTCAAAATTTGAGCATGTCGCCTATAAAGTGAGATTAAATGAAGAGTCTTTACAAAGGGCTAAAAATTCATTACGTAGTAAACCTATAAATATTGTTATGCTAGTAATTGATTCTCTATCACGGAGAATGTTCTTTAGAAAGCTTCCAAAATCTGTGGACTATATAAATTCAATTGCAAAAAATGTATCCATTTTTGATTTTAAATTGCACCATGTTATGGGGCAAAATTCTCAATATAGCTTTATGCCCACATTTTATGGAGATATACCGATTGTGGTATCTCCTTTTATGCAGGGAGATTTATATTATGACGTCTCCATATGGAAATATTTGCACGAGAGAGGCTTTGTAACAATGATGGGAATGGACAATTGTGATGATAATTTACCACAATTTATAGGAAGAAAACCTAAAGTTGACCACAAAATGGGCTCGATATGGTGTGCAGCTAGCGCTCAATATGGGTATAGTGAAGCCTTAAAGAGAGAAAGATGTATTGGGAATAAAAATGCCCATGCGTGGATGATGGACTATATTTTAGACTTTTCAGACGTCTATAAAGATGTATCGAGATACACTTATATGCATATAGATACAGCTCATGAGGAAACAGGAACTGTAGTAGCTACAATAGATTTGGATTTAAAAAAGTTCCTTGAGGAATTTTTTAGCAGAGATGAAGATTCTATACTGTTTTTGATGGGAGACCATGGGATGAGATATGGGGAATGATTCAAATCAAAAGATGGTTCACATGAACACAAATTGCCACTTTTATTAATAATGGCGAAGGACAGAGTCTTAGAAAAGATTCCAAATAGCTCAAAAATTTTATTACAAAATACAAACAGATTATTAAGTAAATTTGACTTTCATACAATTCTACAGCATCTTGGAAATTATCCTGATCTAGAATCTCACAGAGAAGAAATTAGAGCAAAAACTTCAAAAAGACTAACAACTTACAATTGGTTCACAGAATATGTACCAGATAACAGAACTTGTGAAGATGCTGGGATCCCTATATTTTGGTGTTGCTGCAAATCTTTTAAAGAAATTAAAGAAGATATGAATTCAGAAAATTTCCGAAAATTAACAAATAGTGTTATAGAAGTATTCAATACAGAAAATAATATATATTCTATATGAATGAAAACAATGTGCTTAAAATTGAATTTAAATCAAAATACATACATAGGGAAACTCGAAGATGAAGATCTTGATTATTATAAAATAAAATTTACAATTAAAGAAAAAGAATCAGCAATGCTTGAAGTTATTGTAAGGCTCTCGAGCTGATATATACAAAAACATGAATCAGAATATTTTAGTGTAAAAAGTATCGATTTCGGCCAAATGAGGTTTTTCAATATAATGAATGTCAATAGACTGGACTCGTATGATAGTATATGCAAAGAAAAAATAATTCAACAAAAGTATGACCCAACCTATTGCATTTGTGATGAGGATGATTTTAAGAGAAAATATTTAAATACCACAGACGGGAGCAATAATCCAGGAAACTCATAAGTATAATACTTTATAAATTTAAATGTTTATAGAGAATTAGTATTGAAATTAATTAAAAGTTTATTAGATAAAGTGATAATAAAATAGTATAAAATTATTCAGGTGGGTTATAAATGAGCTGATTAACTTGAAATGAATTTAAATAGTAAATAGTGATTTTTCTCTGATGTTATAAAATCTAAGAATATAATTGAAATAGTAATCAAATTACAAAGGCCGCAATAAAGGGAGAAATGAATAGAAGATGTACTTATTGTAAACAGTTAAAAAAAATACAGCAAAATCTATTATAAATGTTCTCATTGCAGCGAGCCGCTGTTTCTTTAATCATAAATGTGGTAGATAAATATGTATTATCTTATAATTGATAATAGTAACTTTTGGGCAGTTTCTAATCGGCAAGGGAAAGATCAGGAACAGAGATAAAAATAGATTTCTGGGCAATTTTTGGGTGCAATTGTCTTCGATGAGTTAAATTTTAAAAAAGAAAAATTTATAAAAAAATAGCCCTCCCTCCGTAATCGAACAAAATTTTTTTGTTCGCTCACGGACGGAGGGGGGAGTGAGTAAAATAACTTCTGTGTGAATCAAAATTGATCTTCTCAGGTAATTTATTCTGCAGACAAATCTATAATTAACAAAATTTTTCTTTTTCAGCTGGCATCCGCATATGAGTCATTTTTATCTTATATTAGAAAAGTTGAGCAATATGGAAATTATTGATTTCCTAATATTCTTTATATAAAAAAACACTGGTATAATATAAATCCTTCAAAATTATCAAATTTTGTGTTTTCATATTTTTATATGTATACATTAAAGGTTAAATCTTACTGGATTAAGGAAAAAAATGTTTGGAAAATAAGCAAAAATTAAAATGTTTCAAAAGATCAAAATTTTAAATCTTTCTTATTTATTGATTCTTCTTTAAAAGTACTTTTATTGAAATGGCGGATCAGAAAGAGACTGAACAGCTGGACCGAACCGCTCTGAGGGCAACAATCATGCCTTTAGGGATTGGGGAATCTGGACTGGCCTTTTCCTGATCAGTCCCCTAGGAATTTTTCCCAAGCATCCATGAATCTCAATTCATGGATTTGCTGGCGAAAATTTACCTTTCCAAGTTTTCACCCAATGCCTAATCATTCTCAAGTGATTTATAGGTTTCTCCTTTATTTTTATATTTTATGCAGACATTTATGCTTTGTTTCTCTGTTTCTTTAATCCCACATAAATCGCACAATCATTTTATTTTGATTTTTCTTTGAGAGTCTCAGAGCTGTTATCGTTTGTGCAGGTCCTACTTCATATCTTCACTCTGCCTTAATTCTCACTTCATTTACCAAATTTTTATTTAGATTTCAAAGCAGCAGTTGCCATTTAGAGTTTACTTTAATTTCTCTTAAGAATTTGTATGTTTTTAGTGTAATCTTTTTACCAATTTCTTTTTCATTTATTTTTTGACAGTATATTTTAACTTTTAATTTGCCATTCTTCTTTCATTCTTTGTTAATTCACTTTACTTCAGTGTCAGAGCATATGGCAAATTTAATTCATATATGCTCAATAAATTTGCATATAAATTGTGAGTTGGTGTTATTCAATTTTTAAATTTTTAAGAAAATGTAATGAGATCTCAGAATATGAGTTCATTTCATATATCTTTTGTAGAAATATCAATGATTTTTGATCAACATACTGTTCGACTGTAGGAATAGTTAAATTAAGCAATATAGGCTCTTTTGGTGTTTTGCTATATACGTGACAGCATTCTCTATAATCTATTAAACATTCTTTGGGTAGAAATAATTGCAGTTTTTCTGCCAAAAGCTAGTTTAAATAAAAATGCATATATAGGGAACTAAAAGATGGGGATATAGATTATTATAAAATAAAATTTACAGCTCAAGAAAAAGAATCACCATTATTTGAAGTTATTGTAAGACTTTCAAAAGATCGAATTAAGAAAAAAGAGCCTGAATAAAAGAGATCGATTTCGGCAAAATGAGGTTTTCAATATAATGAATGTAAGTAGAATGGATTCGTGTGATAGCATCTGTAAAGAAAAAATAATAAAAAATAGTTTTGATCCGACTTATTGCATTTATGATGAAAATGATTTTATTAGTAAATCGTCAAATAACATAGGTGATAATATGATAATTTACAGAGATTAATGTTAAAATAATTAACAAAATGACTATAAAGAATCATAATTTTTAGTTGGTTTTATTATTTAGTTGATTTTATCGAAATGGCATTTAAATAAGAATCGTCACCATCTTTAGAATTCTCTTTGATTTATTTTATTATATAAGCAGAATAGCCTATGTTGGACCAAAATTTTGCCTAATCATAGCAAGTTTTGGCATAAATTTAAGATTGATGTCACATTTTGATTTTATTAGCTTGAATTAATAACAGGTATTCCAATTATGATAGAGTTTCTGTCAATAATAATAATAGTTAAAAAGTTATCCTAGCATACAAAATATATTGCACTATGAAATAAATGATTAAAAGGCTAAATTCCACTGATTTTATATAAATAAAGTTTTGGAAAGCTATTAAAATTATTAAAATAGGCTGGTTAATTTAAATATGTGAGCAGATCTTCAGCAATATATTTACTCTAAATAAACTTAAAAATCTATAAAAGTCTAAATAACTGATTCTTTTTTGCAATTTTTATCATTACAATTCTTATAGGATCTAGATAGCCTCATAAAAACATCAGTACTCTTCCTGAGCCTGCTGGTGACATTTTAATTTATCCTTCTTAGAACTCGACACTAGAAATTCAATTGATTCTCCACAAGATATTTAACTTGAGATTAACTGACTACCTGGAAAAATCACTTAAACGTGCTAGAAGATAATAAATATAAAAATTAGCATTATTTTTATATAAAAGATTATGGATTTTCGTTTAAGAAAAGTATCCACCACTTTCAATAATTTACTGATTCTTATGAAAAGAAATATAATTTAAACATCATTATAGCTATAAAAATCACATTGCTTTAAAAATACCAATACTACCTTATTAAATACCGTTGAATGCCCACAAAATCTTAAATAGCTATTGCTTGTGAAAGATGGTGATGTAATAAAGAAATGTGGGGAAATAAGAAGCATGGAGTTTTCAATCATTTCTAGCCCGTTATTACATGGAATCACATTTGTGATTCTTTTCTGAATGTTAAGAATAATTCCTATGTCGTATTTTCAATAATTTGTGCAAACAAATAGAATCATGTATTTTAGGCTTGAGATCTCAATTTTATCCTTACTATTTTATATAGATTAGATCTTTAGCAAGTTTGGCTGATTCTTTAAGTGTTTTATTGTGGCAGGCCCAGTAAACAAAAAAGAGTTTCATTTATTATTTCTCAAAGAATTGATTAGCTAATTTGGATATTTTCTTAAAATTAAGCATTTGTTGAAAAAATTTCATTATTATATAATGAATAAGTTCTTAGAAACAGGGACTATTTTATTTCTTCTCCTTTGGATAGTTTTTGTTTATGTGCTTTATATGCTTCCAGAAGATAATGCATCTGAAGCAAAAGCATTTCCAAACTCTGATACCGATATTTCAATTGAATATGAACTTGAAATCGCAAGAGGAAGACAAATAAGCCTCTTAGATGATGAAAGCTCCATAAATCCTCTTAATTTAACCTGTAAACCTGAGTCTTTCGGGTACACATTGGAGGAAGCTCTTTTTTTATTTCCAAACGTTACATATCCAAGGTGTGAAGAGCAATATATATCAAGCCCAGAAGCGTTTTATATTAATCGTACTGATAATACTCTACATATGAATTGCACAGGAAAGGTCGCTTTAGGATTTTTGGAGGCAAATGAAGAGTTCGGGAAATATTGGTATTATGATAGACTAAAAGATTATAATGGAGAGCCATTAGCCCTTGAGACAGAGGAATATGCATTTGGAACATGCGATATCTCAAAATGGTCAAACTTTGAGCATGTCGCCTATAAGTTGAGGCCAAATAAGGAGTCTTTACAAAGGGCTAAAAATTCATTGCGTGGTAAACCTATAAATATTGTTATGTTAGTAATTGATTCTCTATCACGGAGAATGTTCTTTAGAAAGCTTCCAAAATCTGTGGAGTATTTAAATTCAATTGCAAAAAATGTATCCATTTTCGATTTTAAATTGCACCATGTTATAGGACAAAATTCTCAATATAGCTTCATGCCCACATTTTATGGAGATATACCAATTGTAGTATCTGAATATATGCAGGGAGATTTATATTATGACGTCTCCATATGGAAATATTTGCATGAGAGAGGTTTTGTAACAATGATGGGAATGGACAATTGTGATAACAATTTACCACAATTTATAGGAAGAAAACCTAAAGTCGACCACAAAATGGGCTCAATATGATGCGCAGCCAGCGCTCAATATGGGTATAGTGAAACCTCAAAGAGAGAAAGATGTATTGGGAATAAAAATGCCCATGCATGAATGATGGACTATATTTTAGACTTTTCAGAAACCTATAAAAACGTATCGAGATACACTTATATGCATATAGATACAGCTCATGAGGAAACAGGAACTGTAGTCTCTACAATAGATTTGGATTTAAAAAAGTTCCTTGAGGAATTTTTTAGCAGAGATGAAGATTCTATACTGTTTTTGATGGGAGACCATGGGATGAGATATGGGGAATGATTTAAATCAAAAGATGGCTCACATGAACACAAATTGCCGCTGTTATTAATAATGGCGAAGGACAGAGTCTTAGAAAAGATTCCAAATAGCTCAAAAATTTTATTACAAAATACAAACAGATTATTAAGTAAATTTGACTTTCATACAATTCTACAACATCTTGGAAACTATCCTGATCTAGAATCTCACAGAGAAGAAATTAGAACAAAAACTTCAAAAAGGCTAACAACTTACAATTGGTTCACAGATTATGTACCGGATAATAGAACTTGTGAAGATGCTGGGATCCCTATATTTTGGTGTGGTTGCAAATCTTTTATAGCTCATGCCCTTATATAGATTATTTTATCGAGACATGCAATGGACGGTTGAAAGATCAAGACAGACTCTATCAAAGGGATGAGCTGGATCTCTATCTCTATCCCAGGAAGTGCTAAAAATTTGAATGTAAAAAAATTATTAACAAGTGTGAAAAAAGCAAACTGCCTATTTTAAAATGGCTTTATTATTAAATTAATTTTAAATTTAAAATATCCATTTATATTGTGATAGAATAATATAGGGCCTTCCTATAGATGGCGCGCAATGCGCCATCCATAGGAAGGGCCGTATATCTTACTTACCATTTTCAAAGTAAATTAGGTCATTTTTTGGCATGCCACTTTGGCATAGAGATCCAGCTCGTCCTTTAAGAGAGTCTGTTTTGGTCTCGTTCAACTATCCACTACATTTTCTTTGATAAGAAATCTATATAGGGGTATAGTCTATATAGAAATCACAGAAGATAAAAATTCAGAAATTTTCCAAAACTTAACAAAAAGTGTTATAGAAGTCTTCAACACAGAAAATCATATCTATTATAGATGGAAGAAAACAATCTGTGTAAAATTGCATTTAAATGAAACTAAATATATAGGGAAACTAGAAGATGAAGATCTTGATTATTATAAAATAAAATTCACAATTAAAGAAAAAGAATCAGCAATGTTTGAAGTTATTGTAAGGCTCTCAAGAGATCCTATAGAAAAACATGAATCAGAATATTTCAGCGTACATAAAATTGATTTCGGTGAAATGAAGTTTTTCAATATAATGAATGTCAATAGACTGGACTCATATGATAGTATATGCAAAGAAAAAATAATTAAAAGAAAATTTGACCCGACTTATTGCATTTGTGATGAGAATGATTTTAAGAGAAAATCGTTAAATACCACAAATGGGAATAATTCAGGAAAACAATAAGTATAATAATTTAGAAATTTTATATGATTATAGAGAATTAGCGTTGCAATTAATTAAAAGTTTATTAGATAAAGTGATAATAAAATAGTATAAAATTATTCAAGAATAAGCTGATTAACTAGAGGGTTTTTCTGAGGATTATAATCTAACTCCCCCCCCTCCGTGAGTGAACAAAAAAATTTTGTTCACTCACGGAGGGGGTTAATTTTTTTTTTTTAAAAAATTTCTATATAAATTTTATAGAAAATTTTTTTTTTTCGAAATTTAAAAAAATCCTAATTTGCAAAAATTGGGAAGCAAATATTAATTTAATTTATAAAATTTATGTTTGAAAACGCAATTTGTTTAAAATTAAACAGAATTAGCTCTAGATTTCATTATACTAATTATCACTTATATATCAAATTTTTTTTTCCATAAAAAATTTTTTCTATTAAAAAAATTTTTGTTCACTCACGGAGGGGGGGGAGTAAGCAAAATAACTTCTGCGTGAATCAAAATGGATCTTCTCAGGGCAATTCATTCAGTAGATAAATATATAATTAGTAAAAATTTTCTTTTTCAATTAGTATTAATTGCAGATATCCGCATATGATTCATTTTTATTAAATTATGCTACTATTAGAAAAGTTAAATGTAATATGGAAAGAATTAATTTTCTAATATTCTTTATATAGAAAAATACTGGTATAATATAAAACCCTATAAATTATCAAATTTTGTGTTTTCATATTTTTAAATGCAGACATTAGAAGGTTAAATCTTAGAGCTTGAGTTTGGTTTAATAAAATCTGTCCAAAAGATGAATTTGTGCTCATAAAAATTAAACAGTTTAGATTTCTATTCTCTTTTATAAAATAATGATATCACAAATAATTAATCTATTAATGAGCATTTCCTATAATCTATAAATTTATATTTCAAAATAAGCTAATTTCATCTAAATGATTTTTGCATAAAAATTATTAATTCACAGCTTGCCAGTCATTATTATGAAATACAAAATTTCGGTAATAATTCTGATGATAGCTTCTAGATAACTCTTTTATAAAGCTCAATAGCATCTAAAAAGCTCCTATTTTAACTAAAAAGTTGTTTTATAATAAAAAATATGGTCAAATAGTAATAAATAGGCTTTTTAATTCAGTCTAAACATTCTAGACCCTATTAGAAGCTGCAATGCTCAGAATAAAAAAGTTAGTAGAAATCTGAGGAGAGCAGAAACGGTACCTATAAGATTCGAAAAAACCAAGAAAAATTAGAAAATCATCCAGCATTTTGCCTTTAATCACTTTTCTAGAGATATGATATTCAGCGAACTATAACTATACTTTAAATATTTTTCTATTTGCTGCTAGTCTCACATATAAAGATCAAAATAATCGATAATTATTAGTTATTTCTTTGGGTATTTTGCAATATTAATTTCTTTGCTCCATCTGTTACAAATTTTCTCATAAAATGCCATTATTGAATAATGAATAGATTCTTAGAAATTGGGATTTTCTTATTTCTTCTCCTTTGGATTACGTTCGTTTGTGTGTTCTATATTCTCCCAGACAGCAGTAGCATATCAAAAGTAAAAGTATCCCCAGATTCTGATATCGATATTTCAGTTGATTTGCCAACAGAAAATCGACCTCGAAGGACTGAAATCTTAAAGGAAACTTTCATAAATCTCTTAGATGATGAAAATTCCATCAATCCTATTAATTTAACTTGTAAGCCTGAGTCTTTCGGATACACTATGGAGGAAGCTCTTCTTTTATTCCCAAATGTTACATATCCAAGATGCGAAGAAAAGTATAAATCAAGCCCAGAAATGTTTTATATAGACCGCACTACTAATACTTTACATATGAATTGCACAGGAAGAGTAGCTTTAGGAGCTTTGGAGAATAATGAAGAATTTGGAAAGTATAGATATTATAATAGACTCAAAGATTATAATGGGGAGCCATTAGTGCTTGAGTCAGAGGAGTATGCATTTGGGACTTGTGATCGATACAAAACATCAGGTTTTGAACATGTTGCCTATAAGTTGAAGCTTAATGAAGGGTCCTTGCAAAGAGCAAAAAATTCATTGCATGGAAAACCTATAAATATCGTTATGTTGGTAATAGATTCTCTATCACGGAGAATGTTCTTTAGAAAGCTCCCAAAATCAGTTGAGTATTTAAATTCCATAGCAAAAAATGTATCTATTTTCGATTTTAAACTCCACCATGTGATAGGCCAAAATTCTCAATACAGCTTTATGCCCACATTTTATGGAGATATAGCAATTGTGATATCTAGTCACATGTCTTATGGGGATTTATATTATGATATTTCTATATGGAAATATTTGCATGAGAGAGGCTTTGTTACAATGATGGGAATGGATAATTGCGATGATAATTTACCACAATTTATAGGAAGAAAACCTAGAGTTGACCACAAAATGGGTTCGTTATGGTGTGCAGCTAGCTCTCAATATGGGTATAGTGAAACTTTAAAGAAAGAACGATGCATTGGGAATAAAAATGCCCATGCGTGAATGATGGACTATATTCTAGACTTTTCAGAAACCTATAAAAATGTATCAAGATACACTTATATGCATATAGATACAGCACATGAAGCAACAGGAACTGTAGTCTCTACAATAGATTTAGATTTAAAAGATTTCCTTGAGGAATTTTTTAACAGAGATGAAGATTCTATACTATTTCTGATGGGAGACCACGGGATGAGATATGGGGAATGATTTAAGACAATAGATGGCTCCCATGAACACAAATTGCCACTTTTATTAATATTAACGAAAGACAGAGTATTAGAAAAGATTTCAAATAGCTCAAAATTTTTGTTACAAAATACAAACAGGCTATTAAGTAAATTTGATTTTCATACAGTTCTGCAGCATCTTGGAAACTATCCTGATCTAGAATCTCATAAAGACGAAATAAGAAAAAAAACTTCAAGTAAATTAACAACTTACAATTGGTTCACAGATTATATCCCAGAGAACAGAACTTGTGAAGATGCTGGGATACCTGTTTATTGGTGTGGCTGTCAGCCCTTCATCGAAATTACTGAAAACCAAAACTCAGAAGAATTTACTTATTTAACGAATAATATTATAGAAGTTTTCAACACAGAAAATAACATTTACGACCATTCAAAGAAAACAATCTGCCAGAAGCTTCATTTAAATAATAATACATACATAGGAAAACTAGTAGATGGCGACTTAGACTACTATAAAATTAAATTTACAGTCCAAGAAAAAGAATCAGCACTGTTAGAAGTCATTGTCAGGCTCTCTAGATGGAGAATAGAAAAAGAGGAATCAGAATATTTTGAGGTGAAAAATATTGGTTTTAGAGGAATGAGGTATTACAATATAATGAACATTAATAGGCTGGACTCGTATGAAAGTGTTTGTAAAAACGAAATTATCAAAAATAAGTTTGATCCTACTTATTGCATTTGTGACGAGGATGATTTTAATAGAAAATCAAATAGCACAGATAATGACAATAACCCAGGAGCACTAAACCATAATAACTAAAATAAGTATCTATTCTCTATAATTCAAGGATAAGATAATTATAACTAGATTAAAAAAGCTTTTAAAAATGGAGAGCAAGCGACTAAGAGACACAAGAAACTTAGAGGGAAGAGACTGCGTATATAAGATTAGATAAAATCAAGGAAAATTTAGCATTTTTGGGTTTCAATTATTCCTATCTATTTTCTAATTGGGCATGGCATTTAGGAGCTATAAATTGATTTGGATTGTGCTTTAAATATAATTGTTTACTACAAGTCTAGTATAGAAAATACACAAAATAATCAATTTTTTTATAAATTTCAGGATTAATACTTTATTTAGATATTTGCAAATATAACTTCTTTGATAATTTTGCTACAAATATTCTTGAAAAATGTCATAATTGAATAATGAATAGGATCTTAGAAATAGGGATTTTCTTATTTCTTTCAGTATGGATTACTTTTGTTTATGTGCTATATATATTTCAAGAGGATAATGCATCAAAAGTAAAAGTATCCCTAGAGCCTGATATCAATATTTCAGTTGATTTACCAATTGAAAATGTACCTAAAGTCATTGAAATATTAAAAGAAACTTTCATAAGTCTCTTAGATGATGAAAATTCCATCAAACCTCTTAATTTAACTTGCAAGCCTGAGTCTTTCGGATATACATTGGAAGAAGCTTCTATTTTATTTCCAAACGTCACATATCCAAGATGTGAAGAAAAATATAAATCAAGCCCAGAAATGTTTTATATAGACCGCACTACTAATACTTTACATATGAATTGTACTGGAAAGGTAGCATTAGGATTTTCTGGAATCGATGAATGATTTGGAGAATATAAATATTCTAATCGACCTAAAGATTACAATGGAGAGCCATTAGAACTTGAGTCAGAGGAATATGCATTTGGGACCTGTGACATTAACAAAGCATGGCTTCCTCATTCCTCTCAATTTTTTTGATTCTTATAATTTTTTTAGATTTCTTAACAAATATTTTCTGGTAAAAACCCCTCTAATTTCGGTACAAAAATCTCTGAGGTTAAAAAAATCAAATAAACTTCAAGCAAATGTCACATAGGAAAAATAAACCAACAAAACATCAGACTTTGAACATGTTGCATATAAGTTGAAACTTAATGAAGAGTCCCTTCAAAGAGCTAAAAATTCATTGTATGGAAAGCCTATAAATATCGTTATGTTAGTAATTGATTCGCTCTCACGGAGAATGTTCTTTACTCTCCCTCTTCTTAATTAAAAACGGCCTGTTTACTAAAAAATCTAATTTCCAGTGAATTTATGTCTTAAACATAAAAATTTTAAAATGCAACAGAATTATTTAGAGGTTTTTTATAATAATTATCATATATATCAGCATATCTTATAAAATATATTTATATTTAACAAAAATTTTGACTTAAGAGAATGATTTTCTTCCCCACAAAATAGGGATTTTTAAATTGTTTTGTTCGATTACTTAGGAGGGAGGAAGATTAGAAAAATCCCTAAATCTGTGGAATATTTGAATTCCATTGCAAAAAATGTATCTATTTTCGATTTTAAATTGCATCATGTTATAGGGCAGGGTTCTCATAATAGCTTTATGCCCACATTTTATGGAGATATGCCCTATTCTGCTACTCTATATATGCAGGGAGATTTATATTATAATGTTTCCATATGGAAATATTTGCACGAGAGAGGTTTTGTTACAATGATGGGAATGGATTGTTGTGATAATAATTTAGCGCAATTTATAGGAAAAAAACCTAAAGTCGACCACAAAATGGGCTCAATATGATGCTCAGCAAGTGCTCAATATGGGTATAGTGAAACCTCAAAGAGAGAAAGATGTATTGGGAATAAAAATGCCCATGCATGAATGATGGACTATATTTTAGACTTTTCAGAAACCTATAAAAACGTATCGAGATACACTTATATGCATATAGATACAGCTCATGAGGAAACAGGAACTGTAGTCTCTACAATAGATTTAGATTTAAAAAAGTTCCTTGAGGAATTTTTTAGCAGAGATGAAGATTCTATACTGTTTTTGATGGGAGACCATGGGATGAGATATGGGGAATGATTTAAATCAAAAGATGGCTCACATGAACACAAATTGCCACTTTTATTAATTATAACGAAAGACAGAGTCTTAGACAATATTCCAAATAGCTCAAAAATTTTATTACAAAATACAAACAGACTATTAAGTAAATTTGATTTTCATACAGTTCTGCAGCATCTTGGAAACTACCCTGATCTAGAATCTAACAGAGAAGAAATTAGAACAAAAACTTCAAAAAGGCTAACAACTTACAATTGGTTCACAGATTATATCCCAGATAACAGAACTTGTGAAGATGCTGGGATACCTGTTTATTGGTGCATCTGCCAGCCTTTTATAGAGATTACTCACAACCAAAACTTAGAGGATTTCACTTATTTAACAAATAATATTATAGAAATTTTCAACACAGAAAATAAAATATACAATCAAACAGAGAAAACAATCTGCCAGAAGCTGAATTTAAATAAAAGTGTGTATATAGGAAAACTAGTCGATGGCGATATAGACTATTACAAAATAAAATTTACAGTCCAAGAAAAAGAATCAGCGCTATTAGAAGTAATTGTCAAACTCTCTAGAAACTATATAGAGAAAAAAGAATTAGAGTATTTTAATGTGAAAAATATCGTTTTTGGAGAGATGAGGTTAGGTTAATTTTTTTATGACTTCTCATCCAAGATAAGCTGTTGAAGAAGGCTTGCTCAGCTGCAGTGGAAATCCCTGGGATGTCTACATCTCCCCAATGATAGCTCTTCTCATGCTTTATGCTTGGCTTTTAATGCTGTCCCATAATCTTGGAGTACAAATTTGGAGATTTGTAGCTGTTGCTTCTTCAATTACTAAGTTTCAGCTTGATATAAATACCCTAGCTAATATCAGTAACAACTATGCCTTAATGGCCAACACTAGTAGCCCCAAGCATAAAGCGTTTTTCCAAAAGTCATTGGATGACCAAAATTCTTCATTGCCGGATGATGGAGGCAAAACCAGTTAGAACATTTCCTGCTTGGTTTGACTTCAGACCGCAGCAATGCACTCAGACCCTGAGCAGGTCTAAAAGAGTGGGGATGGTAAACGAAGCCATTTATTTGTATCTGAAGAAATGAGGTACTACAATATAATGAGCGTTAATAGACTGGACTCGTATGAGAGCGTATGCAAAAGCGAAATTATCAAAAATAAGTTTGATCCTACTTATTGCATTTGTGATGAAAATGATTTTAATAGAAATCATTAAATAGGACAGATGGAGACAATAATCCAGGAAGAGCGCCACAACCATAATAACTTAATAAGTATTTTTCATATTTTAGATCAAGAATATATTTATTTTATAATGATCATAGGAAATATTTACTATAGAATAGAATAAAACATTATGCAACAGGACATTTATATGACTATCTCATCTAAATGAATTTAGGTATAGCCGCGGGCCCATTTATATCGCTGAGAAACAATAAAAAATTGGCAAAGTCGCAGTCTGGTAAGCTAAAATGGGCAACGACAACTGCCATTTTTCTAACAAGTACAATTAAAATTCGACAAATTTTATATATAGATTCTATTTTTATGGATTTTCAATGAAAAAAGTATTTTCATTTTCAGTCTGACTTTTTAAATCGCTATTTTACCTGTTTAGCAATTGCTCCAGAAAGATAAAAAATTATGTGCTATATAATAAAAACAGACACGATTTCGATAGCCACCATATCACCTTTATAATTTTGAGAAGAATAGATAATTTAGTTTAAATCACAAATTGATACTTTATAGGTTGTTAAAATTACGAATCAGTTCAACATTACATGAGCAATCATTTACATTTTATGCTTATATAATTTGAGTTGTTTTTAATTTTAGATCAAACAAAAAGATTTATAGTTTATTATAATAAAGAAATAAAATTTCCTCAATATAATGGTAAAAATCTCTTAAAATTTTTAGATTTCCATGGAGATATAAATCTTTGGCTTCTCTAAACCTCCCTTCAAGAACGAACATCACCATTGAAAAAATCCTATTTTTTGCGTAAAAAACTACCTTTTGTGAGCGATAATCTAAGTTTCGACATAAAAATTATTATGAAAAATATTTTTATATAAGCAATAAGAAATTAAATTAATTTTCACTTTCCGATTTTTTGCGTTTGGGTTTTATTAACTTTTAAAAACAATAATAAAATTTATCTATAATTTTTTTTAAAAAAAAATTAGCACCCTGATAAATTTTTTATTCGCTCATGGGTAAGGAATAAGGAAAGAAGTTCGCTTTTAAAAATATTCAAATAATAGTGTAACAGCCACCTATATTTCTATCAAATTGAACGAGAATTAGATAATATGGCTGGATTATATAAAATATCTATTTATGCAGTTGAAAATGGTTGAAATTTGCAAAAATTTGTCACAGACTAATCTAAGCCAATTCCGAAAAATGAGCATTTACTCCACTAAAAATTATGTTGAATAACTATGAGCACGCTATCAAAAAGCCAGAGCAATTTTAAAGAAATCAATAAGATTATATTCCTTATATTCAGATTTTTGTAAATATGAATTTTTAAATCAACTCAACCTATGGGAACATCTTTATGAAAAAGATGCTTATTAGATTAACACCAAAGAACTAAATATACGATATAGAAAAAGTAAGATGCAATAGCAATAAAATGCCTATGAATTAATATAATTACTCTAGATTTTCCTTGGATTTTTAAGAAATTTCAAGAGTTTTTACAATAATAATTTGAGTCCTATAAAAGCAAGAACAACAGCTTTGACATTTGATAAAAATTTTTGCCAAATTCATGATTAGTCATGAACTATTGTAATTCAATTAAAGGCCTCATGGCTGATATCTAATTATGGTTTAGTTCCCACAACAAATAAAGATACTAAAAGCCCAATCGTACTGTCTATCAGAATTTTAAATCTTAAAAATCAACACTAAAAATTGAGCTTCAAAAGTATTGTTTATATAAAAAAAATACAGCTACATTATGCATTTGGATTAAATTTAACCTGCCGAAAACTTCATATTTATAAAGATTTCATATTTTTCAATGCATAATTATAAGAATAATTCTCACTGATTTTAACCTAATTACTAGGTTCTGAAACATTATTGAAAAATTAATATGAATCGTAAAAGCAATAAGCACGCTTAAAAATTTTAAAAATAAATACATGAGAAATCATCCTTATTCATTATTTAAAGCTCCATAATTTTTAGCACAAATGTGGAAGAAATAATGAATAAGCTCATACATATTGGATCAGTTTTATTGCTTCTTCTATGGATTTTTATCAATATAATTCTCTATGAGGTTCCAGGAGAAGATGATTCAGAGCTAAATGAGCCTCTAGACGTTGACGCCGACATTTTGATTGATTCTTCTCCAGAGCCTGACAGTGAAAACCAAATTGATTCTCCATTAGATTCAGATCTCGAAATCAGCGAAATCCTTAGAAATAATCGTTTAAGTATATTAGATGATGAAATTTCTATCAACCCACTCAAATTGGCTTGCAAGCCTGAGTCTTTTGGATATAGTGAGGAAGAAGCCTCCCTTTTATTCCCAAATATTGAATACCCAAGGTGCGAAGAAAGGTTCAAATCAAGCCCAGAAATGTTTTATATTGACCGCAAGGACAATACTTTGCATATGAATTGTACTGGAAAAGTAGCTTTAGGGGCGACAGAGTATAATGAAGAATTTGGAAAATACCAATTTGCTATACCTTTTTATAAAGATTAATTAATTAAATTAATGATAAACGCTATGGGAGTATTCTCTATAAATGAATATAATATGATTACAGAATATGGAGGGCCCATTCCACTAGAGACACAGGAATATGCGTTTGGGACCTGCGATTTTTTTAAAAAGACAGACTTCGAGCATGTTGCTTATAAGTTAAAGCCAAAAGAGCAGTCTTTGCAAAGAGCTAAAGCTTCTTTGCGAAGCAAACCTATAAATATTGTTATGCTGGTATTAGACTCCGTTTCTAGAAGGATGTTTTTTACTCCTCCTATCTTTTTTATGAACGAAGATTTTTTATAAAAATATTTTGCATAAAATTTATAAATTCAATTTATTTTTTATTTATAAAATTCTCCAATAAATTTAAATGTAAAATTTGTTAAAACAATTGAGGAAGATTAGAAAACTCCCTAAATCGTTTGAATTTTTAAATTCAAATGCAAAAAATTTTTCATTTTTTGATTTTAAGCTTCATCACGTTATGGGCCAAAATTCTGCAGCAAGTTTTATGCCTACTTTTTATGGAGACATGGAATTTATACAGATTTTAATTAAATAAAAATTATTTAATAAAATTTTTAGTAGCACCAATACTATATTAAGAAAAAAATTAAAATATCGATATTTTTGACACAGTTATTTTTTGCTTTTAATTCAATATAATAAAATATGGGCAGCAAAGAAGAATACATAGCGGAGATTTGTTTTATAATGTCTCTATATGAAAATATTTCCATGAGCGAGGATTTGTGACGATGATGGGAATGGATAATTGTGGGGATAATTTGGCAAGCTATATAGGAAGAAATCCTAAAGTTGATCATACGATGGGCTCGCTTTGATGTGCAGCTTATGCTATGTATGGGTATATGGAAAGTTTAAAAAAGGAAAGATGCATTGGAAATAAAAATGCTCACGCTTGGATGATGGACTATATTTTGGACTTTTCAGAAACCTATAAAGATGTATCAAGGTATACTTATATGCATATAGATACAGCACATGAGGAAACAGGAACTGTTGTCTCTACAATAGATTTAGACTTAAAACATTTCCTTCAAGATTTTACTAGCAGAAATGAAGATTATGTATTATTCCTAATGGGAGATCACGGGATGAGATATGGGCCATGGTTTAAATCAAAAGACGGCTCACATGAGCATAGATTGCCACTTTTATTAACAATAGTGAAAAATTCCGTTTTGGAAAATATTCCTAACAGTGCAAAAGCCTTGTTTCACAATTCAAATAGGCTCCTAAGTATTCTTTTTTAAAATTACTATTGCCATAATTGTAGATTTATTAGAAATTTTGCCTTTTTTTTTTAACCTTTTATATCCATTTTTCCAAAATTAATCTAAACCAGCATAAACTTGATTTCCACACAACTTTACAACATTTTGCCAACTACCCTGACATGGAATTCAACAAAACTGAAATCAGAAAAAAATCTTCAACAACTAAAAAGACTTACAATCTGTTCCACGATTATATCCCTTCAAGCAGAACTTGTGAAGATGCTGGGATCCCTTCTTATTGATGCAGCTGCAAGCCTTTTAAGGAAATTACTGGGAACCAAAACTCAAAACAATACAACTATTTAACAGTTAATGTTATAAAAGAATTTAATACAGAAAATAAAGTCGAACAAGACAAGTACTGCCTAAAGCTAAATTTAGATAAAACCGCATATATAGGAAAAATGGAAGACGGAGATGTAGATTATTATAAAATAAAATTTACAGTCATAGAGAAAGCTTCAGCACTATTTGAGGTAATTATCAGACTTTCAGATAATAAAATATGGCGTCTTCGTCTGGGCATGGCCTCCCGGCCATGCATACTCGACTTATATTTTATTTATATCCGGTAAGGTTTTACTACTTCAGAAATGGACAGCAATGCTAGGTAAGCAATTCTGGTTGTGTTCAGAGCCTAGCCCAAGTCTAAATTCAGAGGTGGTGTTTTTTCCTCGTGGGGAAGACGAGCACGGAAGTTGGAAAGGGGAAGCCCAGCAGAGTCCTCAGGACCAATCGGGCAACTCCCTAGCGTGAAACTGGGCGTTACGTCCCAGGCTTTCGAGTTCCACCTTCTACCGACAGTCGACCAGAAAATCCATTTTTTATGGATTTTCGGAAAGACAACCCACGTATGTGCGAATCCCTCGTTTGAGGCAATGAGGAGGGTGTCCGCCGAGGCCTCACCATAGGCGATGAGCGTGTAGGGGTGCAAATCCCTGGCCCTGCAAGTGCGAACGGCTAATCTTAATCTTAATCTTAATCAGACTTTCAGAGAAAAAAATAACAAAAAAAGAAGCTGAATATTTTGACGTAAAAAATATCACTTTTGGGGAAATGAAATATTATAATATTATGAACGTGAATAGGCTGGACTCGTATGATAGTGTCTGCAAAGACGAAATTGTTAGCAAGGGATATGATCCAACTTATTGTATATGTGATGAGCTTGAATTTATGAGAAATTCCATTAAAGGCACAGATGATGAGAATAACTCAAAAAATCCATAAATCATCAATAATTAAGAAATAGCTATATATTTTTTTATAGAGGAATAAGATCGTAAATCACTAGCTCCACTCCAATAAATAAGCAAAATTTGGCCTGCTATAGAAGGGTCTTGCACAAAAATTGCAAATAATAAATTTTATATGATCAAATTTAGTATAAGTCAGATAATAAGAAAATTCTGATTTTACAACAATTAATTTTTTTTTAAGCCTCATGACATAAGCAAAACTTTGGTTATTATTAGCGGGGGTAAGGATAATTCTACATGAATTCACTATAAATCAGTATAATTATTTCATTAAATTAAAACTTTATTTAAAATTTTATCATCAGCAATATTCTAGTATCTAATCTGTAATAATCTTCTAATTTAGCTCTTTATAATATAATTTTATAGGCCGTTCTCTTTAGTGTACTCTGAAATCTTTAAAATAATTTTACTTTAAATTTTAACATTTTCTATCTGCCTACAAAACCTGATGTAAATAAAGATTCTAAATTTCTGTATTTTATTTTAAAGGAATTGTGATAGATAAAATTATGAGTGTTTCTTATAAGAATTGCACAATGAATCATCTTAACAGGCAACGGATCTTGCTGACGTTGCGAAGCATATTACGGAGGGACTAAATAGGCTCGTATAAATGATTATTTGAAGAGCTTCTTAATTAGATCTATAGAATAAGATGAACTCTGTAAAAGATTAAATTTCTGGAACTAGGTCAGACTTTACATAACTTTATTAAATTTTCCATACTTATGGCTAAATCAAAGTAAAATGAAATAAATTATATCGTTTATCTAGATTTTTTGAATTTAAGAACTAATTTTTGCCTTTTCAAGCAAAATAAAAAACTGCCACTATTCCTGCTAGTATAGAAGCCTCAATAATGACTTTTCCAACTTCAAAATATCATTTTTGCTCCTCTTCATGATGATTATTGTTCCAAATAGGATCTTTTAATTCATTCCTATTCAGTAATTCAATTTCAACTGAATAAAGATTATGACCTTTTGGACATAACGTGATAAATTTTTTAAAATGCTCCTCATCAAATCCATCCCCGCAAGACGCGAAAATTTTTCTAGGGAAATTTTCTTGAAAAAAATAATCATTTGCGCTTGTTTGAATAGGATACAAGAAATAGCAAGATCCATTATAAACATAAATAGAAATCGAAAACTCACATCCTTTCTTAATGATTTTAAAAATTTGTCCATTTTCTTTCCTAATGTATATGCTGACCCAGAGCTTTTCAGAAACTTTCCTTAAATATGACTCGGCGCTGTCAAAAGGTGAGAAACATAAGGATAAATCTTGGAAAACCTTAATAAAATTGGGATCTGTACTTGCATTATCAAGGTAATCTATACCTTCAGATTTCAGTCTTCTTACTATTTCTAATGAGCTTTCATATGAATTTTGGAATGAAGGATGAGCTTGCTGGGAATAGATGAGTTTTTCAAATAATCCAATATCAGATTTGCTATAAATAAAACTCGATTCTAATTTCCCATTATAGGTAAAATTTTATGCTCGCTTAATAGGGAGTTTTATATTTAATTTCAAAAATCCCAATGCTACTTGAGAATTGCGATTATAATTTATACCAAAATTCATATATTAAAACACGTTTTTAATGCTAATTCTCCAAAAATAGGACTTTCTAATGTTTTGCTCCAGGCGGAGTAAATAAACAAATAAAAAAGTCTGATAAAAGTCTTCACGCAGTACAGATCTAATGCTATGAATTTCGTCCCCATGGATAATCTCATCCTCAATGAGGCAGTTATGGAAATCTGTGCGATTACCAAGCGATGAGATTCGATTATAATAGGTCATATTAAAAATTATAGAATTTAGACAAAGAATATGGTAATTTGAATAAAAACTATGAAACTTCTAACTTCCAATTAATTTTTGTGGTTCTGGCTACCGGTGAAATGTCAGGGAATTTATGATTTTTATGAGTTTCTACGCCTGGCTCTCTGGAATGGATACTTACAGCGGAAAATCTTCTTTGTCTGAAGTTTTCGATGTTAGGGAAGTCTTTAAATGTGATTTTTTCTCTGCTTTTAGAAGAAACTAATGAAATCGTTGAGGATTTTAGGGTGTTAAAACGAAGCCATTTGTGTGTGAGGGCTTCTCGTGGGCTAGGCCTTTGAGACGGGTGGGATCTTGTCAGCTGCAGCACCATTTCTATAGCATTTTTTGAAATATTGCGCCAATAGGCATCATGGAATTGGATAAGGCAGTCAATGTTTTTTAAAAGGGTTTCTTTAGGGGTTTTGCCTCCAAAAGGAGCTTGGCCTGATAGAATCATATATAAAATAATCCCGAAACTAAATACGTCTACTTTCGGCCCATAAGGCAGTTTTCTTAAAATTTCAGGGGCTACGTATCCTGGAGATCCGCACTTTTTGGTTAATTCTTTATTTGCGAAGCAGGCAAGCCCGAAATCCGCAAGCTTGAAATCTATATCAGTAAGCTCTGACTCTAATAAAATATTTTCAAGCTTGATATCTCTATGAACAACGTTCATTGACTTAAGGTACCCTATTAAGAATAAATAGTAAATAATATTTGATTAAAATAAACTAAAAATAGTAAAAAATTATACTATGATTTATGATAAATTTAATAAGAAAATTATAATCCAAAATCCCCAAAAATTTTGCAGTAAATTTAGCTGCGCTTTCTTCATGTAAAGGACCACGCTTTAGTAGCCTATCTAGCATACTGCCTCCTTCCATATAATCTAAAACTAAATACACGTGATTTTTCCCTTCAAAAACTTTATGCAATTTTACTATCCCAGGATGGTCAAGAGTTCTCATGATTTCTATCTCATTGCATAAACCGTTCAAGCTGCTTGCACTCTGGAGGAGTATTTTTGGTATGCATTTAATTGCATAATTCTTTGAATCTTCTAAGTCTTTAATCCCAATCCATTAAATAGGAACAAAAAATCCTATTACAATTTAAAGGAGATTATTTTTATTTTCAAAACAAAATTATATTAAATTTTTCATATAAAACAAAATTTTTAAATAAATAAGCCATTATTTTAAATTTTTTATTTTTATGAAGAATTCATATAAAAAGTAACCTATTCAATAAGAAACTTACACTTTTTCTCTTACATTCAATCAAAACTAGTTATGTGAAAAATGAATATTTTTACCATAATATTTACCTTATAAAATGATTTATTGCAACAAAAATTGAAAATTTTACCCGATATATTTATTGTTCCCAAATAAAAGAAAGGAAGTCAGCTAAATATACATGTGAAAAGCTTCCTGAGCCTATTAATTTTTTGAACTCATATTCGTGCTTTATGTCAGTCATGATCCCTATTTTAGATAAATGACTTAGCCATAAATCTAATTGATCAGAAGTAAAGAATTTTTTAAAAATATGTCAATTATAATGGTACAGAAATTCCCTGAACTCTTCTTAAAATATAAGGAATGATAAGCCAAGCAAAGGCATGGCTTATGCGAAGAGAAATAATAGCCCAAGAAATTATAATAAATAATTATCAGAAGTAGCGGTATAAAAATATCGAGACACAATCCCTTGCCTTAGCCGAAAGCCATATTTTATACCAGTTGTGCTTTCCTCAATAAATGGTTCGGTCGTCTTCCATTTTAAACTCGAAAATTTTGTGATTTTGGAAGAAGCGCTACTTGAACGCAAAATTGAGGACTTATTTAAATAGAAATATCTTTCTTTCAACACTTCTGAAACTTTTAGTTCCATCAGACTTCCTTGATAAATAATTAAAGAAGTCTCTGGCTCTTTGTAATCTTCCCAGAAGCACATGTCTGTTGTCTGATTAATGTTGCTGAAAATTGACGCCATCAAAGTATTTATTATAGTGTGTAATTTGTTTTTGCCTGCCAGTAGGCTTCATAAATGGCAAAGGAGAGAGAATCCACTGTCTGCACTGAAAACCGCTTTCAAAAGGAAGCTTAGAGAATTAAAATATTAATTATTTTAATATTATTATTTAGCTTGATAGGAATTTATCATGTTTTTCTTGAATTATGTTATTTTTTACAGTCAAAATTGGCTGCTTTTTAGCAAATTAATAATATAGCGATATTAGAATTTTTATCATTCTTTATAATACACATACTGTGAGCAGAGGAAGGGGTTATATTAGCCGGGAGACAAATCCAACCCCCGACTCGCCCTTATGGGCGAGTTTTATTAAAATGGCAGAATCTAGACTAGGTCTTCCTCTGGACTTGCCCAAAGTACCGGTCTAGTCTTGACTGATGCACACAATTGTGAGCAAGCTATTCTATATTATCATAAGAAGGCTTGATTTGAAATTAAAATTAAAAGAAGCATAAAACCATTTTTATTTAAAGGTGAATTAAAAGCAATTCAAGAAAATCCAACCAAAGACATTTTTGTGGCTAATTTTCGAGGTAAAATTTAGAGTTCTTCTCTAAATTTTCAATGATAAGGGAATATGCAAAAATTGACCATTAGGAGTTTTCCATACAAATTTAGCTAGTTTACTAGAACCCAGCCAATAAAATCGGAATTATTGCAGAATCTGATTATTCATAAGAAGATATTGAATTAATTAAAATCGATTAATCAAATTATTAAGTTAAAGAATGCTAAAAATGGATATGCAAAAGTAGGGATTTAATCAGTCTCATTTGCTACTCCTCTCGCAATATAAGAATAATTTTTCATTTAATATAAATATTAATGATTTTTTAAAAAAATTAGCAAATTAAATTTATGGAATTTAAGCATTTTTTGAAATTTTTATATGGAAAATAGAGACTTAAGAGAAAGCAGAGTAATAATTTATTAGACTTAATAATTATAATGTTAGGGTTAATAATATTTCTAAAGTTAAATTATAATGAACAGAATTAATTTATTAATAGTTAAATTTATTTAGTATCAGAATTTAAATTCTTATAAACAAAATTTTAAATATATTGTTTAAGATAGATTATATATATTATTTTTGTTTTATAATAAGGATTTTTGTATTTTATTAAATTTTAAACTTAAAGCTTTAATTAATTCATATTGAATCTAAAAGAAATCATTATTTAAAATAATATAATTTATTCGATTCTGGATTTGATGATTTTAGCAGTGATAGAATGATAATTTGATTTTCTAATTAAAATGATTACAGGTGAAATAAATTTAAAACTAAAATATTATTCTAAAAAATATTTTATGTAAACTGAATAATTTAGAAAATTAGGATATAATAGCTGACTGACTTTCCCTTGTTGCTCCTATGAGATTTTTTAAATTTTATATAATTTTATTTTATCGGAGTTTTTTAGTAGCTCGAATACCAAAATTTTAGAAAAAAAATAGTTTAAATTTATAAAATTGACGCTTTAGAGTGAAAGTTGTTAAAATTTAGAGATTTAATAATAAATAACATTATTACTTAAATTTAAAAATATTTTTTATATTAAAACTAATTTTAGCACACTCATAGAATTTTTTTCCCCAAAAATAGGGCTTTTTCAATGGTTTATTTACGAGGAGAGAAATAAGGAAGATGAAAAGTTTTAATGCTCCAAAAAGATTTTTTTAACCTATATGCATATAATCACCATGGATTTTTCATCTTAAGCAATATTAGCATTGAAAATTTAAAATCTTTCTGATTTATGATTTTTCTATTAAAGCTTAATTCAGAATAGAATTAAATATTAATTTTTACTTGTGACATATTTATCAAATAATCATTGAACTGAACTATGTAGTCTAAAAAATCTTAATCTCCCTTTTCCCCTAGTGAACAAAAAAATTTTGTTCGCTAATATTTTTATAGTAAATGTTTTTTTTCGTAATATGAAAAAAATCCAAATTCGCAAGATTCGAAAGCAAATATTAATTTAAAATTTATGTTTTTAAAATTCAAGCTGTTTATAATTAAACAGAACTAGCTAGAGATTTCATTATAATAACTATCACTTATATATTAAAATATTTTCATAAAACTTTTATATTGTTCCTTCACAGGTTAGGTTTTTAGGCAAAAAATGAGATTTTTCCAATGATTTTGTTCACTCACAGAGGGTAGTTAGGGATAACACCGATTACAAAAAAATAATTTTTTTAATTATTGTAAAAAATATTATATGTGCATTAAACCATCACTCATTCCTAAATTTGAAATAAAAACTTTCCCGCAAAATTAACTTTTTAGCTTAAGCACTAGCAATCTTAATCTCATTGTTTAATGGAATTTTCTACATATATACTAAAATAATTATAAAAATTTTTTTAATAGGGCTGATTTTGATGAGGGTAATAATGTCTAAGAATTCGGAGTTATAAGGATAAAATAAGGAATACTCTTAAAATTGTACGCTAATACTAAGAATATTTTAATTATTAATTCAATAAAGTGAAAAAAGGAAAAGATATTCGGAGAAAGCCTTAAATAGCATAAAGATTCAAATATCTTTGGAGAAAAAAAAAACTCGAAACCAATTGAAAAATTGAAAGGATTTGGAATTGTCATAGATAATAATTTTTCTATTTATATGAGCTTATTCGCTAATATTGCCATTCTTTAAATTGATAAATCAGAGAATCTTTTCATAAATTGTTTATCCTTATTTAAGCTGGAGATATCTATTTCTCAAAAAATCCAAAAATAAGTCAAATTTAATTTTGATCAATTATTATTCGTTGCAGACAAATAAAATTAAGGTATAATCATAAAGCTTACAATCATCAAGAGTTGCTATATGTGATCGAAGAATAAAATCAAGCAAAGCAGCCTGAACATACAAAGTCATCCTTATATATATTATAAACTATAAAATAAATTAAACTCAAATATATAACAATTCTAAAATTAATTAAAATAGCTTTTTACAGAGGTTTAGCAATATTTAAAAACGAGATGTCAAGCAGCTTTTAAAGCAGCCATAATTAAAGATTGCTTATTTCTCTGAAAATTAGAATCCTTTTGGTGATCTTAAATATCAGAAAGTTTATAGAATTATAAAATATGAGATAAAAGCATAGAAATTAGTAATGGAAAGTCAAGAAAATTCTGAAATAATAAAAGAAAGCTTGATTGCTCTAGGCTTTGAAGAATGGAAAATTAACATCATCCTCTCATTTGCAAATTCTTGTGAGCAAGCCATTGATCTTATTTTATATAATGATTGAGATTCAATTGATTTAGATTCTATAAAAAATGAACCTATTGTACAAACAGAAAACTCAATCAATCCTGAATCAGCCGGAAATAATGCAGAGATAATAAAGAACCTACGGGAGATGATTCCTGGCTGTGAAGAATTACATGAAAAATTGATGCAAGACATAGTCACGAATGATGAAAATAAAGAGAAAATCTATTTAATGGCCCGAGAAATGGGCTTTGACGATAAAAACTCAAGGTGAGCAGCAGATCAATTTGATAATTTGGAAAGCGCTGTAAGTTATTTAGCAGAAAGGGCTAAAGCAGACGAATTAAGCCAAATAAAAACACAGATATACATTACTGCTAAAGAAATGGGCAAGGATGAAGCTACAGCTACGAAGGCAGGGTTTGAATTTGACAGCCTTGAAGATGCTATTAAATTTTTGTCAATAGAAGAAGAAGTCAAACAATCAGAAAATATTACAATAAGTCAGCCTAATGAAGAAGAAAATTCTAAAAAAATCAATGAAACTAATCAATTCACTGAAGAAACACCAATTGCTGCCTCACGGTCATACACTGGTAGAGAAGATGAAGGAGAAATTTCAAGTGCAATAAATAATGAAGAGAGATCTATTTTAAATACTCAAGATTCTAGCATGCAGAACCAAATAAATTCTAATCAAGGGAATGGAGAGTTTATGTTCGAAGATTTAGAAGGCTTTATTCATCAAGGAGTAAAAATCTCAAACGAGCCCAGTATTCAGCCTCTATATTATACTGATTATGAAGAAGTATATGAAGAAGAGGAATGTGAAGAATATGCAGGGCAAAATTTATATGCAGCGGAAAATGCTGATAATTATGAAGGTGATTTTAATGAAGAAAATCAGCCCGACGAAATGGGACTTGAAGAGTTTGGCATAAGAGTAGAGGATATAAGTGAGGAAAGAAAAGAAAACGGTGGGGAAAGGTGAATTTCTTCTGAGCCAATAAACATTAATGGGGAATATGTAGAAGGGATAGATAGAGAGCACATCATGGATATTTTAACTCACCCATCTGTAAGCGAACAAAACATTAGAAAATCCCTATTTTTTGCCCAAAAAACCCACCCTCTGTGAGCAAACAAAATTTTTTTTAATATAACAATTTTTTATGAAAAAAGATTTGATATATAAGTAATAATTATTATAATGAAATCTCTAGCTAATTCTGTTATTTTTAAACAGCTGACATTTTAAAAATAAATTTCACAAATTAAATTAATATTTGCTTTAAAATTACTTTGAAATATGTATTTTTTAAATTTCAAAAAAAAAAAATTTGCTATAAAATTTATATATAAATTTTTAAAAAAATTAACCCCGAAACAAAATTTTTTGTTTGCTCAAGGAGCGGGGGAGTAAGCAATATTATTCCTGTAACAGGACTATCTGAAGAAGCAAAGTCAAGAATTGTTGAGTTCATGTATGACGGCGAAATTCTTTGTAAATTAAATTAAAATAAGAATTCGGCCATAAGTTGCAACCCACTAGCCATCGCCTCACCTCGGCTCAGCCACAGCTCCAGAACGAGATTCTGATGCTACCATACTTCGTCCGACACCATTTTGGATTTCCGACCTGGACCACCTGTCCAGAGGATTAACTCCCTTGGGCAGAGCCAGTGTCTGTCGAGTGCCCCGATGGTATGGATGAGGAAAGACTATGTGTTAGGCAAAACATGTCTCGCGCATCCGGCAGGAACAGAAAACCTTCGGGGAAGAAAACAAAACTTTCCTCTTTGGCAAGGCATCCCCAAGCCTGAAGGCCTAGCATAAGAGGGACAGAGGCCCTACTTTCAGCTTCATCATGATGGGTCCTACCTTCTCCATAGGGAGTGCACCTCGAGTCCAATTTCCGTCAACGTCACCTTTTTATTTATATTCTTTGTAAGGAATGTGTCATTTGTTGTGACAAATTCGAAGAGAAGGACGTTCTTTATAAACTACCATGCAGTCACATTTTCCACAAAGACTGCTTCTTGAAGTACGCTGAGAGGAGTGAGAGTTGTCCCTTAGATCGACAAAAAATTTAATTGTGCTATAGTCTCTAAATAATTGATAATTTGGAGCTGCAAGAATTTTTATTAATGTAATATCAGAAAAATTATTAAAATTGTTTTTCGAATTTTAATCGATTTCTCATGAGATTATCGATTGAGATAATTTTTAAATAGGAGACTCAGAAATTATTAACCCAAGCTAACTGCTATTGGATTTGGAGAATGGACAATTAATTAAATGCTTCTTATGAGAAAGTTCCTAGCTACCTTACAGATGAAGATTCAAAAAATACAGATTTTATTTCTACAAAAATAGCAAGCCTAGAAACTTGGGATGACATACAATTATTTTGAAGCTGCCGCTTCCTCTTACGATACAACGATTATATCAGAAAACTGAAAAAATAAGAACTAGAGACAAAAAATGCACAAAATTAAGCTTTATAAATATTCGAATTAATGAAAACAAATTTAGACTTTTCCATAAAAATTTTTAATAAATTTTTATATTAATAATCCCTATTCCATCAAATAATTTATTAAAGCTAGTATTTGTCTAAAAACTTTTATTATCATATTTTTAATACAAATTATATATGAATAAACTGATATATAAAGAGATAAAATAGTAAAGGTTTCAAATAAAAATTATAATGAGTTTTCTAATAGAGACTATAAAGCCCCATAATTAAATATGGCGCTAATAGAAGATCTCCTTACTTTGATTATTGATGATAATAAAGATTCTTCTGATATATCAGAAGGCTGATATTCAAATTCCTCAAGCTATAGACTTACATAAGAAAATAATATTTGCATTTCAGAGATTATTGCATAAATCAGCACCGATTAATATAGATTTTGGGATTAATTGCAATCAGCAATCGAATTTTAGCACATCTTGAGTATAAAATAAATACTGCCAGAGCTTATGATCTTATAGCATGCTTTGCAATATAGTCATACAGCTAAAAGAAGTCATTATGCCAAACTTATAAGAGGTCTATTTAATGCCAGACTACTCCTGGAAGATTCTGGATCAAGAAAGTACGGCCGTGCCCAGATGGTGTCTCCTGCTAGCACCCAAATGGTGATGATTTTATCAGAAATTATATTTTTTTAGATTAGACTGAGATTTATCAGAAATTATTGGGACAGCTTCTTAGAAGGCAGAACATTTTAACCTAATTCTCTATTTAATGTATTTAAAACCTCATTAATAATGTTTAATCCGCATAAAATTACTGAGACTGCTATCATATAATCATGTGAGCATGACCCCTAAAACCAGGCACTGCTTTTCCTCTGTATACTCCATCTAAAGTGACTGTTGTAAAGCCAACTCTTGTAAGAAATTTTACCAATAAACTCTATAATTTTTAATGGAAATAAGGGAAAACGCTGAAATCATTAAATCCAAGCTATTAAATATAGGATTTGATGAATGAAAAATAGACTTAACATTGCAATTTGCAAATTCTTATGAAGAAGCTCTTAATTATATTCTTGATGCAGACTGAGACAATATTAATTTCGTTTCTACAAATATTTCAGAGACAAGACAAAATGAGATGCAAACAGACTATGGGAATTCTGCAACTATTTCTAGTAGAGCAACTGTAAATGAGGCACACAGAAAATCAGGAAATATAATAAAAGAGGAATTAATAAAACAAAAAAGGAGATTTCATCAAGCAGCACAAAATTTAGGCATCAGTGAAGCCACATTTAAAGCAAAAATTGAGAGTGTAGAGACTTTAGAAGAATTGGATAAAGCTGTTTTTGAGTTCATAAATCAGTGCAAGCTTAAAGATAAAATATATACATATGCTTTGGAAATTGGTCTCAGTCATAAAACAGCAAAATGAGCATCAGTATTTTTTGACAATTTAGAAAATGCTATGGAATATTTAAATGAATTATGAGTAGACGAAAAAAAATGTAAAGAGAAAAATCAAATCTATTCCCAAGCACCAAAAAATGAGTCCAATATTCCATTTTTGTCAAGAGAAGAAGAGAATAAGCTTATCACTCCTGTTAATTGAGCTGATGATGAAGCAGATATTAATGGAGATGATGAAGATTTTGATGAGTATCCCCGAAAAATCTACAAAATGTTTAGAGATATTGGCATTGAAGAAGAAAAATCTAGAGAAATGCTAAGAGAATGCACAAATATGAAAGAAGCTAAAGAAATGGCAGATGAATATACAAGATTTAAAAAACATATGCCTTTTTTCTGTATTTTTTTTTGAAATTGATAGTTGAGCTCTGTGCAAGTCCAGTCATATTGATTATAAATTTATATATGTCTAAAAATTATTATCCCGTATATGAACAATTGGGTAATTCCAGCCAAGAAGAAGTCTTTCTCGCCTATAATCCGTTTTATCAATTAGAAGAACAAGAAGAATTTGAAGAAGAAAAATATTTATACAGCGGAGAAGATTTGATAGGATTTTCAGATGGCCCTCGAATATCCGAATATATTTATGAGGAAAATAATAGCAGTGAAGAAGAATTAAATGAAATTAGCTGAGAAAGGCAAGAAATAAGGGATGTGGAAAGAGAGGAAAATATTGGAGAATGATGGATTTCTTCAGATCCAATCATTATTGATGGAATGTATGCTCAGGAAACTAATAGAGAGCAAATTATGGATATTTTAAGTGGAGTAGTCCCTGCAAAAGGGCTATCTGAAGAAGCACGAGCAAGAATCACAGAATTTTTGTATAATGATGAAATTAGTGACGAGAATTGTGTAATTTGCTGTGAAAAATTCGAAGAAAAAAATGTCCTATTAAAATTACCATGCAGTCATATTTTTCATAAAGACTGTTTTTTGGAGTATGCTGAAAGGAGTGATAATTGTCCTTTGGACCGAAAAAAAATTTAATCATATATAGTGCAGGCTTAAGTAATTTTAAGTAAATAAGTTAACTTTAAATAAATCTGTAATAAATTCTTAATCTTGAAGATGGCGCTGCTCGAAAAAAACTATATAATTTTTTTTTAGGATTAGGCTAGAAACAGCGTATTCGAGATTCATTTTAATTTTTCCTCCTAATTGGAGAGTATCAGCTACTAATTTCAATTTTTTTACTTTATGTTTTATCTTATGCTAATAATATGTTTCTTTAAAAAGTCATTATCCTTCTAAATGAAAGAAAATTATAAAAGTTTATTATGCAAATACAATTTAAATGAGCACGTAAAATTAATATGAAAGCAGCACAAACAATTAAGGTTATGCAAATCCTGAATTAAATATAGCTTCAGTAGGAGATCTCTTTCCTCCCCTTGACAAATACAGATGTTCCTTTGATATATCAGAAAACACTAATTAAATAGTAAATACTATTTGCATAACTGCCCTTCATCTGGATATTGTATTAAATATTATTTATAAAGAGAAGGAATAGAGAATCCCCTCTAAGGCGAATAAGACAAAAATGAGCCAAAAGCAGCCAAACAGATTAAACTTATTGAGATGAGTATTTATGAGCCAGCTGAGCCTGGCAAATATCAAAGCAGAAAGAAAAATAAAGCATTTAAAAAGCTCAAGATGAAGAAATTCAAAGCCTCAAATTTAACACAGAAAAAGAGTAAGAAAAATTGATCATTTGAGTGAATGATATTTAAGAGTTAACTACGACTTATGCTCATTAATAATTGCTTGTGCATCTAAACAGAATTTATTATCAAACCAATTCAATCACCGCATCTATATTTCATTTATTTTAAGATCTACTTTAACATTAGCAGTAGATGAAAAATTTGCAAATATTAGCACTTCTAAATCAATATAACTCTTCTAAATTACACTCAGCTTTTATTTTAAGTAGCCCCATAAATTAAAGATGGTATCGATAGGTGATATTCTAGCTATGATCGTTGACGATAATGACTCTTGTTCTGATATTTCAGGCAGTGAAGGCTCAAACTGATCTTCTGGTTCTTATGACAGCCAACATCGTCGTTATAATCATGGCTGCTCAAGCTGCGGATATTGTAGAAGTTGTTATGATAAATACGGCTGCAACAAAGATAGTTTTGACTCGATGGATCTTATTTTCCAAGACGATTGAGAGACGCCAATAGAATTCGTGATTCAAGATACTACAGATCAAAATTATTGAAATAGCTTTTTTTCTGAGACAATTAAATGTACAAAAAATTTTTATTTTAAAAGAAATTCTAAAAAGATGAAAAATGATAAAGTTTTTAAAAAAGCAAATTTGCTAGGAAAAAATAATTGGAAAAATGAAAAAATCCAAAACTTAAAGAGAAAAAGCAGAGAAAAGGCGAAGAAAGTTGACTATTTAAATGGCTGGTATTAAAATCAGAATTAGTATTGCATTGGTTTTAACTCCCGCCATCTTTCGTGAGCAAGCAAAACCATTAGAAAATCCCCATAAAAACGTAAGCGAAAATGTTTTAATGTAAATTTATGAAAAAATATTTTGATAAATCATTGATACTTATGATAATGAAACCTCTAGTTAAATTCTATTAATTTAAAAGAGCTTGCATTTTTAAGCGAAATTTTACTAATTAAATTAATTTTTGCTATCCAAATTTTTTTAAAATTTATATATAAATTAGTCCCTTCATGAACGAACGAATAAAATTTTTTATTCGTTCATGGAATGATAGGGGGAGTAAGATAACTTGCTAATCAGATTTTATAATTCTTTTAAATAATACTATATAAGGAAAAACCTTTAGAAATAATTAATAGTCATTGCTGCAGCTTGAAAGTCAAACCAAGCAATAATTATCTGCCTACTTATTTATCTTAATCTTAAAACTTACCGCGGTCGAACCGCATTTCTCTCGCTTTTCACTTCAAAAACTCCAGAAAACCGCTCCAAACAACAATTCTTCAGCAGCAGCAGCATCATCCTCCAGCAGTACCAGCACACAGAGCACAAAAAACAAAAACAATAAACAAAAACAACAAACAAAAAATAACAACAAACAAAAAAATACAGTAAAAACAACAACACAAAAAAATTCACCTCACAGTCAGCAGCAAGATCACCAACAACAGCCCACAGTCCTTGAAGTTGAGCCCGGAATTTTCTGACGAAATACCGATTAGCACATTCCTCATCCTATATCGGCCTCAGAAAACTCAAGCACAGCTTCACTATTCGTCTTCAATCCTTCCGTCATCTCGCTAATGCTCCACTCCTCCGCCTAAAGCACCCGCACTTCTCTCTCCTCTTCTTGCTTTTGGCGCGAAGCGCCTAAAAATGGTATATTTTTCCTACTTATTTATAATCATATAGCTTAAAGAATATATTTCATAATAAAATGCCAAATCAAAAATTCATTCAAAAATTGAAAAATTATAAGTTTTATTAATAGCTATCCCCTTTACTTGGAAAAAATATAGGCAAAATTTCAATTAAATTGGAACAAAATTAATTTTTCAATGGATTTATATTAGGTGAAAATGCTGATTTTATATAAATAGCTTTAACCTTAATTAATGGAGAGCATAAGAAACACTATACATTAATTTTTAAATGTAATTCTTTGTAAAAATTATAAAATGAAAAAATTCGTATTCAATTTAGAAATTTTTTTAAATTTTATATTTATTTTTTCCAAAATATTAAACTCCTTTAAAAGTATTTGTTTCAATTTAAAGGGGGAATAAACCATTTTTTAGTAACTAAAAAAATATATTGATTAATTATAAATTTAATTATTAAAGTTACAAACTAATATGCTATCTTCTTTAAACCAATATCTTCTATAATGATATCAAACAATTAAAGCCAGCACTCTCTTAAAGCTACTCAAATTCTTCAGAGTTTTTATTTTATTTATAAAATTCATTTTAAATAAGTTTTAAACTATTATTTAAATTATCCAAAAGCTATCTCCTTATTAATATAAAAAATATAATTTTTATATCGTAAATATGAGGAGAAGTTATAGTCACACCTACCTTAATTCTTCGCTAACATCTCCGTCAAATTCGACCTCAAACCAACCTATAACTCTTCAAGGCAATTTATCAAAAAAATTCCCTGACACAAACTCCTCCAAATGGGAAGGCTTATCTTTAACTGGCAATCCCAGCAATGCTAAGCAGTTAGCTGGAATTCGGTCTCCACGACGTTGGGACGAATACAGCAATGGGTCTCGAACTGTAATCCCAAGCCAGCCAGCTACAGAGCCAATTACACCTCGCCGTACAATGACTCCTCGTGCCTCCAATGCAACAGGAAATCTTATGGACATGATTAATAAAGGATACTCCAAAGAAGAACTAGGGACTTACTCAAGAAGAGTCTCTATTAATGGAAAAACTGTATATTTTTTATAATAAATAATCATTTTTATATTAAAAATCTAAATAAATCCATATTTATATAAAAAAAACAATATATTCAAATGCTACAAGCATTGACAATACTGCTTGTAATGAAGCTTATAAAGGAAAAGGCATCTACGCCCCTGGGTTCATTCAAGATCGAAAAATAAGAAAAGAAAGCGGGATTGGCTTTGAAAATCGGCAAAGCCAAATTTCGACCCTCCCTGGCCCACATAAAGAAGCTAAAGAAAAGCCGAGAGAAATTCGTATCAAGCCTGACTATTATTCACACATCTCTGATTTGCCTGGATATTTAACTAAACCAGAGCCTTCAGTTGAAAAAGCAAATCCACTTGTAAAATTGTCAAGACATACAGCGACTTCTATAGAAAAACAAAATATGCTAGGGCAAACACCTGACAAGACTGGACCAAAACGAGAAATAATTCCTTCTAAGAAGCCTGCCGACTCAGAGTTTAATAACATTGGAAAGGAAAGGGCGCTAAATCCTTATAGCACAGGCAAGCTTTCTAATAAAGAAGCCCAACAAAGGCTACTTGGAGCTAGTAACTCTGAATGCACTGATTTCAGCAAAAGAGCTCGGCCGATGTCGGCAAGAGACATGTTTAAAAGCAGCATCCCATTTTTAAGTTATTTTATATCAATTATATAGAGACTTAACAATTTTTTTTTATTAAAATTATTTTTTTTATTGAAAATACTGAACTTTTTATTTAAAATAAACTTGATTCTTCTATAATAATTATAATTCGTCATTTAATTACTTACAAAAACAGCAAAAAATCTTTTTCAAGCTACTTTTTTTAGTTTTTTCAGTCTGTGTGCATTTCACTGAGAGCGGGTGTCTTTCTTCTTGTTCAGTCCCATTGTATTCTTCATTGTGTTTTTCTTCATGATGCTCATTAGAATCATTAATTTGATATGAAATAAAATTATTGTTACTCATTGAATACATCGAGCTGAATTCTTCTGAGCTTTCAGAACCATGAACGACTTCTTTTAGCTTTCTAGGAGGTTTTCTTTTGTGTACTGAAGAGTCCAAAACTGCAGGCTTCCTTTCGTTTTCGTCTTCTGATTGATTTGTAAATTTCATTGCTCATAACTCATTATCGATTTTTCAATCACTTGAAAAGAAATTAATTATTTTTTTTTAAATTCCTTTTATTTTATATAAAAATATAATTATTTTGCTGATACTATGAAAAGTCATTATCAATTTTTAGTCTATTTTTGACAGATTTTCCATTGATATTAATATCTTCAGGAATCGGAATTGTGAAATCAGGATTGCTAAATGAAAACACACTATTATGCCCAAATGACTTAGAATTTTGTATCGAGGAAATATTTTCCCCTGAAGGAAAAGCTTGAAATAGCTTCATTTTCTCTGCTTTCGAGCTATCTAATATTTTCAAATCAATTGATGAGCTAGATATACTTTCCATCACAGAATCTTTAAGTAAATAGCTTACGCCATCCTCTAAGTCGCTGCTTTTCATTTTATTGATAAATCTCCTTAAATCTCTTCTGATATCCTCCACATTAGACTGAAGCGAATTGGTCATTTCTGGCTTTTCTGTGCTCTGGCTACCTTCAATAGCTGCTTTTAAATGTGAGCTTAAATATCTTTCCTCGTTTTCCTCTATTTTTCCTTGAGTTACCTCACTTGGTTCCAAGCTTAAAGTCGGTATATAATTCCCAGTGGTCTCTTCCTCCTGAATAGAGGCAAAAATCCCTTGAAGTTTTGAATTTTTGTTTAAATTGAGCTGAATAAGAGTTGGGATTATCAGAGCTTGTTCTATCTCACTTAAATATTTGACTTTTAGATATCGTTCTTGCTTTAAATAAGTACTATATTGCTAAATAACTCTTACCAAAATCGTAGTCTGGCGTTCCCTTATATCCAAAGCTCATTGTTTTCTATTTTCATCCAAAAATGCTTTTAGGTCATAGACCTGCTTTTTTAGCTTCAAACAGTTGAGCACCAGTCTTGCTTTTCTTTGGTCTTTAGCCCGCTGGAGCTCTAAAGCTTTGGTTTTATTTACATTTTGGGCCTTTTCGATCTGCTTTTTTACCTCTGCTATTTGACGTGTAAGTGTGTCTATGATTGACATATATTTTATTATACTGAATAAATATTTTTTTTTTAAAAAAAAATGCTATTCTTTTTCCCCAGGAATGTCAAAATCTTCATCATCAAGGGACTTTTCCATGAAAATTAATTTAAAATTATTTCACATAGAACTAGAAATCTTCATCCCAGTTCAAGTTTGACCCAGGCCGCTGCTTAGGTGTGATTGATGGGAAAGCTGAATTAGCCTCCTCTTTAGATATATAATCATCCAAATTAAAATGTAAAAGACCTGACTGAGCTGATTCTGTCTCAACTATCAAAGGAATTAAAGGTGGCTTTACCTGCTTAGAAAGCAAATTTTCCCACAAAACAGTGGAAAATCATGAATTTGTTTTTAATTTTTGAATTGACCCTCCATTTCTAAGCGACGGGTTCAGATGAAGCAGCTGCTCAACGAAAACTCGTGCAGGCAAGCTTTGGTCAAGTCAAGAAGGGAACATCAAGTTATGGTCCAAAATTTTCTGGTAAATTGCGAAAGGGTCTTCTTCGTCTTCACCAAAAGGCACACTCCCACATATAAACTCATATAGAATGATCCCCATGCTTCAATAGTCAACTGGGGTCCCATAGCCTTTCCCAGTGATTATTTCAGGGGCCATATAGTGTGGAGTCCCTACAATCGTGAAGGTTCGCCCTTGCAAAATCTTAGCAACCCCGAAATCTATTAATTTCGGGTATCCATCATCGTCGACCATTATATTTTCAGGTTTCAGGTCTCTATAAACAATATCTCGCTCATGTAAATGTTCTAAAATGACGACTAAACAAGATATATAAAACTTTGCGTCACTTTCTGATAATAGCCCCATCTGTCTTATGACATCAAACAATTCTTGGCCTCTTACATATTCTGTCAAAAAATAAATGCGTTTTTCGTCTTTAAAAGTCCTTATCAGCTTCATTATCATTATATGGTCGAGCTGCATCAGGACTTTTCTTTCTAATACCAAATTGTTTTGAATTTGGTATCTGAGGACTTTTTTCCTTTCTACAGTTTTTAAGGCGTAGCAGGTTTTTTTGGACTTATGCATGACTAAAAATACGATCCCAAACATACCTCTGCCAAGGGTCTTTTTGATGATCAAGTCTTGCAAATTGACATTTGTGTCTTGAAGCTGTATTCGTTTGACAAGGAGATTTTTGATGTCATCGTTTATGATGTTTAAAAAATCTTTTTGATGTAAAACCCAGCAGGTGACTTGGCCTGATGCTTTTATGGAGGCAGTACGGAGGTCGTTGTAAAGGACTGATCTTTCTCCAAAGTAGTCATGCTTTGCTACTGTACGAACTCTTACTCCCACTACTTATGAGCGAACAAAATTTTTTTACTCGTTTATAAGGGGTAATTTGCCAACCTATAAAATTTAAAAGGAAAGAGTAGGTTAATTTAGAATTCAGGCTGTCAAAAATTAATAAATATAGTTCGAGATTTTTTATATATTCAATAAATTTTACTTGCTTTAGAGGAAAAATTAAATTTCCCAATGGTTTTGCTCGCCAACAGACCTACAAGTTATATGATTTTTTATTATAGAGGACTTCCATGAATTATGGTAAATAGTGTTTAGGATTATATTAATAATATTTATTATAAAGATTATACTTCAACTCGCCCTGTTTTTATAATAAAAAGGGAATCCCCAGGGTCGTTTTGTTTAAAAATGAAATCTCCGTCCTGGAATTCTTCTAATTTTAAACAGTTCATTAGCCGAATGATTTTATCTTGAGACAGGTCTCGAAAAATCTGGACCTTTTTAAGCACAGCCAAAGCTTCATTTTTGTTAATAATTTCAATAAACTCCCCACCAATTAAAATTTCAAATTCAGCCCTTGATATAACAGCTATATCAACTTTTCCTTCCGCTATAAGTTCTTCTGGGTAAATTTCATTAAAATTTCCAGTTATATCTAAGTCACCTAAACAGCAAAGTGACTCATAGACTTTAGTTCCGGAATGGTTTCTAAGATTTCCTTTTAGTTTTACCCCCCCCCCTCCGTGAGCGAACAAAAAAATTTTGTTCGCTCACGGAGGGGGGTTTAATTTTTTTTTTTTAAAAAAAATTTATATATAAATTTTATAAAAAATATTTTTTTCGAAATTTAAAAAAATCCTAATTTGCAAAAATTGGGAAGCAAATATTAATTTAATTTGCAAAATTTATGTTTTTAAAACGCAATTTGTTTAAAATTAAACAGAATTAGCTCTAGATTTCATTATACTAATTATCATTTATATATCAAAATTTTTTTCCATTAAAATTTTTTCTATTAAAAAAAAATTTTTGTTCACTCACGGAGGGTGGGTTTTTGGTCAAAAAATGGCGATTTTTCTAATGGTTTTGTTCGCTCACGGAGGGGGGGGGGGGGAGTTAGTAAAAATATATAATGCTACCCCTTTTTCAATGCCTGCATTAATAACAATTTGGCCATGCTGGAAAGTATGGACTCTCATACTCCTAATTATAGATTCAACTTGGTCTCTTGCTAAGATAGATTAGATTACGGTGGTTAGTCCCTACTTCATGAAGATCTGTGCATTCCGCAGGCGAACGCCTGCGGGGTGGGCTCCCTCAAAGGCAGCTTGGCCCAGGCCGAAGCTCCTGGCTTCTAGAGACATTTTCCCTCCTGATCTGGAAAATCAATTTTTTCGGGAACCTCTATTTTAAACCCAATCTCAAAAATTTCCCAACCCTAGTAGCTTAGGCCAGATCGTTTACCCTTTTAGACTGGAGAGACTAGCCCTGATATCTTCGTCTAGACTGTCTTCCCTGTTTTTCCCGGATAGTCTCTGAGGGAAACTCAATGCGCTTGCACAAATTCAGGATAGGTCTTAAAAGCAGCTTAGGTAGCTGCTTCACACAAGTCTCATATCTTATCCTATGTATTGTTCCTATCGCACATCATCATACACATTTTTTATAATAATGCGGGTTTTCTTGTGTTATCGCCCCCCCCTAAAGCTGCCTATACAACCTGGCTGTCTTTTCGGTTTCATTTCTCAACCGATGCATCGATTCTTTCATGCTCAGCTCCTTTCACCAAAATCTCGTCCGGATATTATAAGAACAACCCCCACGAAAAGCAAGGGACACTTGTCGCTGGCCATTTTTATGTATACACTTGGTTTCTTGTTAATTGTGAAATATAAGGGCTTCTTTCCAGTGCAATTCGTTGTGTATTTATGTAAAATTTTTAATAGAAAATAGGTCAATTATATAAGACAATCAATTCTTATTTTATATAGAAAAAAAAATGATAGCTTGTATAATATTATTTTGTATTTTTATTGAAAAAATATAAATAATGTGTTGGAGCTTGCTGCCCAGCACTTTTGTTAAAGAGTCTCTCCCAATTGCTAACTCCTCCCCATTATATTGGAACAAAATATAGGAAATCTCCATTTTTTAGGAACTTTAACCCATACATTAAATTGACGTGGTGAATCAACCCACCCTCTTAATTCCTGTAGGCGGCATCCGAAAGGGCTTTGGGGTACTTTGAGGAAGGGAGGCTGGTGTTCGATATCCGTGTCCGGCTAGGTTTTTCTTGATTTGGTGAAGCGCAATGTCAGTTGGCCGACCGCAGTGCTTAAAAGGAGGAGTAAGCACTTAACCTGAGTAATTGCAATAACTGTTGCAGTTCGTACACAGTTATGAAGTAAAGCTTGCTCTCCAAAATAATCTCCTCTTCCCATGCTTCTTATTTCTTGCCCCTCCTTCACACAAGAAACCGTTCCTTCCTTAATAAGGTAAAACAAGTCTCCAGGCTCGCCTTCGTTTACAATCCTCTGCTGTGGATAAAATGCATGTGTTGATAGAGAGCTAACCAGCGCATCTCTTTGTTGTACAGTTAAAATTTGGAAAATTGGCACAGTCTCAATAAAATTGAGATTTTCTTGATAATTCATGGAATTCAGTTGCTCTAGTGTCGTTCTAAATGTTTGTCGGTCAACACCTCAAAGAACTGTTTTTTCTATTGTCTTTATAGTCGCACTTCTTGGGGTGTCATGGAGAAGTGCAAGTTCTCCAAACGAGTCCCCTGGCTTTAGGATTTTTGTCAAAGTTCCATTGATAATTACTTGCAGCTTGCCTGAAGCCACAACAAAAAAATTGCCTCCAGGCTGGTCTTGCATAAATACTATTGCATCAGGGCTCAAAGCGTAATGCTTCATTTTGCCTATTATAAAATCGAGCTGATCCTCAGTCAAGCTATTGAAAATAAAGTGTTTACTCAGGGCATATTTAATATTATCCACTTCTCTTCTTGTTTTATCTTTATCGGTCACCACTGCTGTCGGAGCATCTAAAGTGATTTCTTCTTCTAGCCGAGAATCGAAAGCAGATCCTTTCTTTTTAAAAAGTTTCCTCGCTCCACTGTTTTCAAATGTATTAAGACTGATTTTCTGTTCTTCTTGCACTAGCACTGTGCTAAATCTCCTTTATAAAAATTTTTTAAAATTTTAACACCTTAACACCCTAACACCCTATAATTTTTTTAAATAAAATTTACTCTTTTTAAACTAGAGAGGTTAAGCAAGCTTCTTGAATCGACTGAATGTATTGACGGCTTTGCAATTGACATACAAACTCCCATTTATTAATTTTTCATAATAGAAAAAACATATATTCCATTTTTTATCTCAAAATTTTAGATATCCAACTGTACAGCTAAATTACCCGTGCTAGGTCTTTTATAGTAGCTCGAGGTCGGATATGTATCACGCACTTTTCTTCCACATAAGGTCTTCCAGCTGTTTCAGGTCTCAATGGTGCAGGCGTTATATTAGCAATGCTCAAAGATCCTCGCTGTCGTAAAAATTCCCCTTGCACAATTTCTGATGTTTGTGGCCTTATTACATTAAAATAGCTTCTTGGTACAACGGGTTCATCATTGCATGGTGTTTCATCCTCATCAGCAATTTTAGACACATTCATACGTGGCCTTTGTGTTTCATTTGCTACCGTTTCAGGTCTATCTTTAAAACTGAAATAACTTCTATGGTTTCCTTGAGTCATAGGCCTTACATTAGATACAATATTTTCAGGGGCAAGCTGCATTCTTAATTGCGACTTAAATGTTGTTTCAGGCGGCTGAGACAAAACCCTAGACAATTGATGTGTTTCTTGAGAAATTTTAGTTGTGCTTTCATTTGTTGTGATATTTGTGGATAAGATAGAATTTTCAGTTTTGTAACAATTGCGAGGATCTGGCTGCATGATCGGTTTTCTGTAAAGTTTTTTTATAAATAATGGGACTTCTGTTAGCGCTTCTTTAATTTCAGGCCTTTTGTAGCTGTTTTTATCAAGAAACTTCATTATAAAGCTTACTAATTTCGGAGAATATCTCGCAGGCAGCTGCCGAGGTGCTTTATTCAGAATATTATACCCAAGAGTAATCAAATTATCTCCTAAAAAGGGCAAATCCAATGCAGCAATATTATAAAGCACACAGCCTATAGCTCATATATCAGCTTTATTCCCATAAGGGTGCCTTCTTACCTGTTCAGGACTGAGGTAAAGTGGAGTTCCTACGATTGACGTATGCATCTGCTTCGTCCTTGTCATTTTTGACAATCCTAAATCTCCTATTTTTATCCTTTTCTCATAATAATTAATATGGTTGCGACAAAATATGTCCTTACTGACGATGCACCACTGAGCACCACAATGGCTTTATAGACTAGGCTCTTTTATTCTAACACTAAAGTGCGCTGTATATTTGCCGTATGGTGGGTGGCTTTGGGAGTCAGCTGGTGGCCATTCTAGTCCAAGTATAGTTACCCGGAATGGTTTTTTAGCCAAAGTTCTTTTTTCCTGCCGGTTTCGGGGGCGTGGCTCTTTTCCTGGGTTTCACCCCTTCCTCAAGGTAGCCGAGAGGAGGTTTTGGGCTACCTTTGCCTCCATGTCACCTCAAGACGCTCAGCACAGAGGAGTTTTTCTAGCCCATCGTCGAGACTCAAGAAAGACTAGTGCAGACCCAACCCTGAGGAGACCACTGCAAACCGCTGCTACCTCTGGCTAGTGGAGGTCCAGTGTTCGAAGCGTACAGAGATATCAAATCTGTAAGATCTAAAGACTCTTAATTTAATTTTCTCATTGTCCAGAAAGATATTCATGCATTTTATATCCCTATGCAGGATATTGTTGGAATGAAGATAATTAACTGCCAGACAAATTTCGTATGCTCATGTCCATAATTGGCTTTCATCAATTCCTTTACGTTTTTCTTTTGTTTTCGAGATAAAGCTTTGTAAATCGCCACCAGATGCATATTCCATGAGGATGAATAGCGTTTCGTCCTTTATTATGCTGTTATAGTAACGGATTATACTGTTTTATTATGATTTTTTAGTAAATTTTATATACAAAAATAAGGGTGTTAGCCTAGAATAAAATTAACGATGACCCCCCCTCAATCTTCATGTCTATTGCAAATTTTTTATTATAAAATTTTATATAAAAAAAAATAAATTTTCACGCCTCTTGAAACCAATTATATACATTAAAATGTGACACGTGCCAAAACTGCCCTCTTGGCGCAGCAGTCCAGACCTTATGGCTACGGCGAACTGGGACGGACTCCGAGCCGAGAATCAGACGCAGGCTCAAGAAGTGTGTATCCGGGTAGGTTTTGGCTGCTTTCCTGTGGTTGAAAATGGAGGGGCTCAACAACGTCCTTTGGATCCGAGGACCCATGGGCATTCCCTCTACCGAGAAACTGGGGGTTTCGGCCCAGGCCACAGGGGAACAGTCTTTTTCCTGTAGCTATCGAAGGAAGGCTCTTTGGCACCTGATAGACTCCAAGGATCCATGGAATCAAGCTACTCCAATCGCCTATAGCAGGGCCGCAGAAATCCACAGGTCACCCACTCAAGACTGAAGCCGCAAGGAGGAGACAGAAGGTGCCGGAAGAGCACTCGCAAGAGTGATAGACTCTCTGGGCTGGAGTCGAAAAGCGTTAGAACCTCCAGTACGGGAGGTCTTTGGTGACTGCGTCACCAATATGGCTAGCGCCTTCTGTAATAATCCTAATCCTCTTGCAACAAATTTTCGATGCGCATCTTAAATTTTCCCGTCCTTTTTAGCTAGATAAGTTTAATAAAATGGCGAGCGATGGCAATAGCCGTCCAAATCTCGATGAGAAGGCCTACAGCAGCGCTGTTTTATGGTTTTTTTTGAGAAACTCACCTAGAGAAAACTGCATTAATTTTTTTTATAAAAATGTTGTGTTGCAATAGGCATGAAGATTTTTTCGAAGAAGATTGAGGGGGGGGGTCATCGTTATATGTGCTCATGACTAACCGTGCTCAAAATTTCTACTTCTTTTTCTGCTTTATTTTGCTTATTTTTCGACAGATTTGAAAGATCAATTGCTTTTATTACATAAAACCTACCATTTCCTTGGTGCTGTACTTTGTACACAATCCCTGAAGTGCCTCTGCCTAGTTCTTTTACAACTGCAACACCTAATTCTTCCATATAGCGTAACTTATATTAATATTTTTATTTTATCATTACTCTTTAACTCCATTATTAAGTGGCCTTGTGGATACTCCTGTGCTATAATAAGCAGTAGACATAAAAAAAAAACTCCAAACGGTAAAAGATACTAATTTTTCCTATAAAAGTGACTGTAATTTATCTTTGGCTATTTTTTCCTACCCCTATAATAAGGGCGTCATTTTCATTTTTTTTGTTTTCCTCAATTGGCTCTATTTTATCAGTATTCTTAGTCAGCTTATCAGCCAACGTCGGATGATAAAGCTTCATATAGCAATGGACGATATATAAAGGGACAACACAAATTCCAGTCGATAAAATAATCCCGCTCCAAAAGCTCATGGTTGAAAAATAGTCAGCTGTGCTTGCGAAGACCCAGGCATCAGGAACATTGTCATAAATAAACACAAAGGTGGGGCAGTATAAGATGAAGCCAAGACCCCATATGACAAAATGCTGAAACCAGGTCCAATAATGCATATAAATTATGAGGACAAAGTTGACTATACAGACGACTGACGTGTACATGCATACACTTAAAGCCCAGTGACCTTCAGTTGCGCCTCAGTCATTCATAGCTTGTTTATAGTAAATTCAGCTTGGGATTATATAGACAACTAGGCTGCAAAAAATACCATATAGTAGCCAAATAATGAATTTTACAAGAGTTAGAGGCTGCTGAGTCTTGGTTTCCAAGTACAGTTGAGGCCAAAAGTTCTTGATTCTAGGATTTATACGATAATTTACATCTTGGTCCCACAATGAGTACATAACAATCCCAGCAGCTGTGGTAACTGAATTAAATAGCAATAAATATCAGTCATCCCAAACTGTTTGTCCACTATACCCATTTCTAGTGCCAAAATATAGCTGTACTAATGTGAAAGAAATATTTTTGTAAAAAAAATAAAGGACGTAAAACCCTATTCTCCTTAAATTTCACCTACCATGCACAAACATAAGATGCCTTAGATGTCGGAATTCACAAATAGCGAAATCGCTACAGTCTGCAGCTTGGTGGCCTTCTTTGCCAAAAATTCCTATACCTATGTGAGCGGCTTGGATCATGGAGACGTCGTTTCCTCCATCTCCAATTGCTAGGGTAACTGCATGTGGCTGGTGGATTTTTATGAATTTCACGACTTCAGCTTTTTGCTTGGGGTTTGAGCGGCAACAGATTACAGATTTGCTGGCTTGACAGAGGCTGAAAAAGTTAGGGTGTTTTAGACAGGTGGCTAAAGCGTCGCCTTCTATTATTAAAGCAATTGAGTTTTGTTGAGTTTTAAAGCTAGGAAATAGGCCGGGGGAAATATCTTTATTGATATTGGCTAAGGATTTTTCGATATCTTCTTCTTTTTGGTTAAGAATATAATAAGTTGCCCAGTTTTGGTTCAGCAAATTGCAAGCATATGCAATATTTTCAGCAGTCTCCACCTTATCTCCAGTCAACATCCAAACCTTCATATTAGCATCTGTAAACTCTTTGATTGCTTTTGGGACACTTTTCTGTAGCCTATCCTCCACAGCTGTAGCACCAAGCAAAAAAATATCCTGTTCAATTTCTTCTGCTAGTGCTGCCAAGTTCTGTGCCTGTGCTTCCCCAAAGCTGCATTTTTCTGTCTTATATTTCCCAAACCACTCTTGGAAATCTTCTTCATTAATCACTTTAAAACCTACACAAAGCGTCCTTAATCCTTTTCTACAAAACTTGCTTAATGCAGCTTTTGTATTATCAAGATATGGGATTTCGTTGACTGAGTAGTCCAATCTTTCTTCAATAACAGTATCAGCTCCTTTTATATACAACCTTATAGAAAAATCTTTAGGATGCCTTACAATGACTGACATCCTTTTCCTTTCTGCAGTAAAATCATTTATCGCTAGAATTTCAAACATCCTGTTTTCCCCTTTGCAATTCGTCAAGATAGAGTCCGCAGTTCTTTCTAAAAAGACGTAGCCAATCTCTTTTGCGGCATCTACCAATGTGACTTCATCAGGACTGGAGCCTAAATATTGGATTTCGTCGCCTTCTTTGTATTCAGAAACCACGTCATTGCATACTAGTAGTGCTGTTAAAAATTCATCAATATAATCAGATATATTAGTCAGTCTAACAGTTTCTGTGATTATTTCTAAACATTGGCTGCTATCTGATTTTTTTAGGTCACTTATAATCCCACTCACGTCAAAGCTCCACAAAACGTCATTTCCTTTGATTGCTCTAGTAGGGTTTCCTATAGGTGTATAGGAAACGCTAAAAGACCTATCCAGGTGTTCTTCTTTATTTACCGAAAAACTCTCACTTCTCTTAATTTCCTCATTAATTTCAAATTTCGTCATAATTTTCGGAGAATCTGAAAAATCACCATATACAGCCCCACCAATTGCACAGCCTTTAAACTCCATTGTATTTGAAGTCAAAGTGCCAGTTTTATCACAAAACACATAATCTACATTCCCTAGCTCTTCTAAAATATTCAATGAATACACCCTTGCACATCTGTCTTGCTCCTCACTATACATTTTCAAATCAATCTGTATAAAAAAAGCTGCAATGAACTTGACGAGCTCTAGTGTCACAATAATAGAAATCGGAATCAGAGAATTTAACAATATAAAATAGCTCATATAAGACAAAACTATTACTTTCCCTGTAGAAGTGTCATAATCCTGGAACAAGTAGTCTTCGTCCTCATGGTCAGACACAAATGAAGACGCTGAAATGCAGGCAAAAACACACAGTCCGACCTGTATAAGGAGCTGAATAACGACGATGTTGTTCATAATAGTTTCGTATTTGCTTCTTTTAAAAGGCGCATGTCGCTGATTCATCATTATTTTGGTGTTCATCCCGGCGTAGACTACAAGACCAATTACATAGCTGGTGTTCCTTAAGTTTGAGCCTCTCAGTAAAAGCTGCTTGGCGTCGAGTCAATAGCTTTGATCATTTATTTCAATTTTCCCTGCAAAGGTGGAAAGACGGTAGTCAGGTGGGTTTACAGTGATTTTTATGCTGCCCTGACGGGTAACAAGCTTTTCAGTCTCAAAAAGCCCGACTGTGGCGGTTAAGGCTTGCCTTGTTTTTAAATTTTGTTCACCGTCGAGATTTGCTGTTTGGATTTTGCAGTCACCCTTTTGGCTGCTTGAGGTTAAGATGAGCAAATCAGCTGGAAACTCTTCGTAGTCGTGGACTTTTATGATGTCGCCGGGAGTGATATCTTTTCACTCGACTTCTACTCAATCCTGGTCAATTCACTTTGAAGTCTTACTGTGATTCACCAGTCGGTCATTTTTTCGGCGTTTCTATATAAAAGTTACTATAATTTTCCTATAAAAATTGACTTTACAACATAATTTTCCTATTTTAAACGAAATTTTTTTGTAATATTAATAATCTGTTTATCTTTAAATAGCAAATTTTTGCCATATTTTTATACGAAAAATCATTAATTCTTAATTTTTTTGTTAACAGCCAAGTTACTCAGTCTTCAATAGCTTCTTTTATCATTGCGATAATTAGCACCAATAAGAGTGGCGCTATTGCAGTAAATGGACTAATTGGAGAAATATTTGGTATTGACTGCACAATAGCTGTCAGCAGGAAATATATGTTGGCAAGACGTTTGAATTGAAACAGAGTGCAAAGCGGGACAAATGAAATCAGCGAGTACTTGCATGTGTTCACTTTGTTTGTTTTGTGTGAGAATGGCTTGTTCAGATTTGGGTCATCAAGATATACGCAGTATTCTTCCATAATTCTATTTGTGAAAAAATTATAAATGCATAGAGGTGATAAAGGATTGGGATAGATTTATGAGTTTTGAGATATTGATAATTATTAGTAATTTTTAAGAGAAAACCGATAAGATTCTTTGTAAGAAAATTTATCATTTTATCTAGAATTTATTATATTTCCTATTGCTCCTTGGACTAATTATGGTAGAGTCTAGCATGTTACGATGAATAGACAATATTGAAAATTTGACAAATAAATCATAATATTAGCATTAAATACTTATCGAGAAATCCTCTGCAAGCCAATGGTTACAACTCATCTCAATTAGCGCTGCACTAATATTGCAAGTCTATGCACGGCCTTGCATTTGATTCTCCTTCCAAGCAAGAGCCAGCCATTGATTCCCTAAAATAAGAGCTGCTGGTCCATACCATGCTTTAAAAGCTGCTTTCTAGAAAATTTGAAAAATCGAATTTTCTCGATAAATAATAGAAGTCTAAGCTAAGATGCAACGTCTGGCACAACACTAAAGTGTTGCCTGGCTAGCCTAGGAGATGCCAGAGTCAGCGATAGACTATCTCTTTCCATTTACCCATGAGGGTAAAAGACTGATCTGGATGTGTGAGATTGGGCTGATCAGCCCAACATTTCAGCTTCTTAGTCTGGCGGATACACATTTTCGGAGCCTTCTCCTTCCACAAGTTCCCCTGCCCTAATTCGAGACATCTACTACAGGTTTTAGGAAGACATGCTAGCTCACCACGCCATTTGAATTCATACAAAATAATCATAAATTATTCTGACTAAATTTCTTATAAAAATAAAATAAAACTGAAATTAGAAAGGCATTCTGGAAGCTTTTCTTGGTTTTAGATAAAACTAATTACTGGATTATATTTATTTCGTATTTTCTTTAAATAATTAGTGTTATAGATTGAATTTAGGATGCTTCATAGTATACCATCTAATATTTAATAAGAAAATTATCGAGCAAGATTCAATCAGATGTAAATAAATCAGTGAAGCCAAACACTAATAATATTATATTTACATCGGGATTGCCGAAATTACCAAAAGCATTTTTTATTAGTATTACCTATTACCTGAGTTAATTTTCATCTCTAATCCCAGGAGCAAGAAAATATCTTATTTTCTTCTTTCTTAAAGTGCAGATTTTTTTTGCCGATAACAAGAGTCAGTTAATTTTTAATACTCGGATTTAAAATATTTGATATGAAAATCTAAATTGATTTATAAGTTTTATTTTAGGATGCAAAGTTTAATATAAACAGAATTAGCTAGAAATTCATTATTATGATCATTAGTTGTATATTAAAATATTTAATACAGCATAATCTATTAGTTACTTGGTTAATATTTCAAAAAGTAATTTTCGAATGATTTTGCTCGCTAAGCAAGAGAGCAGCTAGCTCTCCCAGATAAAATTTGAATTGTAGCATCACAGGTGCGTCGCTCGACATAGAAATTGAGACTTCTTCAGACAGGCATGACGCTTTATTAAAATGGTTGAGGTATTTCAAGTTCAAATCCATGCTTACCGGCTGCGTCACTCTCAAAACCATTTTATGGTCTGGTATTTCAGCTGGTCTTAGCGATACCACCCCACTTCCAATATCCTCATTCACAAATTCAAAATTAAGTGCTTCTTTATCAATTGACAAAGATATAGGGTTTAGTGCAGGACAAAATGACCTGCAGATTCTTGCAAACTCTAAGCTTGGGACTTTTGCATATACAGAGTAGTCTTGTTCAGGAATCCCAAAGTTTTCAAGCTCAATATCTAACAAATTTAAGGTGAATTCACTAGTCCTCTTGTTGTCTAAGCCTGCAAATGCTAATGAAAGGACATTGGAATTGTCAAGTTGTCATAAAAGCACCAAATTCCTAAAATATGACTGTGAATTCTTTTCCATTGGGACTTTTTCATGTGGATTTCAAAAAAAATTAGTAATTTTATAGAAAAAAAACTACCCCTTATGGAATTGTCTTCAATTTTGAGTGTGACCGTTTCGTTATTATTAGCCAAATTGAGAAACTTCGATAGATTTGGTATTGAGATTCCGATGGTTTCGGGATGGCTGCAGTGGTATTCATCGAATTGGTCGGCTTGCAATGTGAGAATTATTAAGGCAATTTTGGAAGAATCCATTGTTTTAATGCTGATCCCTTCAGAAGTTATTTCAAGATTGGCTTCTGTAATAAGATCCTTGATAGCTGAAATAAGCTTTTTTAATATCGTAGCATTTCCCAACAACGCTTCAAACATGTTATATATAAAAAGTCAAAAAGGGCGCGATTTTTGAGAGATGATACGGGATTATTTTTATATCAGAAATGAATAGCAGTCTATATGTAAATATTTGCCTTGACACTTGGGTAAGCTTTGAATAAAGTAGGTATTAAATTAATTAATTTTATTTATGCTAACATTAGAATGAGCTTTGATCACTAAATTATGTGCAGTATTTTATTAGAGGTAACTGACTCCCCCCCCTTTAAATTGAAACAAAAAATTTTGTTTCAATTTAAAGGGGGGTTAAGAAAATTTTTTTATAAAAAATTTATATATAAAAATTGTTTCAGAGATAAAATTTTATAGAAAATAAATTATATAAATTTTATAATTTCATGAAAAATTAATTCATAAATTTCTCAATCTCAAAGTGTAAACTTGCTGAAATGGTATTCTTCTAACTCTCCCCATAACAATTGGACAAAATAGAGTTTAATTTCTAAATCTTATATGTTTGAAGCATATTAAATAGGGTATTAACGTATTTACATATAAAATAATGATTTTTACCTATAAAATTTTCTATTATAATAAAATTTTGTTTCAATTTAAAGGGGGGGTAATTTCCCAAAAAAGTAGGAATTTTACCTATATTTTGTTTCAATTTAAAGGGGGGGGAGTGAGGAAATCAATTTGAAAAGCAAAAAATCATTTAAGAACAAATGATGATTAGACTTATTTTGAGAATTAAGTAAGTTTGAAGGATAAACCCGTGCAATATAATTCCTTTATATAATGGTCTTGATAGAAATCTGTGAGAGGTTGGGGAAGAGGTAATTAGAGAGCTAAAGAATGATTTGAAAAGTCAGACGGTAAGTCTTATAGAAATAATTAATAGTTTAGTTTAGTTTATATAATGAGAAAAGAATTAAAATGCTTACGGAATAAAGACTCCTGATGAAACAGTCGATCAGTACTGATGAGTGGCAAAAAGTTTGCTTGGTGAGATATGTAGAGCATTTCTCAATGGGAAGCCTGCCGAAACAGGAAGCTTTGGTTCTACCCCGAAGGTTTCCTGCCCATGTTAAGCCAATTTTCCTATCATATTTTCTTTCATTATCGGAACAATCAGGCACTTTCCAGGCGGCTTTGTCCTAAGTTGTCGATGCTTCAGGTTGGAAATCCAAAAAGTGAGGTTAGGCCCATCCCGATAGAGCCGAGATAGGCAATGGCCATTCGGCTATCTTGTTAGCACATCTAATACTAATTAGCTTATACAATGTGTCAAGCTCAGCAGATCATATATAAAATTATTGTTCAAAATATGGTCTTCTTATTTCAAGCTAAAAATTACAGGACGTTAAAATCCCTTCTAAGACAGCACACTTTCTTCAAATTTCCGTTCCCAAGATTCTTTTCAAGCAATTCTGACTCCCTTCCAAAAGACGGCTCAAATGTCGAATGAGATCTCAATAACGTAATTATGGTCTGAAATACGCCTTATACAGCACATGAATGAGATATTTTAAGATTTTTTAAACAGTGTGGAGAGCCCAAATTGGCCAAGAACTGAACTGCAAACAAATCAAACACACTAATACAGTTTCAAAACGAATCAGAAGTAAATAAAGCTCTTGCATTAAATCGCACTGAATTTATGGGTCGCCCACTTTTTATTAAGAAAATTGAAGGCAAAGAGGAAAACAAAACAATTTTAGCATGAAATATCCCAAAAATATTAGAACTTAATAAGCTTAAGCTGAAGGAATTTTTTGAAGATTATGGAACGGTAGTTGATATTCGCCTAAATAGAAACTACAAAAAAGAATTTTTAGGGAAGGCATTTATTGAATTTAAGAGTACAGAGGATGCGCTGAATGCATTTAAATTACATAATAAAAAGTTTTTACTACTCCCCCCCCCCCCCTCCGTGAGCGAACAAAAAAATTTTGTTCGCTCACGGAGGGGGGTTAAATTTTTTTTTTTAAAAAAAAATTTATATATAAATTTTTATAAAAAATATTTTTTTCGAAATTTAAAAAAATCCTAATTTAAAAAAATTGGGAAGCAAATATTAATTTAATTTGCAAAATTTATGTTTTAAAACGCAATTTGTTTAAAATTAAACAGAATTAGCTCTAGATTTCATTATACTAATTATCACTTATATATCAAAATTTTTTTCCATTAAAAATTTTTTCTATTAAAAAAATTTTTGTTCACTCACGGAGGGTGGGTTTTTGGTCAAAAAATGGCGATTTTTCTAATGGTTTTGTTCGCTCACGGAGGGGGGGGGGGAGTTAGGAAAAAACATACAGCTGACCACAGCAATTAACAAGCCTCCAAGATAAAATTTGAAATCTTAAAATTAATAATATGCTTACAAAATTTCTCTAAACCCTTCTAAGGTATTTCGAAAGTCTGAAGAACTCCCACTCGAATTGACACTAATTGAAGATGGCATAATAGGCGAATACATGCTTTCATTGAATGATGAACTCCTTTCAAGTTCATCAATTCCATAGTCAAAGTCACTGTTCCTATCCACCTCACCAAACTTGAATTTCACCACAACTGGCTCTGTTACAATTTTTTCAGGCAAAAAATGCGATTTTTTCTTTTTAATCACTTTTTCACTTCGGAGTGGGAATTCTTCTCCTTCCTCGCTTGAAGACGAGGACCCTAGTATATTTACGTAATTTTTATTTTTACCTGACATTTCGCCTTCTTCTTCAACTTTGGAAAGAACTGTTGTCTCTTTGTCTTTATCTCTATCAGAGTCTGGCAGCCTGTATTTTTCCTGCTTTAGGGTGTCTAGGTACTTCATTGATTTTTGCTTTAAAATGATGTTGTCAGCAAACAAGCTACTTGGCTGTCTGTATAATCCGATAACGTTTTTTGCATCGAACCCAGCTTTTCAATTGATTTTTCGGTCTTTTCTATCAAAATTAGGAGAGCAGTCGTCTTGGTTTTTAGAAATTAGTCTTTTGCCTCCTTTCTTTTGAAGCCATTTATCTTTCAAAAATTTGTGATCAAGATCAAGGATGGCTGATGTGCACCGAGTGGCCACATGTCCTAATTTTTTACATAAGTAGCAATGAACCCCTAGAATCGCATAATCCTTTGAGCAGCGCTCCTGCAGCAGCCTTGTGATGCTATTAGCGTTAGGAAATTTTTCAAGAATAGTATCAAGGTCATCTCTCTTCAGAATTAGTAGCTCAGCAAAGCACAAGCACCTTGCTGATGAAGTTCTAGGGTGTTTTGCAAAGAATCCGATTTCTCCGAAGTAATGGTCTTCTTCTAGCAGTTTAAATACAGATTTTGTGGCTTTATCGAAGAGTTCTATTGTCCCTGAATTAATAAAATAAACACTGGAGCTTTTTTCTCCTTCCTGAATCACGATATCGTCAGGTGCGAAGGTTCTATATACAACATCCTTGCTGAGCCTTCCGATGAATTTTTCACTGTACAGCTGTGCGAAGACTTTGCATTTTGCTATGTATTTTCCTCTGGTTATCCCAAAAATATCATCCCTTAGAGGCTCAGAAACCATTTTCAAAATGGCGTCTTCGTCAAGTTTATCTAGTTTTTGGTTTGTCCATATATTCTGAATAAATTAAATTTACTATAATTTACAGCAATAATGGGCAGTTTTCTAATAAAAATACAATATTCACTACCAAAAAGCCAAAGAAATCATCTTTTTATGAATAAACTTTAAATATCTCCTGATTTTAAACCTCAAAGATGACGGCAAATAGGCTTTTTTCATATAAATATTCAAATTTATCATTTTTTCTCTAACTCCCCCCCCCCCCTCCGTGAGCGAACAAAAAAATTTTGTTCGCTCACGGAGGGGGGGGTTAATTTTTTTTTTTAAAAAAAATTTATATATAAAATTTTATAAAAAATATTTTTTTCGAAATTTAAAAAAATCCTAATTTGCAAAAATTGGGAAGCAAATATTAATTTAATTTGCAAATTTTATGTTTTAAAACGCAATTTGTTTAAAATTAAACAGAATTAGCTCTAGATTTCATTATACTAATTATCACTTATATATCAAAATTTTTTTCCATTAAAATTTTTTCTATTAAAAAAAATTTTTGTTCACTCACGGAGGGTGGGTTTTTGGTCAAAAAATGGCGATTTTTCTAATGGTTTTGTTCGCTCACGGAGGGGGGGGGGGAGTAAAGGAGTATTCTTTTTCGCCTTGCTTGCTGACTTCTCCACTAATAGATGACAAAACATAACTAAAAATAATCACAGCAATAAACAGCATACAGACACAAAAAAGTTTTTCATTTGTTGTATAAGGCTTCAAATCTCCATATCCTACTGTAGCGACAGTTGTAATAGAAAAATATAAAGCTTTTACATAAAGTGTAATTATATTATCATTGCCCTGCTGATAAGAAAGGCCTACTCACGTAATCGGAGTAGTCGCAGCATCATCATAGCATATAAAAAACCACATGCACGCACATCAGTGAGCTACCAGTAGCGCAAAAACAATCAATTTTATTACTTGAATTGAGGCATATACATTAAAATGGCGATATGTGTCAACTTGTCCTCTTGGCGCGCAGCAGTCCGAACCTTATAGCTATGGCGAACTGAGACGGAATCCGAGCCGAATCAAGTGTCGGCTCAAGAGGTGTATATCCGGGTAGGTTTTGGCTGCTTTCCTGTGGTTGGAAATGGAGGTGCTCAACAAAGTCCTTTTGATCCAAGGACCTATGGGCATTCTCTACCGAGAAACCGGGAGTTTCGGCCCAGGCCATAGGGGAACAGTCTTTTTCCTGTAGCTGTCGAAGAAAGGCACTTTGACGCCCGATAGACTCCAAGGATCCTTGGAATCTAGCTACTCAAATCTCCAGTAGCAGGCAAGGCCGCAGAAATCCATAAGCTGCCAACTCAAGACTGAAGCCTCAAGACAAGAAGGAGACATAAGATACAGGAAGGGCACTCACAAGAGGGATAGACCCTCTGGGCTGGAGTCGAAAAGTGGATGAACCTCCGGTACGGGAGGTCTTTGGTGGCTGCGTCACCAATATGGCTGACGCCTGACTCTAATAATCCTAACCTGGATTGAGGCAGCAACTGCAGAGCTTCCTAAAAAACTTTCAAGGTGCCCAATTAAAAGCTTAACTTTCACAATTCTGATAAGAGGGGTAAATTTCAAAATTGAAATGACTTTAAAAGATGTGGTCACTCCGACGTTGTTATTATTGCTCCGAAATAGATCATGAGAATCAACTATCAGATCAAAAGGAAAAGTGGCAAGAATGTCAATCAGAAATCATTTTTTAAGGTAATGCATCATGATTTTTTTCCTAGAGGTTACTACGTGGCCTTTGGCATAGTAAGCTGTATTAAAACTCAAGAATATGTCCAAAATAAAATAACTATTCACAGTATTTATAACTTTTATAAGTAAGGCATAATCTCTAACAGGAAACGCTTGTATAAAAGGAATCACTGTTGCTTGAGATGCGATTATAAAAATGCTAATTATATTCCAAATCAATTTCAATACATTGTCTGGGTGGATTGTGTACTTGGACTGGCCTTCATTAGATCAGGCAGCCAGCTGGAAAAAATCACGTCGCGTGTTTCTTTTTTTGATAAAAATCGAGTTTCCTACGTCTTCTAATTTTATTGAAGGGGTTTCTGGATTCTTATTCAGAGTTAAAAGTGAAATTTCACTTCATTTTCTTCGTGCTGTTAACGCAGGCTTTAAAACTTTCTTTTGTCCCATTATTAGTAATTTTCATAACTTAATTAATTATGCCTTGTGATTAAGGCTCTTTCCAAGCATTATGCCTTATAGTCATATTTTTATTCCTCTAATCCTTTAAATTCTCTTCAGCATCAGATACTAATTTTGAGCCTTGGCTTTGCACCACTTATTTAAAGTCCATCCACCTTAAAATTCCTCACACTCTTAGATTTTGCTCCTTATTTTTCTTAAATTTTCTTATTCATCAGGCTCCAGGATTCAGTTATTGCTCCAAAATATTCCAGATCTACTCTTGTTTGCAACATTTTTCTCCTCACTCTCTATTTCTTCAGCTTCTCCTTTGCATTAACTTTCACTTTCATTTCCCTTATTATAAATTCTCCAAAAATTCCAAAGTATCTATCAATGCAGCATTTTTCCCTGCATCATCGCAGGCTACCCTGCTCACTCCTTCTAAGTTCAAATCTTATTCTTCTTCTTCTTCCATTGTCCAGATCTTCTTATCAGTCTTCTTCATCAGCTTTACCACTCTTATCTTTATTTATATTTTTCGCAATTTCCGGGTATGCTACCTATCACGGCTGATTCTACTGCTTTATCTCTTTTCAACGCTATTATCTTTACCTTCTTATGCATTTAACCAGAGTCCTCAACTAGACTTTCGAGATCGCTTGAGATTACAATATCAGCATTTACCACATCTAGCTCTTATCTTAGTTTTCACATTCAAATTAATGCCCATATTTAGAGTCATAATTATATTCAAATTCCCCATCAAATTTTCATCCTTATACTCATCTAATATACTCCTCTTAATGGATCTTCAATTCATTTCTTCATCTGACCAACAGTCACCCACTTCAAAGTCTTTAAATGAATTACTGCTCATATAACTCCTACTTCAGTAGACTGTTGTTCAAAGAAAATGACGCTCATCCATTGAATTTACAAGCCTTAATTTTAATATAGTTAGGGAGGATGTCTAGCACGGGGCTTTTTTGGCTTGAAAGCAAGCAAAAAACGCCCCGTGCTAGATGGCTCGAAAGCAAGCCAAAAAAGCCCCCGTGCTAGAAATCCTCCCTAGCTATATTTTTATTAGGAATTTAATTAAAAAATTACTAGTAATTTAATATTTGTGGATTCCTCATTTAGGTGGGGAAATTTTGTATTGAAATTCTTAATTATGAAAAGATACCAATTTGAAAAATTGCCATATTTCTTTATACAAAGCATTTTTGGTGAGCAGCTTGAGGATTTCCGTAATAGTGAAATTGCAATTAAAAAAGAATACTTTAATTATCAGAAATTGAAAATTAAACTTTAAGATTATATGGAGTTTATAGATTTTTGATATTAATTTTAATTATAAGGATCAATAAAAGTACAGTGATATTAAGTAATATCTTAAAACTATTTAAATCATGATTTTATTATTAATTTAAATAAGACTCCATATCCAATAAAGCACTATTTAAGTCTTATGGGTGATCGCAAAACTTTAATACCAAAGTTCAGAAGGTTAATTATAGAAGTTAAAATATCTCCATTCAATTTTATTAAAAAAATTTAACAGCTTAAATTTTTAAAGTGTATTAAAGCAATTTAAATGATTATAAATATCATAAAAACTCATAAATTATACGAGCCAAAAAAAATTACACAATATCTCTATTCTGCATTTATCTTAATTTCCCTTCCTCAAAAAAGATCAATCTTTTGTTGAATTGCTTCATATATTTTTTTTGGCAGATTTAATAGCTAATTAAATATGGATATAATTAATAAAACCATACCTTTCAGATATAATTATATAAAAAATATTCCGAAGGAGAGCATTAAATTAATTAATTTTTAAAAATAAATTTTATTTATCCATTAAGAATCCTCAGTAATTTCAGCATTTATATGCTATTCAGAAGTTTTAAAAGGGTGATTTTAATTTTATTTTTAGTTTAATAATTCGGCTTAATTTAAACTTCTAATAAAAATTCATATCATTTAATAAAATAAAACAATCGCCAATACATTGAGATATAAAAATGTTTGAATTTGAGAGATCAATATTAGGCGAAGATATTTTCTTCGAAGGAAAAGAAAAAGTGCTAATTAAGTCGATTCAGCAAGTTTCCCCTATCGGATACATCGGAAACATTTTTAAAGAAGAATACAGCAGTAAAGTTCCAATCAAAAGACAAGTAATTATTGAAACAGTAACAAGCATTATTATTGCCCTCCAAATGACTTCAATAAGCTGATACTCAGAGATGCCAATAGACAATTGGAAAGACTACGACAGTTTTTGACAAATGATTGGAGTTTTCAATATTGAAATGGTATGTGCACATTATGGTTTTCTTGATGACTGCTTTTTTGGGTCAATTGCTATTGTTTCTGTAGCTTTGGCTGCTGTCCTTGTATCTGGAATATTAGCTTACTATCATAAAATTTTCCCACAAATACTTGAAACTACTCTCCGAAGCTATATAAATTTGGTTTCAACTGTTTTCTTTATCCCCATTTTGACGATGCTACTTTATGCTTTTGATAGATCTGTTGCGAATAGAGATATAAATGACCCATATGCGACAGATAGGACAGAGAGTCAAGTTAAATTTGGAATTTGAGGAGTATTAGTTAGTTTTTCTTTTATATTAATATTCTTGCTCCCTTCTTGAGTAAGCAAAATTAATCCGAATTTTGTTTTATGCTGAAATTTTTGTTATAGCCTTTAATAGATGCTATAGCGTCTGCAGCGCTATATATTAAATTCCAGCTATTCTGTTGATTTAATCTTAAATTATAATCTATAAAGATAAATATTCAAATTATCGTAGAAATTTTTTTTTGCATAGAACAGAGAGCTGAAGTTAGCAATCACCATACTTTATGTATTATTTACTGCTGACTTATGCCACTCTAATTGTAAAAGAAACATCAAAGCAAGATCCAACTCATCTCTCGATATCGCGGTGGTTGCTTTACATACAATCCAATGTATTTTATACTTCGCTACTCCTAAAAGTCATATATTAAATTCTGAATTCATCCTCCTGCTACTATCTGTTTCTCTAATAGGTGTATTCTGGCTTCAACTCCCTTATTACAATTTTATAGGAAACATAATAGTAATTTCCAAACTTTCCTCATATATTCTTATGATTTTTTCTTTGATTTTCTCAAACTTAATAAACGACGCAAGGGCAGCTTTATTTTGCTATATCATTTTGCAGCCTATTCTTTTGCTGAATATTTTCCGAATTCTTAAAGACAGGCATAACGAAATCCCTGATCAGTCTCTTATTTATACAGACCAGTTTGATTTTGAACTAAAATCACGACATTTATTAGTTGATAAAAACCTCGAAGACAAAGAAATCGTAGTGGATTTATTTAATGAGCTATATAAAACAAAAAGGCTCATAATAAACAAGCTGGCTGTCGTTTGGGAATTTTATTTTTGTTTTCATGTTATGAAAGACGAAAGGCTTGCAAGGGTCAGATTAGTGAAAATTCCTATGGTAAATAACTGTCTTGAAGGTAGCGTCCAGGAATGAAAAATTTTAAGAAAACTGTGAATGTCAAGAGATGATGATTTAAATGATATTAAATATATTGAATATTTACTAGACATTGAAAGTGCTAACTCCGTCCTTAAATTTTTGTTGAGAATTTTTTTTCTAATAGGATATTTTATAGGGCAAAATATAATTTTTTTTGAAAATTATTGGCCTAATTTTTTTTTTAAAAAAATAAATTAACTCCTTTTTCGATTAGAACAACTTATCATATATAAAGAGGTTTAGTAAGGTTTATGATAAAGAATTATGTATGAGCTTGCTTGTTTTATTAGCCGAATTTGTGACAAGATCGCCGAGGATTGGCAAACTGACTACAATTGTGACAAAAGCAACTGATATGCTTTGCAAAGTCCAATCTTCATACTCGAGACTTATTGAAACTTATAGAAACTTGGAAGCATTTGATATAATATAGGAACCCTTTTAGCACCCTATAGTGAGCTTATATTCTTATTTGCTTTGAAAAAAACCAATCGATTATCAAGTCAGAGGATACCAAATTGGACTGAGATGTTCTTTAGGGCACTAAAAGCACTCCAAAGCTATATTTATATTTCGCTTTCAGAAAATATTCTTAGACATGCTGATGAAGCCAATTTAATAAAAAAGAAAAAAAGCCGATTTGCAGAGCTGGATTTGGTGCTTAAATACGAAAATTCATTAAATAGATTTGACGACCGTGTGGGAATTATTTTGATTTCTGCAAATCCAGACTCCTTTGGGACTCTTTCATATGTCAATGAAAAAGCAGCCCAATACTTAAGACAGCCAATGCAGTGCTTGCTAGGAACCGACCTATCTGATTTTGTGCCATGGCCTTATAATCTCAACCACAAAGAAATCATGAAAAAATTCGCAGCCAGCTGCAAAGACTCCAATGCCCAAATTTCTCCTATATTTTTCCTCCTAGATGGCCACAACTTCTTATTCGAGTGCAAAATCCAAATGAAATACACGGCGCTGGGCTACAATGCATTCTTTTTAGTATCCATTCAAGTCCACAATTTCTCCCGCGAGCTTATTTTACTGTCATCAGAAGGCCACATTCTTGGATTTTCTAGTAAAGTCCCCAGTATTTTTAACTCCCTTGACCGCAGAATATTAAATCAAGCAAATATTACCCAGCTGGTTCCTCATTACTTCGAAATTGCCCTTAATAAACCTTTTTTTATGCTATATGGAGGACATCCTTTATGTGTGGTAAAGCAAAATCTTGTATTTAAATCTACGACGCTGCATCTGCTTTTTATTGTATGGGACAATGATAAAATTCAGCAGTTAAAATCTGGGAAAAGCTTTGAGCAGACTTTTAAAAATAACTCCCGCAAGCGGAAAGTGAAGGAAAAGTCGACAACTTTTTTGAATGAATGAAAAATGAGAGAAAAAAGGATTGAAGAAAGGATTATGGATTCTAAAGAGTTTAATAAGGATTATAAAGAAGATCTCAATACAACAACTGTTTTAAACTCAACTAATGGGGATATCCAGTCTAAGACAGTCAGTTTAAATCCAAGCAGCAGCTCAAGCACGTCTAGCAGTAATAGCTAATTAGACATAATAAATGCATTCGCATTACAGTTGGAAAGAGCTATCAAAATCTTCAAGTGGGTTTTATTGTGCGCAGTAAGGCTTATATAGATTGTAGCAGTTATTTCTACAAACATCGCAATTCTAGCAACAGTGTATGAAATTGTATCTCATACAACTACCATAAGGACTTTTTCTGACCTCGGACAGATTTCTTACTATATCACAACTTTAGCTGATACAGTAAGGTCTATTGATCTTGATTTGAGGCTGAATATGTTTAATTTGACCAATGATGTGGCAGTCCTCACTGATGATGTAGACCATTTAATGAGCCTGCAAAACACAATTCTGGATGACTATGATGACTGGAAATACTGCTCATCATCAGAAATTGTCATAAATAAAAAAATCCCTCTATGAATTTTCGACTCCAAGCAAAAAATTGAAGAATATAATCTACTAGATACAGTCCAACTTTTTATTAACCATGTAAAATACATTTACTCCCCCCCCCCCCCCTCCGTGAGTGAACAAAAAAAATTTTGTTCACTGGGGTTAATGTTTTTTTTTAAATATAAATTTTATAGAAAAAAAATTTTTCCGAAATTTTTAAAAAAATCCTAATTTGCAAAAATTGGGAAGCAAATATTAATTTAATTTATAAAATTTATATTTTAAAACACAATTTGTTTAAAATTAAACAGAATTAGCTATAGATTTCATTATACTAATTATCACTTATATATCAAATTTTTTTTTCATAAAAAATTTTTGTTCACTCACGGAGGGTGGGTTTTTGGGCAAAAAATAGGGATTTTTCTAATGGTTTTGTTCACTCACGGAGGGAGGGAGTTAGTGTAATAATGTTCTAAACGCTGCAGCCACAAAAGGGCAATACAGGTCTGATTTATTGTTTTTGATAACTAATAGCTTAGGGTCAGCTTATGATGAAATAAATTTATCACTAAAAGATCTAGTTGACTGTGAAGTCAATAGAATCCAAGACTCAGGAAACAAGGTAAGAGTACTAATTATCTGCGTCATTGTTTTGCTAGGTGTTGTAGGGATTTTTCTTTCTATAAGCATTATTTTTGTGGAGAGAAAATACGAGAAATTCTGAGAGTACGCAAGAGAAAATGCATATAATTCTTATTTTCGCTTGAAAAGTGCAGCTATTGAGAGGCTGTCAAACGTGCATGGGCTGGGGTCTCCAGATGATGAAAATCTTAAAAAGCTGAAAAAATCAGAAAGGCTGAACATTACATTACATTAAGATTTATAAACTTTACATCCTTTACGGGGGTGCCCAAACCCAGAGCTTCCCGCTGCATCTTCTCCATACCGGGATTACAAGTCGCTGGGCTGAACTGCTTTGTTTCACCAAGATGTGCTCCGCGCAGTGTTGCCTACTAAAACGGCGATATGCGTGTGATATGGGTTGCCTTCTAGGAAAATCCAAAAAATGGATTTTCAAGCCAACTCTCGGCAAAAAGGACCGAGGCGTAACTCTCGGTTTTCACGCTAGGGAGTTGCCATAATGGTCTTAGAGACTTTCTTGGGCTTCCCCTTTCCAACTATTGTGCCCTCCTTCCCTATGAGGTAAAATCCATGCCTGAGAACAGATTAGGGCTAGGCTCTACTCACTGCTAGAATTGCTTGCCTAGCATAGCTATCCATCTTTGGTATGGCAAAACCTTGCAGGATATAATTAAATAGGGCTTGAGACTGTCTGGCCGGAGCCAGGCTCAAATTGAGACACCATATTTAAATATAAAAGGCTGAACATTAAATCAGGGATTTTCAGAAGATATAGCTCACGAATTCTCATTTTCATTGTGATTGCTTTATCATTCTACCTATTAACTCTCTTTTATCTCTATGAAAACTGTGAAAACAGCATGAAAGACCGGCCAAGAGTCCTCTATAGCTTAATTTTTACAAGGGCGCTGCTTTCAAAGGTCGGACTATGGGTCCGAGAGGTAATCCATCATACATTATTTGCTCAGTATCCAGCAGCATACCAATTCCCTTACCCAGACCTCGAATTTGAAATCGTTATAAATGATTTGGTCAGACAGGTCAAAGATTTGAGGAGATCTGACTTTTTAAAGCTGATGTCTGATGGGCTAAAAGATAGGATTTTTGAGCAATCTGACGTAGAAAAGCCTATTTTGATGTATGGCTCTAAGTCTGCTATTGATGCAGTTATTCTTGACTCTTATTCGTACTCGACGACCACTTATACAATTTCTAATCAAATCCTTTCTTATTATATTGCAAACTACTCTATTGTCAGAGACGAAGTGGGGGTTAATTATGATATGACTGACACAGACTCTAAAAATAAAATCACTGAAGAGCTCGTCGTGTTTATTTATGTGACTATTGTGTACTCAATAATTCTTGCACTTATATATTTATTATATTATTTGCCGTTTTTATCGAAAGAAGTGAGGTTTTTGAATAAGCTGAAAATGCTGGTCTCAATTCTTATAGAAAAATAGTTAACCTAATCAATATTAAAATTATTAACTTGTTGAATAGCAAAAATATCTATTGCTTCTAAATTCGTTTATCAACAAAATTAATTCAAATAGCACTCAAGCTGGCCTAAAATTTATGAGTTTAGTCCTTTTGAGCATTTAAAGAATTATTTATTTTTTATTTTATGAAAATAATAAAAAGATATAACTCACAGTAAAGTTTTATATAATAAAAAAGATTGGATCTTTGTTTATACCAATCAATAAAAACTATTTGTTTAGTTTAGAGTTTAAGATGAGGCTTTGCGGACTTTAAATTCTATTTGATGGGCTTGGAAATAATCATAAACCGCAAAATTAATTCCTATCGTTGGCACTACCTTCACAACATTGACCAATACTCCTCGGTAAAAACCTCTCACACCTTGAGATTTCAGTGTTCCTTTAACACAACTCAAAATTGAATCATACCCCTCTGTATATCCTTCAGACTTGCTAATTTGCAGTTTTCTTTTGATTGTGTCAAGTGGATAAAACAGTGTTTCCGCTGCCAGTCCTGCCAAACTTCCAGCACTAAAATACTTTCCAATCTCTTTATACTCGCTCTGCTCATTATTTTCCATCCATTGTCTTATTTCTTCATGCAAATAAAAAGCTAAACCTAAATACGGCCCCATTGTTGCCACAGAAATCATATATCCTTGATAAGCTCCTTTAATTTTATGCTCATCAAACGCACTTTTAATACAGCTCCACGATGATGCATGAATTCGATGTCTTCTTATTCCAAAATCTCCTGCCATTCTTGTCCTTGCTAAGTCAAAAGGATAAGCCCATGTCATGATTAAAGTCCCTGTTATCCAGCCTGCACACCATTCCAGTAGCATTTTCTCAAATGTCGTTTTTTCTTTACTTCCTCGAATTATTATATTCCTAATCCTTAATCCAATCCAAAATTTCATTGAAGTTGACGAAAATATTGAAAGAAGACTTGCACAGTTGCCTCGCCAATAACCAAAGAAGCCTTCTCGGCTTGGAACTGATGACAAATAATGAGCGACCCCTCGATATCGTTCATGGACTGGCAGATTAGAAATATCTTGTGTTTGGAGGATAAGCTTAATTCTTTCCAATGGGGCAAGTGTTGTTTTAGCGATAGCTGCTGGAACAAAGCCGTAAGCTATGGCGTGGAAGTATCATTTTAAACGGGAGTCTCTGCGTTCCATTTAGGATATTATGATTTACCACAAATGATTATAATGATAAATGGAAATTAAGCTTAGCTGCAGTTATGAATAGATTTTATGATGATAAAGCTATCAGGATCAAGATATGGATGCTTCTTTGGCCTTTAATGATATCCTCTGAATAAACTTACAAGTAGAGAATTAACATTTCTTTTTGTATTTTCAAAAGATCATTAAAATCGTAAATATCTATCAACATGCAATAAGATCTGCTTTATCTTATAGGGTTTTTCCCTATATAGCCCTGAAAGGAATACGGATTCTGTAATCCTTTGGTTGGTGGAACCAACAAGTGAGCTGGCCCGACCAAAGCACTGAGTTGTTTCCACCAACCAAAAGGATCCCGGACAAAATCCACAGCAGCAATAATCTTGCTTTCATAAGTAATTAATTATGATCCTTATAATATTTGCATTAAAAGACTTAAATTTGTAAGAATTAGCATATGATTATGCTTTATTAAATTCTTCTACTTCTATTTTTAATGCCAATTTGATAAAATATTACAAGCCTAATTTATTAATCCTTACTTTTCTAACTAAATTATAGATTTAAATTACATAAAGGGCACTTGGTTTTTCTACTTAGCCACCCCATTATACAATTTTGATGGAACAGATGATTGCGTGGCAATCCGAATATAGCTTCATTTATTGTAAATTTTTCAATGCAAATAGCGCATAAATCAGGCGCCATCCCAATTTGATAGTCAATTTTTCTTGGTTTTTGCTTATTTCTTTCAGATATCCCTTTTGAATAATTAAATCTATCAGAAAAATTGTAATTCACATTTAATTGGTCTGATGGTATAGCTTACACCCTGTTTTGGATTGGCCTTGAGCGCCCTCTCCCCATGCTACCCACCCCATAACGGTCCAAAATATTTTTAAATGTTAAATATTAATTTAACAAGTTAAAATATTTGAGGGGGACTTGTCAAATAATATTTTAACATTTAAAATTTTCAGGGCCATCAGGGGGTGGGTGAAAGGGGAGGGGGTATAGAGGTTTCCTCTATATAGCGCTAAAAGCGCAGACATTTTCCCAGGAGCTTTCCAAGTTCGTCGGACCAAATCGCTTTTGGTCCGACCAAGGCATTGATTTGGTGCAACCTACCGATAAATTCCGATCAGAATTTATCGGCCTTACAGCGCCAAACATAGGAAACTTCTATACTTAATGGCGAGCAACCACGAGGGGTATGCTATAGAGATTGATCAACTTCTTTTCCTTCTTCATGATCAGCAAGCTGCTCGCTGATCTGTAATAGTTGAGGACTCATTTCTCTTGGACTTATTTGCCTTCTTGTGTTAACTCTCAAAGCTGCTTCACGCACCTTCTTGGCTTCTTCGCGAGCCTTCTTGGATTCTTCGCGAGCCTTCTTGGCTTCTTCACGACCCTTCTCGGCTTCCTCGCGAGCCTTCTCGGCTTCCTCGCGAGCCTTCTTGGCTTCTTCGCGAGCCTTCTTGGCTGCTTCACGAGCTTTAATGGCTTCTTCGCGAGCATTCTTGGCTGCTTCGCGAGCTTCAATGGCTTCTTCGCGAGCCTTCTTGGCTTCTTCGCGAGCCTTTTTGGCTCCTTCGCGAGCCTTCATGGCTGCTTTGTTAGACTCCATCAAAATAATTTCATTGTTTTCTATTAATTTAACAGCTTCTTTCGTATTGCTAGCATTCTGCAGTATATTATCCATTATATTTTCTTGGAAATCTACAGCTTGCAGAGATATTTTCAAAGAATTTCATTGTGAAAGTCTTTCCATATTTAATCTTTCTATACTTTTAAAAGACAAAATTTTGCAGTTAAGCCAAAATTGAAATAATCCTGGTTTATACCCAAGAGATGAATTCTTTTATCCAAAAGAAGTTGGAAATCCACTATTATGGCAGATTTTCAAGCTGACAAGCTTGCTATCTGCTGGAGCTGAAAAGGCTGATAGATTCAATTTTCTATAATATTTAAATCGGAAAGTGCTTTTTTTTGCTTCTGCTGAATTAAAGCATAAATAAAGAAAAAATTTGTCTATATCGAATTCAATATATAAATAAAGTAATTGTTTAAATTAGCTCTTAATGATATTATTTTATTAACTTGTCTTAACCTATATAATGAGGGACTTTCTTGAAAGATACATTTAAATAATAAAAGCATTTGACTATGCATTCTTTATTTTATAAATAATGGATTTAAAATATGAATTTTGTGATGGGTAATATTAAAACTTGCTTACTTACTTAATTAGGTGGTTAGAGCCCACTTTGTTAACTGGTTACCGAGGATCCCACTAGAGGATTCATCCGCTAATTCCGATCGCCCTAAAGGAGGGTTGCCTGGCCGTCAACTCCTCCTTGCCACTTCGCGGTAGCATCAGTTTTTGAGTGGCAGAATTGGGAATCTGGCCATGGTAAGTTTGCTGAAAAACTTGCTGAAGATAGTAAATCCAACTCTGGAAATCTGAAGGAATCCAATAATCTGTAATTTGATTTTCAATTGTGATAAATGGAAAAAAATAAGAATTTTATTGATCTAAATATAGCAAATTGTTTCGATCTGCTAGATAAATATGATTTTGCTATACTCTGAAAACTAATAACGAAAATGACACTATTTTTTCCTTGAATTTTTTGTATTTTAATTGAAACATAATATATCGATAAAAATCCATTTAGCATCGAGGTCATCTCTGATATAAATCTCAATGGCTTTTTTTCAGCATAGTGCTGACTTCTATATTAAAATTTTTTTAATTTTTTAAATTATGATGCTATTAATTTATCTATTGAGTTATTACTAGAGTAATTAAGATTAAGTTACATAATTAATCTTAGCAAGCATAGCCATCAATGCTATATTTTATAAATAAAATTATATATCTAAAAGATCGAGAGGGCACTTGGCACTCATTTTTAGCCACTTCTTTATGCAATCATTATGAAAGCAATGATTGCATGGCAACTTTTGTAGGAACTCATTAGCAGTAAAGGCTTCCATACAAATTGCGCAAGTATCAGGACTCGTCCCAGCCTGGTATCTGATTTCTCTAAGTTTTTTCATATTACTTTCAGAAATCCCATTTGGGCGATAATAACTTTCTAAAATATTCAATATATAAAGTTGAGAACGCGGAGGAAATACATTTCCATTGATAATTATTGGCTCAGGAGATATATATTGATAGTTATCACCTTCATGATAAGCATCTTGCTCTTCAAATGGGATTTCTTCATTTATATTTTGTCGCTCCTGAAGTAAATTCTGATTTATAGGTTCTTCCCAATCAGCAAATTGCTCCTCAATTGGGAAGTCTTCATTTATCTGTTCTGAGTATAAATATGGATGCAAGATATCTTCTTTTGACTCCTCTCTTGCTGCCTTTATTTCTTCAGGAGAAAAATCTTGAATATCCTCATTTCTTGGTCTTTCCTGACATCCTCTTCTGATGATATTTCTTTTTATTTCATTAAAAGCAGTCTCTAAAGATTTCCCTTGCTGCTTCAGTTTCTGGGCGTAAGTATCAACTGGCCCACCTTTACAAAACAATCGATCTCCTATATCTTCAACAATATTGATAATTTTATGAAAGGCGCTATTTGGTTCGGCAGGCTTTTTAGGAACTTTATTTTCTTCTTGAAAATTATTAAAAATTGCAAGTCCTATGTGTAAAAATTTTTCTGCATCACTCATCGAAGCTGAATTTTTGGCAGGCTGTTCAAGGACTTGATTTTTTTCTTGACTTGTCCCTCCGTGAGCGAACAAAACCATTAGAAAAATGCTTATTTTTTGCCTAATATCCACCCTCCGTGAACGAATAAAAATTTTATAAAAAAATATTTTGATATAAGTGCTAATTAGCATAATGAAATCTATCGTTAATTCAGTCGAATTTTAAACAAATTGTATTTTAAAAGATAACTTTACAAGTTAAATTAATATTAGTTTTCAATTGGGATTTTTTTTAAATTTTCGAAAAAACATTTTTAATTATAAAATTTATATATAAATGTTTTTGTTCAGTCATGGAGGGGAGTGAGGGTTTTTTGAAAAATATTATAGGCAATGGCTTTTCAGCAGCTTCATGGGCACGCTTTTTAGGAGCCTGATTTATTTCTGGAGGATTGTTGAGAAAATCAAGTGCTTCTGTAAGTGATGGCTTTTCAGCAGCTTTGCTGACAGCGTCTAAAGGGTATCCCATTTCGCGAAGCTGCAGGAAGTAATAATCTTTCGCTGGAATTTGACTTCGGCCTTTTTCGGTGACATCTAAAATGCATTGGATTGCTTCACTTATATTATCGGTCTGCCAAAGTGCAATTGCGATTACATTTTCTTTAAATCCTAGCTCTAATAGCTTATTTTTTAGAGAATTTGTATCTGAAGAGCCGTTCATGTTATTAATTGATAATTCTATAATTCAATTTTACACTCATCTTTAAAGCAATTTCTATAAGCTTTGTTTTTATAGTAAATTTTTTATCATTTTAATTTAATGAATTTTTAATTAAAAAAAATTAAGAGGCTTAATTAAATATTACCTCTCACGAATCCAGACAAACCAGATTATATATTTAAGTTGCAGAGAGGGCACTTGGTGCTCCTTTTAAGCCACTCCAATATGCAGTCTTGATGAAAAACATGATTGCACGGCAGCATATAGACTTGCTCATTTACTTCAAAGTCTTCCATGCAAACTGTACAAGACTCAGGTTTCATCCTAAGCTGATACCCAATTTTTCTCAATTTTTTCTTGTCTCTTTCCGAAATCCCTCTTTGAGGGATAATATTATCCAAAATAATTAAAATTTCTAGATAAGAAGTTGGGCTAACGACAACCCCATCTATAATTATTGGCTCACCAGATATATACTGACCATCTTCTTTTAGTTCTTCATTACCAGGTAGCCTTTGACGTCTTCTTCGAGCAAAATTTCTTTGCAGCTCTCTAAAAGCGTCCTCAAAAGTCATCCCATCCCGCAAAAATTGTTCAGCATATTTTTCAACTTTTCCTCCAGCTGATAAATCATTTCTGACCCTTTCGACTTCATTTGAAAGGTGATTTAAGAAGTCACCTACTTTTTTGGCTTCGTTTTGAAGCAAACCTCTCATTTGACTAAATAAATTTCTTCCTGGCTGTCTTTGATTTTGAGCAGGATTATCAGGAATGGCTTTAGACTCTTCAGGAGGATTGTCGAGAAAGTCTATGGCTTCATTAAGTGATGATTTTTCAATAGCCATGATAACAGCTTCGCAAGGGTATCCCATTGAAGAAAGGTAGTTAAAATAATATTCTTTGGGGGAAATTTGGCCTCAAGTATTTTGGATGAATTCACATAAATCAACTGCTTTTTCCATCTCGCTAGTCTTTCATACTGCAATTGTCGCCAGATTTTCTTGATAACCCATCGCCAATAGCGAATTTTTCAAAGAATTAGCATCTAGTGGACCATCCATGCTATTTAAATTTTCTATAATTATAATACATTGAGCATTAAATTTATAGCCTATGAATATTTAATAAATTATAAAATTTTATATTATCTGGCGCTTTATAAAAGCAAAAAATGCAATTATTATTTAAAATTTGCATTTAATTAAGCATAGAAATTTTTAATTAATTTATTTTAATGCTATTTTGCTAGAAAACCTAAATATTTAAATAAAATAGTTTCCTAATATTTGCAATAGGGCAGTTATTAGTATAGTCTGTAAGACTAGCTAGGCCCATAAGGCTTTTTTTTACCTGACCAAGATTAGTTTTGTTATCAAGTGCGTAAAATAGAATTTGAAGATAAAAAACTAAGACTGCATGACCAATCAAGATAAAAAGAATTAACGAGAGCAATTTGATCTTGGTTAGGCAAAAAATCCTCTTTATGGGCCTAGCCAGTCTAACTGACTATATTTTTAAATTATTTCAACAATTAGTTTATCCAGTTCAATCTACATAAATTTTTCTTCAAAGCTGCTTCAGAGCTTTTAAATTTTAGGTCTTGATCCTTTATGGACATAAGTTATCAAAATCTCAACATATCTATTCAATAATGTGCGTCTACACTATCCACAAGAATTCATTAGCTAAGATTAATCTCGGAGCTTATTTACTCCATCTGATAATAAACACTAAATTTTTTGTATGATATTTATAAATAAAATAGCCTCAACTAATTTTAATTAAATTGCTTCCAGCTTATCATAACAGATAAATTTATTATTTTACCCCTAAATCTGTATAGTGAAATACACTATGTAGTGCGGGGCTTTTTTGGCTGGAACTTGAGCCAAAAAAGCCCCTTAATACATAGTGTATTTCGCAATATTTTCGAAATCAAAGAATATTTTAATGTAATATTTATATAAAAATTAGGATTAATTATTAGCCATTCTGTTAGAAGAGTCAGCTCTTTTTAATTATTCACCTTTATTAGCCAAACACAACATCTGATCTAAAAGATGAGATGACATCACTTACATCTTCCAAGTCTTGCTCAATAACTCCTCTTTCTCTTAAGACTTGAAACAGGTTGGACACAAATCTATCATAATGAGCACCAGTAATTCCCATTCCTACATGCACCCTTCTAATTGATGTAAAAAAGTGATTTTCCGCGGTACCAAGTGCTGCCTTCAACAGTCCTGCATTCATTGCTTTTACTCTTTCGACGTCTTTTCCTACAAAAAATCCTTGCAGTGTAGGATCAGATATATTTAGGTTATAAAATTCATCGAGAACTCTATGCCAGAACGGATCTCCTCCGTATTTTTCAAACAACGAGGCCATATTTATCAACTATTTAATTCTTAAAGTTCTATATTATTAACTGACATAAGTGTTTGGTTCCCTGATAGTGATATGCTCAAGCCATCCAGGTTCATTAAGCTGGCTTCTAAATTTGAGTGGCTTATAGGGCGCTTTTCAGTTTGAAGGTTTTGAGGACCCTGAATATTGCCATTCATAAAAGGCTGGGGCTGGAAAGAGTTCCCATTTGAAAATCCATTCGTCCTTGGATTGAACTGATTAAAAGTTCCTTGAGGAGAATTGTAGGCAAAGCTATTTGGGGTAGGATAAGGATTTTGGAAATTTTGGGCTTGCATATATGGGTTTTGAGCGGTAAATTGAGGGTTCGGTATTGGATTATTGTAAAATTGATTTTGGGGGTAATAAAGGTTTTGAGCTGGAACTTGAGGGTTCTGTTTGGGATAAACAGAATATGAAGGTTCAATACTCACAGAGTCAAAGGGATCTGAATAAGCTGGTGCTGCTTTGGTTTGCTGAGTAGCTGAAGCTTCATCAAATGGGTTATAAGAATTTGATGGATAGCTACTATTGAAACTTGGCATTGACTGCTGGAGCACAGGCTTTGGAATATCTGTTGTAAACAAGTCAGCTAATAATTCTTGGGTTGAAGGGGTTGGTGTAACTGGCTCTGCAGCGAAGCCATTTGCTAAACTCTTTGAATTTGGGAGGTTTGTAACGCTGTGTGAGTGTTGGTTCGGTTTTTGCTTTAATTGTGTTCCTTTAAAGAAATCTGGCTTACTTTGACTGCTGCCATTAGTTATCCCATTATTCTGACTTATAGGAGGGAATTCTTGTGCTTCCTGATTAATTTTCCTTTTTTGGTCTTTTACTTGGATTCCTTTAAAAATGTCTTGCTTAGGCTTTTCTTGGAATTCTTGCTTACTCCCCCCCCCCCCCTCCGTGAGCGAAACAAAACCATTAGAAAAATCGCCATTTTTTGACCAAAAAACCCACCCTCCGTGAGTGAACAAAAATTTTTTTAATAGAAAAATTTTAATGGAAAAAATTTTGATATATAAGTGATAATTAGTATAATGAAATCTAGAGCTAATTCTGTTTAAATTTTAAACAAATTGCGTTTTTAAAAACATAAATTTTGCAAATTAAATTAATATTTGCTTCCCAATTTTTGCAAATTAGGATTTTTTTAAATTTCGAAAAAAATATTTTTTTATAAAATTTATATATAAATTTTTTTTTAAAAAAAAAAATTAACCCCCCTCCGTGAGCGAACAAAATTTTTTTGTTCGCTCACGGAGGGGGGGGGGGGGGAGTTAGGTTTTTCTTGAAAAATGTCTACCTTTGGCCTCTGATTGAAAATATCTTTGAAGCTCTCCGGCGCCTCTGTCGGCTCTTGCTTGCTTTCAGGCTGCCTATTCACAGCAGCTGGACTAATTTTGGCCTGCTCATACCAAGGTTCATTCTGTACAGGCGCCGGATTTTTTTCAATGATTTTGGTCTGTGGTGGCTCATAATTGTAATTGCTAATCGGTTCTTCATATTTCATCACCTGTGGAGGATTTTGATGGCTACCTACTTCTTTTGACGAAATCGACATAAACCTCTCCCTCTGTATTCTACCTGCAGCCCTTTCTTCTTGCAAAAACTGTTCATTACTTAAAAGGTGGACTATTTGCCTTACCTTTGTCCTGACCACATCGCCTTGCTCCAATCCTTTTTCCCTATACGAAAATTCCAGTAAAGCCCTAACTCTGGCTTGGTTGGTTTGTATATCAGACAAAATATAGTTTGACCCTACCTTTATGAGTGTTTCTATCAGTGTAAGGGTCTTGCTAATTTTTTTCCAGTCTTTTTCAGGTGCTTTTAAGTAATGCCAAATTGCCTTTGAGATGACTGGGACTTCTTCGGTGTTGAAGCTCTTGTCGGCAATTGAGTAAAGTGAGCTTTTGGAAGGTACCGAGTCGTTATTCTTTGTCACTTCCGAAATGAGCTTTTCTAGTGGCGTTTTTGTAAGTTTATGCTTCAAGTTTGTTGCTGCTTTCTTAAATCTCTCCATTTTATCAGATAATTATAAGCTTCTTAACGACCCAAGGTGTTGAGAATATTTATAGAGAGTGGAAAAAGCAGAGATATGGTAAAAAAATGATGCCAAAAAGTAAAAAAAGTTATTAAATACGGCTACTTCGCATGAGATGCGAAAATGTGTGGAGAATTTTGATATAAAACGTAATAAAAATCCTTTATAAAGCTATTTTGTAACCTAAATTATTTGAAATTTAAACCTGATTAATTTAAACATAAGTATTATTCTTCTCGAATAATCCCTTTCTGCCTTATTTTCTCAAAGAAACTGCTTGCAGCTATTTCTGAAGACTTCAGTTTGGAAACATCTCTTCCTTCACTCACAAACTCTTCATCTAAAAACACCCTAGTCACAAACTCAGAGGATTCTGGGTTCCTATAGTTTTCCACCTTATACCTCTGTATTCTTACACTCCCAATCTTCTGCTTTTGGGCCCACATAAGCAATCTCGAGTGTGGGTGCTCCTCAATTCCCTTTGGATTCGATATGTGCTCTATATGATTTTTCATAATTTTGAAGATAATATCTTTGCACACCTCAAAAGACCCTGAATCAAGATATACTGCCCCTACAAGTGACTCTATTTGGTCAGCTAAAACTTTCAGTCCAGGATCAGGGAATTTCTTCATGTCGATTTCTCCTTCTAATTCCATCCTTTCTTTAGCTTGGACAAGTGCTTTAATGTCTTTTGCTAAATCAGCATTATCATGCTTTAGATGCTTATATAGCCCAAGCTCAAAATTCAGCAAGGCAAAAAACCTATTATTGACTCCAGCTGTTTTCATTTTGCTTAAAAGCCCTGGAGTTGCCTCTGGGTTTTTTATCATTAAATGCTCTAGGACCACCAAATCAATAACAGCGTCGCCTAAAAACTCTAGTCTTTGGTAATCGCAGCCTTTCATAAGAGACGGATGGGTCATTGCTTCTGCAAATAAATCCTTATTTTTGAACTCATAGCCAATTTTAAATTCAATGTCTGTAAACTCCCCTTCGATTTTCCCATAGTCAATTACAGCTGGAGGATGATCAATCAGCTTAAAGTTAGCTAACAGCTGAGTCGCTAGCTCAAATCCGCCTTCTAAATAAGCAGCCCCGATAAGCGCTTCAATGCAGTCAGCTAGCTGCTTGTGACTGATTTCTACTACAGTGTTAGAAGGCTTGAAGTAGAGCTCTCCATCTTCTTCTAAAGTTTTGTCCCAGCCAAGCTCATCACAAGCCTCCTTTTCATTTTCTTCGTCGCTTGAGCTTGGGATTTCTATATCGTCATTAAAAATCTCATTCATCCCTGGGGCAAGCCATCTTTTTGTATTCAGTGGCTTAACTTGCATATATCTGTATATTTTAAGCTGTAAGGCAAGCTTAAATAACCGATGGTTTGAAATAATTTCTATACGCTTTTTTGTGAGGAGGCCTTCTGGATCTCCTGGATTTATGTGGTAGAGATAGATTGAGGTAAGGTATTTGAGGACACAGTCACCTAGAATTTCTAGTCTTTCGTAGTTAGAGAGCTCCAGGGCACTTGTGGAGGTTATTGCTTCGATTATTTTGGTGGAAGGTAAGGGGATGTCGATTTCTTGCTTAAGATTGATCATCAGGAATATCTTGTTGAGCTTGTTCAGAATAGAAGGGGTAAATTTGCCTATAGCCCAAGCCTGCCTTTGGCTCAAGCTATCTTCTTGGGCATCCCGATATCAAATTGGTTAAGGTTTTACAAACAGATGCTAGAAATACAACTACCTGATTGACGTTGGGACAGTGGAGCCAAAAGAAAGCTTGGGCTATAGCAGAAGATATTCAGCTGGGATCGGAAAAATCTGAGCTAAATCGTGGGGAATATAAGCAGTTCGGGAATGGTCTTTCCCTGGATTCAGCTTTGGACGATCAAATTGCCTAAATGTCCCAAGTTTTCTTGCTATATAAACAACTGAGCTTTCTAAGTTTAGCCCATATTTTGTATGATAGTATTCTTCAACCGACCAAACTCTATGCCTATGCTGATCCTCAAATTCATAGTCCAAACCATCCTTAATTTCTTCATAAACAACAAAAAACTCATGCAGATGCGTCGTGTATATTACTTTTCCAACCGCGTCAAATTTCGCATCATTTGGCTGCTTTACAAAGTCAATTGCATTATTAATAGTTTCCCAATCAATCTCATCCCCCAATAATGGTATCACACAAGTAGGGATTTCAGTAATTTCTTTATTCCCAAAAATCCCAATTTTTTCATTTTTCCTGATTTTTTCAGCCAGATTTTTGTACCTCATACCTAAAATTGAGTTAAAAATGATATGGAAGGTTTGAATTTTTAATAATTCTTCATTTGTATAGGTCTTTAAATTTAATAGCACTGGCATTGCCGTAAACGGGAATAAATTGCATTTTCCGCAACTTTCGTTAGGGTCGTGAAAGCTTTTGTCATGCTTAATATCAATCCCACGGTATCTGAATAAATTGTAAGGAAACACTGTAAAAGGCTCTCCTGGAATTTCAACTGATGATAAAATCCCAATATAAAGTGAACAATTTTCAGGAAAAACTGGATTCAGCTGGATTTTATATAAAAATAAATGTGCGTCTTGTCTAGCACGGATAGTGAAAAGGGAAAAGATCTGTGGCATAAGAGTCATAGACGTGAAATCTTCTTTTGAACGCTTTGCTCTGATTCTTCCTCCGTTTTTGTTAATAAATTCAATTTCAGGATCATCGTGTGGGTATTCTTTTTCAGTTGAATTTTCAGCCCATGTTGGTCTTAAATGCTTATTTAGCAGCCCAGCGCTAAATAGTTCTCCGACAGCTTGCAGGCTTGCGTCTTCTTTTGATTCGTTTTCTTTATAAATAAAATGATATTCGGTTCTAGTGAAATTAGCTCTGCTAATTTTCTCTCCCTCAAGCAATTTTATTTATGGGGTTGAGTTTTATCTCAAAAACTTCTGCAAAGTAGTTTAACTTTGGGGATAACCAGAGGAATTGCTCTTCAGTACGATCAAGAGGCTCAGGTCTTTACCCTCAACATACCCGGCGGAGGTAACTCTTAGCCGGAACACGCGCAGGAGCTGAGCCGTATAAAGCCTGGCGGCAGCGAAGCAAGAACGTCATGTTCACCCGTGTCTTGGTGAATCGAAGTGGATCGATCCAGAGGTTCATAGGCTTGACACGTGGATAAATATGGTGGCAACTCTGGACAAGGCTACCCCGAAATGGATGTTAAGCGCTATAATAATATTAAGATTAAGATTCGTTTTCTTTAGGCCAGAGTTTGCTTGATCTAATTGGTGATATTTTAAAAAGCTTAGGAAGCTTCAATGTGCATAAATATCCTCCTCTTAAGCTATTAACCCCAGGAATAGTGCATTCTCCAGGCCGATAATACTTATATTCATAATGTGGCTTTAAAACTGTATATTGGTCAGTCGGGTATTTTTTGCAGAACTCTTTAATAAATTTTACACTCCATTCGATGCACACTTTTGCCCCAGTTTCTGGGTTTTCGTAGTACTGAGGATTAGGCATCTTTCGGACTGGCTTTGAGAAATTTTCATCAGCAATTGTTTTAAGCCAGGAAATGGCGTCCTCAAAGCCATTTAGCTGTGCCTCCATATCTTTTTTATTACCATGCTCCACAAGTACCATAAAAGTTGAGTTTTGGTCTCTCGCTCTCCATAATTAAAATATGGCGTCTCCACCTAGCATGGCCTCCGTCCATTCAGCTTCCGAGCACATATTTTAATTATATCGGCAAGGTTTTGCCAACCCACCAGAAATGGACAGGGTCTGGACTTTACCTTTTTGCCGATAGGTGACCAGAAATTCCATTTTTTGGGATTTTTGTGTGGTCAACCTTGACTTGCAGCAGCCGCAGAAGTCCACAGCAAGCCCACTCAACATATCCCCTGAAAAGGAGGAGAAGACATCTTTGGGAAAATCTCACGGCAGTAGGGTCTCAAGAAGGCGAAGGATGGTTCGAGCTGCGCAAGCTGCTCAGCAAATCTTTTTCCCAGTTGAACAAGGTGGAATCGGGACGGCGCAAAACTGGTGAACCCTCACGAGTCCGTGGTGACTGCGTTAACAATATGGCATTAGCCTTCTAGTAATAATGGTAATGGTCTCTAGCTCTCCCTTTTGACTGCACATAAGACCTTAGATTAGTAGAAGACCCATCAAAACGAATCACTAAATCACAGGATGGAATATCAAGCCCTTCCTCAATTATAGTCGTTGCTACCAAAACATTGAAGTCTTTATTTTTAAATCCTTCTATAGTCTCCCTTTGACAGCGGCCTTTCATTCTATATGTCCTAAAATTTCCTCCTCCAGTGGTTTTTCCTATCAATTTTCCAGCTTTTATTTCATAACTTCCTTCAGCAGAAAAAATTTCATTCAGTAAATCAGCTAACTCTACCTTTAAGACAAGAAAATAAAAATTTAAAAAAATAAATTTTTTTATAATAGCATTATCTCGAGATTCTATCTAATCTATTATCTAGCTTTTAATCTTAAACATAAATTATATAAATTATTAGATCTTCATATTTAATTTAAAAAATATATATTTTAAAATTAAAAAACATTAAGAGCAAGCAAAGAATTTTATAGGCTTAAACAGAAGCAAGTATCAAACAGTGATTTTTCTTTCTGCTAAAACTATGACTTGAGAGGAATTCTCTTTGCCTTCGAAATGTTTTTTAAGCTCATTGACGAGCAGCTTGACTCTTTCTGATATAATTTATGTACCATAATAGATCACTTTCCCCCAGCAGAATACCGACTAAAAAAAATCGGTTCAGGACACCTGTCTTATAGAGTCTAAATCTGATTATGCATCTTAAAACCATAAATTGAGATTTGTCATTTTCGTTTTTGTTTTTAAAAAAGTTGGTAAGTGCAAATTAATTTGAAAATTAAAATGGATAGTCAATAATGATCTAAATTATTTCAGGGGCTATATATCCATTCTATTGTTTATAAGCTTTGTAATTTCATGCTTTATTGACTGATTTTCGGCTCTTAAACAAAGTTCACGTAAGTAGAGAAACAGTCCTCGCCTTCCGAGCAAATTCAGCAAATATAATCCATAGTTGTTGATTTCGGTGACTAATAAAGTTGATTCTTCACATGCAGGAAGGTTTTCCAGACTTCTTAAAACAAATTCAAAATTGACCTGCTGGCCAATCTTTACCTCTTTTACTACAAATATCGGCTTATTCGCAATACTTGCTACGCTTTCTCTATCTATTGAGGCAAATTCGCAGTCAAGAAACAAGCATAAATTTTCTAAATCATCCTTTAAGTTGCCTTTTTGCTGCAAATTTCCATGAATAACAGGAGATGCAGTTAAGCCCATGACTTTTGGCTTGTATTTAGAGTTATGATAAAATTCCTTCATAATGCTCATATAAGGGTGGTTTCCATTGCAATGATGGCACTCGTCAAAAATCATCAAGGAAAATTGGTTTAATCGGAGATATCCGTATCTAAGTGCATTTAAAAACAGCTGGGGTGTTATCACTATTAATTGGACTCTTTCTACCTCCCCCCTCCGTGAGTGAAAGAAAAAAATTTTGTTCACTTACGGAGGGGATTAATTTTTTTTCGAAATTTTAAAAAAACCCTAATTTGCAAAAATTGGGAAGCAAATATTAATTTAATTTATAAAATTTCTATTTTAAAACGCAATTTGTTTAAAATTAAACAGAATAGCCCGAGATTTCATTATACTAATTATCACTTATATATCAAAATTTTTTTCATAAAAAATTTTTTCTATTAAAAAAAATTTTTGTTCACTCACGGAGGGTGGGTTTTTGTGCAAAAAATAGGGATTTTTCCAATGGTTTTATTCACTCATGGAAGGGAAGTAAGGCTTCTTGCCAAGTTTGATAATCCCATCGATCTGCAATTTCGCCTTCAAGGCCTATAGATATAATTTCGAAGTTTTTCGAGTATGAGGCTTGTTGGTGCACCAAGGCAATATTTGGGGCTAAGAAAACAGATTTGCCAAGGGTTTCTTTTATGAGATTCATTGCTATAAAAGTTTTCCCTGTTCCTGTATCTAGGAATGCGATGATGTTTTTTTGACGGGCGATATCTAAAACTTGCAGCTGATAAGCCCTTGGGTGATTTTTTTCAATATTGAGGTCGTCATCGAAATCAGGGGAGTCTAGTTCGTCAGATTCGTGAGAATTTTGAGAGTAATTAGAAGAGCTCATATTTATATATGTTCATATTTCATGAGGGAAAAATGTTTAAATTTAGGGAAAAATGAAATTCTATAGATAATAAATTAGATATTATTGATAAGAGAGGGTTAAAGATAGACCGCATCAGGCTAAGAATAAACTGAAGCAAATTTTAAGAATTTTAATTCTAATTAGAGCTAAAGTTAATTTGTCATCTAATAGCATATGCAGCATTAATTTTTGATTAAGATTTTAATAGTTTATGTATTGGAAAAGAAATATTTCGTTTTAAGCTTTCTCTCATAACTACTCAAAAGAATATAAATGTATTTAAGTGTCAAAATAAAACTTTTATATAAATTCAGTTATCTAGACTTTTCTTAGCAATAGGAAAGAAATAATACATACACAAAAACTATAGATATATTATAAAAGTTAATAGTCACTAACAAGATTGGTATTCTCTAACACTAAATCAATACCACCTTTTTTCATGCACTTCTTATGAAAATCTCTATATCTCCATCCCATCATTATCAATTTTATTTAATCATCTTCCGATATTCTCGTCATAATCAAAAATGGATCGACAACAGTTTAAAGAAACAAAAAAGATCCTCGAGCACTCCCCACAATGCAAAAACTCAGGGTCAAGAGCCTTCAAAAACACAGCTTCTTCTATAAATGAAGAAGACAGCAGCCCTCCCTTTGGCTCTGAAGATGAAATTTTTGATTCTTTTAGCATCATGGGGTCAATCAGTGAAGGTGTCCAAGTCCAAAAGGTCCCTAAAGTCGAAATGAGCCCGAAAATTATTAAAGTCGAAGCTGCACCTCTTGATGCGCATTTAGAGAAGCGCTTATACGACTTCTTCAGAGACCCATCACAAGATGATTTCGTTGGCAAGCTTTCTGACCTTGATAAATCGAGCGAAACTACAGAGCCAACCCAGGAGGGGAACGAAAGGATGAACCAAGCTCTATGAGACGCAGCTGAAGCAAATCAATATGAAACCTGCAGAATGCTCATGGACAAGCATCTTCATGGAGATATAGTGGCCGATGTTAATAGCCACATGGCAGGTGGACTTACAGCCCTTCATATAGCTGCACTCAAAGGGCACGTCAAAGTATGCGAAACACTATTGGATTATGGAGACAGCACAGATTTAAACTCACAAGATGCCTCATTGAGGACTCCTTTACATTTGGCATGCATGCACGCAAAGCTGCAAGTGGCTCAGCTACTAGTCAGGTCAGGAGCTTTTTTAAATGCAGTCGACATTGATGGGAACACGCCTTTGCATTATGCAGTTTTGACTGAAGATAAAGACTTCCTCCATTGAATTTTGTGCAGGTTCCCAGACTTGAACTTAAAAAACAACCAAGGGAAAACTGCTTTAGAAATGACAGACAAAATCAGTATCCACGAAATGGCAGAAAAGAAGCGGTCACCACCTCCGCTGATTGATATGACCCCTCAGAGAATAAAAATCAGGAACTCAATAGACGAAATAGCTGACTTTATGATGCAAAGGGTTTCTAATGTAAAATGCCCTTTTAGCATCCCAGAAACCCCACATCCAGAAAAGAAAAGGATTTCTCCACTTGATTTTCAAGCAATACAACAAATTGGAAAAGGCAGTTTTGGAGAAGTTTTTTTAGTAGAAAAGAAAGACACCCATGAACAATTTGCAATGAAAATCTTGAGGAAAAATAAAGTAATGGGGCAGAATATTGTGAAATATGCTATGACTGAGAGAAATGTCCTGAGCTATATGAAGCATCCATTTATTGTAGGGCTAAAATATGCATTTCAAACCCAAAATAAGCTTTTTTTAATATTGGATTATTGCCCAGGAGGGGATTTAGGATCCCATATAGCTAGAGAAAAAAGGTTCAGTGAAACTAGGGCAAGAATTTACCTTTGTGAAATTTTGGTAGCATTAGAAGAGCTGCATAAGCGAGATATCATTTTTAGAGACTTAAAGCCAGATAATGTCGTTTTAGACTCAGAAGGCCACGCAATGTTAACGGATTTTGGGTTGTCTAAAGAAGGGGTCTTAGATAACTTCTCAGCAAAATCCTTTTGTGGATCTGTCGCATACTTAGCCCCAGAAATGCTAAAGCGACAAGGCCATGGCAAAGCTGTTGACTGGTATTTATTAGGAGTTTTACTATATGAAATGCTGGTAGGAATCCCGCCTTATTTTTCTCACAATAAAGACCAACTTTTCCATAATATCCAGCATTCGACATTAAAAATCCCTACAAGTCTGAGCCCAGATGCTAAAAGTCTGATGAAAGGCTTATTACAAAGAGAACCATCTAAAAGGCTAGGAAGCCGACGAGATGCTGAAGAAATCAAAGAGCATCATTTCTTTTATGGGATAAACTGGGACTCAGTTATGAGAAGGGAGTTGAGGCCACCACGGCCTCCTAAGCCAATTATGGTCCATGGGACTGTTTCTCAAGAAAGGGTAGTGGCTGCAGAAAGCTTGGTGAATAATGAGACCACCCACTTGACTGGCTGGACATTTATATCTGAATAATGTAAAATGCTTAATTAAGTAATAATTATGGATTTTATGAAATTTTAATTAATTATTTAAAAGGAAAATCAAATGTCGAGGAGGTCGCCGTTTATTAAAGTTGAAGCACTTATGGATAAATTGTCTAAAGACTACCCAGCGCTGAATAAAACAGTAATTCCTACAATTTCACATAGATCTACACCTGTGGGAAGAAATATGACTCCTGTAAGGCCGACTATTCCTCCGGATTTTGCTATAATGATGCTTACTCCCTCGGTGCAAATATTAGATTTTATAGTAAAAGCTTACAAAATTTAAACAAAATCCTAATCGCAATATTTTGAAAGGATAATTAAATTTAATGGAAATGCAAGCTGTTTAAAATTCAACAGAATTAGTTAGAGATTTCACTTACTCCCCCCCCTCGAAGTTCGACCAAGATATAGGGAAAATTCCTATTTTTTTGGAAAATTAACCCCCTCAAAGTTCGACCAAGACCTATATAAATTTACTAGGAAAATAAGCAATTTTTCAAAAATTTTAAACTATGTGGGGGTGAGCTTGCGATTTTTGTATTCAAGTTCTAAAAAAGCGTTACAAAACCATCTTGCACTATTTTTTCTAACCCTTACACCTCTCAACCATACAGAAGAATATGATAAATTTTTTTTTTTTTAACTACTAAATTATATAAACAAAATTCTATATAATTTTTTTTAAAAAAATTTTTCTTAACCCCCCTCGAAGTTCGACCAAAAAAAATCTTGGTCGAACTTCGAGGGGGGGGAGTTAAGATAATACCGCTTAAATATCAAAATACTTTCATAAAAAAAAATTATATTAAAAAATCGCTTACAGAGAGTGGTTTTTGCGTAAAAAATAGGGATTTTTCCAATGGTTGGGTTCGTTCACGGAGGAAGCGGCGAGTTAAGGAAAACACGAAATTTGCGAAAATAAAAGACTTGAAGCTAGCGAAGCCACCTAAAAGGCCAACTCCTTTGACAGTAAAAGTCCATGAGTATGAAGCTGAAACTTCATTGAATTGTTTCATGAAACACATCGCTACTGAGTCTTATGAACGATATTTATCGGAAAGGGCGCCAGGTTTTAGGAAAGGAAAAGAAATATATGTAAAAATCCCAGAAGGGAATGCTAAGAAAAGGAAAAGAAAAGTTGGGAAAATGGCTTGCTTAAGTCCAAGTAATTTGGAATTGTTGGGGCAGAAAGAGTTTTCGAATACTCAGCCTGAATTTATTAACTTACTGTATATAAAATAATACGGGGCATTTTAATAATAAAATTTATTAAAAATTAGCAGTAAATTAATTAGATTTGAGGAGTAAAAAAAATCTGACTTCAGTTAATCGAAGATTGCAGAAAACCGTCAAAAACTGGTGCCTAGCTGAAATGAAAAAGAAAAGCACAGATTTACAGTTAATTGATCATTACACATTTAGATCTAAGCATTAGAGTGTTTTGGTATTTTACGAGAGTATAAGCTGAGATAATTTTTTCAACTTTAAATTGATATTTTCCAAATATCTTTAAATTTAAAAAAATAGATATGAAGAATATTTTTTTGGTAATTTTATACAATCTATCTCGTTAGAAAATCTAATAAGCTCAGTTCCTTGTAGAATTGTCTATAATAAATCTGTCAAAAATTCAATTCTTTCCTAATAAGCTTTTAGAGCAAATCATTTTATCTCCTCATTAAGAATTTAATAACGGTAAATCAGTATTAAAATCATTTAGCCTGCTTTTCTTCAACTTTTCTAATTCCATATTGAATTAACGTATGCAAGTATCAGAGCTGGAATTATTTAAAGAAGCAAGTAAAGAGCCTAAATTTTTATATCAGTACACTGACGCTCAGGTCATGAAGATTTTATATAAAGTTTGGTCTGGGTTCACCAAGTTTATCAGGGACTTCATGTCAAATGATCACGCATTTTTATAGTGCGCATTTCATCAAAGCACATTTGGTCGAAAATTTCAAATAGTGTGACATTTGGTCAAAATTTAACAGGTTTTTTCAGTCAAATACCTCATTATCAAAAGCTTCGACGATCACTGAGCCTGCACCCTTATCAGGAGTTTAATTATGCAAGGACGGAATGTTAATTGTATGGAATTCGGAAGATTTATTTGTGGGTCTGAAAATAAGGTAAAATTCATCCCAAATCAAAAATTTCTCAGTTCAGGCGGATTTTCTTCACATCTAGAAGAAGAAAAAATTGATAAAAGTAAAGACCAACATATAAGTTACTCTGCTATTGCGTATGCAGCTAATTTAGACCGAGAAGTAGTTAATAAAGCTATAAAAGAGATTATAGGTACAGCAATAAAAGTATCAAGCAGTGGGAGAAATGTGAAACTTGATATGAGGGTTGAATGGCTCATATTTTTCCCTCAAGGAAATTTGGTTAAATACAGTATATTTACTCGATTGATTTTTTAAAAAAAAATTGTGCTGAGAAAATATCTCCTGGGAAAATTCTCGATAAAAAATTGCTAAAGGGTTGGGGTGCTAATTATTGGGAATAAAACTTTTGAGTTTAAATATGGGTTAGAGTCTGGGACAAGAGCAGAAGGCCAGAGATCTCCAAGCTTAAGTTCAGCAAAAACTCCATCAACAAGCAGATGCACTATTTTTCGTCCTGATTCTGAACAAAGTGCTGGATATCACCCATCAAATCCAAATCCTCGATACCAAGGCTTAAGTCCTGTCAAACTCAAGCCAATCCCAGAAAAAACTTCTGAAACCTCCATACCTTGGCCTTATTTGCCAGAAGCCTACAACGACAAGGTCTCGCCTGGAAAAGGTACCAAAAAGCTAAACATCCCTCCCCCAATTTCTGCTCGAAAGCTTTTAAATGACCAAAGAGCACAAATTGAGCAAAAAAAAGAGAAAAAAGAAACAGAAAGCAAGCAAGCCAAAGAATACGAAAATAAACTGATAAAAGACATAAAATTAAATATGGCGTCTTCGTCTGGGCATGGCCTCCCGGCCATGCAGCCTCAACTCATATTTAATTATATCCGGCAAGGTTTTGCCAGCTCAGAGAGGGACAGCAATGCTAGGTAAGCAATTCTGGTTGTGTTCAGAGCCTAGCCCTAGTCTATTCTCAGGGTTGGTTTTTTTCCTCGTGGGGAAGGAAGGCATGACAGTTGGAAAGGGGAAGCCCAGCAGAGTCCTAAGGACCAATCGGGCAACTCCCTAGCGTGAAACTGGGCGTTACGTCCCAGGCTGCGTGTTTTTCCTTTTTGCCGAGAGCCGACCAGAAAATCCATTTTTTGGATTTTCGGAAAGGCAACCCATGTCCAGATGCAGTAACTCACTCATGAGCCGTCGAAGCCGGTGACATTTACCCTAGGCGCACCTTGGTGATCGAGACGGGTTGGCCCAGCAATTCGTGGGCCCGATGTGGCGGGTCTGGGATAGTCTACCGCGTGGTGGACGTTAAACGTTATAATTAATTAGTTAGTTAGATAAAAGACATAAACCAAAGGCTGATTTCAGACAGAGAGTCAAAAGAAATCTTACTTACTTACTTACTTACTTACTTAATTATTAACTGTGTTTAACGCCATTTACGGGGTTGCCCCGACCCAGAGCTTCCCGCTGCTTCTTCGCCGCATAGGGCCCGCCGACCGTCTGTGGCCAGTCAGCCTCTCGATCACCAATATGCGCCTCCGAGCAGTGTTGCCGACTAAGGCGGCTCATGCCTGAGCTACTTGGCTTGTGGACACGGGTTGCCATTCCGAAAACCCAAAACATGGATTTTCTGGTAGGCTCTCGGCAAAAAGGAAAACACGAAGCCTGGGACGTAACACCCCAGTTTCCACGCTAGGGAATTGCCCGATTGGTCCTAACGGACTTGGCTGAGCTTCCCCTTTCCAACTTGCGTGCCTCCTTCCCCATGAGGAAAAAACATTCCCGAAAGTAGACTTGGGCTAGGCTCTGAGCACAACCAGAATTGCTTACCTAGCATTGCTGTCCGTCTCTGAAATGCAAAACCTTGCCGGATATAATTAAAATATGAGTCGAGTATGCATGGCCGGGAGGCCATGCCCAGACGAAGACGCCATATTTTAATTATGAGTCAAAAGAAATCGCTGAATGAGAAAAAAAGCTGATTTTTATAGAAGGAAACAAAAAACAGCTAAGAGAGCACGATGAAAAACGCAAGAAAATTAAAGAAGAAAGGAATAAAGAGTCTTATGATTATTTTCCTTTTACTCATGGAGATGCTCTTGAGCAGAAACAAAGAGAAATTAAAGAAGAATGGCAAAAAGAAATGAACCAAGTCAGAGAAAAAAGCAGCTCAAAAGCACGCTCAAAACTATCAGACTCCTATATAGCACAATACCCAGTATGGTTAAAACAAGATGAGTATGCACCGATAAGAAGAATTAATGAAGACCACGTAGAAATCGTAATGGATCAAGCTTTGCAAAGATATGAAGAGCAGCTGCAAAAAATTGAAGAAGAAAACGTTAAAAGAGAGGAATTAAATGAAAAACAAGACAATTTTAATAAAGCATTTGAAAAGCTGAAGTCCAAAGAAAGAGAAAAAGCTGCAAATCAAATGTTAGTTATTACGTTTAATGTCCATACCAGATTGTCAGCTACCTCCAAAACCACTCTGGAACATTTTCACAATCTCCCTCCTGCCCGCAAAAGTTTGGCACCTTGACTTTTTTTCACGGTGAGGACACCAGTCTTCAAGTAGGATTCGGTGATCTTTTTTGAGCTCAGACTACCTACTTATATCTTTTAGGTACCTAAACGTCCCAGTCTCTACCCTGGGGTAGTGGTGCCATTCTGGAAATTGATTTCCTAAAATCAGGAGTCCAGTTGGAAAAACTACCTGGCTAGGAAATTTCACCAAGGAAACCAAACCTCATAATTAAAATATGCAAGAGAAGAATTTTAGTAAGGGATACCAAAAAATTCGAGCATCACCATATTTTAATTATAGAAAAAGCTATCAGAGAAAACGAAAATATTTTACGAGAACAAATGAAAGAAAAAAAACTAAAAAAGAAAAAAGAAACAACAGAAAATAAAGAGCTTGAAAACACGAATTTCGGGCCAGATGAAGGGGTAAGTGAGCTTATGGAGGAGGCAGAAGAACAAGCCAAAATAAAAATGGAATTAAAAGAAGCTCTACAAACACAAATAAAAGTAAAAAACATATAGGAAAAGCATGAAAAGCTGAGAAAAAGGCAAAAAGAAGAAAGGGAAATGGATATTTCTCTAAATCAGCTGTTTGAAGAAGCTTGGGAAAACGAACAAATGAATTCCAAGCTAAAATCGCAAGCAAATAAGTAAGGATTATATAGGAACCTCTATAAAGAAGTCTGGCTTAAACAAATGAAAATGAGGCAGCTTCAAAATAATTTATCAAATGAATAAATTGTTAATTAATAAATGGGTCTCAGAAATAAGAAAGATGCAGTCTCGAGTTTTGTGCTGAGAGCTCAAATGCTAATATTTTTAAGCATTTCAGCATGATTAGTTCACCATCGCTATCATAAAGATCCTCTTGAAAAGAAGTCAGCTAGATATGAGGCAGAAGATATCTCTGTTTTCAATCTAATTAGGAGTCAAATTATTATGTCTGTGAACAACATGTTTAGAAAGCCTCCAAATGAGCCTAAGAAGCCTGAATAATTTTAATCACGATTACTAATAATTCTTGAGGTATTTTGGAAATTACTTAATTTAGTTAGAGTTTTGAAAAGGTTAAGCTTGTATATGATATTCAAAATTATTTTTATTCAACTAATTAGAATAATGGATAGGCAATTTATTGAAAATAATTATAATGAGATTAAAATAAATATAAAAATAAATAGAGAATTGCATTTCATAAGAGAAATAATATGGAATGAAGTAAAACAGAAGGCAAGAGCAGTGATCATAAACCAAAAGATTCTAAAATTATCCATAAGGAAACCCATTTAAAAGATCTTCCAGAAACACCATATATTTCATATATACCCAGGAAGGAGTGCTTGAGGACTTTTGACGTTTTAAAACAGGTTAAATCTGACTCTACGATAAATCTACCAATGCAACGAGGAAATATTAATGATATTAATGTAGTATTATGCCGGCTACCAGAAAACAAATATTTTTGTTATTGCTGTAGAGCTTTTGATGAAATTGGGACTGTTTTTTGTATTGATTCTCACAATCATTTAGAGATTTTTGAATCTGAACTGGCCTATTATCAATCATTTTGCGTTTATTGTGATGGATTTGTATATGTTCTAGGAGGAAATAATAAATCTAGCCCATTGAGCCAGTGTATTAGGTTTAACTTATTCAAAAAGAGATGAGAACGTAGAGCTAATTTTGTAAATCAAATTTATTATTATTCAGGAGGGCAAATTCAAGGATTTATCATTTATTCTGCTATGAATGGAGTTAATATTTATGATCCTTTTGCCAATTCCCATCAAGAAGTACTATCTAATTTGGGTTCCTTCACACGACGACTATTTCATAACGACTATTTTTTTTGGCCTATTTTTTTTTGGCCTATTTTTTTTTTTTGCCTATTTTTTTTTGGCCTATTTTTTTTTCACCTATTTGTTTTGGCCTATTTTTTTTTGGCCTATTTTTTTTGGCCTATTTTTTTTGGCCTATTTTTTTTTGGCCTATTTTTTTTTTTCACCTATTTTGTTTTGGCCTATTTTGTTTTGGCCTATTTTTTTTGCCTAGCCTCATTCATGAAGCTGCTGAGAGGACTAAAACCTTATTGAGAAACAGAGACTTTTCCTTATGCGATTAATATTGAGTAAATTAATGGAAAAACTCCTAATTAAATCTAAAATTCTCGAAATTTTAAAAGCAATGAATTAGTATTCATGGAGTAAGAAATCTGTTAAGGGTGCATATTTTGTTGGTTAAATCGTTTAAAACACATTAAAAATTATATTAAAACAATTAGTATGGAATTATGCCCAAATATTAGTAAAAAATAGTTAAAAAATTGCCAAAAAACTAGGCCAAAAAAAAATAGGCCAAAAAAAAATAGGCCAAAAAAAATAGGCCAAAAAAAAATAGGCCAAAAAAAAATAGGCTAAAAAAAATAGGCTAAAAAAAAATAGGCCAAAAAAAAATAGGCCAAAACAAAATAGGCCAAAAAAAAATAGTCGTTATGAAATAGTCGTCGTGTGAAAATACGTCTAATCTGTCCATTTCCAAGTTGGTTTTTGCAGGAAATTGCAAAGGGTACTGTCTAGAGTTTTCTGGAGGGATTTATGAAAGTGATTTTAATAATATTTTTGCTTGGAAGCATGTGGGGAAGCTTTATTTTAAGTTTTCACCATTGCTGGGATATGAAGTTTGTATCCAAAATAATATTTATTTCACTTGCTGGCCATATGTTTATAAATTTAGCTTGAATAAGTACACTGTTGAGGAGTATTTTAGCTTTGAAAACCCTGAATCTTACTTAAAAGCTATATAAATGGTAAGTAGTTTTATAGAAATCACGAAATTTACGAAGTCCAGTTTTTATAAATTTTTTAATAAACTTATAATTTTAATATGGTGATACTGAGTTGCTTTCAAATAGACTGCAAAAAAGAAGTTAAGTATAGGTGCCAGTGCACTTCTCCTGAGACTTACATGTGCGAAAAACACTTATCGAAGCACCTTAAGCGATTAGGCCAACATTCCTTTGAAAGTATGTTCCTGGAGCCCCTAGATCAAACAAAAGAAGCTATTCTGGAATTTATTACAAAAAAACAAACTAAAAATGAGAAATTAAAGAAAAAAATTCTAGCTTATTTTACGATAAGAATAAGCAGATCTGAAATCGGGGTTAGAGAGATGATAAGCCAGCTCGATTCTGACTCAACAAAACTGTTTTCTCTATTTCAAAAAATTAATATGGTTAATAAAGTATCTATTCTCGAGCAGGATCCGATTTTAAAACTATTGCCTTTACCCCCTGATGAAGCAATTGTTAGAATTAAGTCATTAACATTAAATAATGATTAGGTTCTTCCTCCTTTTACGTTTCACCCAAGGCATGTCTTCGTAGAAGACTCTTTACACTGTTAGTGAACCTCTGGGTTATGTCAGCATTCCACGAGAGATATTATCTATTGCCTAAATTTCTGATCATGCATATGCATGTCATTTTGAATTTGGTATGTAAAAATCGAATATGCGTTTCAAAACGCAGATTTTAGTGCGGCAAATTCTTAATTTGAAATTTCATATGAAAATGGTGCGTATAACGCCCATAAGAAATTTTGCCAACGGATTATAGCTCTCTTCCGGTTTTCGGCCTGACTCTTAATGTTGTCTCAGAACTTGGAGTATGCAGGTTTGGGACTTCGATGTTCCTAGCTAGTATCTGGACCAACTATATCTTCGTCGTCAGCAGTAGTGGTCTCTAGGGATAAAAAGCCTTTTTTCCCAGGGTGTCAATCGGGAAGACACAAAGTCTTCATTGCCGGATAAGCGGATGAGGGAGGCAAAACCCAACAGGAACACAAATGTCTATTACCTGTAGACACCGTTTTCTGCTCAGTTTGGCTTTAGGCCGCCACAAGGTCCCCAAACTCTAGGCAGGTCCGGTCTGTGACATCGCCATTTTATTTATTTATATTAGAATTAAACCAATTATAAAAAATCTAGATTCAAAAAATTATAATTGCAGCTTAAATGATGCTGAAATTGATAATCAGCTGACTAAAATTAGGGAATCTATTTCGAATCTGAGAAATGATATGAAGAAAGACAAAAAAGAGCTTGAAGATTGAAAGAAAAAAATAGAAGAGAAACTTGGAACTCTTATAGAAAAGCAAAAATGTGAAGACCCTCTGCAAATTAATAATCTTGAAGAAAAATTACAAAAAGAACTTAAAAATATGGAAAATTCAATTAATTCCCAGCAAAAGAATGCATTGCTTCCAATTTTAGAATTAAAAAAAAATGGTATGGAAAACTCTCAGGTTAATTTTCAAATAAATGAGCTGAAAGAAAAAAAAAGACTATTTTTAGACGGACAAAATAATTCAGAGATAGGAAGAGACTTCAGAAGAACTTGCTGACTTTATGAAAATGAGCTAAAAACGCTTTTAGAGTCAAATAAAGATTTGGAGGAGGCTTATCTAGACTACAAAAATAGTTATAATCAATCAGTTTCTATATACCTTTTAAACTTAGATGACAACCAAAATACCAATTTGATCATTTTTGACACAGAAAATGAAAAAGAAGCTTTTGTTAGGCTAGATAATGCAAAACCATTAAATACAGGCACATGCTTAGCCCAAATTCCTGGAGGCGAATTGTTTTGCTTTGGCAGTCAATACCCACCTTCTGGAGTTACTATGATGATTGATACAAAATATAAAACTCGGATGCTGCCAAGTGGTAGACCATGCTACTCTTCTTCATCTATATACTGCAATAGAAGCATTTACTGCTTCGGCGGATTATCCAAGAGTGATGAGCTATTAACCCTAGCAGAGAGGTTTGATTTAGATGAAATGAGATGAATAAAATTATCTCCATTGCCAGCAGCAGACGGTAATTGCCATTGCATATTGTTCAAAGAGAATATTTTGATTTCTGGCTATCGAAATCTTACTTAATTACTTAGATGATTAAAGTAGCAATTTCTTCTGCAGGAGGAATGGTTTACGGGGTAAACCAATCCGTACGTAGCCATTTTAATATCATTTGGCTATCGAAATCAAAACCTTATGCGGTATTCAATTAAAGAAAATGCTTTTAATTCAATTCCTTTTAAATTTGCGGAGAGAAAAAAGAAGCTTTTAATTAATGACGATAGGTTGTATTTGATTGAGTGTGATGGGTTAATATATGAAAGTGAGGCTGGAGATGAGTATAGATGAAAAAAAATCGGGAACTCAATAATTAGTGATAAATGACCTCCTCAAGTTTATTTGTCATACAATAAAGAAGCAGTTTACATTGGATGCAGGTATCCTCATGCCTATTATAAGTTTAATTTAGATGAAAAAGTAATGATTCAGCTTTAAAATTTGTTACTCCCTTCTGCGCGAACTCACAAAATCACTAGAAAAATCCTATTTTTTTTTAGGAAAAGTCCACCCAAAGGATTAAACTTATTTTAATATAGAAATATTTTATAGAAGTAATTTAACATATAAGTGATATTATGAATCTCTAAATAATATCTATTAAATGTGGTAAAAGCCCAATTTAAATATAAAATTTTATAATTTACCTAGCGTGGTTGTGGAAAAAAAAGATTTTCTTAGACAAACAAAGAGTTATAATATTAGGCTTAGACTAATTTAATTTCTCTTAGAGCCTACAATTTTATTTTTTGCTTATAAATAGGATTTTTAAATTTCTTATTTATAAGTTCCTCACTTTAATTTCAAGATAAGTAATATTGCCATTATCTTTATACTTTAAAAGATGACGAGCTAAAGTGCAGATTCTGGGTGACTAGTGAGCTGATCCAGCCTCTGGTAAGTGATTTTTTATACTTTAAAGAGTTCGGGCAGGTTTTTGACTAGCCGGAACGCTGCGAAGTTTTTTTTCTCTGCAAGCAGATGAGAAACCGAAGGTGCAGCTTCATCTCGGACTTCTTGGGAGGCATTTTCATGCTTAGATAGGGTGTGAAGTTCCCAGTAGGAGGGATTGGGCGATTTCTTCATATTCTGAGAAGCCATGGTTTAGAAAGTTTCCGTCTTAGAGGTAGCCCCAAGCAATATTTTGATAAGTCTCTATGAGAGACTGTTGACCTCACCATTTTTTGGTGACGTCAGCAAGAGAAGAGCGTCGTGCGACGAAGTTGTATATCGCCATTCGAGTCTGAAGCCGACTTGGGTCGCAAGGGGCTGACATGATCCCTAAAAATCTGCTAGATAAACTTTAGAAAAAAGGATTTTAAACCTATAGGCTACTGGAATAAAAACGGAGGCATAGTTGATGCCGATATAGCTAGAGGATTTATCAAAACAAAAAATCAAGTTGCCAATCCTAAGTTTTCACTCCATAGAATTTAAAATAGGAAGCGCCGAGTATTTAATACTATTCCTTTAGACAATATCTTTGCAACTTAAAATCCAGCATGGAGACCACTGGAAATAAGCAAAATTTTCAGAGGATTTTCCAAGCTCAAAAATAATTGAAGCAAAAGCAAATCTTAAAATTTATGGGTCTCCCACTTTTATAACATATTTTTTTCAATTGCATTCATCTTTTATATGAATTTATTATTTGCTTAATCCCTTCATTATTTTTTTTCTGCTTAAGCAATTATAAAATGCTTTACTTTTCTTCAATTTCATAAATAATTACAATCATGATAAGAGTCAAAAGTAAAAAAATCCCTGAATTAGAGGCCAAAACATACAAAAGGGACTCGAAGGACCACGGGGTCGCAGTGGCATTATTCCGGGGTGGGGTGAAGGCTTAGACTGACTGGGCCTCCCCTCGACCCACAGATAAGAGGGCCTATGGCGCAGTGTCAATCAGGCACTTCTGAAGAAGCATTATGTTGCCTTGTAATGACAGAGGTAGTTCCAACAGGAGGTACTGGACGCTTCCTTCATGCCCTGAGCACTATCAGGGGTTAATAGATACTTAAGCTGCAATTTTTGGCCAAGCTGGTTCTGGTGGGTCTCCCCGTTAGACTGACGACGTCATCATTTTTGATGGCCCAGAAGGAAAGGGCTTAGGTGGCTTTAGTGCTTAAAGCCACATGAAGCCTGAAGCTTAAGCTCGACTGGCTCGAGGCTGAAATAAACATCGTTTAGCCCCTCTAACTAACTAACTCCTCTTTCAATTTCATAAAGCTATATTCATTTAGAATAATCGTTATTGAAACTCTTTTTTTGTAATAATATTGCATCATATTTTTAAACATTCTGATCATAATATGGAAATCAAAAAGTGCTTTGAGCCGAGCTGTAACCTTGAAGCTGAATATATATGCCAATGCACTTCCCTTGGAATATTCTCGTGCGAATTGCACATAGCGGATCATTGCAAACAAAATAGCCTTTCTCATAATTTTGACTCTATATTTTTACAGCCAATAGAAGAGACTAAAAACGCGATTCTTGGATTTCTTACCGAAGAAAAGGATCAAAGAGAGCAAAGACAAAAGAAGCTAGCAAATTTGTTTATAAATAGCCTTTGAACTTTAAAACGGATATTCATAGAACTATTAAAAGGGCTTGATGAAGATTCTACAAAAATTAAAACTTATTTTGAAAAGATTTCTCAAGCGCAAAGACTCTCAAAATTTGAGAGTGACCCAATTTTGAAATTATTAGTTTTGCATACTGATGAAGCATTAGAAAAAATTAAATCAGTCACCCAAGAAAAGTCAAATTCAGTTTATTGCGAAAACCTATTTTGTAGGCTTAATGATGAAATTTTCAAAACAATAAAAAGTTTTAATCAAGAAAGCATCGGTATAACCCATATCTGATTTGAATTGGTCTTTGGAACAAAAATCTCTGAAACTTGATCCTCAAAATTGCATTTTGGTAAGCAGAATTAAATAAGGCAATCCAGCCATAACTGAATTTTTCAATCAGATTTAAGCGGTCAAAATAAATTAATAAATATTTTGGACATTGAATTGGAATTAATTTTCTAAGACCATTCCAAACTAGGGTGCCTACTATATTGATCTAAGCCAAAGATTGACTGAGATAGAAAAAGACGCTGAAAAGCGTAATGAAATTATTAATTTAAATAAAAAAGACATGCTGGATTCGTATAAAAACATGGGAGCCATTAAGATTGATCCAAGTTGTGACACAGCATACAATGATGCTGGGCTTGCCTTTTATAACCAAAAGATGTACGACGAAGCAATAAAATATTATAACAGCGCAATTGAAATTCGTCCAAGCTGTGCAATTTATTATAAAAATAAAGGAGATGCTCTGAAAGAGCTAGGAAGAAACGAAGAAGCAATGGAATGCTATAAGGAAGCTGTCAAAATTAATATAGCGTTTGCACCGCTATTGATTACCTTTGCAAGTGTTTCCCGCAGCAACTTGGAGCTCTGAAGAGCCATCTAAAGGTGATGAGTCAACTCAAAGTTGACAAAAGCGTGCCCTTTTACAAGGATTTTTTTAACTTAGAGTTGACTTGTCACCTTTAGGTGGCTTGCTATAGCTCCAAGTTGCTGCGGGAAACCCTCGCAAAGGCAATCTGCAGCGGTGCAGACGCTATATTAGCTATGATGCAGCATATAATAATATAGGAATTATCTTGTTTAAGATGAAAAGGTATGAAGAAGCGATGCAATCATTCATGGAAGCAATTAAAATAAATCCAGAATCCTCAGTTTATCATAAAAATAGAGGAGATGCTTTAAAGGAACTAGGTAGAACAGCAGAAGCAATTGAATGCTATAACCAAGCGATTAGGATTAATCCAAATTTTGTGTCAGGATACAACGATTTAGGAATGATTTTATATGATGAAAAGAGATATGAAGAAGCGATCAAGTACTACAATGAGGCAATCAGAATTGAACCAGACAGCATTAATATATATAAAAATAAAGTATAGTTCGTGCCTACTTATAGATTTCTGGTTCCCCCTTTAAATTTGAACAAAATCTAGGTAAAATTTCAATTTTTTGGGTCACGTTACAAATTTTTGTTTTTCAACAAAAAAAATTTTATAGACGGAAATACTAATTTTTATTTAATGAAAAAAATGAGTAGAATATTATTTAAACCGTTTTCACACTGATTCGATTAGCTCTTAAACAAAATTTATAATTCCAGATATACGTTCAATTTATATTATTATTATTATTTTAAAAAAAAGTTAAATATAATTTTTTTAATAAAAATCAACCCCCTTTAATTTGAGAAGGATTTTTTGTTCCGATTTAAAAGTGGAAGAAGTTAGAATAAATGCCTTTTAGTTCCCCTTATTGAGTGAATATTTATTTAATTTCTAGAATTTATTATTTTAAAATGAGAGATTTCATTATTTTTCAAAATTTTTTTTTTTAAATTTTATTTCGCTAACGGAAGGGAGGGGATTAAGAAACAACTTAAAATAATTTGAAAAGCCAAATCAAAAATTCCAAGTAAGAGATCTAAAATTTTTAAAATTTTTATTTTAGTATGTCAAAATAATTTTTCTTGGAGTGCATTTGTTAGACATCTATAAGGGGACATATGCTATATTAGCATTAAAGCAGCTAAGCAGAATTTCAGAAACAATAGATTGCTGAAATGAAATTATCAGAATTGGTCCAAAAAACGCTTCAGCTTGCAATGAGATGGGAATTTACTTATATGATGAAAAAAGATATGAAGAAGCAATAAAATATTTCAATATAGCAATCAAAATGGAACCAAATAGTGCGGTTTTCTATAAAAATAAAGCTCTACCTCTAAGAGAAACCAAAAGAATAAAAGAGGCTATGGATTGCTATAGTGAAGCTATTAGGATAGATCCAAACTTTGTTTCAGCTTACAATGAAATGGGAATTGTACTATCCAATGAAAAAAGAGATAAGGAAGCAATTGAATATTATAATAAAGCAATAAGAATAGAGCCCACTGATGCAATTCTATATAAAAATAAAGCGATGTCTCTAACTCTGTCTCAATTAATAGAAAAAACTAACTAGCATTTATATGTCTGTTTTTATAATGAAGAATTAATGATAATATATTTTATTATTATGCTTTTATGCTCCCAGAATTTCTTTGTATCAGATGGCAATTATATTTATAGCAATTGCCCGAGGATGGCGCTATCTTGCGCCATCCTCGGGCAATTCAAAAATAGCCCCACACTGGGAATCGAACCCACGTGTGGGGCCATTTTTGGTGTGTGGCCAACATCGACTTACACGCACCAAAAATGGCCCCACACGTGGGTTCGATTCCCGGTGTTGGGCCATTTTTTTGAATTGCCCGAGGATGGTGCAAGATAGCGCCATCCTCGGGCAATTCCTATACTTAACAGAGGTTAATAAGAGTGTTAAGGCATTATTCTTTAATTTGATAATCGCCTGCGAAGCAACCTTCTCTCTTAATAATGCTAAGATATAGATGCGGAGTAAGGGAACTACGAAGGATGAATGAGGCAATTGATTGCTATAATGAAGCTATTAGAGTTAATCCAAATTTCGTAGACGCTTATAATGAAATGGGAATTGTCTTACATGGTGAGAACAGAAATGAAGAAGCAATCAAATATTATAACGAGGCAATTAGATTAAAACCAAATTCAGAAACTATATACAGCAATAAAGCATTAGTTTTGAAGGAACTAGGAAGAATCGAAGAAGCAATAGAGTGCTATAATGAAATAATTAGAATTAATCCCAAAAATTTATCAGCTTACAATGATATAGGAAATCTCTTATGAAATGAAAAGAGATATGAGGAATCTATCAAGAATTATGAGGAGGCAATCAAAATTGAGCCAAAAAATGAAGTTTTGTATAAAAATAAAATAGGCGCTCTAAAAAAACTAATTACTCTATATAAATAACGACCAACCTTAGAATTTCTTCTAAAAATAGATAGTAAGAACAAATTTATTTGCAATCTCTGCTGGTGTTAGGGTATCCTCCATTAATATTAAAATAATAAAAGATTTAGCTTAATTGCTATTTTCTCTATTTTATTACTATAATATCTCATATTTTTAAATAATTTTATGCAGAGATTAATAATAGTTTGATATAATTTCTTATAGTATTCCGCGTGCTGGATTCTGCTCCACACGTTGAAAACATAAAAGCCTGTGAAGCCCGCCTATTGACTTTCTTTCATATGCTAAAATATTTTCCATTTGTGGAGCAAAATCCATTACGTGAAAGACTTTAAGAAATAACAGTAAAGAAGTATAATAAAAAAGAAGAATTTCGAAAATTTTATAAACATCTGCTTTAAAAAAGATCGTTTATTAATTCGGAGGAGTAAAAAGAATAGATGAAATAATAGAATGCTACAATGAAATGATCAGAATTAATCCAAATAATGTTTCAACCTTCAATGATTTCGGAAATTTCTTATCCAGTGAAAATAGACATGAAGAAGCAGTAAAATATTATAACGATGCAATTAGAATTAAACCTAATGATACGGTTTTATATAAAAATAAAGCACTATCCCTAAAAGACCTAGGAAAAATAGATGAAGTAATTGACTGTTATAATGAAATGATTAGAATTAATCCAAATAATGTTTCAACCTTCAATGATTTTGGAAATTTCTTATCCAATGAAAATAGACATGAAGAAGCTGTAAAATATTACAACGAGGCAATCAGAATTAAGCCTAATGATATAGTTTTATATAAAAACAAAGCACTATCCTTGAGAGATTTAGGAAAAATAGACGAAGTAATTGGCTGTTATAATGAAATGATTAGAATTAATCCAAATAATGTTTCAACATACAATGATTTAGGAATTTACTTATACGGAGAAAAGAGATATGAGGATGCACTAAAATATTACAATGATGCAATTAGAATTAAACCAAGTGATAAGGTTCTACGTAGCAATAAATTATTAGCTTTAAAGGCATTAGGAAGAGTAGAATAATAAAATGCTATAACATCATAAGAAATAATTTAGTATTAATGGGTTTAAAAATTAATTTATCCATTTTAATTATGTTAAAATAATGATTTTAATTCACAAAGATTAATTTCTAAAATATAAATTGCTAAAATTTTGATATTATGTGACTTCAGATCTGTTTTGATTTTATTAGTTTTTTTCTGCGCTTTATTTTAAATAATTTAGTATAATTTAAAAGAGAATGATTTATTATTCGAATCTTCTTGAATAGTCTGCAAGCTTATTAGTAATTTAACTCTGAAAAATATTCATAGAAAAAAAGAATAATATTTAATGGTATTTTTTCTTCTTGTAAAACGCAAGATAGAGCTTATGCCAATCAGGGTCATTTTTGCTGACTATATCATCATCATATTTCTCCCATTCGCTATTATTCTTAGTAAATGCTATGAAATGAAACCCATAATAGCATATTACTCCAAAAATTTGATAAGTTTCATTACTAATCTGCAACTCATCTGGTATTTCATTAAAACCTTGGTGATCAGGCATATAAATTGTTAAAATATCAGGCCAATCAACTCTTTCAGTTTCCAGAGTTATATCTCTCAGTTCTCCACATCTGTCGCACATTAGCTGATTTTCCCAATTAAAATACTTCTTTTCTCCAACAATATTGTTTAAAAATTCTCTTATATTGCTTTGGGAATTTTTTGGAATAATTATAAAATTTGAAGATTCTTCGACATATGATTTATGCTTGTAAGGGCATGTAAAAGTTTGCGTTTTAGCCACTTTAAAAGGATTTGCATCTTCAATTTTATCTGAGATGATTAAAAACAGCTCTTTTGAATCATTTGGAGACCTTCCAGCGTACTAAATAAATATTACCATCGAGTATTCTTTTGAAATTATATCTTTAAATTCACTGATATGTGGCATTATTGATATCTTTGAAGCATTACTATTCATTAATGATATAACTGAATTCAGGCTCTGTAATAATTTATTGCTACTAATGCTGCTTATTGATTTTGTAAATTCAGAAATACTTGCTAATATTTGTATAACAGAATTCATATAGCAGGTATTTCCTATATTTGGCAAGCCTGATTTGCTATAAATTAGAGATCTTGTCGGTAGAGTTTGAGTCTGAGTATTTAAGGACCGTCTTTGCCTTTCAGCTTCTTGATAATCTTCAGAAAATATATTTTGTCTTGATGGCAGAGTCACTGTCTGGCCAATTATCTGATACTCGGTTTTAGGTTCATTTGAGCGAACAACAGATTGTCTGAAAATTTCAGACTTATATTTTTCTATTTCTTCCTCAATTGCTTTTAACTGTTTAACTGCTAATTCTATGTTGCTCTCTAGCTCAGCTATTTTATTCTTGCTAGTATCGTTGCTTTTTAGTATATTTTCGATGCTATTATCAACTTGCCATTTCCAATCCCCCAATCCCTTATTTAAGTCATTGCTTTGAGCCAAAAGCTTTTCGGTATAAGATTTATATTCCTCTATTTCATTTTTAATACTTTTGATGTCATTATTAGCATGAAATTGCCAATCTTGTATATCCTTGTTATAATTCTTTGATTTCTCAATTTCATTTAAAAGACTTTCTAGCTTTGCATCAGATTTATTTTCTATTTCCTCAATGTAATTTAATTGCGATTTTAATTTTTCAATAGAAATTTTGTTTTCATTTTCAATTCTTTCAATTTTTCTATTTAAATCCTCAAAATGTGCGTTTATACTGTCACTATTGGATTTGCAATTTTTATTCAACTTATTTAATTCAGATTTAATGCCCTGAACTTGAATATTGGTATATTCTTTACAGGTTTCAATACTTGCAGTAGCTTTACTCTCCTCTTGCTGGCGAGAAAAAAAGGTTAATGTTTTTTATTATTTATATTTTCCGCGTTTAAAATATCCAAATTTGTTAATATTTGTAATATTAATTGATGAAATTTATTAAGCAAGCTATCTAAATTTTAATATAATTTGCTTAATAATTCATTATTATAATTAACCGAATGGGACTCTATTTTCATAAATAGTGATTTTTATAATGGTTTTACTGACTACCTAGAGGAGAGTTGGTGGATTTGAACTCCAATTCATTTAATTTGGAAATTATTTCACTGCTATTTGCATTTACCACTGATTTTATATAATCCAATACCCTATCATTTTTAAGGAATTCTTCTGGGCTTGGGCAATTATTTTGTTTTCGCTCATTGTCCTTGGAGAATTTTTCTAATTCTTTCATTTTATTTGTAAGCACTTCTTTAATGCGATGGAAATCTTTTTCTAGCTTATACTCCATAGCTATAGTGCTGTTAGAATTTTTTGTTTCTATAATATCGGCTGCTGAATGTATCTTCTCTTCACATTGAGCTAATAACCACTCTATCATGCTTTCGGACTTATTTTCGATATCCTTTTCTATCTTTTCAGCTAATTTCTCTTGTAATTCAGTGAAATAATTAGCTATAGCGCTTGCGCTTAATATTATTTGCCTATTATCTTGAAAACCGCTGCTATTAGGTAAGCTCAGGCTTTGTAATTCAATTTTTTGATGGGAATTAGGTTCTTTTTCAACAGATAGAATATTATTCTGTTTTCTTGAATAACTGTCAATATCTCTATTTAGATTACCATTGCCCAAATTTGTTGAAGAAGTAGACGGGTGGCTTATTGGGGATATGTGAAAATCAGGAGGTAAATCTTTTCTATAATGAGGACCTTGCTCATAGTAAATGCTTTGGGCATTAATTTGATCGATCGCAAGAGGTTTTAGGTCTTTCCTTATATAAACTAAAATCGATGGCGAATATACTGTTGTCAATTCCAATTTTTGCGTCAACAACCAAAACATCTTTTAGTGGTTCACTTTCTATTGTATGACTAATGTAATTCATTCAGTTTTTATTTCTCTCGCAAATTTTGTAAAATATTTCTAGAGTGCCTCAGCATGACTCGAAACCTCTAATACTGAGAAGTTGATTATCAGAAATCCCATTTCTAAATGCATTTGTCGTAATTTCATGCAGATATCTGTCCAGCATTTGAAACCTTGGATCCAGATATGCATTTATGTTGCTGCTAATAGTCGCTATCATCCAGCATGCCCGCCTCAAATGAAAATTGCTCATTTTTATTAGTTTCTACAAATTCAATTAACCAAAACTCAATCGCTAAATGTATTTGTCGATGTGATTTAATGGCAGCAAAGCAGTCGTTAAGGAGACGGCATGTCAAAAATTAAAATACTTAAGAAAATGCGATAAAAGGAGTTTTAAAAATCAAGCTTTTGCTTGATAGGACCAATTATGCTTTAATACAGCTTAAACTTTATAGACTAAAAATTATTAGCAACAAATCTAATTTATGTTTGGGCCGACAAGATATTACAAATTTCCCTCTTTATATTCTTTTTCTTCTTTAAGGCTTTTAATTTTCGTCTATATCTTTTTTGACGGATTTTTCAGAATGGAAAAGAGAGATGACTTGGAAATATTCAAATCTAAAAATTTATTTTAAAAGCAAAGTGAGTTGATAGTTGATAAATATTTACAAAGCAGTTTAAAGACTTAGTTTATTAGATATAATTTTTTCAAGTAACTTTAGCTTAAGAAATGTGAAAATCTTCAGGTCAGGTCAAAGTTAATCATAATTATTTGGAGTCTAATAATCTACGGAGATCAGTTAATCAAAAGACCCAATCTATAACTGGAAAAAAAATAAATGAAGATAATACAAGAAGTATCTCATATATACCATGAACACGGTTTTAGATCGACCTGAGACCTCCCTCCCTTCCCCTCCCTTCCCCTCCTTCCCCTCCATCCCTTGACAGTTTCAGCTTTATTGAAATCTACAAATTGAATTTGAGTTGTCAAATCCTTAGTGAGGGACTTTTCATTTTAAATTAACAATTTAGTTCAAACTGAAACCGCCAGGGGTTGGGGGAGAGGAGTTTCAGGTCGAGCCATACCTGTTCTGAAGGTATAGCAATAAATTGTCAACTAATGCAAACACAAGAGATTCAAGAAATGCTGACTCAGGTAGGCATGAAAGTAGAAGTGGAATCAGAGAGTTGCGAGCACAAAACAAAGTTTGCAGTATTCAAAGACTATTAAAGCACCCAACAAAAACCAAGCATAATGAGGAAAATCAAAAATTGCAAACGAAAATATTAATCCACTTCAAGTCCACCCGAAACATAGGATCAAAAGATACGATAATAATTTCCAGCATGATGGCGCATTTTATTTTCGCTAAAAGCTGGAGGAGCTTAGCCTGCGAATTTAGGAAGAATTTGCATTGTGAGAAAGGATTCTGCGACGCATGAGCCTTTCTAGTGCTGAATCTATGAAGCATTGTATTGAAATAAAGATAAAGATATGATTCAACGAGGAGTCAGGGAGCCAACGCATGGATATTTTTTATATAATTGAAGTTAGAGATCCAGTGGATTCCAGGAAAACTTTTTATTTTAATTGCCTAACCTGGATGAGCAAGTAGGTGGTGCATTTAAAACAAAATTTCTCGTGAATTTGAATGCACTTGGAGATCTGAGGTTGTAAAATATGCGGAGTTTCTGCTTGGTAGAAGTGATAAGGCTTGTGCTTGTTGAAAGATATGACAATTTGCTATGGAAGAGATTAACGGTTAATTAAAAAGAGAGAAGTGCTTGCAAGACCGGCAGTAAAAGTTTTAGATAAGATAGCATTAAAAGATACTAATTTAAGTGTTCATTATGCATCATAATGCTGGCTATTAATCTCAGTTAAACTTTCAAGCACAGCTCTATTTGATGCAATAGAATTGAGCTATAAGATATAGGCTGAAGAGCTAATTAAACAAATAGGTTATACTGAAGCTAGAGGAAAAGATTCAGAAGCTAAAAATGTATTATTGAAATTCTAATTGAAAAAAGGAAAATATTGAGGAAAGGCTGAGGAACAGTGAATCAAGAGTTTCTGAAAGGATAATGAGAGAGTCTAATAGGAAATTTAAATAAAAATGATAAAATTAAGAAGAAAAATAAAGAGTTTGACTTTGAACTAAATAAATATAAATCGATACTACCAAATCTGAAGCAGAAAATAAAGAATTGAGGCTCAAAGCAGACCAAGAAGAAAAAATAAAAGAGCAAGAGCAGAAATTTCACATTTTGAGCCAGAAAAATTCTCAAATGAGCCAACAAAGTTAATCTTAACAAATGCAGCTACTTTAATAAAAAAAGTTCTATTAAAAGATAGAAAAAACCTTTATTGAAAGAAATCAAAACCCAAGAGCAGATTATAAAGACTGCCAAAAAGAAAATGAAAGGCTTGCTGAATTAAAACAATTAAGTTCCCAGCTTAAATAAGAGCAGGATAAATTCATCATGAAAATATAAAAGTAGACTTATTAAAAGCAACCTCGTAAAATACCACGGAGGGGTGCCAATCAAAGAAAGTACTTCTGACTTTGGAGCTATTAATGAATAGAGATCGGAAAATGACGCTTAGACTTGCTCAAGATTTATTGGAAAAAGAGAGATTTAACTGAAAAAGAAATAATATCAAAAATTATTGAAAATTAAGAAAATTCCAAGCTAAAGTTGAATTCAGTTTTCTACAGCGCAAGAAGGCTTAGTTAATACCCAAAAATAAACAAAATCCATGAAAAAATCAATCACTTAAAGGAGGCGTATGAGAATTTTTGTAAAGCAATTGCTTAGCTCATCTGAAACTTGTTCCAAAAGCTGTTCAGAGCCATTTCTTGGTTCAACTAGACGCTAGCTAAAGGATGCTAGGAATTTTTCCTTCTGCTTGCTATTTTTTGACTACTCTTTTGTAAAAATCTAAGAATTGCTTCTTTTATTCCTTTAATCGGCTCTAAAAGTATTTTTTCAATAGCTTGAGCCTTACGAAGAAGCTTTAAATGTTACCCGAAGTGCAGTTCACAGCATAAATTGTACGAGAGGCGGACGGCATGCATATTCAATTAGCTTCAGGGTTGTGCCCTAACTCAAAATATTGCATATGCTCTATAGCCCAAATGGAGGCTTGGGGTATATATATTATTATAATTATGGCTTATTATAACCAAATTTTATTTAAATCTGCAATTTTTGGAGTAGTTCATTACGGTCTCGACCTAATACATCGTTAATAAAATTTATGTCTTTTTCCGAAAGCTCCCATTCATCCCCAGCAAAAATACCACTTACTTGATTTTCTTGCTTTAAATTGTAAGCCTTATTAAAGTCCTTCAAAGCTGCTTCTTGTCTGAGATTATTAAATACTCTAGCTCGGCTGCAGAAATGTAAAGGATTGTTGGGTTCAAGCTTGATTGCCTCATCATAGCATTCTATTGCTTCTTGATATCTCTCTAAAACATAAAGAGTATTGCCTTTACTATTATAAAACTTTGCATCTTTTGGATAGACTCTGATTGCTTCTTCATAATTTTCTACTGCTTCTGGGTATCTTCCAAGTTCATTTAAAGCATCCCCTTTATTATAGTAAAAATTAGCATCTTGTGGATTGTGTTTGATTGCTTCATCAAAGCATTCGATAGCTTCTAGATATCGTTTTAGATTATAAAAAGATAATCCTTTATGATTATAAAATCTAGCGTTGCTTGGATCGAGTTTGATTGCTTTGTCATAACATTTGATTGCTTCTAGATATCGTTTTAGATTATAAAAAGCTAATCCTTTATTATTATAAATATCAGAACTTTTTGGATTGAGTTTGATTGCTTTGTCATAGCATTCGATTGCTTCTAGATATCTTTCTAAATCATAAAAATAAAAACCTTTATTATTGTATAAATAAGAATTTTTTGGATTCTGTTTGATTACTTCGTCACAGCATTCGATTGCTTCTAGTTTTTCTCCTGGCACGTTGCTGCCATTTTAATGTATATTGATAAATGATTGGGAAGAGTAAATATTCTAGAGTAGTATCTTTTACATTGCATTCATCTAGATAATAAGGTTCGAGTTTAAAATTCTGATTATTGCACTTTATTGCTTCAATCTTTTTACCTGCTCTTCTAAGTGAGAAATGCTCATTATAATAAGCAACATCAATAGCGATTTTTTGATCTAAATTAAAATAATAATATTCTCTAATTGAACTAAAAATAGTTGAGATGTATATTCCTCCTTTATTATATGTACAATAAGCTTGATTCGGAGCGCAATCGATTATTGATTTTCCAATTCGTCTCCAATTTCATAAACTTCCAACTTCGCTTTCATAGATTAATCCATTTTGGCATTCAATCAAATATAGTCTCTCTGCATTTATCAGGATCTTTCTTTTCCGATATGCAAACTCATAAGGAATTGTCGAGAAAGAATCAATATCTATTGAGTATAACAAAATATTTGTATTAATCCGTCCAGAAATCAAAATATTTCCATTAAATATTATAGTATGGCATTCATCATCATCTTCTGGCATTGAAGTTAATTGAATTCATCGATTTCGATCTAAATCAAATCTACTAGATAGAGTTAAAGCATAACTCTTTTTATTCTTTCCTCCAAAACAATAGATGCTGCTGTTGAAATAGATACATGATGAGTCAGAGCAAGGAGTTCCAGATGGCAACAATTCGAATTCACCGTTCACATCAATTAGCACTGCAATTCCAGAAGTTGGATAATTACCAAAACAGAATAGCTTGCCATTTGGAAGTTGAGTTATGCAAGTTTTATCGCCTAATAGTTCTGGGATCTGCAAGAATTTGATTTCCCTGGCTTCAGTTTCAGTGTTGTAAATAATTAAATTAGTTCTGTCGTCCTCATCCACTGCTATATTATAAAGAGATGTTTTTTGGTGATAAGCTTTAAGATAATCTTGGCAAGCTTGAATTAATGGTGGATCATAAAAACGAGAATGGATGTGAATTGCTGAGCAAGTTGTATTGAAATCCATCTCTAATTCTGGATTGTTTGGCCTACTCAAAATCTCAGCTGTTTTATTTCTTAAGATGTCTATAAGGTTTAAAGCACTTTCTGCTTCTTTGGGTTTACTGTTGAGATAATTAGAAACAGTGCTTATTTGAGAATTAAGCAAACTTGTCTCGCTTTCTAAGCTTTTTTTTATTGGCCTGTTTGCGTTTTCAGACCCTTTTAATTTCTCACTGTTCTCATTTATTATCAAGGAAATCGAATCCTTAACGTTTGCTGACTCTATGGTTTTATTCACTTCAGGAGTATTTTGCATATTCATATTTTCTAGATATGCACCACCTTTTTCTTCAACAAAGGATCTATTTAAACTCGCTAGCTTTTCAGTGATTATATAAAAGAATCTTGCACTGTTGTATCAATCTTTCATGGCTATAATCATCAATTTTACTTTCTCAACAGCTTCTCCAGGCTGTAAAACCAATAATCCTAATATTGGATCTTGCTCTAGCTTTGATACTTTTTTAACTTGGGAAATTTTTGCAAAGAAATCATTTATTTCACCTGAGCAATCATCCAATTTTTTCCTAAAATCTCTTAAATTTCTCTTTAAGTTAAATGGGCAATTCTTAAAAGAATCTATGATTTTTCTTCTCAGCTCGCTGTACTTTGAATTTTCTATTGTAAGGAATTCAAGAATTGCTTCTTTTGTGCCTTCATAAGGCTGGATAAATATTGATTCAAGGTTATGAGCTCTATCAGGCAAGTTTGCATGCTTTCCAATGTGCGCTTCACAAGATAAAGTCTCAGGAGAAGAGCATTTGCATGAATACTTAACCTCATTCGTACAGCCTGACTCGAAACACTTCTTCGCCATCGTATAATAATTATTAAATAGATGATTTTTAAAACTTTTTACATTCAAATAAGATATTCAACTCATCAGCAGAGACTGGGTTTGACATGAAGAGCGGGATAGCAGGTTTTGGAATGTGCAGAGTCTCAGAAAATCTATTGAGAGCAGTGTACAACTTGAAAATCAACTCATCACAACCAACACTTCAGGCAATAATGAATTAGATCCCGGACTCTTTATTAAAGACAGGATAAATTCAAATATTCACTGTTCTTAACTCGGAGGAAACGAAACTTGAAAAATCAGTATGTGAATGGCGAAATTGAGCTTGGCCTCATTCCCCAGGGTTATTTGGTTGAAAGACTCATAGCATGCGGTATTTCAGCTTTCCACATACTGGTGCTTGCGGCTAGGTTGAAGAAGGCGACTTTGTCAGAAGTGTGGATAGGAGGGAAAATAGTAGAGAAGGTATCCACCCCGAGGGAGGTAAGAAATACATCCTTGAAGAAGCATTCAGAGGAGACTTTGGCCTCATCAAGGCTTAGAAATCAAACACTGAGGGCAGCTTGATTTACAGAAAGACTGCCAGGAATTTCAACCTTGACATTGCTGGGTCTTCAAAATAACGATTGTAGAAGTCAAGAAGAAATCGTCCCTGCTGGCACTGTCGACCCAGTTCATATAATCGTTAAAGGTGAGTATTTTGAAAAGCCTATGAAAGGCTGGGTCTCAATACTGGAGATGAAATCGAGCTTCCTGGGACTCCTGAACAAATCAGGAAGCGTGAGAGAATTGACAAAAGAGTTTCCAAAGAAATTCAGGACGCAATATATGTGAACTTTATTAGAATGCCAACCTTCGTGCCAAACTACTTGCCCAAAGGGTATCACAATTTTGCTTCATAAAGCTAGGAATAGGACCATATCTAAATCAGGTGAGCAATTTCCAAACGCTAATGCTGACAAAGAAACTATCACAAAAGTCTCCAGACAGCAAATTTTTAATTTAACAAATTAAATAATTATTATTATCAATATCAGAGAAAATTTTATTTGTTAAAATTATTCTGCCTTGGCTAAGATAACTATGAATTGCCACTATTTTTTTTTATAATTCTAGAGTAAAAGATTTAATTTAGTTCAAAATAGATGATATCTTATTTGTGATCTGCCTAAAGAAAGTGATTATACCTCATTTATTGTCTTTAATAGGAAAATTTTAATATCTGGACTTAGTCATACAGACATATATGAATACGATGAAGCTATTGATGAATGCTCTAAAATTCATGTAAAAGCTCTTAAATGCAGAAAAGAAAGACAGCTGGTTTTAGGAAATTCGAGAGTATATATAATTCAATTTCCCTTGTCTATTTTTGAAAGCAAAGTTGATGATCAATATCATTGGCGATATATAGATGATTATAAGAATAATATCCGCCTTTCCGTTTCCAGTAATTTATAGGTAGATAAAAGCCTTAATTTAGGAATTTTTAAACAAATTTATTTTAATCCAAAAAATAAATGCATAAATTTCCCGGTCTACAATACTGGAGAAATAAAAATTCAGCCTTATATATTCAATTAAGAAAAGTTCATAGAGATGCTATTTTTGATGATTTTAAGACCTAAAATACAGTTATCTCTTGAAGTCTGATTTTTTCAAATAATTGATTTTTGTTGCAAATGTCTACTGTATTTTGATATACTCATGCTGAGGGAACTGCTAAAACTCTTTATTTAAATATGTATTATGCAAGCCTGACAATTAAGATCACTCCTGTAAAATAGTTCATAGTTGCTAATTGGAATAATGTAAGTGAAATTATAAATCGAGCACAATTTTGAGCTTGATTATTATTTCTAAATTAGTCCCAGAATCAAACATGATAAGTTTATTCTCGTCATATGAATTAGCTGTGTATTAATATATAGATCTAACTATAAAGTTCACATCACTCAAGATCTTCTTGTATAGTTATGTGAATTTTTGAGATAAGATTAAATTCATCTTCTTTGCTTTTAACCCACTTTAAGAGCCTAAAAGCAGTTACTGGTTTATATAATTCATATATGGAGCCCATTAAGAGAGCATGAAGTGATGGTTGATTGAAGAATTACATAGAAAAATTATAGAAATCAACTCTATTGAAGAATAAATGTGTTAGGGGTGTTAGGGTGTTAGGGTGTTAGGGTGTTAGGGTGTTAGGGTGTTAGGGTGTTAGGGTGTTAGGGTGTTAGGGTGTTAGGGTGTTAGGGTGTTAGGGGTGTTAGGGTGTTAGGGTGTTAGGGTGTTAGGGTGTTAGGGTGTTAGGGTGTTAGGGTGTTAGGGTGTTAGGGTGTTAGGGTGTTAGGGTGTTAGGGTGTTAGGGTGTTAGGGTGTTAGGGTGTTAGGGTGTTAGGGTGTTAGGGTGTTAGGGTGTTAGGGTGTTAGGGTGTTAGGGTGTTAGGGTGTTAGGGTGTTAGGGTGTTAGGGTGTTAGGGTGTTAGGGTGTTAGGGTGTTAGGGTGTTAGGGTGTTAGGGTGTTAGGGTGTTAGGGTGTTAGGGTGTTAGGGTGTTAGGGTGTTAGGGTGTTAGGGTGTTAGGGTGTTAGGGTGTTAGGGTGTTAGGGTGTTAGGGTGTTAGGGTGTTAGGGTGTTAGGGTGTTAGGGTGTTAGGGTGTTAGGGTGTTAGGGTGTTAGGGTGTTAGGGTGTTAGGGTGTTAGGGTGTTAGGGTGTTAGGGTGTTAGGGTGTTAGGGTGTTAGGGTGGTTAGGGTGTTAGGGTGTTAGGGTGTTAGGGTGTTAGGGTGTTAGGGTGTTAGGGTGTTAGGGTGTTAGGGTGTTAGGGTGTTAGGGTGTTAGGGTGTTAGGGTGTTAGGGTGTTAGGGTGTTAGGGTGTTAGGGTGTTAGGGTGTTAGGGTGTTAGGGTGTTAGGGTGTTAGGGTGTTAGGGTGTTAGGGTGTTAGGGTGTTAGGGTGTTAGGGTGTTAGGGTGTTAGGGTGTTAGGGTGTTAGGGTGTTAGGGTGTTAGGGGTGTTAGGGTGTTAGGGTGTTAGGGTGTTAGGGTGTTAGGGTGTTAGGGTGTTAGGGTGTTAGGGTGTTAGGGTGTTAGGGTGTTAGGGTGTTAGGGTGTTAGGGTGTTAGGGTGTTAGGGTGTTAGGGTGTTAGGGTGTTAGGGTGTTAGGGTGTTAGGGTGTTAGGGTGTTAGGGTGTTAGGGTGTTAGGGTGTTAGGGTGTTAGGGTGTTAGGGTGTTAGGGTGTTAGGGTGTTAGGGTGTTAGGGTGTTAGGGTGTTAGGGTGTTAGGGTGTTAGGGTGTTAGGGTGTTAGGGTGTTAGGGTGTTAGGGTGTTAGGGTGGTGTTAGGGTGTTAGGGTGTTAGGGTGTTAGGGTGTTAGGGTGTTAGGGTGTTAGGGTGTTAGGGTGTTAGGGTGTTAGGGTGTTAGGGGTGTTAGGGTGTTAGGGTGTTAGGGTGTTAGGGTGTTAGGGTGTTAGGGTGTTAGGGTGTTAGGGTGTTAGGGTGTTAGGGTGTTAGGGTGTTAGGGTGTTAGGGTGTTAGGGTGTTAGGGTGTTAGGGTGTTAGGGTGTTAGGGTGTTAGGGTGTTAGGGTGTTAGGGTGTTAGGGTGTTAGGGTGTTAGGGTGTTAGGGTGTTAGGGTGTTAGGGGGTGTTAGGGTGTTAGGGTGTTAGGGTGTTAGGGGTGGGTGTTAGGGTGTTAGGGTGTTAGGGTGTTAGGGTGTTAGGGTGTTAGGGTGTTAGGGTGTTAGGGTGTTAGGGTGTTAGGGTGTTAGGGTGTTAGGGTGTTAGGGGGGTTAGGGTGTTAGGGTGTTAGGGTGTTAGGGTGTTAGGGTGTTAGGGTGTTAGGGTGTTAGGGTGTTAGGGTGTTAGGGTGTTAGGGTGTTAGGGTGTTAGGGTGTGGGTGTAGGGTGTTAGGGTGTTAGGGTGTTAGGGTGTTAGGGTGTTAGGGTGTTAGGGTGTTAGGGTGTTAGGGTGTAGGGTGTAGGGTGTTAGGGTGTTAGGGTGTGGGTGTTAGGGTGTTAGGGTGTTAGGGTGTTAGGGTGTTAGGGTGTTAGGGTGTTGGGGTGTTAGGGTGTTAGGGTGTTAGGGTGTTAGGGTGTTAGGGTGTTAGGGTGTTAGGGTGTTAGGGTGTTAGGGTGTTAGGGTGTTAGGGTGTTAGGGTGTTAGGGTGTTAGGGTGTTAGGGTGTTAGGGTGTTAGGGTGTGTTGGGTGTTAGGGTGTTAGGGTGTTAGGGTGTTAGGGTGTTAGGGTGGGTGTTAGGGTGTTGGGGTGGGTGTGGGGTGTTGGGTGTTGGGTGTTAGGGTGTTAGGGTGTTGGGGTTGGGTGTTAGGGTGTTAGGGTGGTTAGGGGGTGGGTGTTAGGGGTGTTGGGGTGTTGGGGTGTTGGGTGTTGGGGTGGGTGTTGGGTGTTAGGGGTGTTAGGGTGTTGGGGGGTTGGGTGTGGGTGTTGGGGGTGTGGGGTGTGGGGTGTTGGGGGTGGTTAGGGTGTTAGGGTGTTAGGGTGTTAGGGTGTTAGGGTGTGTTATGGTGTTAGGGTGTT